CCCCCCCCCACGGTACAACGGACGTCAACGAAGTGGCATTTAACTTATTGGTGAGAGCTTGTAGCAATGACTAAACGACCTATGCGAGTGATAATAGTTGGCGCTGGTGAGATACCGTGATATCGTTGAATAGCTGACATTTGCTCACTCATTATGTAATAGGTCTGGCAGGGCTAGCTCTTGCACATGGATTGCAAAAGGTACGCAATTTTCTGCAAGTTGTCATATTTTTCTCTATCTATAGTAGCATGCCAACTCTAGCTAACATATTTCCCTGGGCTTTGCTCACATAGATGAACATAGGCTTCGTCATCGTTGACCGAGAAACCACCCCAAGAGATCGCAACTGGTGTATCACAATGTCATGGGCTTTACCTCTGCTTCAAAAGCTTGTCCCAGCAAGTGTTTTCGAGTCGATCAATTTATGTCAACCAGACCCTACAACAGACCCAGCCGAAGCAGGTAAATACGGTATAGTCATACGTGACGGGTCGACAGGCAAGGTAAAGATACGACATCAATTTCCAAGTATTCGACGGATCAATCATAAGAAAACGAAGAATCACCTATCAAAGGATCTTTCCGTACAATATGGCAAGCGACTTGTGGATATAACCGTTAGACTAGATGACGACGAAGTGACTGCCCATTTCGCCGATGGTACACAGGAAACAGGCACTATCATTGTAGGCGCGGATGGTGGGGTGTCCCAGGTGCGACGCTGGTTACTTGGAGATGAAGCCGCACAAGAGGTATTGCCATGTCAATTCATGAATTTCTCTTTCAGCTTGCCGGCTGAAATGGCCCAATGGCTTGATGAGAGCCTCGGTCCAACTGTCGAGGTCGCTGCGCACCCGCGCAATATCTACATGGGTATCTCGTTGTTGGACAAGCCCGACGCGACGAAGCCTGAGACATGGCTATTCTACATTCTTGCGGCATGGGCACTAGATGACAGCACCGATGGCGAAAGCTCTGGCAGTCAACTTTCCAAGCTTCGGTCGCGCATGTATGACTGGGCTGATCCATTCAAAACCATCGTCGAAAAGCTTCCTGATGATACTTTGATCAGACAGGATCAGCTGAGGATATGGCATACGAAAGCATGGAACAATCACCAGGGACGTGTGACTTTGATTGGTGATGCGGCACATAGGTAATTAACCCCTTTGTAGAGCCCTGTTTGAGTTGAAAGCTTACAATCAGTTCTAGTATGACGTTTCATCGCGGCCAGGGCGGCAACCTGGCAATCAGAGACGCCTATGAACTTTTCAATAAATTAGTCTTAGTCTACAATGGGGAGAGTGACCGGGAAACCGCGATAGACACCTACGATAGGGGAGCATTCCTCCGAGGCGAAGAAGTTGAGATTTCTCGACAGTGTACGATGGCGTTTCTAGACTACAAGAATATGGAAAATAGCCCAGTATATCAACTTGGTATTAACCCGGCGATGGAATTTTGATCGGGTCTGGTATCGGTCTGTATCATATCTATAGGCTATTTTATAAAACACTAAGGCGAGCGGAATCTCAACCCTGAATGAGTGGGCCCATTTCCATACGACCTACAACTGTGAAGGAGCCCTTCCGACAGAATGATTATGCTCTTGCGACTTTTATCTGGCGCGAATTTGCATGTGTTTCTTCGAATTCTCGCGTTGCGAAATTGACAAACACATCTCATTAAAAGTTGGTATGGATAACTAGCTAATACATAACTATGAACACTTGACGCGGAAACCCGAGAAGATAACATTGCTCAGTCCAAATCATAAAAATAGCAAAAGCGTGCCGACACTATGCATGAATGCCTCACTTCTCAGTCTGGCTACTACCACTACCAAGTCCAATATAAGTTCCCGCACTCTTTGCACCACCCGATATCGAATTACCGACGTATTGGGCACCGCCCTTGGCATTGTTGATCATCGAGTCCGTATACCCAGCTGCAGGACCTCCATATGATCCCTTCTCATCCTTGCCGTTCCTCTCCATTCTGTTGATTCCTTCCTTACCGGCCATGTTCCCGATAGGAGCGGCAAGACCGTTCTCGCCGAGCTGGTTGCCCACAAGGTTGTTGACATCGTCTTGGAGCTGGTCGACTTGGCTGACTCCAGTAATTTTGCTTTTGTTCAATGTATCTGCATAATGTGAACAACGGTGGTTTTAGTTGACTTCTCAGAGATAAAAAATACCTTTGGTCGCATAAGAAGCCTTGTTATCACCTTTGCCGAACCACTTCAGGTATTGATCTTCGATCCACGGCATCCACTTTTCGTATTGTTCTTGGTAGGCCTCTTTTACCCATTCAGAGTAGGACTTCTTTTCTCGCTCCTCGGCGGGCAGGTTGTTGTAGAGGTGCTGCTTCTGCTCTTCCGTGTGCTGGCTAGCCGAGCCCGTTGCTTGTTTGATGGCATCCATCTCGCTAGGCTGTACAAAAAAAGCGGTCTACTAGAAGAGAATATAATGTAAAGGGCTATATATGAGAATGAGAACTGGTGAAAAGGAAAACTGTAGAGAAGAAGAGCTTTTATGGCAGATTAGGGTCTCTGGCTACCCTTTTAGGCAATCCCCATAGATCGAACACGCTGACGTCGTGGTGGGGCAGCCATTGACGTAGCCGAAATGTCTGCAGCCAATCGGAGAATTTGTGTAGTCCCACCAGCCGCCCTAGTAGGGTTAGGACTCTGTCAATGTTTGGACCCAATATCTCTATTGAAACCCATCTGGTGTCATCATACAAGGGATATACTCTGTGATAGACAGTCAAATATAGGAAAAGATACGATACATTCAATGTTGCGAAATGTCTCTATACATTCTCGGGACTAACAGCTTCAAAAGGTTCTGTAGTAATCAACCTCTCAACAAGAAGGCAGATGTTTTATATTTAAGAGCCTTATTATCGACTAGCTCATAGAATCAGTCAAAGTTTAGATATATCAGCTTGTAAACTCGGTACTTCTCCATTGGCAGGCTCGCAAAAGTGAACAAATGCATGTGCGTACATGCTAAAAAATGCATCTATTGACTTTTGATCATAGTGGAATAGTGAAATAGAGGTAGTCCCGCCTTATGGGGTGTTAGCTTCCTCCACGTGGAGTGGCGCGCTGTTGTATGGCCAGTCGTCTTCGCACCAGTTGCTTGTCAAGTGCTTGTTTGACAGGCAACACATTAGCTCACAAGTGCTGCTGCAAAACCGAAAGTCAACGTATCTTGAAGCAAGGCCTCATATAGTCGACGATCTGATGCGCTCATGCCGCCAAGCCGTGCAGCTTCTTGAGGAGCGCCGACCAGTGGCTCAAAGTCGCCAGAGCAGACTGAGCCGGGCTTTGGTAGTTGTCCAGTCTGAAAGTACTTGCGAATAGCCTTGGCAGAACAGACCGAAGGACCGGATCCCGTTGTATGCTAAATCAGAAAACTTGGGTCAGTTGTCTGGTTGTTGGATTTACGCTTCTAGTTTGACGTACGCCTTCCGAGCTTTGCTCAAGAACAACTGATCCATTAAACTGACTGGACATTTTCTTTGCACTGTATGATTTTTAGCCACGGATACTAGAAAAGAATTTACACAAACGGTAGAAGTCATTCACCTTTTCAGTGGAGTAACCGGATCTAGTGTGGTGCTGACAAGCATCAGAGGATGGGATGTGTTCCCAGCGAAAGGGCCTGAAATATTATTCAGTAATTAGATTGTGACCCGTAGGTGAATCAGGGATATCTATGACCTTACCTTTCAGTCGCCATTGAGCCCGTGGTTTCCAGCCTACACAGGTCAAGTATACACTGGCCCAATAATCACCAATACTCTTGCTGTCAGATGCAAGACCATTCCAAATACCTTGAAATTCATCAAGGTCATAGCTGTTGGTATATATGGCATCGCTGCAAAGAATGGCCTGACTAGACGAATCCTCGCTAGTCTCAAAACCAGTACATTGCTGTGACCACGACCCAGCACCAATACATTCCTCTGACAGACACGTAACGGCACGAATGCCTTGTTTGAATGCAGCCATCGATGATCCATCACCTCGCTTGAGTTCTGCCAAGAATTTTGCTAGTAACGGGAATGTAAGGAGTGGTTGATAGACTGAAATGCGTTGAATAAGCTTGAAATCTGACCATGTGACAACTTCGGGTCCGTGGTCGTTCGAAGCCGCCACTGGGATAGACTTGGCCCGGAGGCCGGATTCAATAGCTTCATAAGCCAGTCTTATCTCAGAAGATCCTCCTTTCATGTGGAATGGACATTTTTCTGGGCCAGCTGCATCGCAGTACTTGAAAAACCGGTCAAAAATAGCATCGGCATCAGTGATACTAGATTCGCCTCCACCTTCATAGTAATCATCGGTGTCAACCACGCCATCTAGCAGCACTCTTGAAACTCGATCAGGGAACATGGTAGCAAAAGTAGAGCCCAATACAGTACCGTATGATCGACCCCAGTAGAGTAGTTTCTCCTGTCCACGAGCCCAACGTGTACGAACAGCAATTTTCTGCTTGGCGTCATAGCCTGTAATTATGTCCTCTTCTTGCTGTCTCTTAAGACCTTCATTCTCACGCCATTCAGCATGCCTTTCAATAATCTCAAGCATATCACGTGCTACAGGCACGGTGTTCAAATGTTCACCAAAGGCTTCTCCAGTAGCATCATTGTCATCCCTCGCAAGTAGTACCTCTGAGCAACTTTGACTCAAAGCAGCCATTCGCTGCCAATTCCTCATTAAGGAGTCGGTAGAACTGCCTAGTATTCCATCGGCCTCAGCTTGCAATCCAAAATTGGTCTTTGATAGCATACTAGGGAAGCAACTGAATTGAGGCGTAGTATTGTTTACGCCTCGCGGATCAAAGCCAATAATGTCAAAGTAAAGCGAGTCGTATTTTCCGTACGTTTCTGCCAGAAAATCAATGTCCGCGTCCACTATAGTCTGAAGATTGCGACCTGTGATCAGAGCTTGAGCGACACCTGAGCCTCCCGGTCCTCCTAAACAAATTCAGACCCGGTCAGTTTTTTGCTACATCTTATACGTGGGTCTCTTCCAATTTCGGAAAATGAGAAATACATAACATGAGATTTGAATCAAAATTACCCGGATTGATGAGAACTGCACCTCCATAGCGAGGATCAGTGACTGGAACCTTAGCTGGTAAACGAGTCACAGCGACAGCGATTTTACGACCCAATCCATCGGTGCGATGGTAGTCCATCGGTAGCTCAAGTCTTGCGCATTGGAAACCATCAAAACAGTCATGATATATCAGACTGGAAGATGGAACGACCTAAATTGGCCCAAAATTTTTCAAAATTAGTCGCGAGAACATCAACGAAATTCACTGCATACATACCTCACTCCAGCTGAACGGCTTATTCGGTGAAAACTTCTGATCGTTACCCTCCACCTGATGTCCACTGTTCACAGGCTGAGGAGTTATGTACCAGAAATATCCTGTTGCAAGGATCATCAATGAAATCACAACGGAATGAATGCGAGTATTTTGAAACTGCCTTCGGCGGCCATGAATCGCTGCCCCTGACTCAACCATCTGCTCGCCATTGTAACGCTTGACTTTATCCATGTCTTTACTCCTGATAGTCGCCCGTGGGCAGCGGGAGTGGAAGAATTAAATCCGGGCAACTATACCGGTAGTCCTCCATTCAACAAAGTCGGAGGGTGTATCACACTCATCACAATTCCCCTCCTGCAACTAAGCGTTGGCGGAAAATGGCTGTGTATGCCGCTGCTGACACTAAGCGGTCCAACTAGACAAGAGATACACAGAGCATCGCTGATTGGCTTGTAGATGGTGTCCAATGTGGATCTCATGCTAATCAGCCATCTGATAAGTACGCCAAAGGATCAGCTGTTCTCTTTGCTTTTTTAAACCCCTCATTTTCTGTGAGATCTTCGGTATGCATGTTCTAAGTATCACTTTGAAATTTTCGACCAGATAAAAAAACAAAGTGGCTCAAATTGACGCTTTGCTTGATTTCTACAACGGATGGAGCTGTTCGGATAACAGTGGAACATCCGATCGATGCCCGTGGATGCCATACAACAGAACCAGAACTGTACTTTCGAAACAATGTATATTTCAAATGACTCGAGCATAATTATCCTGTACTACATGTACCACTTACAAACCAGGAAAACCAGTTCATTTGTGTCTTATCATTCGTACAATGCCTATGATTGGCAAATGTTTGCGAGGTAAGTATAAGCCCGATTTTAGTTTCAAAACTACGACATACAACTAGACCGGGTTGAAACACTTCGTTTTCAGTTTTTGAGAGAAGAGCAAGAATCAATAACTTAGCCGACTAAAGTATACATTTCGACATATTGATAAGGACTAGAAGTTAGTGGGAATAATTTACTGACTCCCGGATATATCGCGATGAATATCAGGCATCTTCGAGTAAAATAAACTTAAAACGGGGTATGATATATGGTTGAACGCGTGTCGAGATGTAAACTAGTCCGCAGAAACGTTACATTCCAGCCGGATAATGATCTAGGCTCATTCTTATCAACGACTCAAGATAGGGCTATGACTCGCTGATTCTGATGCCCTTGGCATTCTGATTTCATGAATCTAGCGATTGTTTCTACCTAGGTATGTTAGTAGCCGAGTATATATTCGTGAAAGTGCGCCAGGCAGACTGTGAGTTCGGTAGCGTACTCAGGTTGTGCCTTTAGTCCTGCATGCGAGCGCATCTCTGATTTATTGTCAACGTATCTGCTTTCCAAAATAGCGAAGACGGCAAAAACGAGTATTAAACTCGTTGCACAAACATATAGAGATATTTCTTTCCCTTCATTAACCACATTTCGCCTCTACGCCTCCGGTCCACATGGAGCCTTTATCGAAGCTCAAACAACAATTGCGACGCTCCCCGACAGCGAACAATGGCGACACTATTCACGAAGTTGATCCTGACGCGCCGCCTTATCTCGCAGAGCCAAACGAAGATCCAGAAAAACCTGCTCAGAGCTTTGAGGTAGGCGGTATTGCAAAACTAGAGGCAGCTCAGGCTGTTTGGGGTCGGACGGGCAAATATTTTCTTTATTTTGGGTGAGTTCTTCGAGTTATCTATACGTTTTGCGGATCATAATATTGACTTTAGTATCAGCTTAGGTATGATGATGATTATATTGTACGTTTCAAATTCCGCCGTTACCGCGTCCCTTGATTTTATAAAGTCAAAGAAGTCAGTCTAACGATTGTGTTAGTGAGCTTGACAATGTATCAACATCGTCGTATATTACATATGCTTCGTCCTCCTTCAATCAACTATCCAAGGTTGCAACCGTGACAACGGCAACAGGGATCATATTGGCGATTGTGAAACCGCCCGTTGCTAAGATATCTGACGTACTTGGAAGAGCAGAAGCCTACATTTTCACTATTACATGTTATGTGCTAGGCTATATACTCTGCGCTTCTTCTACTACATTCAACACTTATGCAGGGGGTTACGTATTCTACGCCCTTGGCCAAGGAGGAACCTCCTTGTTAGACTCAGTCATGGTCTCTGATCTCTCTAACATGCGTTGGAGAGGCTTTTCCTACAACATCATTTATCTACCATTCTTGATCACTCCATGGGTGGGGGCGCTCATTGTTGATAGTGTCGTTGATGGTATCGGGTGGCGCTGGGGCATTGGAATGTTTGCCATTTTGATGCCATTCACAGCTAGTTTTATCATCATTACCCTTTTGGTGTTCCAGGGACGAGCTCGAAAAGCCGGTATCATATTTACCAAAAAGCTCACTTTTTATGAGTTTTGTTCGCAGATTGATTTAGGAGGCATTTTCCTTCTAGGTGGTGGCTTTGCAATGTTGTTGATACCGATAACGTTCGCTGCTACAACTACCAGCAGGTGGAGGACCCCCTGGATAGACATTCTTATGGCTCTTGGTGTTGTCGCACTGATCGCCTTGTACCCTTATGAGAGGTATATTGCCAAACACCCAGTGGTTCCGGTGAGATACTTTACAAACTTATCCATCGTTGTGAGCGTGGCATTAGGCATCTTAGATAATATGGGCTTCGGCATTACGCACACCTATCTCTATGCTTGGTCGCTTGTTTCTCACAATTACTCTGCTCGAAATGCAATCTACCTGGCCTATATCAATGGCGTCATGCAGTGTCTAACCGGTATGGCAATCGGTCTTGTCATGTACAAGACACGTTCCTTCAAATGGCTTGGAGTTGCAGGCGCGGCGATTCGCTTGATTGGATATGGGGTCATGATTCGTCTCCGGACTAACGCGAGTTCGATGGCTGAGCTATTTATCGTACAAGTTGTCCAGGGATTGGGCAGCGGCATTATTGAGACCATAATTGTAGTTGGCGCGCAGATTGTTGTCCCGCATGCCGAGTTGGCCCAGGTAACTTCGCTTATCAGTCTCAGTGCTTTTCTCGGTGACGGTATTGGCTCTGCAATAGCAGGTGGGATATATACCGACACTCTCCGTGAACGTCTGCGGTTTCGTCTCGATACTACGAATCAAACCGAGATTGATACCATGTTCAACTCCATCACGGGTACCTTGCCTCTATGGGGCACACCGGAAAGAACAGCGGTGAACGAAGCTGTAAGAAACGGCTATATTTTAAATCCTTTTAAGATTGATACATAATGGTATGCTGACTCAAGATTATCATACCAGTACTCGGATGTCATGGGGTGAGAGGACCTTGTATCCTAAAAGTCTTTCGCTATTGTTGATAGTCACACTAACTTCTCTCAACAGATACATGACGATTGCTGCCCTCGCATTATCTGTACCAGTTTTGATCATATCTTTCTTCATGCCAAACAACAAGCTTGGGTATGGTTCACCCCTTCTAGGATACTTCTCATGAGTAATACATTTACTGACTGACGATGGAATCTAAAGGGACGGCCTGAACTTGTACGAATCCAACCAAGTTGAGGAGCATTCGGAGGTTACACAACAGAGAGAAATGCGAACGAAAGAGAGCCGGGGGTAACGTATACAGCTAAGCATGACAGGATTAACATATAGAGCCAATATCAGCTCAGATACCTGCACAGTGACACTATGTACTTACTTACAATTTTGATCAACCAACAAGCTCATCTGAGCACAGCCTTGATTATTAAACTTCACTTTAAAATACAATCTTCAAGTAACGATTGTGAATCGTGAGTTCATCAATGTGCACGCCGGTAATCAAATCTTAAATTACTATATGTCTATGGATGATCTAAGCTGAAGCAATTTTTTAGATAGTCCATCTAAATAAAATCTATTCAATCATATGTACAATGAAGGTTTGAACTTATATACAATGTACCTCCAACTTCCTTCAGTATGTGCAGTCGGGCCCAACCATTGAAGAGTCGGCAACTGCTGAGTCGAGCAAAATTCCGCTTAAGTAACAGCTGGCATCAATCCGGACTCCCCGGTTATATCGCCGCTGGCCTGAGTGATATCGCTATGTAATTGACTAAACGAGGTGCCATTCAAGGCCGTTGGAGCCAGTCATGATGGTTCCGTCGCCGTCAACACCACCGAAATCCTCCCACAAGGTGAGGCACATATCAATGATATCAGCACCAGCGGTGTCAGCAATAGCTGCTTGTACGGTAACGCCGTTGGCTCCGGTGATTTCGATTGTCTTTCCGCAGAGTTCGTTGTTCTGGGAAGCGCCGAACTGGCTCATGACCGCAGATGCCATGGCGACCAAGGGAATGGTTGACGAGCTAGGGATCTCGGAGGTGAAGTAGGTAGACAATCCACAGCTGCCAGCGGTGTAGAAAATCTCATTGCAGCTGGCATCGTCGGCGAAGGAGTAGATTGAACCATCGATGGCCATGTTCGAGTAGAAGGAGGAAGGAATGTCACGCTTCTGGATGGGGTTGGCTGCGACCTGGGAGCCAAGCAAAAAGGCCGAGGCGGCAATAGTAGCAGCTGCGAACTTCATATTGTATGGTATCGGCTTTCTTGTCCTATTAAAAGCTTTTTACGAAGTAGCGCGAGAGAGCGGCTGGAAAAGTAAGCTGATTGATAAAGGATTGGCTGATTGTACACGACAAAGGAAAAAAATGAGAGCACAAATGAAGGAGGAATATGGCCTTTTATGTTTTTGGAGCTCATGTTCGATTGATTTGAGTCTAGACTGAAATTCGAGATCTTTGCGATGACATGGTAAGGGTTGCATCTGGCCCCCAGATATTGCTGACTGCAAGTTTGGGGATAGTGCTGGTACCTAACAGTAGTCACTCCGTTTCATCCGTTTGAGCTACACTTTAGATTTTGTAATCGTGCATGGTACCTGAAAGCACAGTCGTCAATTAGGTATCACTGGTTGCTTCTGTCACAGTGGTACCTGGAGCTAGTGTAGGATAACTCTAATCTAAGCTAGAGTAGATCTGAACTGTGTAATGTTCTTAGCAAATACTCTTCTCGCTGCGAGGATTTCAAAATATACATCATATGACTGTCAAACATGGCCTTAATTATACGCATATAGTATTTAAATTGTTCAAAGTTGCTTCTTAAGCTGGCTGTAGTTTAAATCTATGTGGATTTACGTACTAACATCGACTCCAGCAACATCCATCCGCCCCTGGGTTACATAGGGCTAACCAACGGCATCTGACTGGGTCTAACGAATTCCTATTTTACGTACCATTTTAGCTACTAAACCTTTTCCGATTAGAAATCACGTAAAATCTCTTCAACTTTGATGCTACATGGTCATGTGAAGTTAGCGTGTCTTGGGCCAAAGGAAGTCATATTGTTAGTTTGCTGATTTTATTGCGACCTCATTGACCAGATCATACCATAGTCTTGTAAATCAATGTCTAGTTTTTTTAAGTGACGCCGATATCCCTGGGTTTTATGAGCCTGCCATGTACTGTAACGCATGACAAACAATCCTTACGCTGCTATGTCTACATTGCTCAACATTGAATATAACCCAGACGTACAAAAGCTAGAATAGGCTATTCATAACCTGTAATTGCTTGTTTGGAATCCTGGTTACTAAATATGGTACATTAAGCTTGCAGATGTACACCAACGTCACTCAATTAAATGTACGTAACCTGACTTGGCAATTCTTGAGCTTAAAACGTCGATACAACCATGATCCAACAATACGGCCGCATCGGCGGGGCTTGTATGTCGGTCAATTACTTTTCCATGCAGTTAAAAACAGGTCGATTTTGACGAGTAGAGAGATCAAAGGATTAATTGTAGTACAGTGTTGATTTAGACTCGGGTATCATCTCCGTAAATCCTGACTACTACGTCTATAACAAAGTCAGCGTGGTTCGTCACGCATATAGGGACAAGAGAATTTCAAATCTATGGATCCAGGCAACTGATTGAAGAATACATGTCGATAGATAAATACCGGCCTCAGTATCGAGTGTTGGAATACTAAAAATATAGAAAAGGAAAAAAGAAAAAATCATGATACCGGTCATCGATGTACGTGCCTGGGTGTGTCTCGATACTGACGACAATATTTGCTAGGCATTGCCCACTATAGCATCCATATGTGACTGGTGATGTTCAGTACCAGATCAATCCTTCTAACTTTGATCAACGGTGCCGTGCAACTCCTCGCTCCAACACATTCTCTCAAGCTCTGCCCTATTTTCCGCCACGGCCTGTTCGCTCGCAAGAGATTCTTCCCAGAGTAGTCGATGAACGTCTGTTTCTTAGGCCTTTTCTGCTTCCAGGTATTCGACTCGAAACTAACGCCGTGGTCTATCGCGGGCTCCATCAAGTTGGTGTAGCATCAATTGGGAAATCAATGGACGTCGCCATAACAAGCCTTGGTCGTCACTCACTCTTATACTCGTCATCCGAAATGCTGGCTTTTCGACGAAATTTACTTTACCCTAATCAGACATCGTGCTGCCTTGGTAAAAAACTAGTAAACATACTAGTCAGGGGGATTTCACATGAAAGCCACGTAGTGTCTTACTTGGGATTCGCATACCAGAAAGTGTGAAGCTTTATAATTTCAAGTGTGTGGAAAAATGTTCTCAATAAATAATTCTTGTGATTGATTCCTTCAATTGAGAAAAAGATGGTTGGATGTTTCTTGGAAGTGTAATGTATCTCTGTACGCCCGCCTGTCAGCACACACAAGGCTGTTCATACGCTGTATAGACAAATTTATTGTGCAGTCACTGACCATTGCAAGTTTGATAAATACTGTCTGGTGTGATTCACACATGTATTACCTCGGCAACATGACCAATAGTCGCAGAGTGAATGGAAAGTAACAGCAGTGGACTAAGGATCTTTTATCAACTGATCAATTAGGTGATTATGGAGGCTTTTTTTGATACTTTCGACAGGCTCGCCTTCAGATCGTGATTTGTATCCTCTATGTGGATCGTTTACTTCTCAATCCACTGGTTTACACGGGAAAACACCGCGCATATTCATGGGAGAAAGCCAAGAAGGGCCGAGATCAGAAGAAAATACGGAACATAAATTCAAAGTATAACCCCCAAAACAACTTAGAAGATTGACAATACAGCGTTCAGTTCCGAGCTAGCTAAGACTTACACAGCATCTCCGCATAGCGCAACGTGTTCTTGCTTGCTCCAGTATCAAGGAAACTAGGATTGATGCAGGCCACAACTGTAGTCCGGCACTTGCGGCTCTCCGTCGGGTCAAATAGATGTTTTAGGACTTTGGTTAACGTGCTCTGACGAAAAGGGATATACTCTTTCTTTGAGAGATCTCTCTTCTCCCTGTCAATCCGCGCCACGCCTCGGATGCAATCTTTTAGTACTGATAGACTCAGATTTATTTCGCGTGTTTCCTTTAAGCGCTCTGTCGAGTGTGAAAATATATCGCGCGCTGCTTCTGAGCCAGCGAGGTCAACTAGGTATAGAATCCCACCTTCTGCTGGCTCGTGTGACGGTCTCTCAATTCGAATGCGACATACTGCGTGCGATCGTGAAGATCCGTCATTTTTGACCGTCGGCGCTGATTGTCGCAATTCTTTTGCCGCCTGGGACAGGGCAAGTAGTTCGGCTTCACTTCGTATGCTGAACTCTTGAATACCGACCAATTGGGTCGTGCCGAGGTGGTCCTCCAAGATTGAGAAGGACGCGCGAGAGTTCAAGAGGTCTAAGTGGGCAACACGGTTAGTTTCAGGCTTAGTGGGAATCATTTTTAATGGCAGAGTTACCATATGCTGAGTTTCCGGCAAGTTCAAACATAGCAAGGTAGATATTGCGTTCACCTTCTAATCTCCCGTCGAAAAGGGATCTCGCAACTAGACGCTCTAGACCACTGATAGTGAAAGTCTTCCCTGATCCCGTTTGCCCGTAGGCGAAAAGTGTTCCTACGTTACCATCCCAGGCCCAGGGAATGAGTGGGTGCACCACGTCTTCGTAGATGGTTTCAGTCTTATCATCTGCACTAAAGACTCTACCGGGTTGGAATGAGGAGGACTGGTGAATCGTGGTTAGTCCTTCAAACAGGTGTTGCTTTTGCAATGCTATACAAAGATCGAATTTGCAAAATATTTGAAGAGGGAATCAGTACTGACATTTAAGGGGGGGAAGCCCCTTACAACGCGCCGCAGCTCATGCAGATCAACGACTCCGCTATTGTCAACCCGAGGAAAAACAGCAACAACTTGTCCAGACAATAATTCCTCATCGGATATAGGTCGAATGCGAGTAGCGACAGTGATGCTGGAAGTGGAGGCCTTAGAGTTGGTTTCGGTCTTTTGGCGGGGTGGCTTAAACCTTTCGACAAGCATTTGATGTCGCGCAGCGTTATCAAGAAGGAATCTTTCCATTGCTCCGTCGACGAGGCGCGGTTGTCGGTTTGTAATTTGTCTCTCGGCTAGATGTCTTTCTCTTAGAATTCTAGATGGCTGTGAGAGAAGCTGTGAGCTTGATAATGGTGAATTATGGGCAAAGGGCTGTGTTTTGTAGAACCTAGGGTCGGGATGTGATGCGTCATTCCCCTATTGGAGACATAAGGTTTTCGAAATGGGCTCACTCTCCACACCGTTGTACATGGAGTAACCGAGTGTCACGGATGGAAAAGAGGGGGAAAGAGGGCAAAGGAACTATTGCTGTGTTCTGCTAATTTTCAGATAAAACGTACCACTGATAATGCTAAAGATATTATGTTCAATCCACTGACTATTTGGAAGAGCGGTATAAACCAAAGTGTTTACATTACACATCTAATCAGAACTTGCATTTTCAGGATTCATTTTTCCGAGAATTAATTCGAAAGAGTATTAGGTCAACCTGAATTCGAAAAGTACTGTACATTAGGGAACTTACTGTATAACAAGAAAGGGATGTCGAAGAACTATATGACTCGGTTCCAGGTCGAATTGTGAAGGAAAAGAACGGGCTTGAATCGAGTGTTGTGGTTGTTGGCGGTTTGACGCGGTAACGCTACCATGCCCGTCGCGACCCGCACCGCGCGCGCGACGCGTATATGAATCAATCAATCAGTTGGACACACCTTACAGTATCGGACCGTGTAGAACCAACAGAGTTGGACTTGGGCCAGATATAACAAATCATGTAACTCTTTACCACACAGGTATAGATAATCCACTGTCTATTTTGAATGGTCTCTCCTCCATATTATACCATATAATGTAATTAATCCTTCTCTGTCTCTTAGGATTTTTCTAGAATTTTTTACGAGACAATGATTGACAGCAACGTGACCCTCTTTGCCATATGTCCATGGTTCGAGGCTCATATCTACTGCTTATCATTAGGATTTGGAGTCAAAAATATTCATGAAATGCTACATCTCGCTATATCCCTAGGTCGGTACTCAAAGTTCAATTTAACCTTACTTGCAACCTCTATGTACAGTCCGTTTCTGTAACTCATTTTAGTCAACTATCTACTCTCATCTACACTGAGTGAGTAGCACTTGTTCCTATGGTAGGATGGAAGTCGAAATTTGAACTAAGCCGATATCAACCACACAACCCAAGTTACAGTACTGGCTACTCATAAAGAGCATGTGTAAAATTCGTGTACTGTTACCCATCCCGACACTCTTCACCTAGGTAGGTTGCGGGTGGGAATTCATCTGAAGACTTTGACCAGAGCCCATGCTGGCAACTTCCACGCCTCCATCATCACGATATGACTGGGATAACTGGTTACACGCCTGACCTCGGAATATTCACAAGACTTTTCATGTCGCATTGTTATCCCGAGACGAGTCTAGACCTATTGTTAGTGTATTGGCAGAACAAGCGGACCCATATTAGGGCTGGAAGATCGTAAATCGTGAAATGTAAACATCAGTGTGAACACTAAACTATCCAAATTTTGTTATGAAGGTAGGCGGACTATTAATTTCAAAGCTTATGTATATTCTATCGTGAACATAGACCTGAGTTATATCTATCTGGAATAATATGAAATCATATTTAGTGGAGACTCTCATATGAAGGATTTGTATAATTTCAGCGCATATCATTACTTCTACCCAATTTACAGAAACGGTTACAAATTATGGCCTTGAATTGGTTGTATTTATTAAGTATAATACGCTACGACAGGGTTTATATAAACTTCTGTGCGTGTGCGAAACCGGGTCTTTGATATTGGTGCGGACTAATTTTACTGAGTTGATCACGAGTCAAAACTCCGCAAACTCTTCTGTAAATTACGAAATGCTTTTATAAAGGATTACGGATAACAAATTAAGTTATATGAAAATTGTGTCATTAATATGTAACCAGACGAAACACACGTCTCGTATCGCATCGGGTCATAAGCACCTCCAAGCAATTGCAAAATCATCGAACGACATTAGTGTTATGAAATAGCTCATCTTACTGCGTAATTGCCGTAATTATCACCCTTCAAGATATTGCCCTAGGATCAATAATACCTGCTATCTTATCATCCAGATCTTAGAAGACATCAGCATTGAGCAATGCTGCACCGGCACCAAAGACCATAGCGGCGCCCATTCCAGCAGTGCGCATGGGCATTGCGCCAGCAGTGCTACTCGAGGTACCAGTAACTCCAGCTCCTGCACCAGCACCAGTGCCAGTGACAGTTGCAGAGGCAGTTACCCCACTGGTGAATGGAATGGCACTTGCGGAGGAAGCACCGGAGAATGCCGGGACTTGAGAAGTTGCGGTGGCATTAGGAGTAGCGGAGGTGTTGTTAGGATTGAGGACGCTGCACGACATAAGTCAGAGTGGCTCATCAATATTCGAGAAGAAATCAGAACATACTTATCAATGACGTGTACAACGCCATTGGCAACGAGCAAGTTTGGAGTAACCACCCGAGCGGAGTCGACAAACACAGATCCATTTTCAATTCGGACAGTAATATTCCGGCCATCAACAGCGGTGTATTGAGTGTCATTCTTGAGATCAGTTGAATAAGCTAGTGTGCCGTTAAGGACATGGTACTCGAGGATACCAGATAGCTGATCGGCTGTCAAGTTACCAAGAGCGGAACCGATAGCCTGAAACGCAGAGTTTGCGGGAGCGAAAATAGTGACGTTCTTAAGCTCATCCACAGTTTGAGTCAGCTTCTCTGCTTGTAGAGCGCCTACGAGAGCGCTGAGACCGGCTGCTGCGGCAGAGGATGAGACATTCAATGGGACCGTGAGGACCTTGTCGATGATATGCACTACGCCCCCAGTGAAATTAAGATCCTGCAGTCATGTTAGCTATCATGAATCCTATATAGAGGCTGGGCATGGGGACATACAGCTTGAGTCACCGTCGAGTTGGCAAACAGGCCGGAGTAGAAATAAGTGTCATTATCCTGCTTGATTGCCTCGACGACCTGTCCACTAGTAACATTGGTATATGCCGTATCATTCAGGTAGGTGTGAATAAAAGCGGGTGTATCGGTAATGTTGCTTGCATAGTATTCGCCCTGAAGAATATGGTAGCTGAGAAGGTCCTCGATGGATTTGTTTCCGCTTGGGCTTGACGCCAGAGCTTTGAAGGAAGTGCTGTTGGTAAAGTTTGCCAACGCGTCATTGGATGGTGCGAGAATGGTCACGTTGGTGATATTGGCCAAAGAATTCGCAATTCCCGGGTAACTAGACAGCAAGGCGTTCAAGCTTGATAACTGAGTCGTGTTGGCTAGGAGTTGGGTTAGGTTTTGAGCCACGATGGCACTTGGCATCAACGCCAGAAGGGATAACTTTGTAGCTTTCATGATTGAATGTCCTTAGTGGCAGGKAAAAGACACAGATCCAACAATCAGAAACTCGTTGCTGCAGTCAAACCGGAGGATTACAGGTAAACACAATAAACCTGGTCGAGAAAAGTGGAATTGCCTGTCAATTATACGGGCATGGCCTCCAGTGTCCATTTCCAACCATGCAGAGAGCATTTTTCGCCGAACCAAGTTTTTGACCGTCTCTTTGCCTCTGATGCAATATTTGAGAATCTTTGCGTGAATCCGGTACCTTCGAGTCGCACAATGAGCTTGCCAATGCGAGCGAAGTGGCTGGGCATGTCGCCATATGCCGAAAAGACCGGATTCATGACATTTCCATAAAGTAAGAGCAATAGCGTAAGCCAATTAATGCGATCAATTGTCCCATATGCACGCGTTCTGATGTATTCAAACGCCAATAGCACTCAATCGCCATGGCAAAATGACGCAGTTTTTGTGGCAGCTTTGTATACCAGCCGGCTGGTGATTGGGCGATCCCCGTGGGGAATCTGTAATAGACTCCACTGGCTGGGAAAAACGCCTCAGAGGCTCGGAACCCGGCCTTTGTTGTGAGTTGGGCGAGACGCAGCGATGATTTGCCCAAACTCTGTTAGCAATGATCTCAAGCAGAGCTTCAGGCTCCATGATGTCACGATTTATCGATGGAATCGATCGGAAATGAGTTTATTATTGATCTGTAATTCGGTGTCATTGCACCACAGCTCGCCATATCTGGTTACACGCGCCACTCCTTGCTGCGGACTCGCATGTAATACTTTTCCGAATAGACATTGAGTGATTTATTGGATCGATCAATCGGTTGATCTTGTAGCAAAAAGCAAGAATATGCTCGGTATGTTCCTCTTCTGGATCTAACCAGGGCGCGTTCGCTCAGAGCTACAAGATCAGGCGACTCTCAAGAGTAAACACAATAATTCAGGACGGCTCGACAACCGATACCACGTTCAGTCGTCCTTAATTATACATAGTTTTTTAAATTGACTTGTCCAGCAATGGGTTGCTGTACGATGTCGGTCAAACCTTAACCTTACTAGGATGAGGGTTCCAGTAGGGTTATTTGTACGATGAGTGAAAGGTCGCCTGCGGCTTGAGACTTTGTGAAAAGGTTTCATAAGTACTGGAATAACAGTAAACATATGTCCAATTCTTGGCTAAGCCAGGTCAATTGTAAAGATTATGAGATTTATGTGAGAGGTACGCAATGAGAAGGTACCTAGATGCCTACAAACTTGATTTTTCCTAACGCGCTGCAGCTTTCCCCTTCTGTTTTAGTGCTCACCTAGTTGCCGCTTTTACTCCCTAGGTAGAACTGAGTATAGTTCTCAGTGTGTAGTTAATTAGATCAATCAGCTTTAAAACGTAATCGGTAAGCGAGTTGGCCATGTAAGCGGGTTGGCCACCTTCAATACATATACAAAATGGCATATATTCATACCCTCACTACTCTACATCAAAGACTTGTGTCTACGCTATCTAATGAATCCGTTTTTAATATATTTTTTATCAATCTACTATCAAAGTATATAAGAGTTTAAATAAATATGTTTCAAAGTAATTCATGTTTTATATAATTACACTAGTTTGCAGTCGTATTATGCATAAATATAGAATTACCACTTTATACTATTCTAAATTAAATATTTTTATTGTATTAAGTGATCTAATACCAATATATACATCATAAATCGAGATTCCCACTAGATATTGAGTCATGATGGTACGAACATAGGCCATTTCGTATGTGCATTGAAGGTGGCCATCCCGCTCACATGGCCAACTCGCTTACCGATCACGTTATAAGCTTTAAAGATACAAAGCGTATAGTATTTTAAGAACATGTATTACTGTAGTAGAATAGTGATAGTCGGCTTTCGGCTTACCTGTTGGGCATTATTGTGTGCGTGTGCGCGTGTGTACTCGAGATTGTTAGGCACCGTCCGTGGTTGGTAACTTTCTACAATTTCCTATCTAGGTACCACACAGAATGCCACGCTTATTATTTTGCAAATAAAATCTCATTTGACCAGTGGCTCATGCTAAGATCGTATGTCATATCTTACTGATATCATTCATCACTATTTTCACCACTCTTTTCATCACTCTTTTCATCTCCATCACTCTTTTTCATGACTCAACACCAGTAAATTTCAAAATACACTTCAAGTCCTTGTTCTCTTTGCCTTCCAACATCTAATCCTCTACGCATTATCTGCTCTCGACGACTTGTATAGACAGAAGGAGCCAGACACGCTGTGGTCATCGCGCCGCAATGTAATCCCCAAATCCCCGGTCCAAAAGCAATTCCAACGAGTCTCCACCCGAAAGCCGCGCGTGATCATGCTGATTGTAAGTGACACTATGGATTATCGTAGCATGTACCTCAAAAGTCTTGCCAATTCATTTCCACTAAATAGGTTAACAGAGGGCCGCTGATGGTTCATTCGCGACTATCTCGGACCATGTAAAACAGTGGGGACGCCACATAGCTCTACCATACGTAAAATGTGCTCATGCAAGTCATCAACCGTTACGAGGTCTACATAGTACTCGAGCCCTTTGATCGCCACAGTGTGGTCACAGTACATACTAATAGGTGGAGTTGAAGACTGATCCTGCAGTATGATTATGACATGGCAACCACAAAACAATCTCGTATAGATAATGCGTTATAAATATTAGGGACTATTCATAGCTTGATATATTCAACACCAACTCTTCATTTTGTATATGCTTAAATCTGTTCAATGCGATGCTGCGAGATTTCAGATAACCTACGGCCAACCATGCCAACTCTCGTGTATATCACGGAGATCTGTCTCAGCCGGATTTTTCTTTAGATAAGATGTGATATCAAAGTTGTGATCTCCTTCCCTGATTGTCCGGCCATTCCCAAAGTAGGCAAACCTATTCCCACTGTCCGAAGTATACTCATACTCAAAATCCTCCCATCGGGGATTGCGACGAATAAATGCTAGGTGCGACGCACTGCCGGGCCAAGCGCCGTGTATTCGCGCACCGGGGCGTCCACCGTTTGCCCAGGAGCTGCAGTTCTCAGTCATGACGGTCGTTGGAAAGTACGCGTCAGCGTAGGATATGAAGTCTTCTACAGCCCTTGCAGACGGCATGATGGTCTTTATACCTTCGCTAGACACCTTCCGAAGAATTTTGGCGTAATACGTGATTTGGGACTCGATACTATGCACAAAGGTGCCGGCAATACCATTGGTGTGCACGGTACCAAGGAAGAGCAGGTTGGGGAATCCAGAGCTCGCCATTCCCAGATAGGTCTTGGGGAAGCCGATCTCCCCGTCATGTTTCCAGGCTGTCTTGAGATCCACTCCGCGTGCACGGATCGAAAACGGAGGCGCAAAATCTATATTATGGCCAGTCGCGCAGAATACGGCATCCACTTCACGGTGAGTGCCATCCGCAGTCTCGATTCCCGTGGCGGTGAATCTGGAGATGGGAGTCTGTATGTATTCCACGTTTTCCTCTGTGAGCGCTTCCAGGTATCCAGGGCCTGGCGTCAGTCTCCTGCAATGCGGAGAGAAGTCGGGTATCATATTCTCTGCCAAACCAGGCTTCTTCGCCATTCGCCGGTGCATAATTTCAGTGAATCTCTCTCGGTAGCTGGAATTATCTTTGGTCCCCGCTTTCATGGCGTTGGCACCCCTCCAATACCGGTCTTCAGCATCCTTACGAAAAGCAAGATAGGTGTCCGGGTCGGTAAAGGAATCAATCTGCTCCTTGGAAATGTACTCTGGCCCGGCCTGGCGTTCGCGGCCGCCCCATCCAGCAGCGATCCACGTCTTGTTCCGCGCATAGTGGTCCAGATGTTTCACGACTTTCTGGAGTTCTGGAACCAGTTGAATACCACTGGCGCCATTGCCGATAACTGCGACCGTCTTGCCGGTGGGATCATAGCTTGGGTCCCAATTGGAGCTGTGTCGCAGGTGACCTTTGTAATCCTTGATGCCTGGATACTCAGGTAGCTTCCACTCGTTGAAGCGCCCAATCGCCGTTATCACGAAATCGAAGTTTTCTACAGAAGTGTGCTTCGAGTCTACGTCCTGCAACGTGAGAGCCCAGGTTGACTGTGCATCGTCCCATTGCGCGGTCTCCACATAGGTACCGATGCGTAGGAACCGGGCGACGTCGTACTTCGTGGTCAAGTCCTTCCAGTACTTCAGAATTTCGGCTCCTGCAGCAAATTGCTCGGACCATTGCAGGTTTGGGGAGAAGGTCGTCTGGTAGACATGAGATGGAATATCGCATCGCACCCCTGGATAGATGTTTTCAAGCCAAGTTCCGCCCTATTATCCAGCATCAGCATGTCCTGCCCACGCCACAACAACGAAAACAAAGGAATAAACGGTTGAACGGTGAAACGGAGTGTGTTCAAAAACAACAGGGCCAAACTTCGTTCAACGAGGCCTGCACTTACCACATCTTTATTCTTCTCAAAGATTGTCAACTGCACATTAGGTAACTTCGCAGGCAGTAAAATCCCGGATAAGATGCCTGAAAGCCCAGCACCAATCACTGCCACACGCAGTGGCCGAAAGTCGTCAATGAAACGATCCTCAAGCTTCAGGTCCGATTCTGGATAGGACCCAACAGTATTAAAGCGCGAGGGTTGTCCGAGTTTCGTTTCGTGGCTGCCAGATGCATCTGTGCCATTGACTATGTTGCCATCTATACTGGTAGGAAGCTCCGTTTCCGAATTCTCACCGTTTTGTACGCTTGAAAATACGGTTTCGCCGTTAGTTTTGGCCGAAGCTTTCCACACTGTTGGAGAAGAGTTGCTCCCAAGCTGAGCATCGGAGTCAACAGCCATAGTGTAGTATGACAACGGACACAGGCGTTCCACGAAAACAATATATTAGCTCTAATCGCAAAGAATGCACTGCTGGTTTTGCAATTTTCGCGAGAAGGAAAGGTCGATCATTTTGATCTCGCGCCTTTCTTGGAATACACCAGTTTGCTCGGCTGAAAATTGCGTGATTGCTGTAAATGCGATAGATGTTCTGCATGGTACAGTAAAGGCATCTCATTGAATCATTGAATCATTGCTACTGGTTCCGACGATAAGAAGCATAGGATTAGTTACAGTTCGTAATTTGTAACACGTGGATCAGACCCTAATCAAGTTGGTAATTTCGCGTGAACATTTGGCCCTGTCTGGCCATCGGTAAGCTCCGCGACAACCATACATCCCCACCTTCGCGTGGCTATCGGCTGGCTTCCCGACAACTACCAGTACTAACAAGCCACCGAACAACCATTCAGGCAGCACACCGCCGCCCACCCAGCTAGCCCGCAACCCACCAGCTGTAAAATCCTTATGAAAGTGAACTTACGTGCACTTTCATTAGAATCACGCCTTCTGGTCCTGATAGATGATAGCTGTGAATGCATTGAGAATTAGCAACGACGATGGGAGTATATGGTGCCATCTCGAGCCTCTTTGGAGAGGCTTCTGGATTGCTGGATACCGAACAATTGCACCACAAGTCACAGATTAAACGATTTCTGCCAATTCTGAGCATTCACAATGGCTAACCGCCCGTGGTGGAAAATCCAATGGTTTGCCGGTGTTGAATCACCGAGAGAGAGGAAATTGGTTGTCAAGCTCGATCTTCTGATCGTGCCGTACGTCTTTCTCGCGTATTGGGTTGGGTACATTGACCAATCTAATATCAGTATGACAATCCAACAACGATGATTCATAAGGCGAAATCTAATGAGGGAACAGACAATGCATACGTTTCGGGGATGAAGGAAGACCTGGGATTGTACGGCAATGAGCTCGTCCAATTTCAGACCATGTACACCGTGGGGGCTGTCATAGGCCAACTTCCCTTCATGTACCTTCTCACCCATGTTCCGCTTCAATGGTTGATTCCGGCTGCAGACATCCTTTGGGGCATCTTCACCCTGCTACAGTTTCGCGCGACGAGGCATGCGGAAGTCATGGGATACCGTTTCCTTGTCGGCTTCTTCGAGGCTGCATTCTATCCTTCAGTTCACTACATGTTCGGGTGCTGGTACCGAAATGATGAGATTGCTCGTCGTGCGGGCCTTTTCTATAATGGCACCAATTTAGGTGTGCTTACCGCGGGACTGATCCAGGCTGGGACATCTGCCCGTCTTAATAATGTCCATGGCTTAGCTGGTTGGCGGTGGATGTATATCATATGTGCAGTCATCACTATTCCAATAGGCATACTCGGCGTCTTCATTATCCCCGGCACACCGGCTATGCCAAACCGGCTGGTTCTAAGTCAGGAGGACATTGATCTTTCGACCTCGCGCTTGGAGTCAGCCGGCCACACGACATCCGAGAAGTTTCAGTTGAAAACAGTAAAGAGAGTCATAAGGAATCCAATCTTCTGGGCACTTCTAGTTATCATGACCTTGTTCTGGAACTCAGGTGGAGCTCAAGGTAGCGGAGCTTATCTGTTGTGGCTAAAGAGCTTGAACCGTTATTCCGTCCCCAAGATCAACGAGCTGGGAACACTGCAGGCTGTCTGTGGCATTTTCTTTGTTCTCTCGACCGCCTTTCTCTCTGATTTACTGGTTGGACCTGTCTGGGCACTCACAATCGGGCAAACCTTCAATATAGCGGGCCTGATCATTCTGCTTATTTGGAATGTCCCGGAAGGAGCCAAATGGTTTGCATTCATGACTAACTTTGCGGCAGCATCAACGTCCACCATTGTCTATGGCTGGGTAAATCATATTATGAGACACTCTCCAGCCCAGCGAGCGGTCACTCTCATACTCGGAACTGCTTGGGCGCAGTCATCGACAGCTTGGATTGGACTTCTTACCTATCCTACTGTAGAAGCGCCAAGATTCAAGAAGGGTTTTTCCTTCGGTATCGCTGTGTCAATCACTTTAATTCTACTATCGCACCTACTGGGCTGGTGGCTAAAATCGCACAAGTAATAAGCCTTCCAATGACTTGATATCAAGCTTTTATTGTGTATTCGTGCTAATATGGATTCAGAACACTCGAGGTCGACGAGGAACACGTTACAGATGCGAATGATGACTCCAGCGGCTCAGATAAGGCTTCTCACACAGTTGCGGTTCAGAAAGTTTAATCAAACAGAGACTAGTTGGTACAGTGGAGGTCTGGATGCACAAGATTCTACACGGCAGTTCCACTGCGTGATTCAGAGCTCGAAGTGAATAGCCTAGATCTCTACCTTGACGCGTTTAGTTACAATTTCGGGTTAGTTGTTCAGCTTTCGATTTTTGGCAAACTCCAAGCATGTCTTCGATTCCGCTTACTAGAATGCATAAATATTATTAATCATAATAATGATAATATCATCATTGGCTTTAAATTGACCACACGGCTCCTAGGTGTACTCCATTGTCCATTATAGCCTTTACATTTATGCGATCTACTGCTTTGTGAATGCCTAAAATTAATGGCAGAGAGACACTACATTAAAGGATAAAAATAGCTGGCTTCTATTTAGGAGTAAAGCGGTTGATCACGATAGAAAATAGCTACTCAGCTTCACAGCCCTTAGGCTAACTAGTCGTTACTGACACACCAGCTCTGAACGCGGCATTCAATAACACGGCAAGCGCAGCTTTCCTCGCTGCTGAACATCTACTCGAGTGACAAGATATGTTCAAACTTGCCAAATCTTTAACATCTATATTTCATTTTCTCTGGGGCGGTGGCTCGCCATGCGATAATATGTATGTTCGAACCTACAGCTTCAGGGCTTGGTCGATCAGGGTCATCAGACCTGCTCCGCCACCACGATTTGAATTCCAGTATGGCTGCAAAATCTCTAGCCCAGTAATCACACGAGCCCTCCAATTCGGCGGGATCTGAAGCTCTTGTGCGCCAGCAAGCTTTCTGTCTCGCTGGGCTTTCTCTGCTGCGGCAAATCGCAGGCAAGACCCAGTTAAGCTTCGTAGCTGGAACCAAGTCCCATGATGGAGCTTCCTGCTCAAGCGCAGAATCTTCAAGTACGAGAGCCGTAGGTTCTCAGAAGCTATTGCGGCCACTTTGCTCCGAAGCAGCTCGTCGTATCCCTGAAAATCTTCCAAGGGAAAATCCGTGCATATCCGTAACAAGGGCCGGTAAGTCAGTTCAAGACTCGACAGGTAACGCTGCCTTAATACTACAGTCATCAGATCATTTACTTCAGGCAGATTGAAATCTGTAGAAATCTCAAATTGGAGCCGAGTTGGCAAGGATGAACGCCACTCGAAGATTTGTGCCTCAAATAACTCGGTAGTATGTATCATTTGCGCAACGTCTGCCGGCTGGATGTTGTCAAAGTCATAAACATGACACTTCAGGAGGTCATTAATGATGTGGCGTATGGCAATCTCTGCCAGGTAGTAATACCAGCCGAGCTCGCTATCAATCGAGACTCGGCGAATGCTTGGATCTTCTAAGTTTGGTGGTGATGGAAATGGGCGAAGCACCTCGTAATCCTCCAGCACAGAGGGAGGGAGAACTAATTCAGTGCGCAATTCGCTTAGGCAAAAATTAGAAGCACGAACGACAGGCTCCAGTGACACTAAAGGCGAACGGACATACCAGGTGGATTTCCAAATTGCGAACCCGAGAGCTTCTTTGACGTTGATTGACCCTAAGTGAATACGACCAGGAGATGGATCGCTATTGTCCTCGTCAGCAAGACATTTTCTTCTCTTGGATAGGATGCTCACTTCCGCATGACCGTGCAGAACAACGCGCTTGCCGCATTGCTAAAGTACTTCCAGGCCTGAAGAGGCTGAAAATTGAGCATGTGCCATACCCTGTTGCTGGGTTAGCTCTGAAGAAACTGAGCAGTGGAGTGAATCAATGCCATATGGCCCCCACAATGGCGCCCTTACCCTGCTAGGTATAGACACTGCACCGCCGTAATATCGTTCCGATCAAGGGCAAAGCCTAACCGCTTGGATGCAACATTCCAGTACCCGACAGCCAGGTTTGGATCACTGTCACGTGGAAATTCGTGCACATCGAATCCGCCGGGGCCACTGGGTGATTCCGGTGACGCCAGCAGCTCGGTAATAGCACCGATTGCGCATACCAGTGCCGCGAGGCAAGTCTCAAGCGACCAGTCGAACCCATTTTCAGCCACCTGGAGGATCAAGTTGTGCAATGTAGCAAGATGCAATATGGGGCTTAAAAGGTTTACGCTATGTATATACTTCAATTCCAGGCTAGTCAGGAGCCTAATGTCGGTACTTGGCATTGTGTGGTCGATAGTAGGTGGCGGGTTGGATTCAGGATATATATTGCTTGTTGCTAGAATATGGGGCTGAAAGATGCGCCATTGCGCAATCTTCTCAATGCTTTGGATTCGGCTGAGAGAGACTGCTGGCCGAGGCTCTGGTGTGGTAAAGGAACCTGGAATAATGGAAGGGGGCGCGCTGACTCCGCTGCCTGCGAGTTCCTCGAAATCACCAGCCAACACCTGCGCAGTCGGTGGCTTCAGCACGATCTCCCGAAGCTGATTGAGTGCCTGCAGAACTTCCCGCCCAAAGACATGGCAGCTGGACAGCGATTATTTAGCGGTTTTTCTTTTGAAATTATTGGAGAGTCACTACTGACCAGGAGTTAGACTCTGCCTCATACAGACAAGGCTCACCAATCTTGAGACAGTAGCCGCAGCTTGGCCGCCCGTTGTCACATTTTGTTTTCCGCGAGCGACATTTCTGGCAGGCAACTGTTCCCCGCGTACGGGGGGGTTGGGCTTCGCTTGTAGGAAGCGGCCGTTGCGGCGCCGTCGTGGATACATCTTCAGCAAATTGATTGATATCGTCACGCGACATATGCCCAATCTCCAGATCGACGGATGACCAGGGCATATCGGGCACGGAGGCTGCCGCTTCGATGCGGCGGATTTTGCGAGGCCTCTGGTCTTCTGATGACACATCTTCAGATTCTCTTGGTGAGGTTGACCTATCATCGATCGCAAGCGACATCATCTCGACGTTCCATCCGTTCGAATAGAGATGGCCTGCTTGTCGTCGGAGCTCCGCGACGTTGGGTCCCTTTTATATCGCCTAATGTAAACATGTGTACGGAAGTCGATTTGGCCCACCTTGGCACAGTCTGATTGTGCTGGAATCTCTCTTTTTGCCACGGATAAAACATGCTTATACGCAGGAAAAGTGTATTTTGCATCACAAGATTGTGTGGCATTAACGACTCAACAATGCGCTCGAGGTCTGGATAGTTGGTACGTGTCGGCCACCGTACAAATACTCCACGATTGCCCAATCAGCCCGCGCTACGGTCGATTGCGTCAATTCTCTCCTGGATTCGCTCACGGAGCCGGCAAAGAATCGCGAATAGCGTCAATCGCCCCGGATAGGTCGGATTCTTTCATCCGACCGCCAGTAGCGATAATCCAAATGCAAATCCCATATGCTGGATCTGGCCAATTACGTATAAGTACCAGTTGAGACTTCCTCGAACAGGAGAGCGTGATGCGCTGATGAAGACACCAATTCTGAAATTCATCACCCTAAGCTGTCGGAGTGGGTAAATGGCATTATGGCGACTCAAGATAACTCAGGGCCTGAAAATAGGGCGCTCAAGAAGCAGATTCTGCTGAATGCCTTTGACATGTCAACAGTAGGCCATCTCTCGGTCGGTCATTGGAAAGTGTGTAGAGCCCTCTCCAAGATTCAGACCCAAAAACAGATGTTGATGTGGTGACAGAATCCGACTGATAGATCGGCAACAAAGCGCAAACTGGCATACTGGGTCGAATTAGCTAAACTTCTCGAAAGAGGCGGAATCAGTGGGCTGTTCCTTGCGGATACGAATGGAGGATTCGATATCTATGGCGGAAGCGTGGAAGAGAGCATCAGAAGGGCCGTTCAGTGGCCGGTGACTGATCCTGCTATTGTACGCAACGAATTCTGTTTCCCTGTCCTACTGCTCGAGAGACGGAGGATGCTTACGGATTATTGTAGCCAATTACGGCCATGGCGGCGGTGACAAAGAATCTGACATTCGGCATCACAGTGTCTACGTCTTTTGAGTCCCCTTTCGTTCTAGCGAAGCGATTCTCAACCCTAGATCATATGACGGATGGGCGCATCGGTTGGAATATTGTCACATCGTGGAAAAAATCGGCCTTCAACGCCATTGGCATGGAACCGATTGAGCATAATCAACGGTATGCGCAGGCTGACGAATATATGAGGGTTTTGTACAAGTTCGTCTTATCATTCTCCTTAGTCTCCTCGAATTATGAAGTTTGACTGACATCAGAGCTCGATTAGACTGTGGGAAGGCTCATGGGCCGATGATGCGCTACAACCTGACCCTGCTGCCGACACTTACATTGACCCTTCCAAGGTCCGGCATATCAATCACAATGGAAAGTATTACAAATTGTCCMCCCGCCACATAGTAGATCCTTCCCCTCAGCGAACCCCTTTTCTATTCCAGGCAGGCGCGTCTGCGGAGGGGATCGATTTTGCAGCCACCCACGCAGAAGGCATTTTCGTCTCGTCGCCTTCACCCGAGCTACTGCGAGCACAAATTGAGAAAAACCGGAAGGCTGCCGCCGAAAAGGGGCGCGACCCACGCTCCTTGAAGTTCTACCTCTCCTTTACCCCCATCTTGGGTAAGACGGACGAGGAAGCCCATGAAAAGTTTCGGCAGCTCAAGAAAAATGCGAGTCCCATTGGCGGCTTGGTCCTTTTTAGCGGATGGACTCGCATTGATACGGCTAAACTTCCGCTCGATGAGGATATCAGGAAGTTGGATTCTGACGAAGCCAGGAAGCTATGCAACATTTTCAAGCCTACAGACGAAACCCCCGTCTGGACGGCTCGTCTTATCGGCGAAAAAGCTGCCATGAGTGCCATCTCACCCTCCGCTGTTGGATCCCCAGCAACGGTAGCAGATGTAATGGAGAATTGGATTGAGATTGCGGATCTGGACGGTTTTAATCTTGGATATGTCACGTCTCCCGGTTCATTTGAAGATGTCGTAGAATTGCTAGTGCCAGAGCTTCGACGACGCGGGATCTATCCTGACGTTGTTGAGTCAGGATTGACAGCGCGGGAGCGTGTCTATGGAAAGGGCCAAACTCGTTTAAGGGATGACCATGTCGGGAGCAAGTACAAGTATGAGACATATCAAGAGGAGGATCTGGATGTTGTAGATAGTCAGAGATGACAAGTGGACAAATAGACGCTAGGAGCACCCATGACTTGACTATTTTAAACACTAGCTAACAGCCGAACTTGGCCCCCTGGATTCTCAGTTCTCTGCTACATCTGAATATGGGATCCACTTTCATCAGTAGAATACGTACATGTATAGAGTGGAGACAAAACTAAAGGGACACTTGGCTGGGAGCAGATATATAGCCCTACACCCTCACCTCGGGGTTCCTTCGATCTAGTAAATAGCCAAACCCCTACCTACGAGCTTCCTGCACAAACATTATTCACTTCTACTATTACCTGCTCTTTTCCAACCTGCAAGCAACTACATTCTACCAGCTACCAAACCTAGTATCTAGGTCAAAGCGAGGATGCCCGAATCGAAAATTATTTCAAGTGCAAACCCTAAGGTCTCCCAGGTCACGACAACCTTCACTGGCCAGGTGCTTTCTAATATTATGCATCTCGACAAAAGCTCTGGGATTGCCAATGTTACATTCACGCCATGTGCTCGGACGCATTGGCACACGCATGTGGATGGGCAGATGATTCATGTGCTCTCCGGCAGTGGATGGATTTGTGACAAAGGGGGCAGAGCCAAACGGATTAGGGCTGGCGACACTATTTGGGCATCGCCTGGGACAACTCATTGGCACGGGGCCGATGATGAGACTTGCATGACCCATCTTGTTATGGTGACTGGAGAAACGAGCTGGCATGAGCCTGTTACTGATGAAGAGTACAATGAACGGGAAGAATGAGAAGACATGTAACGTAGAATAATTGGCCTAGCGGTAACAAATAATATACATTAGGCTCCGGGTACGCCAAGGAATTATCAGTGCTGTAAATTCGTAGGCTAGATAGTGCACTACTATGCACTTTTTAAAATCGTGTCTCTCTTCATAGATCATATTCCTTTTTTGGGGGACTCCTCGGAGCAGTATCTTCCAATGATTTTTAGATGAGATTGTGTCTAGCTATATTCTGTTGCAGCTTTGTATAGTGCGCTCAGCTTGGTGTGCTGATATGTAACGCTCTGGGTTTTTGTGGGAGCCCTACCTAAACCCGGAGATAGTCACCTTTCCGCAGGTTCTCACAAAGTCTGTTGTTTCTATAACTTCCAGCTAGGCACCAGTGAGAGCTGGGTTAATTATACAGAAAAGACTTTATCGAGCAGCCTCGATGGCTCTTTTCTTGGTCCTTTCTCCATGCTTCTGTGTCAGTTTACTCGTACACCGGTATGTAATAGAATATCAGATTGAGCACCGTCACAGATACACCAAGAGGCTGTCACAAATTTGGGCTCTGTAGGTCGAACCATCGCTGGTTTTTGTAGAAGTTTATGCTGATTGATCTTATAAATTGTTATTCAATATTTCTAATTAGCGTGATCACTATTCGAGTGCAATGTAAATGTTTGCAGATCCAATATGGGTTCACTAGGAAACTTTCAAGGGTTGCGACCAGAGTCTACAATAGATTGATCGGCAGATCATAGTTAATCCAAGACTGTGCTGGGCAGTGATGTGATCTCGAGAGGCTTTCTAGAAAGGCTCTTCTGCATGATGGTCAGGCACACCGCAGAGCCTTATGTAAGAAATTAGAGTCTAACAGTGATTCTCAGCCCATCTAGCAACATGAATCATTCTACGAGTTCGGGCAAGATTGGGTGTATATCTTCGAGGTAATCAAAAAATCCGCGCACATTGGCAGTGCGAATATCACCAGGTCCTTTGGGTCCACGATTGGTGTCTCCGCTCAAAAAGTTGTGTGGAAAGCCGATATCAAATGGGTAGGCGGACTCAATATCGGCAATATCCTGGCTTGTTAAGCGCAGACTCAGAGCCTCGATGTTTCCCCGTATATGATCTAATTTTCGGCCACCCAAGATTGGAAAGACGTATAGTGACTTGTGCAGCACGTACGCCAGAGCAATCGATGTTATGTCCACTCCCTTGCGATCGGCGATCTTTTCCAGCTGTTGCGAAACCAGAGCCTCGCGGCCATTATTCATCGAGGGCATATTTCGACCACCTTCTTTGATTTGATCCTTGGGTTTGAAAAGACCGCGGCCAAGCGTGCCCCATGGAGCCAAAGCCATGCCTTCAGCCCGACACATAGGGATGATGTCTCTCTCGAAATCCCGATCAGCCGCGGACCACCGGCCCTGATACACTGAGAACTGCCTGAGTCCATGCTGTCTTGCATATTCGTTGCATTTGACCACAATCCAGGCCGGTGTATCCGAAATGCCCAGGTACAAGACCTTGCCTGAAGCAACTAGGTGATTCAGTGACTGCATGATTTCAGGTATATCTGCAGTCATGTCCCAAAAGTGGAGGTAAAGGAGGTCAATGTAGGTCGTCTGGAGTTTCTTGAGGCTCGCTTCAACAGCTAGGTGCAGACTCTTGGTACCATTTCCTCCAAAGTTGGATTGTTGACGGTGTGATTCCGACCTAGACTTAAAATTGCCCGTGTACTTTGTCGCCAGGACAAACTCATCGCGTCGATTGGTCTTGGACAGCCATTCTCCCAGCCATTTCTCAGACTCCTCTCCTTGGTAGCTCGAGGCTCTAGATATTGAATAAAAATCTCAGTTACTGGCATGTAAAAACCCGAGATCTAGAATTCATCCTTACGTGTCTAGGAAATTCCCTCCTTGCTCGTAGAAGAAATCGAGAATCTCAAACGCGGTCTCTTTTGTGCACTCACCCAGTGAGTCGTTCATCACACCCCCAAAATTCATTGTCCCCAGGCATATCGGGCTAACAAAAACTCCGGCAGTCGGAGCCAGCAGTCGGTGACGGCCAAGCAGGCTCTTGGGAGTTCGCGCGGTGGGTGGTGCCATTGCAATACCTTCCATAAATCGGGTTGAACATTTTCTAAAGGTGACGCTCTCTGGAATAAGTTGTCCAAATGCTGACTATGACTAGGGCTTTACGGCAGGKGAGGAGGCATTAGCCAGCTGGTTCGGCTGGGATAGGKGGACCACCCGCATCGCGGAGCAGGCCGACGTGGAAAATTAGCAACAATTGCGTGATGAATGATTAATTATAGGGTTCAGAATCCACATCGCGGAGTTGAGCCGATGTGGATTTCTGGCAGGGATATTGTGGGTATGGTCTTTAAAGTTGGAATCTAATGTCGCGTGCAATTCGCGGGTTTCGTGGAATTCGACCTCAGAAGCAGGTTGCGCAATTGCTTCACTTAATTCTAGGTTGTAGGTTGGCGTCTGTCTCTAGAATCGGCGAGATATCTGTTTAACAACTGCAGTTGCGGTGGGACATACTAGAAGCATCGCACACATAAGAGGTGATCCCGACCAGGAACATAAGACTGTGTCAGCTCTGGAGAGAATCCAATAACAAATTGAATGAGAAATGTCGACTCTTGCAACTACAGAAGAACCAGCGGAGTGTAACGTTGGTCACTCGCTGCTGCGCAACAAGGCAGATACCTCACCACCGACCGACAACACTGCAATCTCGCCTCTTGAATTGTATGTGCAAGACAGGAGTGGATATTTGCAGGGTGAATGGCTCAAGGCTAACACTATGGTTATGACAGATATGGTCTTCCCTACTGGGGCAACGAGAATGGAAAAAAGTATAGATGCAGCGTTCTCCACTTTGTTACAAGTAGAGTCGAGAATTAATACGGATGCAATCACAGGATGGCGCCTCTTGAGCTCTTCGAGCACTATGAGCATGGCAAGGATGCGGATCCCAAATTCAGGTCCCTGCTGAAAGAAGGCGTCAAGATATCCGATATTACCAAATCGATAGGCGCTGAGGTTACAGGAGTTCAGCTCTCTCAGCTGGAGAACAAAGGAAAGGATGAACTCGCTCTCCTCGTGGCACAGAAGAAGGTATGCTACTTTGAGAAGTCTGACTGGGAATACCTAGCTGACAGATTGAAGGTTGTGGTGTTCCACGATCAGGACTTTGCCACTATTCCAATCCAGCAGGCTGTTGATTTTGCGAGCTATTTCGGCAGGCTACATGTCCATCCAGTCAGGTAATCACTCTCAATCTTATAAGGCCGCCTTTGGCCGCTACTTAGTGCCCCAGGGCTCACTTCTCCTGCAGCGGTGCTGTTCCTGGCTTTCCCCAACTCCACATGGTCTACCGGGGGCCCAAAGATGTAGGTCACGATGAATTACTCAAGGCGAGAACGACATCCATTTCGTGGCACAGTGATGTGAGCTATGAATTGCAGCCTCCGGGAACCACCTTCTTATTTGCCATTGAAGTCCCTGAGAGCGGCGGAGACACTTTATTTGTCAACCAGGTCAAAGCTTATGAACGACTCTCCCCCGAATTTCGAGAGCGATTGTCCGGGCTCAAAGTCGTGCATTCCGCGCATGAGCAAGCTCAGCAAGCTCTGCGGAATGGTGGACAGTTGAGGAGGGACCCAATCACTTCTGTGCACCCTCTCGTTCGAACTCATCCGGCAACAGGTGAGAAAGCGCTTTACATCCAACCCCAGTTTGCTCGCTCAATCGTGGGTTACAAGAAGGAAGAAAGCGATGCGCTGCTGAACTTTCTCTACCAGCATATCGCCTTAAGTCAGGATATTCAGTGCCGCATCAAATGGACTACCCGCTCCGTTGTTGTGTGGGACAACAGGGTCACAGCTCACTCAGGGTTGGTGGACTGGGAGGGACCTCGATTCAGATATATTGCTCGCTTGGCATCGCAAGCTGAGAGACCAACTGAATAAATTCTACCCTGACAAAGTAAGAGCATTATACTCCTAAAGCATGCTATAGCATATCAAGCCTATACATGTACTACACCTATGAGTCTTCCGAGAGCGGTGATATTGTAACATTAGTAAACCTACATGGGTGTATCATGCCCCAGCTGTCTCTGAAAATGTTAGAAAAAAGTGAATGTCAATTGAGAAGGAGCATGTGTCCATGAAAGGATATATCGAACAGTGAGTAGCTGATTGTGCTTAGTGAGCGAAAATACGGACTCAAATTCGGTTATGTGATGATGCTGAGCTGCTCAGGGAGTGTGAGCCTGGACTGAAATCTACGTAGTGAGCGGGACCATAAGCGCCCTCACAAAAGCGGCGGCAGCAAGAAAAGAAAATCCCCGCTTGGCAGGAAAAATCATGTACGTAGTAACCTACGTACCTAAGTCTGGCCCTGATCCAGGCTCGTGTTGGTAACACACCAATTTTTCATATGGCACTGCACGTGGTATATGTATACAGACAAATTGACACCCACGTACCTGGTCCTTACAATAAAATCTTTTCCTGCAATGCCCCGTAGTCCCCATTATCTCATTGTACTTATTTTGTCGATAATTAGCCCCCAAAACCAACACGCCCCAGAAACCCACAAAGCTTACCAACATCCATGGTCCTTAAAATAGATCACAACTACTACGATTTATCTTCAAATTCTATTTGTCAAAATATACGCGGCTCTGGTTCACCTGCTTAGCTTCGTCTATTCAATCATTGAAACCACCAGACCTTGAGCCTTTTCATCCTCCGCCGTCTGAATTACTCTTGTGAAAATACAAGCAAAGAGTCAGGCATTTCGTTCGTATTTTTGTTTACCCAAATAATCTGTAGTTTCAAATTTCTTCCGGCATCTTACGCCTTTCAAGATGAGTTTTCATGACGCGGCGATCATGCCCTTCACGGTTCTATTGCATAAATCATGTTATACTCGATGCCCACTTCTTTCCTCAATAGAATTATTTCCAACATCCTATCCCGGCTTTCAGACTCTCAATTGGAGCGACATTAAAACATTTCGACTGTTTTGGCAATGGCAGATCCCGCTTCAGATCCATCGAGTCGACGTAAATCCGAAATATGGGTCATGAATAACTTCATTTCTAGGATCCGTTGTCTATCAGCCAACATTGTGAAGATCAGTTGTTGGTTTTCCACTCCTCTACTCAAATATCATGTAACGTGAGTTTTTTGTGTGCTTTATATTGAATCAAAAGTCAAATTTCTGCAACGGAGATGATCAGGTTTCTGTATAAATAGAGGCCTCCGGTCGAGAGTATTTGGAGATCAGTATCATCAATCAATCTGAAAGAAAATCCTTTCACCAAAGAACACTCTTGCCCTATTTCATTACCAAAGACCCCTTTAATCCCAAAATCAATTCCATCTTCACAATGCGCGTCCTTCAAGTCGTGGCCGTTTTGACCAGTCTCCCAATTCTCGCGACTGCATGGGAAGGTAAGCTCACTGAAGCCCATACACCGATGATGTGATGTGTTAAACTGAAAAATTCAAGTCTATGTTTATGACAACGTCGACAACTGCGAGCCAACCGACGACTCAAACTACAAACACTTTCAAGGCACCGTCGATGGAACAGGCTGTGTCAACATTGGCGCAAGTAGTCCACCATCAGGAGTTACGTGCTCTCTGTATACCAACGGTGGAAAAGCCGACCCTGCCGCTTGTGATGGCACGGACATGAAGGCCGACTCTGCCCTGATCAGTGAAATTACAGACGTTGGCTCAAAGACAACTTGCTATGGATGCGTGTTTTTTGAAGCCGCAGATTGCAATCAGAATACCTGGATCGTAGTTGGCGATGCTCAATGCCCGGATCTCGGTGCTAATCCAGCTATGTCTTTCCGCTGCGTAAGTGCTCATGGTCCTACAGGATTGGTTTCAAATATTCTGACTTTGTTGGTCTTGTAGTCGCAATCGACGTCTGTTGATGGTTGCCAGTGATCCCTGAAGCGGGTTTCGGACAACGCCATTGCGATCAACGTTGACATCTGTTATGATCTCTATTCCAAATACTACATAGAGATTCCAATGTACTATCAGATATTTGAGGTTCTTCTGTAATTAGAAAATTTGATTCAAGGAAGAATTGAGAGGATATGAGGAATTATCAATCAACATGACATGGCATGACATATCAAATGTGGATAGTTTTTAGTTCTATTCCAACAGGAAGAGTGTGTCAATGGTCTCTTATTTACCCTCGCTATGTTCTGAAGTTACCAGGTGTACATCGTATTAATGAAGTAACAAAGTACGCAACTGCATTTTGACCGCGTAGTCAAGTCCGCACACGATCCGCAGAAACGCAGTAAGATCTCGTCATCATATGCAAAAAGATATGCACGAAGGGATTCTGAGACTGCAGACTTTGTTCCACGAATAGAGAAAGGCCGGCTTCGTGCTGGGATTAGCGGATTTCACGCGGAGTAGTCATCTCCTTCGATCGTGAAACCGAAATATCAATATATTGACCTTTTTCGGCTTGTAGAGACGTTTTAGGCTGCAGGTCACTGACCCAATTATGTACCTAATCTAGTCAGGCAGAAGGAAACGGAAATGCAACAGCGGGAGGCGCGTCCCGCATAGCTATATTTCGATCCCGACTGGATACAGAGTCGAAGCTAGTTTTTGGGATGCAGTCTATTTCGCTTACAACAACCCAATCTCGATTCAAGTACAGTCGAAAATGGCGAATAATTAAGCATCATGTCTCAAGAATTATTCTGTGCATTTGCCATGTAGTGTATGTGCGCCCAAAGCATCGGCCCGTTCCGGACAGCGGAGCTAAGCCAACAGCTGACGTATGTAGTATCTATTTGACACCGTTGATTCATTTCTTGCTGTCGAGTTGGCTAGAGGATGATTTTTCTTCGAAGTGGGTAGCTTGCACGCTAAGCGCGTCTTGTGAATCATTTTTTAAGTCTATGTTTACGAACTTCAACACATTAGCCTACTCAAGGTACTGCGTTATTGAAAGGAGGGTATAGGTATAGTGTAACAATGTAACTAGGTTACGTGGGATGTTAATTCCTGAGGCACCACGGTATGTCGCCGTGATCTGGCTCGGATTGGCGGAATGCCTGTTGAAGATAAATGCATGGGTTCCCAACTGGATCGTTCCATTCTGCAAGATTTTCCTACACGTAAACTTTTCCAACATAACGGAGTGCTCTCGTGATCTGAACTGCATTCTATCGCCCTTGTCCAATTTTTTGACACGTCCCATTTTTTTTTTCCTGCCTGCCGCTTATAGAGAGGTGCGGTGTAGGGCGACTAATCATGATTCAAGGATAGCGAAGAATCTACCTAGTGATTTAGCAGTGCATATGCCAGAGGAATTACATTGACATGCCTATTCGAGCGGCCCAGCTGCGGCCGTATGCACGTAGTAAACGTCAATCCTGGCATTTCAAGTTTGATACTGCACCTAGCTGTCGGTATACACTTTTATACGAGGCGTACAAGTACATACTTGAGTCTACCTATTAAGCAAGAAAAGGGTTAACAAGAAACTTCAATGACTTTTTATTCTTTTTTTTTTTTATTTTTTATTTTGGCTGTCTCCATATCGTAAGTTGCAGAAGGTACGCGCGAAGGACCTCGAAGGATTCACCGTCTCATGCCCCGTCGCTCCCCCACTTGATCACTACTTCTCGGCACCATCACATCGCATAATACTCCGTGAATAGCTAGCTACCTATAGAGAATGTCAAATGCGGTGTGCAGTAGTAACCTTGGTCGAGCCGAAGGAGACCAAAATTAACCCGATGAGGTCAACACGCAGGAAGTAACTCCCAACCCAATGAAAATGATTCGCCTAGACTCCATTTCGACGTGGGCCATACCAGAAAATGAAATAGTTACAAGTCAACATAGTTGAGCCCAGTTTTTTTTTTTGGCGCTCAAGTTTCGGGATTTGCGAATGGATGGGTTCTTCTTTTCGAGATGAGTGGATCGTCTCGTCGATTCTAACCTGGTTTGGGTCTTTTTCAAGACGCTGACTGACGATTAGACTGATTCGGTCACTATCGGCGTTTTGCGGTTTTCACCCCTCGAATATCTGTACCTTTCGATTTTCTATTTTCTTGTTTTAGTTTACTTTGCACGGTTTTCGATTTCCGTATCCTTCTCAAAATCCTTTTCTTCTTGTGCCGCATCGGAAATAGTCTCGCATATCTCCAACGCACCATAATTTGTGGACAACTAAGACAGGGTCAAAAACAGGGAAACAAAAGCTTAACGACGACATAAGTCTCCCAGCGCTACGTATCAACCTGCCAGCTTGCGGAGTGCCGCACTTTGTTTTTTTGGTCAAATTTTGGCATTGCTTGCTAGGCTCGGTTATGGTCGGTTTTGATTGATTTTACTGCATTTGTTCGCGACTACATTAGGTACTTGGTGACGCTATCCTATCCCGCGCGCCATTCCTGTTATTTGTCACGAATAGGGATTCAGCCTGCATCTCTCGGGATATACCAAGCGAGGTGCATCGTCGTTTGTCTCATCATTCTCCTCACGGCTATAACTGGGCGATCGAATTAAGCTGTCAATTAGCGTCCGGCTCTAAATGTGTCGGTCTGAATAATTTGTTTTTCGTCGATTACCAACTGCATCACAACAACCACCTCACTTACCTGGGACAGCCTTGAATTTTGACAACAACCGGCAGAGCAGTGCCAATCCCTGGTCGGCACGACTTTCTTTTTTGTCGACTCTCAATCCGCGTACCTATATTCGACGGCCTATCAAACTCAGTGATCTGACATCACGCGGCGTCCGTACATGGATGTATATCAGAGCGGTGGTCTGAGCGTTTCGACAGGGCCTGAGTTGGTCGTATCCATGCTTTTCAGGAATACCAACCACTTGAAAAAAGCTATCTTGTTTTCATAGTTGGTTGCCTTATTCCAGCTTTTAACACAAGCTAATTGATGATAGATCTATCCTCTGACTCAACTCATGACTTAGAAATATGTCGGCCGATAGATCGAAACTGCACCATCTGGTGCCGGCTCCATGGAGTAACACTCCGGACGGTGAACGCAGTCAAACCGCAATGCCGCGACGCGTTCGACCTAAAAACGCATCTCGCGCATGCAACGAATGTCAAAAACGCAAAATCAAGGTTCGCACTACCTTTGGATTCTTTTGTTGTCAGTTTTCTGTTTCATACTTGTACAACGGGAATTCCAATGGACTAATAGTGACTTCTCACCTTCCCGTTTGGGTCTGTCATTTGGAAAAATAGTGTATCGGTTCCAATCCCTGTAAGAACTGCCATGAAAACTCTCTGTACTGCGAGATCAACGACGAGACGGATGGACGGCGGAGATTTGCCCTAAAACGAAAAGTCGAAGACCTCGAGCAGGATCGGCATTTGTTGTTGGGGTTGATTGAGGCGTTGCGAGATGACGGGTATCAGTCCACGCAGCTGCTCGCTTTGATTCGAAGCAATGCGTCCATCGACGATATTCGAGTCGCGGTAGGTAACCGGATGGAGAGACTGTCACATCCCGTGTCGGCGTCGGCACCGGAATCGTCGAGTTGGGGGGCGCCATCATCGTCAGCGTCGTCGATGAGTCCAATGCCATCGAGTACTGTCCAAATGGATATGCATGCATTTTCTTCAATGTCCGACACAAATCCGCGCAATTTTATGAACATCGACCGATTGACGGACATTCCTTTATTTGAGTTATCGGCTAGACCATGGACAGAGGCTACGACAGACAACGGATTCGTGTCTCATTTAGTATCTTTGTGGTTGACGTGGGATCATGTCGTTCGAAATTGGATTGACAAGGATTTGTTTATTGCGGCTATGAAGTCGGGAGATGTCAATTCTCCGTTTTGCTCACCGTTTTTGGTGAATATTATTTTATCGCAGGCTTGCGTTAGTTCATATCTATATACAGACCGAGGAGGATGGAACTGACATTTGATGCAGTGGTATTCGAGCTATCCGGAAGCATTCAGCAAACCGGACAACCTTAACTCGCGAGGACAGCACTTTTACAATGAAGCCAAAAGACATCTAGATGCGCTGGAGGGGAGGATCAATTTGACGACGGTGCAGGGGTTGGGCATCCTCTTTCTAAGGTACCTACTTACATTTTACATGGTTATAAACAGTGCCTAACTACAGATAGCACATGCCTGATGGGCAAAGATCGGATTGGCCACAATTACTTTTCTCAAACGATCACTTCCATACGCAATCTAGTTGCACGAGCGGATGAAATTATTGCGCAGGCAGGGCCACAGGCGGATGCGATGGAGCGATCCATAGGAATTTGCGTCCGGGGAATATTCAGTTTCTTCACGTATGTCCAACCGCAAAATCAAAGAGAATGCAGATATTGACGTGTAAAAGTCTCGCAGATCTCGCTCTACACACGCCAATCTCAATGCGACCGCCGAAAAGAGCATACCTACCTGTCGATCACGATCCCAAAGATACATGGATGACTTACCCGTATCGAAGTCAACCTGTGCCGGCACATCGAAATTGCGTACACAACCAGTCATTCGACCTACATCTCATCATGTACGAAGTCATTGAATTCTTCAACGCTGGAGAACAAGACGAACAGACACGAAAATCACGTTCTTATGCCGAAGTCGAGAGCGTTACAAAATCGTTTTACGAACGGCTGACAAGCTGGTATCATTCTTTGCCGGAGTGTATCGAAGAAGGACAGAGCTGGACTCCGGCAGTTTTGGGAATGCAGTAAGTATCTGTATGCCCTCAGGGCTAGACGTACAGGCTAACCATGGGATCAGTATGTCCTACCATATCTACATAATCACAATCTTCAGCTATCTCAAAGTCCACCCTTCTGCGCCCGCAAGCGCAGCATTATCTGTACAGCAACAATGTATTTCGTCCGCAATAGCTGTGCGCGACCTCATGAATACCTACCGCTCCAATTGGCGACGAATTGAACATCAGCCCGTGGAATACATGCAAATCACTACTGTTTGCCTGTTCGTCTTACTCGAAGATCTCGATGCTCCCGGAAGCAGCCAAGCGTTTGTCGAGCTTTTGGTGATAGCGCGCTCGATGGCTCGCCGATTCCAGCTTGCGAGAGGGATACTGAGACTAGTTCAATTATCGGCACGGGAGCAGAATATTGTCTTACCAGAGGAAGCGCAACAACTCTATAAGGAATTTGAGCTGGAATGGTACCGCACTGGAGGCGCTGAACAATTTAGTAGTTCTTATCCGAACTTTTCGCTTTCAATGCGATCGCTTGCGGCAAGTAATAGCTCGCCACCGGACGGCAGCGATGACGACGGCGACGGTGCGAAGCAAGGAAATGATAAGCGACCAGGCTTGACATGGAGTAGTGCTGAGATGGATTTGTTTTTGAAGAAATGGGATGATGTGTTGAAGCTTGATACTGAGATGTGACGAGACATGTCTTTGTTCCGCTACGTTGAGGTGGATGTCGTTGGCTGGCATTTGTATGGAAACACGTATACACACATATTCCGGGAGACTTGATGTTGTGTAACTCATAACACGTGAGCTTAATAAGGTGTACATGAATCAGACTGCATACTGCGATCTCTACTCAGGATGGAGAGTAGAGACGGGTCATGACAATCTCTTAAGTACCGGATGAGATCAGACCAGATTGATCTCATGATGCTCAAAGCTTCGAAAGACAACGATTCTTTGTCTGATATACCCTGTAATTGCCAAACACAACGTCGCAAGGCGTATATGCAGTATCAATGACCTTGTCAGATCTCGACCGTGCAATTTCATCACGGATGAGACTGCCTGCAGGATTATGAATCAGTAACTAATGACAGCCAATGGTTTTATGGTTCTCTTTGTTCTCGTCGCTAGATATGTATGCATTGATGATCTGTCGACCGCGGTCCTTGCGGTTCTTTGTCTGATGTGCTTGGCTTAGTAAGGGACGCAAAGCATATCCACCACGGAGTAGATATGTCGAATGCAAGTGCAAAATGTCGCGATGCGACCACCCAGGCAGTAAATCTATGCCGGTAAGTTGGTTACCGGTGTCAATTTGTGCGAGGGGTTTGTAAGGGGCACAAGTTTGACAAGCCCAATGGTCCGGAGAGGACATGACACAGCATAATTGATTGATAGAACTGTACCATTCCGCCGGAACAGACACTACCTACCACCAACCTCAAGGCATGATCGGCGATGGTATTAAGTAAGTATGACAAGTTGACAGCGAAGACGCTTGACCGATCGGGCCATGTTGCCGACTTAGTGCTACAGGGATGAAGGACTTATCAAGGGGCTTCCTGACTCAGTGACACCGTTTGAGCGCACAAACACGGAAGACTTATCCGGAGCCCTAGTTGGCAGTCTTGATCTCGCTTGTGAATGTTTGTCATTCGTATAACCGCTACTGCATAGATATGTGACTTGAGTTTTAACGTGGCTTGATAGAGTTGCGAGGATGCGTTTAAGTATAGTTCGCTCGTATACATTATTTTTTGTCCATGTTTGACGTCTGACCGCAATACCGAATCCCGTAATATGAGACGCATTTGAGTACTGTCAATACCCATACTTCCAATCCACGTGGTATATGCAGTGTACGTACGAGGATTCCGTCGTTCGAACTCGTTACACGGATCAAGCGTCAATGAACGATACTTCAGCGGAGGAGTTCGCCCGACGAGCAGGATTTGGCCCCTATGCGTTCGCTGTCCTGTCAAGGTGGGTGACTCTGAAGTTCATACGTCGTGGTGGAGAATGGGATGACTAGAAGGAACGATATTTCTTTTTCTCAAGGACGTACTCGTCCGTAGTGGTTTCAAAATGTCCGTACGGAGTAGAAGATATACTAGTCATAGTATGGGTATAGTAGTATTAGCACGCGAATTATATACTGTACTCCGTATGTGGGCAAGCTCCTTCCTAATCCAGCCGTGTTCCAGAGAACTGCCGGCCGGATGGAGCAGAGGCAGAGACAGTGTGATTGGCCAATTGCTGCGTGGCTGCGGGTCTTGGCGCAAGAAACTTGGAAGGAGCGAGGGCGAACCACGGTACGCATTGTGCTCATACATATTTTGTGCATATTTCCACCGTGCAATGTAGTACACAATTTACACTATGATACAGAGCATTACAAAGGAGTACACATTAGTTCGATGTTTACAAGTACCTGTACATGTATATGTACATGTACACGTCGTCCTGTATCACCGCTTGCTAATAGTACGTACTCGAACAGGGTTAGCCGAAAGAGCTTTGGCGATTCGCTCCTGGTGCGGTCGAATACCGAGCGTCCCGAGTACCGTACCAGTACTGTACTAAGTACTCCGTACTAAATTAGTGAAATGGCGAGGAAATGCACGTTGAGATCATCTGAAAATCATGAATAATTAATATTCCGGCACTGCGCCGATCATCTGCATGCCATACAGGCCTGACTCTACTTTGTAGTACAGTGTATCTTCTCATCATGGAAAATCGAACAACATAAGCACACAAAGAGGGAATAGACAGGGATTCTCAAAGAATGCGTGGCGATAAGGGCTTTGACTCGTCATCCCAGGAGACAATTAGAGTTTGTCGCGGCTTGTAATTTATGATTTGGTATGCTAGCGTATTTCGGTATTGTTCCGGCAGAATCTTCTCTCCTTTCTGCATTTTTCTGCTGGCAAGTTTGTCCGGAGACCGCCGTGGTACATACAACAACTGTGAGTCTACGACTGCTCTGGACTCTGCAAAGTCCACCCACAGCTTATTGCTTGTACTTCGAACACAGGTACGGAACACCGGAAACCAGTACGCACATACAGCGTGGGGTACGCTAACTTCCAAAGAGTTAGCACTCTCAGATGCGCCACATGGTTACTAACTTAGTAGGCCGGCCCGTGATTCTTTTTTGCTTTCTGCCATTCTCGCGATCTCATTCTGCCATCTGACCACAGGCTCCATGTACAGACACGCTGGCATCGCAATCCTGGAACTGACCGGTCACCTATTATTAATTCTTATCGTGATTCTCTGTTCTCGCCATCCCCAGCGTACGCTCTCTGCCCTTACTTGGTCTCCCCGGGAACTCTCTCTCATTGCACACCAGAAATTCTCTGTCCGTACGCCGTGTATACAGACACTTCGTTCGCTATCTGACGGTGGGACTACTAAACTATCTATCTCTATTCGCATCCGGCCAGCCCGTTTTGTCTCATTGTCCGGCCCAAATCCCCACTCTGTGATATTACGCCAGCCCATACTATCTTAGCCTATAGTCCAGTCCATATTGACTGCCTTGCCTCTGCGATCTAGAATTTTCTACTTTAACTTGCATTTCTCCCAAACCCCGACCATCTGGTATCGCTTCCTGCATTCTGCTCCTGTCGACCGTCGACATCAGCGATAATGATATCCAATCTCGACAACTGATTCTTTCACGGCCGCGCGACCGATCCTCTCCTTCGACCCTCACTCAGATTCCTCGTTTGCGCCGTTTCACCAGAACGGCACCAAAAGAACGTAAAAAATMCCTGATACCAAGCCGAGCCAGGAAACACGCATATTCTGTTTGTCCCTCGAAACATCGAACAAAGAAATCGCATTCTCCCCAACAAGACCTTCATTATTGCTATACCCCCGTACGCATCAAACAAGACAATCGGGACGGATACTGAGCAGAACAGCTAGGCGCATAGCAAACAACCAGAAAATCATCAGCGCTAAAGGGATATAAAAAGAATGCCTCTGGATATGGAGACATGACACACTCATTACCCTAAAAGCAGGACATTTCCTTCAATTTTCTTGTCTGCCACAAAGAGCCTTGCCGAATTCGTCCACTGCCGTTCTTTTTTCTGGTGCTGATTACTCACCTGCTTAATCCGTCAACCTGGGGCTGGTCATTGATCTCACCCTCTCATCACGCCAGGCCATTGATATACACGCTATTTCACTTTGCATCCTGCCTCCTGAGTTGCGAGTAGCATCACTAGTGTCGCAACTGTCGGTCAATCTTTGCTACTTTGCGGAGAGTCCATTCGCTCCAGCACTGTCAACGTTGGCCGCTTATTACAGAATGGCGACTACCATGGAGAAAGTATGGGAGATTGCGAAGAATGAGGCCAAGCTCTGCTATGGCTTCATTCGTCGCGATGTGTCCATGGGAATGCTTCCTATTCCCGTCTTCACGACCGCTTCTTTGCTCTATCGCCATGCGCCTACGGAGGAGATTATTATTGCGATTGCCAGTGCGTTACTTACCTCAACTTGCATATTGACTATCTACTAACGGCTTCAAGAAACCCTCGTTCTAGGACTCTTGTACCTCTACTCGTTTGTTGTGGGGAACCAAATATGTGGCGTTCAGGAAGATGAGATCAACAAGCCCGATCGTCCCATTGCGGCCGGCGCAACCAGTCTTAAGGCAGCGCGTATTCGCTGGGCCGTCTTGACAGTTCTCTACTTCTCCTACGGCTGCTATCTTCGGGTCGGAATCTGGTCTGCCATGTGGATTGCCATTTCGTTCGCACACAACTTTTTGTCCTTTGGCGATTTCGGTCCTACCAAGGACTTGTGCATCGGTCTTGGATGCGTTGCTCAGCTGACGGCTGCTTGGCTGATTGGTGGTGCGCCTTACGAAGTGGGATGGAACTGGATCAAGATCATCGCTCTCTACACACTATTTCCGATTCCTTTACAGGATCTTCGAGATGTCCCTGGTGATTTGGCTGTGGGTAGACGCACCACCCCAATCCTCATGGGCGACATGCCTTGTACGTTCTCCTCTATTCTGCTCTCTGCACCATTTTACTAATTTAGACAGGCCGCATCTACATCTCTATCGGAGTCTTCATCTCCCAATTCCTCCTCATAAAATACCGCATTCTGGATCATCGCCTCGACTGGTCCACCGTGGGCCTCTCTGCGGTTCTGGGCATTTTAGCCCTTATAGTCATTTTCCGACTTTTCGCGTTTCGCGACGTTAAGAGCGATCGTTTTTCGTATCGACTCTACACTGTGATTTACCTATTCCAGCCGTTGTCGGCATGCATCACGCTTCGGTAATTTCTTACTGTTCGTGCCTTTCATTTGCTGTTTAATCCAGCCTATTCGTCTTGATGATACCATGATCTCATCCTTTCTCTGTGCATTTTCTTTTCCACCTGGGAGACAATAGTCGCTCCGTCTCACACAATCTCTCAATTTTCTACATCTTCATCCAACATGTCGACCAGACAATGAACTGGCGAAATACACAAAATCTTGTACTATTGTGGGCGGCTCAATTGTCTTAGTGCTCTTGCATCGGTTTTAAACCGGCGGATTGTTATGATATCCATGTACGTAATTTCCTAATAGAGACAAATCTTCAAGATCAACGACTTGTTCGATATATTCCAGCTACGTCACCAACCGTGAAATTAATATACTGATCCCTGCGTTAATCACTGTACCCTGCATATTCGGGGAGAAACCATGTCTCACCCAGCCAATGCTTTTACAGAACGATAATAATATATGAACCCCTCATAGTCTAGAATCAAGGGCATCAAATAGAATTACCAACCAACAAAACAACCAACAAACTAACCAAATCTAGAATCTTCAATCAATTTCTCAATTTACGTACCTAGTGTATTTTTAAACCCAAAAGAAAAAATCTCCGGAGTGATGCACTAGCGCCAAGATTGATCGACGAGGTTTCGGTGCATTAGCTGTGCGACAGACCGTGCATCGATTGATGATCCATGCAAGTCAGAATTTGCACTTCAACGAGTCATGTGGTTTTCCGAGCTAAATCAGAATAGATCAGATAGCTATGGTGTATGTTCTGAGATAGAGTCAAGAATGTGACCGAATACATTTGTCGAAGTTGAATGGAATGTGCGCGGATGTGTGAAGCGACTCCCCCCGGGTGGCGCGGCTGATCATCTACTTTTTTTGGAGGCTCGCTTGGGACTGATTTGGAATTAACGTTGCATATGTACATAGTAGTGTGACAGATATTGTTCCGTGGAAGGAATGTGAAATGTTGAGATTGGGGTTGTTCCGGACTGCCAATTCTGGATTGTTCATGCAAGGTATGGCATGGCATGGCATGCATTTATAGTTGCACCTTGCACGCGCTAGTTTGAGTTACTTTGTAGCATTGTTGGCTCATAGTCTGCGTGGCTATGTAACAATAACTCAATTTTTTTATTATCTGCAACCTTCTCAATGGACCCAAGGTTGATCTATACCTCGTCTCTGTTAGGCATAGTTCGACTGGGAAAAATGTCGAAGTGATACTGGATCATTAAAATAAATACATCACTATGTATACATACCTGCTTATGCTCATAAAATAACCACAAGAACAGCATCCCCACAAACAAGGTATCAAACATGACTTAATCAAGACCCGACACGCCGCTTACATTTCCGACAATACCGCCGTTAGATGCCATGTCTAGTACAATGCCGTATCTGTGAGGTCTTGGTCTGGTTCGAACGCGATACCGACTGGATGACAGCTGGGTCAACTGATGATATTTGTGACATTGAGGGTCCTGGAAATCTATCTCTTGGATTTCGCCGTCGGGACTCGCTTGGGTTGCGCGCGTATGGGCACAAAGGACTTGGCAGTTGCAGAGTCCCAGGCTGGATGTTGAAGGCGGCCAACGGCATGAGGTAGATCGACATGGTCCACGGTACTTCGCTATTTTGCTTTGATGATTCAGACAAAGGACGAGATGTCTGGAGATTTGAGTGAGTTTGTGACCATAAAAAGACCCGAGGGTCGACTATATGCCAATTGCTCCGTTGGTAAGTTTCCCTCGGTCGATATCTTTGCTACCTTTTTCTCAGTTTGTGTTTGATGTTGATCACCTGGACCGTACTGTTTGCTTCCGCAACATGCAACTTGTTTCGGTCTACAAGGAGAACCACTCCTTTAGGTCAGGCTGTTGCCAGGTAGTTTCAGACCTCTGGTGGTATATGACCATGGGCGAACTGGGAGGCTGAAGGCGTATCCATACCAGTGGTGGTAGCATGAGCAGTCGAAATCGAGGTTGCTCCCTTCTGAGTAGGTGTACCGTTGAAGCCCTTGATAATCTTCTGATGATGGTTGTTGAAGTTAATGACAAGGATAAGTGTAGCAGTTTCGTTGTAGAGGGCATCGGGTAGATAAGTATGGTGATAAAGGAATGCGTGGATGTATTTCCTTGTAACATGGAGTGTATATGTAGCTATATGAGACTATGGCACGCTTATTTTTGAGCCAGATGGTCTTTCGAGCGGCTCTTTGTGACATGGGTATCAATTTTCCTTCATTGTCTATCTCATCTGCCGATTTCTGAAGGCAAAGTCTATCATGATGACCTCAAATAACGCGCCTCTGCTTTTTCAAGCAGATTCGTAAGGCAAATACACTATTCATTCAGCGATATCAATATTTTATTAAGTTATTATGTAAGGAGTTGTCACCTGGTGAGGTATCGATTTCCCGTGCTGCTCAGTAAACGAAATAGCTTCACAATATGACCACGATCCAGCTGGTATTCCAACCTGCAAAATATTTTTATCTGCTGATTAATTAGGATCAATTCTATCCAGAATCTTGTGCAGCTATTATTACTGTTGACTTTCGCCTTGTATAGTATTAATGTAAGACACATTACCAATCCTGTCAATGCATGACGCCATACCCCGCATAATATATCTCGACAACTGAGGGATTAATCATCAGATGCTCAGGTGATTCATCATCAAAACGAAAATCAAATACTCACAAAACAATACGAGCTAGCATCAACTCTACAAAAAACCTAGCTGCGAAATACATCCGGTCGTTATAGACATTCAATATGTCAATTCCATTCCCCAAGGCAGGCTACTCCGAAGACGTGTGGCGGAGAGTTCGCGTACTCTTCAACGGACAGTTTATTGTTGACGAGAATGTCCCTAAACTTGTGTAGGCATTCCTGATGATTAGCTATCATATGAAATTTACTTATTGCTGGATATCAGATGGGAGCATCCATATTTCCCTGTCTACTACTTCCAGTTCTCTGCCATCAAACCCGAATATCTCACCAACCAACAAGCCGGGGATGATGCCGATGTCTATGATCTGACAGTCGACGGGAAGACCTCATCGTCCGCCATAAAAGTTATCAAACAGGGCGATTTGAAGGATCACATCAAAATCGAATCTGACAAAGTAGATGCATGGTTCGAAGAGGATGAGCGCATATTCGGCCACCCCAAGGATCCGTACAAACGGATTATCATTTTGCCGTCGTCGAAGAAGGTGCAAATCAAGATTGATGGGGTTGAAGTTGCCCATACTTCTCGACCGAAATTGTTGTATGAGACGGGGTTACCAGTGAGAACTTATATTCCGCATACGGATGTGAGATTGGATCTACTAGAAGATGATAAGGAGAGGACGTCCCATTGTCCCTACAAAGTGAGTACTTCTTTCTTCTTGTCGTCTGCCGTGCTAATCTGAGGCATAGGGCGAAGCAAGTTATTATGTCGTCAAACTACCTTCTGGCGATCGCAAACATGGTCTGGCATGGTGGTACAAGACGCCAAAGTTCGAAAGCGCAGGTATTGAGGGGCATATCGCATTTTATGATGAAAAGGTCGAAGTGCGAGTCGACGGTGTGTTGAAGGAGAGGCCGACGACAAAGTTCTCATAGAAACTCCGCTTCTCTAAGCAAACCGAGTGTTGTTTTGTCGCCATCATTTGCGAATGTAGCTTCTGTGGCGGTCAACGGCGCTCTTGCCTGAATGCCTGATATCGAAATTGGCTCAATCAGGAAATCAATTTCTACTTTTGGCAAATTTCTGGGCTCATTGTCTTCGTCACGTGCTACCTTAAGTGTTCCATGTAAACGAGAATCAATCAAACAGGCGAATCGTGTATGACCGCAAGGTTTAATGCTTCTTAAAATCAATTCAAACTACGCTAGGAGCACCAGTAACAGACTGCCCTTGTCGCTGCCTCAGGCACCAAATGAGCGGTAGGTAGCGGCTTGGTCGGAGTCTTAGGATGGCTAAAAATGCTTAGCCTAAAGCCTTAGCCCTCGACTAAGGATGCTCTGGTGTAACACTCCTTTAATCCCATATTAAAATCCAATGCAGACGACAAAGCAAATATATTGAAGGCGCAAGTCGTGGTGCTACCGTGTTATCCATGTGGTCACTTTCCAACAAGCCACATATTAACTTATTGCGCCGCAACGCAAAGCAAAGCACAGCACAGACTTTTGTTGGCTATGGATCAATGCGCAAACGCAAAGCCGCTGGAGGAGGCAACAAGACGCTCCATTTCATAGGTGAACGGCGCCGCCCATGGGCCATGTGGAGTAGACGCTTAATTAGATCCACGAATTGACACAATTTCTGGCTGGATTGACATTATCTTTGACCACGGTAGGCCCAATCACAGCGCTTTTCGATCATGCTCTGCCGCTTCCTTTGCTTTTCTACTCCGCCGCGTCTCCGCGTGGTCCCCTTAGTTGAAGCTTGAAGCCATCGTACCCATGCATATCTTTAGAGCATTTGACCCGCAATAATGAACGGTCAATGGCTGGAACGGGAAAGATTGGACAAATGACGTGGGTCAGGACGAGAAAAAGGGTGTTGGAAAAAGGGGAGGGGGGAAAAGAGGCGGATTACATCAGGTCGTCATTACTCGTGAACAATTTCCGAAACTCTCTCTTTCTTGTTTGATACTTGATTCTTGGTGTCTGCCCCTCATTTACGTTAGGTTTCGTTTCTTTGAACTTTCAGAACTGGATTTAGTCATTCTTTTACCGCAGTTTAGAGCGTTACAGCCTACTTTCGCACCTGGATTTGCGACGGACGATTACGACAGATCAAACACGACACTAGAGCAGAGCGTATACAATATCGCATTTTGTCGCAGTATTGCTTATCCGGAGCCGGTCTCCTAGACGTCATCTTCTTGGCACATAACATCTCGGAGGAGAATTCCAACGGTCGGACGATATACATAAAGAAGTTGTCATACGTGAGATCATAATGAAACGGGCTGGGTGAGTCCAATCAAGAAGAGGTCGGCCAAGGAGAAAAAACTGACATAGAATGATTGATGCAGTCAATCTTGTACTCATTGAACTGTCGCCTATCTTGCTGTTCGACTGGTGGCATCAGAACCTTGAAAGGTTGAACAACAGATGAACAGCTATACACAACACATCAAACCCGAAAAATGAGCCATATTCGCATCAGACCACTAGCTGGCCTCCTTGTCCTCCTTTGCACCTTATACTTTTTAATCTCGAACACGCTCGGATTTATTCGCATCTTCTCCAGTCCACACTCAGGCATCGCATTGAGCCAGTCAGGCATAAGAACAGCATACTATAACCACACAATAGACAAAACACATGAGCCTGTGATACCACGCAAGATTCATCAAATATATCACGACTGGTCGGGGCAGGGGGGCAATGTGCCGCATACAGCGCAGTGGATGAGATTGAGGGATAGTTGTATTAACCGCAACCCGGGGTGGGAGTATAAGGTGTGTTCCTACTACATGAAGTCAAACGATGCATGTGACTGACAGCTGTGCACAGTTATGGAGCTCGGCGGAGTCAAGAGAGTTTTTGCAAAGAGAATACTCCTGGTTTTTGCCTATTTACGATAGCTATCGGCACCCCGTACAGCGTGTTGATGCATTGAAATACTTTATAATGAGGCATTACGGCGGGATTTATGTCGACATGGACAATGTAAGCGCACAACTAGCCTGTCTCTCTATAATAATTTTATCTAACAGACAGAAAGGGCTGCCTCGAATCCCTCGAACCCCTCCGCTACTACCCGGCCTTCACGACCGACGGCGGCGAAGGTCCCCTATTCATCAACATCCTGGGCGCCGCTCCCCACCACCCCTTCTACGAATACATGACCAACAACATTTGGGCCTACAACCTATTTTACTACCCGCTACCCTATCTCACAGTCAGCTACAACTCTGGCCGATGGTTCTTTACGTCGATGTGGGAGAAATATCATGATAGTGTGAACAGAAGGACTTGGAATCTGGTGCATTCTGCAGGTGAAGGCGCGGATCAAATTCATGCCTCGGGCGCCAATAATAAGGATCAATTATACCGCGTTGTGATGGAAAATCACCGTGGCGCTGAACCGTGGGTGTTTTGGAACGAGGGTGCCGGGTTAACGTGGGAAGATTGGGACTTCTCGATCTTCCAATGGATCGGACAGAATGCGACAAAAGTCATTCGCATTGCCGTGGCTGTGACTGCGACCCTTTCTATCATCACTTCCCTAGTGGTTTGGAGATGTTGCTGTAGGGGTAGGAAAGCAAAAAGCAATGCTACGGTGGGATTCAAGTCGGTTGCGGCGCTGTTGACGCCTGTGTTATCGCCTGTGTTAACGCCCGCGAAGGAGAAGAGGGTAGAGTTCTTCATTAAGAAGGGCCATGATATGGTATGAAGCTTGCATTTGTTTTTCGCTTCACTTGGACGCGTGGTCTTTTTTTTTGTTGTTTTACAAGATATCCCTTGCTGCATATTGTAATTGCTATTGTCGTTAAAGCATTGATTTGTATTGCATACTATTAATATGTCTATAATGTCATATGATAGAACTTCACTTTGAGTGATCACTGGTACTTGTCTTTCTGCGCTTGTAACGCTTGAGCCAATAGATCCGGATACCATCGCTGCGCTACGTCCTGATGACTCGTGATGCGTGCAATCAGCGTGCCTTCACCGATGTTACCATTGAACATTTGATTGAATGTCGCCTCGGCATCAGATCGAACTTTTTCATCCTTGACCAGGTCCTTGATATGCTCCGGGATGCTGATGTTGATCTTCTCCACGCCCAAATCGAGACTTACGCCTTGGAATATCGCAAATGAATATCGCGGACCCAATGAGTTGCCTTGTTCATCTTTGTAATTTTCTGTACGGAGGTTCACGCGATGTGTGGTCGCTGTGCAAACACCCCCGGTGATAGCTTCAAGTGCGCGACCGATGTTGATCACCAAGGTTCCTGGGATAGGTTTCACTGGCAACCATGTCCCGGCTTTGTTTTGCACCTCAAGGCCAGTGTGAGGCGTTCCTTGCAGGAGGAAAGTCAAGAAGCAAGAGTCCTTATGCGGACCAACTCCTTGAGTATCCTCATCTGGGTTGCTGTCCACCGGTTCCGGATATTTGATCAGTTTCAGTTTATTTTGCTGGGGATGGTCAAAGAACTGGTCAAAAGCGGTCGCTGGCAAATCCAGTGCTTCGGCAACAAGTGATTTGAACGATCCTGCAAGTTTATCGATGTGGTCCATGTAGCTTTCTATAGCGGTACGGAAGTGTGGCAAGGCTTGCGAATCGGGCCACTGAACATGTCAGATTGTGTATCGTGAAGAAAGTTCAAACGAACATACCTGGTTTGGTCCACGGAGATTGCGGTAGAGCGGCTCCTCGGGGCCGGGAGCAGGCAGTTCAGTTGCAAACTACATATCCACCTATTAGTCAAGATAGAGGGATGGGGATCGGTGAACGTACGTCAAACTGTTCTCGGTAATCGTTCTTTAAAGCAGTAACCTCCTGTCCCAGGCGCGCATAGCCAAGGAAATGCTTGCTATTTACCATCTCTATCTCTAGTTTCTTCTCCAAGGGCAAGTTAAATAATGCAATTGATTGTTCCGTAAAATTGCTCTGCACTTTATCTGGCACACCGGTATTCTTCAAGTAGAAGAACCCAACGTTGACAATCGCAGCTTTTAGTGCCTTCAAAAATGCAGGTCTAGTTGACGGTGATGCGCTCTCCGCATAGTCTAGCACTGGGACCGACGTAAACACGCCCTCTTTGATTATGTCGTCCTTTACAATGCCATTCGTAGACGAAGTAGCATATTTATTTGTCTGTGAAAAATTACGATGATTCAGCCAACACTTCGCCCATCAAGCTCGCCCATGCTTACCGAGACGTACCAGCTTCTCGAGAAATGTCTTTCTCTTGTCCCACAGAAGACCATGATTCAGCGAGAACTCGTAATTGTGACCGCCACGAGGCAGGATCTCGGAATCGACTTCGGAGGCATTCGTGAATTTAGAAACGAGGTCATCGAAAATGGGGCGACCTTCTTTCTCGTTGTCCCAGGCGACTTCTAGTTCAGCGCACAGGTATTGAACTGGGATCTTGATAGCGGGGTAGACTTTATTGACCAAATAGTCGTAGAACTCGTCGGTAGAGAACTCTCGGAGTTCCGACTTGATACCTGTTTGCAAATGCCTTATTAGCGTGTCTCATCGGGCGATATGAACAGATTGAGATAGCGCACCTGGCTCAAACACCTGTGCCACAAGTTCTGGATCCAACGCCTCGATATTCAGCCATTCAATCTCGCCCATAAACTTCCGAATATTCTCGGGGTTGGTCTCGACCAAGAATCGTGGATTGGATGGCTCTGGGTCTGGGTCTGGAAGTATTATCTTCGCGTTTCGTAGAGGCGCACAGCCTAGTGCGCTCACACCCAACAAAGGAAGCCGGTCTTGAGCTTCAGCAGTAATCGACAATGCGAAGGCGCCGCCGAGAGAATGACCAAAGAGAACGATGCCACTATTGTCGTTTTTGGCGGAGGACTTTTCATTGTACACATGCTCGATGAAGTCGATGAATACAGGAATTGAAGCGCTCATGGGTTTCTCGGAGGTGGGAATCGCATTTCCGGCGTACCCGGGTCGAGAGATGTTGAGGACGTCATAACCGAGGCTGTGGAAGCTTTGGACTACTCTTTGTGACCGTTAGAATTCATCCCCATGGTTTCCTCAAACGGATTCCGAGAAAGAGAAAAGGAGAGCATACGAAACAGCAGAGTTGTCAAAGTAGGCGGCAGTTGCACCGCTGCCGTGAAGCAGGACGACTAATGGAAGAGCGCGCCCTTGGTCGCCCCGCTTAAACAGCCCATACAATTGTAGCCCATTCTTCTCATACCAGATTTTCTCATCAAATGTAGTCGCCATTTTTTTTTTTTGGTTGATCTAGCAAAGACGAGCTTCTATAAAGGATGCGTGTATAAAAAGAAAGAAGATAACAGGAGAGGGGTAGAGTCACAGATGTCCCCGCATACATTGACAGCCGATTCACTTATTCTCAGTCAGACTTTTTAGCGCGGATTCGGCGATCACACCATTTTGCTGGAAATGATGCTGCAACTTCTATGACTTGGATAAAAATGGCTGTGAAAATGGCCGATAGCAAATTCGTACGCGGTAAAATGGCTGAGCTAAGCGAATGATAAATGCAAATTGTTGATCACGAAATGCCCAAGGCACCATATCAACGACGGCCATAACCCTAACCTATCACGGGGTCCAGACGTCACGAGATAGTCGTAGCAGTTAGCCCTACGCAATTCCCTATGCCAGCCAATGAGTCCCATCAATTGACTTTCGGATTATCTGAGCCGGATGTTCCATTTGAGCTGTTCATAAACCCTCTTGCGCGCAACAATCCACGTGTTCACGTGCTTTATTGAGAACCGCCGGATCGGGCAATTGCCCACCCCCGCCGGAGTTTCTCCCCTAACAGCCAGTTACCTATTTGGAGATTGAGGTCGAGCAAAATCATACGATATGTGGCAAGACGAAACATTCAAAGCTCACTAAGCATGTTCATTGTTAGTTAGAATTATGCAGGCCACCGGCAGGAATGATGCATTGGATTAAACTGGACGGCGTGTTGCTCTGACCCGAATGCTTTGTATCGATGCAATGTCTTGAGATAAATCATCTGCGCAACTACTTAAGTCAATTCATGCCGTGTTCTTGACTTAGTCTCCACTTGCGCGGCCGGGGAAAATCTGGGGTAGGCAGCGTGTGCACTGAACAGGAAATGATTATGAAGCTCCTCTTTGTCAAGTGAGTTAAATTCGACTGGTCCTAGCTAGTCTATTGGCCGCGTCGATTAGCTGGGGTATGGAATAGGTATAATCCTCTAAACCTTCATTATTCTCCGGCGGAGTGGTCAAATATCGAGGTCTACATCTCAGTTATTTAAGTACTCCCCGCCCAACAATGCAGCTGTTATATTGCTCGTGCAATTCTACATCAACTTTTGATATACTCTGATCAACCCAACAAATCAGCCGCGCATAAAATATTTGAATCTAAGCCAACTGTCAGTATGGGTGACAAAACAATCGGTCTGACAGACCGAGAGTTGAAGAATTTCTCTCTGGACGTCCCCGAATCTGTTGAACTTATTCTGCACGCACAAGAGAGTGATGCTGCTGATCGTGAATTGACTATCCGTCAAGCACTGGCTAAATATCCTAAAGCTGTCTTTTGGGCCATGTTCCTCTCGACCAGTCTCATTATGGAGGGATACGATGTTGTCATGGTAAGCTCTATCCTCATTCTCTGTTATAGTTAGAAGCGGACAGGTTAATGCGATACTTATGAAATTGCCTGCAGATCACTTCGTTCTACGGTCAATCCCAATTCCAAAAGCGTTTTGGAACCTATAATGCTGATACCAACGCCTACACCATCTCGGCTGAGTGGCAATCAGGCTTGAGTAACTCGTCTACCGTTGGTCAACTGTTCGGACTCCTACTCAACGCCTACGCTCAGGATAAATTCGGTTGTCGGCCAACAATGATGTTTTTCATGGCATGGATGGCGGTGATGATTTTTATTCCGTTCTTCGCACCCTCACTGTCTGTTCTCGCATTCGGAGAAGCTATGTGTGGCGTGTCATGGGGTGTATTCCAGGTAGGATTTACGAATTTGTTTCTCTCTATTGTATATTGCTAGAAACTCGGGCTGATGAACTGCTCTATAGACTCTTTCCACTGCTTACGCCTCCGAAGTCGTCCCGACGGTCCTGAGACCATATGTAACAGCCTATGTCTGCATGTGCTGGGGTGCTGGAATTTTACTGTCGTCTGGTGTTGTTCGTGCCGTGGCGAGCATTGAGGGAGATCTTGGATGGAGACTCCCCTTTGCTATTCAATGGGTTTGGCCAATCCCTCTATTTATTGCAGCATACTTCGCCCCCGAGTCTCCCTGGAATGCAGTTCGCCGAGGGAAGCTCGATCTCGCTCGAAAGAGTCTACTGCGACTCCGTGAGGATTCTCCTCAAAAAGAAAGAGAAGTTGAATCAACTCTTGCATATATCCGACATACTACTCAACTTGAGATGGAAGAAAGTGGAGATGCCAGCTTCTTCGAGTGCTTTCAAGGGGTCAATTGGCGTCGAACTGAAATCGTGAGATTATCCAACCTTTCCCAGACTTGACTTGTACAATTGCTAACATTATTCGCTGCGCAGAATTGTGTCGTCTGGGCAGCACAAATTCTCTGCGGTAATGCTATTCTTGGATACTCTGTTACCTTTCTCGAAGCAGCAGGCTTTTCCGAGATCCAAGCCTTTGACTTAAACATCTCGCTGTCCGCTTGCTACATAATCGGCGGAATCATCTGCTGGTTTTTGTTTCCACATCTTGGAAGAGCAACCATCTACATGGGAGGTCTCACATTTATGTTCTTTTGCCTGGTTGCGATCGGAGGCCTTGGATTCTCGCATAGCAAGCACGCCGACGTGGCTGTGGGTATTCTCTTGGTCATCTCTACGCTTTGCAATATGATCACAGTAGGACCGGTCTGTTATCCGATAGTAGCAGAAACTCCTTCTGGAAGATTGAGGTATAAGACAATTGTTATTGGACGATTCGTGTATAACCTCACACAGATTTTCAACAATTCTGTGACCCCGCGCATGATTCAAGCATCAGGTCAGTGTTATCCACCATCGAATATCAACTGAATCTTTGTCACTGACGTTTGTTTTTCTTGATCAGCATGGAACTGGGGTGCTAAAGCAGGTCTCTTTTACGCCGGAACCAATTTGTTATGTAACATTTGGTGCTGGTTCCGACTACCTGAAACCAAGGATCGTACCTTTGGCGAGATTGATATTCTGTTTGAGAATCATGTTCCAGCCCGAAAGTTCAAACATACCAAAGTTGACCGTAAGTCAATTCCTATTTACCTTCAATTTTATATCCATATATCCCTGGATTTTGTTCCAATCAAAGCTAATGGGCAACTATCGAACAGAATTCACGCATCAAAACTTCGAAAAGAGCCAAATTAATGAAGAAAAGGTTGCTGCCACCCATATGGAAAATGAGATCGTTTAAGAAATCGAGAATGTCTTTTGTTCTGAGAATATCACTTCGGATTTTCCGCAATGTCAGCTTTCGTGGAAATAGCAGGGGAGTATCTTGACAATGGTACATAATCATAGTTATCAATACATTAATCATGTGACAAAGTGGAATAAGGAAGCAATACTGAGCTAGACTTCTAGCAAGGTTCAGGGATAATATCATTAAATCTAATAAAAGCCACAATCAAAACAAATCATGACCTATGTGTACCCGGACGATGCTAATACACAATGAATAATAACTAGATATCAAAGCAAAACAGATGGAAATACAAAAGAACAACGACACAAGGATATACCTACAAGAACAGACTAGCTAGAAGGGCAATTGCCACGCTGGAATATTTTCACGCTCTTTACCGACATTCCTCGAGTATCACCTTCACCCCAAGTAGACTCCCAGGCCGACGATGCATTGTAGAATTGAGACATAGCGTCATCTGATTTGTCGATCCAGGGTTTGCTACCGTATCCATCCCTGTCATATGTTATTAGTACATCGGATGCGATGTTGTAAGGTGAAGCTTGGAGCGCTTACTGGAAATATGAGTTTGTAGATCCCACGGCGACGTTCATGATAAGATAGAATGCTTGATCGAAAGGAGTGTTGTATCGTTTTGTGCCGGACCAAGGGTCGAGCTAAAGATGACCAAAATTTGTAAGCAATGAGTAACTTTTCACAAACGACCGGGCAAAGCAGAACTCACGGGAATAGATCCATTCACACTCATGGAGGCGAAGTCTCCTCTTTCGTACATTGTACCGTACTTTTCGCCGAAGGGGATGTACATTGATTGCTAGGGCGCGAGTCAGTCCCTATCATTACTCAATTTTTTTTGATTGCACAACAAGTAACTTACTGCTAGTCGACTGTCAACCCAGGTGTAAATGTACTGATCGCTCCATTCCATTCCAAAGGTGTGGTAGTCATCCGAGTAATCGCCGCGGGTCATATACTTGACACCACTTGTACGGTAAAACGCATCCAAAACGGCGTTGGGTGCCCAGTGAAGAGTACCTCCGACGACATTGCGTCCACCATCGTATCTATAGTCAGAGCGAGGGTTAATTAGTGCCATCCGAGTGATTGTTTCAAAAATACAGAGATGTGCTTACATTCGCCCGTCATTGCCTTTCGATTCCATGATATCGATCTCTCCGCTAAGCGGCCAAGAACCGTAAACGTCCTCTTCAGGCATCATCCTATGATACGTATACAAGTTAGTAGCCATGCGCAGTCGAGATGTCGGGTCAAAAACAAGGTTCGGCCCGCACAACGGAAGAATTGCCACTAGGACTCTGTAACGCACCAGATCGCCGGCCATAACCAGTCACCTCGTGGCAACTTAGCCCTGACCTCAATTTTACCATATGTGATATTGTGTTTGCCCTTGGTCGTCAATCGCGCGCTTCTGACGGGATTGATAATACTGTTCGTGGTGATGTTACTGACACGGACACAATCGCCTGCGTCATCCGCGGTACACACGCCCTGTTGTGTCAGGTTCAAGGTGTAACCATTGTACAATTGGGCGTTTGTGATGCTAGTGACATTGGTTGTGATCGTGGGCACGATATGTAATCCATTTTCATCTGTATAGGCGTTCGTAGGGTCGTTGGTGGTCCAGTCAAATGAACCGACACCGTAACCTCCTAATTGGATTTCGTAGTTCCAATCATTTTCATTGATTCCATTGAGGAAATCATCTTCGAATATAAGGCAGTACTAAACAGTCAAATGTTAGTGGGGTTGTTCGCGACAAGCATTGTTTTCTTTGTTGCAAATATAAACTATGCGCAACGAGATTGAGTGAAATCGCGAAATTATTTAGGAAAGACATAGAAAAGAGGCGAATATAGACTTACTGGAGGGTTTTCGACACTCGCCCATCCGGAATAGATAATATATGCACCGATTCCCAATCCCACTATCGTGAGTCCGATAAAAAATATTTTGTCCCATAACATACGAGGGTCTCTCTTCACAGTCCATGGCTTGTCATATTCGCCTATCAGACGGGCAGATTGAAATTTACGTTGCCTGAGAGGTTTGGATTCTAAATATTGAAGAAGCGTATGAATATCAAGATAACATATTAGGATCGACAAAATCGGGTGATTTTGTTTTTCCGAGCCAGAAGGGAATATAGGGTGAAGAGTGCCATACCTGTGAAAATCGAGTATTGTTGCCCCGAGGAGATGATGGATCTTTGATCATGAGGAGTAGAAAATGGATTGTCAATTGAGTGTTCATGATTAGAAGTTTCCTCACTTCGAGAGTGGTATTTCTCTGTGGTGACGACCACCGTTGACTTCTCCATTCTTGCGACTGTAAAGAAGCTTACCTGTGCTGACTTTTTTTTGCAGCCCTAAATTATCAGGGAAATCGAGGAGTTACATTATTTTAACCTGGCGCGATCAACGCCGAAGTCTACCTAGCTGTCTATGACAGCTCCAGTAGTGTTATCTTTTTGTCTAGACCAATTCCCCTCGCTCAAGATTGCCAAAATTTTGGGATTAAGAGAAACAATATTAGTGAACTCGCATAGCTCAATTAGTACCTTTGTTTTTTTGTCGCTGTCTTAGAACAGTAATACAGAAACAAACCAACAAAAATAGCAATAGCGCTAACGAATATTGTGCCTGTGCTCAGTAGACCAATCCCGATTGCAGTTCCTAGTGCATTCTCGGCTTACCGCTATCTGAGTTGGCCGAACGTGGCTGATACAGAGTGGGTATGTACTAGCATAGGTACAGATAGGAACAGAGTACGGCGCCATGTGCCTCAAGGGACCAATGAAAGGTAATAGTAAGAGAGATGCCACGTACAAAAATGGCTATTTTGTACAGAAAATGGTGCCATGTCTCGGCCTTTCGTTTCACGGTACCACAATCACGGCGTAATATTCCCTCCCACAGGTCAGACCGATACGAGCTATGTGATTATTCAGAGACTAATAATTGTTTTTTAGGGGTCTGCAGGATCTGAGTTCTGCGTAAGAGCCGCAAAGATAAGGATGAAAGTAAAAAGAGCCGTATTGACAGATCTGAGTTTCGCTAAGATTATACGTGTATGGCATCGCTGCATTAGACATGAACTTATGGAAAATAACGCTAGAGATTTGCCCAATTACACAAACGCTAATACAAGAAGAGAAAAGGCCAGCGCTCGTAGCACAGCACTATACGAGTCAAGTTTATACCCAACGCCCGTGGCGCCAGAACCGGTAGGGCTAGAGCTCGATGAAGAAGAGCTCGGGACGTTACCAGTTGCTGCACCTCCGAGGTACCAACTTCCAATGTCTGTGAGCTGGCCACCCTGGGTTAACATTGCCGCATTTGGTCCCACGTTAGAAACTGATGATCGGAAGGATCCGAAGTATGAGTATCTTTCAATATAATCTAGCCGATCAAAGTATTCAGCTGAAGTTTGGAAGAACGCTTGCGTGTCCTTCAAATCGGCATTTGCAAGCGCATACTCTGTTATCCATATCGTGGTGTTGGGATATCTGCAAAGCCATATATTAGCGTTCGCTATTTGAAAGTTCACGTTAGTGCTTACGTACGTTGCGACGACCTGTCCAAGATAACTCGCGAGACCCTGAAAATCTCCGTACCAGTGCAAGGGGATGAAATCAACCGTGCAATTGGTTTTCAAAGAGGTGCAATTCGAGAAAAACTCGCTCAACCAGGTGAGACCGCTTTGACTTCCAGTCACAGCCGGAGCGCCGATTTTTATACTTTCATTTCGCAGTGGCTCAACGTCTTGTATCCAAATGCTGGCGGCATCAGCGGGCGAAATTGCACTTCCGCCTGTTGATGTGGTTCCATCCGGTTCGTTGAACGTCAGTATATGAGTGATATTTCGGCCCGATGTAATCTGGGATCTGATCTCTGAAGCAAATCCCGAACTGTTTGCAGATCCCCAAAGCATCGGCACAAACTCAAACTCTTCCTGAGAGCGATTTGAGTATGTGGCCGCGGGCGTGTCCGTGTAGTCATAGTACCAAGTCAAATCTGAATTATCTTCCACCCATATTTGGTCGTCAGATGGATGGTCGGAGGTCATGTAGATAAGACCTCGTTTATTTGAGGATTGAAACTTTGTGGTACCTGAAACATCTTGCGAAAAAGCCACTCCTGTGAGCGCCAAAGCAGTCAGGAACGGCTGTGTTGATGTCCTCATCTTTCTTCGTCCCTGTCAAATGTGCGTTGGCGTTTTGAGTACGGGCAACGACCTGCACATTAGGTATTGCAATACTAAATATTTATCTTTCGTTCGAAGGTTCTTCTCAAACGGTACCCTGGTCAATTTTCCGTATCCACAGAGTCCGAACTATATTCACGCCAAAGTCCACACCGGTATCTTGAACGCAGTCGATTTGAGCGTTATTTACTGTTCTCTGCACGCACCGTCAGGAACCAGGATAAGGCTGGAGATGTCGTCGGTTAAAAACCCCCGAGTTGAATTGTTGCATCATCGGTGGCGCCACAGGCTAGCTGTCACATAGACTAGTGCACGCCATGGCAGGGATCTGATAGTGCCTAATCACAATCGTTCCATAGAATCATAGGTGCGCCTAGGTCCTAAGGCCATAGCGCCGGATGTGGGTGTTCCTGAATGCTCTAGATTCAGGTGCACTCGCTGATTGGTTTTGGCTACGGAAGAAGCCGCTGGGTAAAGAGAGTTTGGGAAGTCTGAAGGCAAATCCGGCAGCCTTACCCTAACACAACGTCTCGACTCAAGATAAGGAATCCGGTGGATCCCAACTAAATACACACCGGTGCTCGTTCATTCATACTCCTTCTGGCACGATTCATGCATAAATTACGCCTACCAAGGCGCTTTGTATATTGTACCCCTGCGATAAGAGGCTCAGCCACCTCGTAAGCTCGTAAAAAAAGTGAGCTGTACCAAATCTTTACCTTTAGTGCCGATTGCGCGAACCCATACAGAACACCTACCAGTGCCACGTTATCTATCGAGCTGAGTAGCTTCATTAGTCGCTTTGTCCGCTTTTGCGACAAAGGACAAAAGGCAATTTTTGCCAGAGACAAGCTCGCTTCTCTTTGTACCAGCGTTATTGGTTCCACAACCACTACCTCGGCGCCAACCAGCCATGGCCCATCACGATAACGCTAACAAGAGAGTGGCTTTCTGGGTTTATTCACGCCGTGCCGAGTGTGTTGGCTCGTTTGAACTCGGTTTCGCTAGACATTTTTACGGGAAGACTACTCCGTACAGAGAAGGTAAACGTAGGCGAGATCATAGCTATGGACCAGCTGCAAGTCTATAGGGCGTTCTCAAGAGAAGCCATGCAGCTGCAGTAGCCTTTTCCGAGATTGAGTTCACTTATAGTAGCTCTCTCGGCGTCAGAGCTCCTTCCACAAGTGTTGAAAAAAAAATCTGCTCCCCAATTCCTTCTCAGGAAGCATACCGTTTATCATACTCATACTTAGACTTCTGCCATTGTTCTAGCTATTGCAGTCAGCAAGATGAGTTCTGCGGTGCATCCTAAGGACCTCGAGAGTTCTTCCAGCGATGGCTCAATTCAGATTCCTGCCCCAGCTGCTCGCCCCAGGATATCTCGGTCTCAGACCTCAAAGAGCTTATTTCTAGGCATGAAGGATGTGGACAGCTATACTCGTTCAGTCACTGTAAGCTTTTAGCTACTTTTTCGTACATTTTAAAACTAATTAGGATTCAGATGGCGCAATTCCTTTATCGTCGATTTCAGGAGAAAGGCTGGTTACACCCTGATCCAGCTGCAAGGCTCACTTCTTCACTCGGCATCATCATCCGTGTTGAGCCTGAAACAGAGGAGGAAGTACAATTTGTTTCAAAGCCAGATGACACAGATTCCGACTTGCAATTGATCAGCGCAAATCTTGGCCTAGAAGCTGTGTTCACCATGTCATCAGATATCACAGCTTTGATCTTTAAGCGAATTGGGAAGAATGATTCAGAAGTGACCTTGTCACCACACAACATCACCGTTCCCGTTGTGGATTCATTGAGCGCATTGGCTTTTGATAACTCCAATGTGAGAAGACGAGACTTCTGCTGCTTCTCGAGGCAAGAGAAGGCCGTCCTCATCTGGACGAATTCGCCTGATGAGCTCATGACACACGCAATTGAGGTAGAAACTAAGCTGATGGGCTCTGTATGTCCGACCTAATCTTCAACTACTCACATGTTAGGATCGAGTGCTAATTGATGCCACAGATATGGGGAACTATGATGGTTTCTGGAACTCAAAGTCCTCGACTCAGCCGCCCATTAACAATGAATGGGCCGGGAGGTCTAACTCCATATCAACATCGGACACCAAGCATAATCTCCGATAGCCCTAGCCGAGCCTATACGCATTCGAACGAGAAGGGTCTAGTCGTACTCGATGAAGTTGATCTTACTGCCGAAGACGAAGAATCCGCGGCACCTGTTGCCCGCCCATTTCTCCTTTCCCATTCTGTTATGGTTGGCCTCGCCATGTGCTTGCTGATGGTCATTGAATGCTTCGCCGTACGCTTGATTATTATCGAAATCAAGGCGCTTGGCACTCCAATGCTTCCTCGTCTTGGCTTGTTGGCACCACTACCTATCTTTATGTTTTTCACGCTCTTTTTCACCATTGTCATCATCGGTACTGGTTTCCAGATGTTCGGTCCAATGAACGACGTCAAATATGGTAACTCACGCTTTTACAGCTCACAGCCTCCAAGCCTCAAGCGTCATCCAGATTATCAATTCCCGCATGTTACCATTCAAATGCCTGTTTATAAAGAAGGTCTAAAAGGTGTCATCATTCCTACCATCGAGAGTTTGATGCCGGCTATTCGTCATTACGAGTCCCTCGGCGGCACAGCCAGTATCTTCGTCTGCGAGGACGGCATGCAAGCTGTTAGCCCCGAGGTTGCTGAGATGAGGAAGAGGTTCTACAAAGCTAACAATATTGGTTGGTGTGCTCGACCACCTCATAATAAAGACGGTTTTGTTCGAGCTGGAAAATTCAAGAAAGCCTCAAACATGAACTACGCCCTTAGTTTCAGTCTTCGGGTCGAGGATGAGCTTCTGCGTTTGATGAAGTTAAAGGCTGATGCAGAGGGAAGAACTCAAGAGTCTCTTTCTATTGAGGAGGAAGAGGAGCTTTACCAGCAGGCTTTACAAACTGCTCTTGAGGGCGATGAAGGCAAGACTTGGGCAGAGGGAAACATCCGTATGGGAGAGATCATTCTGCTTATTGACTGTGATACCCGAGTTGTAAGTGTATTACTTCCTTCCAGCCAAGTTAGTGCTAACATCTCAATCAGCCTGTTAATTGTCTTTCTCTTGGAGCCTTGGAAATGGAGGAAAGCCCTGAAGTCGCTATCATTCAGCATGCATCCGGTGTCATGCAGGTTATTCACAGTTTCTTCGAGAATGCTAGTAAGTGTTCATGGTCTTTTACAACGGGAATCAAACTCACACTTCTCCAGTCACTTACTTCACCAACCTCGTTTACTTGCTCATCAGATTCTCAGTCGGTAATGGTGACTGCGCACCATTCGTTGGACACAACGCTTTCCTCCGGTGGAAAGCCATTCAAAGTGTCTCATTCATGGAGAATGGCATTGAGAAGTTTTGGTCTGAAAGTCATGTGTCTGAAGATTTCGATATGTCTCTTCGGCTTCAAACTGCTGGCTTCGTTGTGCGACTTGCAACCTATGGTATGTTTCTATCATTTCCAAGTATTCTGCCACATCGTGTCTAACTTTCTGTAGATAAGGGTGAATTCAAAGAAGGTGTGTCACTCACCGCGTTCGATGAGCTGCTTCGATGGGAAAAGTATGCATATGGTTGTTCAGAGCTGGTACGTCTCATGAATAGGTTGTAGTCTATCTCCGTTTAACACTAATGCGTAAACAGATCTTCCATCCTGTCTACCAATGGATATACCGTGGCCCCTTTACCGAACTTTTCCGTCGTTTCCTCTGGTCGAACATGAAGGTATCAGCAAAATTCACAATTCTCGGATATATCGGAACTTACTATGCCATTGGCGCATCGCTTCCTCTGTCTATTGCCAATTACTTCCTGACAGGTTGGATTGCAGCAGACTTGGATCACAGCTATCTCCCCAGTTGGGACATGCTTTGCGGTACACTTTTTATTTTCGTTGTTGTTAGTCCGATTGCCTTTGCATGGTATAGACATCGAATAGGCGATAAAAAGTTCCTCTGGGCCTTGCTAGAGGCGTTCATGTGGATGCCCTTCTTCGGTAAGTTCTTTAAATGAGGCTGCAACCCAGTACATAACAACCATGACTGACCTATATTTGCAGTTATCTTTTTCGGTGGTGTATCCTGGCATATTTCGTATGCTCTCCTGGCTCACATGTTCTGTCTTCCCATTGAGTGGTCATCAACAGCCAAGGAACTTGAAGCTGGTGGTTTCTTTATTGGTATGGAGAGGGTGTTTAAAGCGTTCAAGATGGTCCTGCTGTTTATGGCTTKCTTGACTGCTTGTGTGATCTATATGGCTCAATTCGCACCTTATGGGTGGAAGATCAGTTCCTGGACATCCATTCTGCCAGTGGCTAACCAAATCGTCGGTCACGTCTTGTTACCTGTGATGACCATTCTGCTTTAGACTTATTTTTTTTTTGATTTCAAAGACTGTTCATTCCTTATCTTTGTTATTTTGCGTGGTAATGATATATAGCTAGACACGAAACATCTAATATAAAGAAGGTTCATTTATTCGGTAGAAAATATTTTTTGATTTGGAATGCGATTGTGCTTGAGTCCTTAATCACTAGTTCTCAATGATGATCAAGTGTCCAGTTTGCCATAAGCAGTCAAGTACATCTTGTTATTCACCACGTAGGCGTGGATTACTGAGTTTGACGTTAAAACATAGGATAAGGTATAGGCCAGCTGATACTCATTCTTCACAGCCCATGTGCAACCCTGAGTGCCGAAATAATATCCTCGTCATAGTCTCTCGCCTTTTGTAGGTAATCAGTCATATGCATAAAGGGATGAGGAACTCCGAGGTATCTGATGTCCATATTAACATTGGCCAGTTCTAAGCATTATCTCTAGGTTCGTTGTTTTGAGATTACCTCTTGAAAGTAACTTTATTACCTGCTGCAACAAGTTTCTTTCCATAGTCTTCCCCTTCATCACGTACTGGATCAACCTCCGCTGTAATGAGGAATGTGTCACAAAGATTGGCGAAATTCGGCGCCTTGATTGGTGATAGCCACCATTCTGGCCAAAGTGACCGTATATAATCTACTTTGTCATCCGGGAAGGCATGTTGCTGAAAATATGATATCCGCGCCCAATTGAGGAGAGGAGCTCGGCTGTATTGTCGGAACGACTCATATGGAGAATCCTCGAGCTTCTTATAGGAACAGCAGTCCGTGACGGGGGGCACCGCTGGTATGATAAGCCTAAGAGGAACGTTGTTATCTCGTGCGAGATGTTGAAGAACACAACTAAAGTAGCCGCCTGCTGATACCCCCCCAAGAGATATGGACGACTTGTCAACGTTCAGCATCACACTTGCATCTCGAACCTGCATACAACTTTAGCCTGGTGCCAAATTTGAAGGACTAGAAAGTCAAAATTAATCATTTACCCAACATAGGGCAGCCCACGCATCTTCGATGTTCTTCCCCATTATTGTTTCTATCCGATATTTAGCGACAGCTGTTCGACATCAAATCATTTCTTTATACCCAGGACTCACCGGGACAATGCCGATAGTTGACGTCTACAATTACCAGACTAAGACGATCGCGTAGGGTCAGGCAGAATTTAGAATCCGTCTGAAGACTGCCGAAAACAAATCCACCACCTAGGTTCGCCGGTTGGAAATAGTATTGTGTAATGAGAGAGAAAGGGAGCAAACCATGGAAATTAATATGGACACTATACGGTCCCGGGCCAAAAGTGGCAGGATCTGGGTAGTAACACCTGATAGGAACAAGAGCTCCATCCTTGGACTCGATTTCATAATCCTGAATACGAGGCTCATCTTTACTGTCATACTCCACGGTCGCATACTTGGAAGGATTGGCTCGAACTTCTTCAATGGGAACTTCATGTGTTGGTTTCAGTTTTGATAGGACCTTCTCATACAACGATACGAATTCAGGATCCATATTTTCAATAATATGGGGGTCAATGGAGCTTGTTGACGACGATGCATTCACATCAGACTCGGGCTGGAGGTGTGCTGATGCCATGACGAAATGTTCGGTCTATTTCTTAGGATATACAAAGATGAAGTGGTGACTCGAAGAAAGATGTCAAGAGAATATCCAAGTGAATTTAAGATCAGATCCAAGTCGAGTCACTGCTCTAACTTACTGAAAGTCAGCATGTGTCTAAACCGAGGGATACAGGTGGAGAAAATGATGGAACACGCCGGATTGGTGCTCTTAGTTATTCTGAGCAGGTTTACTTTAGAATAAGCGGCCTATCCGCTCGTCTTCTCATTTCTTAGACGCAGCCAGAGCTGTAACGTGCGGGGCAAGTCTACAGACCAACCAGGCTTTTTGAATTCGATGAAGCGGGGGTACCTTGATGACAAAACATCGAAAAGCAGAGAAATGTCACTCGAGTTGCGAACGAGAACACTGGGTAAGCGGAGACAAAAGCCGCCGCAAGGAGAGGAAGAAGGAGAGTCAGTTCCGGGTTCTGACTGAGGACATTGCAAGCCTGCCTACCATGGTATGCTGTGCTTTCAACCTATTTGTTTCTATTTCTATGATCACAGGGATTAAACTTAATAGCCGACGACGCAAAGTCAAATGCACTGGTCATAAACCTCTGTACCACAACTGCGCTCGTTTTGACGACGAATATCACTGGACAATCTATTCTGCCGCATGTTAATTCTCTTTTGGACGATTTCCTCTTGGAACACCAAGCTTTGTGTTTCTCCCAAGCCTTTATCTCATCACCTCAATTCTCAGTTGTAGGTTATGCATTCCACAGGCCGACTTTCGAATGCCGACTTGCGAAGGCCGAATTGCGAATGCCGACGATTCCTGAAACAGCCCCTTTCCTACGAGTGGCGATATGTAACTTGGCAGCCCATCTTGAGGATGAATTTAGAACGGTGTTTCAGCAGAGACACCGGCCCAGATGTATCCAACCGGCTAGCACTGATTGGACAGACACTGTCGAAGGACAGCTCGTTTCACACAACGGTCGGAAAATATCCTGGGCAACATCTGGCTAGGATGGAGAGAACTTATTGCATGCAGGCAGCGGCAGTCTAGTATGGCTATATACTAGTTTGGTAATCCGTATGGTGCAGGTTTTGCGACTGGGGAAAGAGTATCATCAGCGTCATCCGGCAGTCGAACGCGAGAGACAGCGATGGGCAATGTAGATCACTTTCACACTGGATCGCTTGGTCTCTTATGTGATGGCGCGTCCTCAGACAATTGGTGTTCACAAACTCAGGACACAGCTGCCATGTCAAAACCATCTTTATGTATTTGGCGAGGCATATGATGGTCCTGTTATTCATCAGCCGCTTCTAGGAGATGTTGTCAATGACGAAATTCTCGCATATACTATTAGGGCAATCAATCTCTGAGGTGCATGTACGGATCTATCTGCGAATCTAGCCATCGGAGATAAGAGTTCCTCTGCGCAGCTGGAGATCGAGCTGAGACAAATGGAGTTCACAATTGAGACCTGGAGGGCACAATTACCTGATCGTTTACACTAGTCCCTTAATAATTACGCTACTCACAAACTTCTTGGAATAGGTAGCTAGTTTATACTCCTCCAACATTCGACAAGGATTTTTAATCTTCGAGGACCCATTCCTATCGGAAAGAGACGCGGATTCAATTACCGCGCAATCATGTTTTGCGTATGCTTGCCACCCTTAACATCAACTTGAACGACTGCTCGGGTACCATCACTCACATGATCTGACTAGCTCTCTTGATCGGTTATATTCTTCCAGATTGATCAGAAACAAGACCGTCTGATAAGATAAGCTCGAATATAGGAAACTGTCGTGGTCCATATGAACGGGGCACTTGGAGTTGTCTTAGGGCTAGGTTTCCTATCAACCCTTTGACCATGTATCAAGCTCAAACAACAACCAAGACTACAAGAGTTTAAGCAACTGCGCACAAAAAAAAGATAGGAAAAAAAGCAATAGTAAAGCTACACTTGTCCCAATCTGGGCCAAACCATAAATGTCAGCAAGTAACCCCACACAAGATAAGACGGGCTGTTGGCGGGGAATCACGCGATGCTTAGCTTACCTATCCAGCAACAAACAAAAAATTTATCAACTACTAACATTTTCCGGAAACCACGCTGTCTGTAAAATAATACTGATAGTATAATCTCACCGTCATGTCAGATGAGAAGCGTCCACTTCAGTTTGAGAGCTTGGCTCTACACGCTGGGTTCGTCCCGCCATCTACCTAATTGAGAGTCGTGTCGTGCTAACGATTTTTCTGCTAGAGAGAATGTCCACGATGTTCAGTCAGGGACTGGTGCATTGACTACTCCACTATATGCATCGACTGTATGTTTGATCAGATAATCATCATTTTGATTAACACACGATTGCTAATGGCTGCCATTCAGTCATTCACTTTCAACAACAGCCAGCATGGAGCTGATATCTTTGCCGGGAAGGCCCAAGACTTCGCTTATAGTCGGCTAGGAAATGTATGTTATTATGCCATTCTGCTATGCAAACTCTCTTTGAGACAGCTTCTGTTCGCCAGAGAAACCGTAACTGATTTGATATAGCCCACATCGGCGGTCTTCGAACAAAGAATAGCAGCTTTAGAAGGAGGCGCTGCGGCTCTTCCTGCTTCGTGAGTATCATTATCTGCAGAAATCATTCACATATTAACAATTTATCTAGATCCGGAGAAGCAGCTCGCTGGATGGCCATTGCTGCTCTAGCAATGGCCGGCGAGAACATCATTGTGGCTGCTACAGTGTCCGAAGAAACCTACACTCTTTTCAAATATCGACTCGCAACACAGGGTATTACGGTCAAATTTGTTGATATTAACGATACAGATTCTGTCAGAGACGCGATTGACGACAAGACACGCGCTGTATACATTGAGAGTATCAGCAGTGTTGGCCTTGAAATTGCAGACATCTCGGCTGTGGCATCACTTTCTCATGAAGCTGGCGTTCCTCTGGTAGTGTATGCTCGGTCGTACCCATGGTGGAAAAGAAAAAGTCACCTAACTATTTCACAGGGACAATACAGCTGGTGCCGCAGGCTACCTTATTCGTCCCATCGACCACGGGGCTGATATCGTAATCAACTCAACATCCGAATGGGTTACAGGAACCGCGACAACAGTCTCCGGAGTCATCGTCGACAGCGGAAAATTTCCTTGGAAAGAGCATTCTTCTAGATTCCCTCATCTCACGCAGCCTTCGCCAGGTTACCACGGTATGAACTTTGTCGAGCAGTTTGGCAACATTGCGTACATACTATACGTGAGGATGGCTATTCTTCGAGATGGTGGGGCATGTCTTAATCCATTCGCAACATCGTTTGCTTTGGCGGGACTTGGAAGTCTGTCACCTAGAGTAGATCGGCATAACAGTAACGCGCTGTCGCTTGCTGCGTGGTTACAGACGAATGAAAAGATAGCGAAAGTAGTTTTTCCGGGACTCACGACACATCGCACTTTTTCGCGTACACCCAAGTACCTTCGTCAAAACTCTGGGTATGGATCAGTGTTGCATTTCGATCTAAAGGAGGGTGGATCGGAGAAGGTAGCAACTCTTGTTGCCAACTTAAAGCTTATCAAGCCGTCGACTGGGTATAGTTCTGTTTCCGGGAGATGAATGATGTGATCGCTGACCTCTATTTTTCTTTACAGACTAGGAAATCCGCAGTAAGTGATTGCTTTGACATATGCTTGGTTTTAGAACTGACTCAATTATTAGAACCTTAATCTACGTGCCCGACGAAAGCTCGGCAGTTAGGGAACAGATCAAAGGTGTCGATGATGCTAGCATTCGTGTCTCGGTTGGTCTGGAGCATATAGTAAGTTCAAAAGACACATTTATTGACAAGGTGACTGATTGGTTTTCCCCTATAGGACGATATCATCCAGGATCTGAAAGAAGCTTTGAAGGTTGTTTGATATAGATTTAGAATGAGTAAAGTAGAGTACAAAGAGGCCAATCGGAAAGTGGCAGGAATTCAATTCTCCCAAGGCTGTATTGCATTATCTTCGTAATTGAACGAAAACAGAGATAGAAAGTCCGGGTCTAGGATGCTTTCCAAGCCTAGAAAGTCGCAGTTGAAATTATCATTCGTGTTATAAGCTGACTCCGTCTGCGTAGTAACGTTTCCCTGCGTGCTATTATCATTGCTTATATTACCATATGCGTCTCGCCACGTCCATAGAAGATCGTGAAGAAGACTCGCTGCTAGCCGAGTTCTGAGCTTCAGACTCGGTTCCTCGTTGAAGCTTCCAATCCGAGCGTAACCACTCCAGAGCTGGGTCAAGATCTTTGACATGCGTCCTTGAAGATCATTATCCTCGAGGGAGGTCTCCCGAATCATTTGAGCTGCAATATGAAACGTGCGTTTCCCCTCATCAACATCAATAAAAGTCGAGTAGTTTGAGAAACTCAATTTAAGTATCAGCATTGCAGCTAATGACAAGACTTGAAATTGAGCTTGAGGTGCGTATCGAACAAAATCAGACTCTACGCCGAGGTCAGATACTCGCCGTATCAGACCGATCGCCAGGCTGTAACCGCGTAAAAGGGCCGTTTTACGATTGGGAGGGCCACTGGGTTCCATAAGATAGAAAATGTAGAGATGAAGACCTGCTCCGTCGAGCAAGATGCTGTTCTCCAGTGTCAATTCAGGGCCGATACTTGCCCACAATTCGCTATATTCACGCTCAAGCAGAGCTAAAAGAGGAAAAGTTTCACCTGGTCGAGCCGAGCCCTCAGCAAATCCAGGCACTCCAGCAATACTCGACGAAGTGCGTGTCTCGAATTGATATATTTTGAGCTGCTGTATCATTGCCTTTGGGACTATCGCATGATTATCTTGCGTGATGAGACGAGCAATAGTCCAGTCCGAAAATGGTGACGGTTGTCCATCTATAAATGAATTACTGCCCAGACAGCTGTTAGCTTGTTGAAACTTCATGTGCTAGATCTTGAAGATATCCACATACCTGTGCAGTGCGATATAGCATGCTGACCATGCTCTTAGACAATCGGAAATTTCGCTTGGGCTTAATTGTTTATGTGTCCGAGAAAAGTCACTGATGACGTCGGGTCTATGTAACCCTAGTTGCAATGAAATAGAATGCGCTAACGTAGCCAGTGTTATAGTGCTATCAGTGGATAGGGAAGAGGTGGGAAATGGCCACATGCATATAAGTACTATGGACTGCACAAGCTCCAACGTGTGTGGAGGATTAGAGATGGTCTCCCATAGTAGTTTCTTAACAGACGAAATCAAGTCGACGAACAGATGCGGCTCATCGAGGTTTCTTCGGGAGGCAACATACGCTATTGTCCAGAAAAGCAATGCTGACTTCTTAAGATATACTTCTGGCGTGGTGGAGGGATTGAGTATCGGGATATGGGGATGATATTTGTCGAAAAAGCTGCATCCATTCAGTAAAGCAAACTGGAATGCATAGCGATCTAGGCTTACATGTAGAATAGCTTGCTGATCTGGTCCGGTTCGAGAAGAATATCATCGAGAGATATAGCAGATGCATACATTTGTACTCCTCTGTTCATAGGTCTTGTATCCGATGTCTGATCAGAAAGCGCTATTGACGCAGCAGAAAGTAACTGATTTTCGGATTGAAATGTTTCTGCTCCAGGGTTGAGTGCACTTAGAGCATTTGTTGCCTGCTCAAATCGTGGCATTCCCTGATCACCCCCTGATGAGGTATTAGCCATGGAAAACCTTAGTTCTCGGATCTCCTTTTCTAGTGCATCGAGTTTCCTATATTGATGATTAGAAATTTTTGATCGGGCCCAATTCAAAGACACTCACTCTGGCTTGTTCATCCGCTTAAAGTCCAGTTCTATTCTGCACTCGCGGTCTAATCGTCGGCATCTTACACAGGGAATCTTGCCGCCTGTAGACAGCTCACATCGCATCTATTGCAATGACTTTGGATCAGATCAGCGACAACAGACATCGTTCTGATGGCTCTACCTTTGCCTGCCGACAGTGCTTACAAGCAATTCGACGGCTCTTATGGCTGGCCGAATCTGACGATTCTGTCTGGTGCCGGGATCGAGGCATCGTGAGTGATTTCCTTCAGCGTCACGAGAGACATAGCTGGCTATAAAATCATTGATCGCCAGATTGAAAGATAGAAAGAAAAGAGAAACTTTTAAGGCTCAGCTCCATCCATCTGTCGTCTCTGCACGTGACTCGGCGGAGAAGACGCGTTGTGATTGGTCAACTGGGCACCTAGATACCTAGGCTTTTCAGCTCGCGACTTCCCAACTTCACCTTGCCTTCCCTCATTATCACAAGACGCGTCAATCACGATGATATCATTTAAGATTCTTGACTGTTGCTTCGATACTAATTCCGATACTATGAGACCTACCGTGTCATTGTCTTGCTACAAGCCGCGAGATCGGTCTTCGAAGAACTTTAGAGTTCAAAGTCACCTTAAGGATGATCAACATGAAACTATTGGCCTTTCAAAAGACTATCAAATACATGCAGTGATGAATCTACGCGTGTTTTCCACCGAAGACTGCCAATTGATATTCCAACTGCCAGGCTGATACACTGTTTGCAATGCTACCATTGAAATTGGGCACGCGCGTTACTGTCGCTACTCGCATTCTTCGCTGATCTGGCTAGGTTTTTCGGCGCTGTCATAGCTTCAAACAGGTTCTTGCCAAATTTCGAGAAAGCTGAAGAGATGCCGCCATGGTCGAATAGCTCTTTTTCCATCTGGCTCAGTTCGAAAGTTATCCGTCTTTGCCCGAGTACGATTTCATTAGTGCTCAGATTGATTGAAACGTCCGTGCCGTCCGTCGCCGAGTCGTAAAAGGCTTCATCAGAAATGGTTATCCCAAGAAGACCGAGGTTAGGCATATTGCGCTGGAAAATGAACGCAAACGATCTCGCAATAACACATTGTACGCCACAACCTATCGAAGTCAATAAAACTCTTAATCAGTAGACTAAACTTGTGATTCGTTGACAGGAATGTATCTTCACTTACCTAGCAAGGCCATGACCGCCTGTTCGCGAGATGATCCACAGCCAAATCCTGTACCGGCGACGACAATATTGAAGCCATCGTGTACCCTCTGTCGAAAATCCGGATGGGTGTATTCTAAGCAATGCTTGCCAATTGCTTCATTGGTTCTACTTTCTACAAGGAAGTCTGCTGGTGCCAGCTGAGATTGGTATTCGTTAGCAATGCGAGTTAAATCTATATCTTGGTAGGATCGTGCATACCGCATCTGTATCAATGTAATCTCCTAACCTCTGGATTTTACCTTTCAAAACATTATCTTCCATTACGGAATTCACTGGCTCTTTCGCCTTGTTAATGCTGATTCCAGGCGAATCGGTAGCGTCCGGCGCCTTAGACTGAGACGAGTCTTTCGAGGTGGGATTGCTGGAACCATTCGGCTCAACATAATTTAAAGGCAGCGTTGACCTTTCAGGATAGTCCGGAGTAGGAGCGGCTTTCATTCCTTTGAGTGAGTTGAAGTGCTCGATATTGACTTTCGATATCAGTTCGTGCGGGTCTCTGACCTTCATCTCAAAGGATGAAGCGGCGACGGTGGCAGCAGAAGCAAGGTATGCAAAGGATCCTGATCATGGGAAATCGCATGAACGTCAGCAAATTCAGCCCCAAACGATCACCATAGCAGATATATTTTGATTTACCTTTTCCCATTCGATTTTCAAAATTTCTGTTTTGTGATGATAGCCAAACTTCTCCCGGTTTAGCCTGATCCGCCGACATACCGACGCAGTAACTGCACCCGGGTACTCCTATCTTGAATCCACAAGCCTCGTAAATTTCCAGCAATCCGAGCTCGCGCAGTCTTCGATGAATTGGCAGTGATCCTGGAACAACCCTCCGGTTTCCTCTAGTCACCGGCTCCAAGCCTGATTTTAGACCTTGCTCCAGTACTAACGCCCCTAAAATCAGGTCTTCCTCGGTTGTAGTGCAGGCACCAATAAAACATCCATCCAGAGCCATGGTTTCGCATTCTGCCACAGGTACGACGTCGTCTGGCTTTGGATGCTTGGCGATAAAAGAATGGACATTTCCAAGGTCAATCTCATAGGTGTCTGCATATTGAGCATCGTCGTCTGGTTTCAGAAAGATACTGCTATCTTTGTGTCGCGGATGGAGGCGCTTCTGCACAAAGTTGAGAGTGACTTCATCGGGAACAAATATGCCTGTGATACCTCCCAGTTCCTACAACATATAAGCCACCAGCTCGATCAATGTCTGTTGAGCTCATCTTTCTCTTAGAGGAAGGAAAAGGCTTACCGTGGTCATGTTGGAAATGGCGAATCGAGCATCAGATGATAGATACTGAAGACCTGGACCGGTGTACTCCACGATTCTTTCTGATGCAACGGTATTCCTTTTCAATTGCTGCAAAATGTACAGGATCACATCTTTACCCCCTATTCCCGGCTTAGGGGACCCAATCAACTTAACGTTAACGGATTCCGGAACTTTGAACCATGTTTCTCCTGTTACCAAGGGCAAGGTGACGTCCGCAGCACCTAGGCCAATTGCAAGGCACCCAAGCGCGCCGCTAGAGCAGGTGTGAGAGTCAGACCCTATTATAAGCATCCCCGGCTGAGCTCTTTCCCGATAAAACTCAGTGTGCATGATGGTGTACTAGCTCCACGCCCTTATTGTCAGCATCGCAACTACGACTTAGTTTTGAAAAGGCCATATCTCACGTTCATTCCTTGATACTCTGTCATTTTGAAAACTCTTTTGGCTCTTTCGCTAGCATCGATGAGGGCTCTGACCTGAGGCACGTCTTTGACTCGAGGGTCTACAACGTGATCTCCAGCAAGCCAGAATCTATCATTGCGAAAGATTCCAGGCTGACCTAAGCGGTTATACGTTGCTGCCATACCCTGAAATTGCCTTGTCAGCAGCGATCTCAGTGAGCCTGAGTCATCAACGAAAGCCTACCGCCCATGAAGCCTCCGAGGCTATAACCCAATCCACATCTACCCGAATGAGATCTCCAACTTTCACATATCCCTTTTGCGCCACATCATGCATCGCAAAGATCTTTTCGCTTAATGTCATACCGCGACGACCTGCTGGCCGAATGCTCAGTGGCTCTGGCTTAGCTTTGGCTCTGTCCGCCGAGTTAAGGGCCTCCAGCCATGCGGTTACCAGAAATGATATCTCTGCCTCTTCGTTCTTATCTAGTGGCCGACTTGTGTCTAGACCCAACCCACCTAGTTCCGCGGGCTGCTTGCAAAGGATGAGGACATCGTTTATGGCGGTTGCCTCGCGAGGGKGACCTTGGGCTTGAAGGGCCTGACTTATAGTCTCAAGCTGCTTCAAAATGTTCCCACTACTTGAAATCTCATCTAAATTGGCATGAATCCTGTCAGCCTCTCAGGGAACTAGGGAGTAACGGCCTTCTGTTCCACTTACTCTCCGCTGCCTTGATAGAGATGCTCCGGGCCTGATGAAGCAGGCGAATGATTTCGTGGAACTCTGGGTTTTCGTCGTTGGTCATCTTTACTCGAAATTTTATTGTAAACCTGAATTGAGATTTTTTTTTCCTGTGTATCAATTGTTCTACCGTTTGAATACCTCTTCATGGTTATCAATTCTTGCTGTCGGTCCGTCAGTGGCATCACATCCCTGGACCGGCCCGTAAGCGGCCCGATAGGTTGTTGAGTAGCCCTACAGCCACGACCTTCAAAAAATGGAAGCAGATATCCTGAAAGAGCGTCAAGCCTTCAGCAGTCGTTTTATATCTTATTCTTCAAACACACTCGGATACATCTACATAAAGCGACATTTCAAAATGGTTACGGCTGCTGGCAAACTACGACAGCTTCTCGCGGACCCAGACAAAATCATTGTATGCCCGGGAGTTTATGATGGATTCACAGCACGAATCGCTATGCAGACCGGATTCGATGCTCTATACATGGTACACAATGCCTAAAGAAATATCGTCAGAGTCAGAATTTTGCTGATGTGAAAAGACCGGTGCAGGAACAGCTGCTTCTGTACTCGGTATGCCAGATCTCGGAATACTCACTCTGAACGAGATGCGCGGCAATGCAGAGATGATTGCCAATCTAGATCGATCTGTGCCACTGATTGCTGATGCCGATACTGGATTTGGAGGTAAGGAAGCGAAGTCAATGGACTGCACAAATCACTATGCTCAAAGCTGAATCTAGGGTCATTGATGATTCATCGAACTGTCACTGAGTACATTCGAAGCGGCGTAGCAGCTCTGCATCTTGAAGATCAACCAACCACGAAGAGATGCGGTCACTTGCGCAACAAAATCATTGTTGACGAAGACGAATTCCTGTCTCGAATCAGTGCCGCGGTCAATGCTCGTGCACAGTCCGGTGGTGATATAGTTCTCATCGCCCGTACTGATGCACTCGAGTCTCTTGGCTATGATAATGCCGTGCAAAGACTGAAACATGCCGTCGCGCTGGGGGCCGATGTCGCTTTTCTTGAGGGCGTTACTTCAAAGGAGCAGGCAAAGCAGGTTTGTGAAGATCTCAGCCCAACGCCTGTTCTTTTCAATGCTGTGTCCGGTGGGGTATCTCCTTATTTATCCGTACAAGAAGCTCGTGATCTTGGGTTTCGAATGGTTATTTTTCCTGGGTTGGCGTTAGGCGCGGTCTACGGGGCTTTGACTGCGGAAGTGAAACACCTTAAAGAGACCGGTACTACTCCAGTCAGAACAGGTGGTCCCCGGGAGCTCTTCAATGTTCTTGGATTGAAGGAGGCTATACAGATAGACGCTGCAGCAGGTGGTAAGCTTTACGAAAGGGGCTTTTAGCTTTCATCTATCATGGCTGGGCTCTATTTTCCAGAGTCTAGCTTTGCTGTAAATTGAACGATTTGAGTATTTTTTAAGACGAGAAACTCAGCTAGCAAGAGGAAATACTTATAACGAAGTCATATACTATGAGTAGCCTATAGAAAGACAAGACTGTTCTATTGTACAAAGATCTTCACGACGTCACCGACAGTACGGCATGCTTGATTTCTGCCCCTAGAAGAAATTCCTCGATCTTTCCAAAATCCTTGAAGCCTTCTGACTCTGCAAATTTAGAGTGATCTTCGACAGAATGCCAGCCACTGAAAAGAACGAATTCATCTTTGACGCTGTTATCTTCGTTTCTCGTTTCCGGATCCAATCTCCACCCCCCAATAGTACTCCACGGCTTCACAAATGTATCGAGATGATGTTGGTTCGCAGAGTATATACTCTGAAAGTCGACTTTGTTGCCAGGTTTGATAAAGCAACGACTGATGGCAATGACTGGTGCTGATAGTGGCACGACTGAGCTTGCATTTTCATTGTTGACAGATCCCGGAGAATGAGAAATCGGCGCAACATCAAGATGCTCTAGCCAAACCACTTCCATGCCATCTTGTAGTTCTGCTAGAAGATCATGGTTCGTCTTTGACGGAATCCATTTCTCCACGTGTGTTTCGACCGAGTCCCAACCACCTAGGAGATACAGATAAGATGGATCTTCGACTTGGGTCAGGAGGTGGACTGGGTATGAGGAGTAAGAAGCCTGTCCTTTGATTGCAGTGAGAATTTTTTCCTTTACTGCTTTATTCTCTGGAGCTTCGATGCCCTTGTTATTCTTAAAATGGAACAAAGCGAGTTCGGTGACTGCCATGATGGATGCTTGATCGGCGACCGACGTCGTGTATTTAATTTGGGCAAGTGATGAAAATTTGACTGACTCAAAGATGAGGAATCAAATTTGAGAAGCTCACTTGAACTCATCAGAGGAGAATTAACAGTTCAGAAAAGGATTTATAGGCGAGTCGGCCATAGATCGAGCAGCTACTTGGCCATTGAATTAACCCAAAGCGGACCCCGAGGACGCTCCACGGACGGTTCGGCTTTACTATTGTGACCATATCTGGGACCTTGTTCCGCGGACTGTTATCCATGGTGAATTGTATAGAATCCGACCTGTACGCTTCTTAAAGGGCAGCTTGAATAATCTAGGAAGTCTTGTGGACCTCGTACTGATGGACAAAACATTAACCCTAATACATACCGATACAGAGTTCCTCCATGCAAGCTGTATGGATAACATGTTACAAAACAGTAACAATACATGCTGTATAGATCAGCCAATTATGAGCCGGCGATAGCCCGGAATCTGCGGAATGACGGAAGCTCCTTTTGCTCCTCGACTTGTTTTCTTTTTTGTCAATAATCTCTTTGGCCGACCATCTCTACGAAATTCCATCAAATTCCCCTCGCATGGGCGATATCCTCAGTATGTCCCGGCTACAACCGCCATAATCAAGTGGACAGCGGCCATTCTTGAGAGAATCCACGATCATGTCGGAGCAAGAGCAAGGAATCATCCAACATAGTGAGCTGCCGCCGCCTCCGTACAGCGAGAGGGAACCAGTCCCAGTACAGTTTCAGATTCGCCGGAAACCGATCGGTATTCCCAAACCCAACAACGAAAACACAGCATCGGATTTAAAAAAGGATGATACACTTGCATTTTCCACGAGTTCGAGCCGGAAGGAACAGCCAGAAGAGTGGTCTCGTACCTCACCGAATACGCACCTCAGGGACTGTCCGGATATCTCACTTCACACCACATCACCGCCGCCTATACAGACAATAATTACAGATGGCGATCTTATCGCCAGTCCCTCATCAGCAGCGAGTGCAATACCTTCCATCCAAGGTACTAGCTTCTCTACAAGTACGAACGTCTCCTCCGTAAGCGCAACGTCGCCAGGACCCGGGCCGGCATCTGGAGGATGGAAAAAGGCTGCCGCGGAACATGCTTCAAAGGCATTTCAGGAAGCAAGACATTTTGTTGGGGGCTTGATTATGCATCCTAGTGTTAGTAATAAACACTACACCATCCTACGGCACTCTCACGGAGTGGTGTTCTATCAAGGAAGCAACACATTTCTTGCCATTTCCATATTCGTCGATGAGCCATTGCCAAAGGACCGCACGATTTGGATGCAGTGTAAGGGATGGTCTGGAAAGTCTGGCATGAAGGCAAAGGCATTCTTTGGCCTGAATGACAGCTGGTTAAATGTTACACCAAGCCTAGCTATCCAGCCGGACTCAGTCAACCCCAGCGATGAACGAGCTTGGCAGAGAGATATCAAACGATTTCGAAAGAAAGTTACTGGCACCCCTCTGGAACGCCACATACTTCGAGAAACGGCGATCATCCGTGTACCCGTGGAAACTGCCGACGGCTATTATCAATTAGTCCTCTGTCGTGGCGATCAGAAGCGCAAAGTTCTCTGCACCAGTCCAGTATTTCGTGTCATCTCAACTTCGTCGGATCCATCAACGTTACGAGGAGCAAGTTTGAGTACGTTACCAGTAGAATTGGGGTTGTGGATTGGCGGAATGTACGCACAAAATACGGCGAGCACTGTTGTTTCTCCAATCACATCTCGGATAAAGTCCGCAACACAGCCGCTCATGCCGTCGGGTACGACCCAAATGGCACTTCAGACTGCGTATAGTGTGAGTGGGTTGGAGGACCGCGTTGATACGGGTATTCAGGATGCTGGTGGTCGTTTTGATGAAGTTGAGATCGCAGCTTTCACTCGGCTCGGCATGACAGATTTTAACATTGAGACCGGTCCAGTCGCTCCCTATCCTGTTGATTTCGTCGCAAAAATTGATGGACAAGTGGCAACACATTCATTTAATTTCGATGGGCTACCAAAGAAGATCAACCTGAATGCTGTCCCCCGGCGAATTTTACCGCGGTTAGATGGCCACTACTTTGCTTGGTGTAAGTTCCTCCGTGGGACCGAGAAAAGCATAAGTAATATTAGCAACGGAAAGACAACAGAGCCAGGACAGTCTTGGTTGCAATGTATCGTATCCGCTTCAAGAATTGTCTTCGAAGAGCGTATCTCGAACGTGCGCTCACGAAAAGCCCTAAGAATCATCGCATCTATAAAGATACTTGAAGATATGGATCTTCCACCAGCTGCTCAAGTCCAAATTCGAATCATGGGCTTCATCCGTCCACCCAAGCCAAAAACTGCCTTGGCCGGCAATAACCCTAGTGATGAAGCCGAATATGAACAGCAAATGGTGCTAGATGTTTGTGACATTGAGCTCACACGCAATACTCTAGACAACCCTTCATGGCAGCCCGACTTTTTGCCCGGTTCTCTAGATTCTTCAAGATCTGTTGATGGCAGCGAACCTGGGAAGCAACAGTCAGGTATTTGGGACAAGGCAAAAGACGGATATGCTAACGTACGTCTGAAAGGGCAGACAATGGCTGGCCAGATTCCATTTCATCGTATCGGTATTAGAACGCCGACAGAGGGGCTTAAAGATAAGAACCTTGAGATTTCTGGGTATTACATACCGCGTTAGACCCTTGGAAAGGGTTGATTTCATGATCGACATGAGATATGATTTACGTTTCCATTTTGTTCAACTATCTTTATACCATCGGATTTGGTTTTTCTAATCGATTCAGGTATTCTATCATTTATAGCTTCTTAACATGACCCCCACAAGGTTAGCACTAAGCACATAGGTAATATATAGTTATTTATCAATATCTACAATCTAATTCTTTTCATAATTCGATTTTCCTAACTTAGAAAACATCACTTCGTTACATGATACAAAACACAGAGAGTTTAGCCAACGTGCCTGCTCGTAGGAAATGAGAAACTGTCTCTCTGCGACAGCACAGCCAACAAAGTCAACACGGCAATCAAAACATCAACCTCGTCCGAATCGATCACCAAGACTCCTCCAGGTATAACCTTGCCATTGTCGCTCTGATATCTTCCAATCTCTATCTTACTCGCCGATCCAACCCCCTTGTACAAACTGAGAACACCGCCTCCACCAGGGAACAATGTCTTGTTAACGTCCCATGCATACGAAACAGAGTCATGCACAAAGCTCTGACTACGTCGCGTAGCATTAGTAGGTCGAACGGTGATCGGGTGCGAGGAGTGAAGTGAATTAGGTGGGAAAACGATGTTCGTCACTCCAAATGCTAGGATTGGCGACGAGGATTCCGCCAGTACTACATCACTATTCTGATTTCCTTGTTGTTCTTGTTGCGCATTCTCCCTATTCTGTAGTTTCTGTTTTCGGATGGAGTCGACGTCGCTCTCGCTGTCCAATGCATCTAGTAACCGCTGTTCGAACACCGGTTTGGTCACAGTCCATTTCGAGTCGTTGTACCAGTGAGTCCTTGACAGTTTGAAAATGACTGAAGGATTCGGGATCTCCTCGGCCGCATTTTGGTCCTGTGAAATCGCCGTGGTAGCGATCTCCTTTGCTTGTGCCATAACATCTTCATTGAAGCCGACGTAGTCATCGGTGAACCAACTAACCGATGAGCGGTCGAAGTGAGATGAGAAATCGAAGATGGGCGTACTCTTCTTCCCGGGTGCCCAGATTCCGGTTTCGGGGATGTAGAGGAGCTGGTTGAAATGGAGGAGGGATGGGTCGTTGCGGGTGTCGAGAGGGAGTTTGAGGATGGAGGTTGTTTTGGTAGTTGTCATTGTTGGTGCCATTTTTTGGTGACTCCGGGCTTTTGAAAGCTGTTTGGATGTTTGAGTAGTCTTAAGAAGTCGATTACGAGCAGGTGGTAAATAGTACCCCCAATGCCTCGCCGATATCGTCTCTCGCTTTATCCTATCAAAGCCGGCTGGAGATAAGCACTTTTCGAGGGACTATAAATACGAATCCTCTTTTTGATGATTGAAATGTCTAAGTATGAATATTCTTCTCTTCAACAACCAGAACAAGTAGAAGAACGATGGAATTAATCGCTCATCACGCGAGACGTCGTCCGGACTGATGCGGGGTACGCTCAGTCAGAAGCTCACACAGCCCCCGATTGACTTTCCTAAGCTCTTGATCTGATTGCACGGTGCTGACAAGAATGCCCAATCCGGTATACTCTGAGCTCTTAGGCCCGGCGCCTCACACTCTTCATGGTCTAGGTACCTAGTTTCAAGCTTTGCAGGCCGAAAAAGGCAGCTGCTAACGGCCTGGGAAGGATCACTTTGGGGGTTGTTCCAGGTTGATTAGAGATCCCGGTATATCCGAGATAAGGGTAGGGGAGTCCAGGTCAGAGCGTGTGTGAGCCGACAAGTGATAGGATCGGCTTGTATTGCTGCATCACGTCTTTTACGATAGATTTCATTGGTGAGAAGTTAGAGTCACCTGGTTAGTTGCTCTAGGAAGAATCGACTACGCAGAGACATCAACGTTGTGTAATCAGACACTTTACAGGTTGACAGTGAACAAGTTGATGTACGTACAATGTAGATTCAATTTAATCATTCCAAGATTGTCATCAAGAGGCAAGTTTCAACTGACATGATTGGTGTGAGTCGAGTACTTCCTTTTCCTGTTCTATATTGACAGGTCGTTTCTTTTTTCCTATTTCGGCGTCGAACCATCTTATTGCCCCCAACCCTAACAAACTCGATTATTTGAAATTATGCCTCTTCCTCCTGAGAATTTTTACTCTCGATATTTGTTGATTCTTTGGAAGGTGCGCATCATTTTTGAGAGGAAAAATCTACTGCATATGTAGAAGTCTTGGGTAGGCGCTGGCATGTGGTTTTCCAGGACTTGAACTTGCATGCATATGATCCTTGCTCAATCGACAATGATTATTACATCCTACGATACAATCACAGACACCTCAGTAACCAACCTACCCTCACCAACCCTACTGAGCCGCCTTCGTCACGTGGTCTTGGTGACAGTTGTTGCACGGCTGTCACACACTAGCGGAACAAGATTATTCCCAAACTCCACGTATAAAAGGTCAATTTCGAGCATGTCCGTTTTCTCCCTTCGAAATACACCGAATCCCCTTGTCACAGAGATTGTGGAATAAATTTATTCGCCGTTTTTTCTCCTTTCTCACCACTGTCGGAGTGCGCCAATTGCATTTATTACAGTTGAATATATTGAAATACTAAAAAGTTGTGGTCGTGAACAGTCTGCTATGAAATTGAGAACGATCTCATCTTCGAGCACAACCCACTAGCGAACTGACTTGAGAAAATGTAGAATCCACATTTCAGTGCCCTTGTCTTAGGCGTTGAAAGTTCTCGCCATTCGATCACCCGCAATTACAATCTCCGCAACGGACAACGCCGAATCCGAAGGACCTGCTGGACCTCATAACCTTACGCTATCATTGCTGTAGCGAAGCATAGTCGTAGACCAATGAGAGCTATGTTGTGGGTTTTATGCTGTCTATCCCATATCCAGCCTAGCTGTAATATGTGGTTGACACCAACCCGAGCCCTCTTCTTCTGAGGAAGAGAGTCATAATATAGAAACCAATATCATATTATTACTTCAACCCTTCAAGGGACGTCGGCCCTGCCTTTCCCCAATTCTTGCTTAGTGATCTGGGGCTGGATTAAACCGACGTTTTGTAACGATAATTTCATGTTTTTGATAATAGTTTCCTCTTTGGTAACTATATATATATTTACTCTGTGTCCAGACGACGCACTTAACTACGTATATATAAACACAAGATATAATCACTTCCCTGCGGCGACTAGACACTATACTTGGCAGCAACGATATCGGCTTKCACCATGTTCTCTGTCTCATTTGACGGATATCCCGAGGTCATCACGCCCTCGTAAAACGTGCCCTGCGCGCGATTGCCATTGTCGCCACCGATACCCAGGATGATCGCCCCCTGCTTTTTCATCGGATTATACCCAGAAGGTCTGATACCACTATAGAATGTCGACAACGACCCTTCAGTGGCATCGCCGCCGCGAATTGCCCATTCATTGGGCTCACCCTTGACTATAGCCGTCACAAACCGCCACGAAATGCTCGGGTCACCGGTGTTTCTGCCCGCGCTCTGACCTGAGAACAGCCCATTTTCCATATCGGCCATGATCCAGGGCCCATTGCCAGCACCGGTACCATACCTGGCCAAGTTGCCAAAGTAGATGGCTTCCATGCTGCCATCCCCGTCGGCTCTGTTGTCGGTTTCAGCGTTGCCATAGTCGAAACAGCACTGATTGTTATAATGGGTCCCATCGAGCACCGCATAAATGCCCTCTGCGGCGTCGCCTGTCGCCGTTTTTGAGGCTGCGTCGTTGCGGTATCCTGTGCCCGGCGGTATCAGCACGCCGTAGACCTTGCGCCCGTTGAGCTTGACTGGCGCAGCGGTCGCGATAGCCAGACTATCGCTGCCGTCAGGGCCAGGCCCCAAGGTTATGAATCCACGTGGCGCCTGTGTCAGGTCATTGCCATTGCCGGACTGGTCGTAGATGATGCTGATAGTGCAGTTGGTATTGGCGCAAAAGGAATCCTGCGCGGCCGAGTTGGCGATTCCGCCAGCTGACACGGGCAAGATGTTGGTCGTCCTGTTGTCGGAGATGCGCTGCACCTGGTAGAGAAAGCCATTATAACGGCTGTATAGCGCGCGAGTGGTGCTGTGGGCAGCCACGCACGGTGTGTTGCCAGAGGCGTAGATGTCACAGGGACCCGCTACAGCAAGGCCAGCAAGGAGAGTGAGAATAGGAACCAACATATTACCTGTTTCAAACTTTGATGTTTTGGCTCCAATATTGAGCAGTAATGCCAATAAGAAACCCCCTTTTTATAGACATCCAGATATAGAACTCACTTCATGTGGACTTAGTTAATCGCTTCAATCGTCCATATATTAACCGACGCCTACGACAACGCTTTTCTCTCAGTTAGATCACCAGAAAATATCCGGATAGCGACAATCTTATACATTCGCAGCGTTGCATTTGACTACATTTCATTAGCCATATACAGGTAATCTTACGATCGTTAGTGGAGTCAAATATTCAAATTATAGGCATGGTCCAGTTGACTGAGGTCCCCACGATCTCAGCATATGCCATTTCCAGCTCACTGTTATTCGATTGGCTATGTTTTAAACGATGCCATATATTGATATCCGACGGATAATTTGAATATAGACATGAATCAACATCCGGAATAATGTTTGTATACTAGAAACACTAGGTAACTAATTCCCTATTTGCCTTGTTCTACCCTGCCTACATAATTCGGGGTATAGCCGAATGTGGTATCATTCATTCTAGAGTGTCACGGCGACGGGTACGGCTATTTGTCGCTATCTTTGAAGTTGCTCAAATATGGTAACACAGTTTTCACTCGGATTCTCAAAACTCAAAATGCACAAATTACATGAATTTGAATAACTCCGCAGGATAATCGCTCAAAAAGAACATCGGAACCCCACAAGATATGAAGGAGTCTGGTGAATACTGGAAGGGTATTCTTATTATTTTAAAGAAGAAATGATAATAATAAATAAAAATCTTTAGACTAGTAGCCATCTCCATGGTTCAGTGAGACCAGTCAGGGGCAGATGGCTTATTGCTTGATTTCTACTCGGATAGACTACTCCGTACTGGACATGCAGGAAATAGCTTCTTGTTCGGGTTTGCTGAGGTTCAGCAAAGAGTGCTGTTGTTAATATCTGTGAGGGATAGCTTGGATGTTCATGAGGTCAGCTCATAATCTTTTATCAAGAAAGTTGATTGTAATCAGTATCTTTTCCCGGTAGTGTATGTATTGAACTCAATCCAAGTAGGAAAATATACGTTACAAAGCGCCAACTTCGCATGTAACAACAGCTGTTCTACATATGTAGATTATGTATAGAGCAACTAAAGCATGATGGTTTACTGCACCCAGTATACCTATCGCCAGCGACGAACTCCCACCCATTGGACCAAAACTTCTCAAGCACAAGCAGCTCCGCATGAACTCGAGGTTTGAAACTGCACGCTCTGCTTAATCTTTTATGGAGGTTCCCAAAGCATTCACTCGTCTGTGGGAGGGAGCGGCAAATTTCTAACTGACTGGGTGTTCGAGGATGGCCGAGTTCAAATTGAGGATGGATTGCAGAATACTCGATCCTTGGCGTCGTCAATTCTATACGGGAAATAATGCAGTGTCGTTTTCCGGTTGAATAGTTGAACATTGACATTCACGGATGAAAGGGACAATCATTCAAACATATAAGCTAACGTGAAGCGACATTATCGCGATTTTACTGTGAGATACGATGCTTGGAAGATGGCTGTACTCAAAAACTTGATGCATGTTCAAAATCAAACTTAAACACAAGGAATTGCTTGTTCTGAACGCGGAAATATTCTAATGATTTCAGTCATTCCCACCATGCCGCCTTTAACGTTAACCACAATCCCGGAAAGTTAGTTTTATATTTCCCTTTGAAGATAACTGCGTTTTCTTCTGATGTCACATCCCTTTCCTCGTTCGTGTCAGTAAGCGTTCCCAATTGGTGCTGCGGCATTCCCGTCTGGTAGCAGTTGAACTCGTATGGGTTTATTACAGCATGTGATCTCGTTTGGTGTCATAGCAATCCTGTTTCAATAATTTCGCCGAAATTCAAGTACGGATAATTCCAATCCTCTACGCCGTTTTTGAATTTGTTCTCGCGGGTACAGTGTTGCTCTGCATTCGTTGTGTCATCTAATTGCTGAGGAATCTCTGTATCTTGCCACAGCGTCCTGGGGTAAAGATGCTTTTCATATGCCCTGCATGAGGACTGACATGAAGTCCTCTGGAAGATGAGTTTTGTTACGGTAATAGGTTAGGGCACATCGTGCCGATTGAGGTGCCGGAAAACTCTGGGAAATCACTGAGCATACGTAAGAGTCCACCTATTGCACCTCTGACAACAACGAATCTGGGGAGTCAAAAAGGATGATGGTTATTTAATGAGGAGTAAAGGATAGGATTTTTTACCAGGCCAACTTTGATCCAAAGTTGGTTTCACAGGGGGACCCTCCGTACAGGCCGCCAATAAAGATGACTACAGTTCAAGTTACGGAGGATTCTGCACCTACGGATAATTTACATAGATCAGATCGGATAATGGAATATTCTCGAGCAGCACTTTTCGGGTGTCTCGATCGCTACAGTAACACGGAAAATTGTAAAACCCCGCGTTTTTTGTTATTCCCCAGAATACTACTGACGCCATGTTTTGCATGCGTTCTGCATGGTTGAGTCGCGGAATTCGAGAAGGGAGCTTTTGACCAAGCATAAATACCGTGGTCCCATTGTGTTTTCTCGCAGTCCCTCAACACCAAGAGTTCTCAATACGTTGGATTATTTTTCTCGTATACACCAACATGCGGATTAGCTCAACTTTTGGGGTGCTTGGGGCCATGGCCTCAGTAGCCCACTCAATGGCCATAAGTAATTCTTTGGATACTCGGTCAGCACGTAAGTACAATTTCCTCTGTTTCTTCCAGTTTCATTAACAAAGTCCAGATGGCTACCCTCCTACACTTTTGATTTCAAATGCAGCTTTGACTTCGAAGTGGTTCGAAGGCAGTAACTATGTCCAAGTTATTGAGATGACGGTTACCAATAACCACACACAAAACTCTCTTACTCTGGCCGATACGCTCACCATCAATGCTACTTCGAGCAGCTTCGATTTAGTCAACACTGGTACACTTACCCGTCTTCATCCCGGTCAGTCTGCGGTCGTTCAGATTGGAGTTAAAAACAAGGCGGGAGTGGCAGCTGGTACTACTTGCAACGGTGTTATCACTGCCACTTGGGGATCCGCATATGGGGCACCGATCTCCAGTACTGCGAACGTTTCTGGAAGTTGTGGATTCGGCAACTATACGGCAGACGCAACGAGTTTGTCGCACCACAGCAGTCCGGATTGGTTCAACGAAGCCAAGTTCGGAATCTTCATTCACTGGGGCATATATTCAGCTCCTGCCTATGGCAGTGTGGCACCTAATGAAGACTATGCCGAATGGTAAGGGACGATCCACAACAAGTCCAGAAGTATACTAAGTAGCACAGGTATTGGAGAAGAATGAGCGACCCGACTTTCCGAACTAAGACATACCAATATCACGAAGAAACCTATGGTCAGAATTTCACATATGATGACTTTATTGCTAACTTTACCGCCTCAAACTTCAACGCCGAAAGTTGGGTTAATCTCATTGCTTCGGCGGGGGCGCAGTACATGGTTCCTGTAACAAGTATGTTGCTTTACATACTACCAAAATCAAAAGTCCTAATACCATATAGAGCACCATGACGACCAAAATCAAAAGTCCTAATACCATATAGAGCACCATGACGGTTTCGCCCTTTTTGACTTCCCAGCTAGCATCAGCCAGCGATCCTCTGTCCATTTAGGTCCGAAGAGAGATTTCATCGGCGAGCTTTTCCAAGCTGCGAAAAAATTTCAACCGCAACTTCGCCGCGGTACTTATTTCTCACTTCCTGAGTGGTTCAAGTATGTTTGTTGTAATGTGCCTCTCCATTATTTATGCTAATCCACCTAGTCCACTATATAAGACTTACTCCTACTCCGGTGGTGGCGGTTTCCCTGGAGGTAGCTCATCTCTTCCAATTCTACTACCCTGTCAAGGTTAAATGCTAATATGTTTCTAGGACCACCTGTCAATCCATACACGGGAGCTGTGGAAACCTACACTGGTTTTGTCAACAACAACGATTTCATTCAGGACATTCAACTTCCTCAACAAAATGTGCTTGCATATAACTACGATACGGAAATCATGTGGTGTGATATTGCTGGCAGCGCTAACAACGCCACCATTTTTGCCTCTAAGTGGATTAACTGGGCGCGTGACCAAGGCCGCCAAGTGACCTTCAATGCTCGCTGCGGTCTCGCAGGTGACTTCGATACGCCAGAGTAAGCTCAGCCTCCACGCATCAAATGAGTCAAATCTAATTCATCTCCAGATATCGCACTAACGGCGGGACTGTTGTCCGCAAGTGGGAAACCAACCGGGGCATGGACGCATTCTCTTTCGGATACAACTACCAGACACCTAACTCGAGCTACCTCGACGGAAATGCCATCGTTCACACCTTGGTCGATACCGTCAGCAAAAATGGCAATTTCCTTCTCGACATCGGACCGAAGAATGACGGTTCGATCCCGGGCATCATGCAACAAGGCCTCCTGGACGCGGGCAAGTGGATCCATGCCCATTCAGAAAGCATCTTCAAGACACGATACTGGTCCGTAACTCCAGGCCTAGACAACTGGCGCTACACCACAACTCAAGATGCCTTTTACATTCACTACCTTTCAACACCTTCCAGTACAATTACGACCCCAGATGTCGTCCCGTACTTGCCTGGTGACACGGTGACTATCTTGGGAGGAAGTATGAGTGGCACTACGGTTCCAGTTACGTGGAATAGCAACGGAACACTTTCGTTGGCGGTGTCGAGCGCTTTGCAAGCTTCGGACAACTATGTTTGGACCTTCAAACTCGCATATACCAGTACCTGGTAGACTGCGGCTGAGTGATTGGAAGCGAGAGGTGTGGTGTGGTTAGGCTGTGATATGGGCAGAGACTCGTGATGGTCGTGTGAACACCGTCGCTGATGGGGGGGGGGGGAATAGKGGKGGGTAGGCTTCGAGCTTCCCTCAGGCGGGTAGGATGCTTTTGTCTCCCGCCTATGGGAAATAAATTCGACACTGCATACAACTATTAATTAAGCCTTTGATGGGAACTATCCCCACAATGGAGTGTGGACGCATGTGTTTGCAGATCTGTCAGCCACTGGATAACGATCTCCAATTCCGAGTCACTTGCGGGTTCGACTGAGGTTTGATTTGGAAGTCAGTATATTGCAGAAGCTTGGTAGTCCAGTACGTAGGGGAAAATGGCAAAAACCTTTAGAAAGCTTGCTTAAACATCTTGGCAGTTCCCGAGATAGCTCTTTCTGATAATAATTCATCCTTGACTGGCAGAACTTAACAACGCAATCAGAAATTTCATTGCTGGGTGTTGTCGGTCCCCATAATGGGGAACAAGGAACAATTGCGGCCAAACTTGAGTTTCCGATTTCATTCTAAGCTCGTGCCTGGGCCTGGACTATCGATCGATACGATTTCTTCTCTTCGTTTGGGCATCTTTAGTCTCCCGTGTCTTCAGTGGCATCTGGTGGCATTTTGAAGTTCATACTCGCAATCTCGCATTCAATAGCTAAATAACGGTTATGGAGAAAGTGATCATCCGTTGACATCTCTGTGGGTAAAAAAACGGAAATTGTATCCCCGCTCACCATCCAGTTCCCCCCAGATGATACCTGCTGGAACGTGTTGCCTTGGTCGTCTTGAAGGATACTTGAAATGGTAGCTGAGTCATCCGCCCGTTTCGAATAACGTAATTCACGGGTAAACTGCTCACACGGGTAAGTTGCTCACCTGGTAATCCATACAAAATGGCCCATTTCCATATATCGATCCTCTATAACGAACACGAATCTTGACCTAATATTGGATACAGCAACTGATACAGGTCCATTAAAACTACATTAGAGATTGAAAGAAATTTGATTTAAGTGATCATCAAGATTCTTCAAATTATCATAAATTACGTCGTAATTTTTGATACGAAGGGGTTCTCTATACTATTATACTTTAAAAATACTATTAATAGGTTATCTTTAGTTACTTTAAAGATATACTCAATTTTTATATATAGTTTACATATAAAAGTGTTGAGATATATGTGTATTAGATTTGTATGAGAATCCATATAAATTTTGGGGTGAGCAACTTACCCGTGTGAGCAGTTTACCCGTGAATTACGTTAGTTATTAACTAGTTAAGTCAGTTAATCGTTTCATCGGGGTGACTTACAAAAATTTAGCCACGTACGTAGTACGCCGCACAAGCCAAGACATTGATGATTCCGATCGGGTGTTTTACCGATTACATTACTTAATTATGATTTGTCATAAAGCCCATAGTTGCAAAGAGAGCATTGGGAGAATTGTAATTTGTCATCAAAGACATTCGCTGTATGCAGCGAAATACAGGCAAAAGCTGTTTTGTTCAACATATGCTTGGTAATACCCTGCATGCGAGTGAGTTGTACAGACATACGTAAGCTTACTTATCAGACAAATACTATCATATATCCCTATAGCGGAATTCTTCCACCTCACAATTATAAATTCAATCCCTAGTAAGCAAGCCGGAGAGTCTATAAGTATCAGTCTACGAAGCTGCCTTCATCACCCAGGATCATTTCACTCAAGACTACTATTTCCTCTCATTACAAGCAAAGTTCCAAATACATTCTACAAACAAAGGAGGCATCATATTTGACAATGGACGCTGTCGTGATATCAGAATTTGGTGGCCCAGAGGTCTTGAAAAGAGAGACGGTGCCGAAGCTGACACCTGTCCATGGTGAAGTCTTGGTCCGTGTGAAGGCATTTGGACTAAACCACGCAGAGATGCATATGCGGAAAGGCGAATGGGATGAATGGAACCCTATTACCGGTCTTGAATGTGTCGGTGTCGTTGAAGCTTGCCCAAGTGGTGACATCCCAATTGGAACCAAGGTTGCAGGCGTAATGGGTGGAATGGGACGCAATCGACCAGGGAGCTACGGCGAGTTTGTCAATATACCGCTTACAAACGTCATCCCAGTGGAGACCACGTTGTCCTGGGAGGAGTTTGCAGCCCTTCCCGAGGTTTATTCGACAGCCTACTCGTGTCTTTTTACTGTATTGGACCTACAGCCCGGCGAATCGCTTCTGATCCGTGGAGCAACCTCAACTCTGGGACAGGCAGCTCTACATTTAGCTGTAGACGCAGGAGCCAAAGTCACTGCAACATCTAGACGTGAGAGCAGATTCAGTATGTTGAAAGAAATGGGAGCAAGCGATGTAAGCATCGAGAAAACAGGAATACAAAGCGTGCTCGGCGAGAACATCAAGTTCGATAAAATTCTCAACCTCATCGGCAATAGTGTCCTAGTTGAGACTTTTTCGCTTGTCCGGACACATGGTCGTATCTTGCAAGCTGGCTGGCTCGGGGGCCTTGCACCTGTACAGGACTTCAACCCCATGGTTGAAATGCAGTCGGGTGTTCATTTTAGTCTTTTCCATAGCAAAGTTCTCGGAACGCCTGAATTCCCTATGTCGGCTGTGCCACTTCAGCAGATTGTGGACAAGATTCAACGCGGGCGATGGAACGCAAAGCCGACGCATGTCTTCAACTACGATGATATACAAGAAGCACACAAGTTATTGGACTCTCACAACGCTGGAGGAAAGATCGTCGTGAAACACTGAGAATGAGGGCACCCTGGGAGGACCTCAGGGAGCGTTTTTATATCATATATGAAATTCCTTCGGTGCGATGCATAGTGTCAAATTAATATCCATGGATGGCGAGTAAGAAGTCACAACAGATGAATGAGAAAAAGTATTTGCTATGTAAATAGATATGTACAAGAAGTAAAGTATTTCCAATTTTGTCGCAAACTGGAACTGATCTACAATCATTGCCTTTTAGGTATGATTCGCAGGGCAGAGTATGCAAAGAACATTTCTACCAAACGCAACTCACCATAAACTTAGGCAGGCTGATTGGGGTTGGCAGCGCAGGCAGCACCAATACAGCAAGTGTAAGTACCAGTCTGGCACGTACCGAAGCTGTTAGCAGCACTGTCGTTGGGGAAAGTGTAAGCAGCACCGGAGCAAGGTGCGAAGAACGTTGTGGCAGAAGTAGCAGAAAGGTCACTGCGGAGAGGGTTGACGCAGGCATTTTCATTATCGTTGTCCTGTTGAGCATATTGTTAGCGAATTATCATGGAATGTAAACGAAGGATTTGTTAACATACGGGGCAGGTGTTGAGTTCGAACAAGTTCTTGTTGCATCCAGTGACAACAGTGTCGCTGAGACCACCGCAGTGGCAGACGATAGCAACAGAAAACCCGTCACTGTACGAATATCAACATTTTCGAATCCTTTATCTTCGTCATCGTACAGGGGAAAGCACTTACACATAGCTGACATCAATATCGGCCACGGCCACAGTTCCTTCATAAGGAACGACGAAGTTGGACTCGATTAAACTATCATCGCCAGTGATTCCCCAAAGGGCATCGTTGATGGCCATATTTCCGATCCAGTTCGTGGGAACAGCAATTGAAGCTGTCTGACCATTGGTCATTGTACCGGCGCCAGTCGCTCCAGAGACAGGGGTAGGGGCACCAGGATTAGTGTCAAGAGAGGTGGTAATGGTATCACCGTGGCTGTTGACGACAACAATGGTCAGGTACTCAGGTGGGCTGGCATAGTCAGCAGCAGCAGCAACGGTGTGCACTGCCATGGCACCATCGACTGCGAGACCGTGCGTCGCCAAAGTGGTGGGTGTAGGAGTAGGGTTTGGCAAGGCAAAGCTGGTAGCGGCCAAAGCCAGCAAAGAGACGGCAGAGAGTGTGTTCATTTTGTTTGACGCAAATTTTGTATATAATAACAAATAATGAGTGTGTAAGATCGTATAGCTTGGATGCTAAGGAATGACTGGCTATGATCTAAGATCTTGAATAAAGGAATGACAAGAGAGTCGAGGCTGTAGCTTTGGAGTAAAGATCGTCACAAAAGTGAGGATTATCGAGAGATCAGCGTCGACATTATATAGATCTTTGAATCCAGGCTCGTGGTTGCTGCTTGGTCGGGTACTATGCATGAGGTCTCGCCTTCACCGAAATAGACCAGGCCAGAATTTTCCAACGTTGGCTGAGCCCTGAGGATTCGTTCAAGCTGTCAGCCATCTAGCGCCCTAATTGTATCCATGACATGGCCGGACGTTCCGCAATGCTACTTGATGGACAGAACGAAGTCCGTTACGGCGCGGTAGTGCGATACTACAAGGTAAGCTACGCTTTTCTTTTTGCGGTACCTGAGATGTTATGTGACTTATGTCTAGTCCACACATAGCTGCAGGAACATGCTACGTCAAGGCTTCAATAATGGACTACTAGCTAATTTCATGTCCACTTGTGGGTCTGACATCGTCTTGTTAGGGCGTCCTATGTTGCAAGTCTGGGTAGAATTAGTACATTAGCCCTAACTGCTGGTCGGCCAACATCTCGATTTTTTGTAAATACAGTCTAATAGGACCATTACAGCTCAAAATTGCTCTGAATGCAACAATGAAGATGTACAAGAATGAACAAATATGTTGGATAATGTGAGCCAAAATTTTCGAATCTGCCTTCTGCTGAATAGTGTGGCGCGGTGTCCTGTCAGCGTTGCAACAACATCGTTCGAAATAGCGCTTAACATTATTCCGCTGTGTGAATTTCCTTGAGGCATACGTAACCCCAATTCCTCTGACTATGCTAGCGCTGGAAAAGAGGAATAAATATGTAGGGCCAGGCTAGAATTGTTGGGGCTAAAACGCTATAATTGGCCATACACATCTATTGGCCAACGAACGTTATAATAAGGTTACATTCTTGTTCAAGCCAGGATTCTTGGGCCATGGACCATTATTATCTGACTATGTATTCTTGTCACTTATTCTGGCCGCTATCTTCATTCATGTTGGTCAAAGGTTGGATGTTCTGTTGTTTGCTCGCGTTGTTCACTATCTATGGATTAGTCGTGGCTCTCAACATAACCATACATGTAGCGGAACGAATCAGATTACAATTATGGGATCCTTGAATACGCACGAGATTTATATTATAGACTTTTACGCAGGGTTTTCGGTTGGTCATTTCCACTTTAGCAAAATGTCGTGAATTCTCTCTGCATGACCTGTATCGAAGTCGGATATCTCCGAACGATCCTGAAGGTCACTCTCTACCTCTCCACCGTTTGCTCGCGATAATTAAGAAACCTGACTATTGAATATAAGGGTCTGCAAAAGTCTGCCAAGCTCACGTGGTGTACAATTTGGTACATCGCTTACATCATCCGAATTCAGCTGTACACGTCCCCGGGTATAGTGGATGTCTAGAAGGGCCATTTTAGTTTGCTCCATGTAAACCTAGATATGTAGCGTGTCTTTCCTGGTTCCTGCATCAATTCGTAGTGCTTTCAAGCCGATGTATCTTTCCAAAGTTCCTTCTCATCTGCCCTTTCTCTTTGTCGTCACATGATATTATCGGGTAAATAAAATAGATGTATTTGCCTGGTAAGTACGTGTTCATGGTATCTTCAGCCTTCGCTTTGATTGTGCCCATGTATCGGCCATGAGTTACGATTGTGCATTTATGATCGCCAAGTAGGGAATTATAATTGATCATGAATCTTTTCCGATGGCTTGCATTATGAGTACACCTAGTAGAAACTCTTGATTAGGGAAAAGTGATTATTTGTAGTTTGATACTATACTTCATCATCAGAGTCCATCTGCTTGTCTTTCGCGGMTCCGGCAGCTACTGAAGACTTGTTTCGACCCATATTCCGGAGATGGGACGTGAACATGCTACTCCCTTTTGAAAAATGAAGCAGCAATGAACGACTTCCGGAGCGCACAATCCGAAATACACTGCGCTGTGAAAAGCTATCTTCCGACAACCTTCGACAGAGCGAAAATATTGCAGGTGCAGAACAAGTCGTAATGGCCACTAGGGCCCCAAGATTTGACAAAAGACTGAGGTAACCTTTATCATACGTCAAATCTGGAGACGACACCATGTGTAGGGCTTTGAGACGAAGGGCCGTTACTATGATAACCCTAGCATTGTTTTCGGATATTAGGATTCTGCAATGATAAAGATGGCGCAGAATACTCACAGGGCCCCAACTGAAAATACAAGCGAGATTGTCAGCTTTTTCGAAACTGGTATGCTTAGCCTCCAGAGCATAGCAACAGGCACTATTGCAATACCAATATCCAGTCCAAGACCAATAGCCTCCAATACTACGAATGATGGTATCTCATCACAAGAAGAAGACGGATCCCATGCGGCTGATATGGGTTGGCATACGAGTAACGGAGTAATGCAGAGCACAATACCAAACACAGCTGATAGTATGATGGCAATAAACAGGGACCAACGTATTGGATCGGTGACGCCAAAGACTTTCCTGATCATGAAAAGGGCAGATAATCGGAGGAGGGTGTTGACCCATCCCCAGAGTATTTCATTTGCGAAAACACTCTATATGGTTGTTTCAACCTTTTGCCACGAATGTACTTTGGAGTGGTATTTGGACATACCTTTGCAACAATCCCGAACTGACTTTGATGAGACACGTCGGCCTCGTGCTCACCTTGGCCTTCATCAACGACTGCCCATGTCGTCTGCACGACTAAGAGGACTGATACAAAATATGCGGTAAATAATAGGTAGTCGTCAATACCGATGTCCCTTCGACGATGTACGCTCAAGACTTGAGCAATGATAGATATTGTTGCAAGTCCAGTGAAAAGCCAAGAGCATACCAGAGTGGAATAAGCGATATCTGAGTAGGCCATGATTTAATTCATTCTGTGGATGAATTATCAGGTAACATATGTGATATCAAATGTAAATACACTTCAAGTATGCAATCGGACCTGGAATTATCGAAGAAGACATCAGTATCCGAAAAAGTCGGGCTGAAGTTGCATCGCCTGGTGTTGGAATCTGCCTTGTATCATTTTGATTAAGAGCCTCGTATAGCCACCCTGTTTCTAAGGCAGTGCTAGCCAATTGCATTGTGTCGTATACCTACAAGGCTGTGAAGCTGCAAACGCTGCCGCTCGTGCATGTTTAGCCGCAACAGGGAACGGGGGGATAACTCCATAGGTTAGGGTTTCGCAATTGGGTGCGCGATCCGGCTATATTTATGCATTGATGGCTGGAAGGTAGCTATTCTTTAGGTTTTGAGACTATGAGTCGATTCTAGTCTCTTCAATCTATGTGTATTGAAACTATTGTGTCGTGCGAGGCATTGATGTTCTTCAAAGTCTCCAGCTCGTAACTATACGACTGAATCTGCGCAGATAATATATAGCTAAGACCTACCTAAGTCACCAGACCCGATATGCACCAACAGACAATTTCATAGAGTCGAAATTGTACTTTAATATATCATGCCTTCCACTTCCAAATCGAGCCTCTAGCGGCTTCAATCCGAACCCAAAGTGTAGCCACACTAGCAGCAACCAACAGCACAGTTACCACAGTTACAGCCCGCTCATACACCCAAGGCGATGTCAGTGACTGCGATTGCGGAATCAATAAACTGATCAGCGGTGTTCCTAGCAAGGCACCAATTCCACGAATGAGTGACAGTGTGCCATTTACACTTGAAAAGTGCTGTCGACCAAAGAGCTCAAGTAATGTGACGGGAAATAGAGATATATATGCACTAGCGAACGCGCCATAAAAAACGACGAAGAAGATGAATAGGACATCGGACCTCGTATTATCGCAGGCATTACTGCTCTCGTTGCTGCACGCAAAAGTCGTAGTCGGCAGCCAGAATACCAATGTGGCAACGGCGCTCATCACCGTCGTGAAAAATAAGGCATTAAGACGGCCAAATTTATCCGCGCAATAGCCGATAACAATCCTGGAAACAAAGTTTGACGCATTGCTGAAGGTAATAAAATTAGCAGCCTGGTCGGCTCCATACCCTAGGGATTGGGCATATGCGACGTAGTAGAATAATGGAATCGAGTAGCCGGCTGATTGTATGAAATTGCCCAGAGCTTGGGCTAGAAATTTATTGGATGTAGCGACTTTCCAACTCAATGAAGGAAACTGAAAAGGTTGTAGCCATTTTGAGCGAGTAGACGATGACACAGCTACTTGAGCGTGAATCTGCTCTTTCAGGTTGGGTTCCCATCGCATTGCACCGCTGGCAAACGCCACGAGAGCGAGTGTGATACACCCGGATATACGCATCGCATCTCGAAACCCAAGCGAATTGATGATTGCGCGCAGGATCGGAGGCCAGATCATACCCCCAACACCCGTTCCGGCAACGATGATCCCCATCGCCAGACCACGACGCTTGTCGAACCAAGTCGGTGCCACGGACGTCGTAGTGACAAAAGTCATCGAAGTGCCCACGCCCATGAGTAAGCCCTGCGTAAGCGCAAACTCCCACAATCGCTCACTAAAACTAGCCAAGATATGCGCTACACCAAAGACAAGACCGCCCGTCGCAACGACGAGTTGTGGCGGGTACAGTCTCGCCCACATGGCCACAAACGGGCCTCCCAATGTCATGAACGAGACACTCAGGATTCCGATCAGTCCAATTTTCGAAGATGAAATGCCCGTGAAGGGGTTGTTGGGTTCTTTGGCCATGGCTTCGTAGAGATCTTGGTAGACGCCGAAGCTGAAAACTAATGATGTCGTTGTGGCGGTTATCAAGAAGCCGGCTAAGACGACTAGGCTTTGATTGCTAGCGACGTCAATATTTTGAGGTGTCCCAGGTTGCTTTGGGGTGCAGGTCTACTCACAGCCGGTGGCCTTTACTTTCGTCGGTTCCATCAGTCGCTGCATCTCGCGGCACCGCTGCCTCAAATTTTATGGGGGCAGCTGCTTGAGGCTCACTCTGCGACATGTTTGCGTCTAATACATTGTGAATGTTTACAATACAAGTCAATTTCTTGAAGGAAAATGCAGCGAGTAGTGCACGGAAAAGCAATGCCGAGAGTCGATTCCGGCGGCTAAAAGCTAATCTCTGCTTAAGTCCCCGGTGGGCAGTCTGGAGAAGTGCCTCTCATATGCCATTTTTAAATCTCAAGTTATTCTCGAGTAACTTCATATTGCTTATGGGTTATAAGTCAGGCAGTCTTGATGTATTCGATGGGGTAGGGTCGCGTTGAAGGGCTCCGATGCATATAGGTGTAACCCTAACACTAGCTGGTGCTTTTCACGGGCAATCCATGCGTCTCTGATCTCGTGCGATTTGCAAAGAAATCCATGTAGAAATCCAACTAGCATGTCTGCTCATTTCCTATTCGTCGAAAATGAACAAAAGTTCAGCATAAGGTAGTATGCGGTACTGGACTACTAACTTTAAACCAAGTTCGTATGTATTTTAAGGTTGAAACCCTATTTAGGAAAACCAGATAAGAACATGATGATATCATACTATATATTTGTTCTTTTTCTCTACTTGATTGTGCTTCATCTACAAAGTAGATACATCGTAGATATCCTTGGAAGGGGCGACGGAAGATCCATCGTCATAATCTGGCTTTGATTCGTCGCCTCTTTTTGCCGGACCCAGATACAGTACGCAGGATTACCATTGGATGGCAGCCGTTGCCTAAGAAGCTGTGGTAACGACTACCAAACATGAGCTTAAATGGATGAAAGAACTGTAAATTGACTCCAGGACCAAGCCCAAGAATTTCGATTGGTGGGAAGTATACGTAATTTGTTATTCAAGGAGTCACGCGATAGTTCTCGTACTCGGCCATAGCATCCACTTAACTTCGTTTCGACTGATATTTCCGTGCTCTCGAAGAGTCATGCCATGATCAAACCATCTCACAGATGGATCAGTCGGAACTAAATACCGGTTTCGAGGGAACCTTTGTCTCCAGGATTTTGCATGTTTCATTTTTCAGGTGGGGATGGAATCCTTCAAATTGTATCGAGAAACCGACCTGGAAAGGGAGCGATTTTTATATGTGCTGCGTTTTCATTTTTCTTCGTCGTTTCACCGGCATTGAGTCACTGTAGCTGTAGTATCAATGCATAAGCATAAATCTATCCTTCTGATTCCCTATGCGAGCTCGTATGAATAGGTTGTAAAGGTATGGTAGCAAGCTGTTCGTTTATGTCGCTCCGTGAAAGAGTCCCCCCTTTGGGCAAGCGGTATCTTGCTCTGACACTAGGAATGGCAAATCTTGCCTTGTTGATGAAACAAGAGCTCACCTAGATGTCCAGCCTTAAGGTTCGTATGTCAAGTGAGCATCATACCATCTCTGTATGACATAGAACGCTGGCTCGTCAACCCTTCCATTTCCCATCTCTAGGCGGAGGTTTGATTGGACGGGGTGATACATCCATGTCACTAACCAGCTCTGTTTTCCTCTTCTGATCCACCACCAGCAATGCAGCAAAAACCTACAGCCTGGAGATACAGTACAAAAACAAGGAAGAACATCAGGCGGGCAGGCATTCCAATACGCATATAACCCAAACGGAATCCCAAGCACGCCGCCAGCACCTTTACCCATCACCAAACCTCGCTTACTCATACTTTGGCTGCCCGAAACCATGACCCATCGCCGTCTGTGCCACAGATTCTCTTGTCGTCGGCATGTGCTCGAACAATATACAATGGCAAGTACAGGGGTTTGGGACCGCGGAAAGTAAACAAAAAACACGAAAGAATGTCAGCTCTGCGTGTCGAGCGTGCAAAGCGCGAAAGCTGAAGGTGTTACCTATCCCCTCCTGATGACATTCAACCTCTGGGGTGACAGCGCTTGCTAACGGTCGCAGTGTAGTGGGGTGCCTCCATGCGAAACGTGCGTGAGGTCGAAAAAGGAATGCATCATCGACGTCGAGCGCGACCAACGACGAAAGCTCAATTTGAAACGAAGAGTCGACAGTCTAGAGAGTGATCGAATCTTTCTCATTCGCTTGATCGAGAGCCTTCGCACCGGCCCACAAAACCACATCACTGATTTACTCAACTTCATTCGCTCATCATCGAGTCTCGATGAGATCAAGTCGTTTCTCAACAGCTATGTCCCGCAAACGGAAACCGAAGCGACGCCGCAGATGAGAGATGTGTTTGTAAAGCTCGAGCGACTTCAACAATCTCGACAAGGCCCACCGACGACGCTGGCAACCCGACGGCTTTCAGACACACCTTTGGTCACCGTACCAGCGAAGCCTTGGACGACCGTAACCGATGACGATCAATTTGTTTCCCATTTGATCTCGCTTTGGCTCACATGGCATTACCCCTGGTTCCACTGCATCGATCCGGCGATTTTCATCAAAGCAATGCAGTCGAGGGATTTACAATCATCTTTATGTTCGCCATTTCTTGTCAATGCGATCCTTGCTGAAGCGTCTGTGAGTTCTTTCATCCGTGAAAGAGGCCCTTCAGGCAACTGCTAATAGATATATATCGACGACAGTTTTTCTTCGACAGCCCCGAAGCCTATGCGATAAGTGGCGATATCAGGACGATAGGAGATCGTTTGTACGCCGAAGCCAAAAAGCTATTGGACGATGAAGAGGGAAGGATGTCTATACCAACGATTCAGGGACTAGGAGTTATGTTCGAATGGTAACTTGATACCATCCTCTGAAGTTTGAGTGTATCCCTAATCGAGAACAGTGCTTCTGGTTTGGGAAAAGACCGAGCAGGATGGGTATACMCCATTCAAGCCGCTGAAGGAATGAAGGCAATTCGCAGAAAACAGGCCCGCCTGGTTCTCGAGACTGGCTTKTCCACGGCGGATCTTGAGTTGCTGATGCAACGCATTGAGCTCAGCCAGTTCAACGTGTTTGTGTAAGCGACCCATGACCCTGTGTGTGTATTTTCACCACTGACCAATTGACGTACTTATAGTTCTAGCGCTTTGGCTCTCCAGATTCGTCCTCAGGTCATGAAGCCACACAGTTCTTGTATGCCGACCAATTGCGAGATTAGTAAAGACGTGTTTGTACCATTTCCTCGTCGCGAGATACCGCTACCAGCCCACTACGATTGTATACTGAATACATTGGCACAAATGGGGGACATAGTTTGGGACATTTCGACATTCATCGGCAGTGAAGAACGAACATTCACGCAGGCTGACTTGGTCGATGCAGTTGAAAAATGGCATGCACGTCTTGCTCAATGCTGGGAAACACGATCCAGATGTATTGACATTGAGAGAAATCCTGTGCCAGGTATCTTGACAGTGTAGTGAGTTTTTTCCTTTAGCTAAACCACGGGTTCAGCTGAGTTAACCGGATGCTTGCGGCGCAGCATGTATTACCATACTATCATCATTACTATGTACGCCTTTCTCAAATCCATACCACCAAATGCCGATGATCGTCTTTTGGAGTGGGCAGAGCGGGCGCGGCAAATTTGTTTGTCTTCTGCTCACAAAGTTGCCCAACTCGTAGAAACTCAGCAGCTACACTGGGGTCCAGATCCCGCTCCCTTTGCAAACGCGCACTCTATCAACACGTCGCTGTATATTTTGATGGAGGATCTGAGGGCTGCCGAGAGTCATCAAGCATTCATGAGTTTATGCCGAGCTCATATTCATTATGCCAAACGGTGGCCGCTACATCGAGGCACGGTCCGGATGGTGCAGTTGACCGCACAGCGTATGAAAGATCCGCTGCCACAAGACGTGGTGACTCATTTCCGGGACTTCGAGGAGCGATATTGGAGGCCAGATAGCGGTCGGCAATTTAGCAGTCGGTATCCTAATTTTGCCATCGCAATTCGGCAGGGGGTGGATTATCTGGCGGATGATCTGGAGCTGGATGCATTTCTAGAGAAATGGGTGAATCTGGACGATGCGACGTGATGCTGTGCTCACGAGTACCTAGCAATTAGCAATTAGCAATTAGCCGCTAGCAGTTTGCATGCAGTGTTCGTGCATCGACGGGGTTGGGACATTGTCGAAATCTCCAATATGACTGAGCAGTGATGAGAGAAAAGAAGTTTTACCGTGTAGTCGACAAGTACGTAACAGTAGTACCACGAAATATGTGTTGGCCAACCAACCCCCTCTCCTATATCTTATAGCTTCCAAAGGCTCACTGCCTGCGCTAAAATAATAAATAAATTAATTTAAGAGGAAAATCCTGAAAATAAACTCTAATTTACTTTGTATTTAAAAAGACTCATATGTGATGTAATATTTCCTTCGATTTGCTTTTGTGTCAACTGAATGAGGGTGGTGTGATGATTAGGATACACATCTTTTTCATCCTATTGTCGTGAGTGGGAGAGTAAGCGACGCCCAAGTCATGTGTCGCTCTTTCCTTGTCTCCCGAGTCTACTCTCTACTCTCTACTCTGTACTTGCACTTTCTTAATATCCTCGTGGTAGCTACCTACATCAACACTCTCGCCACTTCCAACAAGACTGTAGAACCCACTGCTGCTTCCCTGTGCAACTAGCGCCTTATTATCGAGGTACACATTAGACAGACCTCCAACAACACACACTCCAATCTCTCCTTGCTCCACCGATCCATTTTTGCGCAAGCCACAAATCGAAAAGATCTGATCCACACGAACGTTTCGGTTTCTATTCGTTGACACTTGAACGCGGCTTTCTCATACGTACAAGTCTAAGGTGAGTGTTCAATTCCTCCTCTGAACCCTTCTTCATTGATGTTTGTTTACGGGCGGGCCGGCTCGAAATCTTTGCGCCGACAGCAAAACATCACCACCACCGCTCGATACCCAAAGCTGTCACTAACACGACAGACCACACCACAGTCGCAGAGGAAACATCTTCCACGAGCCTCCTCCGTCCAATGACCAAGCGAATCCCCGCAAACACGCAGGATCTCCAGCCGAGCGCAGACTAAGGCCAACTAGTGCGGGGTAACGTAAGCTGTCAGATCTCGATCTGACTTTGTCTCAGGAGTCCGATACAGTTCAGGTCAGGTGTGGTGCGCTTAACTCTGCCTATCGCCTTATTTGGAGTTTCCACAACCCGTCGCTCAGCTAGACGTCACGTCCGCATTTACCTGATTGCAGGCCCGCCGGTGCTCGATCGCAGCCGCAACCCGACCGCAACGTAACTAGACCACCAGCCGCAACGTCAACAAGGGCGGTTACGCAGGGGAAGGGGCGTCGAAGATGTTGCAGGTGCACACGGATCCAATACACACGCAAACCATCTCTGCGGGCAAGCATGCTTACTCGCTGTTAACGAGAGTGTCTATCCGCTGGCCCCCGGAGGACGCCTACGAGAATACCGAGACGACCGTCATCAGTGTCAACAACTTTTTTGTGGATTTACGTGTCGAAAAGCAAACACGAAGGCTAGACTGGGCGATCGCAGGTGTGCGCCTAGTGGATCAAAATGATTCCAGTGTGTTCTCCTTTCTTTGCACTGGAAAAAAAAATAAATAACAACCATGGTACCGACGATTGACTAACGTTGAGTAGGAAGAGTAACATTTCTACACACTATCAACTCGCGGAATACGTTCCAGCACATCGATACCGGCTTATTCGAGAGACTGCCAAATGGCGACGAGATGGAAACGGGTACCATGATCCGACCGGGCGACCCTCAAGGTGCGTTTCCGCGCCAGTACGAAGAGGTCTGGCGACAAAGGAAGCCCGGCAATGTGCCTGGACAGAACATAGCATGGGTTCTTGAAGGGGCTGGGTCTCGCGTATCGCTTACACAGAATTCCGACGGCATAGGGTCGGAAGAGAGCAAGGAGGTCGAGACTTTTCTTGCTCGCTTGGGCAGTGTATACATTGCCATCCGCCAGCCTACTCGCATTGTGCAAACGCCGCAAGCCAATGGAAGCTTTTCGTTTCAGAAGTTCGGCGACGTTGAAGGGGTCAGTGTGCGCCACGAGGAGTATGCAGGAGGCAAAAAGGGCTGGGTCGAGAAATTCGTGACGGGCCCTGAAGGCCGGGACTTGCCGACGATGCAGAAGAACAAGAGCGATTTTATTCCAGCCCAGGAGGGTAAAGGGAACTGGAGGAAACCGTCACAGAAGGTGATGATCCGTGGAGAAGAATACGTTGTGCGGGGGTTTGCAGAAGTCTCTTGATGCTTGATGTATACGCGTGGGTGTTATTTTGGTCGGCTGCGAGTCGGCAAACTATGACTTCTTTTTCCTTTTTTGATCCTTTTGATACCATCTTGCTTTCTTACTGTTCATCGTGTATTTCGAATGTATGTGCTTGAAGCATGTCCATACAGTTTCGGTTGATGCCCCTGCTATTTACCTCGCACGCTGCCAGTGCATGCATTTCATTTCTGTCCCACGATGTATATTGCGCCATGCGATTTGCTTCAGATGTTTCATTCGACCCAACCGCTTACCAAGTTGGTCAGCGGCATGACTTTGGCGTTTGGCTATGCTATGTGTCTCCTGAATGCTCAAAATGATAGAATTCCTTTGTTCGTTTAACATCGCTTACTACTAAACTTCCTACGTAGGTCACAATCTGTAGGCCTGCCATTCCAACGTAGAGCCAACTTGAATAAACAATAAAAAGATAATTGATATAACTATACAGAATAAATAAAATAAATAAAACCTCTATACAGACTACAAAGTAAACAGATGGCGCTAACCGAACGCGGCCCTCGTTGTTTGTTTTCCTCTGTCACGATGAACGCAGCCAAAAGATGCTTCCGTCGACAACCCAATTCGCCCGCCATGCCTGAGAGAGTTCGCATCCAGCCAAGGGGGTTGCCTGCCACGTTACACGGTATCTGCTTGTGCAATGAAAAAACGATCGAATCGCGAATTCGACGGGCGGAATCACGCCATACATCGTCCGCTCGTGTGCGTTCGATCATTTGCTTCTTTTGTGTCTCTCGCTAGACCATCCCCGTTCTAGAAAACTTGGAGTACGATCGCCTACGATATCGACTATTCTATCCTAGTGTCGCTACTGTCGCTACTGGCGCTACTGTCATGGAACGGTGATTCTGGAGCGTGATTTTTGGTCAAGGTTTGAATCCTGCGAGGTTTACTGCAGGCAAAACGGACTTTCTTTTCTTTTTCGTGCTCCTTGCTGTGAGCCTTTAAATAGTGGGAGTCGCTCGGAGTATTTCTGTCCAGAGAGAATCTGGTCAATCATTCTGGTCGGTACAAGCTTGATTGTATATACATCTCCTCCAATTGTGCAGCATCATGGGCCACGAGGCAACCTCCAAAGATACAGGCAGCACTGCCGCGCCTGTGCCCGCACTCAACGATGAAATCGACATTCAACAAGGCGACAAAAGCGCCCTCCCCTCGGGAACATTTGACCCTGTCTACGAGGCCAAAGCTCGCGAACTCAACAAGGCTATTCAAGCCATTGGCATGGGCAAGTATCAATGGCAGCTGTTTGTCGTCATTGGTTTCGGCTGGGCGAGCGACAATCTCTGGCCGATTGTTACATCCTTGATTCTTACGGCCGTTGGGAATGAATTCAAGCCGACTTATGATGCGTACCTTTCTCTGTCACAGAACATCGGGTTACTGATCGGGGCCATCTTCTGGGGTTTCGGGTGCGATTTGTTCGGTAGAAAGTGGGCATTTAATTTGACCATTGGTATCACCGGAGTGTTCGGTCTTATCGCTGCGGGTTCACCCAATTTTGCAGCTATCTGTGTCTTTGCGGCGTTGTGGTCGGTGGGTGTAGGTGGAAATCTGCCAGTTGACTCGGCCATCTTTCTCGAGTTTCTGCCAGCGTCGCATCAGTACTTGCTGACCGTGCTGTCGATCGACTGGTCATTTGCGCAACTCGTGGCGTCGCTGGTAGCATGGCCGTTGTTGGGCGATTATACCTGCCAACAAACCGACAAGGACTGTACGCGCAGTAAGAATATGGGCTGGCGGTATTTCATGATTGCCATGGGTGGCCTGTCAATGGTCATGTTTGTCATTCGCTTTGCGCTTTTTACAATCTACGAATCACCAAAATATCTCATGTCGCGCGGGAAGGATGCAGAGGCGGTAGCTGTTGTGCATGAAGTTGCGCGCCGAAATGGGAGGACGTCTGACTTGACTCTTGAGGATTTGACGCGGTACGATTCACTTGCTGATGGAAGAGAGGATGGCGTCAGAGCGCAACAGACATCTGCCGTGGCAGCGTTGGAGCGCAATCTCGAAAAAGTCAGCTTTACGCATGTGCGGTCGTTGTTCTCGACGGTGCGACTGGGAATTTCTACGTCGATGATTACAGCGATTTGGGCATTTATCGGGCTGGGGTATCCATTATACAATGCGTGAGTCCCGACTTTATCTCTCTTGCGACGGTGATGATACTAATTCCGCAGCTTCCTGCCCTACATCCAAGCCACCCGAGGCGCCGACTTTGGCGACGGATCAACCTACATCACCTACCGCAATGAAGTCATCATCTCCGTCCTGGGTATACCAGGCTGTATCCTAGGCGGATTTCTCGTCGAACTGCCCCGGTTCGGCCGCAAAGGCGCTCTAGCTCTGTCGACAACCCTCACCGGCGTTTTTCTGTATGCATCCACGACGGCAACGACCTCCAACGCCCTGCTAGGCTGGAACTGCGCCTACAACTTCGTGAGTAACATCATGTACGCCGTGTTATACGCCTATACACCGGAAGTCTTCCCGACGAAAGATCGCGGCACGGGAAACGCGATTGCAGCGTCAGCGAATCGTATTTTCGGGGTTATGTCGCCGATTATTGCGATGTTCGCGAATCTGAACAGTGCGGCGCCGGTGTACGTTAGTGGAGCGCTGTTTATTGCGGCGGGATTGTTGGCGTTGGCGTTGCCGTTTGAGTCGAGGGGGAGAGCCAGTTTGTAATTTGCTCTGCCGTGATAACTGCACCTGACGAGTAACATGTTGCTTATTTTTCATTATCATAATCATAATCTGGAGAGAATCTCAAGAGAGCACGTGCACACAGACCCTGAGCTTACCTCGGCATGTTCGTTAGTCGTGCAGATCGCGCCACTAGTGCTAAGTTCTCCCTAATATCGATCTTTTCACAAGGTCATATTTGTGACGATGACGATTGTCGAGATGAGACAAAACTCTATCAGCCTCTGCCTAGGTAGAATCGAGGTTTGCGTAATCATATCGGCATAGATGCTACTTATATCGCAACAAACAACAAACACAACATCCAGGAACGAACGCGCCAACAGACATCAACATGAACGAGTGAAGGAAGCATCAAATCTTCCAAGTCTAGAATTGTCCCCCGCACGTTCCGTAAACCGTAAACATAACATCGCGTAATACGTTTATCCATCTGGCTCCAGCTGATTTTAACTCGGAACTTTATGTCTCATGTGAGTGCGGGGAGAATCACCCTTCCCCCGTTTACATATGTATCAATTCAAGCCAGACACAAATGTGTGATGTTATTCCGGAGTATTCGTCTGCCTAAAAAAAATAGACCAGATTCACTCTACTGTCCAATGAAAATATAGTCTAGCATATGGTGTAGCAAATTGTTGGGACAAAGTCGCCAGAGCCGCGGCGAACTGTTCACTCACATGTCTTGGGATCGTCGGTCCGCCACATCATTAGGGCTAGTGCTAAGAAATCTAGTACGTAGTTCGTAGAATTCGAATTATAGGATGCAAAAATGATATAAGATGGGGATCCCCCCGGGTTTGATCTCCGACTAACATAGTGCTGGTCATAACTATATTAGACGGTAATACCCCGGCCAACTTCTTACTCTCATTTCTTCTTACACATACCCATACACCTGATAGATATTACGACCAAGAAAAAAAAAATGTCGGCGCCAAACCCCAAAGACAGCATGAAATCCACCTGGCGTCGCAACCCCAAAGACTCCTGGACAATATGGCACTGGTTCTACGAAGTGTTGGGCATTCACCCAACCACCCTCGACAAAACCGTGCCCATCCACTCAAAGGAAGAGCCTATTCCGTATCTACCAGAATGGAAGGAACATCGCTGGATACTTTCGCATGCCATTATTCCTTTGGTATTGCATCAGACGTATGTCGCATACACGGGCCAGAATCTGAGTAGTATTGCGGCGTTTTTCTTGTATGCGGTTGCCTTCAAGTCGATTGCGATCAATCAGTTGCATATGATGAGAGGGTTGGGGCATAAGTATGGATTCTTCGATGGCGATAAGCATGCTAGAGACGACGTGCCTGATATTGGCGTGGGCAAGGTTGTGCGTTCGTTGATGTCGACGTCGACGTTTAGGCCGATGTTTACCGTGATGTTGGCGTACAACAGCGCTGCGACGCCGTTGGCAGAACTCAAAGCGAACTGGGCGTGGTGTGTGGTGGAAGTCAGTCTCTATGGTATTATACTTGATTTTTGGTTTTATTGGTATCATCGTCTGATGCATGATGTGGATGCGTTGTGGAAGTATCATCGCACCCACCATCTGACCAAACATCCCAACCCGCTGTTGACGCTCTATGCGGATATGGAGCAGGAGTTCTGGGATATTGCGGGTGTGCCGCTTTTGACGTACGGGTCGATGAAGTTGATGGGCATGCCGATGGGCTTTTATGAGTGGTGGTTGTGCCATCAGTATATCGTCTTTACGGAGTTGGCCGGCCATTCTGGGCTGAGGATCCATGCTACCCCGGCCAGTACGCTGACGTGGTTGTTGAAGTTCTTTGATGCGGAGCTGGTTATTGAGGATCATGATTTGCATCATAGAACGGGCTGGAAGAAGAGTCATAACTATGGCAAGCAGACCAGATTGTGGGATCGGATTTTCGGGACGTGCCGAGAGCGGATTGAGTGTACGGACGAGATGGTGGATTACGCTACGATTGTTGATATGCCGTGGTATTAGATTTGCTGTGATGTTTGCGCTGTCTGTAAATACTTTTGTTCTATCTAAATATAAACACTTTTGTCTCAACCGACTGCTAAATACTCGATCGTAACCACCCGTGAAAACTGTCCGAACCGTCTCCAGTCGGATATGTCGCCAGAGGATGCAGCGTCGATTCAACCGCTGAACCAGTACTCGCACCAAGCACAGGCAAACCTGGCTGCGATGAATGACCAAGCTCGTTATTCGCCGTCGCCGCAACGCTCGGGTATTTCAACGGCGGAAGCGCAATGCCTGACTCAAGATCCTTTGAGACTTCTGACAATTTGCCACCACGACTACCGCGGCTTTCTCGACTTCCTTGACTTGGATGTTCATCTCCATCTCCGCCGGTAAAGCTGCGGGACGAATCAATGCGTCTCATCCAATACTTTCGTATGCGGTCAAGGGCGGTTTTGAAGTCGTCTAGAATGACAATGTCGCTGAGACATTTGAAGATAAATGATAACTGTCTTGTCAATAAATCAAACATAAACATGTAGAAGGGGCTGGGATATACCTTCCAGAAGGGCTCCACACCCGTAGCAAGACCCAGATGTATCACGCCTGTTACGCTCAAAATGTCAAAGACAACAAATATTAGTGACGCACACATTGAAAACAGCATAACGCCGAACCGAGGGCTGATGCGGATGAGCTCTATTAAGCCAAAATCGTATTCTTTCTTGATGATGTATAGAAGTGAACAGGACGTAAACAACCACCACGGATCACTGCAGAATTAGCCTTATCCATTTGTATTCGAGGAGCGTCCATACCGAAATAAAGGCTCCCACGGCCTTAATTTGGGAAACATCTCAGTATTGCCGATGTTGTTGAAATAACAGAAAATAGCGTACAGCTCCACGATCCAATATGGTTGAACAAAAATCACAGTACCGATATAAATCGCCGACACACGGCGCGACAAGAACGGCCGATTCTTCATCCATGCGATGACATTGTGCAGTGACCAGGAGCAAAAGAGTAGCATTGCGGTCACTGATAGGAGCCAACCGTAGACTGGGAAGGTGGTGAAGATCCAGGTTCCATGGCCCATGCCGAGGATTAACTACGAAAATTTCAGCAGGCATGTTACACAACCATTAGTCACAAACTCACCTCCGCTAGAATTAGCTTGTGCAATAGCACGCCCTTTCGCATATTGGCCATCGTCAACGCTGCCATGACTACCAACGCGCCAACCATCATGCCCTGACCCCAGGCCTCAAGAACCAAGCTCTCTGGCTCAGTGGGCCTATTGTCTGGCCCCGTGGTACTCATTTCGTAGATTCATGCTATGCATCAAGATTTCGCACTGTTGCCTAGGTGGTGAATGGGTTGGGATGCATCGTCGACAATTCGACTTCTTGTATGTTCGCGTCGTAGTAAAGAGCGAGGTGGCACTATGAATCCAATGCGTTATAGTAGACTCTTTTACCAGATATTCCCAACCATCCTATACCGATTCATCATACCATCGAGCGAACGAACGATTGTGATAAGTGAAGAAAAAGAAGAAAGGAGAAGCATGACATGAGATATCGCCATCCGGAGCCTTCATGGTACCCACAGAGAGAAATGCGGGGAAACCAACCAAGACATCGGGCTTCTTTCGGCAGGTTCCAAAGCTACGGACAGGCGAGAAGGCCGAGAGTATGAGCGCTGAGCAATGTGAAGCCCTCCCAAACTTTGAGGGAGATTCGGAGAGACCGAACAGACGCTCTGATTGGCCAGTATGAGATGGATGACGCTGTGGATGTCACTAGCCATTCTAGGTATAGTTTGTTTAAAAAGGGACTAGACTACAACAAACGAGAACGTTCACGTGCTGATAAGATAAGACCCGGCTATCCACAAATTTTCTTATCTCGACTTTTCTGGGCTGTCAACAAGAGAACACTTCCAAGACTGCTATACCAAAGAGGGAGTACATAAAACTGATAATATACGTGATCGGCAATGGGCAAAATACAACCCAAAAAGCGCAATGGCTCCTCCGCTGGGTCGCCGTATACAAAAAACCTGCCGAGCGGGTCCCTCAAGAAGAATCCCATCTTCAAATTCAACACTGATATCGGTATATATGTCCTTTTAATACTATCATGCTATGATACTAACTCAAACAGGTCAACACATCCTGAAAAATCCCGGCATTGCAGATGCCATTGTCGACAAGGCGAATATCAAAGAACATGAAGTCGTTGCAGATATGTACCCCACGCCTATAGAGATGCTACTGGGAACTGACCGTGAGTACAGGTCGGTCCTGGAACGGGTGTTTTGACACGGCGTATCCTTGCAAAGGCCAAGTCATGTACTGCGATCGAGTTGGATCCGCGTATGGCTGCTGAACTCACGAAGATGGTTCAGGGAACGCCGATGCAAAAGAAGCTCAAGATTATCCTTGGAGATTTTATCAAGGGTATGTACAACCTTTCTGAAGTATGGTTTGGGAAAATTTGGTTGACATATTTTGTAGTCGACCTCAAGGAAATTGGGCATTTTGATGTGTTTATATCGAATACGCCATATCAAATTTCTTCGCCGCTGGTGTTCAAACTTCTTGCTATGCCGCGTCCGCCACGCGTCTCCGTGTATGTATCCTTCCTTTGAAACAGAAAAAAAAAGCTAATGATGGTAGATTAATGGTGCAACGAGAATTTGCCCAACGATTAATCGCCAGACCCGGCGATGCCATGTATAGTAAGTACCATCTGTTTAACCTCATTACGCGCTAACATGAAATCAGGTCGTCTAAGTGTCAACGCACAATTCCACGCAATCTGCAGCCACATACTGAAAGTCGGCAAAAACAACTTTTCGCCACCCCCTCAAGTCGAATCTAGCGTCGTCAAAATCGAGCCTCGCCCTGACAGGCCCGACATCTCCTGGGAAGAGCTAGACGGCATGCTACGCATCTGCTTTAACCGAAAAAATAAGACTCTACGCTCGAGTTTCTTTGTGAAGCAGGTCCGAGAACTTATTGAGCGGAACTGGGTGACGTGGGCGTCCATGTTTCCGGATCAGGTTAGGAAGGAGGATACAGACTTTTTACAGGGGATTGGAGGCGCAGAACTATCTGTGCCAGACGTGTCGATGGAGATTGATGGGGAGGAAGATGAGAACAATCAGACTCTTCAGTTGGAGGGCGACGATGAGGATATGATGCAGGATATGCAGGACATGATCTTTGGCACTTCATCCGCCAGCGAAAAGACAACCAAAACTGCACCAAAACTCTCTGGAAAGACGATATCGATCAACGGAATCAGCGTGGACAGAGGTCGACTGGTGCAACTGATTCAAATCAAGATTCAGCGCGCGTTAGACAAGTTTGGGTTGTCGGATAAGCGAAGTCAGAAATGTGATGAGACGGCGTTTTTACAGCTATTGCATGCTTTCAATCAAGAGGGAATCCGCTTTTCTTAGTTTTGCTGTTTTGTGGGTGGAGTTTGATACCAAAAGTGCATAAATAATTTGAGCATGATTATTAGAGTTATTATCGATACTAGAGGTGTTTGATACAATGCAGAGACCTAGCAGGATTTTTTGAATCGAAGGGTAAGGCCACTTCCTCTGGATGACCACCACGCTGTGTACTGCTTGGAATATTAAAACAAGCATTGCCATGCTATAGCCAATTTCAGGTATTAGTACTAACAAGTATGTCCATGTAAAATGAGACAACCAATGGGTGGTTTCATCAAGAAATTTGGTTAGGGTTTCAATCCTTCCCTCCTCCTTCCCCCTTCCTTTCACCTCCTCGACCACATTCCCACCAACACCACCATCAACCCCTTGCAGCATCACTCTCTTTCAAACACCCTACGATTGCAAGCGCGATATACAAAAATTTAATGACGTCCATTGGCGCACTACCCACCCAGAACACAGACGGTGACAGAGGAGCTCCTACATACCAGCCCTGCCGACCATCATTCCTCTTTCCAGGGCGAACCCTTACAAACTTACAACAGTCCAAAAGCCGTGGTATTCATCCCATAGATCATCAATGAGGAAAAACAAGGCATCGCGCGACAGGAATGCTACACACCCCAAGGTCGATAAGATGGAGGGTATCCCATTCATTCCTCCCTTCACCCTTCCATCGCTTCTCTGTCCCGATGAATTTTGTCTATTCGACTGTCGCTCTTTACTACTACGACATTAACTGATATACACTCTTTTACTTGATCAAACTACTCAGTTGGACACGGAAATGGCGCCGATTCAATTATTGTTCACGTCGGCTTTTGTCCTGTCGGCTGTCGTCGCGGCGCCGATTAATTCTAACTATGTAGGTGCTGGCATGGCGGGCGCAGTGAGTCAATCATCAAGAGTTGAGATGAGGATATGGACTAATTGAGGATAGTCCACTCCGAGCAAGCACCAAAGCGAGCCAATGCGCATGGCGGAGCCGGCTATGTCCAGCGTGCCGATGATGGGTATCGATACTCAGGCCATGAAGTCGTCCGCTGCTGCAATGGCAATTCAGACCCCTCCAAGTACCAGCAGCGGGAAGCAGAGTGACGGCGTTTTTGGCGTTTTGGAAAAATTGCCCTTGAAGCGAGATGGAGAGGACGTCGCAGCCCGCCAGATGAGTGAGGTCACTGAATTGCTGACCAGCATTAACTCCATTGCTAAGCGGGACGGAGAAGTTGAGGAACGTCAGTTGGGGTTGATCAAGAGTGTGCCTGAGGCTGTTGGTCAGGCTGCGCAGGTGGAGAAGCTTGTTGCGAGTTTACCGATTAAGCGCGATGGAAGTGGAATTTTGGGTGGTCTAGGTGGACTTGGTGGTGTGCTGGGGGGGTCTGTGAAGCGTGATGTCGAGGAAGCAGAGAAGCATGATGAGACTTATACTGAGAAAGCACTCAAGGGATTTCAGGGCTGGCTGCATCATGGTACAAAGGATAAGCAGGAGACGCCGGAGATACCTGAGATCCCTTCGACGGCGGGCCTCAGTGCTGTTGCCAAGAGAACCGATCCTGTGAGCGGTCTTCTCAACGGCATCCTTGCAAAGCGCGATACTGAGGAAGGCTCTGAGACTGAGACTCACAAAGAGACATATACCGAAAAAGCGCTCAAGGGATTTCAGGGATGGATTCACCATGGCACCAAGAACGACAAGCAGGCAACCCCAGAGATCCCATCGGCAGCAGGCCTCGTCCTGTGAGCGGTCTTCTCAACGGCATCCTTGCAAAGCGTGATACTGAGGAAGCTGAGATCGAGACTCACAAAGAGACATATACCGAAAAAGCACTCAAGGGTTTTCAGGGATGGATTCACCATGGCACCAAGAACGACAAGCAGGCAACCCCAGAGATCCCATCGGCAGCAGGCCTCGGCGATATTGCCAAGAGAACCGATCCTGTGGGCAGTCTTCTCACCGGCATTCTTGCAAAGCGCGATACTGAGGAAGCTGAGACTGAGACTCACAAAGAGACATATACAAAGCGCTTAAAGGATTCCAGGGCTGGATCCATCATGGCACCAAGGAAGGAAAAGAGGTGACCCCTGAAGGACCATCAGCAGCAGATTCACTTGGTCTCGGCGATATCGCCAAGCGAGGCAGTCCCAATCCTGTCTCCGAGCTTCTCGGACTTCTCGCAAAGCGTGAGGAGATGGACTCCGATGACTCCACGATCGACAGCCTCGCAAAGCGTGATATCGACGAAGCAATCGCCACTGCGTCCGATGCGCTTGCCGGCATGGCAAAACGCAATGGCCTCGACTCTGTCGATGCACTCATCAAAGGCCTCACAAAGGGCGGGCAGCTCAACAATGGACTCAACATCCGTCAACTTAACATCCTCTCATCAGTGGCAACTGGTGCATTGAGCAATGCCGGTACAGCAGCCGGTAAGCTTGGAAAGGTCGCCACCGGTAAGCTTCGTCGCGGAAACGGCGATGCAGGTTCAATAACTACCGCCGCCACAGCTGGGCTGAATGTTGGCAATCACCACAAGGTCGACAAAGCTGACGACGAGAGCGCCGATGTGGATGAAATCGCCGCAGATGTTGCTGAGGGAGAGCAGACCTTGCATGACGCCACTTCATCTCAGGGTCGTGCTGGTGGACATTTGGATAAGCGTCAGGTACCTCCTATTGCTGGTTCGGATGCGTTAAGTGTCGTCAAGGGGCTAGTTGCGAATCCGAAGGCTGCGTTGACACCGGTCACGAAGGGCATCCTGGTTGGAGGGACTGCGTTGGGTGATATGGCGCCGCACTAACGTCTTCTCCCTCCCTAGAGGCCCTGAACACCATTAGTCATATTGGCGGGATTGCGGAATGGATTCCATGCACTGCAATCTTAGTTCCCTAGAGGTGTTAATAACCTGACAAGGCAAATCCCAATTTCATTTTGTTTCACCATTCTGCACTGCAGTTTTTACTTCAAGAGGATTTATTTGCCAGCTGTGGCTGAACGGACCCCAAGCATCCCCAGGGTTCTGAAGCACTGCAATTTCAGCTCCCAAGAGACTGTCAATTCATTTGCTTCTGTTCTTTTGTTCTTTTTCCTTTTTTTTTTGGTATAAGCATCCATTCACTCTCCACTGCACTGCAGTTTTAGTTCTCACGAGGGTTTATTTGCTAGTGGAAACCGAACGATTTCTGTAATTCAAGTGCACTGCAGTTCTAGCTCCCCAGAGGAGTTGACAGGGCTGATTCAAATATTCAACCAGCTGCGTCTTTGAACCCTGCGCTTTATATCTTTCACTATTTTTCTCCGTTGGTTTCTTCTCAAGGTACTTGTTCCGGATCCTCAATTTGTTACATATTTCGTAAAGTTACTGATTTTGATGTTTCTTTGTTTCAACATGCTGTGCATGATAATTTTATGTCCATTGCGACATACCAGTCATCTTAGACTGTAAGTTAGTGACTCGAGGGTCCAATGTAGTCACTGTAAACACGTAAAACACGAAAAGACAACGAGGGCAAAACGCCGGCTACCAATGAAATTCGTAAACGTAACATTATTGGAAGAATAAAGTGTGAAGCCAGACTGAGGGAGGCAGGATTAAAATCTATACCGGGGTAACAGGAGGGTATCATAGATGGAATATTTTCAAGAAAGAGAAGTCGAAATCAAGCCATTAGTCGTCAAAATCCATGTCGTCAACTTCCACGCGGGAACCCAGTGCTTCGCGGCCTTCGCGGATCAGAGCCTTGAGCTGGTCGTTCATTTTTTGGATGCTAGCGTCCTCTTCGCGCTCTCGTCGCCGAACCTGGGCTGCAAATCGTTGCGCTTCCCTGGATGCGGGACTTCCGGGCAGAGATGCGCGAGTAGGGCTGAGAGGTTGTTTGAGGGGAGTCGATGGACGGCCAGTTGGTGATAGCGGGGTGACGGCTGCAGGTTGAATTGGATTTAAAGAAGGTCGTTTGGTTATAGGTCGGAGAGGATTCACTAGCGATCGTCGTGATTGTGGACGATGAGCTGTGCTTCGTCGTGGGACTTTGCGCGAGAAATGTGTTGGGCTAGGGCTTCGTGCAGATGACAACTTCAGCGATGGTGAGTCTTGGACAAAGACCCAGGGTTCCTTGTCGCGTAAATGTTCTGCCTCTTCATCGGGATATTGTCCAGGAATCGGAGTTAAGGCTCCGTCAGAAGGAAATGGATCTTGTTGAGGACCGGCTCGCGGATTACTCGCTTCGTTTGAACCAGGTGTTGCGACTTGATAGCTATTACCTCCGMCGGCAGAAAATCCACGGAACGCGATCGTCGAGCAAAAGTCCCAAACTTTCCCTACGACGGTGAATACAGCTCGGCCCCAGCCGGGTGTCGCTGGAGATGGCACCGGCAACTGCTGTGTGGCCATTTCCGTAGCCTCACTGTAACTCCGCTTGCGACTGCCCACGTCTCTGTCAGCGACGGTAAGCGCTGGTTGCTGACCTGTGAAGAGAGAATTATAACGATATCGGTTTGGTCGATAGTCTTGTTCCTCTGCTAGTTTTTCTGTCGTGTCTTTCAAATCCAGCTGTCGATGATCTTCGCCTCCATTGGCAAGAATGTAATCTGTGTTGATCAGAGGTAACGGTGATGGGCCTTCGAGTTCGCCCGATGACATAGGATCCCAAGCTAGAGTCCGCACATCTGGTGCTTCGCGGCGCATACGCTTCCGGGTCGTTTCGGTCTCGGGTGTGTGGTAAACCGACGTGGTGGAAGAGGGAGTGTGAGGAGGGCGGAAGAGTTGAGTTCGCATGCGAAAGGGCGTGTCGTAGTCGGGAAATGAGGCCATCGTTTCGGCGCCCTGGCCGGGCGTACAGTCAATGAGTATCTAGAGCACAGCGAGATTTGCGTCACGAGACACGGTGCATGCACTCATTTAACGCGCAGATATGTGCAGATGGAATAGGCGCCAAGATCGAGTTTTATGCAGTAAGAGATAAAGGATGTAGTGTGTGATTTGGAGTATATACAGAGTGATTATCGCCGAGATTGAGATGAAAAGAGTTGGAGTTGCGGCCTCAGGTTGTTTACTTTTTGTAACCTTGGCCCCTTACAGCCAATCAGCGATGAGTATTGTAGCTAATGCGGGGCTATCCCCAACAGAATCACCTGACGCCTTTGACAGCCGCCAATCAGCATACACTGGTCGTGTGTCTTCGTTTTGCTTGACATTGCTCAAAGGTTGCGCAGATCTCATTGCAGACAGTTAAATTGTACTGATTTGCTCTATTAGACTGCTAATCCCTTACAGCTACAGCTTCTGCTGCTTCCAAGTCCGCCCAGCAGATTCCAGCCCGTCTTCACCATCCACCAAAACGCACCATCCCTCACTGCCTGCACCCCCGCGCCCACCGATCACAGCAGGGAAATTGTCTCGCGCATATTCCAGCACTTCGTCGTTATATGTACCCGGCTGAAACCATACCGCCGGTATACCGACTTCGTGGKCCTCCTTCAACAGCTGCAGCGTCACTGGAGGCGGCGTGACGAACGACAACGATGTCTCGGTGGGTGAGGTGAGTGATTTCGGGGTCGATGTGACGGGGTATTCTTGCGAGGGCAATCTGATGCTTGATTCGCGGGGGTGGATGGGAGTTACTGGCAGCGAGTGCTGGTGATACCATGCAAAGACTATTGCAATCAGCAAGATACTAATATGAGCAGCTGCATGAGAATATACTCTTATAACCAAACCTGCTAGGGTCGTTGTTTGCGCCCGCCACGGCGAATTGAGGCGACTGGAAGAAGCGCGTAACTGCAGCCTCGGTCATTTTCTGAGATGAGTACCTTGCGTTGGGAAGTAGTTGGTATGAAGTAGAGAGGAGTCTTGTTTGTTTAATCAAATGCATAGACATACAGAAGTTGTTGAAGGTTTTAGTGCGGGGCGGAGATCATCTGTCGGGATGATGAAATATATATTCAAGAGGGCGCAATGCGATTAGTAATTCTACCTAGGTGCGTCTCCAACACATGATGCCAATGATAAAGCGAATATATACGCAGAATATAGATAGGATGCGTCAGATAGTAGATCAATGATTGTACTATTTTGCATTGATTGTAAATTTGAAAAAGACCCTAACGCTAACCCTAACACTTGATACAGCGGCTTTTTCCACCACATTATATCGATGTCAAACTTCCATATGATTCACAGCTACAGCCTATTTCTGCATTTACTTGAAATGCGCAATTCCAAAGGAAGTTATCTCACCTCTTAATTTCAAATGCAGCTGTTGATCGAGCGCGCGACAACAACTTGCAAGCAGTCCAGATCGGCGCTCTTATCTTATCGGCAGCTGCCACTCCGGATTCTTCAAAAGTGACGACACACCATTCCTCATCCCTTCACATCTCATCCTGCCTCTATCGCAGATCACAAGAGCTCGGTGTATACGCTACACCGAGTTTTTGCGCAAGAAATCGATGCCGCCGTTCATACCGACGAAACGCTCGCTATCTCCCCTAGACCAACACTCGCCACCACCCGCCAAACGGCCTGCAACCAAGAAACAGATCGCCGAGCTCCTAGAGAGCTCCGATTCATCGCTCAGCGATGTATCGAGCGAGGAAGAATGGCTTGACGTGACGCATCCGATGAAATCAAAAGGGAAGAAGGATAAGGCAGATCACGATGATCACGATGACGAGAGCGTGGATTGGGAGGATGCGAAGGACACAACCACACCTAGCGGCTATGCGTCTCATGCCACGCCAGCTCAGGGGGATGCATTTCAGGATTTGGAGTTGACCTTGGATCCCACGGTGAGCGTCCCGGTTACCAGTCTGCTAGATACAAAGAAAGGGCCGTCTCAGATTGAGCGTGCGATTCGACTGAGTACTCACAAGGCACATGTGCAGTGCTTGCTCTTCCACAATGCGATTCGCAATGCGTGGCTGAATGATAAAAAAGTACATGAAATATTACGAGGACAACTACCTGAAGGAATCCAGAAGGAGATCAAAAGATGGCGAGTCGCATCCGCGTTGGATCCTCCTCCACCTTCACCACCACAAAAGAAGGCCGATACGAAGGGCGGGAAAAAGAAAGGATCAAAGAAGAAGGAAAATGCCAAGACCCGTAATTGGGGCGAAGAAGCGAAGCGATTAGAGCCTGATCAGCCAGACATGAGTCACGGTGATCCTATCCTACAGCTATTGCGCATTTTAGCAGCATATTGGAAGAGAAATTTCAGAATCACAGCACCCGGACTTCGGAAACATGGATATCGATCTGCTATGAAGTTGGAAGCTATAGTGTCTTCCTTCAAGAAAGAAGAGCACAATCCAAATGTACATGGCGAGCGCATAGCTGATCGACATGAGTTCCGTGCCGCTGCAGAGAAGCGACAAGGGTCGCGTGACGTCGGTGCTCAACTGTTCACAGCGCTTCTTCGATCATTAGACATCGAGGCTCGGTTAGTCTCGAATATGCAGCCTCTCGGATTCGGATGGACCAAGGCCGAAGTTGATACCTCTGAGCCCGCAAAGCCAGAAACAAGCGCTAAGCAGACCGAGGTTGAGAGCAGCGATGAAGACTCTGAGTCGGATGAGGAAGACGACACCCGAAAGTCTTCCAAAACAATTCAATTCGATCGCGATCTACCATTCCCTGTCTACTGGACTGAAGTGGTTTCGCCCATCACTCATGAAGTCATACCAGTTGATCCTCTGATTCTGAGCAACCCCGTCGCTGCCAATCCTGAAATGGTGGCTGCCTTTGAACCTCGAGGAAGTCGAGCCGACAAAGCGAAACAAGTGATTGCTTATGTGATCGCCCATTCATCAGACGGCACCGCCAAGGATGTGACTACGCGGTATCTACGACGGCAAACATGGCCAGGAAAGACAAAAGGGTATCGGTTGCCAATGGAAAAGATGACCATCAGAATGTCCAGACGAGGTCCTACGTATACAATTGACTACCATTGGTTCCGGGAGACGATGAGAGGATATGTGCGCTCCGACAAACAACGAACGGCTGTAGATGACGTCGAAGATGCAAAGGATCTCGTTGCTAATCAACCCGAAAAGAAAATCGTCAAGAAAGAGACAGATACCTTGCAGAGTTTGAAAGCTTCAACGGAGTTTGTTCTGGAGCGGTTTCTTCGCAGGGAAGAAGCGCTCCGGCCTGGAGCTAAAGTCGTACGAAAATTCATTAGTGGCAAAGGCGACAAGGCTAAAGAAGAGAACGTCTATCGTCGCGCGGATGTTTTGCGATGTCTTTCTGCTGAGAGCTGGCACAAGGAAGGCCGGCGGCCGAAAATAGGAGAGGCGCCGTTGAAGCGCGTTCCCATACGAGCAGTAACTCTCATGCGAAAACGGGAGGTGGAAGAACTCACGCGACAGACCGGGCAAAAACCTCTCCAGGGGCTTTACGCTAACTATCAAACGGAATTCATTATCCCACCTCCTATCGAGAACGGGGTGATCCCAAAAAATGAATATGGAAACATCGACTGCTTCGTTCCTACTATGGTACCCCGCGGAGCCACGCATATCCCCTACAGCGGCACGGTGCGTATCTGCAAAAAGCTGGGTATCGACTACGCCGAAGCCGTGACCGGGTTCGAGTTTGGGAGTAAAATGGCCGTCCCAGTCATCGAAGGGGTGGTCGTCGCAGAGGAGAATGCGGAATTGGTTCGTGATGCGTGGCGGGCAGATCAGGAGGTTCGTCGCGAGAAGGAGAGGCTTGCGCATGAGAAGCGCATCTTGCAAACGTGGAGGAAATTTGTGATGGGTTTGAGGATTATGGAACGTGTGAGGGCGGAGTATGGTGATGACGGGGATGCGGAGCTGGATAATCCGTTTCAGCGACGGGGGCAGACTCAGGGTGCGGAGACTCCCAAGGGGACTGATCATAAAGGACACGAGCATGATTACGAAGACCATCATGAGGAAGCAGATGCCGACCTCGGTGGAGGGTTTCTCTTGCCAGGTCAAGACGATGCAGATGCAGATCTTGGCGGAGGTTTCCTCTTACCCGGTCAAGACGATGATACGAATGATTTTGTCGTCGAGCATGGTGATGACGTTCATCGGCAAGCCGTGAAGGAATCCATGGACGTTGATGAGGATGATGAGCCGGACCTCGATGAGCCCTTAGGTGACGTGGAGATGTCTTCCCCTAGCGAAGAGGAAGAGGAAGAGGAATATAAACCGCCACCCCGAAACTCAAATCAGCGACGGAGGCGAGGCGGTTAATTATTCTCTGTATAAATTAGGACAGTTGTACTGTAAGATAGTATTTGACCTTTGGGGAACCCAGTGTGTAAAGCAACTACGTAAAGAGACATACAGCTGAGTTTTAATACATAATTCGTTAGTCGTATGATACCATCATCTCCTTTTACTTGCAAGCGGCGATCCAACAAGTGCCAAATCAAGCACACTCTCATTATCTTCGACGTAATCATCTGCATCAGCACCAGCACCGTCATCGTCATCATCAAATCCGACATGAACAGCAGGCGACATCAAAGGACTATGCGCAACGCGCGGGCGACTTTTGAAAATACTAGCGTACTCCGCTTCTTCTGTGAAAAGGTCGTCTCGTGGTGTGGAGGCCCCTGAGCGTGAGGGCTCCGATTGTTCTTTTGGCGGCGTGGCGAATTGATTGATGGGGAAACGCTCTGATTCGCGTCGCGCGGCTAGGGATTGGCGAGGAGGGCGTGAAGTTGGTGGTGGTGGGAGGAGAGACATGGACTGTCGGGTTCGTTCTAGTAATGAGCGAGGCTCAAAGCGTGGGAGTGGTTTATCGGAATCTGGTTCCGGGTCGGGAGGTCTCTCGGACTGTTTATGATCAGGAGGATTGGCACCATGTTCTTCTCTGATAAAGGAATCGTATCCGCTACCCTGGTGATACAACGGTTGTGACAAAGCATCTTCGATAGTGGGATTAAAAGCGGGACGTTGCTCGTCTTCATAGTCCGTTACGTGAACGCTGGGAGAAGGAGAGGGCGAAGGTGAGTATCTCTCGGTATCCGGTATAGGTGATAATGTAAAATTTTGCTTTGGATTCGGCTTTTGAGGCGACTCTACCATTGTAGTAGGAATACGTGACGAACCCTGGTCTCGTGTACCCTTGACCTCGGACAAAGTGTCTCTAAGGGAAGATATGATTGCTTGATGCTCATCAAACAGATTCCGTGGTGCCGCTGCGTCTCGTAATTTTGAAGTGCTCGCCACGGTCAATGCCTGGTGGTCTTTGAATGTAATGGTCAGGCTTTTGTCCTGCGACTTAGTCGACACCATTCCACTTGCTTTCCCCTGTTGAATGGATTTTCGAAACTCCTTCAAACGTTGTAAGCGGCGACGTTGGTTCGCGAGACAAGCGTCCAAATCCTGTAGCAAGTCCACGTTCGATGAATGACTGATTTGATGGATGGCCCCTTTTCTGGCGCGGCTCCATGCTTTTTCGAATGGCAACTCGAGAAAAGCATCGTTCTCAACAGTGGAGCCTCCAGTCAACAAAATATCAGCAAAATCCCGACCCCCAAGCCAATTAGCCTTGACATCATGCGTTAGTCTTTCGAAGTGAGAAGATTCTCCAAACTGTCGGGATTTCTGTTTCGAGCGCACCGACAAGGCTCTAATCTTCTCCTCGAGCAAGTTTGAAAACTGATCATGAGTCTCTCGTATCCGGACTTGCTCTCGTCTTGTAGTGCTAAGGGAAGAGTGATGAGCTATTATTAAAGGAATCAATTGCTCCTCCAACTCCGTGTCGGCCAAGCTTTTCGTAAACGCTAATCGTAGTCCAGGCTCACGTTGTTTATCACAAATGACCTTTCGTAGTACGGCCGTCGAAAACACGGCGAGGACTTCCTCAAATTTTGGCCCTCTGCAGTCGTCCAGCATGGTCTTGCGTACTGTGGTCTCTCGTCCCAAATCGCCATTTTTCTTGAGGTCGGACAGGGCCCGAAACAAAGCCGCACGTAGGTTGACCGATTGAAGTGGCTCTAAAGGTGGGAAGAACGGACGAAGTTTCTAGTCCAGTAGTGAGCATGCAGCAAAGTTGCGGAGCGAGCGGAGGTTGACAAACATTCTTCGTCTCGGAGGGATCCCACAATAGGAACAATTGATACAAGACCCATTCCAAACTCTTGACTCGTTGGGTCTGGGCCTTTTGGCCACTTGAAAAGAGCTTCCGAGAAAGGCCTGGCCAGTCTGGCTGTTGGTCAAGTTGAAGTAGGCGGATATTGCGGAGGAAGATGGTGACTGGCGATGGACCGGGCCATGATAGAGTTGGTGGACGGGTTGTCTGCATAGATTGGAGGTCGAATTAAGATATGTAGCTGTCTGTTGGTCTGTAGTAACTGTTGTGTCACAACATTGATCAAAGAGAACTCTTGAGACAAAAGAAAGAGTTGAGGCGGTCAGATGGCGTGAAGATGGATGTCAACAAAGCAGGAGCCACTCTGCTTGGCGTTTGTAGATCCACAGCAAAGAGCTTTATCTGGAGCAACAACCCACACATAGCTCTGAAGAACTGCACAAGATCACATGTATATCCTCTGTATGCCATTGAAGAGTCTCATGCTGTACATGTCACTCTATGGGAGAATATATTGAGGAAGTTCGGTCTTTGAGCATCTGCACGGTGATGTCAACAAAGGAAGGCTGTTTGCAGTGTTTGCATTGCTTTATTAGGCCCCACTGGCTGCCATATTTATCAGTCCTGCCCCTCTGCTTTTCCATCCAGTTCAATTACGCTCATTTACTCCTTTTACTGCATACGATCTACGCTCCCTCATCGCATATCCATAAGGCGCAACTACACAATTATTGTTGGATTGATTCTAATCGCAATGGGTTCTACAGAATCGCAGAAAGGAGAGTGGACTCCGGGGACTGGTATTTTCTCCGATTCCATTAAATCTCTGAGTTTTTGACTAATTGCAACCTTGAACAGTCCTCTCAACACTCCCTCACCCCATAGAGGAAAACAGCTCCTCCCCGATACCATTTTTCCATCTCTTGGAGCGCCTCAAGACCACAAAGCGCGAAGGATGGCGCCGCTTCGGCCTTGACCGCGCAGAGTCTATCTCTGATCACATGTATCGCATGGCAATAATCACCATGCTCGCACCGCCCTCTCTCTCTTCCAAACTCAATATCCCGCACTGCACAAAAATGGCTTTGATTCATGACATGGCCGAATCCCTCGTCGGCGACATCACCCCCGTCGACAAATCCGTGACAAAGGCCGAAAAGGCACGCCGCGAAGCCGCTACCATGGATTATATTGAACAGTCATTATTGAGCGGCGTACCCGGCGGCACCATATCAGGTCCCGAGATCCGTCGCATCTTCCAGGAATATGAGGATAGCGAGACGTTGGAATCAAAGTTCGTGCATGACGTGGATAAGATTGAGCTGTTGTTGCAAATGGTCGAGTATGAACGGGAACATGGCAGAGATCTTTCGGAGTTTGCGCATGTTGCCAATCGAATCACACTGCCAGAGGTGAAGGAGTGGGCCGATGCGATTATGAAGGAGCGCAAGCATGTGTCGCAGAACCAGTCTTGATGCTGACTTTCAATACACTCGTTTCCCATTCTCGAGGATTTGGTATTCTAGTTAAAGGTTGGGGAGTCCGTCGGATGTAAATAGATTTTGTTCATATTTTTTACTCTGTTTTGTGAGCTCAGAGGCATGGCGCTGGAGGCGTTTGTCATTTGCACAGATGTTGCATTGGTTCGGTCTGAAAATAGACATTGGCATAGAGTTTTTATTCATTCCATGAGCATTGTTACCAAGGCAATGTATGTACTAGCATCCACCTGCGCCGACTATACCCAAATTAATCATAGACGAACTCGGTCATCTTCCTTCTCCATCTCCGCCGCCAACATACGCGCCTCCATCTCCATATCTTCCTCACTCCTCGGCGTCCTACTCTCATTATCGACAGCTGGGAAATTCGACCTCCTCTTCCTTCCTTCGGTCAATATCGTCCCCGTTGAACTTTCTTGTAGCACATCAGTATTCTTCTGCATCTGTAGCTCTTTCTGTATCCTGCCCAAATCACCTTCCTCCCCATCCAACATCTCATAAATCGCATCCGTGCCACCCTTATGATCCAGATCCGCCCTTTTCCGCGGGATGATGTGTGTATGAACATGCGGCACGCTCTGGCCCGCATCTACCCCATCTTGGATTGCGATGTTGAGACTTGTCGCACCGTATACGCGCTCTATCATGCGTCCTACTTTGCGGACTGTGAGGAACAGATCGGTGGTCTCGTCGGCTGTGAGGTCGGAGACGCGAGGGACGATGCGGCGAGGGGAGACGAGAACGTGGCCTGGGATTATAGGTTTGAGGTTGACGAGGGCGAAGGTTAGGGGCGTTTGGTAGAAGACCTGTTCCCATAAATACCGTCAATGTGAAAGCTGAGTCAAGGAGTCGTACTTGATAGGATGGCGGTTGTTCACCTGGGAGGTTACTAGGAAGGGACCAAAGTAGATTGGCCCCTTGGCGAGGTTCGCCATTGTGTGCCTCTACCCTTATAGAGTTGTCAAAGGAGGGATTGCTTCTTTGCGTGAGATTTGGAGTCCGAATTAAGTACGCAAAACAGTTGTGATCAGATGAGGTGTGTTGGATGAATGAAGGTCCATGCTTTGGCCGAAAGTCCAGAGTGGAGAACTGCGGCCGATCTGATAAGATAAGCTTCTCGTATCAATCTAGATGAATACCTTCAATCTCAAAGCTGTTCCCTAGAGCTTGATTCACAGAAGGAAGAGCATATCTCATCGAATTTTTGGAGCTCTCTCTCATGACTTCAAGAGAGACATCTGCTTAGGCTGGAGTAGGATCCAATCCTCGGACTACTCTCAAATACATACTTGTTGCCTGGCGTGTCACATACATGGAAGTTTTTTGAAGCAAATTTCCACCCTTACTTACTTCACCGACTCTCTCTAGCCTAACTAAATTGACTTTCCCATCAGAGCTGGGCGAACGCTGTTGTTTATGGCAACAAGTTCCCCCAGAAATTAGACTGATGATCTTCGAGATGCTAACAGAGGATTCTTTTTACCATAAGAACGAGAAATCATGCAATGTCTTTCATGCAAAGAATGTATTCGCTCGATACTTCCTCATTTCCAGGGAACGGCAAGCCTTTCTTTGAAGAGAGACTCTATAGTCGCCTGAAACTTACATAGTCATGTCTGGATAAATTTGACAGGAACGTTTACCGCCAACGGGCTCTGGCGGACTATATTTATTTCCACATTGAACTGGCGTCTGATGGCTGTCCATATTTCCAAGAGTATCCACATTTTACAGACACCCGTTTCAATAGCGATATTGTGGCAGTGGCTATCACGAAGCTGTTTTGACTCTCAGTGAGTGGCCAGGAGGTGATCAAACTTCCATCACTGTTCGCTTGACTTTCGAAATCAGTACCTACTCGCCAATTGATGCACAGTGCTGGTTCAGGCGAGATTTACGTCTCAGACAGAACTCCTTTAAAAAACGTGATGAGTGTTGTGAGCCGCTTGTTTGCGACCCATACCATTCCTGGCCCGATAATTGACAGTGTCCATTTCGTCATCTAATTCTGAGAGGTCGGTGGCTTGGGTTTCCTCTTACAGGGGCTCTTACCAGGTTTTTTACGATTTTGGATCCCAAATTCGAACCACCACTACCGACTGTCTGTGCTGTCAAAGGTTCATCATACGTCGTCAGACGCGGCGTAACATCTCGTCAATATCTTTGCAACCAATATTAAAGAGCCTTCTGAACCTCGTGCGTGTCAATTATGAGCCGTGTCGCGAACATGTACGGTTCGAACCGTACAACCGAGCATCGAAATATCTCCAAGACATAGGCAATTCTCCCTTGATGAAGAATGAACTAGAAATCTTTACTAATCGGGGTCCTCAATTTTGGTAAAAAAGGATATTAAGAAGTTTTTGTCAAATCATTACCTGATACGCCCAACTGCTTGACTATTTTTGAAAAATATAATGAATACTATGACTAGCCTACTACGCGGACCCTCCAATAATGTACGTTTTCGAAATCAATTTTCTTCCCGAGCTCATCAGAACTCCAGACCCGTGGGTCAGTGCTGCCATGGCTTGGAAAAGCCTCCGCCTTGCGAGACCTCTCGCGAGATTCCTTGCCTTTTACGTCGTTGACCGCGAAAGTTCTTCTCGTAAACCGGTCTAGTTTGGAGAAACTTAAAACCTTTGGCTTTGACCTTTCCGATACTGATGAACCTTACCTTCTCCATTGAGATTTACAAGATGTTAGCAGAAGCTGGTGACACTGCTCTTCAGATGCCTCTTCTAGAAAACATAGAAATTTGGTATATAATGAGACACAATGCATGCCTCTTCAGAGATCGAACTGCATCAATCCAGACGACGCCAAGCTGGTAGGGAACCTGGAAACTGGAACTGGATCCGACAGTTGTAAGTATATGGAAGAACGTTACAAAGCGACATTCCGGACATGATGATCTCGATATTGTGACTCACCAAAGCTAAGCCAGAGCTTCCATCGTCTCACATGCGTCGGCTATTCGCGAACTGAAGTTTACTGAGAAGTTAATTCATCCTATATCTGTAGAACAATTTGCACGAGAGTCTCAGCCATTGATATTTTTTGAGTTAGGTGAGCTATAAAGAGGTTCGAAATCAACCTAGCAGTGCACGAGAGAAGCTCTCCTGCCAAGGGGTTGATGTCCCTAGATCACGTCCAATTATAACAATCTTGCAATGATCTGGTACCTCTGTCTCATCGTCTTGTTTTTCTCGCTTCTCCGAGTCTCTTATCTCATACATTTCTCTCACAGCCTGGATGATTTTAAATGATCCATCAGTCAGGGATAGTATACCCTTGAGACGATGAATCTCAAAACTGGAAGTTTGCGTGCTATTGTCTGCAACACCACCGCCAGAATACTTATCAATGCTTTTCCATAAGATCGACCTCAGCCACTCATCTACACGCGGTAAGTGGTCAGGCGAGATTCTGGGATGCGTCAATGCAACGGTAGAAATCCTGGGATCAATATGCGCATGTCCCTTTTCCGAGAAATCCATCTTTGAAAGTTGATCGTAGGCATGTAGATCCAGAACGACGCCTTCGATCTGAGGCGTGCGACTGTGATCCGTGACATGAATCTTTGCCGCACCATTGATAGACGCAATCCTTTGCCGGGTAGCCTCCAACTCCGCCGGCGTTACCAGGTCAGCTTTGTTGAGAACGATGACATCTGCATGCGAAATCTGTAGATGGGCCATGGTCAACGCTGGTCCCGAGCCATAATGCTCGTCATGTTCGGCTCCGGCATGAGTTGCTGTCGTCTCTTCCGGGGCGGGCTCATCTAGTAATCGCAGAATGTTTTTTGCATCTACAAGTGTGACGATACCGTCGAGATAGATTGAGCTTCCTAGACCGTCATCGACCCAAAATAAAGGGGCGATGTTGCCGGGGTCGGCAAGCCCGGTAGTTTCGAGGAGAATGTAGTCGAATGTACCGCGGCGGTCCATCAGCGATTCGATTGCTTGGACGCCGGAGTCTCTGCGATGTATTAGTCTGTTGGACACACGCGTTGGTCGATTTTCAGGGGTGGTACTTGACTGAGCAGCATATACAACCATTACCGACGTCGAGCCATTCCGTGACCTCCTGCCCGTTTTGGTTTACAGTTAATGACTTTTCGATGTCGGTTGCTGTGCACAATGAGCCAATGCTACAACGGTCTGTGGAGCGAAAACTTACAATCTCCGAATTCTGTACACTAGTTAGACATATAATCAAGTATTCGAGGACACAAGCGCACCATTCATGATAACGGCAATCTTTTTGCCATGCTTCTCAGTCAGGATGTAATTTAATAGAGTCGTCTTGCCCGCTCCCAGGTATCCTAGGCAAGTGTCAGCCAACGTCAAGGAGAAAGAACAGGTAGTCGTGGTCCTGCCTACCTGTAACCAGAGTTATTGGTACCCGACTGACGAATTCAACTGATTCTTTTTCTCTTTCTTCTACTTTTCCTTCTTTTTTGCCCATAGACTCTGGGAATGCCGTCACCTCTACCAGCTCTGGAGGGGCATCTTCGTCATCCATTTTGTCATCCAGGAGATATCAGAAAGCAGAAGAAGTAAGCGCAAAAAGTCTACTACTTTCTAGATCCTGATCACGGATTTCTTGATATTCCGAAGAAATTTGGCTGAGGCTGTTATACGCCTCTGGGCATTCTGACGTAAAGCGAGCCGAGGCACCAAGGCATCAATTTCAGGCGCCAAGGCACCCACCAGCATGGACTTTTATTTGTTCAACGAGCCGCCGAGCGACTACAAGCACGTACTAGACGAGCTCGACGACTTAGACTTTGATTACAACCCCAACAGTGACTCTCCAGACAGTCGCTATCCGCTCTTTTTCTCTACAATCTCCCAAATTTTCGCGCCGGCCTCCCATTCCTTGCGCAAATCCCCGGCAATAATCTCCGTGTCCAGGAAAATGGCTGCGACTGCTGCGGCCGCCGTGTCTCCTTCGAGCTCTCCGCGTCTGCCCAGCCCTCCGCCTTTCACAGAAGTGCAAATCGGGCCTCAGTCGCCCACGGTTGGAGATAAGGGAGGTGATGGCCAGCTCTTTGCGCCGCTGATAGAGACGGATGACGGGTCAACAAGAAGGATTAGACCAGGTACTAAAGCTGCCGACATGGCTTCAGGACCGCCGCTCGTGCCGTTGTCGCAGGTGAGTTGAGCTGTCTACAATTACACATGTGGTCTGTAACTAACACTATGGACTTGTGTGATTAGCTCGACTCTCCCTTCCAGCTTCAAGAGCATCTCAAAGCTCTTTTTCATAACTACACTATGCCTAACGGATCGACTACCATCCATCCGATCACACACGAAGTCGCGGTCTCCCTCGCTCATGCTCCCGAAGGCGTCGAACGATCTTTATGGCTCTACGAGTTGTGTCGCTTCTTGACAATGAAAGTAAACAACCTTATCATCGCATTTTTCGCCGAAGACCCTCCTTGTTCGCAACAATCATGCCCCGAAATGCGCGCGTCGGAATGGCAATACCTTTGTGCCGTGCACGATCCACCAAAGTCGTGCTGTGCGATCGACTACTGCTGTCATACCCTCGACTGGGCGACAAATATTTTGACCTCGCCGAAATATTTCCCCAGTCGGCTCACCCTAGGTTCGGAGTCTGGRGGGGGTCCGMAAGCCAGCATGCGGCATTTGACAAACATATTCCGTCGCTTGTACCGTATCTTTGCGCACGCCTGGTTCCAGCATCGAGATGTCTTCCGTCAGGTGGAGAATACAGATGGTTTATATATCTTCTTCAAGACGGTGTGTGACGTTTACGAGCTGATACCACAGGATAACTATACTGTCCCGGAAGAAGCGGAGCGATTAGCTACCTCTGACGATACTCCCGAAGAACCACAGGGCCATTCTATTACGGCAGCAGTCCTACCGCCTGACAGCAACCGCCGAATTTCAGTGCTACGGAATGATACAGCCATCGCGGCGCCAGCCCTGTCTTCGGACACCCCTGTTGATGCACAGGCTTCCTTAAATGTGAGCACGGGTGCTACAACGAGACGACACAAACACAGTCCCTCAACAGGATCGAGCGTATCAACAATAGCAGAAGTGACCGAGGATCACAGTCCAGCTGCCAAGCTAGAACAGTCTTTACCCAAGGTCGAGGAAAATGTAGAGGATACAAAGAGCACGCCTTTGGAAGAGCCAGAGAACGAGCAAACTGAGGCCCCGAAAAGTGAAGAAAGTTCCGAGGACGAACAAAAGGAATCCGAACCGGTTGAAGTGACGTCTGAAAAGGCAAGTGAACGTGAAGAAGGAGCACAACCAACAGAGGCAGCGGAGGCGGAGGCAGAGGGCGAAAGGCAGGAGCCGCAGTTCACGGCCCCAGCAGCTACGGAATCTACTTCTGAAGAACAACAGACTTCCGAACGGGAACCGTCCAATGGAGAGCTCGAGACCGACTTCAAGTTTCCAGCCTCTACAACCGAAGAAAAACCTCCTACCGAATCTTCTAAATCCCCAGCTCCCACCGAATCATCTACCACTGTCTCGGTGACTGAAACAACCGGGGAGAAAGACGACTGATTTCTCCAGTCTATGAACGACTTGACGACTATATTCGATATAACTAATTCTGCATATATGCCCGTGTTTATTCTAATGCCTGTACTGTACTACTAGCATAATTCTTTACCCTTGTTTCTTTCACTTCGTTTCTGCTTCATTCTCTTTGGACCCATTTTTCTTTGTATACTTTTGTACGATATATGAGGTTTGATTCTGGTGGTGATTGTTGATATCACCGTGGGAAATGAAATGGAAACAGACACGGTTGGTGTTCTGATGATAGTTTTTATGCATTTTTTTGATACTCGTTACCCTTCCAGGCATTTCAACATCGCTACTTGTAAAACCACAATGTACCAAGTACTACCTAATTATTAACAACAGAGGTCTGTGCCGAGATCCCATTTATTACGTGCTTACATACAATCACTGATAATCTTTGCCACTTCCAGGCATGTCGACATCATCACTAGTAAAGCTGCAATGCCCCAAGGATCCCTCAACAGGAATCGCCCACCATTGGACAGGTAAAAGTTCCATATCTTCCTCTTTCTCATCCCTGTGGTCCTCCATTTCCACATCTCTCAGCTGATTAGGATCAGCCCTGGGATGACMCGCCGCCGCAATCGCAATGCTACAACTCCCTGCCACAGGCATAGCAGACTCAAGCCTCTGCCGGGGCAGCGCCACGAGGCTAGTGAACATGAAACTTGTAACCAATATAGAGCTCAGGATTGCGACAGGCGTGTATGCGCAGGTTATTACCTCCTCGCTGGGATCACGCTGCATGTTGTTGTCCCATGCATAAATGTCGACCATATAGGTATCAGCGGATACACAGCCCTGGAGGAAAATCAGATAACTCATCATCATACAGAGTGAAAAAGCGAAATTTATCGCTGTTAATTTTGGTATGGTGCTCAAATAAGACTAGCTGCACATTGTATTTGTACTTGTCAGAACTCGGTACTACTTTGCACGTGAACGGGCTAACCCTAAGTATATTACTTCTCGATGCAGGGCACAAATCACTTAGACGAATGAATCGACTGATATATGTGTCTAGGTAGACATTCCCTCCGGAGAACAGCCTTCTCCAGCATAGCTTGTTACAAAAGCAAGACCGCATTTGACACACAGCTCAGTGTATGCCGGATAATCATCTACCAGGCAAAAACACCATCCTTGTGAACTAGGCACGCAACATCCTTATCCCTCTCACCCCTGATAATACTCAACAAAAGCTTCCCTGATTCCTCCGGGTCGCCTGCCTTTCCCCAACCAGTCCTCGCTTCCTCGCCCTCTCCTCGGAGATTGGATACAACAAATCCAGGACTCATAGCAAACACTTTCAAGCCCTGGTCCTCAAAATCTCGCGCTTCGAGAACAGCCAGCATATTTAGCGCTGCTTTGCTGACCTGATACGCACCAGGTCTCTTGCTTCCGATCTGGGCTTGCTCGGCTGTTTTCTGCATTGCGTTCCGCAGCAATGTCCTCGCGCCGCTGCTGACGAATACCGAATATGGATTTGTGGATTTCAATAGTAGAGGGCGGAAAGCCGCTGCTACGACGGCTGGCCCTGTGACGTTCGTCTCCAGTACAAGCCGGAACTCGGTGCGGAGGTCGGGTATGTTGAGTCCACCTATTCCGGCATTGTTGACGAGGACGTCGAGGCGGCCGTAGGTTTGGACTACGTGTTCAACAGCCTTGGCGATGGAGGCGTCATCTGTGACGTCTAGTTGGATGGTGGAGAGCGTTCCCTTGATCTCGTGTGAGTAGGAGGATCTGAGGTCGTCGAGTGCGGCGTCCAATTTGGAGAGCGAGCGGMCTGCCATCACTACATGGTACGATGGGGAGGCGCAGGCGAGCACTTTTGAGGAGGCGAGGCCAATACCGGAGTTTGCTCCTATATTTGTTACTAATTGAGTGACATTTGGTCTGTTGTGCGGAAGAGGTACATACCGGTGATCAGAATGATTGTTGAAACCATATTCTCTCCTTCTTGAGTTGATTCCTGAGTATACTACCAAATAAGTGAATCATGAAGATAGAAGGAGTTAAGGCACTCATTTTGAGTCTGTAACATCTTATATATATGTAGACATATCAAGTCAGGCATCATGCTGATGCTATGGTGATTTCAGGCTTGCATAGTTTCGAAAACCAGTGCAAGCATGTCCAAAACCCTATAGCCATGGAAAATCGCGGACTTAACAATCTTCAGATGCCGCAAAAGCCATTATAGCCTCGAAAAGTGGCCAAAACTCTTGTTGCATACTTCAGACTGATCATTTGCCGTTAACGCCTTCGTTTAGCTGAAATGTTGACACTAATTCCTGTCCCGGGCCGATTCCGGCTATGCTTAGAGAACCATGAATCAGGAGTGGTATTTCATTAAATGTGAGGATATAGCTGGACATATTCATTTTCAGTTGTTTTTTAATTGACATCTGAAGACAGACAGATATCGGAACACACAGAGTCTCCGGACCCCTCACAAAACAAGCCAGATGCTAGCGTAAATGTCCCAACAATAATCAAAATCAATACTTTTTCATATCAACTGTTCATTGACCCAGCCTATTCTCCGTACAATCCTGTTTCAAGGCTGATATCATGCTATATACTAGCTCTGTGGATGTGGCTTTTTCGCTCAATGAGGTAATGGCCCGGACCTTAGGCCTGGTAATTGTTAGTTTAGTTCGCTTCAGGCTGGCAATAACCCAGACATAGGCATATCGATCTCCTTTTCCAATACCTCTTGAACCCTGGACTTGAGAAATAGTAAATCGAATGAGTTGACACCCAAGTTGAAGATAGACGACTCCACACTGATATCCGCAATTGGTATCTTCAGAAGCTCGGCCAATATACTTCCAAACAACTTCGCAATCTTGGTTTCCGGACCTTGCCACTGCCATTCCTGGTAGTGATTTCGAACTTCCAAATCTTCTCGTTCGAAGACGGCGTATTCAACGTTTTCTAGCTCAGAAAGGACTCTACTGCGTCAATTCAAAATGTTAGACTTCGATGATATTGTAGCTCAAGACGATATTATAAATCAACGGGATTTTGATTATTAGAATAGCATATATATCATCGATTGGGTTAGCAAGCATGTCTTTTACTTTTCAAGCAAATGGAGGCGCATGACCCGCCGAGCCTTTATGTGCAGTACAGAAGCCCTATCAACACCTGAAATTACTATCTAGAGACTTTGATTCATTTAGAAGTGGGGAGCTGTCAATAACCTATTCTATCAATAACAAATTATAGCGCTATTCATGTTTAAATGATTACATGTACTACCCAACCAGATATCAACAAAGTGACCATGAGGCGCCTTGCTCGTTATACTCAGATTCTACGGTACTATCTAACTATATGCTCAGACGAGGGCTGGAGGACCGAATAAAGATTTTTATCTCGGCGCTCCATGAATACCCAGGTGTCAGAATAGGAAATGTACAGTGCATCTTGCAGCTCACTGGTACAAACGTTCATGCTTTTCGATATTCAGTGGCCAGATTAAACAATCACGAAGTTTTATGAAAATTATCTTCGCCGGTAAAGGCCACACACTGTCTAGACGCGTTTCTTTGTTCAATCATTCAAAATTTCACTTCTAAGACTCCAAATTCAATACTGCGGTGAAGAGGCCGGTAGAATCCGTACACAGGAGCTCAACTACCTGGGTACTGTTGCTAGTCTTCTTCTTTTATTTTCTTGTTTTGATTATCTTTCTTTATTTCTCTCACCTTCCCTTGCATGTTAACACTCGATCTTCTTTACTCGCATTTCTCGCAATACACCATTGCAACTTACGAAGCTTCAAGAAAGAAGCCTTGCCTTCTAAGAAATGGCGCGCAATCTGCAAGAGTTGCCGATTCGGCAGTTGGCCTGGGAGTAAGCAACTTCATTCCATTCTTTGCTACTCGAGAGTGTCAAAATGCTAAAATAGAACTAGCTCCGCAGACTCAACATGGGAAGAATCCGAAGTTGTGATGCGAAGTTTTCTAGACGAGGATGTGAGCAAGATTGCCTTCCCAATGTGTTATTCCAAGATTCAGGCTAATACTACCAAGATGCTAGATGGGGAACCCGAGATGAAAGGAGATGTACGCATCCTGTAAGTTGTGCCAACGATAACCCTAAACTACTGTTGTTGATTTGTGATAGGTTTTTTCCACGCGTCGAGGATTTCGAGGGAGCCGATGCTGTTTCGAAGAAATTCAGTGAAACGTTGCATATCGATCCTTCCTTTTGGATGATGTGCGAGACAGAGCTTTACTTTCAGGGCAATGCCTTCCCTTTCACGACACAACACCAAGCTTCCGAGGATTGGACATGCAGTATGGACATAAAGCAATACCAAAGTAGGCCTATATCACAGCTAACAAGTAGTTTGTACAGCTCACATGTCTCGTTTTACTATCCAAGATCGAGAAGAGGAAAATATGGGGGATGGATACCACCAGCACAGCCTTGCTTTTTATTCCGTTTGGCTCAGCGAGGCCAATCGAGCTTCTTTCACGCAGTTCCTACTGTGCTTCGGTCTCAGTGATATGATGAAGTACTCGGTAGTCAAAGACTTCAAGGAATCCGATGGTCTCGTCATGAGTGGCGGTGCTTTTGAGGTTTATGGGGTTTGAGCGAAGACGATAACGAGTTTTGCTGAAGAAGCAACTCGGAGGTTAGAGAGAGCTATCTGTGACATGGCGGAGGTATTCCCTGTTTATTCTAAACTATCATTTCTAACCGAATTACTTCATTATCTTTCTGATTCGGAACAATTGCTAACACCAAAACTCAAGGATCAACCAATCGTCAACGAATCCCTCCCAGAAGATCCACAGCATCGTTGTCGCCTGCTCCTCGACAAGTACGAGAAGATGTCTGGGCTCTCGAAGAAGGTCATTCAAGCTCGTGAATTCTTGACCGCGACCGAGGAAACGTTTTACTCGATCAACAAGTATGCTGAAAATTTCAACGAGCGGTGGTCATCTGATGCGCAGATGGGTATGAAACAGCGCATCAAAGTTCTCAAACAATTCGGAAAGGCGACTCATAAGATCGGCAAAAGAGCAGGGTCATGCAAACGCCGCCTCGATCACGAGAGCAAACTGGTAAGTCCTGATTCAGGGACCTGTAACGGCTCTTTGCTGATGTATCTTCTCTTCCTGCTAGATTCATCAGCTCATTTCCGCGGAAAAAGCTGCTGAGTCAAGGCAGAGAGTAGCCCAGTCAGCTCTTTTCGAGGAGAGTATGAGATTGCGACAATACATGTTCGTCTTATTCTGTATTGGAATGATAGCTTTGGTCTTTGTAGTAAGTCAATCCGTGCCCGGTTGAGTGCGATAATTTATTTTGACAATCTGTAGGGAATCGTCTTACAATCACAGTTTAAACAACGAAAATCTTCTTAGTGGAGGTGAACAGAACACCTGCTACTGCAAGGTTTCCCTGCGTTGAGATAGCTGAGGTGCCTGGAGGTCTTTCCTTATTCTTTAAATAGGTTCTATTTGATTGCTTGAGCGTTAATGTAGATTGACAACTTTTTACTATGCTGCCTGTTTGTTAAGAATGAATCCACAAAATATCAATCATAATATCATCCATGTCAACACTGGCTGCTATCTCAACCAGATGAGTTCGTAGCATACAGGTACAATTTTCTCAAGAGTACTGCCCAACACAATTAGTCTCTACCTCGTCTCAACCACCTCGTTATAGCCCACCAACGAGTCACCGAAAGCGACAGTAGGGTAAGAGGTACCGCCACCGCAAAGAATATCCAAAACGTCGTGCGCAAACTCGCAACATCCGAAGTCATACTAAAGAAACTCGAGACGAAGGAAAGTGGCACAAACACAACAGCCAAATAAGTCAAACGGGCAAGACTTTTGTTCTGTTCCGCTGATCTTTTGGCTTCTTCGATGGATATGATTGCCGTGACGACGCGGACGAGATCTTGCACTTGTGCTTGGAGGGTCTCTAGGTCCCTCAATATGACGAGGAAGTCTTCTCGTAGATCCATCAGGGGGTTATCCTTGGGGTCTGTGGGTGAGAGGTTCTTGTCGCTCAAGATACCGTTGAGAATATTGGTTACCCATTTCCGATATCTGGGCACATTACGACGAAATGGATGTAGCCATTTGAGGGAAGCGTCCAATCCATATTTCTCACCGTGTCCGCGGAAGTCCGGCACCTCAAGTTCCCACTCAATCTGAGTCAATCTCGTGGTCACATACTCTTTGACAGTCAACCATTCGACCGCGATAATGCTAAGAATGGCGATGGCAAAGTTGTTCGGTTGCTCCTCCAACTCCTTTAGATGCTGCATAGACATTTTCATTGTCCAATAAACTACAGCCTCAAATAATGAATCTTTTGGTACCGGCGTGTTTGGGACGGACTTTGATGCGAGACTAGGGGGCGAGTCGAAATTGAAGCCTTTGCCCCAAAGAGGATGACCTTCTTTGATTGAAGGATCTACAATCAATATTCCTGTTCACGTATTTTAGTTTGCATGCGGGCCTTAGAGGTAGGTTGGATTGCTTACCCAAGGTATGTTTTTGACGTTTATCGTTACGTCTTAGCCATAAGGACGCCTTGCTGCGCCACATATTCACAGATGCCTGCTCATCATCTAGCAAGCTGGCACTTATACGGTCATCATCCAACCGTCTCAGCACGTTCATTCTGCGAGCTTCTTCTGTAGCCCGTCGTTGTGAGTCCTTACTCCTAAAGTATCGCGGATGGACATAGCGAAAATGATAAAAGTTCCGACCTCGAGTAATATGAGGAAGCTCTTCCAGCTCGACCCACGGATCTCTGGTATTGTACCACAAATAGTCGCTTATATGACCTCTCCAGAAATGGGGATCAATGTCATACGCGGATCCGAAAGCTTCAATGACATCTCTAGATAGATCCTCGATGACGAATAATCTGGAATGATCTGGGCTGTGGCTGAATCTATAATCTTTGAAGAGTCTGCGAAGCTCTTGAATGCTGTTTATCGTGGTCCGTGTAGGTTCGCCATCTACCTCCTTGGGAAAGTCTATCATCACCACTCGCGTGTGCTTTGCACGAGTTTCTCGATCTTCCTCGGTGAGATATTTCCATTTGACTGGTGAAGTTGTCACTTCCATCCAGCTAGCCAAATACGATACAGAAGGCCATGACCTCGAAATATTCTTGACATGTTTGAGATACGGCATGAAATCACTTGACAGAGTAAGCGATCTCTAAGTTGAGAAGAACTGTGGACGAGCACCTACGTGTTTATCCCCCATGGTCGCTTCTGCTCCACAGGTGTATATACATCTCCAATTTGGTATGTCCCTGCTTCATTAGAATGAGGCAACACATTGTTTGAGTTGTGTCCTTGAAAGCGGTTTCGAAATCTATTCTGCTGGGATACTGGGAGGAGGTGCGCTGCATGACTGGCCCATGATGGAGAGGCTCCCACCTCTTTGTGAGGCCTTTCGCCTAGAGCCATCATGTAACCTCAGGCATCGAATATACAGGTGGATTGACAAGTGCAAGGTGAGTACAGGAATAGAAACGGATTGATTTAAGCTTATTTCAGGGGCCAAAATTAAACCTCTATGCCCCACATTGGGTCAATTCTAAGATCTGATTGCTTCAGGCGATTAGCCGGTCCTATGCAGCTAAAACCCGACCGCTGCCTTGTTCCAGTGTTCAAAGTACTCGGTGTGACTCCAAATATTTAGTTAACAGTTTATACAACGAGAAGGACATCAGTTCATTTCGAAGAGACAGTGACATCTGGGTCCAACACCCGGGGTCTAAATGTGCAGAAGTAAATTTGCATTCTTGGCTTCACAAATTTAGCTAGCTAGAGTACTGTCACGGTTCAAAAATTAAACATGGTCTTATGTGGGTTGGTTGCACGCTCTGTTCAAATGCTAAATGTCGCTAAATGTCGTCATGAAGCGCATTTTGACCGAGAAGGAATAACTATACTCTTACGAATTCCGCTCGTCAGATTCCTGTCGGATGAATTACCACAAATGTGTACATCAATCTGGGAAGAATGCACCTAGCTTGATAAAGTCGCCTAAATTTCAAAGTTTTGCCCGCACCGGACCAATCCCGGAATAACGTCAATAAAATCCGACTGCCACCACGGTCAGCTTCGTCCGGATAGAACATTGAACCGGGCCAACGACTTTCCGATCAAAACACTTAATTGACTGGATATTTACAAGCTTCGGAGAGTATTTATTAGCGAAAAGCAAAAATTGAAAGAGTTCATGGAACAAGTTGTCTTTGAGCGAGATGATTGGCTGTCCAGTATACGAACCTTGGAAGACTCTAAAGACCGGGTATAAGGCCGACGAAAAACCGCTAGAAGATGTTATTATAAAGTGACATGACTTCACTCGAATATCGTTTTCTAGAATTCAAAATAAACAAACGAAGAACTAAACTGCTTGGTTTCGTCTTAGAACCTGTTCAACCATTTTCCGCGTGACTGATCATCAACTCCCAACATGGCAACAAGTAACTATATTAATAAAGTGGCTATTGTTGGAGTGAGTCCAAGACCACATCTCTATTCCTTTCGAGATTCTACTTCCTTCAATGACTGACATGATTATCCAAACCCTAGGCCGGTGGAAACTCTGGAAAATTCATGACCGAAGCCCTCCTCAAGACAGGCAAACACACCGTCACAGCTATCACCCGAGCCGACAGCAAGAGCAAACTACCTGAAGGAGTAATCTCAAAAGTGGTCGATTATGAAAAGCGGGAATCAGTCGTGGAGGCACTCAAAGGTCAAGACGCGCTTGTTATCACTTTAGGCGCCTTTGCGCTGAGCAACGAAGTCAAACTCATCGAAGCCGCTGATCAGGCTGGCGTTCCATGGATACTGCCGAATGAGTGGTCTTCGTATCCAGGAGCTCATGAGTTTATCAAGGATATGTTCTATTACCCGATGAAGAGTGAGTATTGAGTAACTCTCAGGTTACTTTGAGCTTTGGATGGAGGATGGGTGCCGATCCTGCGATATAACATGTTAGCATTCTATAACAGCGGCTAATTTACGCTTTATATAGGTGCTTCTCGTGAAGCTCTGGGAAAGCTCAAGACTTCCTCTTACATTGGCGTGTCAACTGGTTTTTGGTATGAGTGGAGTCTGCCTATGCCTCCAGCATTCGGGTTCGATATCACCAATCGTTCTGTTATGTTCTTTGATGAGGGAGAGGTCAAGGCTTCTGTCTCAACATGGCCTCAGGTATGGCTTCCCACTCCGCCCTTTCCTTACGAAAGGTTATTTACATGAGTGATAATATCTAGATTGGCCGCGCAGTAGCAGCTCTTCTTAGCTTACCCGTTCAAGCCGAAGAAGGCAAAGGCGATGGCTTTCTTGAAAATCTCAAGAACAAAGACGTCTACATCAATTCATTTACAATCAGTCAAAAGGACATGTTGGAGTCTCTTCTTCGGGTAACAGACACAAAGCCAGAAGATTGGACCATTACGAAAGAGTCGGCTCAAGGGCGTCTCGCGGAGGGCCTGAAAGAGATGCAAGAAGGTAAACATTCGGGTTTTGCGAAGAAACTGTACACACGTGTCTTTTTTCCCGACGGCTTTGGTGACTTTGAGCGTAACAAAGGTACACTCAACGGCGTGCTTGGCCTGCCGAAGGAAGATCTCGATGAAGCAACCAAGGTTGCTGTAGAGCGTGCGGGACTCCCTCGATGGACAGCTGAATAAGCAAAATGTACTTCTCACCTAATTTGTTCTACTAGTTGAATGTAGAAATGGAATTTCCATCACCAGGACACATACCACGCAACAAATTGTTGTACGAAATTAGTACATGGTTGGAGATAACACTGTTCAATCATGCTAAATCTGCTCCAAATAGATAAGTCTACAGATGTAGCTAGAGGAGACTCCCCTGGCTGCACATGAGTACAGGTGTCTAGCCAGGAAATAGGCGATAGAGACTGCGAGGTATAAGTGATATCAATGGCATTGCTATCATTGCGGTTATCGATTCTATATCTAAAATATGCATCCATGACGCCACACATCGTGCCAAATTTCTATCCTAGAACTTAATATGATCGGAATTGCTTCTCATACATCCGGATGCATGACGCATTTCAAAACGTTTACTAGAGCTGCAATGGATATCTTCTCGAAACCGGCAGAGGAAAAGAAAGACAAATCAAATTTATTTCCAACTCATTTTCGTCTTGAAATATGCTTGCTGTTCAATTGACTTTCCCTAACCCGGTAATCTGCACCGATCGTTGCCCGAACATTTTCAAGGTGAAGCGCTTCGGGCATCAAAATGGGTGAGGCTGACAAGGACGACCTCCTCGGTAAGCCGGACCCACGGACGATGATGTCTGGCCAGCCCTACGATAGATCTGTAAACAAAAAGCCGGTTAGTCTGTGAATGCAGGTATGAGCTCATTATTATGCTGCCTATATCTGCACCTGCGCCTGGATGAGTTTTGCATGAGGGTTTTCAATGATTTGATGCAGGATTGATGAGGCTCTTTAAGATCTCAACGGGTAAACAAATTATACAAGAAATCATTAGCATCGAATGTTTGATGGATGAGATATGGAAATTGATAATAAACATGGATATTTATGTCTTGGGCAAGTGTAGAGGCGGTCCTGTTCGTTGGCATCGAAGCTGACATTGGAAAACAATAACTGCCCAATCAGGAAATCTACGTTACTGAGATATATCGGATGATGAAACAACAGCGATGAAATCTTTAATCATGCAATTGTGTCTGAAGAATGGTACGTAAGTAGTACATGAATGTAACCACATTTGTTTTTGAAAAAGCGCAAGTGCAAACCCCGTCAACCCCCTAAGGTGGACTTGATTTCCCGTTCCGACAAAACTTTTACAACGCATAGCCCACCATCACCGAAGAGTTCAAGTATATTGATCTTTAGCTTGTCTGCTCTACAGTACTATACACAGCATTTTATGCATTTCTTCATGCATCTATTCAAATTCGTCCACAAGGTCGATCACGAGTTTCCAGAAAAACTACTCCTAATTCGACAAGCTTCAAGCCTTCTGAGGAAATTTTCCATTCAGCAGTATCTATCAAGTCGAACAGAAAAGACTAGCATGCTGCGCTTAAGAGCGCTCGCACTAATACACTTACGTATCTGGCTATTGGTAGTTGACATGCATGTCACCCAGCAATTGGAAGCATCACTTTGAAGGACGCTACATATGTATGAATTCGAAGGACTCCACGCGATATTAGCGTATAAACCGCCCTAAAACAAAATTCCAGAAAATAATCAAACGCACAAAAACTGAACTGATGATGACAACGTTTTATCCAATTCTTTACTCAATTGGTATCTTCGGTCTGCGATACTAGGGGGGCCGTTTGATCCTCAAGGAGTTTGGGTCTATTTCCTATGTCCGAGACAAAAGCAAAAGTCCTCGCAGTACACGGAAAACAGCGCGGAGTTTCGAGATGGAGACTTGCTTCAGTTATGTTTCGCATCTTTTATATTCGCCGATAGAAGATTGTCTTGCATCACATGTAGACTTTTTGGTACAACAATGTTACAATTGGATACGATCGTCGGTAAGAATGGTACAAGTGGGTCGATCGGACCTTCCCGCCCTCGGCCCGCGATCGAGCCATTCTTTTGATTCTTTTGATGGACCACAACTTATCCATACGCTGACATACGGGTTCATGCATTGATATCATTGACATGGTCGTCTTCAGGATGAATGTTTTACTTACCGAGGGCATACATATTGCTGTACTAGCTAACAGGCCGGAAAGACACAGCATGCGCCTCAGTATCGTGAACCTTTCAATGGAAACTATCACAATCCGGTTGTCATAAAAAAAGAGGGGAAAGAAAAGAAACACCAAATCGACCGATGTCGGGGCTCTGCCTCTTTATTAGTGCTGTAGAACAGGTTTAGGTGCAGCCGCCGACGCACTGACTAAACAATTGAACGATATAACGTTAAACCTCCTCTTTTTCTGTTCGTTTGCTGTGTGTTCGGCGGGGCTTGACTGGTTCATGGGCTCCATGGCGGCACTCACAGAACCATTGGGCCCCGCCAGTCAATTGGAGCCACGCATAAGACTAACGCAAACAGGTCACATCTATTCGACGGAGGTTGGCTATATTTTCGCTATATAGTAGTACCACTGCCCTCCATCGTTCAGAACTGAACCACCTAACCAGCGCAGTGAAAACTTAGCCCTTCCTTTCGTGATGCAATTCAACAGCCGAGCAACCAATGGCAGGAATAGTACAATTTCTCGGTACAGAAGATGATCCTTTCTCGTTCCCTTTTGAGTGACAAAGTCCTTACCGCCGGGATGTGCGCGCCGCATTCGAAAGGTGCATCTCAGTCATCCTGTTTGTCGGGATGAGACGAGAATATCGGAAGATGAAGGAACGGTTGCGAGGTAATCCGAGCTAGGGGTGACAACCACTAACTAACGTGGTCAACGACACCCATGCTGCTTCCTTCTTTGTTCTTGATATTATTAATCCTTGGGGGTCGCATATCTCGCATGCATGGAAGGAAATCAGGTGTAGCCAATGCATGTAACTATGGCGGTGCTACTCGGGCCATGGCTTTTGTAAGGAAGACTCGAACGTAGAATTTATTTTTGAGGACAATCCCGACTAGCGAAGTAGTAGTTATGTATCTGGAAGTAAAGAGCATGCACGATCGTAGTTGGTCCAATCATTATTCATCGTCTGCGCTGCTGTTCCTAAAAACGGCCACGTCGGATGCGCGGCGGGGATACTCGCTGCGATAGATCAGCGTATTGAATGGTTTTTTTCAACTGTTCAGAATCTAGTTTATTCAGACGCAGGAGCTGTTACGGTTCACCTTTTTTTTTCTCTCTTGCTTTTGTTCCCAGTCCCTTACCATCTTAAAATTCCAAGTTCCATCAAGGGACAAGGATTGGAAAATTTTTCGTTGTAGGCTGCGCTATTGATTGTGCCCTATCTACTATTCGCTCTAGGCTGTGTCCAGGTACACTCAGACCAGCCGATGACACCAGCGCCCCCTGGTCAGGCCGCAACGCAGCAGAGCTTTTAGAAGGAAGAAAAAATAATTCGCACACTGAGGGAGTACCTTTGTGTCTTGGTCATACATACAACAGCCAAAACATCGGCCATTATTCGTGCTCGACGTGATAACAACCTTATACAGTCACCAATCGAACGAACATTTAGTACGACGCTTTTATTTTCCCTCGCTATTAGAGGCTACACAGCCCTACCAAAAGACGATTGCTGCCTAGTCTTTTGGAAATAATATTGTTACTCTAGAAACGCTGTTCCTGACCCGAATTAGCGGTCAGATTATCAACAACATCACCAAGCACGAAAAATTTTTTCGGCTGTGTGATAAAAACAAAATTTACCCTGCATCTGACTCATTGATCGTCTACTGGCAGTCAGCCACTGGTGTTTCCAGGGTATTGCATTCGCCCATGCAATTGTTGCACCACGTCTTCCAGCCGCCGTTCATCTCTGACCTCTAACATTGGTGGTGTTTTTGTCCTACAGTCTAGACTTGTGTGTGTGTGTACTTGTGTCACTGAGGATTTCGGTTCGGATTCCGATTCCACGAAGTTCAAACATTGCTTGAATATAAGTCGCTGTATATCGATCTTGACATAATAGTGTTGCATAGTTGGTCAACAATCACACGGATAACGCCGCAGCCGTCTCAAGTCGCCCACACCCACCTCCATTTCGTCTCTTTTCTTCCGTCTCGTCTCGCCCTCTTTATACAGTTACAGACCGATACGTACCCCTTGCGCCTCAACTCTTACCGACTGAGGGGGCCAAGGGGTGAAGTCCCTTAGGCGCCTTGATTTTCATCAATTTGGATTCTTGGCACATCCAGTTGTTGTTGACTCCGGCGACATCTCACCTTCTTCTTCCTTCCTTGACGCGGGCGTCTGCTGCCCAGCTACACACCCACTCTTATGGCCGCGAACTGTTGAGTTTAGCCGATTGTCCAGGTCCCTTGTGCGTGCTAGCGGACGCGTTTGATATCCTAGACTTTTTCCTGGACAGTCGAGCCCTCCATGGCAATCACTATCCGCGACAACTCGACCGGTAGTTCTCACCGGGGATTCTTCAATACCCTCCGCGATCACGAGCTCGAGGCGCGATCCGAAAACGTAATGCTGCCTTCGGCTGTGCCGAAAGTGAGCATGTGGCACCGATTGGGTTTGGGACGATGGCTTCACAAGGACGAGCACACCTCCGGATCGAGTTCCCCCACCAACACCACCAACGACCATCGTGAAAATCTATCGCGACGTCTGTCTCGAAAAGTCGGTGCTGTCGGTTTACCTCGACCTGCTACATTTCGTCGACAAGTTTCCGAGCGACGAGACCGGTTGGCACCCGTCGAGCCAGAGCATCGCCGGACGCAATCCGCGGACCGTCGTCTACCATTGAGTGTTCCGCGATCGCAGTCACCGACACCGGTGAATATCGCCCGACTTTCGGCGCCTGAGGTGGGATCTTGGAGCGAACAACTTGCAGGTTTGGGCCTTCGAGATGACGATTCAACCCACGAGTATTTACAAGACACGGCGACTTTGGACCATGTGGATTCAGCACCGTATAACCGCTACGACAACGCAAGCATACAACCGGAGACCGTGGACGACGAATTAGAGCAGGAATTAGAGAGGAAATGGATTCTGAATCTGAGCATGCACTTCCGAGACAAGTCCGAACGGGAAAAGTTCTTCGTGACATACGCAGAGAAACCGAATAAATGGCGAAGAGTGACAGTGTCGTGCGATTACCGAGACGCTCCACCGGATTCTTTGGAGCAGGATTTGAAGGAGTTACATTACCAGCGCGACAAAAGCGCTCGTATTTACGAATCGATACGAGAGTCGCTCCCCGAAATACAATTCTACGACACGGTCACCAACCTCAAACTCGAAACAAGTGATGGCCGGTTGCATGTACATGTGACAGAAGATGTCAATGAAACAATTCCTTATCCGCCCGTGTCGAGCGTTCGCCATCTTGGAAATCGTCTTATTCCAGAACAAGATCTCATGTTTGAGTCTCATCTATCTGGGTTTGTTTACAAGGTTCAATTAGACGGCAAAGCTTACATCAAGAAGGAGATCCCTGGCCCAGATACTGTTGATGAGTTTCTCTACGAGATCAACGCGCTTCATGCGTTACATGGTTCACAAAGTGTTATACAGTTCGAAGGGATTATTGTCGATGATCATCTCGAACGCGTCAAGGGTTTACTAATCAGCTATGCAGAACAAGGTGCACTGGTGGATGTACTATATGATTTCCGTGGTCAGTTGTCGTTGGCCCGCAGGGAACGATGGGCCAGACAAATCGTACAGGGCTTGTGTGAAATACACGAGGCTGGCTATGTTCAAGGCGATTTCACATTATCGAATATTGTCATCGACGGAAATGACAATGCCAAAATCATCGACATCAACCGCAGAGGATGCCCCGTCGGATGGGAGCCACCCGAAATTGCCGCCAAAATAGAGAGCAATCAGAGGATATCCATGTACATTGGCGTCAAGTCAGACCTTTTTCAACTGGGAATGACATTATGGGCCCTCGCAATGCAAGAAGACGAGCCAGAGCGTCAACCACGTCCGCTATTCATACCGATCGACATGAAAGTTCCTGATTATTATAGAAGGGTCATTGCTCATTGTCTCAGTGACCGCCCTCGAGATCGACTGTCCGCAAAGGAGTTACTAGCCATGTTTCCGCCTGACATTAAGGACCATCACCATCCCATCAATGCTGTTGTACCACCCCCATGGAGTGCTTACCCCCATCCCACTGGCGGTCCTCCATTTTATGATTCGCTCCATATCGATGCTCCTCAGCCAATTTGCCTTGATGAACACCATGATCAGGCTGCTGAGCGTCCGAGTGTGGTATATGTAACGCCAGCTGAATATGAATCAGAGGTCGAATTTCCTGAAATCGATTTTCCGCCCCGAGGTCGTCGTCCATCGACACACGGCCTTCCACCTAGCGACTATCAACCTTCGACATACATGCCTTCTAGTGTCTCTCGTGATCCAGAAGGACGTCGTTCCATTTCACAGAGCGATTTTGAAGTTCATAGCAGGCCGTCCCCAGCTATGCGGGTTGAACCACGGTTTGAGGAGGTCGAGGTCAATGGCACGCAGTACTTGGTCAATCCGACCATGTTCTCTGCAGAAGATTTTGAGGCTCTCAGAGATAACACACACGAACCACACGACTCGCAGGAGTTGGAAAGTGGCAGAAACTCTGACATAAGCCGTGCTGTCGTTCCCTCGTCGGTTGACGATGGTAAAGATGTGGAGGCTGATCGAGATGCGAACGAATCAAATGATTTTAAGGCTGGCAATCATCAAAATGCCGGGATTCTCGGTGACTTGGCTGGTGTGGGCAGTCACCCGTCAGTCTCGCTGGAACATCGGACTGAAGCCGCGCCGTTCACTACCAGTATGGGCAAGCAGCCTATCGCATTTTCTTCCGCTATTGCTAGACCAGCTACTGTCGCCTCACAAATTGTTCAATCCCAGACGCCAAACGATGTTCCAGAGCTCAAAGAGGAAGCTGGAGTCTCGCAAGGCTCAAGGTGCACTGAAAACAACATCCCGGCAGAGAGCTCATTATTCACTTCAAGTCTGCCTATCAACCCAGCCCTTCCACGAACAACAGCTCCGTCGACAACGTCATCAACAAAAAGAAAAAGCTCACTGTTTAGCTCGATGCTGCCTATCAACCCGGCCCTTCCAGAGACAGCAGCCTCTCGCCCAACGACATCACGACCAATACCATCAAGACGGAACTCGCTCTTTGGTTCTCTTTTGCCGATCAATCCGGCTCTTGCACAGAATGCGCCATCCCGACCAATCTCAAGGAGGAACTCATTGTTTGGTTCAAAACTACCAATTAATCCGGCTCTACCACAAACAACATTAACAACGAAGTTAGGCCGGAGTGAGAGGCCATCTAGTGCTATGAAACGACTGTCCTATCTTCTCGATTCGGTTTTGCCAATCAACCCAGCTTTCTCGGTAAATCGCCGAGATGGAATGGATTCTAGTACATTCTAAGCAATTTCCGGACCACTACGCAACACGATACGATACGTCTCTCAACGAGAGGAATATATATATACCATCCTCAAATCTGCACAGCAAATATCGGAAGCAATACGTCGTCAACAAAAACTATTTCAACAATGACCCTAACAAACCAAAATCGTCATACCCCGGCGTTTCTTCAACATGGGATTTTTGCACCACATCTCGGCGTGATACAAAAAAAAGTAGCAACGCATTGTTTTCAGGAGTTTGATTCAATATCTTGGAAAATGGCCGAACATTTTTCTTTTGTTTTATCTCTTATCTCGTTGGAGTTTCTCAGTTCTGGGACATTCTCGCATCTAGATTATTTACTTTTGACTATCACGATTTCGCAATTTGGCAAAAACGGGCAGGAAGATAAGGGACTTGGGGAATATGGCGCTTGGAAATTTTTGCATCTTTCTTTTGTTTCTAATGACTCGACACGTCTGATATCTATTTTTGGCGCCTTTCTACATATTTCGTCATCTTGCTGTGTTAACACTTTTTTGCTCGCTTATTTCTTTTGTCTCGTTTTTCTAGCCTGTTTGTTGCTCTCTATTTTAATTTTCGCATTATTCAATTCTTCCTCATGGTGTTTTGATATATATAGCATTTTGATTGACTCTTGATTTCACACCTATATTTTCTTCTCTATCCTCCTTTCGACCGCTCCATTCTTACATCTGGAACTTGGTTCACTCCACATGACGACGTTACGAATCTCCCATTTTACATCTCCATTTCACATCTCGCATTCGGTTCAAGGGATTCAACTCTAAATTTCCTATTCCATTCCATTACGGTGTCTGGTGTCCACATCATCTATCCACGGAGCACTTTGGTCTTTTCGGTGGTTCTATTGACATTCTTTGGGGTTCAAATGGGTTGGGTTCCAAGACATGGTCGTTAGTCGGTTTGATCCTTTTTATTTTCTTATATATAGGCTTTTTAACTCTTGAATGACCAATCTTCCTTTCTTCCAACATCACTCCCAACTCAAAGTCTTTGCTTTTCAATATTAATAGTACTTGACATACAGTAATTGGGAAGAGTAGAACGACAATGTATGATCCCAGCCATTATTCCCCACCACCTACACGGAACCCCTAATCTCGATACAGAAAGATATAAATGACTATATATACATAGATTCCACATGTAAAATCAGGTCTAATTGGAATTTCTTTTTGAATAAGAGAGGAGATGATAAAAAAAGAGAATATGTCTCGAGACAGTCGTGATGTTGTATATGACAGTGCGAACCTTGAGATTTAGACGTATCTCGAAGTTTCAGGTTGGTTGTTGGTCTCCTGGATGGAGAAAGTTGGTGGGCAGATGGTTGTATATATGAATCTCATCGACGGTTATCGAGGGATGTGAGGATGTGAACTAGATCAGAAACTCAAAAATAGCATTATGCACGGGGTACAAGAAGGCCAAAATGTAAAACTCCAAGCAATGCAGTCACCACTCGACAATAGCAAAGACATGCTCGTTTCTCTATGCCACCGTAGAACAGAAAAAAAAATCAAAAGTTGTCCAGACCCTCACATGTGCGAGTGTCGAGGACAAAAACGTGGTATGCTTCCGATACGAAGTATCGTATGCGATTGTTGTGTACAGAATTAATCATCGTCGTCGTCGTGCTCTTCCTTCCTCTTTTTGGACTTAGATGGCTTAGTGAGCTGTTTTTTCCAGACATTGTTTGCGGCTTCGCGGTCTAGGTCGGCGAAGACGATGTTGAAGACGTCCGAGTACCAGTTGACTGCGTGACCTTCGATGCCTTCTTTGATGTTCTATGTACATTGTTAGTCTTTAGCCTGGTAATGGGGGTTCAAAATAGCTTACTTCAGGTAGTTCCAGCCAGTCAGACATGTTGTCAGCTGGGAAGAGGATCTTCTTAGCACCAGCACGACGGGCAGCGACCGTCTTTTCGCGGAGGCCTCCAATACGGAGAACCTTTCCGGTGACTGTCAACTCTCCGGTCATTGCAATGGTGGGGTCAAGAGGGTGGTTCAATGCAAGAGAGAGTAAAGAGGTGGACATCGTGATACCAGCCGATGGTCCTACAATCAACATCCGTTAGTATATACACTAGAAGATATAATAAGGTTCAAATCTTACCATCTTTTTGTACAGCACCCTCCGGACAATGCAAGTGTACGCGAGCCTTTTCGAAGAATCGATTCTCCGGGAACTCCTGAGCCATCACTGACTTGGCAAAGGAGTACGCAATTTGAGTCGACTCCTTCATGACATTCATCAGGTTACCGGTAGTCTCAAATCCAGGGCGAGAGTCGTAAGTAAGTGCATTCTCAAGGATAGATTCCACGTAAAGAGCTGCACCTCCCATGCTCGTCCAGGCCAAGCCCATGGTAACACCAGGAGGGAACACATCGTAGAGACGATCGGACGTGAAGACTGGTGGGCCCACGTAATCCTTTAATACTTCTTTGCTGATGCTGACATGTACGCTTTCGGGTACCTTCAAAGCAACTCGAGGGGTCTCGGTTCTGGCCTTCTCTGGCTCGATCAAGACATCTTGTGGATCGACGTTCTCCTTGTCCGATTCTTCCTTGGCCTGCTTTCCTTCGGTTGTGAGAGCCTCTTCTTCCGAAAGAACGTCCTCGCCAAGGTCTTGAACGATCTTAAGGGCCGCCTTGCGGTACACCTTTTCAATTTGCTTTTTCAAGTTTCTAACTCCACTCTCGCGGCAGTAGAATTTGATCAGCTCCTCGATAGCGTCTCGTTGCAAACTAACATCGACATCCTTCAAGCCACTGAGTTCTTTGGCAGCAGGTGCAAGGTATTTGTCGGCAATTGCCATTTTCTCATCAGCGACGTAGCCAGACAACTCGATCAATTCCATGCGATCCAATAGAGGGCGTGGAATAGTGTCGGTCACATTCGCCGTACAGACAAACAGAACTTTTGACAAATCCACCGGCACGTCCATGTAGTGATCAAGGAACGACGAGTTCTGTTCCGGGTCAAGAAGTTCCAAAAGAGCAGAAGAAGGGTCGCCTTGATGACCACGTCCAATCTTGTCGACTTCATCAATAAGGATAAGCGGGTTCTCTGTCTGACACTTTTTCAAGGCTTGGATGATTCTTCCCGGAAGTGCACCAACATACGTCCTTCGGTGCCCTTTAATCTCAGCAACGTCCGTCAATCCTCCCACTGAGAATCTGTAGTATTGCCTGTTGAGAGCCCGGGCGATGGATTTTCCAATACTGGTCTTACCCACACCTGGAGGTCCGACCAAGCACAAGATCTTGCCTTCCACTGAGCCACGGAGTTTGCCGACTGCGATGAACTCTAGAATTCGGTCCTTGACATCTTTCAGGCCGTAGTGATCCTCATCTAAGACAGACATGGCATTCTTAATACCAAAGTTCTCCACGCTCTTCTGGCCCCAGGGAATTTGCGTGAGCCAGTCGAGGTAATTACGAGTCACGTTGAACTCAGATGCAGCAGGTTCTAGGTGCGCAAGTTTATTCAGTTCCTCGTCAAACACCTTCTTTACCGCCTCTGGCATAGCGAGTTTCTCTGCTTTTTCTTTAAACTTCTCCACAAGTTTGTCCTTGCCGTCCGACTCAATACCTAATTCCCTCTTGATCCCTTTCATTTGTTCCATTAACCAATATTCTCGCTGGCGCTTCTGAATCTTGGCCTCAACGTCTTTCGAAATCTTTGACTGCAGCTGAGCATTGATCAACTCCTTCTTCAAAACGACAAGAGCTTTAGGAAGCCTATCTTCTATGTTCATGGCTTCCAGAACTTCTTGCACTTCGGCAGAGTCGCCCGCGGCCACTGCAGCTGCAAAGTCGGCCAATTTTCCAGGCTCATCACCGAGGTTTCCGGGGAAATGATCCGTTGCGAAGGCAGAAATCTGGTCTCGGAAGAGTGGGTTGAATTGAACAATTTCCTTGCAGACATTGACAATCTCGCTGGTCACGGCTCGGATGACGGGGCTCTTCTTATCAAACGGCTCTTCTGTGAGGTTCTCAACATTGGCGAGGGTGACTGCGTGTTTGCGTAGGAATGATGTTGGCTCGTAGTGGTAGACTTCCTTTGGTGGAGCTTCAACCGTCCCTTCTTCGAAGCTTGCAACGACGTCACCTTTCTTTTCTGCGGTATCCTTTAAGATTGGCTGATCGATTGTACCGTTTCGGGCAGGATCATTAGGTGCTAGCAGAGTACTAATCTTGATTCTTCGATGAGGATAGAGAACGGCCGTCAGGCCACCCTCGCCATCTTTTGTGTTCAAAGGGTATGTGGAAGTGATTTGAGCGAAAACACCGACATCATGAACGTCATCTAGGTTCTCGATAATATCTCCATCCGCATCATCGTTTTTGAACAAGAATGCTCCCACATATGGCTGCCCGCGTTTCATCATCTCTTGTATAGCTGCCGCCACATTCGGATCTTTCACGGTAATCGCCTTGTAGAAGCCGGGGAACAACGGTCGCCGCGCAATCGGGATGGCCATGACTTGTGGGTAGACATCAGGAATGAAAGGTTTTTGAAGCGACTTGTCCCCCTTTTTGCTTCTCCTTCCACCATCATCATTMCCATYCCCGCCGCTGGGCTTTGACTCTGACCCTCCACCGCCTCCAGAAACGGGGATTGGCGACGGCGAGCTCGAATCAGCTTTGCTGTCTCGGCTTTTAGTTTGTTGTGATTCGCCCTTTTTCGTCACTTCCGTCTGCTCTTCCTTCTCAGCACTGCTCTTATCCCGCCGTCGGCTCGGGGAATCGGTCGTTTGTGGTGAACTTTGCTTCTCCGTCGCATCGCCAGACTTTCGTCGAGAGTCTACTTGCTTAGTTGTGTCCTTCCCCTCTGAGCCATCATTGCTTTCCGCATTTTCCGGCGCATCGTCTGAAGGTGGCGCTTTTTCCTTGTATGAGATTCGACCTGACGTAAACGCCCGGAGAGCGACGGGCGACGTAGGGAATACCGGTGTGCGTGGAGATGACAATCGAGTGCTCGCGTGATGCCTTGCTGATAAGGAAGCTATCCTAGGAGTCACATAGTGTGGCGCACGATGGAGTGCAGCTCTCCATGAAATGACCTGGCCTCGAAGCATGCTATGAGTGTTGCGAACATCCAAGGGCACGTGCTGGCCCGATGCAGGTATAGACCGTTTCAATAAAGCGAATGAGCAATATTAGAAAAGAGACAAGGGTGCCGCTACAACAAAACAGTCGGAAAGAGGATGAACAAAAGCTCTTTCTCGGCTGTATGGGTCGACTGGTTGATAATCAAGCATCGATTTCTCCGAATGTCGGGGAACCTCTGAGATCATCCCGCGGCCTTTTGTTTTTCCGCTTCCCGAGGTCTTCTCTCCGTGAAACTTTTTTAGAAGCTTCTATCGAAGTCAAGCTAATGATTGCGTATTTGTCTACACGCTTTCTTCGAATTACACTCTTGCGCATCCATTTTGGATATCAGTGGATGAGAAATCGATGAGACATGGCCGCAACACCTGCGGGACTGCCCAAGGCAGTCGCTATCCCCACGAGAATCCTTCTTAGGACGTCACGGCCATCCGCCGGCAACTGTCCCAGTTTCTGTCAACAAGTTAACGGCCGTTCTTTCTACGATCATCGGTCGTCGTCGCCTCCAAGTCGGTCTCACAGTGCTCTTCCTCGGAGCAAAGAGCCTCTCCGCTTTGGAGTTAGGGTAAGTCAATGTAAACAGCTATATAGCCGAATGTTCATTTGCTCATGCGATACGCGATACAGGAATTTCATGCATCTACGTCACAACAAGCGATGAAAGATCCCTACAAAGTCCTCGGAGTCGACAAGAACGCTTCCGCAGCCGATATCAAAAGAGCGTATTATGGAATGGCTAAGAAATTCCACCCCGATACGAACAAGGAACCAGGCGCCAAGGATAAATTCGCGGAAGCACAGTCCGCCTACGAATTACTATCCGACGCGAAGAAGAAGGAAACCTACGACCGTTACGGCTCAGGAGCATTTGATCAGAATGGAGGTTTCGATCCGAATGCTGGCGGAAATCCATTTGCCGGTGCTGGAGGGTTCCATGGTTTTGGCGGAGCTGGCTTTGGCGGCGGTGGTTTTGGAGGTGGATTTTCAGGGGATATTAATTTCGAAGACCTTTTCGGTGCGTTTACTGGAGGTGCGGGACGTGCGGGACGACGACGAGCATCACCGCACGAGTCTATACTAGTGGGAGAGGATATCGAAGTCCAGACAAACATATCCTTTATGGAAGCTGCCAAGGGAACCGGCAAAGACATTTTTATTACGCCGCTTGTCGAATGTAAGACTTGCGCGGGAAGCGGTCTCAAGAAAGGCGCCAAACGATCTCAATGCAAGTCATGCAATGGTTCCGGTACTCGGGTTCATTTCATGCAAGGCGGATTTCAATTGGCTAGCACTTGCGATGTTTGCAATGGGTCTGGAATGGTTACTCCTCGTGGCTCAGACTGTGGTACTTGCGGTGGTCAAGGTGTAGTTAGGGATCGACGGACTGTTCATGTGGATATCCCGGGAGGAGTGGAAGATGGTATGAGAATCCGAGTTGCCGCCGAAGGTGACTCTCCTCCAACAGGTGCGGCGAATGCCGGCACACGAACACAGCGCGGTGATCTTTACGTTTCGATCCGGGTCGCGCCAGACCATCGCTTTAGCCGGTCCGGCTCTGATATTCTCTATACTGCATCACTACCATTGACTACTGCGCTGCTGGGTGGAGAAGTGACGGTGCCGACACTTGACGGTGAAGTCAAGATCAAAGTCGCCACTGGTACGGGTACTGGTGATCGCATCACTCTTCCTGGGAAGGGTATGCGCAAGCTTGGTGGTCGAAGCCGCGGCTTCACCTCGACTGGTGACCTCCGTGTGGAGTTTAAGGTTCAGATGCCAAAGTACCTCAATGAAAATCAACGAACAATCCTTGAGGTATTGGCAGATGAGATGGGCGATAAGACGGCTAAGCGTATCATGAATGTTGGAAAAGACAGGTGTGTTTGAGACGTTGCACGCATTTTATATGCATACTGATTGGTTCACAGTGACAACCCTCCCAGTTCTGGCAACGGTGGATCGACGACAGATTCGCACAAGAACGAGGGCTTCCTCAAATCCGCATGGCACCGTCTCACCAACCAACACAAGTCTCCCGAGTCCAAGACTACTGACACTCCGAAGAACGACTCGCCAAAGAAGAACGACGACCACCACGACGAGCCCAAGAAAGCTTCCGAATCCAGCTAAGCTATTGGCTAGTTACTATCTCTGTACATTTACCTCATTTTTGATTTGCACAAATTAGATCCATAGCGTTGGCGAGTTGGTGTTGTCATTTACGGCGGTTAGTCATTGTTTGCTTTGAGTTGTCGAAAGCCATGTATTATAGTTAGAGCCGACCATAGTATATGTGAAGAAATCACAACCCCTCTCTTGATAATAAGAGTACTCTATATTATAATCTGCAGCACAGTCTTGACTGCCCAGTGCCGGTGCTCAGGCAGCTTTCCTCCACTGCTTCAACCAATAGGACAACTATCGCAATACCTGATCGAGTATCGGCATCTAGCTCCCAAGGCAAATAAAGTCTTTGCTCTAAAACGGCTTAAGCAAGACAGCCCGCACGCCAATCAGTGTGCTCGGGCTGGTCCAGGGGCGTGACAGCGGCTCTCGACGTGCAGCACAAGATCCAACCAGAGCGCCCTATCGCGACTTTTCAAATGTTCAGCCTGCAGGCGCCAACTATGTTTGTCTGCAGAATCTGGCGTGGGTTGTTCGACTACTACCACATCGCTGGGTAGCAAATTGAACTCATTTCTTCTTGAATCACTTCCTGGGTTGTCGACAATCGTTGTTGTTGTCGTTGTTGAAACATTGCTGAGTCAAGCAGAAACTAAGTTAGCGCTGAGGAGCTAAGCAGGTACCCCACACCGTGGCCGTCCCGCCGCCTGAACAACTGACGTATCTCAGCCAACAACATTCTCAATATACACCAGACTCTTATTTCTTATTTCTTCGACGGCCTATTATCCTGGTAGGAGCTTCTGCTCCTATCTACGACTCTCTCAACACTCAACATGAACCAGTCTCCCATGCTCTCCTGTCCGCTCAAGCAGACCAACGAGATCGACTGGGTCCAGCCGCTCAAGGATTATATCCGCACCGCCTACGGTGACGACCCAGACCGATACCAGGAAGAATGTGCCACGCTGAACAGATTGCGCCAGGATATGCGAGGCGCCGGCAAGGATAGCGCATCGGGGAGGGACTTGTTATATCGATACTATGGACAGTTGGAGTTGCTGGATCTGCGGTTTCCTGTGGATGAGAATCATATCAAAATATCCTTTACCTGGTAAGCCAACATGACTATTCGCGGACTATCCATCTAACCTGCAGCTTGACAGGTACGATGCCTTTACGCAGAAACCGACTTCGCAATACTCGCTGGCATTCGAGAAAGCGTCGATCCTGTTCAATATCTCCGCCGTCCTGTCCTGCCACGCCGCGAACCAGAATCGAGCCGACGATACTGGATTAAAGACGGCATTCCACTCGTTTCAAGCTTCGGCTGGCATGTTTACATATATCAATGAGAACTTTCTTCACGCGCCTTCAACGGATCTAAGTCGACCCACAGTTAAGGCTCTGATCAATGTTATGCTAGCGCAGGCACAGGAGATCTTCCTTGAGAAACAGACTGCTGACTCTAAAAAGTCTGGTCAGCTTGCCAAGCTCGCCAGTCAGGCCGCATGGTTATACACGCAGGCCGCCGAGACAGTGCAAGAATACGTCGGAAAGGGATTCTTTGAGAAAGTGTGGTCACTAGTGATACAGGCAAAGGCATCGCACATGGCGTCAGTCGCGAGTTTTCATCAGGCCAATGCTGATGTAGAGAGTGGATCATATGGAATCGCTATTGCAAGGTTACAATTAGCAGCGAAATTGTCCGCGGCAGCAGTAACGTGGGCCAAGTCGTTCCCTTCGTCTGTGCCTGCGAATTCCAACTTGGTTTCGGAAGACGGAGCTAGTTTGATGGAAGAGATTAAAAGACATCAAGCGATTGTCGAGGAGCAGGTTACGACGCTGATCCGAGATAATGATTTCATCTATCATCAAGGGGTGCCTAATGAAGCAGGTCTGTCGGCTATTGCGAAATTGGCCGTGGCCAAGGCTATACCTGTTAGCGAGCTGTATCAAGGACAAGATATTCAGCGAATCATTGGTCCGGATATTTTCCAAAAGCTGGTGCCGATGTCTGTGACCGAGTCTGCCAGTTTATATGATGAGGAGAAGGCCAAATTGATTCGAGCAGAAACAGAAAGGGTCGAGACGGCCAATGGAGAAATGGCAGCCGGTTTGGACTATTTGAAACTACCAGGCAGCTTGAATATTTTGAAGGGGGGTATAGACCAGGAAGTGACGGTGGACGAGGAATTCCGCAGGTGGTGCGAAGAAATGGCAGATCATACTGGATTTCACAAAACGCTGGACGAGTTACAAGACAGCAAAGCCAGTATCGTTGATTTACTGGGTCAATGCACGCGACAGCTAGACATGGAGGAAAGCGTATGCGAGAAGATGCGGTCAAAGTACGGAGCGGACTGGACGCAGCAGCCGAGTTCACGTCTTACGGCAACCCTTCGTGGTGAGATTAGAAGTTTACGAGACACGATTAATGAGGCCGGCGCAAGTGATACCCAATTGAATGCGACTCTGAAACAATACGAAGCAGATTTTGATGAAATGCGGTCAGCGGGGGAAACGGACGAGGCTGATGTGTTGTACCAGCGCGCGATGATCAAAGCAGGCGCAAAACAGAAAATGTCTCGGAATGGACAGGCGAGTCCGTACTCACCTGGGAATGAGGGGTCATTGCTTGATGAAGTGGATGATGAGGCTAGTTTATCGGTTGCGGAGCAAATTGCGAGGGTGGAGGAGTTGCTGAAAAAGTTGAATCTGGTTAAACGTGAGCGAGCGCAGGTTCTAAAGGATTTGAAGGAGAAGGTCCACGAAGACGATATATCGAACGTGCTCATTCTCAATAAAAAGTCTCTAGGAAATGGTCAAGAGCAGCAGTTGTTCCAGGCAGAGTTGGAAAAGTTCAGACCATACCAGAACCGCATCATCAAGTCGAACCATACCCAAGGCTCGTTGATGAAGGAGCTTACAAGAACATATGGGGATCTTTTGCAGGATAAACGAGTTCGATCTGAGCAGTCGAAATACGAAACTATAACACGACAGCGGAACACAGTAATGGCGCGGTACAAGAAAATCTATAATGCTTTCCGAGATCTGGTCTCTGGGGTATCGCAGGCAACCAAGTTCTACAATGAAATGCAAGAAACGGTGGACAACCTACGCAAAAACGTCGATACATTCGTCAACAACCGTCGATCAGAAGGAGCGCAATTACTCAGCCAAATCGAGCAGGATAAGAACAACAGTGCTTCTGGACAGGAAGACCGCGAACGAGAGAAATTGAGGCAGCTAATGGAACGGCTATCGACTGAACCAGCAGCTGCTCCAAGGAACACATCACCAACGAAACAGTCCCGACCCCAACCGCCAGTCAAGGTCGCAAGCAGCAGTACCACATCGCCATCACCACACTATCACCACGCAACGCCCGTGGCACCTCCACCATCCCAATCACCTGCTCCAAATCCATACGGACAATATGCTCCCAACCCAATGGCAGGATACTACGGCGCAACCCCGATATCGGCTTTCCAACAGGGCGCCGCCACACCCCTTTCAGGCGGATATAACCCCATGGCATATCCGTACCAAACCCCCGTCTCACCTCCTCAAAACCAAGCCGGTCTATATTACCATCAACTCCCTCACCCTGGAACATCAACAACGCCCGTTCCTGTGCCCTCATACCCCGGGTACCCAACAAGCGGCACMCCCGCCCCTCCACCTTCACATACACCGCAATTCATTCCACCAGGCTACATACCCCCTCCACCGCCTCCACGACCAGCAGAAACCCAATACCCTCCTTCAACTGGCGGTGCATACCCTTCTGGTCCGGGCGGGTATGCGCAGAATCGACCTCCCTACGGAGCGGTTCAACCACATCAGCATCAACCCAAGGGGAGTCAGGGATTGGGAAGTCAAACATCACCTAATAACGATCCGTGGGCAGGGCTGAATTCATGGAAATAGTCACATCCTTATCCTCTTCCATAACATTTGAAGTTGCATGCATGTTTAGTTGATGCGAGTTTCGTCTTTCTTAGAATAGTTTTTGTGTGTCTCGCGAGATTTTATTCGATAATTCTATTTATTTATTCTTTCTGTCTCATCTGGCTAAGTTTGAAAAGTTTTTCTGGTTTGTATCTGTATGCTAAAACTACCGCTGAGAGGTATTTCTACATGAATATGACCTTGAAAACAGATGATAGTACCCTATCTTAATACAATTCGCGCAATTAAATGCACTGATGTAAGATCTTTTAATGTAACATATTCGATCTTCGTAATGCATAGAACACCCGCGTGCCAAATCGTACGGGGTGATGCGTAAGTACATAGGGCTCACTACATGTGCGTTGTTGTATGTACACAGGTATTTTCATACATGTGTATATCGCAACAGAGAAGACTGTGGACCTATGTAGATAGGTGATCTCAAACCGACTTATCTAGATCTATCCATGTGTCCCTGGCAAGGAGAAGAAATAGATATCCATAGATGCAGTTAGCCATTTATGCTTTTGACCCTTTCGTCCTGAGCACAGCAGCATATCTAGTGAGCAGCCACGGCACCGGCAGCGCTAACACTGCGATGCCGCCCAACAGACTGCAACCAGGGCCAACACCCAGATTATTAAACATAGGTCGAACAGCGAGCGGAAGCCCGCAGGCCACGAGAGAGCGTAGCATTGTGTTTGCCGACACCGCGCTGGCGGCGAAGGGACCGTAGGTGTCGACGAGGAAGTTGAGGCATTGCTGGAAGATGATGTTGAAGCCTGCGCCTATGAATGCTTTTTCTTTATTCAGTACGAACGATATACTGTATGTAGGTTGAATGAATTCACGTTGTAAAGAAGGGGGATTATCTTACCTCCCGCAGCAACAGGCAAAACCCACGAAAACCGCGGCGCAGCAGTCCATCCAAACCAGAACAGACCTACGACAAGACATACACCACCAATAAACAGCGGCGGTAGACGCGCTTCGGGGACTGGATTTCCATTATTCCTTTCCAGGGCTCGCGCATATCTAGGCTGGTTACCCAGATTCACCAGCAAGGCGCTCAAGACACCCACGAGCACACCTAGGAATGGTAATGTGGAAACTACAAGCGGATAACCGCGCTGTTCATGGAAGACGATGGGGAAAGCTTCGAGGGTGAAGTAGACGATTCCGTAGACAAAGGAGGCGTATAGGGCGATGAACATGAGTATGGGCTCGGTGAAGAACATTCTGTTTCCCCACACCTGTATTAGCAATCTATTTGTAATGATTTGACAAGCCAAGAGTGAGCTTACCGAATAGGACGGCTAATGTGCTTCGAAAGGACATTTTTGATATCGATTCGTTCCTTTTCATGTGGATGCCAGTATCTCTCGTCTTGCTTCTCTTTGCGTAGCCTTTTCGCTTTCCGAACGAGAATGACAGGTGCATACGTCTCTGGTAAAGTGAGTAGTGCTAGAGCAAAGATGGTGAAGATGAATATTGCCTCGAGGTATTCCGTCCCTATGTAGTCAACTATCTTAGCGAATGCCCTTTAGGCGGTTATCTAGATGAGACGGGGAGAGTATGCGTACAGCGCCACCTCAAATGCGGATTCACCTCCAGCGCGGAGCCGATGATGGGTCCCATAGTCGGTCCTCCAACAATACAAAGCGAGACAAAAGTCATCGCCGTCCCGCGCGTCCGGGGCGCGAAAATGTCGCCGAGGGCGGCGGGCACGTTACTGATAGGCGCAGAGGCGAATATGCCAGCAATAAATCTAGTGACCAGCAGACTAGTGATATTTCTGCTCGTTGCGCTGCCAATGCTGAAGAGGCCGTACACGAAGACAGCGGGGAGCATGGCCATTTTGCGGCCGTAGGTTTCGCTAATGGGGGCCCAGAACATGGGTCCGAAGGCCCAGCCTGTATCAATATGTTAGTAGGTTGACATGTATATAGTAACAGACAGGACGTACCCAAGACAAAAAGCGAAAGAGTTAATGAAGCAACTTCATCGCTGACATGGAAGTCGTCTCCGATATCAGATTGACCTGGAGAGACAATAGAGGAGCCAAGAGAGCCGGCGAAAGCTAGCATGCTCATTTGAAAGGTGAGAAAGATTTTGTACCAGGTTTTAAAGTTTTTGGGGTTTTCGGTGTCGACTTCCTCAAATTTTACAATCCAGGCCTCTTTTTCTTCTGCTGCTGCACGCTCGTGATCATGGGGTGTAAGCTCATCTTTCTGTGTTGGTTGATTGTGGACGTTGGACGATGGCATTGTCACCATTGTGTCCAGATGCGGTGTATTCTCGGGATTTGGGGTCTCTTTTTCTGCCATAGCAGTAGAATATGGCTTATCTGCTTATTCACATAATATCCTATTGACCATCAAGCTCCTACTTATACCACAAGCTTTTGTTCAGTTAGGGCAAGGAGCAGCTGAATCAGGACTAGTGGCGGCCGCCGGCTCCACAGTGACTTGATCCACATCCTCTCAAGGTCCTCGTCTCCTGTGCTTGTACTATCATACACATATGCTTTCTTTAGACAAAGTCACATAACCCTCCCGGCGGCCGCTACCATTCCTGTCTGAGGACTGGTAGGCAGATATGACATTGATCATCCATGTCCTTGGCCCCCGGCATACCACCCAATTAAGTTGATATCACCAAATTCCAATATAAGTATATATTAAATGGCTCTAACAATGAAATAGGCCACTATGTCCAAAGCCCTCCGCGTCTGCGCCACATGCAAAACGCGCAAAAAGGCCTGCGACAAATGCCTACCCATCTGTGGGTACTGCGCTAAACGGAGTTTGACATGCATCTATTACGAAGAAGAAGAGGGTCATTACTACCCGCAGGCATATCAAACAGATCCACCGACAACAACGACTGCCACAACAGTAGATGATCTAGTGTATGGTCAACTCCGTCATGTCGTGTCTCTCATGCGAGTCTCGATTCGAGAAATGATTGAGGAATTCTTCCGGGGTGTATATACCGTCTTTCCGGTTGTATATGCTGATGATGCTCTCTGGTCCAGTCTTTTAGCGTACGAAGAGGATCAACAAGTTCTTTCAGCTGATGTCGCGCTTTTCGTGTTGGCCATGTACCTATTGACAATGCGCTCATCATCACAAGACAAATATGACGAACAGGCAACTTCCATCGAGACAGTCTACATTGCTACCAAGGGACTACTCGGCCATATACAGGCCCTGGAACCTAGCTCTATTTATCTGGTACAAGCAACTCTTCTCGTTGCCGCGTTTGAATATGCGTGTTGCAGACCACATGTGGCCTACGTATCTATTGGGATGTGTAGTAGAATGGCAATGCTTCTGACCAGGGGTTCACACCCCAATCAGATAAATTTGCGCAAAGCCCTTGGGGAGCATGTTTTCGGAGGACTTGTTTTGTTGGAAAGGTTAGTAGACTATTTTCCCTTCTACCTGCGGGCCGAGTACATCTATGTGTGGTAGTTCATTTGGGTTCAGGCTCGTCGCATGCGAAGTCGACATTCCATTTACACCATCACTGGGCTCCTATCAACGTTCCACAAAAATTGAACATGAAAATCAACACACTACAATCGCTGGTATGATCTCCATTCATCAAGGTAAATATCCATCAGCCTAACACAACGTCCTTGTAAAATTCCAGACAGCGAACAGAGAGAGAAAGCGCTACACCTGCTCGGTCGAGTACTGCTTCTCACCAAATCGCCTGATGATCAAGACCAGACCCGCCTTGAGAACCTCTCTGCACTACAGAAAATCAGCGTCGATCTACAGAATTTCCTCACAGATGCTTTGAACTCTACAACAATAACAACAGGGGCTGATTCTTGCATTGTCATCGCAACTGCAATAAGGTTCTCTACCCATTCCCCATTTCCCAAGAACGACACGGCTAACTCGAAATGTGATGGGGGAAAAAAAGATCTCTATTCTCACTCCATCAGTACATAATCGATACCTTGACAACCACAACTAGCAATAATACCCCGACAATAATATGGCAAATGCAGGAAACATCCCTCAACGCCCTGGATACCGCAACCCGTATCATGATCGATACTTCGCACGACCACGTCGAGTACGGCGTACCGCATGCATCGGAAACATTCCCGCTGTGTGGAGGGTATAATCTTCGCTGCGCAATGGCGCATTTGAAGAGACATGGCACGAAAGATACAAGATATCGGAGTCAGCGGCGGGATATCGATAGTGATCTTGCGAGACTGGAGGAATTGTATGCTGCTTTCTGTCGGAGGTGGAAGCCTTTTGACTATCCTAGGTATTAGGTGACGACGACGCGTTTTGAATTTGCGGCTAGTCGTTGTTGGTACTTGTATATTCTTCATTGCTCAAAACGAGGTCGACAGATAACTCTGGCTTCGCAAAGCAGAGGGCATTTGAATATCTTAATCATGAAACAAAGAACAATTAAGACGCCTCGACCGCAAGATCGAGACATATATATTTATATATATAGCGACATCGAGAATTCAACAATCCTACAGTAGCTTTTTAATTAAGATAAAAAATTGAGAGACGTCATAATTAATCTATTGTCTGTTGAAATAGTCTGCCAATCTCATAGCACGACAGAAGTGTAGAAGAAAGAAAATAGAGAAGAGAGAATGATCAACGTCAGACCATTGTAAGGATTCTGAGTGGAGTAAAAAAGTAGAAAAAGAAACAGGTTTCAGCTTGAGCTTGAGCCCCAGTACAAAGGAGGTAGTAAGAGAAAGACGAACACACAGTTAAAAAAAAGTAACATGTCTATTGAGCAAGAAAATCCCACATCCCATCCCGTCTATCATGTATTTCGACTCCATAAAAGACAAACAAAAGGTAAAAACAACCGCGCCTCGATGTATGCAAAGCGAAGTAAAATAATCAAACAAGTCTATTCCGTTAATGTTTCATTGCTAAGAAGTGTATCGTTGAGAGAGAGAGAGAGCGAGAGAGATTATAGTTCCATCACGGAGCCGTTGACGGACGGAGTATTGGATGAAAATCCGTTCGGCGCCAACATGTCCTGTACCGGAATTTTGGGTACTTGCGGAACGGGAAGCTTGCGCTGTGTGCCGTCGGGTCTGCTCATGATGTCGGTGATGCTGGGTCCACCGTGTTGCTGACCAGGGTTGTAAACATTAGGTCCCTCAGCTTGAGGCTCCATTGGGGCGAGCGCCGGGGTGTGGTGTAATGACAAGTGACGGATGGAGGGTAATTGCAAATCAGCGGCACCATAAGGACGCAGACGAGGCGAGTGTGCTGGAGTTGCGAGAGGAGTATGATCGGGAGTAGGCGACAAGGAGTCGTGAGAGAAAGTAGGCGAAGATGGCGCGGTCGAGTTTGGTGAGTTAGGACGAGAGCGCTTGACTCGGTGATGTCCGTAGTTGTCCTCGTCCTCGTGAGAATGCGACCGGCTCATGCTCTGAGAAATGGCATACGCAGAAAGCGATGGCAAACGACCGGGAGTGCCCGAGTAGCGAGAGCTGAACGGATAGTGACGAGACGATCCTCCGTAGTGGTCGCGCTCGACTTGTGAAGCAGCAGTCGCGAGCAAATTAATATCCATACCAGACGAAGCACGATCGCTGTTGCGTGAATGGGCCCAAACCCGCTCGCAAATGCGAAGCGTAGTTGGTGTATGAGTGTGGAGGAGACACATCAGGAGACCCGACCTGGGAAACTGGAGCCGACCGGGTAATGGGTTTGCTAGGAGGGGGCATCATCGAGGTAGCAGCGTTGAGCATACCCGCATCCTGACCAGCCGCCGCAGCCGCAGCTGCAATATGCTGAGCTTTGTTACTTCTTCTCGAGTTGGGGTTGTTGTGAATGCGCGAGTGACGAGTCAATTCGTCTGAACGACTGAACCGTTTCGTGCAGCCTGGAAATTGACAGGCATGAGGTTTCTCGCCGGTGTGAGTACGGATGTGACGAGTTTGGTGCTCTAGACGATGAAAAGCACGATCGCAAAGAGGACACTTGTAGGGGCGTGGAAGATCCTGTCGCACCTCCTCTGCGGCGGGGCGGGCGCCCTTCATGAGCGGTGGGAGCAGACTGACAGAAGAAGCCATTTCCTTGTCTGAATTGGAGTCTGTGCCGGTAGTGGTAGCAGGTGAAGAGGTGTTATCTGTTGACTCAAGCGAGTCGGACTGTGGGTTCAGCAGATTGGAGAAACCCACTGACGAAGCTGACGGTGACATGTGAAGAGACTGGCGGATGACGGGTTTAAATAGTGAGCTGGGGAAGAAGCCAGGAGTCGAGCGTCTAGCCGAGGTGATCAGGTTGTCGATCCTCCTTGATAAGCGTGCACTAAGTTAATCCTTGTATCGATGCCAGTGTGGTTGTGGTTGGTGAGACCTGGTGAAGTTGTTGGTGTGGTGAGTGGGTGGTGGAGGAGGAAAAAAGTCTGGAGAAGAAAGAAGAAAAGAATCTGGGGGAGTGGCAGTGTAAATAGGCGCACGTAAGGAGATGTAAGGATGAGGAAAGAGGGAGGAGGAGGAGAGGAGGAAGGAATGGAGGGGAAAAATGTTAACTCTCGACGGGTGATCGGGAACGGGGGTTATCCGAGTTTGGCAGCGCCCTCAATCAGGAGATTTTTTCTTAGTGTACGTAGCAAGTACGGAGTACCGTGTGGGGGAACCTGTATGGCGAGTGATTGGGGGGGCAAAAAAGAAAAAGTTTTCTTTTTTTCGTTTCTTTTTTTTAACCTTTAGGCTTTAACCACGACCAAATGCTGGGCGGGCAAACAGGGTGACAATGAGACAATCAGCTCTGTTCCATCAGATTTTTCAGTACTCACCGAAGAGTGGCCGAGCTGGTGGTTAGTGTGGGCAGATGTATTTTTCGTACGAACATTACGAGGCTAAAGGATAAGCGCTGCGAAAAAGAGTGGGTTAGCGGAATGTGGGGTCTGGCTGCTCCCAAAACAGCAACACCAGACGGGTCTAGACTGCTTTGGGACGCGACGCTGTGGCTTTTGTTCCTTGCGGTGCGTGTTCCAAGCGGTTACTACATAGTATTTGCATAGTGGCCCGGGTATCGCGGGTACGGCGCAGATCTGGGCTGCTAAAATGTAGCATGTTTACGAGTTCTTAGCACACATATGACCACCAGAAAAGGGTTTCCTATTGAACTGACAGATCTGTTGGTATAAATTATATTCTCGATTGTTATCACTTTTCTACGAGATTCGTCTGTACTCCGTAAGTAGCTGAGCATCGGATCATCCTCCATCAAATCCACGGGCCGGATTCCGGGGCAAAGATAGGACTAGAACCAAAACAGTAGCTGAGCAGCACTATCTTTAATACACTGATACCTTGATACGCACAGAGTACCGTAAAGTACGTAATAATACCAATTCATGATGACGAGACTTTGGCCTGGAATGATGATAGGATGAGGTGATATCTCGCAGATCTGGGGAACCATACAGCTACGCATATTAATTATTATAGCGCAATCAGACCCTGTCATTTATCTTTCTTTCTCTACGGAGTGCTCATAGAGATGTGCCATGTACTACATAGGACATGGACATCGTACATAATGCAATCGCATACGGAGCACGCACGGAATCCATTTTCCTCATCTTGTAGGCAGATAACGCAAGCGACCATGTGAGCAGCAGGAAGTTAAACCGATCGACGAGGATCCAAAGATTGTTCATCGTTATCTAATAAATTCAGGTCACACATTAGGTAATTGCGACCGGTTGCGAAAACCGGGGTTTCCGTAATTTCTGTCTTGTACTGTAAACAGCGCAAGGTCGAGTATTTTCTCGAATTTTCCCCCTATCAGCGTCGGCGGAACTAAACCGCATTCTTGCTTCCGTCACGAGAATTCTTCGGAATGTCGCTCTTTGCTGTCACCGTCTGGTTAGTCATGAATACAGCTGAAAAGCTGGGGGTGGTACGACATACGTACTCCGTATTATTGATGATGATCACATCATTTCTCTCCATACTCTTCACACTCTTCCTACTAAATCGGTCACTACTATCAAGACTTGTCAACTGACTCTATAGTTGCCGACAAAATAATATCTTATGACCGCCATCTATCTAGCTGCCTGTCTCGACGAAGATAGGTTACTGTCGGACGCCTATCTATCGCGGAGCACACCGTAGCAATCAGCTGCTCCGTACGGCGCATCGAGATAAGAAAACCAACACTAACCCGAATCAGGCACCCGAGTATTTACCATCCCCAGACTATCTCTCCGTCACTCCGGATAATGTATCGGACTGTTTTCCGTCTAAATCCAAGTCACGACACAGTTCATATCAGCAGTGGCCACTAAAATCCTAAGGGAAGAGGATAGCTATCAAATGATACTGTCGTGTGACATTGGGCTAGTCAACTACATTAGTACAAACTGTCGAGATTAATTAGATGGCGTTCGTACCTGACCCCAGGATACGGTTACATGTACCTAAACACCGAGTTTGCTGCATATCTAGTGTCTTACAGTCTTTACGACGGAAGACTAGTACTTTGCAATTGGCGTTAGGTAAATACATTATTCAGCTGTCCACTGCGACGTACTCCGGATTTTTTCAAATCTTATTTTCTTTTCTCTTGCTGCTGCACATGGGTTACGGATGTATATCGGCACAGAGTCGCAGACACAGGGAAGAGGCATGGGACGTCTGGGCACGCTGATTGGGTACGGGGTTACTCCAGACTAATCTCCATATCTCTATCATTATGGAGTAAATATGTGGATCCTTATCTCAAACGTTTGATTGAATCTACGGAGCCTTTCCGTAGAGGACACCTCGCCTAAACATTAACCCGCCGCCCGGAAAGCACTGAAGGCAGACGTATCATTCAGCCCGACGACTCTCCAAGGATAGATTCTCGCTCATTCCACGGGGCCAGTGCAAAGAAGCGAATTTCCCCGTGGCGAGTAAGCGGAGTCTTTAAGGAGTACGTCCAGTTGAAGCAGCGATCGCTTACGGCTTACCCCAAGTTTTGAGTCGGTGGTACGGGTAAAGCCTCGTCTCGAGACGTGATCCATTAACCATACACTCACTACCCTGGTATGCATCGGATCGCCCTCGCCAAACTATGCCTGTTTCATGTACTCGGTTCTATTTCTTCGGACTTGAGTAAGGTGATACGTGCGTATCTACATATCCGATGACAGAGGTGAAACGGGAAATTCTGTTATCCCAAGCCTAGGTAACTTCGGCCGGATTCGGCGGCTATTGTACCGTCCGCCACGGTAAATTAATTGACTCGAGCCTGGGGAATCAGGCTGCCCAATTTCTTCTGTATCATCACAAAAGCAATAATCGAGTATGGAGTAGATAAAGAGGAAAAAAAGTATTATGCATAACAGAAACGTAGCTATTGATGTCTGCATTCAACAGTCGTTTTTATCCTTAGCTCTTCTACTGCAGCACTTCAGTGGCTTCACGCTCGGCAGAAAAATCGACGATCTCTGCAACCGTCAGGACTCAGCCCGTCATTAGCCGGGTATTCTGCCTATCTTTGCCTTGCGCAAGAGATGAATATAGCCGATTCATACGCCTATCCATAATAGTGCGACGCATTTTCGGCGGAAATTTTGCAATCCATGGAATTAGCAGGCAATAGTACCCCATGCATGACTGACTAGCTTACCCCATATTTGAATCTTAACAGATTTTTAGGATATCTCGCTTTGTGCTGTACGTACGGACTAGGTTGCACCATATTTACGACTCATCTTAAGAGTATCTCCGCATTCGCAGATCTGCAGATGGTCGAATTTTGAGTGAATAATCCAAGAAATCGTAAGAAGTAGCAAATTTTTCTCGGTAATTACATATTATATGTCATCCTTACTTATGTTAAGTTTTACCTGACCATTATCTAATAGCTAGGTGTGTATTCTGGATAAAGAAATACAGCACTCGGTCAAATCTATAATACTACCCCAATATCACACCTGACATGACATGGGATGTGAATGACACCATCTACGATTGTAAGATCACTGACACCAAGGTTTCACCACCAGAACGCCCCGGGGAACCCCTCCCGCGAATCCGGGGTTATTCAGTATTTACCCTGCCTCCTCTACATGCATGTACGTAACCAGCTGAAGGGTTACAGGGTACGTAGGTATATTTAGAGGTATTATGCATATGCGCATGTAGGGAATGTGCATGTGTCTGGAACTTTTGCTTATCAGGCCCCCATTTATATAAGGCAGGGAATTGGCAAGCGCGAGTTGCGCGACGAAATTATTTTCTATACTGCGTACGTCTCCAAAAGATGATATTGAAGATAACGACTCCGCATAGTTATGACATACATGACCTGTCACAACCATAAACAAAGAAAATTGTCATCAGTCCCATGGAGAAAATTGGGGAATTTACTCCGCATTACTCCGTATTTTCTTCTCCTTTCATCGAGGTCGATCCCGACACAAAGATCTGTGAAGAAAGCGGTAGAAAGCAAAGAAAATGCGGAGATTGAGTCGGACCCCATGCAGTATCCAATACATACTACGTTATGTACGCGCACACAGCCCCAGACAAAATATCCGTGAACCATCAGCGACTTATCAAACAGCTGATACGTACATATCGCCCCGATCGTAATGCGTATATACCTACCATTTTGGGTGATCAGGAAAGGGATAGCCCATCTGAAACAAGGCGTTTGACATTTTTGGAACCCCAATCAAATTACGTAGCATCGCCGCGACTACCAAGTTTGGAGAAGGGGGGTCAGCCACAACATACCACAAAGGGATATTGCAGGCCTGGAAGCTATCGCTGGCCAGACGATTCTCGAAGGGAGGGTTCTCATCGCTCGAAAAGATTTGGTCTAGACCCGATATTTAACCGCGAAGGAGAGATATGACATGATAGACTGTGCCTTGGTGGTGAGCAGGATGGATGAGTCGAAAAGGAAAACACATGTCGTCATTATCATCATTTCACATGTGAATCTTTGATTGTTTTGCTGGACAGCAGAAGCTTATGGGCACGCACTTGGTTGTGGGGTTGGTATGTATGGTACGGGGTACAATACACCAAGGGACGCTGATGGTGTCATCGGGTAATTTCGGATTGTGTCAGTGTTATCATATGAGTGAGATACGTACTAGGTAATGAATGGTTCCTATCATCTGAACACGTGTTTCTTCTACATAACGACTGACTGACTGACTGACTGGCTGGCATATCAGCTGAATATCAGCAAGTGCCAGTCGACAATCTAATGACCCCGGAATCAAATAATATCTCATCATCAGCAAATGAATAGGCCTTAGGACAATCACATATTTTAAAACGCAGCGGCACAAATCATCGGCAAAACAATCGGCATCCAAACTATCGCCCGACAGAAAAAAAATCGGCCATCCCGACCCGACTCGGCAGGCCGGGTGGAGTCCACCTCGAATTTTTTTCCTTTTCTCCATATCAAAAACTCTTCATTTATCCACTCCCCATTCTAAAGCGCGGTGACTAGCCTCGATATTGATACCGGTCTCTAGCCTTTAGCCTTTAGCCTTTGACCTTAGGGCCCTTTTAGGTCTTTTAAGGGTTTTGCACTTTTGCAGTCACATCGCTCGCCTCGCCTCATTTCCACGAACGGCGTTTTTGCCGAATCGAATGCCGTGCGTATTTTTCCGGTTTGCGGCGGTTTCGTTGGAAGCCTTTTCCATGTGGCCTGACACTGACGGTAGTCACGGGTACGTACCTGACGATACATGCATACGGCTGTTTGAGGGTTTTCGGTAGTGGATCGTGGATGAGGGAGGGKATCTCATTGGTGGTTTGATCTGCTCCGGATTTTCGCATATTATCGGTCTGGATGGTCTTCTTTTGGGGTGAGGAGATTATCCATACGACAGGAGTGCGGTGCTCCGTGGTATAGTAGAACTACACGTGTGCTTGTATCACATGCCGGGGCAGTATGCAACGATGCAGATGTTGCCTGATTGACTCTGACATCGCAGGTCCTTGATTTGTTTACTTACATGCAGTGTACGGAGAAACTTGCTTGAAGCCAAGCTCTTACTGTCGGGACTTACGGCCGACAATTTTCCACCACGGTAGTGCGGAAGGAACTTCACATGCAGGACCTGCAGTAGTGTCTTGCGGCGTATAGTGCACTATCTTGTCGAGGATAGATAGCGTTACTTCTGCTCGACACTTGGGAGGAGTGTGTCTAACCTAAATGATAGAAGGCTGGCAAATGGCCTAGTACGCATAAAAATCCACCCGCGGACATAATGCCATACTATGAAGCTGGAACGATCAGTTTTTCACCATTTGCATGCCCACAACATCCAGGTAGAGCTGTAGATGATAGCAGGATCGTCAACGGGTTAGGGTTATAACATATATCATGTGACATCATATCACCATTCTGTCCCTACCCACCGCCTCCTAACCAGCCAATAGTATACCTAGCCTCGATTAGGTATCATCTGAAATCAGAATGCGCCATCTACATTTTCTAGCTTGCCAGTAAATCAATTCATCGCCATTCCTATGGTGTATCTCCAATTCTCGCAGTATCTATAAAACACCATATCCGGAACTACACGCCGAAGATAATTCCATTTTTCGCCCGGAGAAGAATTGGCCAAGAACAAAGAAATGGCACCCCCGCGTCAACGTCCGCCTCCAAGCTCCTTCCCAGGAGGAGGCGACGATTCCCGCTCCGAGGCATCGAGTACAGCGACCGGAGGGCCGACATCGCGCGGAATCCCCGGACCAAAACCGCGCAAGACTGCAGCTGCCGGTGCTATTTTAGGTGTTGCGGCGACGACGACGACGGGGACGCTGGCGAGCGCGAAAGATCTCAAAGTTGCTGCTGCGACGGGCGCGGCGGCGGCTGCTAATGCTGCAGCAGCAGCAGCAATGTCGGGTATGGCGCAGGGAAATGGGGTTGATTTTTACGGAATCGACGGGTTCAGGGATGATTTACCTGGTGTATGTTCATATCGTTACCCTGGTGTTGTCGCGAATAGAGCTAGAGCTGATGTTCCTTTTGTTTTGGGTGGATAGATACCATGGCACCAAATGCCCCTCTCAATCCTACACGATTATAGACACGCCTACAAACTCTCTACACCAAGCGCATACGCCCGACCCATCTCGAAGATATACTTCTCCTCTGGCATTGGTCTTCGCTCCCCGACGGCTATAGCAGCCAGAAAAGCCGCTTCGGCTGTCGCTACATCCTCGTCCTCGTCATCTTCATCATCTGCATCAACATCGTCCGGACCAGCGCACCGATCAAGAAATGCCGTTCTCAAGCCATCGACGGAGACGAACAAAGTGAGCAAGATAAATAGCCAAGACCGCGTCGGAAAGGAGCAGTTGGCGCTTGCGGTGAGGAAGCATTTTAATGCGGCGGGGCTGGTGGAGCAGGATGCTATTGCGAGGTTTTTGTATAAGGTGCGCGAGGAAGGAAAGGGGAGGGAGTTTCGGTTGCGGTTTCAGCCTTAACAAGCCCCAGGGTATGCGATGATTTGCTTTTGTGTCTTGAGTTTAATTGTTGATGGTTCGATACCCTGTTTATTATCATTACCTGGCGTTGGGTTGGGGGCATGTATCTCAGAATCTAGTTATTATCTAGTTCATTATCTTTATCTTTCCCATCTACTGGCAAGCTTTCGTCGTCTTGGTTCCCATCCCATTGGAAGTCATCATCTGGCACTTCTAGAAACTCGTCTTCGTCGTCATCCTCGCTATCCGCGATTTCGTCGACTTTCCGTTTGCGTACGGTTATCGTCGATGTGGACGCTAATTGAGAAGGGGGTGGTGGACTTCTTCGTTGCTCCTGCACGTTATCAATGCCAATAGTAGGGCGTATCTCGTGTAGTCCGCCCTGTTTGCACCTGTCAGCTCACACCATATCTTTATATCAGAGAAAATAAAGGACGTACAGTCTCAATAACAAACGGAAAGACATTCCCCTCAACCCTGATGCCGACCACTTTACCACCCTTTTTAGTCACCTCCGCAAACCTCACTTTCACACTCTTTCCTCTGTCATCGGTATCGAGATGAGAAGGCGGGTGATCACGATAGAGCACAATGCGATTCTGTACGCACGTCTCCCACGACCCTCCTGCCAGGGCCGGGTACAGCGTCGGCCGCGGCTGACCTTTTATCTTCGTATGTGTCTGATTCAGCAATATAACAGCAATATTGTGGCTCACAGCAAGTTTGCTGATTCGGTTGATCATGTCGCTGGTCACGTTCCATTTGCGGTTGAGTAGCCATTGGAGTTGGTGTGCCTGTGCCTGCGCTGGTCCTGGTCCAGATCCTTGATCTTGATGAAGTGCTGATGGTTTGAGGCCTAAACGGGATTTGAGTTCTGTCGCATTTGGGAAGTAGGATTGGTATGGGGCAGAGATTGTGTCGATGATGATCAGACTTGTCCCTTTTGGAGGGAAGGTGGGTGGTGGGTGGGTGAAGAGGGATAGGAGATGGGGGAGGGAGTGCGCGCGAATGTGGATGAAGCGGTTTGTGCAGTCATTAAGCTTCGACTCGAGCTCTTCTGTATTAATTTCGGCGGTTATAGCTGTGGTGATTGATTTGAGATTGTCAGTCATTAAGTCCCTGACTCTGGGTTTGGGGATCGGTGAGCCGGTGTCTATCTTGCTATCAGAAACTTTTCATGGAAGAAAGAGATGGATGAATCAGACCAATCCATACAACCTTCTCATCATCCCCGGCTGTCAGAACCTTGACTGCTATGTTCAACCTGTCGATGACAAATCAGCTTCCATCTACACTATAGCGTGGAAACAAAGAGGACACATACGAAAAAGCAGTCTTGCCTACACCAGGCGGTCCATAGATCTCAGTAACACTTCCCCTCGGAATTCCGGCCGATACCCCTGGAGTAGGAGATATTGCATCATCTAATCCATCTAAGCCGGTAGGCAGGGAGTGCGCAACAGACGCAGGCGCAGATGCAGATGCAGATGCGGATGGAAGCTGCGTCAACGAAGCGCGGAGAGCCTGTGAGGCTGAAATTGATGATACTCGAGCTGTCTCCTAATCAGTATGAGATTCAAGTAGGTAGAAAAGGGTGGCGTACGTGTTGTGGTGGACTCGGCTAGGAACTCATAGTCGGTCATTGTAGATGCATGTTTTGTGATGCATTCAATATCTAGTGCGGTATATAATACATTCTTTCATCAATTTGAACTTCTCTCTCCAGTATATCTGAGGTAGTCTGATGTGATTTGTTGGGATTTGATGAGTGCAGTGGTTCGTTGTTTCGACGCGGAAAATAGATCTGATAGATCGCCCACGCGCCGCTAGCCCGTTTTGACGACGTCCTAATAAACACCCTTCCTGACTGAGCAGCCATTATGGAGATGTATAAGTACATTTCTGAAATGACATAATAAGAAGTAATTAGATTTTATACATGATTGATCAGACAAAAGGAAAATCTGTGTGAATGTGGGAAAACGTCGTGAGACAATCAAAGCCCTAACCCTTATCTTATCGGACGCGTCGGAGCTAACCAAAACGGGCATTATTGATTTGATCTATAGCAGCCTGCATTTCGTTACCGAGGGTAGAACAGTCATTTGTATAGTCTTGGAAAAACATGGTACCAGTATAAGGATAAATGATCATGCAATAAACTGAACAACGGAGAAACCCCAATTTCAACTAGTGATGTCTTGTTCAGCTCAGGAGCTCGCCTATATGCTAGCCGAATTACAGTCTGGACTGCGCGGTGAACAGTCTCGGAAGCAGAGCCGAAGGAGTAAACTAATTGCATGTCGTATAATTGGTTGTTGAGAGTATACCGCATTTGGATATAGGTGTCGGCTACTTTGTTGCCTTGTTGACTGATCATGTTGCCTACTGCCTGACTTGGAAGGATGTCACTTGTAGAAAGAGCTTCCCTTTTTGTTTCTCACGTACCCATTAGCTCTCTATGAAAGATAAAATCAATCAAGTCTACATAGTATTCTGTATATATTGAGAAGCGAAATGTCTTCAACAAGGATCACCCATTTCAATATGGGCTTGATCAAGCATGGAAGTAAGTCGAACATTGACTATCGATGGCTGGCGGACTGATCATGGTTGAAACAAACAGATACAGGGTTAATACGCGGAATTTCAGCTTCGTGCCATAGCATATTGCCTGCGCTACGTATCCGTCCATTGCAATCCATCCGCTCACGGACGTTGACGACCTCTCCTCGACGATATGGAAGGTATGACTCAACCCTACTAGCAAGAGAACATTAGAGTCCAAATGACTGACATTGCATAAAGCTCCAATCTCACACCCCTAGAAAAACAACGTCTCCGACGCCCCGTCTCACCACATATCACAATCTATAAATGGCAGTACCAATCCCTAACCTCGATTCTGCAACGTTTCTCCGGCATGTTCCTCGCCGGTGGCGTCTACATATTCGCAATTGGGTATTTAGTCTCGCCCATAATCTCGCCTTCACTAGCACAAGTATTTGAGCTCGAGACTATCATAGGTGCTGTGCGTGAATTGCCGGGTTGGCTTAAGAGTGGTGGGAAATTTGCGTTGGCGTTGCCGTTTACGTACCACTTTTTCAATGGGGTGAAGCATTTGACGTGGGATTCGGGGTTTGGGTTGGCAAATAAGAAGTTGTTTGGGAGGTTTGCATGGATTGTGGCTGGGTGTAGTATTGTGAGTTCTTTGGGGTTGGCTGTTTTATAATCTGGTATGACCGTGGTAGTGCCCTTCAACATCTACACTTGATTCTTCATAGTAGGAATCGACTGCATCGAAGTACTGCGCCAATATCCGACTCTTTCTCGGAGTTTCATAGTTGTCACTTGAGTATCAGATCGCCTCCAGAGCAGGATGCTTAGACATTGAACAATATAATACATCGCGCAGCTACTTACATGCACCTCTCCATGTAGAAAGTAGATATCTTGATAACGTGCAGGTTTGTACCTGATTGCCTGGCATAGAACGCTCATTCTGTGATTCTCTATGTACATCTCGAGTTGAAAGACATGGAACATTCATGCTTGTCGCCTCGTGTTTCAAAAATTCCGCTTTCTAAAGATTCGCTCCCCTCTCCTCCTTCAATTTCGCAGGCAAGAGTCGTCTCAAAATCTTCCCAGTAGGCGTCTTCGGCAAAGACTGCAAGTGAAACACGCCACCTCTCAGCTTTTTATAACCCGCCAGCTGATCATCTACCCAGACTCTGATAGCGTCGAGGACTTTTTGCTTCTCACTAGCCGCAAGCCCTGCCTTGTCAGGAGGGAGGCTCACGTAGGCTAAAGGAACTTCAGTGGCTTGAGAATCGTCGTAGACGGCACAGACTGCTGCGTCGGTTACGTCTGGATGTCGCAGGAGTATATCTTCGAGCTCGGATGGGGCGACTTGGAAACTATGTAGTCATATCGACCGGATTAGTAGGAGGTTAGACCACTTGGATGTGAGTTTTCTCAACGTACCCCTTATATTTAATCATCTAGACGACTGTTAGTGAAATTAAAACGTCTAGTGAGGAAGAGATAAATACCTCTTTGAGCCGATCAGTAACCCAGAAATTCTGATTCTCGTCCACTCTCAAGATATCCCCGGTTCTGAGCCATCCGTCCGAGAACGTCTGTTCTGTCGCTGCTTTGTCGGCAACATAGTACCTGTAAGTTTGATTAACGAACCTGATTTGGGCTTTTTGTAAGATGCGGGGAGATTTCTCACATCATTACCGTCGGTCCGCGAACCCAAAGTTCACCCTCTTCCCCGGAAGGGACATCCGACCCTGTCTTGGGGTCTACTAATTTCGCTTCTCTGTAGGTTTGCGGATATCAGCAATGAGTCTCCAAGATTGTCGACTGCGCAATACAGTAGTCTGTAATCCGAATTGCTGCGTGCAACGTACATTCCAGGAAGGACCTTGCCAACACATCCAAAAGCATGCTCCTCTTCTTCTATCTGATGTAGAATGCCACCTGTCGCCTCGGAGAGTCCATAGCCTATGTTGAAATCAGCGTATTCAATCTTGTTGATGTAAGGCTACGTACCTTGGCAGATACTCGTGTGTGGAAGCCGCTTTTTGAGTAAAAGTTGCACGGATTTCTATCATCATTTAGCATGATTCGGTAGATCTAGTCGTCTACAGAGACGTACTTTCAAGGGGGCAGCGGAGATGACAATTCTTTTCAACGAAGCCAAGTCATATTTCTGAGCAACAGGTGATGCGGCCAAGGCGAGGGCCACAGGGGGGACAATATGTAGGTCTGTGACCTTGAGCTCGCTCGACTTTTTGCAAAATGTTTCGAGGTCAAATGCGGGAAGACCGCAATAGAGTGCCCCAACCCACATACCGGCTACCACCGATACAGTCAGGCCATATATATGGCAATCTGACGGTCCCAAGACAGTCAGTATGACAAGGTACAAATGGATGAGTATATTGGGTGATGAGCTTACAGGGAGCAAAGAATACTTCGCGAACGGTAGAATTGACTCGGGCGGGCATCGCGATCCGCAATATTATAGCATTCATGATGATGTTGTAATGTGAAAGCTGCACGCCCTTCATTTTTCCAGTTGTTCCGGACGAAAAGCATATAGTGCTAGGCACATCTTGTGAACTTTTGCCTTGGAGATCGAAAGGTGGGAGAGTCTCTCCGGCTTTTGTGCCGATAATGTCATTTGGGAACTACTGCATGTAAGTAAAATAATGCCAGTTTACAGTCTCGAATGAGAGTGTAGATATATTTGTTAAGAAATAACATCATCACTTACCTGCGGTAGATTCTCTACCTTACTGAGAACAGTCGCAATCTTTATCTCTTTCGTCGAATTCGAAGCCAATGCAGCTTGTACATCTTCGAGCTTCGGCACGATGGTGGCAATGTGAGTCGGCTTGACGATTTGAAGCAAGTGCGAGATATCCTTTTGCGTTGCTGATACATTAACCGGTCTGGATATTGGATTAATACCTGGACGAGACACCTTCAACCCCAGTTCAGGCCTGGGAGTATTATACTCACGCAAAAACGGCACCCGCCCACCACGTCGCATGAGCTAGAATCACAAAATCATTCTGCATTGACCATCAGCATCCTCCCATAACATCTCGAGCTATCATATTGTGCACTCACTGAGTTGCTAACCAAGGCCATCAAGACGTTGCCTGGCTGGAGTCCCCAATTACGCAAACCCCAGGCCGCACGAGCAGCATCACCGCGAAGCGAGCCATATGTGATAGGCTGTGTCGAGATTGTGTCCACGTGAATAACCTTATCTGTCGGAACTTCGTCCGGGTTATATTGCGTCATGAACTGTGCAATTGAGAGGTTGGTCGTGCTATCTGTCGGAAAGACAGGCGATTGATAGGATGGCATCTTTACTAAGGGTTTCTCCTTCGAATAGAAATTTTCCGGAACAATATGATGCAGTTTCCCGCTTGATCGGCGGTTAGGAACAAGGGGAGCGATCTGGTGAAGGTTCGCGGAACAGTAATCACTTCATGTGAAATACAACAAACAATTTGGGTGATTCTTTTTTCCAGTGACAGCGAAGTTTAATTCGCAAGAACCGGGATTCTAATCCTGAGCAGGGATTCCACCTCATGCTAAGTTCGAAAAGCCCCTGGTCTGCACTAAGCCCTCAGGGTGCATATTAGTACGGACTCTACGGAGCACTCCATACCTACTACCCGCTAACAAGTTTTAACTGTACATCTTGCATTGAGATCTTGACCGATTCTGAATATGCATACCTACAGATCTGGGATGCGCATTGGCTATTCTGATACCGCGTGCCGCACCCGTAGATTTTCATGCTTGCCGTCTTTACCCAATTGTAGCTCTTGCGTTTAGAGCAACGGCACGGAGTACGGAGTATGCACCTTAATGTTGGATTTGCGGCGCAGGAGCATCCTTCAAACTGACAGGGGGGTCTGTATGGAACAGATCCTGGCGCTTTGCTTCATCCGGCGACCGTCTAATCCACCAATACGAGGTGTGTGACGCACTGTCCCCCGGAATTGGGAATCATTTCCGTTTCTGCTTACTACTTAGCCACTGATCGATTCCGTAGTTACTACGGAGTAGAGTCCTTTCAATTCAATTAATTATCTAAGCGAAGAGTAAATTGGGCACAAATCATACAATAACAACGCCGATCACGTTACGTCTATTGTTTGGCCCGAGCTGGGGTAGTGATTCTAGTGAAACTAGCTTTGCTCTCGGGGTCTGACATGCATACTACATGTTGGGAGCAAAATTTCATCGTTTCTTATTAGGAGGATGGTCTACCTATATGTGACCTATCGATTCGCATTTGACATGTTCGATGCCTTCAGACTGAAAATGCGACCATGCGCTTCCCGACAGTCTTGACGTATGCGACGGTATTTTTGTCTGCTTTGACAAGTGCTGCAGCGCAGTCTTTGCCATCATGTTCAGTACGATAGATCCGTCCCTGTTGCTTCAATTTTTGGCTGACAGAGTATTATAGACAAAATGTCTAGAAGAGATACTCCCTCAATCACCATGCTCACCAACCAACCAGACTTGTATATGTACCAATGCTGTCTTCAAAGAGGAATTGACTGGTTGCGTGGCGGCGAATTGTACCGCAAAGGAGATTCTTAGTATGTTGTGAGCAAATAAACTGTGGTTTTAGTCATACTGACGAGTATAGCTACTCTTAACGTTACGAATACGGAATGCGGAGTCCCGGTGCGAGACATGACGAGACCGAGTATTATTGTCCCGAGCGTGGGATACATCGTTTTGTTGTTTCTTGCGGCGAGGATTTACACCCGCCTGGTGATCGTGCCGGGTTCCAAGTTGGGATGGGATGATTGGACAATTCTTGCACTGGGGGCTGTAATGGTGGCAGTGAATGCAGGCTCGATATTGCGTCAGTACACCTATCGCGTGTTCCCCAGATGACTGCAGGTACGGTTCCGTATATTTAACAAGTCGATAGTTGGGCAAGCCGGTCTGGGAAAAGACATTTGGACCCTGGAGTTTGACAAAATCACGCAAATCCTCAAGGTATGGCACGCACCACATAAACATGACAGAGTTGGCCCGACTAATCGCAGCAGATTTACTACATCCAGGAGCTGCTCTATGTCACCGCCATCACTCTTACCAAAATCTGCTTTCTCCTCTTCTACCTGCGCATCTTCCCCAACTCGGGGGTTCGCTGGATTGTTCAGACGACTGCTGGCGTGGTGATTTGCTACGGCATTGCCTTCTTTTTTGCTTTTACTTTCCAGTGCTCGCCGATTGACTTCAATTGGGTAGGCTGGGATGGAGAGCATCAAGGGTCTTGTGTGGACAAGAACGCACTGGTCCTGGCGTCGGCGGCAATCAATATTGTTTTCGATCTGTGGGTTATTGCTCTGCCGATACCGACACTGCTGCACTTGCAGACCTCGACGTTGTTGAAGTTTCAGATTGTTTTCATGTTCTCAATAGGGTTTTTGTAAGATCCTCTTGTCCAGACGCACCTGGGAAAACACTCGAAGACACGTGCTAATATTCAATCCGTGGATGTAACAGAGTCACCGGCGTTAGCATATACCGCATGGTAATGCTTAAGGAGTTTTCCACGAGTTCTAACCCAACATGTGCGTCTACACCTTCCCAAACCCACTTCAATTCTACAAACATCTAACATTGTACCAGGGGATAACGCGCCCGGCGGCTATTGGTCCATTGTCGAGGTAGATGTAGGCGTTTTCATCCTGTGCCTGCCATCTGTACGAGCATTACTCCGGCGCTTCTTCCCTAGCGTTTTCGGTTCAACGAACGAAGATACGGGCAGTAGCAGTCAAACACCGAAACCTAGGAAGCCTGGGAGGACAGCACCATCCGGCGACCCGTTGCACAATACCAGCTTTGTCCAATTAATTGACGTTAATCACGACGGAGAGAGTGCAAATCACTATGGAACAGGAAGAACAAAAAGTTTTGGGGAGGAGTCCTGATCTTTGCGCAGCGATTCTTAAGTCTATCACGTTGATATAACGACTGGACGGTTTCCTGGACCTTAGGCGGGGTTTTCAAAAGCGGTATATATAGAACGAGTTAAATTCGAAAATGGTATCACTCATCAGCCTTTGATGCACGCTGAGCACGTCGTGAGCAGGCTCACGCGCTCAGTGGTACATCAGTGAGTATGTAGAGTGTATCCTCTTTCATTTCTAAATAAGCTACATCCATAAAGACATGTCTAACATTGCACTTATTCAAGACCAACCTATGAAATTGAGGAAGCCTTGGGGCTATGGGCAAGGCCTCGTCTCCAACGATAATGTCTACAAATTCCTTACCTCTACCCCTTTGCAGGCGCATATATGTACATTCAGTCGCGCAGCTCGAGGGCATCATCCTTTGGTCCGAAACCAAAGAAACTGAGAACAGCTCCGTATAGCCATGCCAGATATAGTGCGCGCGAAATGACAAAAACAGTCAGCCATCCTTTATACCCATCCAGGTTCGGCGCAACCTACATATCATCAGTTATGGGGTCTTTCAATTTCTCGCAACTTGACTGCAAAGAATCTACCAATTCTCCGGAACCGCCGCTGGCTTTCACCCACCCAAAGGCGCACGGCGACATCTTTATCTCGTACTCTTTTACCTCCTTTGTATAGTCTTGTTCGGTGATTGTATTTTTCATGGATTTCTTTGCAAGATTTAGAATGGCTGGGAGCATGTCCACTGTATCGCGCATGGCTTGATTACCGCCCATGCTACTACATGATTTATGTTAATCATCACCTGGGGAGTATTTCAAGTTTATCAGCTTCTTCGGTTGTAATACCCTTATTAAAGTAGTAGAAATTGATAATGGGGGTATCGCGCGGATCCATTAAACAAAGAGTTATTGTGCCCATGTTATTGCGTACGTGGGACTTCAAAACGATCCATGCCCAGTGCCGCGCATCAGCCAGTGAATCATCGGCATAACCGGGGAAGTCGGTGGGCGCTTCACCAATGATTGTATTCTCGATACGATCTTGAAGATTGGTTCCAACTCCCGGTAGATCAACCACAATGGGAATCGAGTTCGGCTTTGGGGCCGACACCACTTAGTTTGAGAAGTTGAGGGCTATTGAACGCACCGGCCGACAGAATGACTTCGCGGGTCGCATTAACTGCTCCAGGTACACCAGGACCCACAGAGCTAGAGCGCAGATCGAGTTGAGGAGAGGAGAATGGGCTGAGAAGTTCAGAGTAAAGCCCAGCAAGGAGGAGGGGGGAGAGATAGAAGTAAGTGTGTAGGAGGAGAGAGAAACAGAACAGCCAGAGGTGAGGTCCAAGTGAGAGAGAGCATGAGAGAGTCAACAAGGAAGGAAAGAGGCCACCCCGCGCTTTCTCCGAGCCGGGACTTGGCGCCGTTTGAACCACCCGACCAATCACAGCAGGCCTTGTGCCTGCTCGGAGTTAAGCGGTCTCAGCTTCCTCTTACTCTTTGTCATTTTACAGCATCTTCATCTTACCTCTCGACAGGCTATAGAACATCGGCATAACTGATATACAATCAATGGCTCTTGAACAGACCATGCCGAGGCAGGACAACCTTACCAGCCGACACCGAGCTATCCTCTCCTGCTTATCCTGCCACAAACAAAAGAGACGGGTATGCTTATATCTACTTGAACGTTTAGAACGCTGCTCAACTGTCGCCGACGCAGTGCAATCGTCAGCTACCATGCGACCAGTGTCAAAAGAGAGCAACTACTTGCCAATATCAGAGTCACCAGACACCTCCAGTTAGAGATGTCGCCGCGTCTGAACTTTCAGAACAGAGCATTGTCAGAAAGTCTAATGAAACGGTAGGAATTATGAAACATATCAAGATCATCCAGCCATCAATCCACCAAGCTGACAATTTGCGATAGGGGCTGCATCCCGTATCTATTGGTACAACTCAAATAAACCAAAGAGACTTTCTCCTAATGAAGCATTGTATGTATGCGCCATACTGCACCCAGCCCCTGGGCTCCAGTATCCTTCCTGATTGCATAATACATGCTAAGTACATTCAAAAGTCGTCGATCAATTGAGACCACGACTTGACATATTCCTCGATGTCCATGACAATGTAGGATTAGACTGGCTACTCGCCGCCACAAGTCACCCGGCATCCTTCTACGCCATACTCTATTGTGGAGCAACGATTTATGCTAAAGAGGTCGAAAAGCGTTATAAAAAGAAATGTCTCCTCCACGCTTGTCTACATTACAAGCTTACAGCGTTGGATACAATCAACAAGCATCTTGGGGAGAAAAATGATGCCGCAATCACAGATGAAATAATGCTTGCGGTGCTGATACTAATGAATTTTGATAGTGTAAGTTCAATATCGGGCCCTTTCTGTAGCTACTTAACCCGACTAATATATAATTTTGCTTAGGTTATGGAGTCCTTTGATGAGTATAAAGTGCATTTAGAGGGACTCGGGAAAATGGTTGATTTGCGAGGTGGTTTGGAAAACCTGGGCTACAACGGATTGCTTAAGAATTGGTATCATTGGTGCCATTCTGTCTTAATGAATTCGAAAAATGGAGCTGTTCTACATGAGCTACAAGACTTTCGTGGAAGACTTTTAACCATAGTTGGGCTCACATAAAGCAAGGTACAGGTTTCCTGATTACACATATATGTCGGAATGGATTTCTCTTACAATCGAAGTAAATCTATGTAGATGACATGAATACCGGTCTTGTAAAGTCATCAGATATCATATTCTTCAAMCCCCGCCGCAATGCTATCTTCAAGCTTCGTCCAACCCTTCCCATAGAACTTCTGCAACAGTTCCTCTGCTCTTTCTCTCGGGAGAATCTTGCTGATATCCCGGCCTTCGTTCTCCGGGGGCCTGACAAGCTGCTCACAACCTGCTGGGCGTATCTTGCGTATGATTGCGAGAATATCGGTCCAAGTATACGTATCAGCGAATGCAAAGAGACGCTCGGACTTCACTTCCGGGTCTAAGAGGGCGACGACATGCAACTTGGCACAATCCTCGACATCAACAAACCATTCTGCAAGAATCGATGAAATCGTTAGTCGTGGTAGGCATCTTATAATGGGGATAAAGTAGAGAAGAAGAATAAGGCAAACTTACGTGTGGGAAGCAAGCCCATGACAAATGAGTTGCCTTTTGTCAAAGCTCTGGTGTGGCCCATAGAAGAGCCATGAATTTGCGGGTGCAAAATTCGACCAAACTGTTCAGATCGCAATCTATTTTAGCAGGACAATCCCCCAAATCTGTAAAAGTACAGGCAAGGAAGAAATACATTGACGTTAGGAACGACGGCGTTGAAGACAAACTTTAGCTCCTTCTCTTCAACAAATTTCCATGCCGTGCGCTCTATTGCAACTTTAGATGCGCAGTAAACGAGTGCACCTTTGAGTTCTTGAGGTGCGTTTCTGTCCCATGCAGCTTTGACTGCAAAGTCATTCCACGTATCTAATCGAAGTCAGTGCGCGAAAAGGGAAAAAAAATTGCAGACAGAAGACCAGATTCAATGTACCTTTAGTAACTTCAACCTCCACGTTAGCCTGGGCGATAAGCACAGCAGCTGATGACGACGTCAAGACGAATCGTTTGACGGACTCTTCCTGTGCCGCCGCACTCAGAATGTTCTCCATTGCAGCAACCATTTGTGGAATGACGGCGCTCGGGTCGGGGCTGAAAGACATATCCGACGCCTATAAAACGACTCGGTTTAGAATAGTGACCGTCATGTTTAAGAGAACATATCAACTCACCACATGAACGACTCCATCAACGCCTTTGATACTTTCATTGAAAGCATTGGCAACGTCAATTTGAGGAACAACTACGCTCTCATACTTGCCCGCGCCATACTTGTTGGTGAAGAATTGGTCCAACCAGGGCTTGGGCTCGCGGACGGTTCCCCGAACACGATATCCAAGATCAAGGAGATTGTTGACGACGTGTGAGCCAATGTAGCCATTGGCCCCGGTTACGAGAACCAAGGAACCCAAAGGCAGAGCAAGGTTTGAAGGTGGCATGTTGCAGTAATTGCAGGTACGATTGGACGACGGTTTCTTTGAGTGATTGCGTTGTGAGCTTATGATTGGGAATGTCGAGAAGAGAAACATTTGAGGGGATCACACGCCCTTCTTATACCTGTAAACCCCCATTTCATACAGCACCCACATGAAAAGAAAAGAAATCAAGCTGCCTGTTGGGGCTTGTTCCAGGCCGTTCCGGAACTTCGCCTCTATTCTCAGGCGAGAAAGTTGAACCAATACATTACCTCAAAACTCTTTTCAAGCAGTATTTTCTTAATACCGTTAAAGACGTAGTATAATAGATGCAGGTTAGTAGTTCGCGAAAGATGGGTTAGCTATCTTAAGACATTGGCAGAAGGTCAGCTGAACAACAGCTCCACTTAACGCCGCAATAGACATGAGGATTTTACCTGCGTAGCAGATTTATGATTATAGATCCATAGACACAGGGCGTTCGACTCCATCTGATGATTTTGTACTTCCTGATTGGGGCACCTGTAGCTGAGCCCCAATCTCTCGCTGGCGGCTCATGGCTCCACTTATCGCCGCAACATCTGGATATACTTAGGGCAGGTTAGTCTTTGCGTATGCTCGTTTTTAGACGACCATCGATTCGTTTTCTTGATCTATTATTTCTAGTGATCCAATCTATCACCCTATCATACAATTTGGCAGGGTTATACGATCAGAATATTCCCAAATGCCCTCATACAGCGGGTCGCAGATACACCAAGCGTGACCGTTGGACGCAATCCTGGACTATGGAGGGCCTCTACACAGAACAGGAACTAACCCGTAATTCGATGAAGATCTTTTGGCCATGGCGCAGACGCGGCTATTACAGACAAGCCTGTCTATAGATTACGTTGAGCTGAAGGCCTTCAAATCCAGCTACTTATAACTAGTCAATCAGAATAGCTCCATCTCCTCATCCGCCTCCTTGATCTATAACCATACATTACAATACAATTGCCAGAGTCAGATCAGCCATCAAGTTTCCTAGTGGGACCAACCAATCCAAGGCCATACGACACGACCCCGTTATGGTTGGATCTCAGTCATCATCTGCTATAATCGGATGGTCTCCTAATAGTAGAATATAGTCTATCATTTGGATTAAAGAATATCTTTTACTTGAATTTTTTTTGTCACGGACCTGGACCCACCTTATTTATAACAGTTCGAAATACTAGGTACCTAAATACTGCAAACATTGGATTACCCAGGTACGAATGAATGCCTATCCACTTATACTAGAATGTTCCATACAGAAGCTTTCGCTTCCTTCAATAGAAACCACCTGGATCGATATAATCGGACTGCTTCGAATGTTGTGAAATTCGGATGAAGCACTGGAGTTTTATTATTCTAGTGAAGGTGGATGGACAAATAGAAGTACGGTGAATAACGTTTGGATATGTACAGGACGTTAAGTAATCTATACAATACACAAGACAATCTAGCTAGAAACAGATCATGAAAGTTTCGTCAACTTGCTCTCCCCATTCTCACTCGAGACATTAGTGGCATCCTCAGATGCCGCTGCCGTCTTGTTGTGTTCTTCGGAGGTAGTAGTAGCATCACCATCCAATAAGCGGGTATCTTCCTCCTCCTCATCATCATCTTCCTCGGGCAACAACAGATTCAGAATCAGTGCCAACAATCCCGTGACCACGAAGCCAGTCGTCATGACCAACTCGATCGCGTCGATGAGACCGATTAATCCTTTATTGTCGCCGGAGTAGGTGAATACATATGAGAACCAAGTCGGGACAAGGGTTGCGCCCATACCCACCGCAAACGAGGCAGTAAGAATGAACCTGTTGCGGCGCGTGAATGGCGTGGTGGCAATGATACGAATACCAGAGATGGCCACAGACGAGAAGAGGAATGTAGTCATACCACCCAACACCGGCGAGGGGATAGCCACAAGCGCAGCAGCGAATTTGGAGAATATGCCCATGATAATCAAGAAGAAACAGCACCAATACCCAGCTTTGCGGTTTGCGCAGCGAGTCAAAGCGATAACGCCGTTGTTTTGGGCGAATGTGGACATGGGCGTGATTGTGCAGAGGCCTGCTAACAATCCGTTCAGACCATCGGCAAGGACACCACCGCGGATTCGGGAGTCGAAGAGTTCGCCTTCGACGTCGAGGCGGGAGACATCGCAGGTGGCTGTAACGTCGCCAATGGCTTCCATCATGAGGACTATGTAGAGTGCCAAAAAGGGGAGGATTAGAGGGGAGTAGATCTTCAAGGGGAAGGTCTTGACCCAGATGAATGATGCGACGGGCGCTTCGTTGATAGATGAGGGATCGAAGTAGCCGCATGCAGCTGCGACAATACAGCCAACTAGCAGACCCACCGCGACGGAGCAGGTTCGCATGATGGGTGATCCGAAGCGTTCACAGAGGATGATTGTAACAAAAACCAGAAAGCCGAGGCCGATGAATTCGGCGCTTCCCCACGGCAGCGCATGTGGTGCCGTCGCAGAGGGACAGAGAGCGGCAGAACCGCCAGCTGCAGCATTCGACATACAGGAACCAGCACCGCCGGCCCAATCTTCTAAACCGCTCTGAATCAGACTGACACCGATCAAGAGCACGGTGGGACCAGTCACCAAAGGCGGGAAAATGCGTTTGAGGATATCGATTGAGACGAATGAAAGACCAATTTCGAGTAAGGCGCAGAGACAGGATGTGCCCAAGATAGCGCCATAACCGTGAGGACAAGCGAGCTTTGCGCCAGTTTCAGGGTCGATGGGGCAGTATCCAGATTTATACATCTGTGTCAACGCATTGTCGGCAATGGTCAATGTCGAGAACGATGTACCAGCGACAGAAATCAGACCGGTACCGATGTAATATGGTGTTTTGGGGATGCTAAATCGAGTGATTTGAATAGCCGACAGAATACCCGAGACGATCAGTGATGTAGAGACGAGGTATTGCGAAGTGGAAGTATCAAAATTGGCGGCTGAGCCGATGATGATGGGTGGTGTAATGACACCAGCCAGCATAGCGAGAGCATGTTGAAGACCGAGTAGGAGCGCGAGGAAGACAGGGATTTTCTCGTGAAGGCCGAAAAAGGGAGTTCGGGAGCGGGATTTCTTCATAAATGGTAGGCGTGGTTTGAAGAGCATGGCATAGTCGTATTCACCAATGAGGCCTTCCCTGTACTACAATTAATATTTTTCCTCCACAGAAATTGAGATAGACGTACTTTGTGGTGAACGACCGGACGAATCGTCCGAATCGATCTGAGATTGTTCGTTTAGGGCCTGTATCAGGCCCTATCTGATCTGGGCCGTCCATGATGCTGATGGATATACAAAGAAAGATGAGATTAGGTTGGAAAAAGTACACTGGGGTGGAGTATTTAAATATTCAAAGCTGACAATAAAACGGCGATATTATACCTCGATCAACGAGGATTGTTAATTAGTAGATAGGCCGGTGATAATGAACCACAAAGTACGTCGTGAACAGGAATAAAGGATCGTTATATACGTCAGACATACAGAGGACGAACGCGCCGAGTTCCGTTGTCTAGACGATGTTTATCGGAAGATATATTGACTGACAATATTGATGAAAGAAATTCTTATTACTCGATGTGAAGGTGTAAATACGCAGCAAGTTAGAGTGGTACAAATCAAGCTAAGAGATAGGCAGATCCACCAAGCTGATAAAGCGGGCTCCATAGCGTCCATTCGGGCTGCTCTGGGAGAATAATGGGGAATTCCACGCGGTCTAACCAGGTTAACTACGTTAGTGAGTGCGCTAGGTTGTATTAGTGCTAGTGGACTATGATAAGACTCTGGCTGCTGAGAGGTTCAGAGATGCTTCAGACGCTAGTCAAGCTCGGCTTGGGGTCGGCTAGGGACTTTTAGGGATTCAGTGGGCTGGAGCTCGTGGCCAAGTCCGATAACGCTCTGAACTGTAAGCGTAGGTTGAATACTTGTGTAAATCACATGCAACTGTTGATATTGAAAAAGAACAGTAAGGGCTAGGGCACGGCTGGCCTAAGGCATGCTGTTGGTATCACCGCCACCAACAATGTGTACATAGTAAAATGACATTATTCATCGTTGGAAGATATTGACAGAGATTCAATCCCCATACGGAGTACATTGTTTGATAACGACAATTAACATTGATACGCACTGATCGCGGGGGACCAATTAGCAGCTGTTCGTAGCTTAGCCTTTCCTACAGAGGAGATAGACAGAGATTGGCGCGTCGGACCACGCCGATACCCTGATCGCCTGTACGACTCATGCCTCAGATCTCTACAATAGTAAAGGCTACGAATTTGTCGCTTCACGACGTCAAAATTTTACATTTGCATAATCGCCACCCGACTAGTCAAGTGGTCGATCAGATATTTCGACGTGATCGGAAAATATGAAAAAGACGAGAAAAACTCAACCGGGACGGACCGATCCTGATGCTGTTAACTGTGTAGCTCTCGGAGACGTGATATCCTTGATTCTCTAAAGTGGCGATTATATTCTCCTTCGACTCGGACTGACAAGCAGAGAATTATCCGTGGAAGATGCAGAGGATGGCGTGAACACTTTTTGTAGCCGGTCGACGGTGATCTCGTGACCATTCCGACCGAGGCGATGCCTCAGAAATAAGGTTTCCATCAACTTTGAACAACCAGCCAACCACCACAAGCACACCCACGTCGTCAAGATGGCAACCAATCTACTGTCGCATGACGATTTTCTAATGCTGGTCTCAAAAAAACAGCGCTGTCTCCAACACTGCCACAAGTAACCCCCAAGAAGGGTTTGTCGATCATAACCACAAGCTTTAAAACAAGCTGTGGCTGAGCGATCCCTGCGCAACCCATCGACGAATCGACGGCCACCTGTGACATCTTTTAAAGTTCTGCCTGGCAGAACTACAGGCAATATATTTCTCCTATTATCCTGAGTATCGAAGTGTAGACATCGACGTTCAAGGCAGCGACACGGTAGCCAAGATGTCAACCGATCAGGTGAAGCCTGCCATAGCGCACATCTCGAAGTTACTTGTTACGTCGTATATTATCGACTGGATTCTCATCATGTAAGACCCCTCTTGCGCTCACCTGGATTGATTGTCTTTTCTGACAATTCTTAAGAGGCTTTGCTGGAATCGGCGCCGGGCTCTCGAAAGTGACACCCGCCCAACGACCCTTTTCCCTCACCGATCCAGCCATTTCCCTGCCGTACAAGCTAAAGGACACCGTTTCGTCCGGTCTTCTCATCGTAATCGGTCTCGTGATTCCAGCCGGCATAATCCTGGTTTTCAGCTGGTTGTTGGTCCCCAGCAATCCGCGCGCATTACGCAGGGCACCTTTTGCCCTTGTTTGGAGACGCAAAGTCTGGGAATGGAACGCGGGATGGATGGGCCTTGGGCTTGCTCTGGCGGCTACATACACGGCCACACAGGGACTGAAGGACTTGATCGGAAAGCCGCGTCCTGATTTGATTGGTAGATGCGATCCGGATCTTTCAAAGATATCGACGTATGCGGTCGGTGGATTGGGTGAACTCCTACAGGGAGCGCCGACTTTCGTGACCTACCAGATTTGTAGGAATCAGGGGAGCGATCTCAAAAATGATGGCTTTGCGGCTTGGCCTAGTGGGCATTCTTCTTGTACGTTGAACCACTAATTCCGTGAGAAATACTGTTGTGCTAATGAGTCTAGTTTCGTTCGCGGGTATGTTCTACTTGACCCTATGGCTTTGCGCCAAATTCTCGGTAGCGTTCCCATATATCGGTCCCTTGGCCTTTGGCGCGCGGGCACCTGCAGCAGCAACTCAAGTCCAAAAGACTGAGACTGAGCACGCAACCACCACCACCAACAACCCCTTGGCGATATCGCCCCGCGACCAAGGTGCCGCACCACCAGTCTACTTGCAAATTCTGGCTTTCGTCCCTGTCTGCGTCGCCTTTTTCGTCGCATGCTCGCGCTACCATGATCATCGCCACGCAGGTTTCGACATCATCTCCGGTTCCGTGCTCGGCATCTTCTTTGCCTACGTCGGATTCCACATGTATCACTTACCGCTGCGACGAAGTGATGGATGGGCCTGGGCGGCGAGGAGTCGTCGACATGCGTTTTTCAGGGCGACCGGGTACGCGGATTTGACTGTTACGGAGGGATGGGCTGGTAGTGAGCCAATGCCTGCGACTATCCAGGAGGAAGTTAGGGAGGAAGAGCAGGTTTGATCATCTACTACCTCGTGCTCTATGACCCCTATACTCATTCGTATATGTATGGTCTTTGAGATGTTGTTATTACTTAATACTGTACATTAAATCATTCTGAAAATATACTAACATACCAAATCTAATACCAATATTCAATTTGCGAGTGATGGTCAAGTCGCCCCCAACCGAATACTATGCAAATTATTGATCTTCCTAATAACCTTCTGCTCATTTGACAAATCCACAAACGCCCATTTCCCGCCTCGTTTGAGTTTTATGCCTATGAATAACGCAATGAACACCAAAACCTACACACCTGTTAGTCACAACTTACGTAATGAAGAAGGGGGTACGTACGATGAGATAACTACTCAAAAACGGCATAACGTGGAACCCGTTCCAGAGCGCGGCACTATTTGCAATGATGAGAACAAACATGCAACCTGCGAGTGCCGCATACGCCAGAAAGGGCTGTCCGCTGCCGCGGTAGGGGTAGTCGTTGGGATGTTTCGTGCTCCAGCGTCGGACGAGGGAGATGCCTTCGCGTTCGAGGGTTTCGCGGTGGGCTGATATACTATCGTCCCATTCATGTGTCAGATTGATATTGTGGAGTAGGGAGAGGAAGGATATTCAAGAGGGAGGAGTACCAGTGATAATAGCGTATGAAAGCGAGACAGTTGCAGGCCCATACGATCAGGATGCCGGTTGAGCCCATTTCGGCTAGGATTTCGACGAACTTCATGATCCACCTCTATTAGCTACTCACACATAGCCCTATATACGAAAGAAGATAATTGGGTAGTACCATTCCAATAGGATTATCCGTCGCCGTTCCAGCCCTCAACTGCAAAAACGGAACCCACCAAAACGCAAACGCCGAAAATATCATCGCTCTCCGGGGCACACTGTGATTATCGGTTTTACCGAAATAGGCCATCGCTCGCAAGTACCAGGGTTGACGGGGACCGTCATCTAGTCGACTGGTCAATCCGAACAGGGCGCGCGAGGCAACGTAGAGGTTTGTGCTTGCGCAGCTGAGACATGTGAATACAAGAAAAACATTGAAGATGTCGCCCAGATGCGGGATCTGGGACCGTGAGGCAATTGCGACGAAGACGGAGGATGTCTTTGCGCCTATCCCTGTTTCTGCTGATGAGTTGGCCGGGGTGGATGGGGAGGAGCATTGGATAATCGTCACCCAACTGAGGCGCGGAAGTTGGCAGTCGTCCCATGATATTTCGAGTGTTGCGAGTACACTTGTCAGTGTATATGCCAAAGTGGCCATGACGGAGATCCAGATGGCGGAGAATTTGACGGTGTTGCCGATTAAGGTGTCGTTTGACCGCTGGGACGAGGAGGAGAGATCCGTTTTGACGCGTCGGGGCCATTTGACTTCGAGCGCGGAGGCGGCGACGATTTCAACGCCGACGTAAGCGAATGTTGCGATTGAGATGGACATTCTATTTCGGTAAGCATACATTAAGAAGAGATGAGGGTAGGGTGAATACATGAAAGCTGTGGCCCAGTTTGGGGCGGCGTTGTGATCATAGACGAGCACGAGGGACCAATCTAATAAACCCGACTTAGGATGCATCTCATATATGTAAAGAAGAACGTACTTTCGGTGTTTACTGGCTGGTTTGCAGTTTGGTCCGGTTGAGCTGAACGGTTAGCTTCGTTCGACGTACACAGGCAGGTATACTCACCCATAAACTTCAATATAATCAGAAACACGAAAATGACCACCAGGAAGAATATCTTGAGTATTCCCGTGTATAGTTCTACATGACGGTATATCTAGCATTCAGTCAGCAATCCAGTCCTATCGCTCAGAAATAGATAAAACTTTACACCAATACTGAACGCATTCACCAAGATCAAACAGACTGGAATCGCAAAATAAATCACCAATCCCTGAAAACTCTTACTGTCATCCACAACTGGCCAAAACACCAGCTCCGCAGCTGATGTCGCCACCAGCGCTGAAAATGATACAGCGTAGGTGAACCAATAAGTCACGCCGACAGCGATGCCCAGCTCCATGTCGACGAATTCGCCGACGTACATGGACAAAGCGCCCGGAATGGGCCAGATGCAGAGCATTTCGGTGATGCATTGCATTACGGCCCAGGCGAGGACGCCTACTAGTAGAAAAGAGAGTAAGACGGCAAGCGGGCCACCGAGTTCGAGGATTTGTCCACCTCGCCAATAGAGGCCTGTGCCGAGAGTGCCATTGATTGTTAACATCTATATCTGCCATTAGCATGTATAAAAAAATTGATAAAGAAAGGGGCATACGAAGAGATGAATCCCCCGCAGGCGACGTTTTGTTATGCGGTCTCTACTCGGTCTGACAGGGACGATGATGGGGGGTTGCTGGATCCATTCGATTGTGCCTGTTCCGGCATCTTCGTCGCCTAGCTGATCTGATTGAGACTGCCCGGACTGGGAGTGTGGTTGATACAGAAGTGGAGGTGATTGAGATTGGAAGAGTCGTTTTGTCTCTTGTCTTTTGATCGCTGTTGACGTGTTTTCATCATGCTCATTTTCATTATTGTGTTCGTGTTCAGAGGGTGGCGGATTAGGCCGAGTCAACTGAAACCAACCATGAGTCCAGTCTAGTTCTGAGAACCAGGTTGGATAGTCCTCTGATTGTGACATGCTTGTCGCGATCCATTTGTCGTTGTCAGTCGTATTTCATCGAAATTTTAGCATCACTGGGATAACGATAAATATGTACAGTATGAGGCTGAACCACGAGGCGGCGTGACATGATAAGTGCGTGCGGAGGAACTCCATAAAAACCGTATTCAGATCGAACCCAGCTCGCACCAAACAGAATCGAATCTTAGCGGGAGTGGGCACGGACTGGCTCSGATAACTATTCTGCTCTCGTCCTAGTATTAGACGCTGGATATAAATGATTGGATGCGGTGTGAGGCAAGTAGTCTGAGTTAATAGCTTGGGGTTCCCCATATGGGATGATGCACCGAGTCGGAATCGTCAAATCATCAATCCCTTGTAAATCGCTTGAACGTGCACATCGATTATCGCGTGCTTGGAAATATAGGTTTCTCACTTGGACAGACACAAGATATTAATACATGTAATTCATCTTGACTATATACTTGCTTGCAGTCATAAGAACCCTAACCCTACAAGTGCCCCACACGGGCCGAGCCTTATCTTATTGGTGAGATCCATGGAACTCAGCAACACGCCCTTGTTCTTTGAGTCTTAATAGCGTCATGTCATAGAATCGATCATCATTAATTTCACAGAAGACATCATGCATCAGAGACTATGGCACTGAATTGGACAGCTAAAACTCTGTCGTGAGTAGGATACGAGTGGTTTCAATATATCACAGCGCCGCCCAGGCAGATTTGGAATGTTGCCTTGTCTTTACTGTCCAGCTACTACTTACTATTTCTTATGACCAAATAGGCCAGATCAATACAGACTTCTTAATGTCATATATACGAATGATTTGCTCATCGAAAGATACGACATGTCGAAAAGAATTGGCGGGGGTCAACAGGGACAGATATACGGCTATCTCTTGCACAACGGCCAAAGGGGATGCAACGATCGAGACGAATCAATACCGAAGTCGCAATGACTACACTGTTGGATGTCCACTCGATGGATCTGCGCGTTGCTAAAAGAGCTGACAGCCGCGACGGCCATGCTGGACCATATACACCCTGATCTCCTGAAGCCACTACATGATCCAAATACATGTACCCTGGGATCTATCGGCGATTATAAAATCGTAGTAACATATTTACCAAAAGGTGGAATCGGCACAAATATAGCTGCAATTCTTCTGACGCAGATGATGCAAAGTTTCCTGTCAATCAAAGTCGGTCTCATGATTGGCATCGGTGGTGGAATTACATCCAAGGTTAGGCTGCGAGATGTTGTGATTGGTACTCCAGTAGATGGTATCCGGGGTAGCTCGATGGAATTTTGGGCAGAAAGAAAAAGGTGAAGTGCTCTGACAAATTGGTGGGCTGGATAGTCCTTCAAGCGCGCTGTTGACGGCGTTGTTGATGATGGGGTCTCGGAGTAGGCTGAAAGGATACGAAATACCTCAATATCTTGAGGATATGGGGAGAAAGTGGCCGAGTCTGGTGCCAAAGTACACTCGACCACCAACATCCAAAGACCCCCGCGTCATATCCAGCATTTTCTTTGCATGTCAAGCCGTGGGTATTATGCTCTAGAAATAGGTAACTGCGCTTTTCCGGAATATCATAGGCTTTTGGATGTTCTCTTCCAAAGCTAGCGGACCGACGCAAGGGAAGAATGGCCATAAAAGGCATACTGTGGAGATAATCTTTCATTACGGCATAATCGCATTCAGCAACCAAGCCATCAAAGATGCCGAGTTTTGTGACAGGATGAATGAGAGTCTTGGTGGAAATGTTTTACAACCCAGTGATGCTGATGGAGAGCACCCAAGACTAGATATTTTGAATTGGGGATATTTCTTTCAAATGGATTTTTCCATTTCACATTGAGAAAAAGCAAACGATCATCAATTGGAAGATCAAAGAGGTGTTATGGATCAAAAAATGAGTAAAGCGCTATCACTTCTGAGCAGGATGATAGCAGACGTCAATCTGACACTGTCTTGATCCTCAAATTCGAGGCTTAATCTTGACTCTACGGACATTAGAAACCCGTTCATGAGCCATCGTTGTTTTGTGGTTATTTCTTGCACAGAGCCAATCAGTTGAACCCATTCTGGTCGAATCGTATAATCGATACACGACCGTTCCCATGTCCCATAATCAAAACACCATCTCGATAAGTCGCACATGTCGCATGATACTCAGGGGGTAGAAGGAGTATCTTTTCCGAACCGCGAAACACCCAAGGATTTCTCACGTAGATTCCAGGATCACGTTTTGAGTTTCCCGGAGTGATCAGACTGGGATATATCATTTCGATGCTTAATCGTCCCATCTTGGTGTCGAGATATTCGCCGTCCTCCGAAAAGGTTATTGGGTGTAAATAACATAAATCATGCGCCTCGCTCTCGTAAGAAACCAAAAGCTCCCCCGTGGCTGGATTCCAAAGTTGGATTATACGATGTTGGGATGTGGTTGCTAAGATCCTGCCATCGGGTGAAAATCTCGCAGCGTTTAGACCCCTGGGATGTTCCAACGTCCTAACCAGCTCTTCTGTATCAATGTCCCAAAGGGTCACTTTCCGGTCACCGCCTGTAAACGCTATCATCTTCCCATCCGAGGAAAATGTCATATCGATAACTCTACCTCCGTTGCCATCTAGAGCCTTGCAAAAATTTCCAGTTTTTGCGTTCCATAGATGTATTATGCCGTCTGCATATGTGACTGCTAGAATCATCCCATCTATACTGAAAGCTAAGCATTCTGTATGCCCTAAATAACCATTAATCCTCTGTACCAATTCTCCGGTATCTGCATCCCAAAGACAAATGGATGGATCTGGAGGGTCTGGGTTGAAATCCCTGCTGACACCTCCGAGTTGCAGGCTGTGGTTGACGCCGAAAGATGCAGATGCCAGAACTCTATTGTCTGATGAAAAAACCAATTTGCTAATTGCGCCTTCATGCCCCGTAAGAGTTCTAAGCAATTTACCTGTTTCGAAATCTAGTATCTCAATACTGCCCCTTGAGCCCGAGGCTGCTATGAGATTGCTACCAGTCGAAACAACCAATCTCAAGTACAATTGTTCACTCATATCGATAGTGCTGAGCAGGTTAGCGGTACTCACATCCCAAAGTATGACCGAACTGTATCCATCAAACGACACGGCTCGTCTAGAACTTGTATCGAGTGCGATTTCAAAGGCTGGCGTCGTGTGAGCATTAGATGAATGCTGGTTCTCCGTGAGGTCAAAATCCCACAATTGTATTCCTATCTCTGATGTCGATACTATAAAGTTACTGTCCGGGGAAAATAACACGTTGAGAAAGTCATTACGGTCGGCTACGATTTTCGCTAGCCTTCCTGACTTTGTCTCCCATAACTTTATCCCAGAGCTGCAGTAAAAACTTTTCCGGTACCGACCACTCGTGGATGTCAATAATTCCCCGTTCGGTGAGAATACTGGTGCAGTAAAGCCGCCGTTAATCTTCCAGACCATAGCCCCAGTGTCCACGTTCCAGAGACGAAGGCTTGTGTCTTTACCTGTTGATGCCAGAAGCGAACTGTCGGGTGAAAATGCGAGGAATCGAGTTTCTTTAGTCGTACATTCAATCTTTACCAGAAGGGCTCCAGTGTCCGCATTCCAAAGATTGATGGTCTTGTCCATGGCCGCAGAGGCCAGTATTTGCCCATTTGGGGAAAATGCCACATTGCTCACCCCATTATGATGCTCTCCCAGGGATCGTCTCAAGTCAGCAGTGGTAGTGTCCCAAAAACGAATTGTGCCATCCTCAGATGCTGATACCAAAACAGCACCGTCGGGAGAAAATTCTAATGCCACAATTTCACCTGAGTGCGCTCTGTCTGGTTTGATATACTTTCCACCAATCATATCTATGATAGTGATAAATCTGTAACGTGATTCTACAACTGCTGCCATATTGCGACTTTTTGAAAACACTGCAATTGACGCGGATTGGCAATCCGTGCTGAGTTCGAGTACTAAGAGGCCTGTTGTGACATCCCATGTTTTGATCGTCCCCCTACGAGTTACCGAGATCAGTGTCCTACCATTGGGCGAGAATGCCACACTCATACTTTGATCCCAAGACTCCAGATGTTTCACCAGCGTCCCGGTCAAAGTATCCCAAATACAGCCAGTGGACGCTGCCAGCTTTCCATCAGGCGATAAGGCCATATCATCAAACGTAGGAGGCCCTAGGGTTTGAAGCAAATTATCCCAGTGAGGGTCTGTTGTCGGTATTTGATCTAGCCATTTTGGGATATAATCCTGGAATAGCTTGCCAACCACACTCCCTTCTGGGCTAAATACGAGGGCTGAATGATATATCTGCAAAGGACTTGATTCCATTACTGATCTGAACTTGAGCACAAATCGTCGAGCATCCTGGACCAAGAACTTTAGTTCAATCCTACCTTCCGCCTTCAGAGTGAGAGTCAGCTATAGTCAATATAAATTGGGAGCATGATACGTATACGCACTGGGGGGGTAGCGAGATATTCGGATAGTACGAGAATATCCCGGACTCCTTCGTCCATCCTACCGAGTAGAGAGAGAGCTTCGAGCCAGTGAAGGAGATGGGTTCGGAGGAATTGGTGTACTTTTCCGTTGTCAATAGGTTGCACGCCGCTGTGTCGAAGGTGGTGTAACCAATGGCGACATGCATACTGCAGGTGGGTAGGAATGTGTTGACTGATTCGCGACTGCTCAATGTCGGACAATTCCATGGCTGGGCTTAGCAGGTAACAAAGATCATACCGAAGCATGGTTGACATGACTTTCATAGAGTTTTGAAAGATAGTTTCATGCGCTGTAGTCTCTGATATACAAAATTTGTCATCGAGACATCTCTGATTGTCAATGAGAAAGTCCCGAAAGGACAGATGAAGCAGCTGAACCGTTTCGCTGCTCTTATCAGGTACTGCCAGCACCGAATGCAGGCCTTTCAGCGTCTCCTCTACGCTCGACAGCGGTGTACCGACCAATGCCGAGAGAGATTGTGGCGACAAAGGCTCATACAAGACAACTATAGATCCCACAATTTGTTTGAACAAGCTCGATATTTCGGCCTTTTCCTCTTCAATAGCATCTCCAAGCACAGAGAACTGCAATATGCTGGTATATATTGCGTCTAAACTTTTCTGTGGTGAATCACCGGTCACTTTATTGTCAAAGATCATTTTCAAACGCAGGTCTAAGCGAGACCTCGTTAAGCTGGACCCATCGAGAAATCGGCAGGCTGTAGCAGCATAAATGAAAAGGCCGTCTGCCTTTGTTGCGAGCTTATGGAGGTTGGTTTGTCCTGGCCAATCTTCGGCGATTTGATTCTTCTGCTGTATAGTTGCCAGCTCATGCTTCAAAAATCGTGTAATGTCGTTTTGAACATTTTCTGCCCAGCCAGAGACGGTCACTTTATTCAATACAGTCCCATGAATGAGATCAGGCGACAACCCCCGAAAACAAGACCTGATATGCGCCTCTGGCCTACTGGTGAGGAAAAACCGAATCTTTATAGTTTGAAGGTCTTTGACGCGGCTCATCAATTGAAGGATTAGACTCAAATCACTGTCAGGTTTGCATTCATCCAGTGCATCGATCACAATTACCAGAGTGCTTGAGCATAAGATTCGAGTTTCGAGTTCGAGGAGAGGTTTAAATATTAAATATTTCCACTGGTTTTCTGGTAACTCATCTCCGATCCTAGGATTATTATATATGGCATCGCAGACAAGAGCCTTCAGATCAGGCATCACCTCGGCCAAGGACCACGCCAGAGTTGTGAAAAATCGCTTGGCATTATTCCTTCGAGGTTCATATTGGTTGAAGAAGAAGCTTGCACCAAGGCATAGATTGTTAGGCAAAGGCTCTCCGGTGACGAGTCGCGTCCTGTTGTGAGATGAAGCCGCAAATGTGCGCGAAATCGTAGATTTACCAGTACCGGCCATTCCTCGTAGCCAGAATATACGACACCCATCTGGATCTTCCATCCACTCTTGGATTTCAGTGAGGATATCCACCTGCGTCTCTGCTAGACATCGGCGTTTCCCCCGGTCTTCGAAAGAATTGAAAACCGCACCCTCGGCGTACGGTAACTTCTCAAGTAATTGCAATTGCTTGGATGCCTTAAAATGCTTAGCAAGTTTGTAGAATAATTTCCTTAAGGATGGAACGGTAAACAGGCCCAGAGCGGGAGAAAAGGGAGCAGATAGAGGGTACGTACTTTAGCCTCATCTCTAGCCTCAGTTATTAGGTCCAATGATGTACCCATCTGCCTCTGCAGGTTCTCGAGCTTGTTGTCAATCGTTTTCAAGGCATGACCGCCGAGAAACTCTAAATCGTCTTTTATGTTTTGATCAATCTCGGTGATGGATTGAAGCATATCTTTCCAATTATCAACTGCAACCGAGTCCTTCAGGAATCGAAACGATGACGAATGTGAATATTGTTTTGCCAGTCGCATTTGATACTTTAGAACTTCTTTATACAGGTTGATGGTTTTAGCCTTCAAAGATGCATGGATCTCTTCCAGTGGATTCATTGGTCTAAACTGTCAATTTCTCTTGTACTTTATGACGAAAGGGCCCCTACCTCGAGTTCGGATTTGTCGACGTATAAACCTCGACATGAGTGGATTCTAGGAGCCTATAACGGATAAGTAGACCTAAAATCTGCTCGAAGCCGTCGATGGCATCTTCCTCTTGAATAATAGCTCTCAACACAGGCTGCAAATATTCAACTTAACACTAGTGCCCTCTAATTTTATGCGATCAAGAAACATGGTAGATAGACTCACGTTGAGTAGCATCAAAATCCCACCCCACGCCAGCGCTGCATGTGGTTCTGAGCTCACAGCAGATGATATAGCATCTTTGAAAGAGAGAATAGCGTGTATTATCCGACGGGCCTGGTCTTTCACCACAATGTCTCGTCCACCGACCGTCACTCGCAACCGTGTCTCTTGTATATCGGCTAGTCTTTGCTCTATAATGTGCTGTAGTTGTGTTTCATGACCGTTGTCGAATACATCCCTGGTATGTTGGCCTCCGGGCTGTCCCTTGCCCTGGGTAAGTAAATTCTCTTCATACGCGACAATCAGCTTCTCGTCTTCTTCACGTAGTTGTTTATATGCTTCGTTCCAAAGATCTCCCAGTTGGAAGCTCTGTGGATCAGTGTTGTGAATCAACGGTGGTTCAGGTTTTGCAGTTTTGATCTGGAGATCAGCCGCTTTCAGGTCCCCATATGAATGGTCATTCTCATTCGTTGTTTCCTTTCCTTCAGAACTCGCGAGAAAACGCTTGAAACGAGCACGGAGCGGCATGACTTTTTTTGAGGCATGAATATCACAGTGAATCCTCTTGTTACCTATTTTCAGGTCGGTTACAAGATTGAATAAGCAAGAAGGACTACTAGTTTGATATCACAAGGCTGGCGCGTGGAAGAGGGGTATCCGTTTTGTCATGCATAGCCTCCCAGGTCTTAGCCAATAAATTGCGATTGAACACATCTTGCCCAACCTGACTATAGGTCATACGTAGCAGGAAGAACACATATATCCATCATCTTCCAAGGTTCGATAGAACTTTTTAATTGAGGTGCAGATGGTCATAATAAAATATGGGCATAATTTTAACCTTGAGAGAGATACGCCGCCAGTCACATACCATTATTTACGGCATTTAGTCAATGACTGGCCTATGGCTGGCTGTACACAATCTTTCGCAGCAAGCTGTGACCTCGCTCCGCTCGGCCTTACAGCTTCCCTTCGAATATGGCATCGTAGTTATGTCCCATACGTACACCCTGGTCAGCAGAAAGGACAAACAAATGACAACGCGCCACGTCCTGTGGAAATAAGGCTGGGAGACTCATCAACAGGTTTATCTAATTGACTACCCCGCGCCTCTGATATTGCCGTAAGTTTTGCAACAACTACCACCAAACACCAAAAATTTCCCCTTGTGAGAAAATCTTCAACGAAAGGGGGAAATGGACCATTTGCCTGCTGTCAGTCGACGTTCTGAAGCCATTCCCTACCTGGGCAAGGAAGGCTACGAGTACAGCCACGAAGGCTTTTATTTATTCCCCGATAAACACGGACAAAGTATTCGTGCGCTGTTACGCGGCGACGCTCCTCGCCTCCTTTCACAACGAGCGCGAGAGTCTTTTTTTCAGGCTTGGCTTTATTTTGGTTTACTCGATGAATTTGCCAAGATAGACGGAGGAGTCTGTGTTGAGAACTTTTATGATAATGATGAGTTATCAGGAGCGATTTTCCACACAACATCACTTCTCGAGTATCTACAAGACTGGTTGCACGGTACCAAATACTTGCAAGAGTCGGTAGCAAGGCCGCGACAAATGAGAGCCGCCATTGTTTTGAAAGATGCGAGAATGATCATATGTGAGCGCATTGCCAACGCTGCTCCTGGATCTGGATGGTGGATTAATCCATTGTTGGCAACATCGTTTATGATCCTAGGAGAAACGTTATCGTGGGCATTGCAGCAGCTCGAGATTTCTGTTGGTGGTGCCCCTATAATTGGCTGGACGGGCCATTTCGATAATGGCGGCTGGGGTCCAAGTTCGTTCGTGTTAGCACGCCTCCGCGAACAAGGATGGTGCCCCTATTCTATATCCATGCTACGGGGAATGCTGAAAGACAATGTCTCTGGTCTATATTATGCAACCACGTATCCCACCTCTCCTGACCAGAGGCTGGGCTTAGACCATAGCCACTGCACTGACAAGTTTTGCTCAGCAAGGATCCCATCAGCAGGCGCGTATCGGATGAGGCATGTTACGACAGACTGTACATGTTCTTTTATTGAGCCAGACGTTACCGATGTTGTGCGTGTCCTTGACTCTGACCAAATTCCGGTTTTGTGCTACATGGGCTCTTTTGAGTCTGGAACTGCAAGGCTTCAAGTTCAGCCGTTCAAGCAGGGGATGAAGTACATCGTTGTCAGCCACGTTTGGGCTGACGGACTTGGAAATCCGGACGGAAATGGAATGGTGACCTGCCAGATCCAACGACTCACTCAACTAGCAGGCGAGCTCTTACAGATGGCGCATAGTACCGTTTTTTTCTGGATTGATACTTTGCTTATACCAGTCGGTCCACATCTCAAAGAGGCGCGCAAGAGGGCAATACGAAAAATGCACGAAGTTTACAGCAGAGCATATAAAACGATTGTGCTAGACGGCGATTTGATGGAGCACCGTGTGGGCCAAGACTACGTTGAAACAGCCATGCGAATCACCATCAGCGGGTGGATGCAGCGTCTATGGACCTTGCAGGAAGGAGTAATGAGTAGATCCATATATTTCTTATTTCAAAACGGACTTCAAGACATCGAGGACCTAGATATCAATTATCCTACCGCTGCGGCCAGATCGAGCGTGGCGGGKGCTGCACGAGCATTTTACAGCAATCTACTCCGCCCACATAATCTTGTTGATCATGTCGACACAAAACGCATCGGTGCAATGTGGAAAGCAATGCAGTGGCGCCAAACGTCGAAACCCAGCGACGAAACAATGGCAATTGCCAGGATTTTGGATGTCGACCCCATGGAGCTCGTCGATCGCAACGACGAAGAGAAAATGACAGTTTTACTGCGATGTTTGCCCGAGATTCCCCCGGCGTTTATTTTCCTTCCAGGAAAGAGACTAAACATCAAGGGCTTCCGGTGGGCCCCAGCGACGTGGATGGGTGGTTGGAAAATTGACTTTCCAGACCCTCTTGGTCTTTCAAGCAAGCCGATGATATTCCCGCGAGGATATGATATCGTACACGCACCGAGTGTCTTGACCGAAGGTGGATTTATGGTTCGATATCCAGGCTATCGCCTTCAGACAACCAGCTTAATAGGCGCTACTGAATCTTTCAGAGATGATCCTATTTCCACATCCAGGTTATGCAGCTTTCGCAGCTTCGTATTTCCGTCAAGTGATTCTCTGCATGAATGGTATCAAGTTACCCCTGTATCCAGCAATGAAGCTGAAGATTACTTCCACAAACTCAACAATCGTCTGATGGACGAATGTCTTGATCTGCTTGAAGATTTCCCCCATTTCTCAAATGGTAGAACCAAGCTTGAAAAGGCGCGGGACCTGGGGGATCATTCCCTGGACACGGTAGGGCTAGCGATCATACTTTGTAGGCCAAATCCAGGTGTAACTCCGGAAATTGCGCTCCTGGTTGAAACAGATAAGCTTCCAGACCCCCTTGGCAAGCTGGGGCCAAAGGAGGTCGCTTCGCAAAACACTGCGATAAAGTGTAGTTCAGTAATGCGGGTGTGGATCAGATTGTTAACACATCAAGACCATGCACAACTTGATCAGTTAAAAGAAGCGTTCAGAGTAACTCCCCGTGAAGTTCCATTTTTGGGCGAGGAAATAAAAGAAGACCAGCTCTGGGTTATCGATTAGGATGGAGCTTTGGATTATGGTTGATGATTATATGATAATATCTATACTTATACAATCGCTCGTATGCAAATCAGATGTCACCATCAATCATTAATCATTATAGCAGTATCAGACTCTGATATTAATAGTAGGAGAGTGATCATACAGTCTTAGGCCGACGACACAGCGGCTCATACGTCCCATTTTGCTTATGCCTTAGGTCAAGTATACGCGACTTACGGCTAGACCTCTACAAATCTCATGAAACCATGCCCATGGGACTGGCCCAACCTCGGGGATACGTGTTTTGTAGCCCAAAGCCTTTCCTGTGCTGCAAACCAATGTGATATCATGTTTTAGCGCCGGTCTCCCTGGCTCAACAACACCCTCCACTTAGCCCCGCACCACATTCATGTATAAAAAAAAAAGTACTTTGCAGCCTAGTCCCATCACCTAAAGTTGTTATATCATCTCCTTCCAAAATTGGTGTGGTTGGTATGAAGTGCCGAGATGGATCCATTCTCCCGTATCCCAGTTGAAGCCAGACAAGTTATCCTGGAACAACAACTCAATCTACGAGATTTGCAGGCTGCCATTTTGGCATCCAGACCCCTGTATCTCGCCTATGGCAATTCTCGCAAGCTCATCCGCCAGAGAGTCTTCCGGGTCCAGATCCTCTGCGGTTATCTCCCAGCTAATAACGACGCCGCTATCTTTACCCGAGCTCTCCGTCAAATTGAGATACTGGAGAAAAAGAACTCAAACGATGGTATCATCCTACGGGAATCGTTATGGCCACTCTTAATTACTATGAACCCGGAAAGAAAGTTCTTGGAAATCTTGGTTACATGGTCTCTCAATTATGCAAAAGCTTATCGGGCCTCTTCTCGCGAGAAAGAGGCCAGGCACATCGAGGTACAGGTTGTGCAACTGTTCTATCTCCACCGGGCCCCTATTGAATCCGGCACTATCTTTGGCTCACATGAAGGACACCTAATAGTTAACTGGATCCGCACTACAATGACTACCGCTGTCCAGCATCAGCACTATGCGTATGGAGCGGTTCTCTATAGCCAAATATGCGACAGCTGGGATCTTATGTGCCATCAAACATTGCCTGATTTGCTTACGGTGCCTCTATCGCTTTGTTCAAATGATGGGAATTCGTTTGTAGCGAAGAACTTTCTCGGAACTGTCATATCTAGGAGCTGGTCATTGTTCTGGCACAGTAGAAGCACCAGCCGCCATGCAGGTGACATGCTTTGCTATCATTGCCTGGGTGGAGCGAAAGGCCTATTGGCCGCTACTAGATTAGCTCATGTTAGTGCCGAGGAGACTCTCTCCTCCATCGAGAAGATATGGAACGAAATGTCTCCGCGAAGTCCGGCAGCAAGCTTCTGGGCCAACTTGGTTGTGGAAAGCCACCAGTCACTGGGAGCTGGTAGGTTGGAGGGAGTTTTGAAGATCTGGAATAGACTCCGTGAGATTATCCCCAGTGATCCAACCGAGTTCGAAATAATAGACCTTGACTGGGCACGAAAAGTAATTTTGGAATTACGAAACCTGGAGAGAGGCAGGACTCAAGACCGGAGCTTGGAGTTCCAGGCGTCGGTGCTGGCTCTTCTGAGCCGGGGAAGTCCAGTGTATTACGCTTTTGCAAGAAATTTGGCTGATACCTATGTTCTAAATGGGGATACGAAGTCCGCCCTAACGCTCCGACAGCAGATATGGCAAGACCTGCAACCGACATCACGTATTTACACTTCATGGGCGCGAGAATTGGCCGGTCTCTATCGCAGATTTGGCCGTGAGGAGGAAGCGATACAATTGACGAGAGGCATGGAAGAAAGAAGGGTAGGAAACGTCAATATAACTGTTTGAAATGGCGTTTCCAATTGTCTACCACTGAGCTTTCGCGAAAATCGAGAAACATGTTGCAGAGTCAACATTACTGACAATGACTGAGCGAATTTTGCCGTCCACTACAGGATCAACGCGCAAAATGATACCTTCTAGTTGTTCCCAAGCACAGGCACATTGGCTGGCTACGCTACTACTGGATGTCTAGCTTAAATCCACCAGCACATCCACTCTGGAAAAGGCCAGTTGGGTCATACTTATGGCTCSCCTCTCGCATGAGCTTCAAGTTTTCTTCGCCGCATCCTTCATACGGCCGCTGCCACTCCATGCAGTAATTAATGAAGCGGTACTGATGACCCGTCTTCCTCGCTTCTGCGGCCGCCTCTATCCTTTCTAAGCTGTGGCGGATAGTCGATCGAACCAAATCGTCGTCTTCGGCTTTGATCCATGATGCAGAGTAATTGATGATGATCAACGGCTCAGTACAATTTTCAAGGCCGAGGATATTTGGGTCTCCCTTGTTCATCCATTCTGGCAAGATTGCCTGGAAGACAAACGGAAGTACAAGGCCTTTTACACTGCGTAGTTCAGTTGCAGTCTCAGAGAAAATAGCGTACGCATTCTTCATAGTTTCGAGATCATTACGGATGGTCGTCGTGCCCTGTACGTGACGGGTTCCAGCCGATGCAAAACCACCAAATCTTTCGACAACGCTGGTGTTGGTCTCTACTCGGTCTTTACGAATGCCTCGTAGTGATTTGAAGCCCGTCGCGTCCCAGTGAGCCGGCCACTTCTTGTCCTCTGGGACCTTGGTATGCAGAATCGAAAGTGAGGTGATCTGAAAGCCAAGTTTTTGAATATAGACAAAACTGAGGATTGGACCAGCAGCGTCTTCATCAAATGCACCAGGCTTACCAGAACTCGTGTGAGTAAGGTAGTCATGATAGGCTTTGAGCGACTTTGCATACTGGAAGGCGGCCAGTGTCACTATTCCTGAAGTCCATAAAGGCGCACAAGGGAAGCTGCGGAGTGTGAAACGAGTCACTATGCCGAAGTTGTTTCCGCCTCCTTTCAACACCCTCCATAAATCAGAATTTTCTGAGGCAGAAGCTGTAACAACTTTGCCGTCGGCGAGCAGAACCTCATAGCTCACGCAGTTGGAGCAGACAAAGCCGTGTTTGGGCGAATAGAACGATATGCCTCCTTCATTCCGTATCATTAGTATTTGTTGACTTATTTCAAAATCTGCCCGTAAAACTGAGATCGAACTCGAAGAATGTTACCTTGCAAGGTCAAGCCACCTACACCAACGGGTGCATTTCTTCCTCCCATCACAATTAGTCCTTTCTCGTCTAGAGTTTTATAAACGTCTATCCACTTCGAACCGGTTCCAAGAGTTACAGTAGATCCATCAGGAGCGGGCGTAATTTCAGTAAACAAACTGAGGTCAACTACAGCGCCATTTTGCACGGTCGACGCCCCAAGACCCGGATTGACGCCTCCACTTCTAACCGAAAAGAAACTCTCGACCTGTGACCCAGCCAGCTTGCGTCTATCATGCTCCTTCTTCAAAATTGCAATAATCTTGCTGAGCTCATGCGTGTCGCGCGGGCGCAGGACGCACGCCGGGATGATCTCGCGGTTCTGCTGGGTCCAGCTATAATCTACAGCCTTTTGGAAAGTATCGATATCGCTATGGAGAATGATGCAGTCGGGAACTGCCGCAAGTAGTTCCTGGATGTATTGAGGGAGCAGCTCAGGTGGTGTGTTTGCCAGCGAATGCGGCTTTGGTGGTGCAGCAGGCTGCTGCTCCTTCACGGTCTTCTTTCGACGTAGTATGAGGATGGTAATAAGTAAGACCGAACCGGCTACCACGTAAGTGGAAATTTGCTGCGAAGCCATTATAATATTGGTGGTGTTAGATGCGCAAGCAAAGATTCTGGACCACGCATCCGCCTTATGACTAAGTCCGAGCGCAGCGTATCAACTCACGTCACAAGACTATTGATAGCAGAAGGTGTGTATAAACTGGTGCGACTAGATCAGATTCTTGAAGTCTCCGTTGGCGGAGTTTTGCTTCTTGATTCTCATTTTTGTGAGATGAACACAGGGAGAGATGATGGATGCAAAAGCGAGTTGGTATAGAAGGCAACCACTTTGTACCATTATTGTAGGTGCAGGGATTAACGGCCAATCATTTTGGAGATGCAGCACAGCACCTTCGGGAACGGAAATAGGCTCAATAGTCTTGACAGTTGAATAAACCGATATAATAGCGACACAGCCAGCCTAATAGGGTTCTTAAATGCGATTATCCTTGCGCAGCGTGCTGTGTACTGACCGGTCGATGGTGAGTTTAGGGTGAACCATTTAAAGCAAGAGTCAGTTGTCGTGGTGGATCGCGCAGTCATCTTGCTGCAACATCCCATAGAGTATGGGTGGTTTGAAGGTTCCCGGCCAAATATTACAACGACCCATTGCTATGCCTGATATCCGATACGATAAAAAAAACATGAAGAAAGATAAACGGGAGCAACAGTTTGGACATAAACGAGACTAAGGCTCCAAGGCAGCTCTCAGGCACCAACTGACTGCATGATGACCCTAACCCTAATTGATGCCCCGCACGGCCCGAACCGGTCAAGCATCGAAGAGATCCATGGTACCGGTACAATATTATCTTTCTTGTGATGACATATTTAATCGATATGCCTAGTTGACTCATCGCTGTCTACTATCTAGTATCACCGGTCTGAACTTCTTTTGAGATCGCAGGGCGGTTGATTGTTCAGCTATATACCGGCAGACGCCGCGCAGCCAATCAGACTTGCCGTGTAACTACATAGTAGCATCACACGACTACCACCCAAGGCATATCTTTTCCATTTTTTGACGTGTCCTTATTGATAATCATCGATATCTGAAGAGGCTCTGCGATCGATAAAGGAATATTATTTAACATCCAGTAGAAGGACGAAGTTCTACATGTCCTGTTCATTTCCGCAAGTATTGTTACTCGACTAGCCTCATCTCCTCTATTGTCCAGTGTCCACCCAAATGCTTAGCACCGAGTGATAAGGCTTAAATCTCCGATTATCCATACCATACACACCCAACCCTCAGAACACATTCATTCGAAAGGATCAGAAGAGGTTTTGAAAATGCTCTTTCGAAGCTCCACCAACACAACCACTACTACTAAATCCTCCGAACAAGCCACCAACAAAGCAGTTGCCCAAAACACGACGAAGAGCTATTTGACCAGACCAGTTCTCCAAGCGCTACTCGAAAAACTGTTTCCAGACCAGACGGATTTTAATATCGAAGTACGTAAAGCATCAACCCTATCCCCTAAAACGCGCCTTCCAAGGTTGAAAGTGGATGCTGACCGTGGTCATTGTGGCGGGGGTAGATGAGAGATGATCAGTGGCATTTCACGGCCCCGCGGGTGGTTGAGGATGTATGTCCCCCTCTACGTATAAACCTTACTGCTTGTATAATTGGGCTAATGATCGCGTGTGATAGTATGAGCTCGAGTAAGTAGCATTCATTTATCAGGCGGACTAGGTGGATGATCATTTGTTAATCATTTAATCGTTTACGTACAGTTCCGTTCGCCAGCAATGATTTATTCGGTGATCATGGAGTACGACTTGTGGAGGCTGAGCAGGCTACACCTGCGGCAAATGGTCTGATCTGAGACCAACATAGCCCTGGAGGGAATCGCCTTAGGCACAGGAGATTAGCCTTGGCTGATTTTGGGAGGCTGGTCTGGCCCGTTCTTATTTTTTTTTTTTTTTTTCTAACTCTCATCAAATGGCGTTTAGGTGCATCGCGAATTTTCTGATTTTATTGTTGTAAATAAATAAATTGACTCCCATTTCATCTCGATTATTGCATCGCATCTTATCTATCGATCTACTGATCGGTGGCTGACACCTCTTATTATATTTAACATGAGTCAACGTAATAATTGCTTCACGGACAAAGCGCTCGTTGAGTCGGTTGAGGTTTTAGACGTTGTCGCTTCACCACCATCGCAACAAGCGCCAGCAGAACAACAGCAAAAGACAAAATCCTCAAATTTCAAAGACAATTCAAGTCTAACTACTCATCTCACTTCTCCCAATAACAATTATACATCGCGCTATATGTTTGTCGCACTCCCCTCTATCGCAAAGCCTAACTAACGAGAAGAAAGATCAATATGTCAACGCAACTCCTTCCAACCCCTCCAACTCACACCGGAAATGCTGCAAAGCATCATCGATGCTCACAGTATTGCAAATGGAGATATGTTATGGGACTTGAGCTCCGTATTCTACACGCGCAATCTAAAAACCGAGATGGTCTTTTGCATTCCGTTTACGCAGATTGAGGATGGAGATTTCATTGGTACGTATATACATGAGCAATTTCCAAAAAGAAAAAGGTGAAGCTAAGAAAGATAGAAATGGCATATACTATTCGATACCCGGAATACAAACCGTCCGATGAAGAATGGACAATACGTCAGAGCGGGATATATCACCGTTTGAATCCCAAGACGAAGCAGAGTTTGTACATTGTGTTTAATCCAACGCCAAACTCGAAACTCCATCAGGCATTGCTATCCACGCTCCAATTTGCTGACAGCAAGAGATCATCGTTCTGGCTGCATCAGACCCTCTTCGCGACGTATGTACCAGCATGGAGACATTACATCGCATCACTCGAACGACGATTTTTGCCAATCGCAAACACGGCTTCTGCGACGTATATCAATGAAGAGTTGCGAATTGGGCATGAACACCTAAGTTCGTTGATTAGTATCCAGAAAGACTTTTTGCAAATTCCGACGATATTGGATGCGGCGATGGATGTGCTTACTGCATTGAGTCCGCTCATTTACCCAGTATCAGAGACTCAAGAGACTCAAAAGTTGAAGAATATTCAGCGGCAATGCGAGACATATTCCCGCACAGCGACGCATTTACAACAGCGAGTGCAGATAACGGCGCAGTTGCTGGCGGATACACTCCTGTTTCGAGACCAGGTGCTCGCCAATGAACAGAATGGGAATATGTTGCAACTAAACAGATCAGCTGTCTTTCTGACGACGCTGACTTTGCTGTATTTGCCTGCTTCTTTCCTCACTGTAAGTCCTCCCGTGATCAATACCATCACGAATCGACTAACGTGACAAGTCCTTCTTCGGAATGAACTTCTTCGCCATGGACCAAACAGACAAAACAATCATCGGAACGCCCATGATCTGGATCTTCGTTGTGAGCACCATCCTGCTGACGGTAGTCACGTTCATAATGTACAACTGGCTTTCCAGCCACGAGGCATTCTTCCGCACAATGGCGCCTAAGAAGTGGATGCCGGCTGATCTGAATATACGAAAATTGACGCGGAGGTTTACGGCGACCAAAATGACTGATAGAGCGACTGGTGTTTGATTTTCTTTCTCTCACTCTTTTCTTAAATTAAGTTTAAGCCGCCGTTGAAGAATCCGGTAGCGAAATACGATATATCCAGCGTCGACTTGCGTTTGTAAGCGCCGCTATTAGAATATAGTCACCTCCTTGTTTGGAGGAGCTTGATGAAAGAACCATCGTAGTTTCATCATCTTGCGATAGATCTGGTAGAGACACCAGTTCTGTAACGCTAACCTTGTCTACATCATACTGCGGGACGGTCATTTCTAGTAGAAAGACCCGATTGGTACCTGCCGGTGTACCCAGAGCGAAAATCTTTCTGTCGTTACAGTCCATGACCAACTTCAAGACGCGGTAATTTTGAATCGTTGTTTCAAGGGCAATACTTCCACGATCTGCAACGTTCTTGATAAAGAGCTGTTTTCCCCGCGCTATGAATGCGCAGGTCGATTGTTGTTGGCGGAAGGTTGTGAAGGCTGTAAACAGACCTAATGTGTTAACGGGGTCGAGTCCTTGCGCTCTGAAAAACACAGTCTGTGAAAGTCTTGGCCTGGTTTTGAGTGATAGATGAATGATGGGAATTTCGTTCTCACGACTGCGTGCCGTAATCTGCGGCTGGACGATCAAATATACCTCGTCATGCGTTGGGAATGATATATAAGTGATATCACTTGCTGGCCAGTCGAGTTTCAATGTTGTTGAATCATGGGGCAGGCCTCGTCTTGATAGACTGCCTTCACTTTCGGAGGATCCCTGTGTTGACGGAGTCAATCTGACTCGTGTTAGCAACGAACCGTAAGCTTGGAAGAATACGTACTGTCTCGGTGCTTCTTGAATCAGCTCTTCGATAGGAACGAGAAATGCAGAGCCGCACTCTTGTCCCTCTTCTTTGCTCTGCATGACACATGCCAGCATCTTGCTGTCAGGAGAAATAGCAAGTCGACTGATTTCCGGTAGTGGTAAAGTACTTCGGTATCGGCGCTCAAACACCAGATCATATATATAACACTACTCAAAAGGTTCCTTAGTACAAGACTTCCACCTACCTAGGTACCTATGGGGGCGTGAAAATGCTCACCTGAAAAACAGCACCTGTCGTAGAAGCTATCAGAAACCTATCCGTCAAAGCAACAGACTTCCAAATACAATCAGTCAAGCTTAAAGCATATTCAGCAGCTGGCAGTGCAATTGGTGTTTCTGCAAAGTTCATTTTCGGCGGAACGGAAAGCTCGTTGTATACATAGATCTTGGTATCATTCCAGTACGCTACTAGATTCCCCTTGGGCGATATTTCGCAGCCTTTTAGACCTATGGCTGCCGACAACTTCCAGGATTCAACCTGCCAATTTGAGAAAGGGGAGTTTCTGCTGCGAGTTCTACATAATTAGCTTTTGCTACTTGATCCCAAGTGGTCTGACATACCGTCTATGGCGAATTCTGTCCATCAAATTGTGGTGTCCTTGTGGATGGTTCTCAACAGGTGGCATACTCTTGAAATAAGTGTACGTTTGAGACAGTTTCTCCTTGACTTTTTTCACCCCGTCTCTTCCCCCTTGATCCAGCACAAGGACTCTTTGCTCCAAATAACTCAACATAGACTGGACTGCATGCATTTCCTCGGCTTGTCTTTGAGATGCTTGTTTGACGAGCCGTGCATGCGTCTTCTTCACCTCTGGATGGTCGTGGTTCGGCTGGAAGCTTCGACCACGGACAAAAAACCGATCGTATCCATCCGAGTCTGCATGTTTGAGTCTTCTCATCTGATAATTCTCAACACCCTCCCCACCCTCTTCTAAATATACAAAGACGACGCTCAGTACACAGCCCAGAGCCCAGACATCACTGGCTGTTGTCATTGTCCGCGTCGATGTCAACGATTCAGGAGGGAGATAGGTGCCCTCCCCATGCCGATTTCGAGTCCCCGAGGGAGACCGTTCTGATTCTGGTTTTATTCGGTGCTTGAAAGCGCTGTTGAAATCCATTTCTTCCCGTTCAACAGTCTGGCCACGCTTTCGATATTTGACTCGAGCCATACCGAAATCACTCAATTTCCACACAAATCGTGTTCCACCATCATAGGCGGTATCACGGAAAATCAAGATGTTAGAAGGTTTCAGATCCATATGATAGCACACCATATCCTGTTGATCCGGCCCCGTCATCTCATTGTGAAGAAAATCCAATCCCTCAGCAAGTCCCTTCGCCGCTAATACTATCGGTGCCTTTTCGTCCACAGTGCTGCGTCGGGTAGGATGATATTTCGTCATGTAATCGCTAAGATCGCAAATCGCACACGGCATGAAAAGACTATATCCATCGGTGCCGATACGAAGACTTCCGAAATTACCCAAAATATTCTCGCATTTCCGGGTTGATCCCTTGAGAATTTTCTCCATCATATTGCGCTCCTTTTCACCGTCGAACTGCGCGGTAGTAATGTAATCCTTACGAGCAACGTCCATAGTCATAGCGTTCAAGGTTCCATGTCGCGTATCTTTGAAATGGCCCTTGGCTATTTTCACTTTGAACACCTTGCCAAAGGAGCCGCTGCCCAGTTCCTCCTCTTCTAGGTATGGTAGACGCTGCGAAGCAAGACTCTCGACGATGACCTCTTGTCTGTTCCGAATGACCACTGTGCTGAAACATGCCTGCGAGCTGCAGAATTGGTCAACAATGACGTCGTCCTTGAACAGGTGCAAGAGATCACCGCGGGAGGCTGGCAGTACATGAATATCGTTTCCGGTGACCCTGCCTTTCAAGGGCCATTCATTCCTAGCTACAAGCTTTTTGGTAAATCTTCTCGCAGCTTCAATTCCGCATGAGGCAAACAGTAAAACTGCAAGAAAATCATGAAGTTCTCGATCCTCTACCCTTTTGACAAGCTCATCCTCGGTAAGTCCAAATTGTTCTGCAGCTGTGTGATGTGCGACAAGTAGACTTTGAAACAGTCGCGTCAACAGATCGCTATGGAGCACTCGCTCAGCTGTCCCATTTGTAGCAAATCTTAAACTTGGGTCGTCTTTTCTCTCGAGTTTGTTTAACAGTTGAGAGTATACTTGCTTGCAAAGGGCGTCGAATGTCTCGGAAGCCATGCCTGGCAAGCATGCGAATGGATGTTTGTAAGTATACTTTGTCGTCGCATTACTCTCTATCTTACATCAAGAGCACATTTAACTATACTTGGGCACGGTGACGAGTTTATAGATCATCGTATCAGTGCATGGCATGAAATGAGGCTGAGAACGAAGTCCGAGCTGGGCACATGAAAGCGAGGGACAATGTGGCGCAGCTCCAGCCACAGCAAGTGAGGCTGCCATTTCGGAGATGCTTTTAGCGCTCTACGCTATGGCCGCTAGCTTTTATAGTGGCTTGCAGTAATTGACGTGACAATCTGAGAGAAATGTTGTGCTACGTGTCCGACAGGCTGAGAAAATAGGGCTGTGCCAATATGATGTCCGCCAAGATAGGAGATGGAGACCTTCGAAATCTTAGATCTGACATGAGAGTCTTCGATTGTAGTTTGGTTGATATTGTGCCCATACCTGTCATCGCGGGAATCTCCTAATATATATTTCGGTGGAAGCGGTTGTGATAAACCGACTATACCTTAAGTGCTACGTGCACTGTAGACAGTGGTCACTATGTACGAAGCTAGAATTACGAAGCTAAAATTGGGAAATTGAAATGTTGAAACTGCCTAAGCACACAAGATCTGTTTATTGACAATCCATCACTTGAATAAAAACAAGAGCCAAGAGACAATTCGTAATTCTTGCATACCTAGCCATCCGCAACATTGCTCTCCAGATGCTGTATCCTAGAACAAAGCCAATTTTTAAACCCACAAGCCCCAATCTGCGACCAGTCGGTGGTAAGCCAGAGCTGGAAACAATCAAGGCCTATATGCTAGCACCTTTGAAAGTCAGGACCAAAAGGTACCAGTTGGACCAACGAATGAAGTAAGTGGCTACGGCTAACTTTCCCGTGTCGGAGTCCAAAGCAAGAGGGGACTCTAGACCCTGCAGGCTACAGTGTACTAAGATCGATCGGCCAGCCCTGGCATATCGATGAGCCCCATGGATGCAGGACCGTGCCTGTTTGCTACGTGGTTTCCGGCTTCCCAACGACTTAATGAAACCGGGGAGGCAAATGAGACAACGATCAGTATACGAGGCATTTGTCAAGTTGACATCTGGCTGCAGGGGACCAGGGTCACTGACCTGCAGTTCCTGCAACAGCCGAGAAAACTCATGCGCGGATTGGTCGACAGTTGTCACTGGATCTTGGGATCGTGGCTGGCCAGGTGGTGTGTTTTAGAATGTTATAAATCTTCTGGGAGATTGACATCATCGAGTGATGGGCTTCCATCGTTACAAGCCTTTCCCATCCTTTCGATTATTCCTATCGATTTAAGTAGACCCGTGTGTGAGTCAACTTTCAAGTCTTTTCCATCCTTCCCACCCTTTCACTCGTTTCCATCAATTCATTCGTTACCCATTATCTTCAGGGGTTACTATCTTCCTCTATCACCCCTCTTTACCATCCTTCACGTCCAATCATCTCTTCTCGTCTCTCATCATCTTCCAGTATTGCTAGAATTCTCGGCATAAACTTCATAACCTTCAGACACATATCTTCCTACAGCCCATAACAAAATGGCATCCTCGACTTCCCCTAAGTATATTTTCTTCTTTCACTTCATCTACTGTGAGCATCGTCATTCACGAGAGGCTAACCTCCATATCATTCAGAAATTCAGCTTCGACCTTCCTACCCAACCTCGGCAGCCAGCGAGAGGCATTTCTCAACCAAGTGGAAACGCAGATCGCCCAATACGTCAAAAAAGAGGGCAAAAACTGTCTAGCTGTCATAGAAAGGAATCCCCAATCCGAGGACAAGACTTACACACCAAGTATGATCAGCAAATTTCCCCCAGCGTTCTTTCGTTTCTTGCTAGACAAGAAATACCATGGTCATGAAGTCGAGTCCGCCCTTGTAGCGCCCATCGTTGCGATCATATCCGACACCTACCGCGAACTTCTCAACTCGAATGCCGCGGACCTGGCGGAGTTTTTGAACGGACAACTGGCTCAGAATATTGCAAAGCTCTCGCTCCAGGAGATCCGAGAACACTGCGCAAAGCAAGCTGCACGGACTGCAAAGGCGGCGAGCACGATTCTGAAAGGAAAAGGTCACTTGGTATCAGCGTCGGTGGTGAAGAAAATGAGCCTGAAGCCTATCGTCGCGCATGGGATTGAAACTTTTCTCGCAAAGATGATCGGAGAGACAGTCATCAAGAAGACTATCGAGGCTGCTGGCCTGGAAACGTTCGCGGCCTTGGTCAACAAAGTGGTCACGGAAGCATGGATGTTTTATCTCCTGTACCAAGCCATGATGCTTCCAGAACGTTTAGGAAAAGCCCTGGGTGCTGAGATTCGTTCGATGCTCGAGGGAAGCATGCGCAAGTTGAACCAATCATTCCTCCAGGCTATGAATCAAGAGTTGGTGAAGCTTAGTATTATGGACGTGATTTCTGAATATACGACGTCAATGATAAGTGAGGTTGTCGAAGGAGATCGCGCTGATGTTTGCAAGAAACTAATCGAGAAACTTACCCTCGGCGCGCACCCCCTTGATGGTCTATTCGGAGCTCTGTGGGACCAGTTGAAAAGCTCCGAAGGCTTAGAAAAAGGTCTTTTGATGCGTCTGATAAAGAAGAAGAAGAAAGACTTGCAGAAACCAGCGGCAGGTGAAGTGTTGAAACGCCTGCAAGAGCTACTCTCGAAAACTGCCACTATGTCAGTGACGGAAATCATCGCATCTTTGATTTCGATCCGTTTGTGCACTGTCTACAACGTCAAATGAATTGGGTTGCTGAGACCGAGAGGACGAGACAGCTGGAAAACATGTTGTCATTCGCGTATCTTTAATGTTTCTTCTGAGTATGGAGATGGCAATGTTCTCATATCCACGATTTCATAATCTTCTTGCTTCTTGATTTGTTCTAGATCAACGCCTTAATGTGTTGAAGGTGCAGATCGAATGCCTGTATGTCTCAAAATTGCCTAATTAGGAAGGAGCAAGACTACAAGACGTAAAAATCTGAAACGTCGACGACGACAGGGCGTGTGTGATATCTTGTAAAAGTATAACGAAAGCAAGCTATAGGAGGTTAGCGCGTATATAGCCACATAGAAGTACCGACGTATTGAAGGGGAAATAACCGTAATAGCATGGTATTATTATACAACGTCATATTATGCGATAGTGTTGCGACACCGTCACTTGACGGTTAGTCAAATATTTAATGAGACAAGGCACACCATATCTGACACCAACAGTGAACACAGAAGGGTTTGAGTCGGTTGGCATATTAACTGCCTAATTAGGAAGGTGCGCATCCAACTGAGCTCTGTAAGCCTCCATAAGACCGCGGCAAAATACGTAATATGGCCAATTCTCAATCGCTGGGGCAATTACCAGGTAAGAGCTCGACACCACGTTCATACGGCAGATAGATAAATATTAAAGCTATAGTGACTACACTGATGAAGGTGTAATGAAAGGAGTAGCACGCCAGTGGACTGAGGAGGTTCATAAATAGTTGAATCACTACGAGCCTCTTTTTTGACTTTGATTGATACAATACGTCACATTTCGAGTGTTTTACTTCTCTTTGACAAGATTCATTAAACTGCTTCCGATCGTTGATTTTGCTTAAGGCGACATTCATACTGCATCCTAAACTGATCTCCTGCAATTACTCCCCCATGACAAAGTAAGACGAAGTAAATGATCGACACTGTTGCCTTTGCCAACACAGGTCTTTCTGTTATTCTTCTTTTTCATTTCCTCTGTCACGTTACAGTCGTATTTTGTAAACTGTGTTTTCGAATGATAGAAACTAGGCTACCTTCACGAACATGAGAAATGTGGCACTTTGACTATGCCTTTATAGAGTTTTGAGTGGAATGTGTAAATGATGCGTTGCGAAGTGTATCAGCCTGGATTCTCCATATAGGCCGTGCTATTTCGAGATATTGAGGCCCAAATTCATCCAGCAATCTTCGAACAAAAGTATCATGGGAGTTATAAAGACTCGACTGTCGTAGAGGAACATCCTCAAATTCCTTGAAAGTTAGGTGTACCCAGAGACTTTTCCAATACAGGATAGACTCTTTTGCATCACAGTGGTCCAAGTTGATATTCTTCGCAACCAGATAGAATGATGATTTAATAGCATGGGCCTTCGGATGTTTATAAAGTTGAATATCGGAGAACGCGTTGAAAGCATGGATTAGGCATACTGTATCCCAGGACTCAAGTCGGTGCAGAAGCAGGACGAGTGAACCCCCAGGGTTAAGACGATTCATTGCAAACACCAACTGAGAAACTGTCAAACGATATGACTCGCAGTCACTGCGGTACTCCTCCCTCGGATGATCCTTACCCACTGCTCCCCCACAGATCACAATATCGTACAGATTGCCAAGAAACGGCCGGGATGTATCAAATTTGTTGGAATCGGGATGTCCTGTCGGGACCTCTTTCTCCCTAGCCATCTCCGTTATATACATTGTAATGTCGGCATATATGATATCCCGGCAATCTTCTTTGGCCATGACCTCGTAGCCACCAACTTCAGGTGGAAGCGTGACAGCGTCAATGAGTGACCTCGGAAGATTTCTTGCAGCCGTTGAAGTAAACCCACCAGGTGCCATACAGAGGTCAAGGACTTTAGCAGAAGAAGACCACAATCTGAATATGTTGGTTCCTGATGCCAATCCGTTTCCTACTTGCTTTGTCATGTTGTATAAGCCTTTCCGCTTTTTGGCATTTGGATTCCTCGAGGCTTCTCTTCGATTTTGGAAAAATGTATCTCCGTCTTTATTTGCCTTGCCCTAGGTGTACGAGTCAATTGTTAAGCTTTGTCCCAATTAAATAATGACCCACTTTTTCCTCGAGATCGCATAATTCTCGATATGTTGGGTCCTGTTTTATATAGTCTATCCAGCGCTGTGGAGAATTATTCGCGGTGTCTTCAGGCATGTTCCCTTCACTATCTTGATTCACGATTCGAGTATTTGATAACACACTCTCGATATATTCGCAAGATTGCCAAACAAAAGGAGGAATTAGAAGCGAGTAATGGCCTAAAAGTGATGGATTAGAACAGCGGGTGCGGGATGGGTGGGGCGGGGTTCCTAGATGTGGGCCCAGGGTCTTCAGGTTCATTTATCAGCGCTATAAGCGGGTCACTCTGATCAGAAGTATCAAAGCCCATTTATGGTAAATCAATTCTGACAATGTATCAAATCAAATTATTTATAGCAATCTTCACCTTTTCACACTTTTTGATGCAGGCTGGCAAGGCATTACTGCCTGAGGCTAGTCAAAAACAATTAGTCCAGTGTTGTGCCTACTGGGGTTGGGGTAGAATGAATCAAAAGAGAGAGTGACGAGGTGAGGGAACCCTGGAACTTCGTAACATTATGCTTTGCTCATGGCATACTTTACAATTAACACATAACTAAAATGGAATAAGGTTTTTCATCAAACTCATGTCGTGAATATACGTCTTAAAACCTTGCATGAATAACTCGAAATGAGTATTACGCGCTTGGCTCCAGCCTACCGATTATGCTATACAGTGATAGATTCTAATCGGCGCCAATTCAAGTCAAACGTGTGGTCGAATACTCATTCTGCAAGCCTCGTATCGAGTATTGACAATACATATCGTAGTGCATATCTAAATCCAGAATGAACCCATGTTTCTATGGGCTGTCGTATATATTGACCAATGATAGGAAGAAAAACACAAGGCTATCAAAAAAAGGCCGGCTATCTTGCGTGTTCGCGCTCCTACGTATTGACCAGTCAAGTTACAATCGCACTCGGTGAGAGAGGCTGTGTCTCGTCAGCTGACCCCAATCTTGCTGTATTGGAGAACTCTCTGGAGACATTTGTCCAATTTCATTTAAAAGCTGATTAAGATAATGTCCGGCAACGCCCCCAACTTTTAAGAGTACTAATGTCCACGATGACGAACAGGCCAGTATCTGAATTCACTGAGGAGGAGTTATCGCTTTGTGAATATTGCCAACCTCAGAGTCCAGCGCAGTGGCGATGCGACTTCTGCAGAACTCCTCTCTGTGATTCATGCTGGAACGTGCCAGCTACGCATCGAAGGAATGACCCAAAGCACGCCAAAGTATCTCTTCGCCAGCAGTAAGTATATATCAACTGGTGTGCGAGAATCTCTTGAATAATGGATTATAGTCACCTCATATCCAACGAGCTTAGCACCAATCTCAATCCTGAATCGTTCAAAGACTTACATGCTCGCGATACCATAGCTGTTTGGTTCGCCGTCAGTCAAGATCCATACCATGGCAAGCTCGACTTCGAAGAATTCCCTCGTTTCAAGCACTTGATTTATGAGTCCCAAAAGGCCTACAATACAGCTGGGCCATGCTATGCGAGACTTGTATCTTTTGTCGGAGTTACCGGATCTGGTAAGAGTACGCTGATTAAAATTCTGATGAAGCGGCTTTGGCAAAACTCTTCAGCATCGACACTGGATCTCAATCAAATTGAAATTCCCGTTTCGGGGACACGGAGTACTACCAACCCGACCTCAGGGGATGTCCATCTTTATCGTGATCCGTACTTGGATCCATCAGATGCGAATCATCCACTTTTATATGCAGATTGTGAAGGTTTCGGTGGTGGTGATGTGGCGCCTTCAGGTTCAAAAATCCGTGACGATATGGAACGAATGGCCGCTTCTATAGATTCTGCCTCGCCAATAAATACACACATTGCGCAGACGGCGGTCACATGGCTCAGGAAGAGTGTGAAGCGGGCAATAGACCTTGACGTCCCTGGTGGAGGATTCATACGACGACAGATGCTGGTCGAAAGACTCTTCCCTCGTCTGTTGTACAACTTCTCCGATGTTGTTGTCCACGTTATTAGCGGCCAGTCCGCCAAAACTATGGAGCACGTACTTCTTCAGGTGATCCAATGGGCAAAGGTTTCAGAGAGCGCTGCTGTCAATCAACCTTTTCTTCCACATCTCATTATTGTGCTCAATGAAGCCTCGGACACATCCGTATGGGACCCCGACGCTGCCCGCACCAAAATTATCCAAGAACAATCTGGCATGCTGAAGGAAAATAAGACAGCCATGCTTTACGCTGAACAATATGAACGGATCGGTGCTTCCATCTCTACTGTCGAACAACTTTTGCATTGTTTCTATGCAAAGGTAGAATTCATCAATATCCCTAAAGCAGAGAGTGGTCTGAATGAAGCCCTTTTCCTCACTCAAGTTCAAAAGCTGCACGAGATGGTAGAAAAGGCCACTCGCAGCTCCCAGTCGCGCAAAGCCGATGTGAGAATGTTATTGCCATCGGAAGATCAAGTTCAGCTCTTTCACCTAGCTTTTAATCACTATACCAAATTTCTAGATAAGCCTTTTGATTTCCTTGAGACTTTGTTTACTGTACGCCCTCTACCACACAATTTGTCGAACAACATTGTTCGGCTTCTGAAATCTTTCCGGGCCAGTATTCTACCTCAAGAAGCAACAGGAAGATACGTGAGAGATTTAGTACCGGTTCTAGCCACAATCATCGCTCTTGACGTGGCTCGATCGTACCGAATTAACGCTCGACTCATTGACATATTCAAAGGGAATTTATACAGAATGGATTCATTTAGAATTGGAGATAACGGTGGACTACGTTCTTCAGCAAGCCCGAATTCATATGAAGCACAACTTCGTTTGGCGTTTGAAGTATTTTGTGAGAGGTCAGTTCCATGCTCTTTCGTTGATAGATTCGGCCGGAGATGTCACAATTCAAGGCGCGGGCACGTTCTACCCTTTCACCAAGGAGCTACAGCACTCCCACTTGCATTCGGTGGATTCGAGAGGGCAGAGGTAGATGAGCTCATGAGCTCTTGGCTCCCAGCTATAGAAGAGCAACTTGAAATGTTGGGGGCTGAGCTTGATATGAGGACATCGTCTGAAAACAGCTCTGCATCCCCCTCCAGTATATCACCCGCTAGTCTCGGCGCTGTTTGGGCACAACACGTCCGAGAGTTATCCTTGTTGTTTCAACAAAACGCTGATTTACGATTGAATTTCCCTTTGATGTGCTGCTTCTGTTTGCATAATCTCCCATTCGAAATTTTGCCATGCGGTCACTCTATTTGCGATCATTGTATACAGCTTGTTGCAGACACGAACGTCGGTTCAGATTCCCGCGTGGTCTGTATCCGAAGCTGTTTTCTCCACGACGCTTCTCGTCCCTTCGAGCCCCCTTATTTTATCCATATCCGTTCCAAGCTCGCAGGCCGTAGAATCCTAGCTTTGGATGGCGGTGGCGTCCGAGCCCTTATGGAACTCAAGATCCTAGAAGCAGTGGAGAAAAAAATGGGAAGTCTCATTCCGATTCAGAGGTTCTTCGACGTTATAGGCGGMACCAGTGCTGGTGCGCTCGTAGCCTTTGCTATCGGAATCAAAGATTGGCGATTTGACCTTACCGAATCGATGTTTCGGCAAATATGTGACAGAGCCTTTTCCAATTCAGTGAGAAATTGGTTTCTCAAATTTCTTCATGGAAGTCAATATTTTAGCAACCGCCTTGTTGACGCTCTGAAGGATTCTCTTGGGAACACAGCAGATGATTATCTGGTGCAAGCCAGGGTAAGACAATTCTGGAAATAGTTATATCTTAGTTTTAGAAAACTAACAATTTCCAGTTGGAGTCTAGTGGAAGCCTGCGACCAGCTCCAAAGGTTTTTGCTACCGCTACCGTGAGCGAAGGAGATGGCGCTGCTCTACTACCAAATTACGTTCGCCCACACGACAAAGGTACGGCTTACTATCATCTTTTCTTATGTCATCGAACTGCTCCGTGGTGTTGACCTATAAAACCGAAGCTAATGTATCTAGATACTCATCTTTCGGACTTTTACAGCTTGACATATCAATTCGAAGTTTACGACGAACAAGAGACACAAATTCGTGTTTGGGAGGCGGCAAGGTGTACGACAGCTGCCCCAACCTACTTCACTCCTTTCCGGAAGGCAGGGCTGTTTACCACCAATTATTACGATGGAGGCCTCTATCACAACAATCCTTCAAAGATTGCACTGGAGGAGACCCATCGAATCTGGCCGGATATGCCTGAAAGACACCCTGACCTTTTGTTATCAGTAGGCTGCGGATTTTCGACGGTAGATGACGATGAGCATATCCTATTGCTTGGCTCGAGCTCTCTTGTTGGAGCGCTCAATGTAGTACGTCGACGATTTAAGCAAATTCTTAACTCTGAAAGAAGTTGGAGAGAAACCTTTGGCGTATTGTCGAGAATAGAGCCCAGGCGTTATATTCGTCTAAACCCTCCGGTTCCAGAACGCCTTCCAGATCTAGATGATAAAGAGGCTTTAACAAATGGCAATCTCGAGAGGATCGTTAACAAGTTTCTCAACGAGCCTAGCACAGGAGCAATTATTGATCAAGTCGCCCGTCGTCTCGTCGTGACATCATTCTATCTAGAACCATCGGCTACGGTCAGCGGTGCAGAAGAGAGCGCAGACAATTTCCATGGTATAAATTATTTCCTTTTTGAGCAAGACTACAACGCTAAAGATATTAAATAGGAACTATCCGCTGCCGATTCATTGACAAGTCTCCCGAAATTAAAGCATTTGCAGATGTAATTGCGAAATTTTGCCCCAGTCAATACGCAGATTTTGATCTTCCGGAACCCAGGCTGACAATTGGGAGAATAACACCCCAATTGCTTCACATGATGAAAACGGTAGGAACGTTTCGTATTGATATCGATTTCACGATGCCATCTCATGTTACGCAAGTCAACGTTACTTTCTCTTCTCCTGGATTTACGCCGGAGAGTATTAGCGGTTGCCCATTCACCATAAAGGGATAATCAGTCAGAGCTTCTATCCTTCCGAAGACACATTTTAGTTCTGATACACGTGCAAGTAACTCTAGCTTGAATGTTCAATTCTGTTTTCCATCTCAGCTGATATAGGTAGTGTCATCTACCACATCCTACTTATCTAACTCTTGGCCTCGCTTCATTGCATATCATTTATTTCTCACGTCATCGTAGTGCGCGTCAAAAATGCTTTGCACAGCATTGGCCACCAAGGAAGGGCGTAGATTACTGAATCTTTCCTGCAGAATCCAGAGGGTATGTCCAAGAATTTGTTCGTTCCAGACCCAAAAGGTCTGACCAACAGAAATATACACATTCAACTCCAGCACATGAAGCAATTAGCCACTGTCATGTGTCTCACCAGGTGTAGTCTTTCTGATTGTCGAGCATGACATCAACTGTCAAACGAGAAATCCCGACGAAGAAAGTCTGACGAACATCGTACAATGTATCTGCCTTACATTCGGGACTGATTTCATTGAAAGTGAAGTCATACCTGACATCACCGCGATACTCCGTACACTGGCACAGATGCAGTTGCAAACATCCTCGGCATTCATGAATCATGTGCAACCACTAGACATGAGCATCAACAATCATGGTAGATTTGGGGTCATCACGTGAGGCGGACAGGCGGGAGCCGAAAGTCAAACACGTGTTGGCGCTAGGCCGAAAATAGAGCAGAAAGAAGCGTTGGGGCAGAAGGGGCGGCCCCACTACGCCACTGGAGCGAGCCTCCGATCATCTTCATTTGATATTCCACCACTTCTCTCCTGCTACATTAGTAAAAGTGTTGTGACAAGATAAAACATCTATTTCCGTCCGTGTGCAATGAATTCATTCACCCGATCTCATTAATTCACAGTCGACTATCATAAAGTTTGCACTGTTTGCAGCAGGAGACAGACATTGGATTGTCTGGTCCCGTACATACATGCCAGACTAACTCGATCCGGGCTAGTCAACAGATAGGATCTTCTGATTGGTCCGCATGTGGATCCAAGCTCCATATCATCCAATCAGAAGCTGTAGATCAATCGACGTCTGGAATTGTTGGGATTTCGCGATACCGATAACCCACCAACATGCCAACCGCCTCTCACGCTCAACGAAACACCTCTACATAGTTACACACTGATGTTGCTCATGATTGCTCAGTATACTGAGCAATTCTCGGATGTGTTGGCCGAGTTATCTCCTGTCACTCGAGATCGAAGTGAGATGCAATGGGCTCATATCGCTTCTGAATCGAGACTATCAGTCATCATCCTAGGTCTCTCTACTATGTAGTATAGTCACAAATAGTCAACGAGATTCGACGCTCAAGCACCCGTAGCACTCCGTAGCCACAAACGGATAGAGACATATACTCCGTACAGTACCAGCAGAAACCTCGGCTTCAAACAGCAGGTGGCCAGGCCAACTGCCAATCCCTTCCCCCAACGTCGCCCGATCATTGCTGGAGCGGGTGGACCCATCCCAACCTTACTTTGCAGCTTCCTATCATTCTCTTTTTTTTTGCCTCCCCACCACTTACTCTCTTTAAAAAGCTCTCTCCTCACGCCGTCGTTCTTCTTGTCAATCATACACCTCATACCTCACACTATCTTGTTGTCTATTGTATGCACACACCGACTGGAACATACTGATTGACACTTGAAGACTCACCACTCAGCATGTCTGCTACCACTGCAGATGCCAGGCCTCGGCCTGCTGCTGACACCAAAAAGGTGCACATTGCTGACACAAAAATGACCCTCAAGAACTGGTACAAGCACGTCGACTGGTTGAACGTGTACTTTATCATTGGCATCCCACTCTACGGATGCATCCAGTCTCTCTGGGTTCCTTTGCAATTAAAGACTGCTGTCTGGGCCGTTCTCTACTACTTTTATACTGGTCTCGGAATCACAGCTGGTAAGTCACGCTACATACGTGGTGTAAAACAGGCAGGCTAACATACTCAGGATACCACCGTCTCTGGGCTCACTGCTCGTACTCTGCCACCCTTCCTCTCCAGATCTTCCTCGCCGCCGCTGGCGGTGGTGCCGTCGAGGGCTCCATCCGCTGGTGGGCTCGTGGCCACCGTGCTCATCACCGCTACACCGACACCGAAAAAGACCCCTACTCCGTCCGCAAGGGTCTCTTGTACTCGCACTTGGGATGGATGGTCATGAAGCAGAACCCCAAGCGTATCGGCCGCACTGATATCACCGACTTGAACGAGGACGCCGTCGTTAAATTCCAGCACCGCCACTACATTAAAATCGTCGCCTTCATGGGTCTCGTTTTCCCCATGATGGTTGCTGGTCTTGGCTGGGGTGACTGGTGGGGCGGTTTCGTCTATGCTGGTATTTTGCGTATTTTCTTCGTCCAGCAGGCTACTTTCTGTGTCAACTCGTTGGCCCACTGGCTCGGTGACCAGCCATTCGATGACCGCAACTCTCCCCGCGATCACGTCATTACTGCTCTCGTTACCCTCGGCGAAGGATACCACAACTTCCACCACGAGTTCCCGTCTGACTACCGCAATGCCATCGAATGGCATCAGTATGACCCTACCAAGTGGTTCATCTGGACCTGCAAGCAGCTCGGTCTCGCCTACGACTTGAAGCAGTTCCGTGCCAACGAAATCGAAAAGGGCCGTCTTCAGCAACTCCAGAAGAAGCTCGATAAGCGCCGTACCCAGCTCGACTGGGGTGTTCCTCTTGATCAGCTGCCGGTTATGGAATGGGACGACTATGTTGAGCAAGCAAAGAATGGCCGTGGCTTGATTGCTATTGCCGGTGTTATCCACGACGTGACCGATTTCATTAAGGACCATCCGGGTGGTCGGGCCATGATCAACTCGGGTATCGGCAAGGACGCCACTGCCATGTTCAACGGTGGTGTGTACTTCCACTCCAACGCTGCCCACAACTTGCTTTCTACCATGCGTGTCGGTGTTATCCGTGGTGGTTGCGAGGTTGAGATCTGGAAGCGCGCGCAAAAGGAGAACACCAATGTCGACTATGTTCGCGACACCAACGGCCAGCGCGTCGTTCGTGCTGGTGAGCAAGTTACCAAAATTCCGCAGCCGGTTGCTACAGCCGATGCTGCTTGATGACTTATGATTTTTGTTTGTTTTCGCCAAACCGCCTTGTAATAAACTCTCATGGCAAGCTATTCGTATTTCTTTTTTCTGGGACTCCTGGTGTTTAGACGGTTCATTTCTTCGGAGTTGGGGTGTATCTTTACCGCATGCAAATGCACAGTCAGTCATTTCAAATACAGATGACCAGTATCAAACAATATATTCTATCTATTCTATCCGTAATATCCGTAATCGTCTTATAGAGTAATTTGTAGTCAATCGCATGCTTTACAGTAACTATAGAAGTCTTGGCTCCGGAGTCAAGCCTCAGGCAACCGTAAGCTCCGGAAGCTCTCAACGATTGACAACGCACGCATCATCAAGCCATCACTACCTACCACTCAAATCAATTGTCGCCATTTAGAGAACTGCACAAACTGGACTCATCCAATCACTTTCGCTGCCACCTTTTCAGACCGTCTTTTCTCGTCTTCCTGCTCGTCCTGAGCTTCGCCCTCATCCTGGCTCCTCCGCTCCGTTTCCCCTCCCCCGCTTCTTCGTCTAGGCTCAGTGCACTAGTCAAGCAGTTTCACTCTCCATTATCACCATCAAGACCTTTTCATCTATCACAGCAATTTATTAGAAGTATCACGACATCCAACATGGCGCCTGAACTACTCAAGAAACCGCCTCAGGCACCCCCTTCGTTTGTCGCGACACCGACGTCGATTATCGAGGACACGAAACGTTTGATTGCGCGATCCCGCAAGGTTCAAGATGAAGTTGCCAACGGCGTGAAACCGGAGGATGCCACGTTCAGCAATGCTTTGCTCCCGCTTGCGCATGACGAGAATGCGATGACGCTAGAGGCACACATTATCGGATTCTACCAGGCTGTATCTACCGACCAGAAGCTACGCGATGCATCGAGCGAGGCGGAGAAATTGCTGGACGATTTTGGTATTGAGACTGCTATGCGTGAGGATTTGTTCAAGTTGGTGGATGCTGCGCTTAAAAAGAATGAGGAATTGGACCCCGAATCGAGAAGATTACTGGAGAAGGAGCACAAGGATTACATCCGCAATGGACTGGGATTACCTGCTGGTCCGAAGAGAGACCGGTTCAAGGAGATCAAAAAGAGACTCAGCCAGTTGAGCATCGAGTTTCAAAAGACGCTTAATGAAGAAAATGGCGGTATCTGGTTTACGCCTGCAGAGCTCGACGGTGTGCCCGAGGATGTGCTGTCGGGACTCGAAAAGGGTAAAGATGAGAATGAGGGAAAGCTGCGGCTATCATTCAAGTATCCCGATCTCTTCCCGACGCTGAAATATGCGAAGAATGCAGAGACGAGGAAACGTGTGTCAATTGGGAACGAGAATAAGTGCAATTCGAATGTGCCATTGTTCAAGGAAGCGATGGTTCTACGTGATGAGGCCGCGAGGTTGTTGGGATACCCCAATCATGCTGCTTTCAGGATTGAGGATAAGATGGCCAAGACGCCGCAGACTGTGGACACCTTTTTGGGTGATTTGAGGTCGAGGTTGACGGCTGGTGGGTTGAAAGAGATTGAAAAGTTGAAGGAACTCAAAAAGGCGGATGTGGAGTCTCGTGGAGAAAAGTTTGATGGTCATTACTTCCTCTGGGATCATAGGTTCTATGACCGTTTGATGCTGGAGAAAGAGTATCAGCTGGATCACCAGAAGATTGCGGAGTTCTTCCCTCTGCAGACGACGATTCGCGGTATGTTGGAGATTTTCGAGGAGCTCTTTGGGCTGGTGTTTGTTGAAGTCAAGGGTGAGGATAGGGCTAGTATTGCTACGTCTGGAAAGGGCGAGGATATTGTCTGGCATGAGGATGTGCAATTGTTTAGTGTTTGGGATGACGAGGCTCAGGGTAGTGGTTTCGTGGGGTATCTGTATCTTGATTTGCATCCCCGTGAGGGAAAATATGGCCATGCTGCCAACTTTAACCTGCAGCCAGTACGTTTTTTGTCACTGCAGATATAGTTACATACTGACTTTTGCAGGGCTTCATTGACTCCAACGGCAACAAACGCTATCCGGCCACCGCATTGGTATGCAACTTCTCTAAACCAACCGAGAAAAAACCCAGTCTCTTGAAACATGACGAAGTCGTCACCCTCTTCCACGAACTGGGCCACGGCATTCACGACCTAGTCGCAAAGACAATCTACTCCCGCTTCCACGGCACCAACACCGTGCGCGACTTTGTTGAAGCGCCCAGCCAAATGCTCGAAAACTGGTGCTGGACACCATCTCAACTCAAGTCCCTGAGTCGACACTACTCTACTCTATCGGAGGACTACCGCAAAGCATGGTCCGAATCATCCGCTACACCTGACACACCCGCCCCCGAACGCATCCCGGATGATGTGATTGAATCCCTGATTCGCACCAAACACGTCAACGACGCATTGTTCAATCTACGACAACTCCACTTTGGCATCTTCGACATGACCATGCACGAACCCGCTTCCCACGACGCAATCATATCCCTAAACCCGACAGTAACATACAACACCCTCCGCAAAGAAATCTCTCAAATCGAAGGTCCCGAAGCTCTCGGCCAGGGAGATGAATGGGGTAACGGCCAGGCAACCTTTGGCCATTTGATGGGCGGCTACGACGCTGGTTATTATGGTTATTTGAGTTCGCAAGTTTATTCGACGGACATGTTCTATACGATCTTCAAGGAGAATCCGATGGACCCGGTGCAGGGTAGACGATATAGAAAGACGGTGTTGGAGAAGGGTGGTAGTCAGGATGAGATGAAGTCGTTGACGGAGTTTTTGGGGAGAGAGCCGAAGACGGAGGCATTTTATAAGGATTTGGGGTTGTCTTGATTTGCATATGCATAGCATGAGCATGTTAAGAGCAGCTTATACGAAGTATGGGCTATGTGGCGGAGTTATACATGACGCCGGACCCACTCAAGGTAGAGAAAGTTAACTAGCTTCATAAATCCATTTCAACCTTTAACTTTCATCTTCAATCAAAAATAGTTCCACGTCTACCTCAACCTAATACAAATAAGCACGATACTCAATAATTCACTACGAAACTACTACTGATACCCAGCTCCCGCGCAATAAAACAACAATCCCGACAAGATGGATACCGAACCCTTCGCAGATGCAGGTGCGAATGCGAAACAGAGACTCCCGATAAAGACATACCACTGCCGCTTCTGCTCCCATTTATTGCTTGCATCGACGCGCGAGCTTTTATCCTCGACTACACCGCTGCCTAGACGGCGAATGGCCTCTATGATAGAGGGAGGAGCGGATATTGGGGAGGGGGCGGCGGGGGGGTTAGATGGAGCGCTTATACTTGAGTTACCTCCCTCCTCTAGGAAATCGGATAGAAATTTGAGGGGGGATTCGAGGCGGGAGGCGTCGTATGAGGAGAATCAGAGTGAGGAGCGCGATACGATTACACAGACAGACACAAAAACAGCAACTAGTGGAGGAGAGGCGGTGGTACCTCCCACCACCACAGACGAAAGAAAAAGGACAGAACAAGCGCACTACACAATCCCGCTGTCGACACTCCTGCCAGATCCGACGCCAGTCATAATCCGGCGCGAAGATGGGTTTGAGAAGCGCTTGTTGCTGAGGTGTGGGCGGTGCAGGGTCGTTGTTGGGTATAGACTCTTTAACTCTGCAGGTGGTTCTACTACCGATCAAGACCTTGACGTCGACGAAGAGGATGAAGAAGAAGAAGGGGAGGATGGTGATGCAATCAGATTCAGACAAGCAAAGCAGGACGGAGCGATTTATCTACTTCCAGGCTCGATAGTGGGGACTGAAGATTTGGATGTTGGAACAGACACAGAAGGAGGTGGACCAAATGCGATGATTGAGCGGAATGCGGTATTGAGGGGGATGGAGGCAGAGTGGATGGCATGGATTAAATAGCCTCCTCTCCAAACTTGAAATTACTCGTGGACTACTGGACCGAGGATGGTTTTGATGATCATGATTCCATATGCACCATACGTAACATAAAATACAAGACACTCTCGCAGCAAAGCAGACAATAACGGCCAGACGCCGTACCAGTTCACCTGCACAGATAATAAAAAGAATATAAACAGAACCAGCGTCTCATTCTTTCGTAAGAAAATGGTTTAATCAAGTTGGTCGAAGCGAAGAAGGAAGGGTATATATAGGAAGCGATCAATTTGCGAGGATGGTCCGGACGAGGTCTACCAATACATCAATTAGCTGCAGCCCGCGACAAATAGTAAAATGAAAGTGAGACAAACCGGTATAATTAATCTCGCCTGAACTCGTGTCGACAACCTTGAGCAATTCATCTACTTCGTCGTCTGTCATTTTCTCGCCTAGGTTTGTGAGGACTGCTCAAAACCCTTTGATTAGCCCGCGTCTTTCTTACAGAGTGTGAATGGGGGGGTTATAGGACGCACTGTATCGCAACTGTCCAACACCAATAAACCCAGTCAAATCCTTATCAAACACCTGGAATCCGCGACAGTATTCCTCCGGCTCGCCGGGGTCGCGGAATCCGCCGGGGCGGTTGAGGACTTTTTGGAAGGAGTCGAAGTCGACTGCCACCGTCTCTAATTAGCACGAATTCTCTTTTGCTTGGTTTTGTTTGTTTTTTGGGGGTTCATAACGTACAATCACCGCCGATGGAAGCCTCCAAATCACGAATCTCGGCGAGCGTAGGGTTTTGGCCGCAGGCGCGCAGGAGGTCGCCGAGAGAGTCGAGGGCGACGCGGCCGTTGCCGCGCTTGTCGAAGAGGGAGAAGGCTTCTTTGTAGTTTGTGGAGGCCTGATCGGAGTTAGACATTTCGACGTTTTATTAAGCTGGTTTTGATTGCAGGAAAACGGAAGATTGAGTGAGAAATGGTAGTGGCGTTGTTTACAGTGAGAATACTGGAACGAAGGAGAGGTGGGAGGAAACGGATTAATCATGCGCCGAGACAACACCCAAACATTCGCGACTTGCACAATATACACAGAGACAACAATTGATGATAAACAGATGACGAACGTACCATTTTGATGTTTTATTGTTTCACAGTCGAGTCAAGTAGCGCGTAAATTGTGGTATGGTCGAGTACAGAGATTGTGTATAGACAGGAATCCGATAACTGAATAGTTCCGTGTTCGAAGGAATTCCAGATGAAGTTCGAAATATTCGAGTTAGACAAGAGAGTGTAGAACAGAGAGAACAGAGTGTGAAGAGTCAAGCAGGGGGGTGGATCGGTGGATAAGGCGTGGTCGAGCGTCCGTTGTTGTGGTAACCGGTGGATGCCCCCCCCTCGTACATAAATAGATCCTTCTACTAATACGTACTGTGGTTACACTTATTTCTTGGAATACTCGTTTAAATAGTTACATCATTATTCATGGGTATATACAGAATCAATTACTTCCAGTCGAACACTTCGTACGACGGGTCATCGCATCGGCGTCTTCAGCTTCTGCACGCAACTGTCCAGCAGCAACGCCGCCTCGTGAAGCAACTCCCACCGCGTATTCAGAAAACTCGTCCGCAAATGCAACAACAGCCCAAGACACTGATTCCTACCGGTTACATGCTCCAGATCATTAGGTTCTCGAACCGCGCCAACCGTTTGCAGGAATCGCTGCATGTCCTGTAACTGTGCGGCTTCGCTACTCAATTCTGGCGGTGAAGGAATAGGCCCTTCCAAGGCGTAGCCGTAGGACCAGACGACGAGCGTCGAAAAGTAGACGACCCAGGACCGATGGAGCAGGTAGTCTTCCAGTGCAGAATAGCCGGGTCTTTTATCTCCTTTGTTCAGAGTAGGACCTGTAGGCTGGAGTAGCACATGACACAAAAACTTCAGCGCGTAAAAAGTGGCATCTCGGGCAGAAGCTTTGGTAGCCCATCGTTCGGTCATTTTCTCGCGGGCTGTACTATAATCCTTGGGCGTGATGGAACGACTTAGTAATCGACCCGCGCCTGCAAAAACTTGACAGTCTACAACATCAACGTGTGCAGCCATATGCGCTAGATGATGCAAGACCGTCCGCGATTCATATGTATCATCTTCGTCAACTTGGAAAGGTAACAGATGCTGTTGGTAGAAACTAGGACTATTCTTCGAATACGGCCGGTGGCCTGATTCTGCAAGCGCATCGTCGTAATCGCGTTTCCAGTTGTCAAACGCCCGTAGTAACGACGACCGCCATTTATCACGTCCTCCGAGTACTTGCGTAACTCCTAGCGAACTGACTTGCAGATCACGCTGGTTCATGTGCCAGCTAACACTGAGCAGCCCTGCCATCAGAATCATCCGACCAAATGCGTTGGTACGGACTTTTTGTCCAGTCAAAGTCTTCTTTAAACCGTCCAAAAACATGGTCGGCTTGACTCCATTGGACTGCAGCACAGTCTGCATACGTGACACCTCTGCAGCACTCCCAGCCGACCACAGAGCCTCGTCGCAAGGAAGCGGCAGCCGCAGTTCATGAGCTACCATCTTGACCGAATGGCCAAACATCGTCGAATGGATCGAATCCATGACAAACGCACCAAAAGCGACTCGTCGTGTAGCTTCCGTCCGAATCCAGTACGACCACGGATCCTCTCGGTCACCATCCGTAGTCCCAGTCGCCGACCTGTCTCTAAAACTAGCCGGCGTGTCGTAAGCAGACCTTCCTAAAAACGAACTACCCCGACGCATCAAGGTCAGCGTAGTATCGTGATGGATATGAGCCCGCTCATGCAGTGCTCGGGTCGAGTAGCCCTTCTCGTATATTTCCAACAGCAGCAGTGTCTGGAAAACCCATAGCTTCGCTGGCGGCCGACAGTCGACATCCATGAAAATCTCCCACCTGATATGCCATGCCAAAAAATTGGCCAGTTCGGCCGCTCCGTCGATAACAGTCTGGCCGTGCATCCGCTCGAGAGTCGCCGCTCCAATTGCCATGAGAGACAGCAGCAGTAGCGACGGGGTCCGGTCTGCGACGAAGGTAGGTCTGTGTAAGATTGGGAGTTGCGCATGAAAATGGAGCCAATACGAGCCGACGTACGTTTGCATCATTCGCAGACTAAGAATGTGACCATCCGCATCGACGTTTCCTTCCATGAGCGAGTCTTTCCGCGTGTTCACCGCCGAATGCGCCGTTTCGTTGAATCGGGTGCTTATTAGATGTAGTATATCTTGTCGCTTTTCTTCCGACATCATGGCTTCGGGTGGTGTCGAGTCGACAATATTCGTAACGCTCATTGGGTGTTGCGAAACAAGGTTGTTAAATCCATTGTAGGAAGACGGGTCGCTCGGGAGAAAGGATATCGGATTCGTCTGCGGCGCATCGGTATACCCTGTCATCATATTCGAGTAATTCACAGGCGAAGTGCCGGTCGGTTCGTTGAACAACCATGCCGCAAAGTCATCTGCCATAGCAAACGGTGATCTATTGTATGACGACTCACCACCAAACACCGGATACGGATACGACGAATCGAAGCCCATCTCTCCTTCGCCTTCTGTGACCATGCCGTTGACTGAATTGAGTGTCATTCCGGTCGTTCCGTATTGTGCTTGAGGAAGTTCTGAGCTGGTATAGCCAAGTTCCGGCATACTCAGTCCTTGTTGCGACATGTATGCAGTTGGGCTGCCGAGACCATCTCCGATATATGTTGAGTTCGTTGCATTATCCCGCAACGTGTTCGCACCAAACGAGTTGCCCTGAAAGTTAGAGCCGAACGGTGTGCCTGATCCGTACATGGTTTGTTTGCTAGAAGCTCCACCATATCTAGAAGACATGTACGAGTCTTTTCCATTCACGTCATAGGGAGCGATAGGCTTGGATGTCTGCGACGTTGGAGACAGGATGGCAGACGGGTCGTCCTGCGCATGCAACGACTGCGGCGAAGAGGAAATATTCGGGCGACCAGCAGCCTGGGTGAAACTGTCGCGTTTCTGCAATTGCGAGCCATGGGTTGTATGTCGCTCTCTGTGCCGAATACATAGATCTTGTCGGACAAAAGAGCGATAGCAGTCGGGGAAGTCGCAGCGATAAATCTGTTTGGGTGTATCTAAAACAATTAGTTAGCGTTATCTCTAGACCAGCTGCAGCAACCTTACGGTTCAATTGATGGCGATGCAAGTGCTCAGCTCGGGAATAGCTCTTGCCACAGCCCTCGTGCTGGCATTCGAATTTCTTATCTGGTTGCGCCTTGCGATTCCTCTTTCGCTTTTTTGGTTCGGATATGTGTTTTGTGTGGTCTCGCGATGTGTCGGCCATTGTTGCTGTCATCTTTTTCTTCGTGTTGAAATGATCGGAATGCGGTGTGATGTGAGGACGTTCGAGGTTCGAGCGCCGGATGGCCGGGAACGTTATCCAACGCCTCCTGTCCTGGCCCAGAGACAAACGGAGTCAAATCTGGAAGACGCATACATCAGAGACTATCAAGCGAGGTAGCGGTCATTGTGTATGCAAGCGATGATGAGGGATGGCAAGTGAATGGAGCATGGAGGTTGATCAGATGGGGAGATGGAGAAATGCATGGGTTTTGTGTGGGGAAGTACAGACAGTTGGGACAGTTAGCTGGCTAGTATTGGTATTACCGTGCTGATTGCTGCTAAAAGCACGTGTCGATTGTAAGTTACGCCTGTAGTACTGTATTGTTACGTGAGACCCTGTTCGCGGGGAAATCTTTCACGATTCTTCCTTCGTCAAGAAGAATACGTTCGATCTTTCTCAGTCAGCGAAGAACACGGTATTTGAGGCCGAAAATAGAGGCTGAACTCGAGAGCAACATGATCAAAAGTAATCACGCAATCACGTCGAGCATCTATTGGAAGATGAATATGTACCTGATGTTACTGCTAGTGTATAGAAATACCGAATTTCCAACTGCCGCTCGATGCGCCTGCACTCGTTCATACCGACCAAATTCTTGAATTGTATCAACCGATCTTGTGAATTTATTGAGTGCCTTGAGCTATATGTAGGCTGGATACATCTGCCTATAAATGCACCTAGGGAATACATATGCCAGTTGACAGAGCATTCACTGTTGAGTGGTTAAATATTTTATATCGCAATCCGCGGATGCCAAACAGAGACACAAAATCTCTCAAATGATCAGCCGGGCTAGTACACTGACCAGTGACTTATCAAATGACAGATTAAGAAAATGCTTCAATGTTCTCCGGTGAGGCTTCACTCCTCCCCGGAAAGACTTTGAAATAGCAGACTTAAGATTGCAGTACATACTACATACGCAGCAAAAGAAACTAGGACTCAATGAATTTACCCGCGCCTAGCCACACAATTACGTATATATCTGCGATTTGCCTAGCTCATGGATGTAGCTAGGGACTAGATAGATATAGCCTTGTTGGACTATGACAGTGTTGTCGATCTTGAATGTCTAGGGCAGAGTCGTTTCTCCGTTTCAGGCTGATGTTGGTTCCTTGGACCTGGAATTAGAATGAGCGCGGAAATATGTAGTACCTACCTAAATATCTGGCATTCAGTTTCAAGTTTCCAATATTGAAGGAGTGCAGTTTTCACAAAAGGTGTGGAAAATATTCGTTAGACTTGATGGATATGAACATCGTTTCTTTCAAGGCAAAATTCTACCTAGCCCTAAGTCGACCACATTCATGAATATCTGTCCTAGATCCTCAGAACATTGAACCCCTGTTCCCAGCTCGAATCAATCAATAAAAATCCAAAAAAGAAAACAAATTAGAAAAAAGGAATCAGAAAATCGATTTCCACATCTCCGACTTTCGCAATGAATGAGTCCTGCCCAATACCTGACTAGCCCCGCCATCTCCCCTACACAGTACATTTTTTCTAGGGCTTGGAATTGGATAGAGGGAAGTCGGCGATCGCCAGATCCGCCAGTACGGACTTATTAATATAAGCGTGCATATGCACCTAGCCTTTAGCATCTAGACAGAGGACCTCCAACGTACGACGTCGTCTGCTAGACGTGGCAGCGAAGAGGAGAAAAAGAAATGACAACGCTAAGCACGCGCTTAAAGTGGCCGGATGCATGCCTCTACCCTACAGGCTACTCAATTCATATTACATTAAAGCTAGAGAAATCTACTCAATCTAGACGGTGATAGGGTAAATATCCCTGAAAATAGCTCCGCGCAGATGCTGCAGAAGTGCACTTTAGTCATTTTAAACAGTTGCATATGCCATCTACGTATGTACCCTAGTCTGGTGAGAAGTTTACTTTAAAAAATTGAATAATATTTCTTATCTCCCGTAGCTAGTCTTTATCTATGCGTCTACACATCTCTGAGATCCAGTTATGATTTTCTATCTGAGGGTTTGGAATGTCGGTGCCCCTCTTCTCCGGCGAAAAGCCCTAAGCCTACCTGCTTACCGCGTTACCGGTTCGGCTGGTGTCGTTGGGCGCCGATGACCGGACCAGCGCATTTTTATTTTCCATGTACGACTTTTTGGAAGTAGATGGATGTTTTGAGTATACATGTATTGATTCATGCACAGAAGTCCCTCTCAAGACCTGTGTAAGTGTCATCTATGGATCATGGGACGGAAATATATCCTGATATCTGTTTTGCGGTTGGCGCGGTAAGCTTTTAAAATACAGCCTACGCGAAGGGACAGTACGTAGCGTGAGGACCTCTCTTCTCTGCCTCTCCTCTCCTCTCTTCCTCTTGATTGTATACGTGGAATATGCTACATAGACCAAGATGAAGCAATGATCAATGACCTGGCCCAATTATCTGTTCATTCCTTCTATACGCTGGCCATAGCCATGCAGATGGACGAATTCGTAAGATGAACGAGAATAATTCTTTCATTCAGGGTATCTGCTTGTGATTCTTAATTATCCGCTGAAACGGAAACGCGTCGCTTCTAACCGTCCAAGACCGTCTCGTGGTGCAACGTTCCGTCGTCGGTAAGAATTCGTGAAGTCTGTTACATGAGTCAATAATGAACTTGCAGGAGAACGGAAAAAGAGCGAACCTTGTAGAAGCACACGTATCTTGCGACCCTCTGATAATTGAATCTTTTCGAATATACTCGTCAACAGCCTCTCAGCCTCGCCTGGCTTCATCGTGCCGGCTGGAAGTCGTTCTATCGTCGATTGAACCCACAGTCCAGTCTGTTGTGGCAGCAGCTCGAACTGTGTCATGAGTATTCCAGAAGCATCGGGGAAGCAATCTTCTGGAAAACTGAACATCATTCCCGTCAAAACCCGCTCAACCAGAAGTTGACCTTGGTTGCCGACCAGCTCTTTCACTGCATTCCGTACTTCGGGTGGGTTTGTGTATGGTTGTCCATCCGGGTCGCTAAAGTTGGAAATGGACGGCGTCTCAAAGCCAAAGCTCAACAAATCCCGATAGTAATGCAGTGTTGCAATAAGCGGGTCGACTTGCTGTAATGTGAGAGCGCTGAGGCCCGCGGAGAAGATAGATACCACCAGCGAGGAAGTAACGCATTCTTTGGGGTAGAAGCGGATTGCATCACTGGCAAGACGGAAAAAGTCTTCGATCACATCTGGTAATTGCTCAGGAGGCAACTCGTTCAGAATTCGCAAGAAAGTAAGACTTTGTTGCTCGAAGAATTGATACACAGCCTGACTCGTAGCTGCATCAACCAGTTCAGCGCCTTCAGAAAACTCTCTAACGACTGCATCCGTAGCCCACAAGAAACAACCTTCTCGAGACCCTTCAAACCCTGCTGCCAAGCTCTGTGCCAGACTTGGCAACAAAGGAATCATGGCAGTTCGGTAAGAAATGATCATGTATCTCCAGCAACGGCAAACTCGTTCCAATATCGGCGTAGAATTGGTAAAGTTCATTACAAGCGTATTGAGAATTGGCATAATCTCGCCGCAGTATTTCACTGCCGGATTCTCTCCATGTGGCCCAACATATGGCGTGACGAGCTGGATGAAGATGGTAATAAGTTGCAAGTGATCTGATACATTAGCCTCAATTCACTCATATCATTACGTTTAACTTACCTGCAACTGCTCTCTGTCCTTGCTCGTCTTGTGCATTGTTTGCCAAAGTCATGATTCTCGCCATAATCGGATCACAGAACAGCTTCATCGATTCATAAATCTTATCAAGGGGCTGCACTGCGACGACTGCAGCAACACCTTCAGTTATTTCTTCCTGGCTCGGTGGTTTGAGCTTGTCCAGTACCGACTCGTAGAACGAGTGTAGCTGTGGTATATGTCCTCCGAGAAGTTTGTTGCAGTCGCTGCCGAGATATTTAAAGGCAAGAGCTGCCGCTCCAATGACCTCTTGCGATGTGTGCTGAAATCCCGAAATCACATAATTAAGCTGTGCTTCTAGCGTTTCGGGATGGTTGGCTGTCCATTCTGTATACCGACCGAGCGCCATAATTGCAGAGAAGCGCACTTTTTCGTGATCTGGAATCTGAACAATCAATGGGATAACTTGCGGCAGCACTGTGCTCTCTTCCGAATCGACCATTCGCCCCATAGCTCTCATACTGAAAAGTGGTGCCTCAAGCTCCTGCCAGTGAGGCACATTTGCATTTGTTGCCTGAGAGGCATATTTTGATACCCATTGTTGAATCTGTTGATATGCCTTCATCAAACATTCGGTGACCCCAATAACGGCGCAGCAGTCCTTAAGAACATCTCCCATTGAATGACGGAAAGCACGGAATCGCTCCTCTTGTGCACGGTCACCATCGAAAAGATCTGCAGAATCGCCTTCTTCAGGGGTCGGAAATTCCAAATGCTTGATCATGATGTCTACTAGACGGGAGAAAATATCGGCATAAGCGGCCTTCGCTTCGGCATAACGGTCCAGTACTAGGTACTGCTTCAACTCGTACCAGAAATTAAAGGTGAAAGAAACCGCCTCCCGCTCTTTGTCGAGAACACAGCACTCGAGTACGGATTCGACGAGACCGCGGAATTCTCTCGGCATCCTTGCCACCAAAMCCMCCCAAGCCTCTCCAGCCTCAGCAAACAACCTGGTCAAACCTTTGAATGCCTCCACATCTTCGGCTTCTGCAAGTTCTCTGAGCTTCGGGCGAAGTGCCACTATTCGGGGATAAAGTCTCTGTATAGCGGACAGTGAATCGTCCACCTCTCGGGTATCTCTGTAAATCGAACAAATACAGTCCACAGCGGCGTCGAAGGATGCGTCGTTGTCAAGCGCCTTTAATATAACGTCGAGCAACGGCGACTCGACTATTTGAGTGGCGGGAATCTCACGTAGCCAAGATGTTATACAGTCGATTAATCGAGGATTTGTCGCAGCGGTAGCTGAATAATAATTAGCAAATACAAACACAAACATGAGAAAAACATACCTGACGATTGTGAATACTGTGTCAAAAGGTGCATAACTTGGTCCGCATTATCGTCCAAGAGCTCCTTGGTTCTAGCTGCAAGCTCATCTTCCTATTGATCGTTGACGAATTAGATACTTAATCCTGGGCGAAAATCATACGCGGTGCTGATGCTCGTGCAGACGCAAGTTGTATAGTAGGTGGATGATATGATCGATCGAACGTACACTCAGGTTGATTTTGCGACCTTCGGTCACTTCCTCTGGGAGGATCTTCAAGAATTCCAGTACACAGTCTCCAGCATTGCTTCCCAACGCCGAGCCCACCGTTGCTAGGACGTCCTTCCATGAAGTCATCTGAATGGCGAGATTCACCAAGCCCACGCAGAGTTGTGTTTGTATCGGTCGCGGTCCGGAAGCAAACGCGGCAAGCTGATTCAACATGGAGTCCCGCAAAGACGGTACGGCATCGGGAGGCAATTGGTCGAGGTCGTAGGTAATCTGATCATTATTAGTTACTGTCTTATCGTTCGCATGTTCTGCTCGCTCGTACTTTTCCTTTCAACGTTGTCGCGGCAAAAAGTTTCGCCTCTATGGGGATTTCGGGAGTCTGGAGCATAGCATGCGTGGCTGTCCATGCCTCGACCTGTAGAGAGCATGATTAGCATGGAGAAAAGAGCCTCATCTATTGACAGCCCGTCCGTACTGATTTTTGGAATTTCTCCAGATATTCATGTGCTTGGGCCTTTTCAGAGCGCGACACGTTACCCTGCATTGTCGCAACTGCTGCCAGGACAGCAGCGAATGGCTGCCCATCGTTGGATTTGCTTGTCATGGTCGGTGTTTTAGGAGGGGTAGATATGGGTAAAGCTGAGGAGTAGATGGTGGCCGTTGACAGGCGAGAGTTCACACAGCTTTGTTGTTACTTTGCGTCATGAATTCGAGAAAGTTGAAAGGATTGGTGAGAAACAAATAAGGCGAAAGAAATTATTGAAACAACAGGACTGGAATAAAGAGGCAGCGCGCCTGGGAGGTTGTCTGTTGGGGTTCAAGAGGAAGGTGGGATGGGGAGGTGACGGAATCCAAACAAGCTAAAAAAATTAGCCGCAGCAATAATACTGACCCTAACCCTAATGTCAACTTTCTCACCGCCTTCGAGAAAGGTTTAGTTCTGCTCGAGGCACCTCGACAGAATAAGCTCGTCAACTTCTGCCGCAAACTCCACCTCAAATCAAATCCTCTAAGCACACGACAACACACCTCCGTCTTCCTCACCGCACCGTTACGTTCCTGACCTCAAAACTTACGCCCCCAGATTACACGTCTAGGAATCATCATGACCGGTCGCGGAAACCCAGGCGGACGAAAGACGCTCCTTGCGCCAATCCACTTTATTTTCAAGCTATTGCAACAACGCTCCACGGTGTCGATCTGGTTATATGAGCAGCTCTCCTTCCGTATAGAAGGGAAGATTCGCGTACGTCTTGCTTGATTCGCTTGGTTGATTGTGTAGCTTCAGACAGTAGCTGATCTGTATGCATGACTGATTTAGGGATTCGACGAGTTTATGAACCTTGTGGTGGATGATGCTGTCGAGGTCCGTTTGGCAACGAAGAGTGAGGAGGAGAAGAGACGGAATCTAGGTATTTCTTTCTCACTCTTGCCACAATTATGGTTGCGCAGTGAGGGTGATTGCTGACGTTGCCAATTCACAGGTCAAATCCTTCTCAAAGGCGATAACGTTTCTCTCATTCAAGCGGTTCAATGATAATCTCATACGTTACTACGCAAATAAATGGGCGAATGAGGCGAGTCGATTCTGTTTGTTCGGCGTTTAAGGGTTCTTTTTGTTTTCTTAGATAAGGACACCAAAAAATACTACACTTTGAAGGCGGCATGAAAAAGGAAACTGTGGAGAGATGTTATTTCCCGGTTTATGAACTTTTTGCGGATATCAGTCTTCCGTCACCGACGATGATTGCGTCTACGGGCTGGTCATGGCTGGCAACCGGTATCTCATCGGGGGGGATTACTATCTGTTCCTTGAGCGCAATAGCAACTGCGGATTCCAATCAGCATCTGGGCCTAACAGAAACGGAAGGGGGGATCTCTTCAATTTACCAAGGAACGGTCTCTGGCTTGCCCGCGGCGAGCCTGCAATTTCCTTATTGTAATTATTTAAAAAATAATCATAATACCCTTTCCCATGACCTAGTCTCCGCAAATCAGTGTCGAATGCCATTCCCGGCATAACAATCAGATCCAATCCTAGATCAGTTGGATTTCCTCGCGGTCTTTCTTCCAATACACCCGTACCACCTAGACAATTCTGTCGTTCAGGGACGGACTGCTTGTCGAGTGACGGTATCCCCCATTTATCGGGGACGAGGGACTCGAATTCTTCCATTGACTCGAGACGAAGCATATCCATTACAGAGACTTTGGGTTGACTGGGGATTCCGGTTGTTTCGAGTTTGTGGGTGTAGGGAATGAAGACTTCTTTACCCTTGGATAGGGCATCTTGGACTATTCCTGTGGTTGATATTTCGCCTGTGGGCATGGAGAGGAATATGCTGATTCGGCGTGCATTGGTGTATTCGGGCAATGTGAAAAGTTTGTTGGCGACGACCGTAGCTAAGATAATGGATATTGTTAGTGAGATTAGCTAAATAAAGGTATGATAATTTTTTCTGTAGTCGATGACCCAAAGGTATCCGAACATTGAGCAATCACCGAGTCCCGCGGGACATCTTTCAGCAGATTATGGATTTTCCGCCTCAATTCCTTCTTGGCTACTTGAACACCGGCCATGGCTTTTTCCTTCCATCTAGTAATTTCAACAAATCATAGAACAAGTAGCAAAACAAGGGAGGGCAAAGAAGAATGTACAAAAGAAGGCTCACAACGTCATGGCAAGTGCGGGACGGACTAAATGGGCATAGACTGGATTCCATTCCGCGGAGAGCTTGGAATTTGGAGATTCCTCAATGAGCAACAACCATAACATTGAAAATGCAGATAAATTCAAGGACAAAAAAAGAAAAGGCTCTGGCCCACATTCGTATCTCGTAAAACACGCGTCGATGGTCAGTTGTACATCCTCAGTTGCTCGCTACTGCTGGGAGACACATCACAACAGTCACGATGGCAGTCACTACTCACTTCAGGTCACTAATACTACTATTTAGTTCCTTGGTCTGGACAGCACAAGCCTTGGTAGATACGAAATTAACGGGCACATGGTCGTCAAAGTCGCGTCAAGTTGTTACCGGCCCGGTACGTTCATGTCTCTAACTTCTGCCGCTTCTCACTCATCAACAGTTAGGGCTTCTATGACCCCGTTGCAGACGCATTTCTAGAACCTCCCTTGACAGGAATATCATATTCCTTTACGGACGATGGCTACTATGAAGAAGCATATTATCGGGCTATTCCCAACCGTGAGTTTGTTCCTCGCCTTTTCCAAGACACCATCCTGAGAGGAATACAGCAACGCAACCCGACTGCCCCAAGGGGATAATGCAGTGGCAGCACGGCACCTACTCGCTTCAAACGAACGGCTCGCTGGTGTTGACACCGATTCACTCTGATGGACGTCAATTGATGTCCGATCCTTGTGCTGGACATCACTCAACATACACGCACTACAATCAGAGTGTGCTCTTCGAGGTGAGAACAACTAGGAACAAATCGTTTTCAGTTGCAGCTTGCTGACTTCTGACAGAGCTACCGTATATACATGGATAAATACCATGGTATACTGAGACTTGATCTGGCCCAGTTCGACGGATCCCCCATGCAACCTCTATATATCCTTTACCGACCTCCTTCCATGTTGCCCACCACGACTCTGAATCCCAGCAAGGCAGCAGGAAAGGCGAAGAGGGCTGTGGCGATTGATGGAACAGAGAATCAAATATCTTCCATGATAAGAAGCATTGAACCTGTCATCATTGAACGCTGGTGGTGGTTCGGTGTCATTTCGACCTCTGTTGGTGGATTGGTGCTGTGGTGCTCTTGATAGTTGGTTCATGTTGACAGTATTATGTACATTAGACGCATCGTATCTGTTGTATTCCTTTCCAGATCAATGCGGATGCATATCGATTAATGTTTGTTTAGAGAAGAAATATAGTAGTACATGCTGAGGAAGATAAAAGTAACGACGGGCCTGCATCGTCGGGATCTAATTTTTGGAGAGGAGCTCCTTGACGATCTGAGCAACCTCGGACTTTTCAGCGGGTTTCCCATCCAAAGCTCCCCCAGGAGCAAATATGTTCTTTAGCACAGCGCCCACATTGAGCTTAGTGTCTGTGCCCAATTGAGCGATGGTGCTCTCGACAGCAGCTTTGATATCACCTGGTGTCATGGTTTGGACCTGCCCGGCATATTCTTCAAACACGGTGATTTGGGCATCTTCCTTTTCCTTCAGATCTGACCGATTAGCGCTCTGGAATTGCTCGGCGGCGTCTTTGGAGGCAGCAATCTTCTTTCTGATTAGGGAGAGTAGCTGAAGATCGGTTTCAATTGGAGATGCGGTTTTGGCCGCGTTGTTGGTCTCGGAAATGAGGGCTCGTAGGACGTTGAGTCTGTAGAAAATACCACATCAATTGCTGAATCCCAATAGACCATCAGATAAAGCTACCTCGGTGTGTCCTTTGCCCTCATTGCGTCTTTGAGGTCTGAACGAAGCTTGGCCATCAACGGAGGGACGGAGCTGCTGGTTGAATTCCATCGTACAGTGCGCAATCCCATGCGGGACGAGAAACGAATCGCATTGAACATTCTGAGATGGGGAGGAGAATAGAACTGTTTAATCATTAAAAAGCGAACAAGCATATAGCAAACGGAGAGAATAAAAAACTGATGCTATACAAGTATTTATTGTTTTGGAGGGAGCCGGCAAGAAAGAGCTGGGCTGGCTGGTCTGTGCGCAAAATATTGTTTCGAGCTTCCAACTTCCGCGCTTTACTCGACCAGCCGCCTTTCTACTTGGTACTTATGCATCACCGCCAGCTCAACACAACAGCTTCGGTCTCGCACTGAGCTCATTCATCGCTTACATGAGCCACACGGTCTCCTCGTCTTAGACCCTTTTAATTTTGGCCTATATTCTATTAGCTTTACACCGTCGTTTAATCCTCGCGCCGCTTCTTTTCGACGCGGGGAGACGTTCTGTGACAGCCACGGACAGGGCTACAAAATGTCCTATCCAGCTCTAACTCCGACTCGACCAGTGCCAGGAACATTCTTTCAGACCCCGGCAGCGAGTAATATCAATAATGGACCGCTCTTTCAGCCCAGGACGCCATCAGCGCCTGCCGCGCAGGAATCAACACCAGCGCCAGCCCTTCAGAGACTGTCACCGGTAGCTCCAAAAATAAAGAGCGAGACCCTGAGCACAAGAGAACGCGCTGCGCGGACCGTCAATGACACTCTTGCTCAGGAAGCTCGGTATCCGGATCTGGACAATTATCTTTCTCGTGCGTCAATTGCGGTGTTGTATTGGAAAGTCAGTAGAAATCTTTGCTGACTGTTGTTTATAGAAGGGTTTTCATCGGACTACGAGATCCCTGCCCATCCAGCATGGGCGCCATTCCACAAGATAAAAATGTACAATATCCCCGACCAGATATTCGACCAATACAATCGCGCACAAGTTTCGACGAGCATGGGTCTTTTCGCCGAGTTAAATCACGCCTGGGTTGCCATTGACAATGCGCTTTATCTCTGGGACTATACGCATCCCAATCCACAGCTGGTCGGATACGAGTCTCAGCCGAACAGTATCAATGCCGTTAAGCTTGCCAAACCTCGCCCCGGCGTTTTCCTTCCGTCTATCACGCACATTTTGGTCATCTCCACCACTAACGATATCATCCTGCTGGGTATGGGCTGCGAAATCGTGTCTGGTGGTGCAAAACAAGTGACGTTATATCAGACTGGGATGTCAACATCTATCCGTGGCCTTGATGTGCATGTCATCACTTCGTCGGACACCTCGGGAAGAATTTTCTTTGCCAGTTCGTCCGATAACGACGTTTATGAATTCAAGTATCAACAGGAAGAGAAGTGGTTTCAAGGGCGATGTTCCAAAGTCAACCAGACTAGCTCGCGGATTGCATCGTTTGCGCCGTCGTTGAGCTTCGCCCAGAAGCCGACTGAGTCTATTGAACAGATGGTGGTGGATGACACTCGGAATCTTCTTTACACGCTGTCTTCGTTATCTACAATTAGAGTCTTCCACCTAAAGCCGGATGGGACACTGGCACTAGCTATCACGAAACCTGTCATCGACATTTATTCCAACATCGGTCACATTATCCCGTCCAATGAGGCGTTGAATCCCAAAGTGAAGATTGTCTCTATCTGTCCCGTGCCGACTCCAGAGGCATCGCGGTACCATCTTGTAGCCACGACAGCTACTGGTTACCGTATCTATCTCAGCGCAACTGGCTCTTATAGCTGGTCACCTATGCCTAGCGGTACTAGCCCTCCCACTAGTATGCAAGCTCATTTTGTGAAAACTCCCCCCTTCGACACCCCAGCAGCTGTACCTGGCGCGATGCAATTCCAGCAGACTGCAACCACAACAAAAGTCCCTATCCACACTCTCGATCCTACTCGTTTGGCTCAGCGGTTTCCTCCGGGCTATTTCTTTTGCTTTACATGCAAAGACCCCTCGCAAAAAGAAGATACTTTGTTCATCTCGGCACCAGATTCTGGTCGCATTGCTCGTGCTCATGAAAATGTTGTTCCCCCTAAGCCTTCAGAGTCGGCGATATGGCTGTCTTTGGGCAGCAGAGCCGAAGACATCGGTTTGATTACGACCCCCTTGACAGCTGTCGCATCGGCCAACGGATTCGGGAACGAGTTGGCCATTCAATATGACCAGAGTGCCGCGGAATTCGCCATTTTGACAAATACGGGCGTTCACGTTATCAGAAGAAGGCGTCTTGTCGATATATTTGCCGCGCTTGTGCGACATGGAGGTAGTGAAGATGGACTCGAGGGTGACACCAAGAATTTTATTCGAGTCTATGGGCGCAGTGAGGCTCTTGCCACAGCTTTGGCTGTCGCATGTGGACAAGGAATGGAAATCTCGTCTGATTCTCGTCTGACCAAGATCAACGACCCAGATGTTCTGGAATACGCACGCAAAGTCTTTATTGAGTATGGTGGAAGACCGTCTATGAACGAAAACGCAGTTGCAGATAACAGCACCCCAGCGATTGACGCCATTCTCCCGTCTCCTCGCCACGCAGGTATTGCACTGTACATGTCAAGGTTGCTTCGCTCAATCTGGAAAAAGGAGATCGCGATTGCGAAGCCTTCTAAGACCGGACTAGATGTGACACCTTCAGTGAGCGTCGTCAAGCTGCATAGCATTCAACGGGATTTGTCTGCTTTGCAAGAATTCTTCAAGGTTAATAAGAATTTCATTGAAGGACTCAGCGGGCCTGAAGCACTTTCGCGTGCGGCCACGAAACAAGAAGAGATTGCTCTTCAAGCGGAACACCGTGCCTTACATTCATTGGTACAGCTTCTGTCGGATACCATCGAGGGCATCTCATTTGTTTTGGTTTTGTTCGATGAGCGAGTGGATGAAATTGTCCTCGCTCTACCCGATGACGCAAGACAGCGCTTCTTGAAACTTACGTTTGAAGAACTGTTCAGCACTGGAAAGGGCTATGAGATTGCTAAGGAGCTGGTCAAGGCCATCGTCAACCGAAATATCGCAAAGGGATCGAATGTGGAAACAGTTGCCGATGCGTTACGGCGTCGATGTGGAAATTTCTGCAGTGCAGAGGATGTCATTATCTTCAAAGCGCAAGAATTACTCAAGCGAGCAACGGAAGCAGGTGCAAACTCGGAAATAGGAAGAAATCTCCTGAATGAAAGTTTACGCTTGTTCCGACAAGTTTCTGAGGAGCTGCCAATGGATAACCTGGTGTCTGCTGTGGACAGCTACATTACGAATCAGTTTTATGCAGGTATGTCGCGCCGACTTCTCTTCTATTATTTTGGTATCTATATTAACATAACTAGGCGCTATTCAACTTTGTCTCAACGTTGCTTCAAGCTCAGACAAGGCCAATCTGGCTCTCAACTGGATGATGGATGGCCGCCAAGAGGAGGTTGGTTAACATCGAACCATATAAGAGTTGATATACTAATATCGAATAGGATTCGCGCAAGGTACACTATGCGTTCCGCAAACAATGCTACGACCTTATTTTCAAGATCGTTGTCGCGGTGGACAAATCGGCGGCTACTGACCCTGGTGTGATTGACGGCCAGTATACACCACTGGCTAAGCGGAGAAACGAGGCATACAGTGTTATATCCGACTCGAACGATGAAGTCTTCCTGACTAGTTTGTACGACTGGTACCTAGAGCAAGGCTGGAGTGATCGACTTCTTGCAACCCAGTCTCCGTTTGTCGTGACATATTTGGAACGAAAGTCGATCGATGATATCTTCCATGCCGATCTGCTTTGGCGCTATTATGCCCAATCCGAGCGGTACTTTGACGCCGCTAGAGTTCAGTTCCAACTTGCGCAAAGTGCATTTGTTTTGCCTTTGAGTCGCCGCATTGAATATTTGGGTCAAGCTCGCGCCAATGCTTCAACATTCACCCATGAGATTGGGCGACAATCTCGACAACGGCTTCTGCAGGAGATTGGCAATCTTATGGATGTTGCCAATATTCAAGACGATTTGTTGCAGCGGCTGAAAGAGGATGAGCGGTTGAGCAAGGAAAGCAAGAACGCGGTCTTGAAGGAGATTGATGGACCTATCCAAGACCTCACATTGGTATGTTTAATACGTTCAAGCCCTAGCAAAGTAAATTTTTGTACTGACAGATTTGCAGCTCTTTAATAGATACGCCGATGCCGGCGGCTACTGTGACATCTGTTTACAAATATACTATGCAGCCGACCACCGCAACATGACCGACATCCTCTCAACATGGGAAAACCTTCTAGAGCTAACTCACGAACAAACCGTCGCCAAAGGCCAAGCTCAACCTTATGAAGCAGTAATCGAAAAAGTCCGCTCCCTCGGCAGCCGCCTGCGCATGTCCGAAATCGTCTTCCCAGTCCCCAGCATCCTCCCCATCGTCGAACGCTACTCCCTTCAACACCAACGCAACGTCGGCCCTCCAACCTGGGTCGTCGATTTGTTCCTTGACCTCGAAGTAGCCCACGAAACAATCTACACAACCCTCGAAAACATGTTCTACAACGACGAAGCGCCATTTACAGGCGCAAACAAGAAGTACATTGCGACTGATTTGTTGTATATTATTCAGCGATGGTTTAGCGATACCTTGCGTGTTGGAGGCGCGGTGTTTGGGAGCGATGTAATGGCTGCGCGGATTTCGGAGATGTTGGTGTTGGTGCAGCAGAATGGGCTGCCGGGGGAATATGTTCAGATGGCGCAAGAGTTGAGGGTCCAAATAGACAACAGCATTCGATGATTTGTATCTTGTTCTCAGCTCTCTTTTTTTTTTCATGACCTGTTGTTATATTAATCATGTCGAATGGGGGAGGAGTATGTATCTTTTTTTCTTTTTGTTCAAAAAACTAATGTTCTTGGGCCTTGGTTGACAAAACGAACGTTTTTAAACTTGTTTATCTTTGGCTTGATCTCTAGAGCGAGCAGAGTATGCATAGGGCACTAGAGCGTTACAATCTGTATAAATACCTACAGTATAAATTTCATATCGCATCAATTTTGATGCTGATCAAGATGAAGAATCCCATGCAACGCTTGGACTTCTGGTACTTTGAGTCTGATTGCAATCGATCAGAAACATTTCACAATAGAAACGTACGCCGCAGATCGTCTAAAGCAAACATATCTCAAACACGGCAACGAGGAGATTCGCTTGAGTCAAAACAACACCAGCAACAGCAACAGCAACAACGGGTCTGTTTTTTTTCGTCTTGCTTGTCGTCGTTTTGTGCTCCCAGGGCTGTGCCGGCCGTGCCTCACCATATTTTACTGACATATAAAAAATGCGAGACCCCACAAAAGGTGCTGGCTGGACGAGTGAAAGAAAATAAAGTCAGACATCAAGTTAGGGCCATAATCATCTGCAGATGTGGTTTCTTTAGACTAGTATTTTTGGGGCGACTCGTCTTCTGACCAGGCCGGTGCTCCGAAGGCACTGCTCTCCCTACAAAAATAAATCTGGATTTGTCACCTGAAGCTTTTACCTTTGGTAAATCATACCTTAAAGGCAGCATCACTGGTAGGGAGTTGGTCTAGTCCTCAATGCCTATCCCACTATCGGGTTTCCCACTCAGAACGTTCAACATTACGAACTTCCGATTTTGGACAACGCTGGCGATCCTACTCCTACCGTGGGATTTGGAGGAAGCCATCGGCGAGTCTGACAGGCTTCACCTACCGCCAACATGCGTATGGTCGCTGTCGACGCTCACAACGAGTCTTACGTTTGGTTTCTATTAGAAAATCGATGCATGGAGACCGCGAATCAATAGATTACTGTCGCCGCAACCGACGACGACGCCGACGACCAACCTCCAACCGGTCGGACGACAACAGTAACCAGAAACACAAAATGTGGTGGTGGTGGTGTTGATGATAGTCGTCCGGATCGCCGCGAACACCGATCCAAAGAGCCGCAACCGCAACCGCGCCGAAGGCAACATCAAGGGCCTTAATGTCAGATATGATTTCAATAGTGCTAGAAGCAGAGCGCTGTAGTAAGTTCTCTCAGATATCCCCTCAGTTACTCCACTGCCTCTCAATCCTCATAACATTGGAAATCGAAGTTCATGGGCTGAGACTGATTTGATTTTTTGTTGCATAGGGAGTATATCGATCACGTTCCAGCCAAATCACCTCCTCTCATCTCGACGACAACGACAACGACTTCGACCGGCACGGAGCCATCAGCTGTACACTTCACAAAAGATGGTCTAAATGAGCTGTGTTCTTACAACGATGTTACGAGCCCATTTCTGAGCGAAATGAATGATACGACGCTAAGTTTGTTTGAATTATTGGGTCGTGATCTGTTGGATTGTATCATATTGATACTTTATATATCTAGAGCTCTTGATTTTGGTCTTTATAATACACTTAGATGGCCAAAGTTATGGATTGTTTATGAATACTCTCATAAAGACAATTAAGAAGAGAAAACCAGAAGGCAGTTAGGTACAATGATACAATAAACATAATGTAGATGTTGATACGAATTCTTAGATAAACTTCGATGAAAGACGATCGTTTTGGGAGACATAAAGAAGAAGAAGAAGAAGAAGAAGAAGAAGAAGAAGAAGAAGAAGAGAAGTTTATAAAGAAGTCGAGGAGGAAGAGGGTGGTTGTAAGTCTGATAGTGTCTGATCAGATAGGTGTGCTTCAGGCCATTCAAAGCAGGAATACGCCCACCGGAAGGCAATATCTGTTCCATCTTTCTCATCCTCACGTGAAACTTTAACGATCCTACAAAAGGGCTCCTCAGCTGACTTATTAGCTCATTATTATGGAATGAAACAACAAGCAGCACCGATGCGCGTTCGACGAGATCCACCGAATGGTATTGAGAAAGTAGACCGCCCTCTCCACAGTGTCTCTTCTCCCACATCAGAATTCAATGGCGAAAGTCACTCGAGATACCGTATTGTTCCAGGAACTCGATCCCGTGGAAACTCCATAAGATCCGAAAACGGAGCCGATACTATTCGTTCAGCAGTGGCACCTAGGGGGCAATATAGCGTGTTGCACACGAACAGAACATTCGTCACTTGTTTTCCATTCTGCGGTCTGTTCCATGCAGCGACGCCAACAAGCAGGGAAGGTCGCGACGTTTCAGGACATCAGGGGATCGTGTGCATACTGGATAGTCGTTATATTGGAAATGTGGAAGCGGGAGTAATCATTGATGTTTGGCGTCGATTTGGGCTTTATCTTGGATTCAAAGAATCTTTTGAATATGTGCATTTTGGGCAAATCAGAAATGCACAAGCATACTGAACGAATACGAGGCAAATGACATGGCAAATGGCAGCTCAGTAAGCACTTCCTTTCCTTTCTTCCTCTCTTACTGTCCAATAGTTTCACATCCTCATAGCCGACGTTCTCGTGCCAAGGATCACCCGAAAATTGGTTTCCTGAAGGCCATGGATTGAGAATGCAGGCGAAGGAGTCCAGTTTAACGGAGTTTGCTGCTCAAGGCCGAAACTTAGCGCATGTAATATTTTTTCCCACTTCCCATGTGCGAATCCTGCTATTGCAGTCACTTTCAGATACTAATGAAATGTTACTCTTAGTTGATTTACGTTTTCTACGCCTGGTGACTCTAACGCTTACGGGAACTTCCGGGATGAGATTCGCGCCAGTTTCTTTTCACTCCAATACCGTTTGGACTATTTGAATCTCACCGGGTGCTTGGGTAGCTGGGTGTTATGTCTCAAAAGGGCTGCGCGATTGTTTCTCTCTGTCGTTTTATAGGTTTCGATACTTCCAGAATAGTTCGAACCAGAAAGGATGGCTCTCCACTGATAAACAAGGAGAAGCCATATCCTCGTCCTTTCCTCATCTCTTCTCTGCTTATCTCTTTACATTTCTACTCATCATATCATTATCAACCGAATCTTCTACTCAGCAGCAACACATACAACAACTGTACACAACACACTTCACTGCACGCAGTATGTATCTCTCAAATACCACATAGAAATGCAATCAATCTCCTCATGGCTTGCACCGCAAGTCTGTCTTGGAAGAAAGTGAGTTTTGTAATTATCGTCCCTTAGGTGTTCGAACGTATATGAGACATCGTTATACATGATTTAATTGGCAATCATCGCTTGGCCATTGAGTAAACCTGAATGAGGTAATAATATCATCGTCTGGGCTTGATTGGGCATTGTATGCTTGCTGCTGATACTTGTTAGATCTAAGCGAATTATTGCTGAGATAAATAACAGTACATTTTTTTTTAGCTTAGTAGGGATTCCAACAATACTCAGGTCCAATACTCAATGAGTTGGTTGATTGCTCAATCCAAGCTTCTCCACGATTTTTGCACACTCTACCACTCATGCAAAACCTGAAACCAGCTTGTGATGAAGTCAAACCTCGCGGTAGTCTGGGAGAGATAGTTACTTCCCCATGAATCGCCCAGCCACATAATGGATTGATTAGCAGCAACTGTTGGTGCCCAATATGTCAAGTCACCACCATTGGGGTCTCCAGTGCGAATGAAGTTGGCCCAATACTCTGACATGGTAGCTTCGATCTCAAGATCTTCTTCAGTCCAGGTAATATTGGCCTCGTAGTCGGCGTAAGGTATGTTGTTGAAAACATACCACAGTTCAGAACCGTGATATACATTATCCATTCCAATCGGTGGCGCGTGTGTCCAGTAGTACACATAAACGTTGGACTTTGCGCCGCCTGCGGCCCAAGCAGCAGACCATTGCCATGTCCCGATACGGCTCATGTCACGACCGAGCTCGTCGCTGACATCAGCGACTTGAGTATCATTGTAGGCCGGATATGTAGCAAAGAACTCAGACGAAAAGTTCTGAAATACAGTTGAGTACGTAGAATTATAAGATGAGATTGTTGCCACACCGATATCTCCTTCATCTTTATTGCCTCCCGTTAATATGGGAACATCGCCGTGGTCACCTGAGCGTAGAGCCTCGCCGTATGTATGCGTGAGGACATAGCCATCTATGACCGGACGCCAGAGAGGCGGATTGGAAATTATTGCTGATAGGTAGTTGTCTTCGGTAAAGACGGAATCATCCGATTCGTTTCCGTAGTCAATCAAAGTCTCCACCGGTACTTCACGGAGCTCAGCAACAGATGTTACATTGAGAGTTTCAAGAAAGCTAACGCCTTGAGCTTCGGCAGTATCCTTGGTACGATAGCTAGTCGCCAGTCCTCCAGTGTTTGGATCTTTCGGACCACGAGCTCCTGACTCAGAGATGACACCTGCAATGAGGTCTCGGGAGAGTGGTGACCACATCATATCAAGCGAACTAGCTGAACCGGCAGACTGGCCACCAACTGTGATCTGATCAGGGTTTCCACCAAATGCAGCAATGCTATCCGCAACCCATTGAAGCGCAAACTGCTGATCCTGGATGCCGTAATTTCCAGAAGCATTATGCCCTGATTCGGCGGATAAGTCTGGATGAGCCAAAAATCCAAACGACCCGAGACGATAGTTGATGGTAACCACAACGATGTCCTTGATTGCAAGACCGGAACCGTCATAAGTCTTGACATCTCCTGAACCTCCTTCGAATCTGCCACCAAAGATCCAGAAATAGACCGGTAGTTTCTTCTCAGACAGAGATGAAAGTTCATCGGCGGAATAAGTTGGTGTCCAGATATTCAAATACAAACAGTCCTCACTGGTGGTGTTTAAGCCATTTGAGAAGATACCAGCGGAGGAAACCGGTTGCGCACATTGTGGCGCAAAAGTGGTGGCAGATAACGTTTCATTCCACGGTGCAGCTGCAGACGGAGCTTTCCAACGTAGTGATCCTGTTGGAGGGGCTGCATATGGTATGCCTCTGTAGACAGTCACATTGTCACGATAGGGTGACCCGGTTCCTTTAACTGGACCACTCTTGGTGCTTATGATTGGGTAGCTTGAGTTTGAGCTGGCTGCTTGGACAACAGGCAGAGCAGCAACTGCCAGGAGAGAGAGTATATTTGCCAACATCATGTAACTATCAGCAATTATATCAAAAGGGATCTTCAAAATAATTCACTCCCGAGATCCCCGACTGAGCGAGATTTATATTATCGACGAAGACATTTCTGATCAGTCTACCCTTGATCATAGATCCTCCCCTCAATTCACAATTACGCGGCCAATAACCCTATCAAGTGAAGATCACAATATGCAGTTGACGAAATTCCCTCGTATGTACTTTGTTTCCAAGGTTGTTTCAGGGATCTCGGTCAATTGGATCGGCCGACATCTGCTTTAACGTCGGCCGAGCCTAAATGACTTTCTTCAAAACAGTCGATGTTCCTATAATAACCAGTAATAGATTCGCCCCACTAGCGGAGACTACAGGTACTTCTCCTGGACGTTTGCTGGTCATTGGAATCGATGCCATCAGTGAATCCTGCGTTTCTAACCAGTTGATATAAACTATTTCATGATCTGAGACCGACCACTTGTTATATTAAATCATACACTATCGATCCAACCTTAAATGATAAGAAAGTTATGAGCAGATTGGATCTGCAAGCTTCGTCAGAATGTCAATACCTTAATATGCCCCGGTCCCTGGTGCAAAAAATGCTACTACGTATGTACGTAGTACTTACTAGGAGTAACATCTATACAGGGCTAGTTGACAAGAATGTCGACTGAATCGAGCCAGACTACGCGTTCTTTTGTTAACTGCGGGGGGCCGCGTCATATGTATATTTCCACTACGTGAGCAACTTGTCGATCATTTGGTACATAGTGTCCTGAACCCCTGTTCAATTGTATATCTCCTCGAAACTAATCATATTATTCGAAGACAGTAATACAGAAAAAGTCCTCCACTTAGCTGCTGGCACAAAAAAACCTTTATCCTGCATCAGTAGTGTAAGGAAACCACCATGCGAGACAACGACAATGTCTCGTCTATGATTGTTCTGGCCCTTGCTAAATTGAGCCAGTCCACTAAATTGCTCAATCAAACGTTGACGAACATGATGAGCCCGCTTCTGTAGGCTCTCTTCATCCGGTGCATATACGCCTTGCTTAACGTGCCAATACTTGTCCAACTTCTGAAAGGATACTTCGCGGAAAAACTCTTGCAAGGCTGCAATATCAGAGCCCGTATCGCATGGACGAGCGGAGTGTGCTTGTAGATCCGGATCAAGCACTAATGGCACCCCATTTGCAATACTGTTAACACATTTCCCAAGGAGATAAGCTGTGTGATCAATGATATCGCTAAACCCTTCAATTGCAGTCTGGAGTGTTCGGCGGAGCGGTGAGGTCAGAATCATGCCAACATTCTGTTTGCAAGGGAAAGTATCATGCAAATCTCTGGCTTGTTGCAGTCCTTTGAATGACAATTCTGGATCCGGGATGGTCTTGTCGTTGGCTGTGTTGTGAACACCCTCGGCATGCCGGATGACATGAACAGTGCCGATATTCGTAGTAGTAGTCATTTATCAACACGTTTTCTCACAGGGAGACTTATATAAAACATTCAAAATGTAGAGATTACATATAAGCTAAATTAAATCTAAGAATAGTGAAGGGGTACTCGCTCCGTACCACGAAGGAAGATTTTTCCAAGGTTGTAGTCATACGTGACTCCAAGCCCACTTAGGTCGTTTAGCGAGTTGTGGCGCTACATATCGTCCATTTCTCGACTAAACTATACATTATTCGACTTGATTGAAAAGTCGGTCTTCTCCCAATTGAATGTGACATTCAAGGTTAGTCAAGATCAACAGACCCTACTAGAATCGCCGGAAAAGTATATATCCCGGGTCTCGCCTACCAACACTGATCATGAAACGTTTCTAGGTGCAAAATGTCAACTGTTGATCATTTTAGTCATGCGGAAATTGGGTCTCAATGCTACCTAGTTTTCATGGGTCACTATTAAGGAAGCATTATTTGTGCATGATTCTTCTCACTATGACCACTTAATCATAGCCACCTGAGAACTTCGGCCGAACCAACTCTGAATTTACCGACGATTATGATTATAGACTGCAAATCTTTGAAGCCATTGCCCGCAAGAATTGATGATACATAAAGCGTGCTCATTCCGGCCGTAATTGAACCAATAATTACTTCGACTTAAAACTCTTGATGAAACAGCCTACTGAAACACTGTCCCAGAAAAGGTCGGAAGGATCAACATGGAATCAAAGCCAAGAATCAAGCTTATGTTGATGGCAATATTCGCCATAATCACAAATGCAGTTACCGGGCTGTCCTGCAACTCGAGCGCACTGAATACGACTGAATATCTATACCCAATCACCGTGGTTGGCACAACCATATTTGACGTTGCAAAGGCCACAAATCGGGGCGCATGTGATATCGCTCGCATCAACATCATGGCCGATGTAGAAATTGTGCCCAATGTCGGACAAGAAATCCTCATTCCACCACAAGTCTGCGAACCCGACAATGAGTCTTGTATCCTACCATGGAACAACGAGACAACCAACGAATGCATCATGGGTGGTCCACGCTTATACTACACTGTGAATGGTGATACATACGAACGCATTGCTCTCAAACGACTCAACATTACAGTAGAGTCTCTAGTCGGGGACGGCATGAGCAATCAAAGCGCCTCCGATCCTCTAGAGCCGGGACAATACGTCAAAATTCCACTCTGCTCACCCAGCCAATGTGTGATTCAACCATATACATTTACCTACGGTGTTTATAAGGACTTGGCCGAGGAATATGGGACTACTGTCGGGCAAATCATGATGCTTAGCCCAACATACAATTACAGCAGCAGTGCATATACGGGGGCCGGGGGTCCATCTATCGACCTGGCAATTAACTGTACTGCTTTGTCCTCTAATATTACAGTGATTAGCTAGTTAGTCGTCCATCTGGGTTATCGTCTACCAGTTGTAGTAGATGGTAGATGGTATATCCTTGGCAAGCGAATCAGCGTGGCTCATTGTGTATACCATTTATCATTCTTATCGCCGGTATACTATTCTTATCTTCATGTGACTTGGTGCGTGTCTATATATTTTGTGCTGGAATGCCATGTAATAGCTAGATTCCTTCTTTAGTGCATAGAACAATACACCCGTCGAATGTTCACACATATATTTTCTACTACCCAGCATACACAACTTTGCTCTCTCGACCCAGCCCCTACTACTGGGAATCAACAATTAATTTTCGAAAAATGACGAATATTGTTCCCATACTATTGCTCCCCGATCATGTTCGGCCGAATTCATCCAACCTTCCACTTCTAAAGGCGATTCAGAAGGTTTTGAATGAGTCATACACCGCAACATATTGCCGGCATCCCGAGATATTTGGAACCAGGCACATACGGATGGCCGACCCAGCGCAACTTGCAGACATTATCGGAACCCAAGGCTTCACAATAGTCCTTGCGATCATCACGCCTGGGCAATCCTACGACGTGGTTGCCACATGCAGTGTCAAGGATTTTGGTGATGGCGACATCGAAACATACACCCAGTGGAGCAAGAACCTGAGTGGCGCTCAATGGGTGAATCGAAAGACTGCAACCGTTGACAAGGTAACCAATGAAAACCCGCCAAAGTTCGAGCTCACAGCATTCGCAGTGTCACCGCGCTATCAAGCGATGGGGCTGGGCGCCCGTCTGCTGAACGAAGTGAAATGGCTATTGGCTGGCAGAAAATTTCAAACTATTGCTGCCGATACTGCACCCATAGTACATGGACTAGGACCATCGGATGCCACGTGTAACTCTTGGGTCAACGGCATTGACCTTCACCAACTGAAGCAAGTCATGGAAACACAGCAGCCGGATAACATTAGCCAGAGCATCACCAACCCAAAGCTGGTACTGGTGGCCATCCGAGAACTGGGTAATGAGCTCTATTATCAGAAAAGAGGCTTCAAAACTGTGTGGAGTGGCACGGTACCCATTGGTATGTGGGATTGCCTAACAGAATGCACTATGGTGTACATGGAAATGCTGCTAGATTAAATCAAATTTATTTCCGGCATATGATAGACAGATGATAGAGCAAATTTTGTGCGTGGCTTTCCGACTTGAATGCAATTGTCATCTTCTTTGACATGGGATATATCTAATTATGGGGGGAAGTACCAATGTAATGAACATGAGCTAGTCATCCCCGCTGACCAGTCTGGTTTGTGCTCTCGCGTAAAGTCTTATTGCAACGACGAGTGCTGCCGCTGCAGATTCAGTTCACAAAGCTGCCATAACTGCAAAACCTCTATCGACGTCCATGACTTCAGATAGTGACATTGTGATTTCTTGAACAGATCTATAGTGATGTTCCTTTCGATTAAGTCACGAAGGTCTCGGGAGTTGCTCGAGATTGAATTAGGAATGATCTTACACGCTACAATTTACAGAACATGAGAAACAGATCGATTTATATATTGATTTGAAGTGTCACGGGCTATGCAACGAGAATATGCTTTACATTTCAAGGCGAGGATGAATACTTGCAAAACTGTCCGACTCGGGACCCTTTTATCAACACCTGTGCATCTAGACATGTAATTGATTTCAACCTTTGACGAGAGATCTCACAGTAGACCATTTCAAATTTTGAAGTAGCCCTTTTGCCAGCGATCATGAATCGCTCCACATCGGCCTTCACATACGAAAATGGCCTCGCCGTCAAAGACAGAAGATTTTTGCAGTCATGTACTTCAACTGCTGAAATTCCAGTTCATTGTCACCGTATGAACCATCAACAACCATTTGCATAAAGGAAAGAAGCCACACACGTCCCGCCTCACACTCTCCGTTGTTTATCTTCCAGATACCCATCAAAATGTCGTCATATACCACATATGGTAGCTGGGAACGTTTGCAACGAGGCTATTAGTACTAACACAGTACCCTTTCAGTAATCTGATCTGTTTTCCGGCATCTTACGTCCCTGTTCCTGACCGGAAGGCATTTTGGACCAAACATTGGGCGTAGGGTCTTACCAATATAAGTGTGTTGATACTTGAGACTTTTTTTTCGAACTTAAGAAGGTCGGAGGAAATCTTAACGCCGTCCTCCGAATGTGCATCGCGTTTTCCTCTCTCCCACCATAGAAATAAAATATATCCGCCAGTATGATACTTGAAAGAAACTCTAGAATGGGTAATCGATCTATTCTTGCAGCTGCAATCAATTCTCGATAGACATTCTGAATCCAGTCAACTGCTCCTTTCATCTTGAATACTCCTGCAACTTTCCGGAAATGCACCCAGAAAGGTCACATTCCGATAAATGAAGGACCGAAGATATGTGGCATATTCCAGAATGCTCGCGAGGATTCTAGCATCTAACGTCTTGAAAGCACGAACAAGCTCTGTGGTATCACTTTTGGGAAGTGCATTAAGATACCGAGCCATACATCGTTGTCGACCCATGACCAAGTCGAGAGACTTTCTAAAAAGTTGCAGGGCCAATTTATGGTCTCCAGCTACAAGTGCTGTCTCGGCGATATCTTCATATCTACCAGCAAGGTTGTGCTTTTGCTGAGCTGTAGGTGGCAGATATTGAGATTCCAAGATGTCTTCCAGGACTCTGAGCTCAGTGTAATGAGGTGTATTGCTGCCTGGTATCGTCCTCGTTTCTTCTCAGCACGCCCCAGACCGGCGGGGGCCAGCCAGTTCCGGGAATGCAAGTTTGTAGCAGCTCGTTAATGCTCTTCTGCTTCTTGGAGGTGTTCCAATTGCATAAAGCACATGGCTATTCTCCGATACCATTCCGCATTCTGTGGCAATCCTGTGCTCTCGGCCACTTCCAAGATCGTTTATGCCGATAGCCCTTGCAGTTCTTTTTCAACTGGATTCCAGTTTTGTAGATATGACATATTATAGATTACTTGCAACCAAAAGTCGACTTTCCACATATACACCTGAAGCCACTGTTTTGCTGAAAATCGTGCTGCCGGGCGGAAAAGCTAATAGGGCCGTGCCATGATTGCCTCGGCGCACCGACGACTATTCTTGGAGATGTGTTTTGTGGTGGCGCGCGGTTTTATTATTACAAGCAGAGACTCGATATTTTCTTTGTTCAAACCCAGCTGACGATGGATGTGGGAATTAGGCATCATCCAGGTCATGTGGGAAGAGGAGAGGGCAATCAATCGCCGTTTACGTCTAGACACGCTTCACTATACATTGTTACTACTGAAACTGTCTGTACCAACTTATTGATTGCAAAGTACGTGAACACTTGAAACGCAAGCAAGCTCAAACGCCTTGGGCGCACCTTCCAAATCTGTCTCGTTTACCGTTTGCATTGTTCGTCATGGGCCAGGGCGCACCTGCCTCGTTCCCCCATCTCCCCCATCTCCCCCAACTTTCCTTCTCTCCTCGTCCTCTCCCTCTCCCTATCTCCCTCTTCCTCATTTTTTCCCTCTTCTTCATCTTTTACCTCTTCCGCAATCCTTTGCTCTTCCTCATCCTTTCCCTCTTCCTCAGAGCTTGTCAAGTCGCTTGGCAGACAGACCGAGTCAGAAGCCATCTTACGCAATGGACTCCGGTATGCTATTCCTCCCCCTCTTCACAATAAGACAATACGCTAACCCAACTCTCTCTTCAATAAAGAGGGAGACACCGTCCAGTCTACCATAGACAAGGAGAAAATGGCACAAATGCGGGCTGCATTTACAGTCTGGACGACTCCAAAAGCTAATAAATCAACAAAGCCTGAAGATTCAGTAGCTTCTTATACCAACCCGTCAGCAAAGCTCAAAAAATCAGCGACCTCTGAGGGCTATACGCCAATGAAGGGTGAAGAGCTGGCGACTTTTACTAAAAAGGACGTTCAAGAAACTCCGATGATAGATGAAGACAAGAATTCAGGAGCGGCAGTTAGAGACGAGACCCAACGTTTTCGCCCGATATCTCTTTCAACTCACAGGAAAATAATCAGGTATTCCCACTCTCTGCAGCCAGTCTTATCAGGAGCACAGAGAAGGAAGAGCAGCGTATCCTAGCTAGAGTTGAAAACTCGCAGTCTCCCCGGCCTCAGAATTTCCTCGACCGTTTCAGGGCGGGTCCATCGCCGACGGCTTCACAAGACGCGGAATCCGAAGGGGACGATGAGTCCGCTCTATGAAATAACAATCCAAGGAATGTCGACAAGGGGAACAGACCAGCTCACCTTCCAATACCGGAAACAATTGAACCCTCCGTCCGACGGCCCAGTGACTCCAGTGGTCATTCTGGAAACAGCAGAGATCCTAGCGACCCAGACAATTCGGATGGATCGTCTTCCGATCCCAACGACAACGACAGCCACCACAGTCATCGCCATCATCGCAGACGGACTGTCCACCACCACCGGAAGACATTGAAAGCCGAGGACGTGTCCCTAGTGCTTAAGAGGGAACGGGATCAAAAAATGGCTCACCCAAGCCGATCCCCAAAGTTGCAAGGAAGAAACCGAGTCAGATGGGTTTCGCATCGGCGATGGAAAGATGGACGGCGGTGTCAAAACATCCCCAGAAGAGACCGTACAGATACCGCATACTATGGCTAAATAGGCGACAAAATGTATTTTATACTAGCAAACCGCGTGAAGGCGACCGTTAATATTGCGGATTCATAGCTTAGTAAGCGAATATATGCGTAGTCGACATAACTATAAGACCATACGTAAATTGAGGCCTAGTTAATGTACGTGCTTGTACACAAACTTGTACCTAGTTGGCCTACGTGCTTGTACATAAATCAAGGCGTCGTTGGCGTACGTGCTTATGCCTACTTGATGTTATCTCAAAACAGCCACTCCTGCGCCACTGCGGTCGCCATTCTGCTGCTTTGGCCCTAAATACAAGGCCAGTCCGAGTGGCTAGATCTAGGTTAGCTGATTCAGTATACGTTCGTTATATCTAGTGCTTTTCCCTGTGCTACACAGAATCACGATGTCTTTTGTCTTTTCGTCTTTATGCATCATCGGACTTGTCGGGGGTTATCTAGGGCTTTGTGTTTCTTACTGATTGATGTTATATCGATCAGAATGGTCGAGATGGGGGTATCCTATACGACTGGGAACTCGAGCACATCGTCACAGACGCGATTCAGACCACATCGAAATCAGGCGTCAAGTCACTCACATTCGGTGCCGGTGCAAATGCCCAATTGACTCTCGGCCACCACATGAAGGGCGCCGAAGTGCGCATTTTGCAACATACCTATGAGGTAGTCGCCAAACAGTTCCATCCCGCGCGCAAGAGTGAGTTCCTTATGAAACTAGGTGCGCATGAGGAGCCGTTGTATATTGCTTACCCGCCTCATGAATCAGGATCGCGCGGTATTTGTGCCATTATGAATTTCTTCAAGTATTGCTTTGCTTCCTTTTTGTTCCTATTTCTTCTTCCAATGCTTGCTGCGCTCCGGGAATACAACCACTGGAACTGGATCCACATTCGAAAACCTAAATGTAATCTCCCTAAAGTAGAGATCACGATTGTCTGCTAGGCTCACTAAACTTCAAATCTAGCTCATCAAGGCGGCTAAAAGAGCTTTTTCATTACGACGAGGACGTGGCAAACTCTATGCTTGTTCAGCTAGAAATATAGATCACAGTGTAGTCCGCGCAGACAAGGTGAAAATATACGATCCTCCATACAGGCAAGGAGTTCAGCGATATGCGTGTGGTTAAACGCAGCCTTATTGGCCACCGTAATATAGGTGGAGGATGTAGTTCTTTTTATATAGGAGTATATATGTCTTATATAATCAAGTCAAACACAGTATCGCTCTTTGGATCATACATGCTATTTCTAAATAACAATATACATAGGTATGGACGTGTACGCGATGCCTTGAAACCACGAAGACAGAAAACGAAGAGGAATAACCCTATAGTAATATGGCGCTCAGTAAATGAAAACGAGTCACTGCATTGACGGAAAGCGATTGCTGCTTCATACCATCTGTTCAGAGCGGATTTACCTTTCTCTATCTGTGTCCGTGGCGGTATTGGGCGGAAGTGTAATAATTGCCTTGATCATGGTTATGCGACCTGCTCTTTTGCTAGATGAAGATGGTGATCTGTGTTTGTGTTTTTCCTTGGGTCCCGTATCAAAAGACAAGAAGGATTATGATATATTGCCATTAACCACTATGCGGCTGGCAAAGAAAAGTGCAACGCAAAGTTCCAAGGTTACATGTACTTGTCATCGATGAACGCACAGGGACATGAATCATCTAACCTCCAATTGTGCGCTAAAAAAAAGAGGAATACGGTCCCATTGAAGGGAGAAGTGTTCGCGTTTGTATGAAGAGTACGGAGAGTTCCTTCCCCTAAGCATACAGACCGAAGTATGCAATCGGAAGGCATGAAGGCACTACTGGCAAGGATTAACACATCATTGTTCAGAACTGTTTACGTACGAATATAAAAGTGACGCCTACTCCGGACTTACTATAATCTTTACCTACAGATCTTGGCATTTCTCGAAAGTAGATCGGGAAGGTATCTCCCTATGAACTGAATCAACAAGAAGGTGCAAAGACGCGGCTTCCCTGATGCATTGGGGCATTGGGGCAAGGAGAGTATCTATCGTAGACTGACGTTTCCCCCTTTTTCCCTTTTCTTTCTTCCCAAGTATCATCGACGAAAAGCCTTTTTTTTTTTGAAATATCGTCCGAGAAGCTCTTTTTTTTTTCTTTTGCAGTAGCAACAACAACAACAACAACAACAACAACAACAACAACAACAACAACAACAACAACAACATCACCACCACCACCACCAGCAACAATGGGCTTGTTGGTTTTCGTCTTGCTTGTCTTCGTGTTGTGGTCCGAGGAGGCCTCCACCATGCCTGTGCCTGTGCCGGATGGCACAAATGATGAACTTCTCGGGTGAGCTTCCATATCTAATCGTAACTAGACTCGCAGTTTCGCTAATAATATTGATAAGGGCAAAGAGAGTTCTTTCTGACCTCATTGGGCAGCTGTTATTCGGCATGATCTTCCTGGTAGCGTTCGCTGTGTTGTGTTACCGCTGGTATGGATCTAATCTCCTGTGGACCTCCCGGAATCGACAGTTGGTTAATTTCTTAATAGCGCCGTTACAAAGACAACTTGGAAGTTTTGGTTGTGGGATTGGGGATGTCTTCGCCGTCTTCGTCGTCTTCGCCGTGCCACCGCCGCCGACAACAACAATGAGCCAGTCCGGTTGGACAACCTCCAACCGGGAGATAGCCGGAATGGTATCTCACCGGAGCATGCTCCTTTGGAGCAGTAGGAGAACGGAGTTTTCGGAAAGTCAGGAAGGAGGGGATATTTGAGAACGGGAAGGGCGCTCGAGCGCTACAATCTGTTGATGAGCTATCAGAGGTAAAGCAAGTACACATATCACGCCTTCGCGGTGACCTTGAGTATGAATGTTCCTTGTTCTATCTCTTTACATTCATCTACGCAAATATGCATTAAGACTCAGGCAACACTGGGAGCCTATGCGAGACATCGATGTAGGTGCCTGCCTAGTCGTTCCGTTCAAGACGTGAATAGCTGCCTAGGCAGGTAGCAGAGTCTGATATCATTTGATGAGATATTTACCAGTTCTTCGGCCAGAGTCTGTATGTAATCGCTCAATTACCATGGGTAGTATTTCATTTACTCATGATCGGATCAGGCTACAAACGTCGGGGAAGCAGCTGCCTGCGCAGAGCAGGAGGTATATAATCACCTTGCACCTCCCACTTTTCGCTTCACACGTGTTTTCTTTTTCATTTCATCTCACAGTTAACATCTTTCTTGACTTACTTGACATAAATATTGTCTAGTATTCCTACGACCTACTTTGCAGTTCTTCAGTAGACGTGATCCTCACATTCTTCGTCTAATCCGCTTCCCCCGGACCCAACCGTTCTCCTACAAGACCTACAATTGAACTACCGGTTGCCGCCTCGTAACACCTCCGAACGCTTTACATTCTCCATGTGGTTACCCGAGTCTTGAATGTATGTTTTGTTTTTGGTTATATGTTGCCCTGACCATCCATCCCTCTTTGTGGTGACTTCAAGGCGGACCGAAGGCTGACATTCTATGCAGCACACACAGATTCTACCGTCCCCTAACGAAACCGCCCTGGCCAAGATGTTCTCACGGATTGAGCAAGCTTTATTCGATCGCGGTCACGTCAATAGAGTTCACAGTCTTCAAAATGCGGTCAAATTCGTCGAGTTTTTTTATCGTCTCAGATGGTCTCAGACGTCTTGGATTGACGACATGCTCAACATAGAGTTCAAAGCCATAAGTATAATACAAGCTGAGATTTCTGATGCTGAAATTGTGCACAGCCTCGAGAAACTTCGAAAGATTGATGGGAATATGACAAGAGAGGAGGAGGAAACCCTTGAGAAGGCTCAAAAAAGACTATTAGAGCATAACACTAAATGGTGGGCCATTACCCACAAGTATTATCAGCTTCTGTTTCACAAGCCAAAGGGCTGTTATATCCGACAGCTAGATCTCTTCCGTAACGCAAACTTGGTATATCCCGAGGAGAGAATTCAAAGTGCATGCAAAGCAGTGGGTGGCTGCTGCGCATATAATTGTGGATGTTGTTACCGAGACAGAGGTTCTCACAGAAGGCTTGGCGTGCTGATGCATTGTGTGAGGGAATGCGGTTGTTGTTTGCGAAGAAGAGGGCAGAAACTGGTTTATACTGATAAAGATAGATGGGCCCTGAGCATAATTATTGTGGATTACTGGAGTCGAAATGGTGTTAGGAAATGATTCAAGAAGCATGGGCAATCATTAATTCATGGTTAATCATAATATATACAGTTTTGTTTCATACAATCATTAATCTATACTTCTGGCGCCCTCCTGACGTGAATATTAATAACCCCTCTCCTTAAATCGAAGGTATCTTTGCCAGCAGAGGCCCATCAGATCCCCTAATAGGCTCTTTTCCCTTGGGGCTTGATGATCGGGTGCCCTCCCGCACGTCCAACTGTCGAGTTCTTGATGGCCCCGCCACCACGAAGGTATTTGTCTCTTCGGGGCCCTCCTCGGTCTCGATTGGCGTCTCGTTCTCGCCAGGGGGTTTTTGTCCGGACCCCTCCGGATTGTCGTTTGGGAGCGCACTGACGGTCAGATTCCGCTCTCGCGTCTCCCCCGATTCGGTATCGTCAAGGGGTTGTTGTCCGGACCCCTCCAGATTGTGATTTTGGAGCGCACTGGCGGTCAGATTCCGCTCTCGCGTCTCCCCGAGTTCGATATACTCGGCCTCTCGGCCACGGCGGCGAAAGTCCCACAACCAGAACTTCCATGTTTCCGTTTTGTCTCTATTGCGTAGTTGAAACATTAGTGATCATGTTCCGGAGGCCGCCAGGAGTAGAGATACGTACAGTCGTCGCCAAATCAAGGCGAGTAAACCAAGGAGGCCGATACCCCCAACAACCATCCACCAGTTATCTTCGAACCACTTTTCTGGTCTTTAAAGAAACGTTAGAATCTCCAAATATCAATGATAAGATAAGGGATCCCACCCTTTGTATATTATTTTGAGGCCACCAGGGCCATCGACCTCGGTCTGGGTATCACCCGGGTCTTGGGTTGGGGGCGGGGGGGGGTTCTTGGATTGCGATGGGGAGGGCTCCGGCAATGCAAATGAAGTAAAACAAATGGCTGAGTGCCATTTCTGCTGATTGTTTTGAAAGAAAATTTGATACTATTTGGTTCTGTGGAGGGCTTCAGATGTGGATGTGATAATAGACAGCAGCTATGTAAGGACGACTACAGATTCCTACTTGACTCTACATCGATAGCGTCCTTCCGTCAAACCAACCTTCCGTCAAACCAACCTACTGGACCCGCTCTTCTAGTCACGACTCGCGTGTAGGGCGCGTATGGTCTTGGCGGAGCGGCTATAGCTACTCTAGAAACCTCACCAAGATGTTTTCTGAGTGTGTACATGTTCTCGGCACATGTAGGTGTGAAGAAAGCATCGATTTCTTCCATTGATTAACGATTTTATAGACGATATTGAATTAGGGCTTTTGTATTCCATAAGTAGTTAGACTAGACCACTTAGTCGCCTGCCAAGGGTCGGTCATGTGCCAATCCCTTGCATGTCCTCAGGAGATGACGCACGTCCCGGTCAGCAGTGCCGAGGGCCAGCGCCCACGGTCGGAGATTTTTCTAGCCGAGTAATTTACACCATATCCACCTAACCATAACTTATAGACATATGTAGATTTTTCCTAGTAAGCAAACAACTACCAAGGACTTACCGTAGAAGCTCACTAAAAGCACACTACAAGCACACTACAAGCACACTACAAGCTCACTACAAGCTCAATACGAGTTCCCTATGGTTATTTGGTTAATTAACTGGTCGTGAGGGCAACTATCATGCCGCATCATATCATAAAGCTTTTCTTGGTAGGTCCTAGTGTCATGGAATTAATTTAGTTTATTGAACCCCCGCCCGCTGTGTTTGTCACCAGGCAAATGCACCAAGACAGCTATTTTTTTGAGTGACCTGATACCGGTAGAAATGAAAAAACAGCAACCCCATGTCTCAGTTTGCAGAATCCTAGGCTGTAGCTCGGCGTCACTATATAGATGTAGTTGGGCTTGTGACTATTTGTGTGACTGCTCTTTACAACATGCTTTTTACTGGGCTGTAGATGAGGAATTTGGAGGTAGCTTAGCAGTCTTATCAGATCATCGTATCGACAGATGATCTACTCAAAGATCCACTACGTTTGTCCTCTGGCTTACACGGCATCACTCGATTTTTCGAAATGCAGTCTATCAAGCTACAAGGGATACCTCCTAGTCCGTGCCAAAATGCCATAAAAAATTCCCCCAGTGAAGAATTCAGATTAGAGACATCTGTATACGGCCTAAACGTAGTCGACGCCGCTGATTCGCCACTTTGTTGTCGATTTACCACATACAGCTTAGCGCCGACACTACCCCTAAAGACTCAAAGATAAAAGAAAACAGAAAAAGAATCAGCCTCACCGTCTACCATCACATACTCCCAGCACTTGACATATATACACGCTAAACTCAATCAACCATAAACCTCAAGAGAAGAACAAGAAAAAAAAATGTCCCGCCCGCTCCTTTCCCGCAAACCCGACCTCTTAATTACCATCTTCTTCTCCCTCCACCTCTTCTTCGTAACCTGCGTCGACTGTCTCGATCTCTGGCCTACATGGCTCTCTTCCTCACCTTACCTCCCATTCTTTACACTAGGCCGTGTATTGCGCGATTTTTACCTCGAGACGTATCAAGACAAGCTTGTCCTTGAGCAACCGGATTGGTTTGTTGTGTTCACATGGTGCGAGTTGTTGTTCCATGTTCCTGTCTGTTTGCTGGTAATCCAGGGCTTGGTGAAAAGTATGTAATCCCCCTTCCCGTTCTGTCTAGGTCAATGTTTGAGGGGAAGGCTAAGTTGGGTAGATTCGCCGCTCGTCCCGTTAGGAGTTATCCCCTGGACTGTAGAGACGTTTTTCACGACGCTGCTTTGTGTGGTCGAGATTTGGGGGTGGGATGATCGCTCAGAGACGATCAAATGGGGGTTGACGGGGTGCTACGGACCGTATCTGGTTATTTGTAAGTCTCTCTCCTCCCTTATGGTCAAGTGGCTACTGATTTTATGAATAGCTGCGGCGTTATTTGTGGTCATGTATGGACGGGTCAAAGAGGCGCTTGTCTTGCAGCGGCAACAACTGGAGAAAGTGAAGGGACAGTAAGAGTATGTCTATGCGAATCAAATCTTGTTCTTAATAATACAATAGATAAAATCAACCTCCAAGCAGGAAATTAATGGCTTGGTCTACGTTGCCATTGCTTGCATCCAATCCAGATATGGCCTGTTCGCGGCTGAATCCCAGCTCGACAATCTTGTTTATCGAGCTTGTGGACCAGCGTGACGATGTTGATGACTGTGATGCTCCTCCCAATGTCCGAGTTTGGGGTTGTGTAGGCTGGGCAGGTTGATTCTCAGCATGGTGTGTGACGGCGCCTGAGCGGGCACCAATTTCTGCTCCGTCTGCTCCGCGAATGACGGGTTCATCTTCAAACTCGTCTTGGAATTCTTTCGGGATCTCGGCTTCTCCCAAGAACGGGACAGCTTGATCTTGGATGACCAATGCGCCCCGTTTAAGGTCGATACAAGCTTGATGGCGTCTCAGCATATCTAAGCCCAAGAGCAAGTCAATGTGTTTTCCTTCCATGACTGTAAAGGAACAGGGCAGAAACATAGATCCAATCTTCAACTGCGCCGAATGCACCCGTCCAATGATCTTGGCTGTGCCCACTCCTTTGGCAATACCCCCGTAGCGTTGATCGACGAGACGCATAATATTGCAAGCTGCTGCACACTCGGGCGACATGATCGTTACTTGAGCGCCGGAGTCGACGAAAGCTCTGATGGGTTTTCCGTTCACTTCGACTGGAATGTACAGCATAGTCACGCGGCCGAATGCTGCATTTGTTAGCCGGCGATCTAGACAATAAAAAAGTAGACGTACACTCTGGGTGATGCTCCATAGCATTATGCAAGTTCTCTGTGACAGCCTGCTGTCGAATAATCTCTTCAATCTCCCGCTGCGCATCGATATTGAATGGGTCGGCGTTAAGTGCTGCAATTTTTGCTTCCTTCTCACGTTCCAGCTCCTGTTCCCTCCGCTTCTGAGCAAGTAAGACTTCCTGGAATCGTCGAGGATCTTCCGCCGCAGCAGCCAAATCTGGATTCTGACGGCGCACGGTCTCCATAACTCGCGGGTCACCCAACAAATTCAAACGCAGAGTCTCGGTGTCGAATAATGGTTGTTGTTGCTGTTGTAACTGCTGCTGTCGCTGTAATGCCTGCGATCCAGCTGCAGGGCCACCCAGACTCCGTGACGTAGGTTGAGGCCGACCCCCTCCGACGTGAACCAGCAACATGTCTCCTTCGAGTATCCCCACTTGTTCTAGCGTCTGAGCATCGTTGCTGAGGAGTTGATTATTAAAAACCAATCGCTGTGCGGAAGGGGGTATGTTGGAATCGCTTTCGATGACGGCTTTGAGAACTTCGAGTGTCATGTCGCCGGCGACATCGAGGGATATGATGTCGGCGTCCGACTGGTCGGGCTTGATGACGCTCACGGCGATGCGCCTGTTTATTAGTACAGTGTCAAAAATATGGGATAAGAGCGCTCACATCTTGACAGGCTTGGTAATATCCCTTGTTTCGCTTCACTCTTGTTTGACCAGATAACGATACGCGGAGGGAGCGGTCGACGGATAATCAACGCGATGGCGGGGTTGTGTGATGACAATACGCCTGAAACGAGCACGGAGAACCGCAGAAAAAGGCGATGGCTTCAGTTGTAACAAGGATGCAAGAAAGAAGGCAGAGATGAGCTGTTATAACCCAAAAGACATAGTTAGTCAGCGCAGAAAGAGCTCGAACTCGACAGACTGGATTGTTGTAGTAACGTCACTAGCGTCGACGCTAGAAGCAAGAGGTCCGAAAGGGATATTTAATAGCGCGTAGTAAGACTGGAGGACTCCCTGTCTGCACTTATTTAGGACGGGCGCTTCAAGGGCTCGACACCAAAGGACATGAGCAACAGGGGATGGGAGAGGGTGTAAGTTGTCAGTGGTTGGGGAGGAGAGTGAGCAGAATGCGCTCAACAAAAGCGTGGAGAACAGTTCCGGATACGGTGAGGTGCGTCTGGCGCGATGAGCCTGCTGCAATTTTTATGTGTCTACCTTGGATAGTTGATGTGGTGGAGTCATTTAAAGTAAACAAACCGACTTTCTGTTATTCGAGAACGGTTTTGATGATTATTTTTGATTGTCTACCTAGGTACAATGTGATTAGCGAGATGACGTCGAGCGCATAGCGTTCACCGGGGTTCTCCATCCACAGGCCCGATAAGCCAGAATCTATGAAACTTATGATTAGTCCTTTAGCATGGCGAGAACCGGCCAATAAAGAGAAACTGCGGCCTTCTAGAAATGTTTCATCTGCTTGTCATTCATGTGATCCGAGCGGCAGATGAGCCGATGAAACGGGCAAGGACTTGAGCTTATGCAGACATTGTCTTGCTTACATGCGCGGATGTTGCACAGCAGCCGTATGGATATGGTCCAAATGTCACTAATGTACCTACCAACTTAGGTATTGTCAATGTTGTCCGCGTCATCATCGCCGTTACCTGACTCGAGTATCATCGGCATTCTGCCGGGAGAATATTCGATACCAATTCGATAATTAGTAGCTTGATGATATATATCCCTGAAAAGATGCGTTCCATTCAGTCGGGTCGTGTTCACTGCCAGTGTGTAACCACCAAGAACACATGACCGATTATTTGAACAGTCTACGAGGTAATTGATGCGTGACAATGATGGTGCAAATGATGTTAAGGCCCAGATCGTGTGTAAATTATGGCTCAGCCTTATCGTGGGGTAACCAATTACGAAGAATACCCGCTCTTTCCAAGTCCCGTATAGGTAATTACCGTCATAATACGTTCCGGTCACCAGATCTTCCTCCGCTTCGTTTTTCCTCTTCTTTTTCCTCTTTCTTGGTTCAGATCTAGCCTGCATTTGTTATATAGAGCACTGGGTTCGATCTCCTGGGTTCATCACACATCGTCATTAACACGTTACAAGCGTACAGGAGATATTTCTCGGTATCTCGTCGTATTTGATTTTTGCCTGCCGTATCGATACGTACAGCGGGGTCCAAGCTTTGATTGCCCGGATTTGTGTATCTTTCAGGATTTGCTTCGGTTCGCCTGGAAACACCATTCGTACGCATACCCGGACTTGAATACATCCATCTTCGTGTATAGCTCAGTGACTCATTGCAATTATTGTTTCACTCAGACAACAGGCCTTTCACGGTCAATTCTTTGTGAAAATCATCGCGACCAAATCAATCCCTTGCAATCACCGACGAACAACCAACACGAAATGACGGAAAACATGGCATCACCACCCGCGGAGAGCGGACTCGCCGATGCCGACGAGAATATCATGAGCGCCTCCACCGCCAGCGAATTGACACGAATCTTCAACAGCGCCGGCATCATTCCCGGACCTGTAGGCGGTTATATGTCGTTCAACCCACACGGACACGACGACGATGACGATGAAGAAGAAGTTGAAGATTATGTTGCGGTCGATCACGACGATGCACCTGACTACTCATATCTGTTCCGACGACCATCGCAAGGAAGGCAGCGCACAGCCTTGGACGAGCTTTATCCTTTTACGAGCGTGTTGACGGTGAATAATGTCGAGGATTGCGTGAAGGTAGAAGAAGTTTTTCCAGAACATGAGCGGGCTTCAGAGGATAAGGTTTGTTGACATGTTGATCCTGGTCGAAGTAGTACTAATGTTGTGAAAACGTGCAGTTCGTGTATCGTCTCACAAAATGTCCGGAGTTGAGTTTGGGAATATTCTCATTACCGATCCTCGACCAGGGCGAAACTAAGCCTCGACCGGAGTTGATTGCACACGTTATTGCGACCCGCACATCATCGCAACGAGTCACGGAGGAATCGATGAAGATCCCCGAGGATTGGCAGACCAACAAGCGCAGTCTTCCAGACGCCGGCGAAAAGAACTACATTGGACATGAAGATCAGGGCAGCACGGTGGCATTGCATTCGCTTGCCGTCAAGGCAGAGCACCAGAAGAAGCGGGTTGGTTCAACATTGATGAAGTCGTATATTCAGCGCATCAAGGAAGCACAAATTGCGGAGCGCATTGCGCTTCTCGCGCATGACCATATGGTGCCGTTTTATGAGGCGCTTGGATTCGAGAATCGTGGGCCAAGTGCTTGTACATTTGGTGGTGGTGGCTGGTTCGATATGGTGAGTGTTTTTTACCAGCCGGAGACGACGACTGCTAATGGTGCATAGGTCCTTGAATTCCCCAAGGATCAATTAGATGACGAATGATCGGAAGGATGTCTGGAGAAAAATCTCGTTCAAAAGAAGTCTTCTTAAACATTTGGTCTTACAACTTGGAGAAAATTGGGTACGGCGTTACGAGTTGCTTTATATACACGTTTGCTTGCTTTCTGCTGGTTTCATTTTTTTTGGGTTTTGATCGTGTGACGGATGGATGGCATGGGTGGTGAGGGGTCTATGCATGGTTATGGCCGGGGTGATACATTTGTATAATAGGGTTGATACCTAGTAGCTTGAGCTTATGAATGTTTCTATTCTCTATTCGCCTTGCCTGAAGTGAAGTCATTCATGCGTATCGAAACCGTCCTCCAACCCAAGCACTTTGCAAAGATTTCAGTGTAAATCGAGTTTCATCAACCATTCAATTGTCAGTCGATATGCCATCATCTACAATAAATAAATAAATAAATAATCACTTCTATCTAGGTAGTTTTTGACTATATTTTTCAAGGTGATCCTGTTCGAAATATTCACTCGGCTAAAACTGCCGCACAAAGCCGTTCACCGCCTCGCGAAAACCTTCTCTCTATGGCCCTGAGTGTCCCGCTTTCCGACCCAATCGATTAGAATTTTGATACGAATATTTTTTTTTCCTTCCTCACTTATCAAGACCATCACATCAACACAGGCTTGGACAGATTGTTTCGCCAAACACTTGTCCTCTGCCCATAATGAAGACCACATGGAAGGAGGTTTGTTGATTAAATAAAACGCCAAAGATAATTTCATGCTGATTGATTCTGCTAGATCGCTCCGGTGCCGACCAACCAGGAATTCCTCGATATCGTCCTTAGTCGCACACAACGACGACTGCCGACCGTTATTCGTGCTGGTTTTCAGATTAGTCGTATTCGAGGTATTTCTTTCAAAGAACCCTTAATTTTATCGAAAATGGCATACTGACGATTGAAAAGCATTCTATACGAGAAAGGTCAAATTCACATCGGAAACTTTTTGCGAAAAGTTCCAGGCTATCCTCGATGGCTTCCCTCGCTTGCAGGATATTCATCCTTTCCGTACGATCCCCGCTTACCTATGTCTTTCTGTATAAATGGTATTTGCTCGATCGGCTGGCTAATGATAACCATCAAACAGACAAGGATTTGATGAACACATTGTACGATGCAGACCATTTCCGAATTGCGCTTGGTCAAATCTCCACCGCCAAACATCTCATCGAAACCGTCGCTCGCGATTACGTTCGACTGATCAAATACGCCCAATCGCTCTTCCAATGCAAACAACTCAAGCGTGCTGCGCTCGGTCGCATGGCCACAATCTGCAGACGTCTCAAAGATCCTCTGCTGTATCTTGAGCAAGTCAGACAGCATTTGGGTCGTTTGCCATCCATCGACCCCAATACTCGCACGTTGCTGATTTGCGGATACCCAAACGTCGGAAAATCTAGTTTTTTGAAGAGTATTACTCGCGCCGATGTTGATGTACAGCCTTATGCATTTACGACGAAGAGTTTGTTTGTTGGGCATTTTGACTATAAGTATTTGCGGTTCCAGGCGATTGATACTCCTGGTATTCTGGATCACCCTCTTGAGGAGATGAACACAATTGAGATGCAGTCTATTACGGCCATTGCGCATTTGCGGTCGGCGATCTTGTATTTCATGGATTTGTCGGAGCAGTGCGGTTACTCTGTTGTCGATCAGGTCAAGTTGTTCAACAGTATCAAGCCTCTGTTTGCGAACAAGCTTGTTTTTGTTGTTGTCAACAAGATTGATGTCAAGCGTCCTGAAGATCTGGACCCGGAGACCAAGGAGTTATTGGATAGTGTGTTGAAGCAGGGAAATGTTGAGATGCTTCAGCTGTCTTGCACTACCACCGAAGGCGTGACAAACGTCAAGAATGCCGCTTGCGACAAGCTCATTGCAGAGAGAGTGTCCCAGAAACTCAAGGCCGGTACCAACAGCAGCGGAAATCCAAGCGGACGTCTTGGTGAAGTTTTGTCGCGTATCCACGTCGCACAGCCCATTGGCGGTGTTCGCGAGTCATTTATCCCCGACGCAGTCAAGAATCTCCAGAAATACGACAAGGAAGACCCCAACCGCCGAAGACTCGAACGCGATATCGAAGAAGAGAACGGCGGCGCTGGTGTGTACAGTGTCGATTTGCAAAAGAACTACACCCTTGCCAACGACGAGTGGAAATACGACAAGATACCCGAAATCTGGAACGGCAAGAATGTTTATGATTACGTTGACCCTGACATTGAAGCCAAATTGGCTGCTCTTGAGGAAGAGGAGGAAAAACTCGAAGCAGAAGGGTTCTACGACTCGGACGACAGTGTCGAAGACGCTGAGGATGCCGAAATCCGCATGAAAGCAGACTTGATCCGCGAGAAGAAAGCATTGATGAAGAACGAAGCCCGCTTGAGAAAATCGCTCAAGAACAGAGCCGCTATACCGCGTAGCGCCAAGGCGAAGAGACTCTCGGAGATGGAGAAGGCTCTCGATAATGCTGGATACGATACTTTTGATGCTGTCACCCGCGCACAGAGTCAATCACAACCTTCTCGCGGCCGTGCATTGAATCGCGATGGCGCTGATGGTAATGGTGACGATGCAATGGATGTTGATTCCAACAACCCACGCGACGCAATTGCGCGCGCCAAGAGCCGCGCTCGCAGCCAAGCAGCCACGAACAGATTGACAGACGGCGTCACAGACACCACATCGCGCAGTAAGGCAGAGCGATTGACCAAGTTGGGACAGAAGAAGATGAATCGTATGGCGCGCCAGGGTGAGGCTGATCGTCACCAGACCGTGTCGTTGGCGAAGCATTTGTTCTCTGGAAAGAGAGGTATGGGCAAGACGCAACGTCGTTAGTTCTTGTGTCGCTGTCTAGGTTTTATACATATCAAAAAGGTAATGGATGGGCGTTTGTGGTTTGTGTGGGTTATGGTCACTGTTTACATCCTATTCGTATGTTCTAAAAATGTCATGACTGGTAGATTTATGAACTGAGTTTTTTTCTTTATCTTCCAAATACAAGCGACGCTCTACCTACATAGTAGTCCCGAAAACGCGCAAGGGGCCGTATCGTGCGACCCCTACGAATCACAGTAACAACCACCCTATTATCCTCCGAATGAGACCTAGGCTGCGCTTTTAGCTCTGCTTGCTTGGAGATCTGCTTTTGATGCCTGTTTGAAATCTTAGGAGTTACTATAACGCTATTTTAACACTATAAATTAGCTAGCTTAGCCAGCTCTTGCTCGTCCTTGAGGCACCGCTTTTCCGCAGCCTCTTTGTTGGCGCTGTTCACGTTTTTCCTGTCGGATTTGAGTATTTGTGGCCTTTTTAGCCTCTTTGGCTTACTTTTTATGCTATCATTGAAGCTTTTTATTATCTTTACGAGCCTGCTCTTGCACGGCTTCATTAACTTTCTAAGAAATAATATCACAAGCTTACTGAACCTTAGTAGGGCTCATAAAGAGCGCTCCACCGTCTTATTCTGAAGATAAACCTAGTAATAAAGACTTTTTTTTTTTTAGCTTTTATGCTTCTCTGTATTTGTAAGTCTATGACAATATCAGAAAATTTAAGGATATTTATCTATGGTGATAAAGGATATGGCACCTAGTGATAATTGTCTATTAAAGGGATGGTGTTGCGGCGTTGGTATCTATTATTACCAATTTTCTGTATTGTTTTGTAATATTTTGCTGAGTCACAGCAAAGATAACGACAAGCAAGATTTTGGGAAAGCGTGAGACTGATTGTGAGAATCTCTTATGGATCGAGAGCCAACTATCATGACATTTGCTGTCACTGCATTATGGTAAGAACGATGGGACTCATTCCCACGGCAACTGGTACGGCAGCCTATAGGTACGTTAAGAACAAAATAATCATATAATAATATTATGATTTCTTAAATAGATCTATAGTGATATTTCTTTTAATTAAGTCATGAAGGGCTTGAACTCTTTAATTTCGCTGGTAAGCCTGTGACAAAGTTTGTACGAGAGCATCCATGTTGGGAGGATGTCCCAGGAACCTTGTCAACATCTCCAGTTCGTTCGCATGACTTCCACCATACTCCAACACTTCTTTACGGTACTTGGCCCATGTCTCTATATTGTAGGGATCATTGGTGAAATATGTCTGAACGATATCCTGGGCTATAGCCGTGCAGCTGTCAAGTGAATTAGTCCGTGAAGTCTCGCTATTAATTGGGGCGAGGAATTGAAGCAACTTACCATAGATATCCATAATAACACATGTCGTAGCCGTTTGTTAGATGATTGAAGGTTACAAATTCGAAACCATCGTTGCATAGTGAAAAGTCGAAGCCTTCAATCTCCTTGCGGAGGTTGTAGAAAAGTTTCTGTATGTCAAGATCTGCAATCTCGTGTTCATTGCTCAGGGAATGTATTTGAAGATCGAACATAGAAATGGACCTGAATTTGTTACCCTAACAGTTTTGATAAAGAAGAAAGGCATGTTAATAACATACAGCTGACGTAAATGGAAAAGAGCCCGATTGAAGTACCGATGCTCAGCGAGCTTTTCTATCCAGTGATCTGGAATCTCTCTGGGCAGATCTGACTGACCGGGATTCTGCTTGCGCCATTCAAAGAGATATTTCTTATCGAGCGTTGTATAGTGGCAGCTGAGTTTTTTCAGAACATCTTTCTTCCAGCACCAGTTCTCGAGAAAGCTGCTTGGCAATTCGACGAAATCGAGTGTTGTTTCGTAGCCGTGGAAGCGGACGTATTCGGTTTTGGAGAGGATGTCGTGGAGGGTATGACCCATTTCTGCAGGATTAGTATTCTCTGTTAGACAGATGCATATAACCTCAACTTTGATACGTGCTTACCATGAAAGAGAGTCCAGATTTGATGATGCTTGAGTAAGACACATGTTCCTGGTGTCGGAGTAGGGAAGGAGCACATCAAGATATTCGCAGGATACTTCCTAGTACCATCGGGTCGAAGATAGCCCTGAAGACATTAGTTAAAATCTCAACTCTACAAAGAAGGGTAAATGATGCGTAAATAAGTTGACGCACAGCCTGAAGATTGACAGCTTGGTTGCCTCTGAACTTGTACTTGCGCCAGAGCAAGTCAAAATACAAATAACCAATAAATTCCCCATCCTTCGTATCCCACACAGAGTATACTTGTATACTGTCATGCCATATCACATCGCCGGTACGCATGTTATCGGGAATTGGATCAAATCGAATACCAAACCATGATCCGAAAATTTCCAGCATTTTGGTTGCTGTCGTATCAAGTGGGAAGTATTCTGCTATTTTCTCCTTGTCGATCTCAAAGTCCTGTTCGACTAAGCGCTCGTAGTATCTTTTTTCCCACGGCGGAAAATTCTGCTCTGTTTTCTGATCGATGGAGTACCCTCTTGCTTGTAAGTCTGAAAGTCTTCGGCGTTGTAGTATTTCGATTTCTGCCTTGCCAAGGGGACAAAGGGCCACTTGTAGACCTTGTAGAAAATCCTTCAGCCACTTTGTGGTCATCGCCATTCGCTCCGTGAGTTTCAGGTCCGCGTAAGTCGCATATTTAAGGAGATGTGCTTGCCTGGCACGGTTGGCGATGATCTTTTCGAATATCGGCTTGTTCTCTCCCAGCTTCAGATTGTCCGCCAAGTACATTTTCTTTCGGGTCTCTGGGCAATGGGCATAGGTCAAAACCGCAATCGTGCCGCCGTTCGAAAAGGATACGAATTTTCCCTTTGTCTTCTCTTTTTGACTATCGTTATCTGGGTCATCTGTAGCAATATCATCCTTCCACTTCGCTAGTTCACTCTCGGGTACACCGTCCAACTCGTCTAAGGTGAACCATATTCCTCCTTTCTCTCTTGCAATATTCTGATGAATCTCTCTCTCTAGTTGCAAGATCTCCGAGTTGCGTCTCTGGAACTCTTCCAGCTGGACAGGCCCAAGCAAGCCGTGTCCTGCATGCTTGTACCGTAAAAGCTCCTTCTCTAGTAAATGTTGCGATTCAGTATCTAGTCGATTGAAATCGTCTTTCGCCCTAGCCGCTTGCAAAAGCTTGAAGAAACGTCCATCTGCTGACCATTCTGTCTGAGCCTTGATATAGAGTTCACGCGCCTTGTCGTATTCCGCCTGAGTTTCGAGACATGGAGATCCATATTGGAGCATTTCGATCATGGCAAACTTGCCTTGAACGCCATTTTCGACTTCGGCTAAAGGCTTCAGCACGTTATCAAAAGTTGCTGTCTCTGGAGTGACTGTTTCTAAGGTCGTAGCGCGAGCGACGTTGTATTTGTCGACTATGTCGCGCATTGCTGGGACAACGACCTCTGTTGCTAAGACGCGGGGGAGAGGCTGTGGTAGTGACATGGTTCAGTATTTCTCCAGTACCTAGTTCCCGAACGAGTCACTCTAGGCTACAGAGAAAATTTTATGGATAATAACGGGAATGAGAGTGCCTAGGCACTAATGTCTGTATTGTGTTGAATGGGGGATGTAGCTCTTGCAGAAGAGAGAATACACATGTACGTCCGAGTCAGACAGGGGCTTGTAGCAGCAATATCGCTGACATGGAATTTTGTAATCAATGAGCATTGAAGGAATGTTTGTAAGAGCGAATAAAATGGATCTAATTCGTTCAAGTCTGTAACTAGGTATAAATTTCAGTCGGACGCGTGAGCACAATACAAGGATGCTATTGACAAAGAAACGGGGAACATCAATATTGACCCCGCTTGTTTTTTGTACATCTGGCGCCTAATTCGATCTATTGATTGGTCAATAACGATTGATATTTAGACTTGAAGTCAAGAAATTTCGCATTCTTGCAGACAAGCCTGCCAATGGACACTATCTTCGAGCACCAGGACTCATCTGATCACACCCTCACATCTTCTTCGATGCACAAAGATACACTGCCCGACGAAATCAGATAGAAAGACCCAGAGAACGCCTCAATTAATTTAAGTCATGCATATTAGGAGAGAAAACTGTGACGCCGTAGATCGCAGGAGAATCCACCGGATATAAATGACGTGGACTAAGTCAGGAAAAGTAAAGCAATGCATATCGAGTGGAAAACTTCACGTCACCCGTTAACACAGGCAAGAAACTAGACGTAAAAGACGTAGTGAGTACCAGCGAAGCCCCTCGACGAACTTGTCATCATATGGCTGGGTTTTCAAGAAACAGAGCCCCAATAGTTTCGAAAGTGTATAGGCCCCTAGACCATCTTCTCGGGCGGGACATGAATTGTCCTTATCCCCAGTGACCATTCAGACAAACGTACCTGCATACTGACATTGCTAGACAGATTCGTGAACACCAGTACGTCGGAAGTCCTAGATTCCACACGCTAACTGGTGTCATATCCCTAGAAATACAATCAAATACAGGCAGGCGTAGCAGCCCCACGAGGAGGCCATTGTTCAAAGTTGCGGTTGAGTAAGCTAATAGCTTGGGGTCGCAAGTGTATAGCGGTTGTCATCAAGCGCAAGGAAGGTCAGTACCGTATAATTGTCAAAGGTGCTTCAGAAATTCTTCTCGGAAAGTCGACCCCCGTTATCAATAAGATTGGGAAGATGCGTTCAGGATGAGTGGCTGATAAAAGATTACCTGATTCGGCAATGAAATCTACTTTCGCTCCAGTACTTCACGTATGTCCATGTTTTTGGGTGTTTCGCCAGAACAAAATGCTTCAAATTTAACTCTTGTACAACTCATGCCGCTTACTCAGCTGAAGGATGGACGTCGTACACCTATGCGGCAAGCGGCACGTGGTTTAGTAGCCCTAAGAACTTATGGCCTAGAATCAGCAACAATATACAATTATTCCGAACCGTAGCGTTGTACAAAAATTATTGGGTGAGACCCGGTGTGGGTGTTGATATGTGTACAGCTTGAGGTCAACATTTATGAACAAGTATGTCATCAGTCGCTTCAAGTCACGAACTCATTTGTAGAGATAAAGTATTTCCGTGAAAGGTATGTGGAGGCACCTTATATTGCGGTGTATAAGATTGAATAAACAAGATGATGCGGTTTGTCATTGAATGGCTCACATGTAACACCAGCTGAAGCTCAATTTCTATCTAGGTATTCGCTTTAGCCATCAAGTGTGATTACATGATTTACTTCCCTCTGGAAATGGCCCTAAACACTTGTCGCCACGAAGGAATACAACTATACCCTCTAACACTGTAAATGGGGTTTTGGTCAGGTTGAGCTTTGCTGTTACGTGAATTTCGAGGCTGAAAATTTTTAAAGCAGGGGACCTCCGCATCTCATGATATTAACTAGCACAACAATTCTACATTTTCGGTCAAATATCCCTTAGTAAATTCGTCAATCTGTCTTTCAAAAACTGTATTTGTGGCTTTGGCGTCGCAGGAGTCGTCTCGTCATTGCCGCCCTTGAAGTGGTTAAGCTTCGTGATGATGTCGATGATCGCGTAAACCCTGGCCGTAAGCCATTCCTCAAACTCTTTAATTATTATTGACCGTTGTATGAATACTAATTCTGAATGTAGCTCCTTCAACTCCGTACAAGTAATTAAATCTACCCTGACGCAAAGCAAAGATGAACGGCTTAATTATAATCTGTCTCTACCTTGCCTCTAAACACGACCCCGGAATTTCAGCAACGTGTCAAGAAGTAGAAGTCTCCATATACCTGGATCTCATATGTTGCTCTACTGTGATACCTTTTTCGGAAGGGCTATCCAGCGGCTTTAAGAGAAAGTCAAGATTGCCATCAAAGAAAAACGGAACAGAATACCGATCCTTCCCGCTGGTATTTATCACTCGATGGATGGTGCTTTTATATCTCCCACTGGTCCATCGTTCCAGCATGTCGCCAACATTGACGACGTAGGCCCCCTTCTGAGGTGGTATGTCTATCCACGCATCATTTTCCGGAGCCTTTACTTGTAAACCTGAGCCATCTTCCTGCAAAAGCAAAGTGATTGCTCCAAAATCGGTGTGTGCTCCGGCACCTACTAGTCTTGGGTCGTCGCTGGCGGGATGAGGGGGATAGTGTAGCAGCCGGACGCTGGCGATAGGCTCGTGGCAGAAGTCTTCTAATATCTGAGTGTTGAGGTTCGCTAGGCCACGTGCAAGGATTTTCATGACCTGGTATGCAAGATTACAGATTGCATCGTGGTATTTTAATATGGGATCTTTGAATTGTGCATCCGGGATGATTTGAGTAGGCCAGACATTAGGATATTCAAAATTTCGATACGGTGGTTGGCGATTTGGAACGTCACGGCCAACGAAGTATCCCTTGCAGAAAGGACTCCGTGAGCATGAGATGACAAATTGTTGAAGCGGGAGAATAATATTTACCTCTTTGAGATCTGGTTTGGTGCTTGGATCCAAAGCCTGAGTTCCAATTAATTCGTAGCCTCTTCCCGGTGAACCAACATAGTGTTCCTTGATTTCCTGAGGAAGGGAGAAGAAGCTCTTTGCTCCTTCAAATACAACTTCCTGGAGATCAGGCGAAATCCCATGACCGATGATTTGGAAAAATCCTACTGCCATACAAGCATCCTTAATCTCCGAGACTACTAATTCTGCCTCTTTGGACAAAGGATTGGTAAGAAAACTGGATATATCAACGGTGGGAATGAGCACTGGACTATTTTGGTGTGACATTTGGCTTAATGTTTTCTCGAAGATTTATGGGTCATTTGAATCATCTCAAATATCAAAAGTCCGGATTGAACAAGAAGTTCGTTCTCCTTATGCATTATTTGTAGTAGCATTATCAAGAATCCGTTCAACGGCGTTCTCCGATAAGACACATCCGGAGAACTCCCCGACCCGAGATAGCAAGAAGCCACGAACTGTATCGCCCTCTACAATCTGGAGTAGTTATCTAAAACCCTCGGCCGAGCCTTACCCCACCGCAAATGATAGATAACAACGACTGTGATCTGACTTGGTTTGCGATAGTTTCCATTAGTCTCACTGCTTCCCCGCACCATTTTTGGCTAGATGTCTGTTTGAGCTCAAAAAATAGAACATGCAATGTAGATCATAGAAAGCGATAGCCATCAAAAGGCGAAGCTCTAAAATGATTGGCAAGGCTACACGGAGAAGCATATGGACAAGTACTATGGAGGAATGGACGGTTTTGAATATATTTTTTCGAAAAAGTACATGGTATATAGATAGTATGATACACATAAAGAAGTGATCCTCTCAAATAGAAGTTACCTCGAATTGGATACAAGCGTCTTCGCCTTACACTGAAACATGTACACATAACCCACAGGAGAGCCACAGAAATGCCCGTGAGAGGCGAGGAGTAACTCGTGTCGGAGTCTGCTTCAGAACGGAGTCAACAATCCTTTGGATCGAGGCAGGGCGATTCAGAATCTCTGACCATCACGATGCCAAAGAATAACGTTTCTCATAACACTCGGTTCTAGGTTGTCGCTTAAGATCGAGGACTTCAACGTTGCTGCGTGCGAGAAAAAACAGTTACAAAAATGAGGGCAAACATCATGTTCAAACAACGGGGTTCTTCCCATGGAGCACGACATAGGTCGGGTCTGAATTCGGCGGTTGCAGCTGAGTCTCGTATGTGTCCCAATATGTTGATCATGGGCAACCTTCTAGGGGCTATCGCGGGGAGAGCTTTAGAGCAGGATCCCAGTTATATCAGATGTTGATGACACTAACTAAACTTCAGGTATGCTGCTTTTCAAGTCCTTGTTATATTTTGACTCGACGTCCTTGTGTGTTGCTTGGCTGTCGAATCTGACACTCAGCGATCTGAGCCAGATTCTAGCCATTCAGATGTCGATGACGATTATTGTATTTCACACCCATTTTTTAGGTTGAAATCCGAAGTAGTTAAGATAGTTCGCCCAAGACTATTTCCAACAGTCTGTTGTGAAATGAATGTTGCATATGCGCTCGCAGCAATCCTTCGCGGTGTTTAGTCTTGATCTGACGACGAAGACCTGGGCAACATTCTTCCTGCCCAGATATATGAGTCCTTTCATGCAAAGCGTGAAGATATTCTGGATACCGAACAGTCTCTCAAGGCCGTTTCTCAAGTTGATGCGTCGGTTGAAAGAATGATAAAGAAGATGAAACCAATCAAGCAACTATTCGCTTGTCATTTCCTTTCTATATCTCGTAGATTCTTCTGCTGGAGACCTTCCTCAAATCTCACCTGATCTGTCAGGGAGTCGTGGAAAGATGTGTCCTCAATGTGTTATTTCGATGACCGAATTCGACTCTCTGCTCGTTGATCGGGTATTCCGAGCGCACGATGGTACGCAATCTTGGAATCCCTTGACATCAGCGGAGAAACCGAGTCAGGGAATTTCATCAATCCCTGCCAGTCACTCTCAAATCCCACAAGACCATGTATTGTGGCCCTAGTAGAGATCGCGAAATGCCGTTCCAGCGGACTTCAGACCAATGAAACCGATTAAGGTAGAGATGTCGACCCCTTGTAAACTTCGGTGAACCATGTAGCGGGACTCAGATATGTTCCAAATGTTGTATTGAAAGACGATAGATAGGTTCCTCAAAGTTGAATGCCCACAGCAACGAGCCATAGTAATATAGATATGACCCATTCAGTGACGTACAGAGCTGACGACCAGTCAAGAAGCAGCATGTTCTGTATTGAATGGAACAGATCCTCCGCGAATCTCTTCAACCCATTCTCCTTTGTTCAAGATCATGTCAAACGTATCGCACCACGACAAACATGAGAGTGACTTCACCTGATCCAAGCTGTGGAATCAATGCCAGAGTTAATCCAAGCACAAACTGTGGCGTGAACCGAGAGCGCTCTAAATTTGAGAGTCGATCGGTTGTGGACTTCTCAAAGGCAAGGTTGACGATCTCTTGTTTAGGTTTGTTATGCTCCAATGCAAAGTTCTCCCCATGTGTACAAAGATGTAGTCGCGGACGCCGAAAGAAACTGTCATTTTGTCGGGCGGAGACACGCTTGTATGTCAGCAGCAGTCGTCATCAGGCTCAATCAAACTCGTAGAGCTCAAAAGAATCGTGTTGTCGCTTGAAAAAATCGAAACACTTCTTTGATCAAGTCGTTTGCGTCACGAGATCACGTCAAAAGCTTTGATTGAGTTCGGCCATATACTCAAATGACGGAGGTATAATATGTTCAACAGCGATTATACAAGAAGGGTTGAGTCTTGTACACCTCTTCAACATATTGCACCTTCACACGTCGTTGAGATCCGAAAGAATGTATTGATGAGACGTCGATGTCCTGGACCTCTCTTAAGTCGCTTTTGAACACGGAGGAGCAACCTGATTATACCCGAACGAGATTACTTTGCTCAGCATTGTTTTCCGCCTTCTCGACGTGAGGGTTATAACGACGGTTCGATGGTATTCGGACTCGAAAAGATCTGGCTGCTTGGTTTAACGCTAGGACCGAAAATGAGATTAGCACGGTTCATCAGAGCAAAGCTGTTGTTCCTTCAAACGATAGGAGGTAACCATACCTTATACCCAGCATTAAACTGGCGCCGCTCATTTTATCACTTTCAGTGCTATCAAAGAAACACCAATGTCGGCGGAGAAAATCGGCCGGGATCCTGGCTTGTAAGACGTGAGCCAACCTGAAAAATATGGTGATGGAGTGAAGGAGACAACTTACCTTCAGGCTCTGGAAGCAAGTATTTCATGAATGGCAGCCAAAAAAGAAATGAGTCCAGTGGCCGTTTTTTGCGCCCAGAATAATGTTGAGCTGCGGACTTATTGACGGGACATACTGCGCGTGCAAGTACGGCCCAGAAAAGTCCCAAGACAGCAGGTAGTTTGGAATCCCAAAAGTCTTCCGTTCCGTGAACCCAAGCGACACATTCACGCTGCCGAAGTACGCACAAATCGAGTATCGTCGATATTGGTATAATTCACCACGATCGATCAACAATGCCGGCGACGGAAAACTTCTCTGGAGTTCATAGGCTCTGTGGATTGCAATCGCGGTTTGCCCAAATGACTCTCCGGCTATCGTATTGAGAAGTCATGACCAATCGGTTCGCCTTGGAATCTCAAACTTTGCAAGGTTTCTCCTGATGTGGTTTTCAGATTGTCGTTTGGAAACGAGGTACTCCACAAGTTGGCGTGTCAGCAGAGCATACACGAATGAGGATAAACAATGAGACAACAAAGAATGTTTCATCCGCCTGAGCTATCTTGCTATTGTGCCACAGATAACTTTGTAGACCCTGGTCATGGTGTGGAACGAACCGATCCACAAAGTGTAGTCTTTCTCGTTGACTGTCGCAAGATATTTGTCGACATGCGCGAGCCCTGTTCGTCATCAATCACTTGGCTGTACGACCAGAACTAGTGACTAGGGGCCAATAAGAAAACATGATCCTTTCCCGACATTTCGTTGCTGAGCATTTCCGGTCCAGATTCCGTCCCTCGGGTCGGTGATGTGAGGATGCAATGGTCGGGAAGGTCCTCAACCCGACCGTGCTCAGCGCTAATCTCAACTTGACAATATTGAAGACATAATTCCTCTGGCCAGTTTATGTATAGCTTGTATTGGTATCTCGGTCGTAAGCAGCTTCGATGGGGAGTTCGAGATGATGAAGACGGAGGAGCGATGAGATTCGAGCAGCTCTTAGCCTGAACAGGAAAACATAAAGTCAGTGATCTTGAGATCAAAATAAACGATCCTGGGTTTCAAAGCTCTAAAGACTTACTCAAACGGCAAACCCGGATAGTATATGAATCCTCCCTGCTCTTGGAACTTCTTCAGGGGTCGAAGAAGTTATCCTTTCAATAGCCTGAATTCGAGTTGGGTTGACAGGAAGCGATTGTGTGAGGTGCTGGTGCTTGCGCCAGCAATAATTGGGAAGCTGATGTAGGCATCCCAACTTAAAGCATTGTGCATAATTCCAGAATGTACTTGAATTTCCTGGCAACATCGTCCGCTGAGTTCGGTCGCATATTGCTATCCACCTCCAAAGGTCGATGCGGAACTTATCAGCCCTAGTTCGGTAGATCAAAATTTCTGTAAGTTTGTAAGCGTCGTAATCATTTTGATCATAAACCAAGAAGGCAAGAGGAGATGTACCTTTCCACAATGCACGTTGTGACTGCTGATGAGATCTGTTGGCGACCTCGTCGTTGAATGAAGAATTTTTCGATATCCCAAACCAACTGTCATGAGTTGAGTTTTCTCACTCAACAAAAACACCATGTCAGCTGTAGCTGTTCCCCAACCCATCATTGACGAGATCTCAATGAAGTGCGAGCATGGAGAGCTAGGTACAAACGGTTTTCTGGCCGCATTTACCGAGGAGATTGGCAAAGTTGTATGACCAATCTTGGTTGACTCCAAGCTTCTGGTTGGCCACAGCGTCAATGCAGTTGAGACCGAAGACACGAAGATAGAGATTGCTCGAAAAACTGCAAGCTTCAGTTAGTCACTGTTSGAGCCATGATCGTCGATACACAACTAAAAAGTAGAAAACTGTCATGGAAAACTCACTTTCGCTTCTCGTCTGTCTCTCCTTCTGCTCTCGTCCGTCGTGGCAACAGGTCGCCACGGAAGTTGTGGGTGGATTTGTATACCACCGCCTCTGTTAATACGCAGTCAGTAGCTGATTCAGACAAAGTTAGAGGGTGGTTGACAAACCTTGTGGAGGCGATTTTGAGGTCCATGGAGACGAGGAGTTGATACTTCCTCGATCGCTGTCTCCATTGTCTGTAAAAAGCTTTTGGAGCATTTGAGGCTCGCATGAGAAGATCGGTGAGGCACTTGGATGTGCAGCAGGCATTCACGGCATAGTACCACCAAACTCTGGCGTCACAATTGTTTGTGACGTGTTCGAGGGTCCACGTGCTCCCATAAGCTATTTTTGAAGAAAAGTAACAGCCCATGGGGGACGCTCGGGGAATGGATGAGCTTGCTTTGGAGATGCTCTATGAAGCTTAGGGTAAGATGTGTGCAGCTCGACTCTTCATTCCGTTGAGGAATAATAAGCTAAGTCAAGATTATAATAGATAAACATTAACAGTAATGGCGTTAGGATAGCTGTCTCTCCTTAATGATGATTAACATTCTGGTAAAAAATATGAGGCAGGCCGTCTGACTTTGGGGAAAAACATGTCTTCTCGAGGGAGGGGGGAATGGAAATGGGCCCTTTTTATATCAGCCAGTGGAGCACGAGCGAGTCCGATCCTGGAGGCCGATTCTTTGGAGAAAACGTGAACGTTTCGGTATTTGACAAATAGTTTCATCCTCATAATGAAATAGCGGTACCGTAAGGGGACATAAAACAAAGGAATTAATATTACAACAACGTCATCCTTTAAGATTTTCCAACAATTCCCATGTCACAAGGACACGCCCGGCATTCACCAGCGAGTGAAGTGTTTGTATCAGGAGATTATATTGGCAGCCTCCTCTGAGCCCTGGGCACACCCGGGGCGTAGCATCAAGGCCGATGTGCGATATCGGTGACAAACAAAAGACTGTCTCAGAGCATAGCGTAATAATGGAGAAATCAATAGAATCCTTCAGTATCCACCTGTGTATAAAGAATCGTACATAACGTCACTTCTCCTTGTATTGCCCTGATCTCAGCCAACGAGCTTTTTGAGGCAGTTTCTCGTGAGTCTGATGACTTTTTGAGTAGTGGCGATAGATGTCAAGCTTCTTATCACATGGTTAAAATCTGAATGTCATCTATTGTCTGGGACATCCCCATGTTAGAAAGACATAGACCTGCCGGCCTTGTCATACGCGAGCCAGAGCTAGTCTTTTCAAAATACCATCGACTTTCTATCAGTGGCTCGCTTCGGATTTCAGCTTTTGCTTGTTTGGCTACCCTTCTCTGTATTTTGCTATGCCACTTTGCGTGTTATACGCTTCTTACAATTTCATGGTGGTTAGTGAGGTTATACAGTGTTTTAACATATTCTGGTCATAAATGACCTGATGAAAGATCCATTCAATCCCTTGGCATCTATATCGTCGAAAAGTGAATAGACCAGTGGATTTCACTTCTCTTAATTCTGGAATCTACTATTAATCTTTCTCGAAGCGAGCAATCTACAGCACGATTTCTTAAAAAAAGTAAGGATTAGATTTCCGATCTGATGTGGAAAATCTGTATTGAGCTGTATCCCGAATGGCATCTCATTGGTATAAAGGGGGAGATGTAGTTCCTTTATCTCATTCGCCTAAGTTAAGAGAAGATCCTTTCAAGCTATAACAGGGGTAGCACTATTGTATGTTCACATATTCCACCGGGTGACACTATCCTTTTCACAGCAGCACTTGATTGAAAATTTGTTTTATCGGGCCACCTTTATTGAAGACCTTCTCGAAAATTTGTAGAAAGTCGTCTTGTCGCGAACTTTTCTCACGCCCATTTTTGTATGAAAACTGCATATTCTCTCGTCTTGGCCCTGAATTTTGGCCAGTCTCGAATTTCTGGGTCTGAGGCTCAACAGGGCCCAAGGACATCATGATCCAGAAAGCCAGCACCTTCTGTATCACAACTCATATATCTAGCCCGGTCATGTTTGTGTTGTAACCTTTGAGTCAAGCTAGGCACATTACAGATGTTTGTTCATCTTGCCAAATAGCACGCAATCCGACCTATAACTCAAAGTCAGACCTCGTTCTTGAAAACTCTTCAACACATTGAGAAATCCCTTACCGATGTCGCAGTCAGAAGATACGTTGATATGATTTGCACATCGCCCACAGTGGCAATCATAGAAGTCCATGTAGACGGCAAGTTGCCTTGTATCTTTGTGATTAATTGTTGGCCACAACACTAACTTTACATATCAGGAACCTTCTTACCAAATTTGGTTGTTAGGAAGTCTTTCTTGGGTAGCGTCCAGTAAGTCTTGACCTCATCAACGAGACGAATCTCTTGATGGCTCTAACAGCGACGCGTATAAGATCCAGACAACTATGTTCATTATCTCGTCTGAAATCCCTGCTGGATTTCACGCGCAAAATGTGGCATGTGGTATTTTGAAATGTCGAATTTGCCGTAGATGAAATCCAATCCTCTTCCTCATTTGGGCTCGTCATTTCTTTTTGCCGAACTACTGCCGTATACTGTCACCCTACGATTCGTTGCTCTTGTCACGATTCTTTCCAACCCCTGGCGATCCGGGCATGTTTCCTACCGCGGCCTGTGCCTGTCTGTAAAAACGTATTTCTTGAGAGCGTAGGTTGAATTCTCAGGAAACTTTCTGGATGAGTCTCAGGCAATAAAAACGGGTTGGTGGGTTTTTGTGACGTTGAGGCTTTCTAGAGCTGGCTCATCATCCGAGCGGTAAGTCTTACAGCGGGTGTAGGGCTTTCTTGCTCAGACTGTTGATGATATGTGTTAGCACGTGACCTTCCTATCGACGAAAAGAGGAAAAGAAATAGGTGATATACATCATCCTGTGCCCCCACGGGCGTCAAAAATGATGGTTTCCAAGGGCTAAGACGCGTTACGAGAGAACTTAACCCACGGATCGAGTTCCAAGTCCGTTTCTTGTAGTGGTTGATTCTAAATTAGTACACGAAGTTTTGACCTCATGGAAATAACATGATCGTGGTACTTACCTCTTTATTTGAAGGCGTTTTCGATATGTCGTTCATGTCCATGATTGACGAATTTGTTTAAAATGGTGATACATCGGACAGAGAGTAGAAATCAGAGTGTTGCTACTATGACAAGCACATTATCAGGGAGTCTCCAGCATTTTCACTCTTCGCTGCATGTTTGATCACAGTAAACCAGGATGAGAAACGGTGAGTTGATGTTGTCCCTTCTCTATGCCAAACAGATATCGCATAACCCGGGCTACTTTTTCGGCCGCGACGACTAGTATCGACTTCTCAAGTCCAAAAGTATTGAGCTCTAACCCATTGGCTTCCAAAATTACTTGTCCTCGGGCTTCGTTTGTACCACTCAAGCGATTTCTTCGGACACTTGAAAGGCCCTTTCACGTCGATGGTTATCCTCGATTTGCTAGGCAAGCTAAGGAACGTCAATATTTTGAGATTTTCGTCACTGCTAGCATCCACTTACTTGATCTTTCTGGGAGTCTTTTACCACCGCTAGGTGATACGCTCCAGCTCCATTTTTTGCATCTCAAGTCATCGTCACATAGAGAAAATAGTTGTCGATATTATCTTCAATATCTATGTGTGAATCATCCCCCCTATATCGCGGCGGCGAAGACCAATCTAATCCGCGGAATGTTGACATCAGTCGAGCTATGATAAATCCCGTAGTCCTCCTCCCTGTTCAGTCTCATTGTGAACTCTGTCTGGAATACTGCTCGTTGGGACTTGTAACTTGAACATACCGATGAGAAACAGGATCAGTTCTGACAGCAAAATCTATGGCTTTGGGAGCAACAGCGGGTTTGGCAGCCTTGATCAAGACTTCGAAGGTCTCCCAGGTAGCGATGACCACGAGGCGATCCATAAATGTAAATCGACGAACACGCACTTCGAATTGCTCCACTAAACGGGAGATAAGCTTGTCGTTGATATTGCGGTTGCGCGGGAGGCTGTATTGCGGAGAGGTTCGAGTTGCTGCGAGGTGAGAACAGCCCCCAGCGCATGATTTTGATGAGTAATAGGTAGTGTCGAGTAGGATCGAGATAATCGTGTTATCATTCGATCTTATGTCTTATCCACTATGTCTACTAGTGTTTCGTTTCTCGGTCTTTGATTTCTATCTTGCTTGCCCATTTGAGGCCGGTGTGGGATAAACCAGCACTTTGTCATGCTCCAGAAAGAACGGTGCCTTCGCATTCGGCAACTCTCCGCTTGGAGGCGAGAACTTCTTGAGTTTGGTTGACAGCAGCAAGTAGAACGACAAGCTCCAACATCTGCTCAAGGAGCAGAACCTTGCGGTGTTATTCGAGTTGCCGACCCTAGTCCTTTTAGAGGATATGGATCCTTGTGTGCTTCCTGAAGGAGACCGGACTTTCCCCTTGTATGCCCTGGATTCTCCAGCTCTTCCATTTGTTTGTATAAGCATTGATATGTACGAATCCTATTTTGTTAGTCAAATTCGAATTTGTTCTCAGGCTGGATCCAACTTACGAAGATTCTTTCGTCATTACGCTTGGCCATCTGGTCTGCACTTGTGACGTGGTACCACGGATTCGAGTGCTCTCATAGCGTCGTCTAGAACTCGATCATAATTGGTTCACTGAGGAGCTCCCTGTGACCGAAATGACTCGGAATGTTCTGCCTTTAGATTTCCCGCCTGTTGCCCAGATTAGCTGTGTCAAATGGAACGAGATTTTCGTATTCGGTGAATACTCACTCTGTTCATCTGATGGACTGCTAAGTGCTTGATTCTTCTAATAATTGCACTCAACCAACTGCCCAGTGATTTTGACGTCGCATGGAGCGTGGTTTTGGTGTCTCATCGTCTGGTCAATAAATCCAGTCCGTGCGCCATATCGTGATTGGCGTGAGGTATTTGCAGTACTTGCGTCGTTTCTCATTCGTAGACTTTGGGGCCATCTGCATTCTGCTGATCCAATCTCCAGAGGTCGGCCAGTGTAGTCGTCGGCAGTAAATCTTCATCTTTTTCTGTCGGATTCTTTGAGTCCATTGGCAATCTTGCCTGTGCTCTTCTTGTCATTTCGGAAAACCCTTAGCGTCTGTTGACAGCCTCTGAAATCGTCATTGGATCTGGGTTGGCGGGTAGCTGATACTCATTATTCGGAATGGCGACTCCTTTCTCATCCGCGATGTCCAGGACACTCATCAGCTCGTCGCAGCCAGGAAACTTTTTTGCGCGTTGTCAGTTGACTGTCATTGATGCCTTGTCATGATTTTCTGTGCGATGATCTAGTCAGGAATCATAAATTCGTAGAACTGACGCTCCTAGACTCTGGGTTTTCCTTGATGCGCTGGTCCCCCCATACCCAGTCGTCGACCGCCGCAGGGGCGAACATGATATCGTTCAGTGAGTTGATTTTCGGATTGTACGTGAGAAACCCATTTGAATTCTTTTCTTCTTCGTGGAGGATGTTCTATAGCTTGTTTATTTTCTTCTTTAGTATAATTTCCTGCAGGCGTCCAAGACGGTTTGATCGCGCAACTGTCTGCTTAACCATTCCGGACGAAGAAAGTGCTTCAACAATAACAGTTCGAGTTACTCGTGTAATGTTGAACCCATTCGACGTTATTTTAGACGTAGCAACTAGGATGCTGGGGCTCAAATAATTTCCCTGGTCTTCGTACTAGTCGCTTTGGAGATTTCGGATTATCTCTAGTTTCTTAGCCAGACTTGTAAGGCCATTGATGTACTGCGAGTTCTTCTTAGGGTAGTGATGCTCAATCCACTAAGGTTAGAAGTCAGTGATGATCGTAAAGTCTAGGAAGAGATGTACGTACTAGGTGAAGCGTGGACGCTGTAGCAATGTTTTCTGCGATGAAGAGAAGCTTTATTGGCCCATGGAAGCATTTGCTTTGGCGATTGTTGGCGTTGATGTGTTTGCGGATCCATTCTAGCTTCCAGCATTCCTTCTCATGCTTAGGCAATATCCATTCTAGCTTCCAGCATTCCTTCTCATGCTTAGGCAATACTTCAATGATCTGCTTACGCTCTCCTACATCTTTCTGTCGCTCGACTATGTCGTTCTGAGTCAAAGCAGGCTCCGGATACAATACTATGAATGGGAATGTGGTGGCGAGTTGTGTCACAATCCCTATATTGCTTTCTTCCACGACGTGGAACTTTGCCGCAGAGTTTGTCGTAGATCTGATGTCCAGACTAACGAGTTGCTTTCTGTAAATTTGGCATTCAAAATGAGTTCTGGGAGAGCACAAATCCCATTGTTTAGATTTTCGGTGTTATCCTCAATTCTGACGAGGCCACGTAAGAGATCGCCCTGAAATCTGACGGGCTATTGATCATCGCAGTCGCTGTCAAGAGAATGATGAACCGAGGACAGAGAGCCTGAACAGCACGGTAGCCCTGGGATGACTGGTTCTTAACCTTATAGGCTTCATCGTGTATGACAACACCAAACAGCTTGGCTAGGTTCCGGGACTAGGCCTTGCTGGGTTGGAATGTGGTCTTTCATTTACTAGTAAAGGCTGTCAATCCCTTTCGGTCTCTTGCCCTATGAATGAAGCACAGAAACACCCATATACCTCGTATTAAAGTACCCCGGCTTATCCAGACGAGTGATATCTTATGTAGCACGGAAACATCATCGATAGAGATCCGCTGGATAGAAGACGACTCGGCTTTATTAAACCCATGGATATTACCAAGGGGAAGCTGTAGATTAATAGAGTTTCTTGCTATCCTTCTGTAGCCCAGTGCATATTGTCAACAGTCATCTTCGGGCCACCATTCGTAAGATCTGCGAGCAGCTTCACACCCTGTGTAGCTTATATCTGCCTAGACTGACTTCAGTACGCTTCTCGCAGTCCTCTACCATCGTGGATGGGTTCTTCTTGTGATCTGAGAAGTGTGACCTTAAGTTGACGCATTTTCCGATATACGATGCAAGCTCCGTCGTCATCGGTCAGGCTACTATCCAGGCTCTCTGAAAACGAATTCATTGCTTCAATCAATGTGTATATAGACTCTTCGAATAATGGGAAGAATTACAACGACGAGAGTAGAAAATCGTCTGGAGGGAATGTTAGCAGTGATCAAATCGATACCACGAACAGTACGAAGACTCACATTGATAGCTTCATACATTCTCCTCAGGACAATTGATAATACTCAATCTGCTCATCTCCCCAATGGTTTTCTTGCGAAACTCTGGTGATGCTGCTTTCGCATGAGACTCCATTCCCAGCCCTTTTAGATTCTGGGTAAGAGTATCCCAATTCGCGTGTAGAGTGCTTTGCTTCCAGCAATTTCCACTTTTATAAAAGTTCCAACTTTGGCGGATTTAAGACTGAAACAATTGGCTTTTTCCTTCTCTATTTCGGAGTTAGATTTCGAGGAAGAGTGTAGAGGAGCAAGAATAGGCCACGAGACAATGTCCCACCCAACGCCTCCCATTCTTGAAGTTGTTCATCTTGAATGATCCCTTTCAAAGCCAGCCCAAAATCCTGAGATCTTTACGTCATTGTGACCACCGTGCCTTGAAATCCCCAAGTATTCCATTCTCACATGTGCCTCAAGTTTCTCAAAGGACTTCTCGACATCATTGCACTTCGACTCGAGCGTTGCCGCCCATCTGTGCAAAACATAATTGGCCGAATCGTACGCAGGTGGAGTTGATTATCTCCTTGATACATTCCTAGTTGATGTATTTCGTATAATCGGTGCTAAATCCACTGGGACGATGCAAAGCGAGACGAAGAGGGTCTCTGGAAAATTTCCCTTCCACCATGGATCATTATGTCGATAACTTCCCTCGCATCATCGTCGTCGGTGGTGATTTGCGAGCTGGAAGACGATGCCCGTGAAAATTCATTTGTTGATTCTGCAACAAGTCAAAAATTAGTCATTGATTCAGCGGGTTCTATGATCATTTCACTCACATAGATAGATTCTGTCACTGGCAAGTGCCCAACCATTGATCCCGAGCTCTTGCAGTGGTAGATGTTTGGAAACAGGTTGCGTGATTATATCAGATGTATCTAGCTCGGTGGAGATAATTCAATTCTGACGGAGACCATGAGAACAGCGGTACCACCTTTGAGACCAGACGACTTCATGCGGCCTCTTCGTAGTAGTCAGGATATTTCGCTACCCAATGCGGATACGACGTTAGCTCGAGTTCGACCGAATCGGAGATGATACATACACCATCCACTTGGATACAACAACACGAAGTTCGTTCCGTAATTGGGGGATGAACTCCGTCTTCGATAAAGAAGCGACGAAAGCGGCAGCGGCGTTGTAGGCCTTTTCGGAGGTATGAATCTGGCGTTTCGGTTCAGGAGAGACGTTCGACTCGCTATCAGTACCATAAGATTCATCTTCAATTTGGGCTTCGGAAGCTTAGCCAACACAAGGCCTTATCCAAGAGCTCGTCAAAATCATATACGACCGGATTTCAGCGAGAAAGCATTGAAATTTCGGAGAGTGAGCGAAATTCGCATTTCCGTCATGAAAACAGAGCGCAGCTCAGGTGACGCCGCTCCATCAGACAATGCACGCTTGGCTTGTGGTGTCGGGGTCCCTTCTCGTGAAGTGGCGTCCTTTGCTTTGGCGCCCCTTCCCCCTTTCAGGTTCCGTTTCGCCATGATTGGCCTCCCCTGTGATCCGTTAGCCAAGACTTCAAGGCATTGAGTTGCATTCAGGACTAGGTGCGTCTCAGCGCGATAGTTGACTCTTGGGAAAGTCATCCGTGGTTGAGCCGCAATGGTTGCAAGGCGGCTCCCAGATAGCTTCAAGAAATCTCACCACCGATTTCATCACCAAATAACCTGAAATTCATCAAATAAAAAACGTACCTTATCTTTCCACAGTTTAAACTCGTAGATACACCCAAGTTTGATAGGATAATTTTGTTGTGTGATGAAATGCTAAGTAGGAGAAGAGTGGGAGATGGTAGTACGGAAGGGAAAAGGTGAAGTTGTCCAATTTCATTCCTTCCGACGTATTGCTGGTCTACTCCGGGCAGAGGAGTTGCACTTGGTCGAAGCGGAAGACTGAATCGATCATGTGTAGAGTGCAGATTTCCTGCATCTTCATATATCGAGTAATTGTCAGCTGAGTTTTGACCAAACATCGGGAAGGATCTTACTCGTGTCTTGAACGTAGAATGCATATTCAGTCACATATGAGTGGAACATGTTTTTCAGCGCCCCTTGGACGGTATGTTGCTCTTTGACCTTGAATTTGTTTCCACCCCAATCGTAGTAAGACATGTCGTCTAGGTCAACGCCCTCGCTTCATAACCTTTCAAGGATTCCTCTTAGTTCTCCAATGTGATACTTGACAGATGCAATTTGTCATTTCTAACTCTTTCGAACATAAATTTCATTAGACACGAAGTTCAAGCAAACGGAGGACAGAAAAGAGAGGAAGGGAGCCAACTTCCTCTCGTCGTAGACCACATAAACAACCATCATAGGTCAACTCCCATCCGTTATATGACATAATCAGTAGTGAGAGTCAAATTACTCTATTATCTTCTCCAAAATCCGTACTCGTTTTTTGGGAAAGTCTGCCGGAGTGCTCAAACGGACACGCTTGGGCGAGGAGCTCGGTTTTCTGTTTGAACGTAGGACGCATCTAGCTAGTTGTACGGAGTGTGCGGGTGGTCGCAAAAGAGGTCGGTCATCTCCGTGGACAGTAAATGGATCTCGCGCTCAACCGCTGAGATGCGGGTTATCAACTCCTGGAGTCCTAGTGTAGCGTTGGAGGTCCGAGACGCATTGCGCCTTTTTGTTAAGGAGTCACGACGTTGTCAGACTCGTTTTGCTCGATATCTTAGTGTGGTCGACATCCGAGTCCTAATAACTCTGCATTTTAGAGATGAATTGAACTAAGAGGTGTAGAGAGACGAATGCATACTATGACCGAGGGAACCTCGTCTTCTTCATCGTCGCTCTCTACATTTTAAGCGTGATATTCCCCAGTTCCATCGTCCTGCTGGTCGTTATAGCCGGTTGATGTGCCGTCCTTGGACTCCACCGCCGACAAAATGCTCCCCTAGGCATCATTCTGGCCTGTATTGGGGCTTGGGATACCATGAGTCGGGGTCGATATATGCACGGTTCTTTCGTGATGCGGACTGATGTGGTCCGTCTAAACGCTATTGAAGCCATTTCGTCTTTGTGCTTCGAGCTCTTTTTTGTTGAMCCCGCCAATCTTCAGCGCAGTCTTCGGGTTTTCCTGACGTTGCTTCAATCTTTTTGAAACTTATCAGTCAGAAATATCTCTGAGAGAATAGGAGGAGAGAAGACAGTCGAGAAAGGGGAACTTACTCAGATATTCAAGACAACATAGGCAATTTCACTTAACTCTAAACGATCGTCTGGCTGAGCACAATTCTCAGCCTTGACTGACTCTCATTTGCATATCTGGCAATTCGATCGGTCTGCGCGGCTCCGCGCTGTCGGAAATCGTATACAAGGACTGCCCAACTATGTCTGCGTCTTCATGGTGGGAAAATGGACATGCTTGCTGACACAACCCCACTTCTGGATACTTCTGGATGTCCGTGCCAGAAATGAGAAGAGAAATCTCCTCATATGGCCATTTGATGTTCGTTGGTATAGTATAATAAACACACATCGTAAGACGAACATCGGTTGTCGAAGGTACCTTTGCGACAAATTCCAGCATCCAGGTATGCGGGATGGTCCACGATGATATAGTAGAAATTCTATCATCCTCATTCAATATCATTCTGTTGAGGATAGGCGGGAAGACTCTGTGAGCGAAGCAGTAGAAAAATGAACGTGCTCACAACGCCATGTTATCGATAATGGACGGCGGCTGGCATCAATATAAGAATGTATGAAACAACGACAAGACCAGAAAAGAGATATATACATAATCAGACCACAACTGCCTGACACACTACAAGAAAATAAAAACAGAAGAGAAATCCAGAGGGGAGATGCCCACTATTTATATCTATTTTTTTGGACGGGAAAGTCCTGTCTCAGGCTGGTCATCACACCATATGACATATCAGTGGAAGAAACTGTTGCCCGGAGAGATGTAATCTCTTCTGTCACACCTAAATCTTAGATAGGCCAGCAATTTTGTTCACCGGAAATTCTCGTTGTTGACGGGCAAAGCTTTCATTTCCTTGAAAGGAGGAGGGAATGGGATGGGCTGTTTGTTCGTTTGTTCCATCTACCTAAGTAGCTCATCAGGTACCCTTGATTTATCGTGTGGCCATATTGTTTGACAAAAGAAGATTATTGTAATCGACTTATAAAGAGATTGTACAATTGTGGGAGCAAGAAATAGACATGTCAAATAGGAGGTTTGTGTTATATATACTACATTCCTTTTCAGGTACTGTCCTGCATAACAGGATATCAATATTGATCAACGAGAAAGAAATCATTGAAAAAATACCTCATAAAGAAAATTTCGGGTTGTATTGCTTATCGGCAACAATAGAAATGTTAAGATGCCACAAATATTTACGTGTACTACACATTGTCTACCTAGGTTAATACCGCGACCAGGTATGTACCCATGTTGGGTTGATATAAAGTTTGCTGAAAAAGAGTTCATTGTATCATAGTCATGGTCATAGCTCATAAGAAATCGAGATATAGAAATAGAGTCGGAATTTGACATATCATGTGGACAAACAGGGAGGGGATATCAAAGAATAATCGATGAACAAAGAAACACAGGGTAGGTAGGTAGGTAATAATACAATAAATAAGAAAGATATATCATGTCCAACATCATAGAGAATTGTTCCACACAACTCCACACATACACCGAAACATCATCCACCAGTCCTGATATAGGCAATACCCTCGATTCGTTGTATATTTAATTTCCGAATCCTAAACCTCATCAGCACACATCCACCTCCATCAAAGGATAAAGAAAAACTTACTTCCCAAAGGCTTAGCCCTCTTCGAAATACTTCTCGCCTGATCCTGTTTGATCTTTGCAAGGCGTGCCTCCTCTTTGGCTTCTGCTTCTAGTCTCCTCACATGCTCCCTTGCCTCTCTTACGGCCTGTCTCGCAGCCACAAGCGCGCGGTCGGCTTCTCGTTCGGCGGTTTCGGCGAGGACGACTTGTTCACGCGCTACAGAAATGGAAGGGTCTTCGCGGTTGCGGTGAAGAAAACCGCTACCGCCGTGTGATTTGGTGGTGGTGGTGGAATGTGTGGAGGGAGAGGTTGAGTGGCGTCGTGAGCCGAAGAGGCCGGTACGACGCGACTCGGTGGATTCGACGGGGGATACGTCGTGGCGAGAGTGACGGGGATAGTCGGAGGATGAAGCGGTTGAGGAGGTGTCGCGGTGGAAGAGAGGCATTTTGCGTGTCTTGTCTTTTCTTGTTTTGTCTTGAGAGAAAAAGAAGAAAGATGAGGATGGATAATTTCCTAAATTGGAAAGTCTTGGCGCGGATCTGTAGTCGTTCTTGTCTCGGGTTTTCTGTACGAAGGAAAAGGGGAGAGAAAGGTAGAAGTTGGGGATTCGGAGAATTAATCCTGAATATATACTCCAGATATATCACCCCAGATATTAGACTGTCGTCCTAGTGTTGACGATAGGAAGACATGACGTCGCGGCACAGACCTGACGTCAAAAGCGACGATCAACTGGCGTGATAAGCCACAATACACACACGAAGGATGGAACATCAATATACGAATTAATATATATAGAGACTAAGAGAGATACCGCTCTTTGATAGTAACATCTTAGATACCCTAAGATGTTGATATCGATGTTGATGCCAAGGTCGATGAGAGCTCATGGAACACAGCCAAGCCAGACCATGTCCATCAACTCCAGTTTACACAGGTACGACTATCATCCATAATAACTAAACAACTGAAGCGAAATATGATTCAAAGTAATCAATCAAATTCCTTATCTGCCTACGTGTCAGATGCTAGCAGCCATTGATGAAGCCGGTGGCTGATCCCGTTGCGTCATACTCTTAATAAGGCGTACTAAGATGCTTAGCCCTAGTTCAATTCACCGCTGACCTCGACCACGATAGGATCATTAGCGCCTACGACACTACGAGTAGAGAGTGATTGGTCGAACAGAATAATAAATAAATAAATTGATATGCAATACAATGATAAATCCCGCGCCCATGCACCTATGCAACGATCATGACTMAAGCCACAATTCACCAATGATAAATGCAGTAATATAATACAAGCCACTTTTCTGACACGAAAGCTTATGTCGGAGGTCGTAAATAAACGATTTAGGAAGAAGGTTCAGTTTCGTTAGTTTCTTCGGCGCGGCGGATGTGGGCAGGTGGAACCCAGCTAGAGCTCTTCCACGGCTTGACGTGCTGGACGTACATGGTGTCAATTTCTTCAAGGGTACGGCCCTGGGTCTCGCAGACGAAAAAGTAGACAATCACTGCAGCGGCGAAAGAGCAGGCAGCAAAAACATAGCCGTATTGAAAGTCGATGGCGCTGGAGATGAAAGGGGTGAAGAAGGAAATCAGGAAATTCCAGGTCCAGTTAGAGGCGGTTGCGATTCCCATGCAGGTGGCGCGGTAGCGGGCTGGGTAGAGTTCACCTACAAGAGCCCAGACGATCGGTCCCCAGGTAGTAGCGAAACCGACAATGAAGAAGCAGGTAAAGACGATTAGAGTAGTACCGGCCTTGGGAGTGGCAGGAGGATTGGCCTGGTCGAGAGAATAGTGTCCGACGGTGGCAAAGATCATGAAGCAAATAAACATCCAGATGCCACCAGCAATCAAGGACTTGCGGCGACCAAAGTGCTCGACAATGTAGAGACCAATGATGGTAACACCAAAGTTGACACCAGTCATGATCATCTGAGTAACATAGCTGTTATTAAGACCGGTGGAGGTGAAAATAGTGTTGCCGTAGTAGAAAATGAAGTTGGCACCAGTAAGCTGCTGCAAAGATTGCAAGGCAATTCCGAGAATAGTACGGTAAAGCATACGAGGACCGGTGAAGATTTCAAAGATACCAGCCTTTCCAGCAGCCTTTTCTTCATCAAGCTTATCCTTCATGTCGGAAATTTCTTCGGCAACAAGACGGTGGTTTTCGGGAACACCGTACAGCTTGGTCATGGTAGCCTTGGCTTCTTCGATACGGCCCATGCGGTAGGCATAACGAGGAGACTCGGGCAGGAAGAGAATACCAATACCGAGGATCAAAGGCCAGGCGAAACCGATACCCATGGTGATGCGCCATGCGGCGGTGGAGTGCATGGTCTCAGTGCCAAAATTGATGCAGGCAGCGATGAAGATACCAAAGGCGACGAACAATTGGAAGGCACTACAAAAGTCAGCGGGGGCTATCTTAAGCGAAAGGGGAATACACACCTGACCATGGCACCACGGACATGACGAGGAGCAGATTCACTCTGGTACATGGGAACAAGACTAGACAAAGCACCAACACCAAGACCAGCAATGAGACGGCCAATAGCAACTTGGTACCAATGGGTCGTAGTAGCTATCTGTACAATGATACCGACCATGTGGATGATGCACCAGAATGTGATGGACATTTTTCTTCCGAATCGGTCTGCGAGAGGACTGGCAGCGAGGGCACCAATCATGGTTCCGATGGACATCAAACCGACGATCAAGCCGGAGCGGACGTTGCTAAAGTAGTAGCCAGAGTCGCTGTGCTGGGCAAAGCGCATTTGGAAGTCGGACATGGTCAAAAAGCCAGAGATTTGTCCTGTAATTGAAATTAGCCAGGAAAAAAAAGCGTAGCAAAAGAGACGTACCAGTCGAGTAACCAAAGATGAAACCACCCATGGAGGCGATGATTCCCATGATGCAGGATCGCCATGTCAAGTAAGGCACCTTGCTATCGTCATATCGGGCATTCTTCTCGGCCAGAGAAGCAGTGCCAGAGGTCGGCGTAGAGGTGGATGTCTCTGCGTGCTCGGCCTGTTCAGGGTTGCCCTTGAGCTTGTTCAAGAATTGAGAGACCGCCATTGTATGTGTTGTGTATGTATACAGGTTGGGTGAGTATACAAAGGACAGAGAAGAGAAAGGATAGGAGCAGACTTTATAACACTTTCTAGACCCGGACATAAAACGGGGAGATCACGCGGGACTGAAAACTTGAACGGGGGACCCGGATGTGGGATCAGGAAATATGGAGGGGATGGATGGGTTCGTAGACCGAATGAGATGGCTTCCCAGTTCGGCAGGCTGCTCTTTCCGTCGGGCGATAGGCCATCATGGCCTGCTCCTTCCTGTTATGGAGTGGATCTCACCAAAGATCGAGCGAGCTCTTGCCATCAGCGGTTGACAACAGGCGCTGTTGACATTACCCCCTTGATACTGGACGGCCGAGACCATCACTATTGATGTTGTGTGGCATTCAGCCGAAATAAGCAAGATGAAAACAGATACTGTATACATCTATCCCTTCGAAGGGCTGACACAATTCCAGAAGAAAAGCAGAACAAAACAGAAAAAGCAAAACAGAATCAAGAAATCCAATCTTGGCCGCAAGCGGAAAAGGGTCCCCAGCCACTATGCCGGATACGGCATATAGTGGGACCATCCGCACATCATTCGGCAGATCCAGCCCTCCGATTGGCTGGACAGCATTATCCCTTGACTGTAAATTCCTTATCTCTACGTAGTATATGGTATTTATCGATCGATATTTACTATTTCGTCGTCCATACGCTGCGTCTATTTACATATATCCAAATTAGTATAGAGATATAGATGGCTGGAATGTCAAACAACCATCTTCCTTTTCTCCTAGAGTCAGGGCAAACTTTGGTGGCTCACCGTGGCTGGATCAAGCCTGAAGCTACGGCTCCACTCTTCTCGAGATCCACTGTGGTATGACTCCATGACTCCCGGACTCCATCGGTGAAGATTTTACTACGTAGGATAGCCTTGCCTCACTTTGACTGTAGCCACTACTAATGATCACCAAGTTGCACTTGATCATGCTATCTGCCGAGTGACATGATGTATGGCTCTAAGAACATAGGATATAATGTATACTGGTGATGCTTGTGTTTAGCTGAGATAAACCACCATCAGATCCAATCGTCATGACAGAAAAGTCGCCAGAGTGCATACGGGAAATCACGGAGGGTCCATCGAAAATCCAAAACTTCTCGTGGAAGCTTATCTTTTTCTAGAAAGGATCCATTCCACCAAGATAGACCCGACTACTGAATACGAATTTTCGGTCAAGCATTCCGATCATCTGGCCAGTGTTCAACTACTCGAGTAGCCAACACCTGATGACCGTGGGCAGATTCCAAATTACTTTTTCTGCAACTTTTTCAAGAGAGAATAATGACAGGAACAAGAGGAATCTATTGAGTATTGACACGCCCGTCAAATCTTTCAAGGGCCCTTTAAGCGACGTAAGAAAGTAGAATAAACCTGTATATGAGCACCAAACTCTACCAAAGTCAATTCTTGAAGGAACCCACAATAAATCTCTGCCGCTACGTAGTAGGGCCAATCTTTACCACGGAACGAAGTAAAAGTCGGCAAGTGGATATCGGCATCGGGATCGGGATGAATAGGACTCGGCATGTCCAGAGACGACTTACGGTGTGCCGGTTGAGTCGGCATGCTTTCACTGCTTTGAACTTGGTAGCGGATAGTTTTTAATACGACTAATTTGATAAAGATGACTATGTGGATACTTTTATTATGCATGCATCATGCCATTCTGGTATGATGGTAAGCCCTAGCCCTAACAACACTACGCAGTTGTATCGTGTACTAGTAAAAAATCAAGTCGAGTGCTTTTCTCGACAGTCACGCGGTTTTTGACATGTGCTAGATCATTAAGCAAAAGAATTATCGTAGAGTACCGGCACTGATTGGTTGCAATCTTACGTTTATATATATAACTAATTTTCACGAAACCTTTCGCAGACTTAACAAGAGAAAAACCCAAACCTGGTAGTGTCCGCCTTGATTAGTTATAGCCCGTTTGCTGTTTATCGTAGACCACAAAGAAAGCTTGGCATAATGTCCACTACTCTTCAGGCAAGGAAATTAGAATTTTGAATCAATTCGTCTGCCTCTTTCGGTATAGCCCTAAACCCTACCTAGCTAATTCCCGTAGCATTGCTCACCCACAGCTTCCTTCCAGTATAAGAGTACTGTATGTCTATAATTGGATGGAAAACCTCCGCATTTCGAACATAATTGATATCGCATAGGGATGATTCTAGTCAAGAGATAAGGCACGTTGTAAGATACTAATTTTATCTATACATCCATGGAAAGCGCTATGCTGAATCAACTCTAAAAGCGATAAATAATCGTGAGGAACCGAGAGCTATCGCTAACGAGCCCCCCGTTCCAAAGATTTATGGTAAGGATTCGCGCAACCAAACACGGTGGCACCGTGAAATTCTAGTTTTCGAGGATCCTGTGTCTTCGTGCATGTTTTGGTGCCGTTTTGAGTTATCTCGTGTATGGACAAACAGGCATTGTAGCAGTTACACCCGGGATGGACAGTCGGGCGGTACCAGAATAGCTTTTTACTCGGCTGCTTGGGCGTCATTTCATTGACTGTGAGTAGGATTCTTTTTTGAGCAAGCTGCAAAACACATGAGTTAGTCGCCGTCAGCAGTCCAGCTCCCTTCGGGGTAGTCTCCCATCCACTCGTGACAATTGTTTTTTCAAGGTCAGGACGGACCAAGTCTCCAAGACAGCTACCTAGGATAACGAGCATATCATGGGTGTCGCCTAGCATGGCCCACTTGGGACCGCCATTTTTCCATTTCATCTCTCTCTGAAAAATATTTTCTGCCTTAAAAGCGAGCTCAGAGAAGTCCCATCCGCGTAGTGTTCGACTGGAGAATAATGGCAACTTGAAGCCTTTTTCTATCCGCCGGATGTTTTCTGCTGTTCGAAGTTTTCGAAGGTCTTTTATGAAATCGCGAATCACCATGCCAAAAGTCTTCAATTGACCATCTTCAATCTTTTCGTAAAGCTCAAGGTTCCAATTGTCTTTGACTAAATTATACACCTTTAATCCGTCGTCAACTGCGGCAGTCAGGTAAGGGAGAGCCTCTTGCACGTTGAGCGGGTACCGCTGATAGACATCTGCTTGATGCAAATACGTCAAAGCCATATGAAAAACCAAGCTTAGCTCAGGGACAAGCCAACCGCGGTCTTCGTTATGATCGTAAACCAAAATGGGACGGCGACTGGCCGCCCTGAGCAAGTCTTCAAGATCACGGTTATCCTCCAAAGACACATTGAGCCGTGGTGGTAGAGTCCATTTACCGCCTACCGTCGTGTTGAAGATCCCGCGGATGGAAAATCCGGCGCTCATCGTACCTTCGTGCGCCATTTCAATTCGGGACTTCGATTTAGGTAGCAAGCTCAAAAGCTCGCTTGTAGCTTGAGACGATAATAACTCATGAGTTCCTAGTAGTACCAGTGCCCGACTGCAATATCCAAGGTACGCCCTGTGCTCGCCGAGCTGACCAATGTTGTCAGTGCGAATCCAGTCAAGCGATTGATCAATGACCTCGGCGGCTTCTTTAGCGGAGGTTGCATCTGTGATATGCCACTGGATGCCATCTTCCAATTTTCGCGAAGGGAACAAAATATTTGATGGTCCTACCAAAAGAGTGCCGCCGCCGTATTCCATACATACGGATATATCCGCAAAGCGTAGAAGAAGTGGAAAGGGGATTTCCAGCCCAAATCCTTCCCGACGCTCGCGCACTGGATATCCAACTGCGAGAATGGCACTTCGCAAAATTTTTGTCCAGCATGACTCATTTGGATACCCTTCGAGTGGATAACTCTGGATACGCAGCTGATAGGTCCCAGATCTAGGAGAGATCAAGTAAGATCCAGTCGCTAGGAAAGGTCCATGTTCGGATTTCGTCTGCTCACGTGCAAATACACAACCCAACCACGCTATTTGTTCCATCAAGTCAACAATTTTTCCCTCAGGTGCCTCGGCGACGATTCTCATTGTCCCCTTGTGAAGCACAAATCGTACCCGTTGGTCATCAAAGATATCCGTTACAACAGTTCTGCTTTTCAAGGCTCTAATCATGGCATCAAGAATTCTGAGCCCCGAATCACCCCAGGTTTGAGCCACATAATCTTCGCACGACATCATCTGTGCATTTTGCACCGACCCTGTAAGTGTGACTGTCCTGCGAAAATCCTCGACCCCAGACAACCCGTTTTCCATGAAATAGGCAATATCCCAATCCATCACAATCTCCAATGTGATTCCTTGAGACACATTTTGCTCCGAAAAAACCTGGTCCCGAATAGTCTCTCTTATCAGTGCGCCGGCTTGTAGCAAAGTCTCCACCACCCCGTGCAACTGCTTTTGTAGAGCCATAGTAAGAGCCGTGTGTCCCGACCTTCTGGGTTTGTTTGCATCGGCCCCTTTCTCGAGTAAGAGCGCTATCATATTCAAATCTCCACGTCCAACGGCGATGTGAAGAGGCGTATCAAGAATTGAATTCTTCGCATTGACATCAGCCCCATTCTCGATCAAAATCTTTGCTATATCCAAAAGTCTGCATTTAACAGCGGTATGAAGGGGCGAACCGAAATGTCGATTCTTCACATTGATATCTGCCCCGTTCTCGATCAAAAACTTTGCTATATTCAAATGTTCCCTCTGAATAGCGAGATGAAGAGGCGTTTCAAGATATTGATTCTTCACATTGAGATCAGCCCCATTCTCGATTAAAACCTTTGCTATATCCAAATATTCATTCTGAATAGCGAGATGAAGAAGCGAACCGAGATGTTGATTGATCTTCACATTGGTATCTGCCCCATTCTCAATCAAAATCTTTGCTATATCCAAATGTCCATTCTGAATAGCGAGATGAAGAGGCGAACCGAAATATCGATTCTTCACATTGATATCTGCCCCGCTCTCGATCAAAAACTTTGCTATATCCAAATGTTCCCTCTGAATAGCGAGATGAAGAGGCGTATCAAGATTCGAATTCTTCGCATTAAGATCAGCCCCATTCTCGATTAAAACCTTTGCTATATCCAAATGTTCACTCTGAATAGCGAGATGAAGAGGCGAACCAAGATGTTGATTAATCTTCACATTAATATCAGCCCCATTCTCGATCAAGGCCCTTGCTCTATTTAAATGTCCGCGGTTAACAGTGGTATGAAGAGGCGTATCAAGAATTGAATTCTTCGCATTAACATCAGCCCCATTCTCGATCAAAATCTTTGCTATATCCAAAAGTCTGCATCTAACAGCAGTATGAAAAGGCGTATCAAGATAGAAATTCTTTGCATTGATATCAGCTCCATTCTCAATCAAAAACCTTATTATATCCAAAAGTCTGTGTATAATAGCGAGATGAAGAGGTGTATCATGATTCGAATTCTTCGCATTGATATCAGCCCCATTCTCGATTAAAACCTTTGCTATATCCAAATTTCTATTACGAATAGCGATAACAAGAGGTGTCTCCGAATCACGAATCTTCACATTAACATTAGCCCGTTCTTGAATAAAATATTTGGGACATCGTAAAGTACATTTTCATCAAGGTCAAAATCACGCATGCCCAACATCCGGTTTTGTCTCATATTGACATTGGCACCGTTATTGAGTAACTGTAGGACTATGTCCATATTATTCTCCTCCACTGCCTTTTGGAGAGAGATGTAGAGGGTTTGTTGGCCACCATTTTCGACCCTGCATTTCTTACAACGAGTGTGGCCACAAGTAGCACAGCTATTTTCATATCCCCAATTGTAGGACCCATTATCGCATTCGCAGCAGGACCACAAGTCTTCGGTAACCGGCATTGGGATCAGATTTTATGAGCTCGAAAGATTTCCCTCTCAACGTCGCGGGCAATATTTTTGGTCATGAAGTTAGAGAAAGAAAAAAGAGCATCACTGTCCTAGAGCCTCCTAATATACTTAAATCGCAATTTGAGCTGGTTAGCCCCGCAGACTCGATTTCCTACAACAACCAAGGCTGAGTGAGGCTCATTTCTGGATGCAATGTTCGCAAGGCTATGGAATGGTGCGGTGCACGACACCCGCGTTAAATCAGATTTGTGCTATTCTATTGTGGCGTCAGATGAATCTTACTCCGGGTTACTCCGAGGAACAACAAAAAGCAATGATTAAAATTCTCCCGCCGACATACTTGCAGTATTGGTGGGCTTTCCAAGTCATATGCATGTGTTGTCCCGCCCAATATATCAAACCTGGTTCTTATATGCAGTAGAAGCATGGATTGTTACACAAGCCGACTTAATAAAAGCATTGATGGGCTTCGACGAATCAGATACTATCAGGCTGAGTGATTGAAAGATGAAGCTGCCAATGAGAGGTACTTTTTGCACAGCCCTCGCGACGCCCGAACATCAGAAAAAGCAATAAAGATACGAAGAAGAAAAGAATGTAAATTGAAAATCCCACAACTTCTTGTGGGAAAKCGCCTGAGAATTCAAATTTTGTAAATGTCAACGTCGGGACGCAGGAGCCTAGGCTGGTGCTTCTTATGCATTGTCGCTTAGAGAAACTTCCATATCCTTATAATAGGCACAAAAAGTCGTTTGATTCGCGAACTATACCGTTTATTATGTCTATCGCGTGCTATCGGCCTCAGTTTAGACCCCTGTGCTAAGTAAGATCAACAGCCGCTCGGGCTTTGAGGGACACAATACTGCTTGACTAATATTTCTTGCCCTTGAAATTGAATAAATTGTCTAAGACTTGACATAGGTCAATCTGGTCTACTACTTGACCCTCAACCTGACATCTAGGATATAACACACAAATACACATTATTATGACCTCGTTAGTCCTTCAATACAGAGCTAACTTGCTATCAGCCTCTAAGGAGAGTTCGAAATTGAGATGCAACAGCATCACCGACTTCCCGCGTGGACGCAGAACCTCCTACGTCTCTGGTACGAATCTCCAAACCATTACTATCGTGCGAGTCAAACGTCTTTCGTACAGCTTCTTCCAGCAAGTGAGCCTCTCGTGGCATGCTGAACGAGTATTGAAGTAGCATCGCCAAACTGAGAATTTGAGCAATGGGGTTTGCCTCGCTCTTTCCCGAAATATCAGGTGCGCTTACCGTGGACTGCTTCATATACACCCTTGACAGGTCTTTCGCCAGGTATACCACATACGCTTGCGCTAGGAAGTACTCCCAGTGATCCGACGAGGCCCCCAGATATATCAGACAAGATATCTCCAAATGTGTTGTCGGTGTGGATCACGCCGTTCAATTTTGTTGGTGCTTTGACCATAATCATGGCAGCGCTATCAGCGAGTTGATCGCGTAGTTCTATATCAGGGAATTCACGCTGAAATGTGTCATGAGTCACTGTTCGCCAAAATCGACCACTTGCCAATACGTTGGCTTTGTCCGCATTCCAGACGATAGCTGGCCTCTTATCATCTCCGGCCATCGTCCGCGCAAGAGCTGCTGATACGCGAGCACATCTCTCAACCTCATCTCGCCTATAAATCCATAGATCCGATGCTTCATCTTCAGCTTCGATCTTGTGTCCAAAATATGCTCCTCCGCAATTCTCTCGTACCACAATGAAATTGACACCCTTGACCACATCAGCTTTAAGCGATGACTGTTCAACTAGACTTGATGCACAAAAGCGACAAGGTCTAATATTCGCGAATGCATCAAGACGCTGTCTCAGACGTAGAATGCCCTTTTCCGGACTGAGAGCACCCGGCACATGCGCCCATTCTGGTCCTCCGACAGATCCCAGAAGAATCGCATCGCTGGCAAGAGCAGCTTCAAGGACTTCTTCGGTAATTGGGTTATTCGTCTTGTCTAAGCTTGCGCCTCCGATGAGTCCGTAACTTAATTGTACTTTGAAACCGGGTCGCTCTTCTTCAAGAACTTTTAGCGATTTCAGTGCTTCTGCTATAATCTCTGGACCGATGTGATCCCCTGGGAGCACTAAAAGTTTTCGTATTCCAGTCATGGTAGATGTTAAGTTTGCAGATTCTGTTAGAAAGAAGGCTGAAAGTCGCGAGAAATGCAATAAGAAAAGAATTTAAATACAACCGAAAATGAAAGCTGTTCACGCAGCAATTGATAATATAACTGAATCTACTAACGAAATGTGCTATTCTGTAAGTTCCTCGATGTCACTACAATATAGCTTGTTTAGATTATTTTCGAAAGTATGCATGCGTAGCTCTCGGTTCCGGTGGTACACTCCGAGCGAAAGTCGAGGTAAGTTCACCTGTGCCACCACAAGCTTATGAGATTGTTTCATCCAAGAACGACTTGATGAATTTTCTACCAGCGAGCTTTGACTGTCTTTAAATTCACAATCATCGATAAAAAAAAGTAAATGACAGCGTGCGACGGATATATCCACTCGAAATTCTAACTACAGTAAAAGAAATGGCTCCAAGACTTGAAGGGAAAGTTGCTATTGTCACCGGTGCTGCCTCGGGCTTCGGCAAAGGCATAGCTACAAAATTCGTACAAGAAGGTGCCAAAGTCCTCGTTGCCGACTTGTCTGAAGAATCGGGCCTGAAAGTCGCCAAAGAACTTGGATGCGAATTCATCGTCGCAGATGTCACGCAACGGAAGCAATGGGAAGAGATATTACACAAAGTCACAGATATTTTCGGGGGCTTGGATATTGTGGTCAACAATGCCGGAGCTACTTACTCCAACAAACCGACCACTTCAGTGACAGATGCAGATTTTGACCTCGTCATGAATGTCAATGTTAAGTCGATATATCTGTCGACAGACGTCATTGTGCCATATTTCCTCAACAACAACCGCCCGGGAGTCTTTGTTCAAATCAGCTCAACAGCGGCAATCAGGCCTCGTCCAGGACTGACATGGTACAATGCATCCAAAGGCGCAGTAAGCATTGCTTCCAAGTCAATGGCTGCGGAGTTCGGCCCCAAGCAGATACGATTCAATACCGTCTGTCCGGTAGTTGGAAGTACAGGAATGTGAGTCATCCACTTATCGTGAAATATTGATCCAATTACTTATGTATAAGTAGGACTCATCTATTCCTTGGAAAGCCAGACACAGAGGAAAATAGAGCAGCATTTGTGGATACCATTCCACTCCGTCGCCCTTCAACACCAGCGGATGTAGCCAATGCATGCTGTTACCTCGCCAGCGATGAGGCGGCATTCATTACGGGAGTTGATCTGGAAGTACGTCTACATCCACCCTGCATGTTTGGATTTCAAGAATGCAGTGGCGTACTTTGGATTGCTAATATTCTTATAGGTCGATGGCGGACGTTGTATATAAGCCGACCACCACAATTTCGGGATATGCCGGGAATGTGCTGATATTACGGGTGCATGTTGCGTTCCTCATGCTGGGAAGTACCTAGTACATTGATATACAATTATAATCTTGGTTCAGATACTATATCTGCCTTGGGATATTTACCGCATTAGCATAATGGAACAAATTCTTATTTTCTGATCTCTTAAAAAAGTTTTCTGATGGAATTGAAGACTACATAGCATAAAAATAATACTTTGTCTTAAAGTAAAGCCGTAAGTGCAATCCTTTTTACGATTACACGAAATTACTTACTTCTTCTCGTACCTTATCCGGAGAGATTTCATCTCAACTTGATGATAGAGCTCTTCGTCGCCATTGGTTTCCCCCATACTTGTTGCCTCCGCTTCTACCACAATCCTATTTGCTACATCGTATTCCAACCGTGCGGGGTTTGACTTTCGGAGTGTACCACCCCCCAATGATGTTGATCCTGATGCCGGATTGCCCAACCTGGGAAGGCAATCTACATCATGCATACTGATGTGAACGAGTCTGAAGTAATTCACTTCGGGATTTTTGGAGAATCGGATTTGTATCATGTGGAATCCATTCGAACAAGAAAAACACTTTTTCTTAACGCTAATATCCTAGCTCGGTTGTAACATCTTATTCGAGCTAAAATTTGACTCTCAAAACCTTAATTCAAGGCTTACTGAATGCGAACTAAGTTTTCCCCATGGGGCCCCGCATGATTTCCTGCTCAGAGATTTCAATGATCAGCATAGAGAATGCTTTCGGCTTGGAATATCAGCATTATCAACATGTACAACACAATGAAGTCCCCCTTGTCTCAATCAGACGATGCAATATTACAAACAAAGGTAAATGGATATTTTCTAAACTTTTGCTTCGAAGCTTGGCCTAACGCAAATCGAGCAGCTAAAAAACGATATCAATGCGGCAATTGCGATCTTTCATTCAGTCGCCCAAGCCATCTTGATCGCCATGTAGCATCTCATAATCCACGTTATCAGCGGATTTGCGTATGCTGTCCTCATTGTGAAAAAGGATTTGCAAGGAATGATGTTTTATTGCGACACCTGCGGGCTGTACATCAAGTCGAAACTCCTCCCAAGAAAAGTGCGCGGAAGTCATGTTCACAGTGTATTCGAAGGAAGTTGAAGTGTAACCGGACACAGCCATGCCAATCTTGTATCAATTCACAATCACATTGTGCATATCATGACGACGAGGTGCCTTCTACGTCCCCCCACCCACCGGAATCGACGCCTGAGCAAGATAATGATATTTTGCAAGACACCATACATCAGACAATACCATTTCAATCCAATAATTCACGCTACGATCTTCCTCTTACACCTGAAGAGGAAAGACACTCAGCTTTTGATGATCTTGAAATTCCGCGTTATGGTAGACCTTCCGAGAGAAGGAATCTGTTGCAAACAGAAGACAATAGTTTCGGTCCCTATACCAACCTTACCACTCAAACTCAATCGAATAATGAGGAGTCAATTCTTTGTTCAATGTCCCATGATCTGCCTACGACGATGAATCTAGGGTCGGGAGGCTTGGACTGGTTAGACTTTCAACTTCAAGAACCAATAATACAACAGGCCTCATCTGTTTTGACAAATACTACCTATTCAATCATACCTTTGACAGATTCTAATATCGGCAACAGTCATGGATATGGAAGTATCGAGATTCATGACCCGGGCGCACTACCAATTGATAGCAGTAGAAACTTCACAACACATGCCAATAGTCAGGCTCTACCTGCTTCGCAACAATGGCCATTCGATCAGAACCGCGAACGTTTCCCGCCACGGTGTCAACTACCACCTCTCCGTGACATACTGCATGGAAGTGTCGCCTCGGATTTTGGACAGAATGTGGGTGCTCTAGAAGAACTTGTCCAGCTTCTATCTGTTCCTTATATACCAAAATTAGAGAACTCGCCATACGATGCCACCAGGCTTACTGCTTTTCATTTATTAAAAGAAGCGATTGACAGATTCCTTGCTGAATTCCATCCAATTCTGCCTATCCTTCACATCCCAACGTGGAACTTATTCAAATGTCCGACTGTGTTGCTTGCCAGTATGGCTTGCATTGGGGCTATGTTGCGGGATGATCAAGACTCTTTTGCAGAATCGAAAGCTTTCAGTGAGATATGCACGCGAATGATCTTTTGGCTGGTAAGTTCTTTAGCTTCCTTATTCCCATGAGTTATATATCAACTGACACTCTGAAGGCCTGCTCGGATAGCAACAATTACTCTGACTTGTCCTATCTCAGCGCATCCTGTCTTCATCAGATCTATTCCCTGGGTTCTGGGAACCATCAATTATATCAAGATGCAGATCGTTCACGCGGCTCCCTAATAGGTGGCTTGAGAGGTATGGGGCTTTTAACTTCTCGCCTCTCTATCGAGGCCGAGAAAGCAGATCTGCAGCCCTCCATATCCACCAACATGGATGACGTGCAGGCAGAGTGGATACAGTGGATAGATCGCGAAAGAGAAAAGCGAGTGACTTGGGCTTCTTTTGAGTATGACTGCAGCCTTGCCACACTGACAGGTCGGCGTGGTGCCGTTGACCTTGGAGAATTGCCATATAGATTCCCCTGTGCTGAGGCATTGTGGGAAGCTCCATCTGCCCAGGCGTGGAGAACGCTTTCACTACATTCGGGTTCTAGCGTATCCGTGACAGCTGTTCTAGAAAGAGTTATGGCCGGGAGATCTGTGCCGAATGAATTGTCATCATGGGGGAAACGGCTATGCAGTCAAATCATTGGGCGGCTCCTATGGGATATGAAGCAGCTCGAAGTTCCATACCTCAGCAAGGCGTTGCGTCTCCCGTCCTTGCTGTCTGTTCAGCGACAAGCTAAACTAGCTCTACTCGAGGGTTTTGAAAACCTTGGCCGTTCCATTGGGAATCCAATTTCGAGCAAAGAGTTGATTGATCACAAGTAAGMCCCGCCACTTTCTTTCTTTAATCCTTCAATTCTTTACTAATGACCTTCGTATAGTATCTCGCGCTTGATTGTTCATTACTGCAATCTTTATAGCTCAGACGATGTAATGGAGCTCGTAGTCTATATCGTCCGAAACGTCGCCGCTGCTCAACAGGACCATACGAGTATCCAGCTAATTGAGGCCGCAAAACATAAACTAACGGCAAAGTTCACAAGCGATCCATCGCGAACTCGAAAATTGGTGTGGCACGCAGCTCAAATCTTGGCCGTTGCCAACCAATATTTGGTATCCGCCCCTTGCGAGATTCTGCGTGTCTTTATGGGCTCGATCTTCTTGATGGCCTTTGCGAAGTACAGCGGCGATCCTGGCTATTATGGTCTTGAAAGGGATGATTTCCCATTCGTCAAGTTAGATGATATTGAGAATGCTACCAGAGGATCTCGGAGTCCACTCATTAGCGATTGGATTTCCCATGGTGGTCCAGCTTATATTACTGGCATTGATGATATCTCTAGTAAGACATTCGCCATTCATGTCAGCATTGGAACGCAAGACCTGCTGCAACGAATACAGTACTGGGGGTTGTCTCGTAAATTTATTCGAATGCTTCAGATTTTTGAGGCTGCCAGATGATTTTCTGTCGATGCTTTGCAAAATCTTACTTTATTTGACTGGATGTACAATGATACTTGTTCGATTAACTAGGATAATTTCTAATTGAGTAAATTGTGTTCACCCATAACAAACATTTTCTTTCAAATAAAATCAAGAAGCTTGGGCTGTTCACGCGGCGTTTTAAACTTGACTAACGCTAGCCTTGCCCATTTCACCATCATCTTCCATATGCAGGATATCCTGCCCTTTCAGAAACTCATCCAAACCTCTGCGTTGATCTTCCGGTATATCATTAAAGTGGACAGCAACATCATCACCAAATTTGGCACTGATCTCTTCCAAGGAAAGTTGCGCAGTTTCAGGCCAGAAGAAGTAAACTAGTGGTATGAAGAAGATACACCAGCAGATTATGACTAGATAATACTTCCAGCCGGCGTTTTGGATCCCGATGGGAGCTGTCTGCAAGAGAATGAGTGTGGCAGCGAATTGCCCAAAGAGAGAAAAGCCCATTCCGATGGGTCTGATTTCGGTAGGGAAGATTTCGGAGACGTAGAGGTACATTGTTGTGTCGCAGCATGTTCTAAGGCAAAAATTAATTAGTCCCAACATAATCAGCTGGGAGGAAAGTACTAACCCTTGAAAAGCAAGATAGAGGAAAATGAAGAAGACMCCCGCCGCATTCCCGGCTTTATTCGTCGTACCAGCGTAGCGAGCGACGCATCCAGCCAGACCGGAGGTTGTCACTAAGCATCCTATCAAACCTACAATGAACATCCAGCGGCGAGAGTTGACGCGGTCATGAAGCCAGGCACCTAGCGGATTGTAAATAAACCCTAAAATAGTTGTTAGGTGAAAATGAATTGTAAGTTCTGGAATCACGTTTGTATTGAGAACCAACCTGCAGTAGTGAGCCACAAGGCTGAAAGAAGGAGAGGCATGTAGCCAGTCTGTCCCAAGTTCGTGTAAAGTATGACAGAGTAGTTATTCTGCTTATACTATCAGCTTTTGATCCAAAGAGGGAGGCTGTGATTGAGAAACGCACGATAACTAGTGGACCAGCAAATTCGGCTCCCCATTGAGTCAAAAATCCAATGATAATCCGCTTGCGATAGCTTTTCTTCTTAAGGACTGCCATCCACGGCCCATACCCAAGACTTTGAAGTTTCGATTGATCCAAGGCCAGTTGTTTTCTCGTCTGATACAATTCTTCCCTCGCCGCCAGATCATCGACATCAGAAGGCGTCTTTCGCAGTCTTACTAGCACACCCCAAGCTTCTTCAATCTTTCCCTTTTGCAGTAGCCACCGTGGAGACCGCGGAATAAAAACTGACGTGAGCAATAAGATCAATGGTCCAAAGCATTGCATGCTGAGAGGGAATCTCCATGCAAATGAAGGATTTTTGTCGGTTGCAAAATAGCAGGCGAAACCTAACCAGGAAGCCAGAACGTAGCCAAAGACTAAGAATATTGCGTGGTGGCCGACGAGCCAACCTCGATTGCTAGGAGGTGCCAGCTCGGATAGATACATTGGACAAACTGTGACTAGGATACCGATTCCAAGGCCAGCAATGAAACGGCCGGCGTGAAACATGCTGTTGATATCATTGTCAGTACATTATCATTCTCACTTAGATCTGAATTAGGTGCAACTCACCTAAGGTTCGCTGCTCCGCCTTGTAGTGCACCTCCAATGAGGGCAAGTAGTGCTCCCAATTGGATATTCTTCTTCCGACCAAGTGAAGTAGCTGACCATGCGATAAAAAGACTACCGACAGCACCGCCCGCACTGTACAGGCCATTCGCCGTCGCGATAGCCTCGGTTGTGGTAGTTGTGTAACCTGGCTCACCGGCCTCAGGTAGGTTAAAGAATGAGTACCATCCCGGCTGGCCAATGGTGCTCCCTATTATCGAGGAGGAATAACCGTATGTCTATCATTCACGATTAGTATCGAATTGGTAAGGTCGAGGAAGAATAGAGCACACCAGAGACCCTAAGGCCACGGCTACAGTGACCAATTTGTTGTACACGGTCGTGCCGTGTTTTTCTTTTCCAGTCATGGCTGTTTTGAGTATTAGGTGTCGAGTCAAATAGTGGTGCAAATCTTGAAGGAAGAAATATCAGCACTTTGCCCCGGTAAAGTGTGCAAAAGTATCTGTTATATCCCCCCATGTATTAACTTCTTCAATCCGAAAAGATCATCTAATGATCTGCTCCCATTGTCCATTCTTCGGCATCTGCGCGGACCGTGCCACTCCTCTGAAGGTACAACAGCCGGAGGGTGCCACAGCATAAGCGATTTACATTCCGGGGAGACATTTCAACTATGATTTAGCTTGTGATCATTTCGAAAATCAGCTGGTGTCATAATTTATGAGAATCCTAAGGTATCTTCAAGGTTTAGCTCATTTGCATTTTCCAGTACTTTATTTAGTAAAGTATCAGGTATCTCATTCATAATCAGCGAACTCACATCTGCGAATCTGAAAATGTCTCATGATCCAGAGACCAATAGCGGGGCTCATGAAGTGCGAGTGCCGTTTGAATTATCCGATAAAACACTACTTCACAATAAATGCTACGTCGACGGTCAATGGTGCTCTTCACTCTCAAATAATTCCTTCGCAATCGACGACCCCGGTTCAGGCACCCATTGGGCTACATGCCCCAACTGCATTCCGGAGGATGTCGACAACGCAGTACAAACAGCACATGCAGCTTTTCAACTCTACTCCCGCACGAATCCCAGAAAACGTGCTCAACTTCTCTCTGCATGGTATCAACTCATTCTCTCCGCAAAGGACGATTTGGCCAAGATCCTAGTTTACGAAACTGGTAAACCTCTTAGCGAGGCATATGGGGAGATAGATTATGGCGCTAGCTTTACATGGTGGTTTGCCGGGGAGGCAGATAGGATTCGGGGGTCGACGTTGGTAGCTGCCGCGGATAATCGACGAACAGTTACCATCAAACAGCCTATAGGTGTTGCTGTAGCATTGGTGCCATGGAATTTCCCAATCGCACTCGTGCTACGCAAAGTCAGTGCGGCTTTGGCTGCAGGATGCACGATTGTGGTGAAGCCATCTCCAGAGACACCGATGACAGCTTTGTGTCTTGCCGATCTCGCTACTAGGGCTGGCTTTCCCAAGGGCGCATTTAACGTTTTAACAACTAGTCTTGAGAATACTCCTGCAGTCGCACAGGCTTTGTGTGTTCATCCGTTAGTGAAGAAAGTGACGTTCACCGGCAGTACTCGTGTTGGTAAGATTATTGCTCGCCTATGTGCCGATAATCTGAAAAAGTCGACGTGCGAGCTTGGTGGTAATTGCCCCTTGATCTGTTTCGCTGATGCAGATTTGGATGTTGCTATCGATCAACTGTTTGCGCTCAAATGGAGGCATGCTGGACAAGCATGCATTACTGCAAATCGTGTTTATGTCGAGCGTGCTATTTATGACGACTTTGTAGAACGGATTTTGTCACGAACGAAGACACTGGTAGTTGGTCATGGGCTAGATCCCGATACTACAATGGGACCCGTCACTGTGGAACGCAGTCTTGGTCGCCTGGAAGGTCTCGTTTCAGATGCAGTCGGAAAAGGTGCTAAAATTGTTCTTGGGACGGGTACCAGACTTCAGAAAGGCGAGGCGAACGACCTGACCAAAGGATTCTACATGAAGCCTACCATTCTCGTCGACATGACGGACGACATGATAATGACTCATGAAGAGGTCTTTGGTCCAGTTCTTGGAATATATTCGTTTGACACGGAGCAAGAGATTACAAATCGGGCAAATGCCACACCGTTCGGTCTTGCAAGTTATGTCTTCACGGAGAATACCCATCGAATATGGCGGATGATGGAGAATCTGGAAGCTGGGATGATTGGAGTGGTATGTCATAAATCTCATTTCTAAACTTAAATTTCTAGATACTGAAGGTTACATAGAACGTAGGAAACAGCTCTGCTGCCGAAGCACCGTTCGGTGGAATGAAGGATAGTGGATGGGGGAAGGAGAGTGGTAAAGATGTTGCGATTGATGAGTATCTCATCAGCAAGACTTGCACAATGATGATCAAAGATCATTTCTAATTGCATCTTGTCTGGCTATTCTTCTTATTAGTCTTATAACAGCTTGATCCAGTAGGTGACACTTCAGATAGCAAGATTTCGGCATATCTCCAGTCATATGTGCACAAGTAGAGTATAAATCTTGACTCGCCGTATGTAGCGCAATATAATATAGATCCGAGCAGCCCAAGTTTCCCCAAACCAAGTGCGGGGACCCCAGAGTTCCCCACTGGTGGCAAGCTCCGTAACATGATTCGGGGTAAAAGTGATACAATTCGTAGAGGTTACGTGACCTGGCGCGTGTTTTTTCCTTTTTTTGAATTCAGCTAACTTTTTTTACTTTCTTCCTTTCTTCCTTTCTTCCTTTCTTCCTTTCTTGTTTCCCTCTTTCGTTGTTAGGTATTATGTTAATTATCGCGCCTGAGATCCGAGAAGCATATATCAAACCATCGAACAGTTCACCAATCTCAAAATCTTCATATCAAGCTACTATACACAAACTTTCGATGTCCGAAGACCCTCCCATTCTTCCACCCTCGACTCTCGAGATCACGGAGCTATCCTCAATCCTCAAAATCCACAAAACCCCCTACGATCAACTCCCAAACCCACGACGAGTCTGGAACGGTCCCCCAAACTCGCACGCCGAAGGTCTAGGCCGACTCATAATCCTAACACCAGACATCGTCCGCAACGCTGCAGCATCCTGTATTCGCACCGGCACACGAATCTCTCTTGGCTGGGATCTGACAAAACTCGAGATCGCAAACTTCAATCGTCAGCCGACACAACATCATGTTCTGCCTATCATGGGTGGGATCGCGTTTGATGATTTGTATATAATTAATCCGCAACAGTCTAGTCAGTGGGACGGACTAAGGCATTTTGCTGCTCCTTCTTCTTCAGCGACGACCGAAGCTGGCGAACCGTCATCCTCCTCGCCGAGATTGTTTTATGGTGGTGTATCAGCGGCCGAGATTACAGATCGAAATAATACGCGCATAGGGCTTCAACACTGGGCGAAGGAAGGTATATGCGGACGCGGCGTGCTGCTCGATTATGTGACATATGCAGAGAGACATGGCATCACTTATTCCACATTCTCTGATCATTCAATCTCCCTGGATGTATTGAAAGATGTAGCGAGGGAACAACATACCGAATTCAAATTCGGAGATATACTCTTCGTACGGATAGGAGTTACGCGGGAATGGGATACGCAAATGACAAGCGAGGACAAGACTGCGTACGGCAAAACGCGCAGTCCTCAGCATGCCGGCGTTGAGGGTACAGAGGAGATGTTGCGTTGGATCTGGGATACGGGGTTTGCAGCTGTTGCTAGTGACGCGATATCATTCGAAGTCTACCCTCCCAAAGAGACCTATTCCCGTGTAACTGGAGAAGTAAAAGGTGTTTTTATGCATGAAGTGCTGCTGGCTGGTTGGGGAATTCCCATCGGCGAGCTATTTGATTTGGAGGATCTAGCTCGCATATGCGAAGCGGAGAATAGATGGGAGTTCTTCGTGTCTAGTGCTCCTTTCAACATGCCTGGAGGAGTGAGCAGTCCTCCGAATTGTATAGCCATATTTTGATATCATGCATGCTTGTCGTCTCGATGTCATGGGTGTCCAATCGATTATTTGTTGAATTCTCTGTCAAGTAGTAAGAGCCTAATTACCTCCATTTCTGGATCCGGTCAGATCATTTTAGGACGACAGATATGAACACAAGGTAAAAAATTCTCGCATACTCTGGTACCAGTAGTATTTCTGCTTCATAGTATTAGATGTTTACTTCTGAGACCTTTAGCTTCAATTCCCAACTTCGCTTATCTATGATATTACGTATCCTAAGTCAGTGACTGGCACGATCTCGACTTCTCCATTGATTTCAGCCAAATTAAATTGATCAACACCTTTAAGGTAAGAAAATCTCCACTAGCTTGCCTCCATAGAAGTTGTAAACTGGTCAATGATGGCCTTTACATCGATCTTTTCCGACCTGGTCCTTTTGAGGCGCACCACTTCCATCGCTTGTATCACTTTCTGCTTCGAAACTCCCATCACATGGAGTAGTTTGGCAAACCATCTAGTTCGTCTCTCATACCATTCTTCCCTGAGACTTCCATTCTCCGCATTGAGGTTCCGCAAATATTCCTGTTGAAGCCAGAATGCATATTCGGACATTTCAAGGTGCGGCTGATACTGGACCGATTCGGGGACAAGTACCTGCTCGTAGGTTGCTTTTTGGTGATCAACGATAAAGTAGGACTATATTGTTAGCTAAAACAGGGAATAAGGTGAGATTATTTAAATTTCACTCACATTCACGTACATGTAGTATTCCTCTCTTTTCCTCTGATCCTGGTCTTCTGCAACTTTTTTGTTGTATTTTTGCCTCAGAAGAATCATCCACTCGTATCTGAGTGTGTCTAAATGTTTTGAGTTATATTCTTGCATTTCCTCCTCCAGCAATACGATAAGTTTTTGATCCTCATCCGACACCTCGTGAACATCTCCTACACTAGATCCAAAATGAAATTTTCCCCCTCCTCTCAAGCCTTGGCCTCCGTTGCAACAGGCATGTGTTATGCCAAGCAGATCAAACCGTGTTCTGCGAAGCAAGGATAAAATCATGGTTTTAGATGCCTCGTAACCATGGGATTCTTCAATGATCGATAACCATTCGAAGGTCCATATGAAACCCGGTCTCAATCGGAAAAGTCCATGTTGGAAATTCAGATCAAATGCTGACGACGTATCACAGCCTTTGCTGGAACAGGCACATTTGCAACTGTCTCCGTGAGAAATATCGAGGCCTCGATCAAGACAGAGTTTGATCGAGTCAATTGTATCCCAGGTAGTAGAATTTAGGCCGATCAGGTTCTCAAAAAGCCTAAAGATAATGGTGCGGCCGCTGTAGTCGGTATGATTGACATCAGTCTCGTGATCCAGACAGCACTGAATTAAAGCAATATTTAATCCGCGTACAATAGAGTATAATGGGAGTTCTCCTCTATTGTTGGGTTGGTTGAAACCATGAAAACCTTGGCGGACAAGTGCTTGGAACTCTTTCTCGCACCTAACATAGTGCAATAAATTATTTTCTTCTCTACCTTGAAATCGATCTCCGAATGTAAAGTTCACATCGGTACAACTCTCAGCAAGCCTCTCGAAATATCTCAGTCTTGAGTCACCAACTCGCCTGCCGTTAGTAACTAAATGCCAAAAGGCATTACAAACGTACGGTTGGAAGACTTCTTCACCGCGGTATAATTGAATAGCGCTGAGTGACTCAAAGATTATATCCCATTGATCACGTACAGACGCATAGTACATAAAGTCCATCTCGTAAGCTGTAGCGCGAGTCGTGATGTTTGCACCTTTAGAGATGAGCAATTGCACAACGTCACTGACTCCCATGGCAGCCGCATACATCAAGGGTGTAATACCCCATCGGTCTGTAACATCCATATCATGTCCAGCATCCAAAATCATTTCGAAAATGTGGGGATTGGAAACTGCAAGATGCAAGGGTGTTTGGCCTAGGAAGTTTCGATGATTCTCCAAATTATCCACGCTTGAAAGCAAATTGTCTACAGCCGCCTCGGATCCACACAAAACAGCGTCTTGCAGGGTTGTTGATCCTCCAAATCCTAGGAGAATGAGGAATTTCTTGAATTAGGATCATTAGTGCAATCAAAACATGCATCACTTACCAGGATCATCTTTTGCAATAGCAGCAAGGTATTCAAGGAAGAACGGATCTGTTGTATGTTCTGCCGGTCTCCAACCAGGTGAACAAGGCTTAGGCCAATCTTGGAATAGTGGCGAATCTATTCTACTCGAGTCGAACCCTAACTTGAGAATAAAGTGAAGTAGTTCGAGATGAAAACCATCCCTTATCCATGAGGCGCATCGAGTGAGGAATCTTTATATGCTCAGTCCTGATATCCATCGACATATACTTGACAGGGGTAGATACTTATTATTCTCATTCTCGAGTGTCATACCTAACTCTTTAACAAGCAGGGAAAGCAGAGCAAATTGAGCATTCTGATTAGACCAAGGACCATGGTAGAGAAGCTCCTAAGAAGAATTTTAGCCAAACTTCACCAGTATCTACGCAGGAGGATTTACCCGAACATAGTTGTTTCCATCTGGATTGACGTGATGTCGAAGGGGCGATGGCGATCTATCCAGCATCCGAAGCTGATCTTGAGCTTCCGAGAGTGTGATATATAGGTTCTTACATTTCCAAAGGGTTTCAAACCCTGGAGATGTATAGTTTACTACTCGCTGCAGGCTGAGAGCAGGTCGTAAAGAGTATGTTTGCGCACCTAGGATAACTTCCAAGTCAATAAGAAATGCCCATTTAATGCTGAGCTTGTTAAAAGCCAATCGAAAACTCCAGCGAACATTTTTCATGTCGCATCTTTTATTATCACACTTGCCAAATATGATCGACATCGGCGTATATTCGAACCCCCAGTAACGGCCTAGGCTATTGTTGGTAAGATGGCATGAGCAGTGACAATGATGCACAGTACATGATGTCCGCTGAGTGATTGGAGGGCTTCGAGGATAAGAGAGAGCTGAGACGTCATTGGCATTCGCACGATGGACAGCTTTATCGTCAGCTGGGCTGTCCACAGTACTTAGGGAGTTGCTATGGTCAATAACTCTCTGAACCCCGTTTTCGGGTGTTGAAGGCGGCATCAAGCAGATCGAGCTCGACCTAAGGATAAAAAAATGTGAGCAAAGAAAGCTAGCCTTCGTGGAATGATTGATACGAACAAATTCAGCGCCATGATCACCCATACAAGTTCGGAGCGTATTTCGTCAATCTGTTCGCGAATCTTTTCAGAAACTTGAAATTTGGCTGGCTTCCGGTTGGCCTTCTTTCCAGGTGACTTCCTGTTCACCTTCTGCAAAAGCACATCCAAAGCTTCCTCCACGTTTCTGAATATTGATTGACAACTGCGTAGTGCACGGTCAACAATTGGGTTTCCCTCATATGGCTCCAATTTTTCCAACACCAATTTCAAAAATTCAAGACGGTCAACTATTTTATCGAGATTTTCCGGTGCTTTCTTTTGATTATACTCATAAACATCTTTCAAGGTCTTGATGCTGCCGAAAACTTGTGCAGCAAAAGAAGCAATGCCAACGCCGGCAGAAACAATTCCCACAATCTCCGCCATTGTCTAGTCTGTGAGCTCTTCGTAAATTTTTAGGAAATTGTGTATTTCCACCAAATTCACTAGGTGTAGAGATTGAGGGAGATGAGGGGTATTCGTAGGAGACATGTGCCATAGCTGGCACGGGGCTGATTCGCAAAATCATGCTTCCCAGCCTGGCTCAGCCTTGCTCAGGTTATACATGTATATAGTTCTGGAAGAACTTCTCTATCCTCCGAAGTGCTTATAGATCAACAATGTCGGATCCAAGACTATAATCCTAGATCATGAGAAACGATAGGCAGTGTTTCTTTCAATGTGCCTGGAGAGTGAGCAATTCACCGAATTGTATTGAGGCGGCTACTGCTGTAACCTATGATATGAGGGAGTCTACTCTGAACCATTTTACAACACTCGAAACTTATATTCTTTGTGATTAGACTATGGCTTGTGTGGSCCTGTCGGAATGGTTGAAAGAGCGCCTCATTCATTGACGCCGTCCTTTGTCAACAATTGAAGTATTTGGTCGTGTTGAGATTATGAAGGACGAGGCTGTACAAGGCTCGTAGTAGGCTGCATTCAAAGCTGCATAGATGCCTAATGAAATACAACCTATAGTTTCCTTGAATTGAAAAAGTCAGCCTCGCAATAGCTGAGATGATCTGCGCTGTGAATTTTCCTACGTCGCCCAGGTGATCCTTTTTTGGTCCATCAATCGTCCGTTCTCAACTTTTAATCCACACTTGATATTATCTTGGGAAGTTCTCCCTCCACCTAGTTACATACTAGATGATCCTGCTTGTCAGCAATTGATGACCAAATTAGATTATCTAGTATTTATACTGCTTTTTGTTCTCGTTTGTCAACTAGCCAACATTTCAACTTCAACCTTTGAAGGTATTACCGAACAAATTCCTTTGCCACAACACAATCCTGACTCAAAACTAGCACCAATTCTCAAAGACATAATACCCGAAGCATTAATCTACGCCATCAGCGAGATCGTGTCCTGTCATGCAATCGATGCGTTCTTGATGGTTCCATAGTTTACATGTGCGAAGAAGGTCAAGCCACTGGCTGGATGCTCTGATCCTTTTGAATCAAAGACTCGATGCCGTGTGGTGAGCGTACGGAAATGCCTCTTCGGTAAACGATTCTTCACGGTTTCTGTATTTATATCCGTTTTACCTAGGTAGTGATGTGTTCCTCTCAGTTTAAAGCTTTCTTAAAAGAGGCTGGCAAGAAATGATTCTCACTTATGGCTGTTCAGTCAAGTAGAATGATAGAGACGAACAATTAGTTTCAAACACATTGACTACATATATGCTGCAATAAGTAGGTGAGTACAGATAAACCCATTCATTCATTATCAGAACATCTAATGCCCCGAATCAATTAAAAATAAAGTAAGAACGTGGAAGTAAGAATACAGCGTCAAAAAAAGACCACCAAGCCATGCACTTCGTACCATACCGTGATTGCAACCCTAATGTTGGTGAATCTATTTCGTCTTCGACCTCTCCATCTTCCTCAACGCCCTCTTCCGAATCGACACGTGCATATCATGATTGATACCCATAACCCTCCTATTGAAAACACCCACCACACAAGTCAAAAACCACGCCATCAACCCATGGCTGAAATACGGGCTGGAAGAATAGACGTAATCCGGGGACCCGCCATTGCGTCCGATTTTGCTCAATGCACACTTGACCCATACCTTGGGTGTGGGCACGGTGAGCGTGGGACGACGGATTTTGGACATGGCGGATGTGATCAAATGGGCCTGCATGAGGGAGACCGTAATGCCGTAAGGTTCGAGTTCGGCGCCGAGAGCGCTGGACCAGTATTGCAGGAATGCTTTGCTGCCGGAGTAGGTGGCTAGGAGAGGTGTGGGCACTAAACCGCCGAATGAACCCATGGTCAGGATGAGACCGCGCTTGCGTTGGATCATGCCTGGCGTAACGAGTTTGGTGACGCGCAGAGTTCCGTGGCAGTTGATGGTGATAATATCGTTCATTTCGTCTTCGGCGGTTTCGTCAAAGGGCACGGGGATGCTGTGGCTCTTGCCGACATTGTTGATCAAGATCGCAATATCGAGACCGTTGACAAGGCTTTTGAGTTGTTCATAGTCCGAGTCCTTGTTTTGCGCAAAGTCCATTGCCAGAATCTTGGTTTGAGTAGCTGGGTTTTTGGATTTGATCTCGTCAGCGAGAGAGACCAATTTAGATTCGGTGCGGGAGACGAGGAGCACGTTGAAGCCGGCGCGGGCGATCTGAAGGGCGAATTCTTTTCCGAGACCGTCGGAGGCACCGGTGATCAAGGCCCAGCTACCTTTGGGACCGAATGAGCGTAACTATTCATGTTGTCAGTATTCGGACTACTCGATTGTAGGTTGTTGGGACGTACAGATTTCCCCGGAAGAACAAACAAACTCAACAAGACTCTGACGAACGTCAAAACCTGAGTAAGAAGCCATACACCTCCCACAAGACCCAATCCGAACACCAACGCCGTTTGTGATTGCGACATATCTGCGGCCTTGAAGTTGGCGAGTTTGTCGAGATAAACGTTGAATTGCTCCATGGCTTGTTGTTGGAACGTCATGTTGCCACCAGAAATAGAGATGGTAGCGAGAAATTTAAGGGAAGAAACGTCGCCCGATCAATTCGAAGAGACAGATTTCTTCAATCCAAGAATAAGAAATAGACGAGTCAAAAGCCCCAACAAACCGTCGGACACGGGATCGGAGAGGAAGCAAGGAGCGACGGCGATAAAATCCTCGGCTAAGCACTAGGCCCAGAAAGTTGTTGAGCTCATCGGGGAGCCCTGCATGTGATTGGCCATCCCTTTCAGCTATTCTATTTTGTTGACTTCAAGGCTTCACTCAATAATTGACCCATTTACTCAATTTGAATCTTTGACTTGACAGTCTCGCGATACTCACGATAAAAGATGGCATCATCGATCCTCGACCATTTCCGTCTCAACACCGACGAGGGCTGGCTCCCAGCCTGGCTACTACTCGTACGCCCTCCCCTTTCTCCCACACCGACTACTGACTGACTGACATGATATAGACATCCATAATCTCCACCGCAAACTCGATTCAGTCCTACCGCAGCCCCCTGTACCACTCCCAAATTTTCATCGGCTCGCGTACCACCAACAATAAATCCCCTTCCACACCACTCGCAGCACGCACATTCGGTACCTGGACATTCCTGTCTGCAGTGGTGCGCGCCTACGCGGCATACAACATCCACAATTCCGTGGCATACGACATTGCGATTTGGACGTATGGGATTGCGCTAGCACATTTTGCGTCGGAATGGTTTGTGTATGGGTCTGCGGAGTTTAGGGGACGGATTGTGTGGCCGTTCTTGTTTGCGTCGGGGGCGTTGTTGTGGATGGGCTCGGAGAGGGGGKATTATCTTGCTTGATTGCTGATATAAAAGCTCTATCAAGGTCATGGTGTTGGCCTGAAATTTGTGAAGTGTGAATACGATAGATGAATTCATTATTCATGTGATGTACGGCATGTTTGATCTATAGCTTCTTCCTATACAACTCTCCACCACAAGCGCGCAACTTGATTGTCGCCTGTTCGGGGGTGATGTCGCGCTGAGGCTCAGCCATCAGCTCGTACCTGTCACAATTAGCATTGTTATTAACCCAAAGGCAGAAGGGAAAAAACATACCCAACAAGAAACTTCCTCACTGTCGCGCTCCTCAACAACGGCGGATAGAAATGCAAATGCAACCACGACGCCTCAACCTCTTCCTCCGTCCCCTCCAGCGGCGCTTGATGAATACCCATACTATACGGGAAATGCGTCTCGAACAAATTATCATATCTTCGCGTAATCTCCGCAATTGCTTCCGCCAACTGCAGCTTTTCGGCGGCATCCAAATCGACGAGCGCGCGCTTGTGCGATTTGGAGATGATCATAGTCTCAAACGGCCATGTCGCCCACCAAGGGCACACAACTACAAAGCCATCGTTCTCAAAGACGATGCGCTCTTGTTTTTGGCGCTCGAGGGCAACGTAGTCACCTAACAAATGGCTACCGCTGTGGCTCSCGCGATACTTTTGGAGTTGCTCGAGTTCAATGGCTGGTTCTTCGGGGAGACTGCTGGTTGTCCACACCTGGCCATGCGGATGTGGATTTGAGCATCCCATAGCTGCGCCTTTGTTCTCAAAGATTTGCATGTACCGGTATTGCGATTTGGGTTTTGTCAAGCTCGTAGTGGGTGCGTCGGGGGGTAGGTGTGTGGCTGGCGCAACGGCCGCCAGGGGATTCTTAGGGGATAAGTGGGAGGCATAGATTTCTGTCCAGGCGTCGATCACGGGGACGATTTCGGGCGCAGACAAATCGGCGAGGGTTTTGTTGTGGGCGGCGGAGAAGGTGAGAACGTAGCATTTACCGACGACGGGTTCGGCGCGGAGGAAGAACGATTCTGCTCCTGTTACTATGTTAGTGTCTAATTTGCAATGCGAGAGAGAGACAAAAGGTACCCTTGTCCTCGGGCTGGTAGTCGGCCTGCTCCTCCTTGACGGCACTGTAGTCATTGACAAAGACAAAGGTGTTTTTGTACTGCGGGTTGGCGTCGCCCTGAGCGCGAGTGTTTCCAGGGCAGAGGTAGCATGCTGGATCATATTCAGGGAGGGTTGTTTTGGATGGCGATTCTTGTTGTCCTCTATTTTCGTCAATTTGTCAGTACGAATCCATTTTCACAAACGGACGGATCGACGCACTGCCATGGTCTCTTGGTTCGGTGAGGAGAAACCAGAATGTATGAGCCGCGGAGAGGATTGAATCTCCGGTGCGAGATATCGTCGAGCACGTTTTCGACCATTTTGCTTTGTCCTCAATTTTAATTTGCAACAGACGAAGACAAGAAAATGAAGAGAAGGAGCAAAGAGAGAGAAAGACACAATGCAACAACTCCCTTTCTCGCATGGCGGGGCTCCAGAGTATGTACTATGGAACTCAAAATTACCCCCGAACATGGTACGTATGTATGTTTACATGGATCCCACCAAAAGTGCGGGGCAGGTGGACGGTGGACGCTGCACAACGACTGTCCCTGACGTAATTTGCTTCAAGAAGCGTAATGAATTTACCCGATTACAATACACAAATAAACCGGGTCTCACCGGTTGCCGTTTTTTGTTCGTGCTGAATTAAGCCGAGTCCGTCTGATATATACCGATCTGGTATACGTGAAGTATTTCGTCTATTCTATTATACATGTATGATACATCTATCTATGTAGATAGCCCCGAAAAAGGCTATTTTCTAGTCCTCCACGTCGCATTCCTATGCTTGAAATACTCCTTGGACGTAATGGCTTTCCATATTCCCCAGAATCCGCCAATGGGCCAATACGACACTAGACCCTTGCTGCTCTTGCTGCTAGCAGTCGCAACCTTGACTTTATGCCATACACTCGGCAGCCCCGTCGCAGCATACTTCTCGCGCAACCCTTCGTACCACTTCCGATCAAACCGTTTCCAAAACTCGTCTTCGGGGTAGTACGTATGCGCGTACAGCCATTTCATGCCTCCCAGGTCATTGAGTTTGTGCTCTAGATCGCGGTTCTTAGCAACAAACTCGGTTGATTCTGCAGGTCCAAATCCCCATAGGCCGATATTCAGCAGACGGCCTGTGTGTTTAGTTTCGGTGTTATGTGGATGCATAGTCGGCGTAGGAGACTGTTTCAGTGGGCAGTACCACAACGGCCAGATATCAAATGTTTTTGTAGTGTAATCAATGAATTCCTCGGCCGTTTCGTAAGGAAGGGCCAAATCCTGGACAATATACCGGTTTGATTCGCCGCTGGCATGTAACGCTTTGTAGAGCATGCGGGTATGCAAAAAGTCATCCAGGAACCAGCGTGTGAATTTATTGAAGGGCACAAATCGGAAATACTTAAATGCTGATGCACCAACCCAAAATCCACCGCGGTCGTAGCGGAATAGGTACTCGGCTAGCGGGACGTATTCTGTGACGAGTTCTTGATGTTTTGTAATTTCTTCGACGTGGAGGTAAAACCAGGGATCCCAGGGGTTGCTGAATGTCTGTGGTTTCACGTCCGCTGGTAAATCGTCGGTCAATTCGCCTTTGATGACCACACCATGATTCGGGGAGAATTGGATGCCATCGATATACTCAAACGGCGCCGTGTCCGGGTTCGCGCTATCTTTCTCCAAAGCTTCAATGGCTGCTTTGATGGTTGGTTTGCGCTCATAAGTCACTTTGACGAATTTCTTAGCTTCGACGAGATTCAATTCAATCAGCGTCGTGATCCCGAGACTTCCCACCGCACCAGCCGCGCCACGAAAGAGATCCTTCTTTTCGTCGCGACTGGTCTTGACAACCTCGCCATTCGCAAGAACCATCTCCACTGAATTAATAGTTCGATCAAAAAACCCATGCCGAAACGAACTCGATTCACCGCTCGTGCCTGCATAGCCTCCACCGGCGGTGATGCCAGGGAACTCCATGACTACCGGCGGCACAAGGCCATGTTTGAGCGTGGCCTCGACAAGTCTATCCATGGGCACATTGGGCTCAACGGCCGCAGTCTTGGTGCTGCGATCCACGCGCAGGACATTGTTGAGTTTGCTAATGTCGACAAAGTTTTGCGTACTGCCTGGCCGCGGTCGAGTGCTGTTTGTTGAGCCGTGGAAGATGCGGTAAGGCTGGTTGAGCTTGTGGAATTGGCTGACTACGCGGGATACTTCTTTGACTATTTCTTCGTGGCGGCCCATTTTGTCGCCTCGCCCGAACTCTGGAAGATGGGCGTTCAATGTCGGATGGAATGGGGAACGTTGAAGATTGACCTCGGGATGCTAAACGTAATTTTCTTGTATGCATATTTACCGTATTTAACAGATTTAAAGCTTGATGATTGGACGAAGCTTAGATCATCTCGTAATTGAATTTTTGTCTATTTTTACATTCTGCTTAAACGATCAAAGTATCATGAATGGCATTATGAATTACAACATGTGCAATTATATCACGCTTTGCTTTTATAGATTCGCACATGCACACCATTGCGATGCGTCAGCGTCAAATCCATCTTTGCATCAGGCACCGGACTTCCGCCATCATTTTCAAGGGTATCGAAATTCTGCGCCAATCGAATAAGCGTGTAGCTCGCCTCGATGAGTGCATATTGTTCTATTCATCATTAGCTCAGATAAATTGCTTGATGGGTGGCAAGGATACTCACGTCCGAGACAAATACGCGGTCCACCATTGAACGGAATGTACTCCCAAGTCCGTGAGGAGGCATTTTCTTCCCATCGCTCAGGTCTGAATTCCTCGGCATCCGGGCCCCAAATGTCCTTTCGTCGCTGCATGGAATACAGACTGAAGGGAATGACTGTGTTCTTTTTGACGAAGATGGGTCCCTTCCCATCTGGGCCACCACCGCGGGGGAGGGAGGTATCTCTGAATGACATTCGGCTGTTGATGGGGACTGGTGGGAGAAGACGAAGGGCTATTATCACTACATTAGCAATTCATCACGCCCTGGTAGTAACAGGAGAAACTTACCCTCATTGAGAACGTATCGCAAGTATCGCATGTTCTTGATCTTGGCATGAGTGATTTCACCAGTTGGATGAGCTGCGTCGCCGTACTCATTGATGATTTCGCGACGCAATCGCTCCCATACAGCTGGCGCATGCGACAAATAGAACAAAACCGAGCTCAACAGACTAGCAGTGGTATCACGGCCCGCAATCAACAGATTCAGAATGTTGTCTCGCAAAACTTTAGGGTCCTGGGTATCATTGGCAAGCGCTTGCAAAAACACATATCGATCAGAGACTTTAGCTTCTTTGCGCGATTCCAAAGCGATGCGGACATAGTGATCAGCAATATCGTGCACGTATTTGCAGGCAGATGTATACTCTTTGTTGCCGTCGACAAGAAAGCTGAGTTTCTGTGCGCTGACCCGTCGACTGATCCATTCCAGGGACTTGTCGAACGCGCGACCGAATTCGGCTGCGTCGCTGCGACCAGTTGCATTTTTGGAGCGAGCCAGAGACTCGCCAAAGAGGAAGTGGGTGGAAGAGTCGTTTGTAAAGGAGAAGAAGAGCGGTTGGATGTCGAAAAGAGAGCCGTCTTTAGGAATTTTTGCCAGAAAGTCGGAGATGTGTTCGTCCATGAGTTGGAGGTCAGCCACCTATCTCTGTTAGTCAAGATATCCAACTAGAATTGGAAGATAGGGAAATACCTGATCCTTTGTGAACTGAGGGCGCAACAAAGTTCTGGCATGCGACCACAACTGACCATCGGCATTGAAAATACCATCACCCAACAACGGCCAGAAAGTCTTTGCGCGATGACCAAGTCCAAAGTCATTGAACTGAGAGGTCAATATAGCCTTGATGTTTTCTGGATCGATAGTGAACAAGACATCATTGCTTGGGGTCTTTTGGTTGAAGGTAGGTCCGTATTTCTTGAAGAGAGAATCATGGAGCTGGATTCGGCTTCCTTCGCGGGCTGCCTTCGCGACTTGCAGGAAGAAGCTGATACCAAAGGGTCCAGATGGTCCATGCACAGCTGGCAGACAGCCGAGCGCTTTGGCTCGTTGATGGGATCGGAAAGAGAGGTAGAGATTTCGAATAACGAGGAAGAGGACGAGAAGCACTAATCCAGTGAGGATGGGATGCTCAGTTGGATCGATCATTGTGCTTTCAACGGCCATGTTGTGTGTATGATAGAAATCTAGTCAAGCTGACGATAGCGGAGGAAAGTCTACATAATGTCGACAAACTTCATATCTCCCCGGGCATGGCATCTATACTTATATTACAAACGATAAACAGCGGGGCGACAGATTAGCTTTCCTCTCGTCAAACGGAGCAGCATTTTCCTCTTCTAGACGATACTACCGAACTTCGTACGAACCTTCGTAATCGTATACAATCTAGTTCGTCATCACGGAGAAGTCCGTTTGTGGATGTCAAACGGTCAATCCGATCAATACTAAAATTAAAGCCAAAATCAGATTATCCTTATCGAAGGATCACTTAATACACTTGGCTTAAGTTGAATAAGCATTGTGCATACCCAAACAGAGGTGAATAAAAAGCAACTCGCTCGGAGATACCATTCACATCGAGTTTAGTCCGTCATTATTTCGGCTGGCTCGGTTTGTCTTCTATCTTGAGTTCGCGCCTCCGAAACCTTTGTAGCCTGGCGGCTGGCGCCCCGGGATGTGGACCAGACGCGGTTATACGTTATACCGTGTTGATCTTAGCGTTTTCAACAGTTTTTAAGATTTCAGCTGGAGCTCAGAGCCCGCTCAGGGCTACATCCAATTACCCATTTCGAGCGTCGGTTGAGTGTTTGATTAGCTTGATTAGGTGCATGGTCTTGACTCGTCGGAGGACCCGAGTCTGTTGATCTGCCTCATTTTGCGACGCAGTTTCAGAATCGACAGGATTCCAGAATCGGATCAATTGACTATTTTGAAAGACGTCCGATCCTGTCACCTAGTATCCAGTGACTGAGATGCATGCACTAAGCCGGGTGTCCATCCGCAGAGAGGGGATGAGCGTACCTGTTGGGTTGTCCAGAATATATACCTTAATATGTTCAAGTAGGTATCCGCCACGGCTGAGAATAATCTCAGCCTTTTTTTGATGCGGCCAATCAGCGGTGGATAATATCCAGAACTGTAATACATGCTCCTCTTCATTGATCGGGTTTTTGCTTTTACTATTTTGTAGTCAGTACTCAGTAGACAAAGAGGCAGTTCATTGAAGTTGGAAGAGATGGGTTCCTACATAAATATGGCAACATGATGTACCACATAGGGCTTAACCCCGCATGCATGAAACGTCTAGACCCCGCATATATCTTTTTACAACTACAAACAGCTCTCTCCATTAATTCATATCAGGTCAATTGATAGAAGTAAAAATGTCCGACCAACTCAACTTCGAAGACACCAACATCTGGCTCATCGGCACCGACATCGACCACAAAGTCAAATACAACTCCGCCGCCACAGAGCCCGCCTGGAACAACGCCCAGATCGGTACTCAGCCCGGTCTGCTGATATGGCGCATTGAAAACTTTCACGTCGTCCCCTGGCCGGTGCAGTTATATGGTCAGTTCTACGACGGAGATAGCTACATTATCCTCTATTCATACATCATCCCGCGGAAAGAAAATCAGCCGGAGAAATTGGGACATGATATCTTCTTCTGGCTCGGCGCAAAGACGACGCAGGATGAAGCCGGGACTGCGGCGTACAAGACTGTAGAGTTGGATGAGTATTTACATGGGATTGCAACGCAACACCGCGAAACGCAGCTTCATCCTTCGGAAGAATTTTTGAGTCTTTTTCCCAGGCTGTCTATTAGGAAAGGAGGAGTGCGCTCTGGATTCCACCACGTTGAGATTGGGCAGAAGCCTGCAGGTTATACGACGTTGCTTCGAATCTTTAGTCAACCCACTGCGGCGGCACATGGTCATTCGGTCGTTGTGCATGAAGTAGAACCTACATGGCAAAGCCTGGATGACGCGGATGTCTTTGTTCTCGAGAAAGATGACAAAATCTGGGTGTGGCAGGGCAAGGATTCGAGTCCAATGGAAAAGGCCAAGGCTGCGCAGGTAGTTAATGATTTGACGCTTGCGAAGCATATCGATGTGGAGGTCTTGTCGCAGACGGAGGCCAGAGCAAAGATTGTCGTTGATCTTTTGGGTGGAGGCGAAAGTCAACCATCTTATCGTACTGGACGTCCGATCAGAAGTTCTATACCTGCTGCTGCACGACCACCGAGGTTGCTGCGAATTGTGTTTGACGGGTCTGGTCGGTATCAATTCGAGCTAGACAAAGAGGGTGATACTATTCGACTATCGGACTTGAATAGCAATGATATTTTCATCTTTGACACTGGAAGGAAGATCTGGGTCTGGGAAGGGCAAAACACCAGTCGAGAAGTGAGGGATGCGTGGAAATCGTGCACTGGAGCGTATCTACGGTATTTGCAGCAACAAACACAGAGTCCAGATCTGATTGCTGCAACACCTGTGGCGAAGGTTGTTGAGGGGAATGAGAATGCTGCTTTTTTCAAGTCGATTTCTGTGTATTAATTGTTTGTATAATATCCAGAATATATAGTTGACACGTTATTCATTCCCCTTGTTCATTCATATGAGACGGAAATATTGATGCCTCAGGCCGACGCGGGCCTTAGATAAGAGGATAAGCGGATAAGCACGCCCTTATCGGAAGCATCTTCATCTACTCCATCTCTAACTACGTACAACTTCTTCTTCCAATCATTCATTGACTAGGATTTCATCTTTCTGTATAGATAGTTGACATATATTTCACTTTTTACTTATTTCCTTGCACCATTTGTGCCACTAGTGAAGTGTCGCAAACATCTTCGGTTTATATCCACCCCGCATATGGCTGCCATCGACTATACAATATCTACACCTCTATACACTCTTCCCAATGAGGTGCGAAATTTCCCGATGTTCCACCCAGGTGAATCACCGCTAATACCAGCATATTTATAGATCCTCGTCCAAATTCTCACCCCCTTTACAACCCGCGCCCTCCTCCCTCTAGCCAGCGTTTCTCATCGCTTCCACGCCGTCGTCCTGCGCATTCTTCACTATCGACTGCTGCTCATATCATCTCTCAAAGACTATACGCTCCTTCTCGAATGTTTCCATCCCATCTCTAAACTCACCGATCCGCACTTCTTTTGCACGTACCTCGGCACACCCGGTCTGAACGATAAATACGAGGGCCCCGGATCGCTGTACGAAAGCTGCACTAAGACGTCAGAGTATCTGGGGCGGTTGTCGAATGTTTATTCCTGTTTTCGGCCAGAGATTGATGCCAGCGAGACAAGAGACGAGGATGATGGCAATAATGACGAAATAGAGACCCCGATGCTGGTCAAGAAACAAGTCAGCCTTGAAGAATTCGAGGACTTTTCGCAGTTGTGCTCGATTGTGAATTTGGTCAAGATCATGCCAAACAGCAGAATGCTTATAAGTGCGGTGACGGTTGAGGATGGGATTATTCGTGTGTTTAGAGATTGGTTGAAACGGCAGTCAAAAAGAGACCAGTACAGTACTACTACTACCTCCACCACCACCACTGCAGCACATACTGGTATACAACAAGATGAAGACGACGTGTTGTGGGTGAATAATAAAAAGACTGTGGGTCTCAAGCTGAGAGTCAAAGAGAAGAGGTGGAATCGGCCGATGTTACCTGTGTTGATGCACCGGGACGAGGAGGGAGCTGTTAGTTATGAGGTGGAGATTGAAGGTACACCCAAAACTCGCTACTTTACTGCTGTTAGGATATCTTGAGCTGACTTGGTTACTTGGTTGAAGAATTAAGGATACGAACGACGCGGCTGCTCTTGACTGTGGAAAAGTCGGTGGCTGAGCAGCAGGCATATCCAAATGCCGTTATTATCGGAGCGAGGCATATGTTTCCGCCGGCTTGAATTATACTAGTCAAGTCAAGAACATAGTAAATACACAATCTACCATTTCATCTTGAACACGAATTGATAACACTTATAATTGTTATCTTATCTTATCTCGGCCACACGCACGGCGGTGAAAGGCCCCACTCGCCGAGGATGCGTCATAATTTTGATTGACTGCTTCTTTTCTTTTGTCAGAAACAATTGTCTCATCTTGTGCTCACCATGAATTGGATGTGATAAATAGCTCGTTCATTGTTTCTGTTCATGTAACATGATTTCCTACTCGGTATAAATCATTTATATTCAATCAGACACTATCCGACATCAGACGCACAACCGAGCTTCCTGACCGCCAAATCTACGTTGATAAATTGACTCGGTCCTTCTACGATGAATCATGAGCCTCCAATCTTCTCGGATTCTGCTTCACAGGGTATGAAACTTTTAAAACATTTATACATTCCAACTAACACAGTACGTAGAACCATGACTGGTCCACATGCCGCAACCTCCCAGCGCAATGGTGGTCACGCTCCTACCACCAAGAATCGCAACACGCAGACCGCAAACCAGCTTCAACATCCGCGTCAACATGGACCGAACCGCTATCCAAAAGCCACGACCGCAGCTCCGGTCGCCAGCGGGCCCTCGAGAAAATGGCAGATAAGGAGTTCTTCTTGAGTCTCTTGAGTTCTGCGGCTACGAAACGAGAGGCGAAAGCGTATTTGTCTCGCTTTCCGTCTATCAGGAAGACAAAAGTACCAACAACACGGCATAAAGAGACTACCGTTGAACTGCAACCTTCGAAGGAGATTGAGAAACCGGGAGTGAATCTGGGCTCGTTTTATGGAGCAACGAGGTCGGTGCTCGAGACTCCTGTTTTTAGGCAGGGATCTACGCCTGAGATTGAGACGGCGATAAGTATTGATGAAGCGCTGCATGTTGCGTTGGTCAAGTTGAGTAATGCGCAATCGTTGGATGATGAGACTTTACATGGAGTGGCCACGACTTTGTCACAATTGACGCGACTGGGTATGGCGTCGTGTGTCGTTGTTGATCCTGGTCCAGTGGAAGACGAGGCGGCGTGGAGAAAAGCTGCGGCCGAGCAAGCTGATCGACTCTCGGCGGCGATTGACGCCTGTGATGGCGGTAAAGCGCGTCGACTTGACTCGGTACTGGTCAGGAACAAGGACGGAGAACTTCCAAAGGTCATTTCTCGGCAGGTGTTGTTGCGCCCTCTGCGGAAGAATCATATCGTCGTTGTAACACCGGTTGCCTATTCGGACCAGACATGTAAAGCATCGTCTGTACGGAGCAATGATGTAATGCTTGCTCTGACTCGCGAATTAGCTGGCTTAGAAAGAGAACATGATCCTGATGAGGATCCGCGTATTACGGCAGAAAAATTTGCCGCGCTTCAGAAAGAGGTGTCTATAGACCGTCTGATTGTGCTTGATCCTGTGGGAGGGATCCCGGCCTTCAAGGGACCGCAGCGGTCCCATGTTTTTGTGAATATGGAACAGGAGTTTAGGGATATTGAGGCCGAGCTTCTAGAAGCAATGGCTTCATTTGAATATGTTGATCCTGGAACTGAGGATCTTAGTGTCGCAGCGACAAAAAACAACCCCATTTCGAACTTCGTTGCAACGGAAGTTGCTCCACTACCGCAGCAACAGCACAAACCTGTGCTAGAGAATGGGGTGAACAACAGCGCGATAAAAGGGCATATTGAAAATTTACGTCTCCTACAGCAAACTCTCACTCTCCTTCCACCATCATCGTCTGGCATCATTACTACACCGGGAGACGTTGCAAACTCAGCCCGTCCCTTGCAAGATGTTCTTTCAGTATCTCAAGTCGGAACTCGACGCTCAAAAAACCCACTTATCCACAACCTTTTGACCGACAAACCGGTCTATTCATCTTCTTTGCCGTCAGAACGACTCGGCCAGACGACACCTTCCATCGTGCAGTCCACCTTTCTCAAACGCGGAATGCCTCTAACCATCCTTCCCGATCCACGCATCACCCCCTGGTCCCCCGACAGCCCGGCCGGGCAACACCTCACCCTAGACGACCCTCGCATCGACCTCCCGCGTCTAGTTCATCTAATTGAAGACTCCTTCGACCGCAAACTCGACGTTCAAGACTACCTCAACCGAGTCAACGGCCGACTCGCCGGGTTGATTATCGCCGGCGAATACGAAGGCGGCGCCATCCTGACGTGGGAAACACCACCCTCCATCCCTGAATCTGAACGCAACAACCCCGAGAACGTGCACCGGCTAGTACCCTATCTCGATAAATTCGCCGTCCTCAAACGCAGCCAGGGCGCAGGCGGCGTTGCGGACGTCGTGTTTAATGCAATGGTGCGCTCATGCCTGCCGCGAGGCGTATGTTGGCGCAGTCGAATGGACAATCCGGTTAATAAATGGTATTTTGAGCGGTCGAGGGGGACATGGAAGTTGAATGGGAGTAATTGGGCCATGTTCTGGACCACGCCTGGTGTGCCGGAGGACGATCCGTTGAAGTTCAAAGATTATGAGGCTGTTTGTCGAAGCATCCAGCCAAGTTGGGCCGATAAAAAAGCTGTCGTTGATTGATCCCATGCTACCTACCTACAAAATATACATATAGACTATAATACCTTTCGAGAAGGGGTTGGAATTTTATTCATCATTCTCAAACTTCAACCCAGACTCCTTCCTAACCGCACCATACATACCCGCAATATCCCCCCTTTCGCCCGAATGCGCCTTGACATCCTTCAAATACCCATCCACCACTTCCAAACTCCTCATCCTCATCCCACTCGCCTCCGCAACACTCGCCACATGCCTCAAATCTTTGCGCGCTAAATCAACTTGGAATAGCGGATATTCGCGTTTGTAGTAGTCGCCTGTCTGCATGCGTTCCACGTATTTCGGGAGTGGCCCCGGGAACATTAATTCCAACCATTGGGCTAGAGGATCAATTCCGACGCCGGATTTTTCGGCGAGTGTCAAGCCTTCGGCGAGTTGTTCGACGAAGCTGAGGATGAAGCTGTTGCCGATTAGTTTCATGGTAGAGGCTTTGCCGACGTCTTGAGCTGATTCCGGGGTTGTTGATGGGTCGAATGAGAGGTCGATGTTGGCGCGCGCCATGACGCCGATTGTGTATGGCAAGATGCGCTCAACGTCAGGTTTGGCGCCGCCGAGCACGCAGATTAGTTGTCCTGCTTCGGCCATTGCGGGGACACCGAAGATGGGGCAGGAGACGAACCGCGCGCCTCGGTCGGCGATCCGGGTGTAGAGTTTGCGGGATGTGTCTGGGTGGATGGTGGACATGTCCACGAACAGTTTTCCAGCGACATCCTCCTTCTCGGATAGTGCGACGCTGAAAATGTCCTCGACCGCGGCGTCGTCGCCGACACAGGTAAAGATGATGTTAGAAGGCGAGACAGCTTCGGTGATTGTGCGTACGGCTTTTGCGTGAGATGGCCCGCCGAGGGTGAGGGCGTGAGATTCGGCTTTGGAGTATGTGCGGTTGTACAGTAGGATGGGTGAGGAGAGGGAACCTTTTTGGACGAGGTTTTTGGTCATTCCCTACATTGACATTCTTCAGTTAGTATGTCTCTTCTGTGAGCGGGGGTGAGAGGAGAGGATGTACCCGTCCCATGTTCCCCAGACCGATGTATGCTAATTGAGCCATTTTGGAGTGTGTACTGTAGCGGAGTATAAGTATACAATTCGTGAAGACAATCGGTTTAATAGGTAACTAGGAATCTTACAGGGAGTACAGGTTTTATACTACGTACAGGCGGATATGGATATACCCATGAAATCATACTACCCCACACTTTCCACGGCCGGTGCGGAAGGCCGCAATACCCGCTCCGATCGGTTTCTTCCAGAATATATTTAAATCAGGCACAATACTACCACTTGCGATGAATGACTCACGCGCTGGTCCGCTAAAATAATGCTATTATGAAATAATGGCAATATCTGACATTGGAATGAATCAAAATCAACCCCCACAACAAGACGATAAAAACCTCAGAATCGGATTCTTCGGCCCCCGTTTCTGAGGTCGTTTCGGTTCGTCCGCTTCTTTGGACGTCTTTGATATCATAGCATCTGTTTCGCTTTCGCGGGACGGTGGCGGGCGTCCTCCTCGTTGCTGTTCTTGTTGGCGCAATTTCTCGGTCATGTCTTCGCCGTCTTGACGGATGGGAGGAGGTTCAACTTGGTCGCTTTGTCGAAAGGCAGCAATGCTTTTAATTTCGATTTCAAAGTCGCCTTGTTGCGTGCCGAAGAAACTGCAACACGTTAGCTTGGAAGTATTTCAGTATGGTGTGCAATGGGGAACAACCTTCGCATCATCAAAGAAACCCTCTTGATATTATCCGCCGCTATACACCGCGTCAACCCCTCCTTCGGTTTTCCCCTGTACGTAGGCATAAAATCGCACCATTTCACCCTCACTATCGTGCCCTCCTTCGTCCCTTCTTCCCCTTCTTTTGGCGGCGGAACGGCAAACTCATATTCCCAACTCAGCGAACTCTGCTCTCTTCCATCCGGTCTCTTGGGTAGTATTTCATCCTTGAGAACAAATGCATAGCGTTTTCCATCCGATTTACCGATTGTCAATTCGATGCCGTCGTATTTCTCGAGATGCCAGAGTAGGGTGTTAGTGGTGTTGCGTTGGGAGGCGAAGCCGGCGCCGCCCAGGGTGGTGATGTCGAGATGACCGTGAAAGAAAGCGGAGGAGGAGTAGGCGGGTGTGCTGGGATGGTCGACGGTGGATGCTCTGATGCTGATCTGAGAGGTGGAAGCGCCGCCGCGGACGCGGTCGTCGCAGGCTGTCCAGTCTTGTTTTGACCAGGGACTGTATATTTAGTAGATTCTTCGAGAAAAGTAGAAGGGTAGACGTACGCTTCACCTCCGAAGAGGTACTTGCGAGAAATGGTCATTCTGCGGTGGTCTGGTGTTATGTTTCATATGACGTCGTCCAGCACTGAAATTTCTTTCAGGTGGAAATGTACGCGAGCAACTGTCAACATGTCGACAAACACTAGATTGCGATCGAGAAAGCGAAGTTGCGCCGATCGATGCAGCGGGCAGTTGACGTAACGGGGGCGTTTTCGGGTTGGACCCATTCCCGCTCGGAATTCAAATACGCACATATTATATTCGATCACTATACCGAGTACTTTGGACATAAAATGGAACCATCTTGTTGAATTGCAGGTCCAATTGACCTGCTATCAACCTGCGCAGGGCATTGAGCATGTTGGGTGTTCGTGAGCACAATCTAGATCGATCGATCGCCAGTCCTTTCGTTCCGCGACCACGATACCCGTTCGGGAATAGCTCAGAAGAGCTAGCTCTATGCCGAGCATTCAACATGTCAACATGAGGCTTGACAGACAGCGGCATAAAATGCACTCAGCCACACGAGGCAGTGCCGATAGCTGCTGTACTATTTACTAGATGGCACATAATATATCAGAGTCATGCACGTTGGCCCAAACCGAGCAATGTCGGGCGAGCTCTTTGCCCAATCAGATGTGCCATATCAAAGCCAGCTCGGCTGGTACAGTCTCTGATTGGCTGGCTTTCGGAACTAAACCTCGTCTCAGCCAATCAGCCTGCTTGTTTATTTAAAGTTGTCTATTAGTGCCAAACAGGAAGGAACTTGGCAAGTGTCCGAGTCTCTTCCTTCCTCGTGAACTCTTATGACTCTGTATTTAATCCGTACAGAGTCAGATAATAGCATGAGCTCTCTGACTAACGCGTGGTCAACTCAGCCTTCGCGACACGGCAAGGCTGAATGAATGAATGGAGTTATATAGCAGTCACGGCGCCGTTCCATCGGTCTTTTCTCCTTTCCAAGAGATACAGGCTACCCCAAACTTCTCCACCACCAGTCTGAACATGCAAGCAATGATGGCCGCTCCGTCCGGACAGAATGTCGGCTTATGCTGTCACTGCGGCAAAGGTCAGCATATATCAATACCCTCTGGTTTTATGGCTGCTAACGACGTCCAGGCCTCCCGTACAATACATATCACATCTCCTGTTTGTTCTGCGACCTCAACTTCTGCGCTGACTGCCACCGGACACACCCCGCCGCTCACCAGCCATACTTTAAATATCTGCTCGACCGGAAAACCCCGCGAGGTGCGCGCCCATCGCCGGCGTATTGCACGAAATGCAAACATCCATCTCATTCGAGTCTGTCGTGCAATGACTGCGAGTTCAATATCTGTGTCAACTGTGTAGCGACGAGTCGTGACCTGCTGGCGAATCACGCGCATGGCAAGTTGACCATGACAAGAGCCCCGGATGATATAGGGCTTGGGATGTATAGTTTGCAGTGTGACAGCTGCCATGTCGGTGCTACTTTATCGCATTGCGGGCGCTGCCAGGGTGGTAGGTGATTCTGCTCAATTCAAAAGCATCATGCTGATTTTATCAAGGAATAAAAAAAGGACAAAACTTTTGGACATGCGTGACATGCATCGTGGACTACAATGCACAGATCCGGTTCTGCGAAGACTGTCAGGACCCAGGACTCCGAGAACACGACCCAACTCACAGGTTTGCGTCGTTTCTCTACCGCGTCGACATAACCAAGGACCCGAAATACAATTCTGTCAAATGTCTGGACTGCAAGTCCCAGTAAGTATTATCTTCTCAGCTTGCTACAGCAGGCTAACAAAATGAAGTGTACCGTTCAGCGGCCGCGAACTGGTCCGCCACCCCCATTCACGATTCCAACTGGTCATGGGCGAAGCAGAAAGGGATCGCAGGTACTTTCAGAGTTATCGAACATGTGCTCGGAAACCGGTCAGAGACTTGGCAACCATTTCCGCCGAAGCTCACGATATTCTCTGCGGCTGCTGTAACCACAAACTTTCATTCAATGCGAAAGTGTTCATGTGCCCGACGTGTACCATGATTACATGCGAGACATGCGCTGAGTCCGGCGGTGCTCGTTCACACTCTCATATCATGTTTCCAGTTTTTCTCGAGCGGACTATTCCATTCGCTCTGCTTGGACAGGCTGTGGCGAAATCGAATACCGCAGTCAAACACTGTGCCAAATGTGACACCCCAGTAAACCCCGAAAGCGACTCGTTTATTCAATGCAATCACTGCGAGCAATGGGCTATATGTCTCCTCTGTACGAAACGGACCAACATGCCCGTCCGCCACGCATGTGCTGAAGCTGTCGAAATGACATTCTTTGATCCTATCAAGCAGGCAAATAATATGGTCGTTGCAAAGATTATGATGGCTCAAAAGGCCAAAGCTGGTAAGTTCCTCCCTGATCCAATATACTCTGATACTGACTTTACAGCTGCTGCAGCCCTAAAGCAACAGTCAGCTCTCCAACCGTCCTTTTCGGTCCGTCGCAAAGCCCCATCAATCAGGTCAGGGTCCTCGATTTCTTCGATTTCTCCTGTCATGCCTATGGCTGAGTTGCCACAACTTCCGGCAGCTTCTCAACCTGGTTCTCAATTAGCTATGAATCAACAGCTGGCACAACTCTCTGCCTTGGGTGCGACAGGACTACCCATGCAGAGTGCTCTTCCTTCAATTCAGCCGAGCATTCAATCACCAGTCTATGGTCAAGAAGTGAGACGCAAGTCATTACAGCCGGGATTGAAAAATGCGTCCAAAGCTATGATTGATGGATCAGCAAGTGCATCAAAGGCGGCTTATAACAAAGCCTCAAACATGGTCGAGAACATGGACAAGGACTCGATGAAGAAAGTCGGGAAAAAGGTAGCAGCAGTCGCAGGCGCGCTCGGTGGGCAGGCATTACGACAATACGTACGACAGGAAACTGGTCTCACAATCCCGCGCATTCGTACGAATCAGAAGCCAAACCAGCAAGCTCAAGTTGCGAATGCACAGCTACAGGAGATTCAAAAACTCAACGCTCTTAAGCAACAGTTGGAGATGAAGCAAAAGATATTGCAACTTCAAAATCAAGTAGCATTGCAACAGCAACAGCAGCAACAGCAGCAATTTCAACAAGCTCAGAACCAAGCAGCCATAGGTGCTGCTGCTACTGCACCGATAGTTACTCCCAATATTGTAGGCCAAGCTCAGCCAGGCGCGCCTCAAATAGCTCCTATACCATTGAACCAAGGAGTCGCAGCCACTACGGTACTTCATCAGCCGACACCGGTTGTGGGTGGGACGAATAGTATTCCTCCTGCCATAGCAGGTGTGAGTACGCCAGGCCCATACAACCCTAACTTGAACATGGCTCCGACTCCTTTGAGTGAAGCAAACACACTTGGCGTGCCTGGCTATAATTCGGGTTCTTCAACTCAACCAAACATGGCGCCAGGTGTGCATGGCTCTGATTCGAACGAAATGGCGCCAATTCCTGCGAGCGAGATGCAATGGGCTACTTCACACGCTAATACCATGGCTCCTATACCACCGAGTGAAGCTCACGCCGCGAGCTTACACAGTTTCGATTCCGAAATGGCTCCTATCCCAGCGAGTGAATTGAACTCGTTGCATGACAATAGCATGGCTCCTATCCCAGCGAGTGAAATGAACTCGTTGCATGACAATAGCATGGCTCCTATCCCAGCAAGCGAAATGAACTCGTTGCATGACGATAGCATAGCCTCTATTCCTCCCAGTGAAGCTGGAATGGCCCCAATTCCGCCGAGTGAACAGCCTGGCGCAGATCATTCAATTCCGCATGATGCATCGCACCCTGCATCTCATCATGCCAATCCTGAGCACCATGCAAATGAACATACACAGCAACCACACTCAGCAGCTCATTCGAATCAGCCGCATGGCTCTGAACATCACAGCAATTATCATCAGCCAACGGTGGACGAAGAGCCAGAGACTGAGACTGCACAGTCCAATACAAATCCAACATCAGGTCATCTGACTAATAATGGCCCTGATGATGCAAATGTTCACCCGTCAGAACATCAGCCTCACCCACATGTCAATGGTCATCACAATGCTCAGCAGGCTCACGACAGTCAATTTAACTCACATGCCAACCACCAGCAAAGTCCTCACCAGTCGCAAACAAGCCCGTCCAACAACCATCCATTCTCGTCACCCTCGACACCTGCGCCGAGCCAAGGTGGCCATCAGTTTACTCCACAGTCTAGCGGATCTCCGCCTGTACATGGCTCCCCATCGAATCTCCATCCTTTCCCAGGAAGCCAGCCATATGCACCAACGGGCTCTAGCCTAGGTCAACCTCATGCACATAATCCAACCCCTCAGCCACACGTATACGGTCCGAACACTCAACCGCCAAGCCAAAGCCCAATGCCAATCAGACCCTCCGTGTCTGGAGGTCAGGCTGACGAGTATTACGATAGCCATCCTTTAAATCACGGAGTCACACCTGGACGTCCTCCTGTGAATAACGTCACTCAGCAGCAACAAAATATCTCTTATCAGACAAACGCACCCCCGCCAACTTCTCTCCCGCCGCACAATCCCATCACCGCAATCACAGGGAAGCCACCTCAGAGCTCAGTAACGGCAATGCCAGGAAACACTTTCCAGCCGCCGCCTCAGCTTCATAATTCGATTCCGCCGATGGCGAGCACCCCACAGCCGGGTTACGCTCAGCCACAGAACCCGATCACTGGAATACTACCTGGAGCATCGCCGGCCCCGACAGCCAGTCCTGGACAGGTTCCTCCACAGATCAACATCAGTGTGCAAGCTGGTGCTGGTGGGACCGGCCAAGCCGATGCCTCTGCATATAATGCGGCCCAAGCGCAGCAGCAGGCTAACATAAACATGCAGAACCAACAAATCCAGGCATTAGAGCAACGTCTACAAATGATGAACTTGCAGCAGCAGCAATCGAACCAACAGCTCAGTCAGCAACTTCAATCTATGGGGAATCAACAAAATGGAGGCAACTCAAACATCATTGAGCAACTGGAATTGCAACTACTGACGGGCCAACTTGGAGGACAACAACAGGGAAACAACTATTCGCTTCTTCACGATGGACTTTCTATCATCAACAATTTGACATCGAACTCGGGTCAAAATTACGGACAGAATAACAGCATGAATAATATCCTGCAACAGCAGCAACAACAAGAGAACAACTTTCTCAATCAACTTAACCAACTGGAACTCAACGATCAATCACAGACAAATCAGCAATTGGAGCAGCTGAACGCTCAGTTAGCCAGCCTAAACAGCATGTCTGGTATCGACAACACCTCTTTCACGAGCAACAATTTGGACGTTATTGATGTTAGCAACTATAACGTAAACATCGACGTCAACCAGTCGATCGACATGCAGTCTACTGATCTTGGATTCGGCACAGACGTAGGATTTGACATGACATCCAGCACGGATGTGGCGTTTGGAATGGACGATGGATCTGCTTTTGTATCTGAGTCAACATTTGATTCTGTCTCTGTTGACTATTGATCTATACCTAGATACTCTAATGAACAATCTTTTCACGGCTCCATCTAAACAACAGGAGGAATAGAAGCACCCCTCCTCCTCTCCTCATCAATCAAAAAGTCCTCCTGCTCCTTCCGACTCTTCTTCAAATCCACAAACACGGCTAACACCCCAAAACTAACCACACTCAATGCAAACAGAAAATAGAACGGCGTCGACTCATTCCCGCTGGGAGTCGCATCAATAATCGCGCTCGACACAATCGGCCCAATGAAACTGCTGGTCTTTCCAATAATACTAAACAGCGAGAAGAAAAGAAATTCTTTGCCGCGCGGAGTCACTTCGGAGATCATGATTTGACTGTACGAGTACCAGGGGCAGACAAACAGCCCATAATAGGCTTGGTAGAGCCATACTTCCCATTCGTTGTGGAAGCCGAAACGGGTGGTCCAAATTCCGATCATGCCCCAGCCGTCGAGCAGGATTATGCCGATTGCGATGATGTTGAACATGGTTTTTGTGGAGAGGTGTAGGTGGCGTTGGATGAACCAGAAGGCGTAGATGCCGGCGGCCTAGTCACAAGTTAGCGCTGGGTATTTTTGGGGAGGGGATAATAGGAAGGGAGTACCTGAGCGGCGATACCGACGATGAGGAGGTAGGTTAGTTGCAGGGTGTTGTAGGCTACGATGCTGTTCTGGAGGGTGCCGATGACGGTGACGGTTGTATTCAGCGAGTCACCGAGGAGGAAGTATCCTACATGTATCTTCGTTAGCCTGCATTCACACACCCAAAACCGAATGAAAGAAAAAAAAAAAGGAAAGGGAAGGGGTTACCAATGAGATAAATCAAACTCTGCCTCAACCTCAAAATCTGCCTTCCGGCATGATACAACTGCCACAATCCCGCCATAAAAATGTTCCGTGGTGCCGGGTCTTGCCCCGGTCTCCTCTTCTCGTACACAAACCACGGAATCGCCAACAGGAGCCACACCCCCGACGCAAACGCGATCAATACACTCAACCCCCAATTATTGTTTGCCTCACTCGCGTTTACGTCGAGACCAAACATAATCCCCACAATGATTGCCAAAATAAAAATCTCGCCGATAGACTGGACATAAAAGGCGATGTTGGAGAGTTGGCTACGTTTCATGGTATCTGCGAAATCGTATTCGTCGCGCGTTATACCGCCAGAGACCAATTCATCAGCAGCGCGTTTCATTTCTGCTGTATTACGTGCGAGACCGGGAAATGCAGCTGTCCAGAAAGTTAGGGTCGTTTGATACGCAATCAGTCCAACGATGTAGAGCCCCGTTGCTGCCTCCCATTGTCCGGCCTCGTGGACACCCAACCATCCGAATCCGATGGCCCAGGCTACGAGCGATAGTCCGATTAGGATGTTAGGTCGCCAGGTGCCGAAGTCAGCGAAGCTGCCGATTACTAAAAATACGACAATTTGGATGGCAAAGGAAATGCCGTTGCAGAGTAGGACGATGCTGTTAATGGAGCGCAGTTTACCGGCAAAAAAAAGCTGAGAGTTGGAGTCGGCGGCTTGGGAGAGGAGGTTTTGGAAGGCTGTTGGTGCGAAGTCTGTGATTCTCTGTTAGTACCTAATCTTGATAACGAAAGATTTGGGGGGGTGGGGGAATTGGGGACGTACTGAATAACGTCAATCCATTATTTCCAATGTAATACCTATTTCTCCCATTTAGTCACTTCATATCAATGTCTGAAGGAGAGGGGACGAACGCATAATAAGACCAAATCTCTTTCCTGCTGGTCTCATACCGCGCATCGAATTGATCCGGTGCAACAATTGAGCCTTCTTCAGGCTTGTCTTCTGCATCTAGTGTTTGCGAAACGTTCACATCTTTGACATCAGGATTATTGGCGGGGCTTTTGGTGCCTTCTTCAATGTCAATTGTCGACATTGTGAGTATACTTTTGATTTGATACGGTCACGATGCATGTAAGAGAGGAAGAAATCAAAAGATTCCAAGAAAGAAAAGTAAAAGATAAGAAATCCATATTTTCGCTGCGAAGTATTGTTATCGAAGAGGGGCGATAATCTCCGCAAGTGGCTTCCTATTCGAGTAGAAATTGAGCATGCATCGAGACTAGCTCGCAGGTCTACTATGTAGATAACTGCGAGATTGGCTCAGATTGCAACGTGCGTCCTTGCGCTAACTTGAATGGAACTGGGGGGCAAAAGCACGGGGATTCAGGCCTTGACTTGGTTAATTAGTGGCTTGAGGATTAATCTGATATTGCGAACATGGTGCCAATCACAACGCTGGAAAAGAGGGTTGATCGGCGCGTTCCGCAGCTAATTGAGATGAAAAAGTTTCTTTGATTCAAGTCTCTCGTGGAGGAATAGAGTAGGTATATATTTACAATATAATTACTCTCTCGACAACAATCCGATATGGTGTAACGGTAACATCGCCGTCTCTCATTAGAAAGACACGATCACGGCAGCTCGGGGTTCGATTCCCCGTGTCGGCTTATAGTTTTTTACTCCCACCAAGCTCAGAGCTCTATATTGAACAAAATTGGAGGCGCAATGTACACGATCCGATATGGTGTAACGGTAACATCGCCCTCTTTCACAGGGCAGCTCGGGGTTCGATTCCCCGTGTCGGAGCTTACTTTTTTGTTCATTTTTGGTTTCTGGCGGCGCTCACCAAGCCCGGAGAGACGCCTAAAGGCGCTAGAACCCTTGGGCACGCCCATGCAGAGGAGCTGTCTTTCACAGCCTAAGATCCCGGCTGTTTCACTGGTCTGGTTCCTGCAAGACGGCTTGCCGAGAGAGGGCCTGGTTTACTTGTCCGTCGAGCGTATGTACCTAGCTTTACCTAACTTTCGATGTCTCAACCAGGACTTCTTGATAGAACCCCTCAGGGGGGATCTTATTTCTACGCACGCTCTGGCTTACTAGGTGTGAAGTCCTTGTTTGGTTCACAGCAAACATCGAACCTCTAAATTATTGCTATCGCAAGCGCTGATTTCTAGGTAGGTAGAAGACCTTGAACCGAAGTGAAAAAAGCCCGTCGAGTAATTGACAAAGTTGAGTCCTGCAAGAGTGTACAACCCTATTGGCAGAGTTATATCTCGTACATCCGTTCTCATACAGCCGTGAACAAGCGCATATGTGAATAAACGCAAGTGTCAAGATAGAAACAAAAAGATAGGAGCAAAAAATCCGACTCCGACACGGGGAATCGAACCCCGAGCTGCCCTGTGAAAGAGGGCGATGTTACCGTTACACCATATCGGACATATCATTGGTTGACAATTTTGACAATATATGCATGAAATTTTCTAGATGCCAGAATAATTTGTTTCCAATTTTTATGAACCCTAACGTTGACACAACATTTCTGCGTCTATTAAATTTATTTAGATTTGTTTTCAGTGTGGACTGGGTGGCCTATTCAGTCCGGTGCCGGGTTGTTGGCAATCAGTTTTCTGTTTTTTCTTTGCTCCAAGTCGAAACGGGACATGAAGGTAGAGCTTCCGATTCACTTCTTGAATGATTAGAGTTGGAAGCATGTCTTTGCTAGAGAGGACGAAAAATGAATTTAGATTTGTGGGTACCTATATCGATTGAACCAGGTAGAGTATCTGAGCAGCGTGGTAGCATGCTTCATTATTGTTTTTCCTGGTGTATATATGTATGCATGGATCCTTGCTGATGTCAGCAGTATTAATACATGTGGTCAACCACGCAGCCCCGACTCAACTGATATGGAACATCTATTAAGGTATACCCCAGATTTCAAGTAGATTTCTACAATTACTAAGCCTAGGACTAATCAATTAATGACGAGGGCAGGCCTGTAGGGGGGCTTATATATATATATATGTATACATTCAATGTTCAACATTGAACAGCGAATTCAATTTTCCGTCTTCTCGAGTACAAAGTTCAACATTGAAAAATGAATGAGAATATAATAAGTGGACCGACTGATTTTAACTCTAAACGTTATCGTGGGATATATGCATATTCAATCTGATCTATCTTTAAGCGCCATTTCTGATACCCGCTTCATATGAAAAAGTATGAACCATTATTTACTTGCCAGTCCAACTCACCGTTATCCCCATACTACTCGCCTTCATATAGATGAACCGTGTTGACCTGATAGTAGTCAATAATAAAGCTTCTGATAACATCACCTCAGCTCTACCTAGCAATAGTCAGAGTAGAACCATGAGAGATGAACCACTATTGCTAAGTTGGGCTAGCTGTCTAGCTGGGTTGACGAACACATGGATCTTCAAACGCTATTGTGTAGGGTTGAGTCAACTGCATTGCGCAGATGAACACCAGTACTTTCAGCATGTTGTGTCAACTCAAAAAGTTCTGTCAGCTCGCGGTCCTCCTCGCGCCAGCCCTCATGATCATCTTTTACCCTTCTAACAAAAAGTATGTCCAGCACGAGAGCGACTGCACTGATCGCAACACCAAAATAAAGTGCCGCCCTATAACCCATAACCTTGCTGCCAGACCGCTGCGCAATCTGAACCTCAATCGTAGAGGCAAATCCCAACCCCAAACTGTTTCCATATAGATTGAGCGTCCCAATAATCGAGCCGGCGATACCCTGCTGGTTTCGGCGAACAGAGTTGCTGGCAATGATCTGTCCGGCTGTGTATACCAGATCCGGACAGAACGAGAAGAGCACCACGGATGGAAAAACCTGAGGCCAGTAAGATTGGTGTAGCGGCACGGTTGACATGAGCGCATTCGACACCAGTATCGTAACCGTACCGATTGCAAGAATCCATTGTGCTGCAACACGAGGGATCATCCAGGCTGCAAGATAGGTAGCACCTACAGCGCAGATAACGAATGGGGTCCAGCCAACAGCAAATTTCAAAGGAGACCAGTGCCAGACGGTTTGCAACCAAAGATTTTGGTACCAAATCAAAGTGCCCACGGCCATGTAATTAAAAAGGACGACTATGAGGAGAATAGCAAGTGACGGAGCCTTAAATATGTCGAGAGGCAGCATTGGAAAAGATGTAAACTTCTTTTCCCAGATGATAAAAGCTCCAAACAGGGCTAGAGACAAAAATAGGAGAGCGATCACATAAGGGGTCGACCAGCCAACGCTGGGCGCTTGACTAGAAGCAAAATCGTTAGACCGTGTTTGTGCCTGTATCCTTTTTTTGATCTAACTTACTTCCAAACGAAGTTGAAGATGATCAATGAACCCGTCCCTAGTGCTGATCCAATATAATCAATCTTTCCACCTCGGTCGACGGGCTTCTCCGACGGACTCAAAATTCCAAGAGCAAGAATGACAGCGATACCCATGCCAGCTCTACGACAGTGTGTCAGATTTCTCGAGCTCTTACAATGCTTGAAAGCTTGATAAAGCTTACATAAAAACAAAAAACCACTTATATTCTGTCTTCTCCAGGAAAGCACCAACGAACAGCGCCCCGAGATATCCTCCTATAGGCGCCGAGGCCCCGAAAATGCCCAAACTGAGATTGCGTACTCGGCCTGGAGGAATGGTACTGGAAATCATCGCTACTGCATTCGGCATAATAAAGGCTCCGCCTAGGCCTGACAATGCTCTCAGGGTGAGAAAGGCAAAGATGTTAGTACAGAAGCCACAAGCCAGCGTGCAGGCTGAAAGCCATGCGCCGCCGACCAGCACCAGCAATCTGTAACCGTAGACGTCGCCCAGTCGACCGCTCGGGAGAACAAATGTCCCCTGAGTCAGTCTGTTTCATGCGAGATTAGTCCTTATCAAAGTAGTGTGCATAGGTATGAGAATGACTAACGCGTAGCTGGCGGCTATCCATGAGCCATAGGCCGCTTTTGCGCCCATCGCATTAATGATAGTACTTCCGCCGGCGATTCCAGCAAAGTTTACGGTCATCTATTGTCGTTATCAGGATCATATCTGCTTTTATAAAGAACTAGGATCTTACCTGAACAACATTTGCCATGACAAGCAATGTGATAATGGAAAATTTACGAGCCTGGTTGACTGGAACCACCGTTGCTGCCTCAAAGACATGCTGTGAGGGACTCGGTCCTTGTGTATGTTCAATAGAGGTATCTGTTGTTTCCTGATTCTGGTGAAGCTCTAGTGGCGGTGAGATAGTTGTATCCTCTTCACTCTGGCAGACGACTACTGGCCGTTGAGTTTCGAGGGCAAGTGTCTGAACCTGCGACATTTTGCTCTCTGTATCAGCTTCTAACTGAGAAATAGCGAAAAGGCTTGCAGAATGGTCAATGGGAGGATTGAATCTTCTTGGAGTGAGGGGGTTTTCTAAGACATGATGATGCCCGGCTGACTCAGAGCTCGCTTTACCTAACTTACCTTTTCAGGCTCTGACACCCCCTCAGTTGAAGAGTACAGTGGGTCAACTCGCGAACGAGCTTACAATTAAAAATCGACAAGAAATACTTAAGATTTCTGTAAGAACTTCAATTCAACCTTACTATTCGATGTATATCAGATTCAGTAAGTGGCGTTAATATTGCAATTGGTTATATAGTGCAAAATAAACACTGATTTATCATCCGACATCCGATATGGTGTAACGGTAACATCGCCCTCTTTCACAGGGCAGCTCGGGGTTCGATTCCCCGTGTCGGAGTTTACCTTTTTACTTTTTTGCCCTTTCCTTCTTCAGTATATTTGTTCTACTACATTTACATCAAACAGAACTAGATAGTTTTATAATTCTCATGATGATTTTGGATCATTCACACTGGTCCTCCTATCTAACCTAGTTGAATTTGTTCACTATCTTTTCTTCCGATCACTCTATGTATGCCAGATTCTCCCTACATGTAGTCTGGAAGTAAGAGGATGATGAGCAGAAGGCCTCTTCGTTCGTCTCCGTCCCTTTCACTTTAGAAATAGTAGACATCTCCAGTCTCGCCGTTCTTTATATTATGACCTCCACCACAGCCCTCGACACTCGTTCAATTCTGGTTCTTTGAAGCAATCATCATATCCATGAGATAGTTAATACCCTCGGCACAGTATGTATCAGGCTTCGTGTATAGAGTCTTATTAAAGTGAAGACGTAATTCTCTAAGTCTGTTAATATATATTTGGGCTATGTAGATGTTGACAGGCTAAGGCTCTTGAACATGTAGTTAGAATCACCTATAATTAGACACATCGCCGATATCCTAGTAGAAGATGTTACCTGCGTGAAAACAGATATAGCTAGTTTGAGAGAAAGTGAAACAAAAACCCACTAAAATATTAATTGGTTTTAAACTGATTTAAATGTACGAAATCTTCATCCGCTGAAAGAATACTTCGGAATGTTACCGTCCTTTACTAGATATGAAAATCATCTTTTTTTATCCCAAGTACACAGTATGATTTCTCTAATCTAGTGTTGGGAAGAAAACCCCCTCAAGTCCTCATACTCCGGCACCTTCCACCCACCCTTCTCTGTTCTTGACAGCCTTGCGGCAATATCTGGAACTTTCAACCAACACAACCACCTTATCAAGAAATGAAGCACATTGACCCCCCACTGTGACTCCGGCATCGCCAACCTTAACGCTGTGGTATTCAGCTCTTGAATCACGTCCACAAACGGTCTAAGTGTTTTCTCATAATTTCTGAGCGCCATCCTTGCATCATTCGGATGCCGAAGAATCTCCCCAGCAAGAACGTACGCACCTACAAAGGCACCCGTCGTGCCCATCCCTGTTAATGGACACGGGCAATATGCCGCATCACCCAGCAACACAAAGCGGCCGCCATTCGACGACCATGCATCCATTTTAACTTGGACAACTTCGTGACAGTAGAAATCTTCAGTCGTCTTTAGCCCTTCAAGAAACCTGGCCGTTTCCCATCCGGCATCGCGGAAGCGATCCGCCCAAAATGCTTTCTGTGTCTCAATATCTGCTTTAGAGATGCTGGATAACCTAGGGTCATCGTTTCGTAAGAAGAAATAAACCTGTGTCTCTGTGGCATTATGGCTTCTTCTGAAGATCATCCGGCCGCCAGAACAGTTGTAGACTCTTCGCAGATTATCATCACTTGCGATTCTTGGAACGAAAAAATATGCAACGTGTAATCCGACTCGTCGATATGGGTCTGTTGCATTAGGAGGTAGGATGGACCTTCGGATCCTAGACCCTTGCCCCCCTGCGTCGACGAGGAGGTCAAATGTTTCCATTGATCCGTCTGAAAAGACCACGGCCACCTTCCCTTTCCCTTCTATAGCATCATCTTCTTCTGTAAAGCTCTCAATCTCCTTTCCGAAGATGTACTTTACTCCATCCAATCTTCTCGTAGCATCATACAATATATCCACTAGGTCCCCCCTCATGATCTCGTACTCAGACGTCAAGCTCTGCGCGCCCTGTCCAGATTTATTCGCTAGAATTGACCCTTGTACGACTCCCTTCGAGTTAACAAATGAAACACCTTCCTCGGGGACGAGCTTGGAGCAGATGGCATCCAGGAGCCCACTGCGTTTAACGACTTCGATTCCTTGCGCGCGGAGATCGACTTGAGCACCTGTTTTGCGAATAGCGGGAAAACGTTCGATAATAGTTATTTGGTGGCCGGCTTTGGCGAGCGACAGAAAGTAAGCGAGGGAAGGGCCAGCAATGCCAGCGCCACTTATGAGTATTTTGAAGACCATTCTTTCTTTTCTCAGTGTCTTTGTTCGAAATGATGGCTGATGGTGATAAAAGAAGATGCATTTATGTGATAAAGGAGAAGGATGTGTTGACCCTTATAAAGAAAAATGTCCTGATCTGCCCATACATCTTTTTCCCGTCACGGGTTACGATGTTTCCAAACCCCGTCTTAGATTATGGTGATTTTGCTCAAAACCCGTCCTTTACGGATTTTGACGGCGGCGTCTAAAATAAAACCCGTTACTATTCTTAATTCACCACACATAAGTAGCAAAAACTTTATAAACTATATATTAGTACTCTAGCCTTAAATAATAACTTATGAAGAATCGCCACCAAAAGGTACAATATTATCTTAGATCTAAGCTGGAAACAAGCATATATCATGAGAGCCTAGGTTATATTCAGAGAATCCTATATCTCTTAGCTGTACATGAAACCCCAAGAGCCAAGTCTATATCAAGGGGTTAGTCTTTAAAAATTGAAAAAAACATTATGGAGCATTTAAATTTAGCTGCTACTAGTCGAGGAAGAGTTTGCCTACCTAGAATTCACCTCTACTCCAATGATGAGGGTTCCATTGTAAGCAGAATGTTGAACAATGCCCGTCTGGTTGAAATCTGGAAGGTAACCGATGCCCTCAATTGCAGAAACCACCTTTCGTGAAATATAGGCTGATGTAGAAATATCGGGTAAGCTCAAAATCGTAGTGAATCTATGTGGAATAAGCTAAGAATACTCACTAGGACGGGCAGATTCTCGAGAGTGACGTTAGATGGGTGAATGATAGCTAAGTATAAGCAGTCCTTGAAAACATCTACAGCGTTTCAACAACAATCGGCTTTTGTGAAGTTATCGAATCCATTTGCATCATCTTGGCCCCAACGAGATTGAATACTCTACTAAACATTTAAATCTGTTCTTTGTTCATTCGTGGTTGTACTTTGCTTAACTCCAAGGGTTATTAACAAGGAGCGCATCTCTGCCAATTCTTGCCCTAAGAAAATCATTTCGTATGCGAATAGCATACGAGGACGTCTTTTCACAGGTAGCACAAAGATGCGCTGTCTATCGGTGGTGGAACACCGGTGACACTGACCACCAGGTTCGTCGGGTTGGGGACACAGCGTATTTTCAGAACTCGACAGTTCTCACAGGACAGACAATTTGCCGGTCATGATGTTAGAGCAACAAGGATAGATCTAGGAAGTAACATTGTACAAAGAATTGTGCTTTTATTCGGGACCATAATTATCTAAGTCGTATGTATGTGTATATGTATATAGAAGAAGCAAAAACATAAGCTCCGACACGGGGAATCGAACCCCGAGCTGCCGTGATCGTGTCTTTCTAATGAGAGACGGCGATGTTACCGTTACACCATATCGAAACAGTCTTTATTTTAGCATTATCAAGGGTTATTCATACAATCGGATAATCAACGGCGGTCTTCTCTGGGTTCAGAAGCTTCCGAGCAACTCTGAACCCGTGGGCACTGCAGACAACGGAAAAGAGCAACATAGTTTATCGACTTGCATTTCTTGAGATAAATACACTTGGACTTTTCATAAGCCAAGCTCAGTAAACCGACTCAGGGTTGCTCAAAGACTAGGTCGTCCCGGTCAGGTCGCCAACAGTCATTGAGCCTGCCAATTTGCTTCTTAGATTGCCATCATGCTCTAGGATTATTGGTGCTTTTCAGGTCTATACAGGCAATCGATTACATGTAGCAACCGATGGGGCCCATGAAAAGCGATCTATATAAGAGACCACGAGCTGGAGCGTGCGCAACATGCCGGTGAGATTCGTTCTATCTTAATCATGTCGACATCATAACTAATGAACACTTACCGGTGTATCAGCTCCCGGAAACGGCGCTGTATCCCAGCTTCCAATTCGGACAGTTGTCGACTTTGCCAATCACTGTCTATATCATGTAGTCTAAGGCAGGGTCCTGAGCGGCAGAGTGTAAGCACGGCTGTTCCAGAGAATGTGACGCGTGGTGAACGACAAAGCAAAGAGCATGGCCTTGGTGTTCTCGACTCGCAAGAGCTATTTCTCGAGCTGGTTCCCTTGTACTTCCATTATATCCATAATATCGCTCATACCATTTTTCATGAACCAAGCTTTATGCAACGCCTCAAGGACGGTAGCGCGTCCATGGTTCATGTATATGCGATGTGTGCCCTCGCTGCTCGGTAATTGATCCTGAGTTTTCGGACCATGTTCCCTTCTTGCTAATCGTCGATTGCGCACTGGTAGATTCTCCACCAATCGAATATTCAGGAATATCCCTCCATGTTCCCGAGGAAAGCCCTATGCGACAGAGGCAATCCGTCGTTGTCACGAGTGCATGGTCTCTCCAAGCTTGGAAACCGTACAAGGGTTTATCTTGGTCGGATACTATTTCAGTGGCGAGGGGAGTATCCGTGGGAAGCATGTCTATGTTGGTTTGGCCCGTTTACATGCCGACCTCTTGTCTCCCGGAAGCACCGCAACTGTGGTCCTTCGAGAAGAACTCCGCCGGACATGGCTTTCCATTCATATTGCCAGTCACTGGTCGGCTTCAGATATGGCGACTGAGCCCACTTACCCCTTTCATGGTCTGGCACCCCTTCCGAAGATTGACGATGCAGATTTCAATTCACTCAACCCCGAACTTCTGTCTGAAACTCCAGCCTCGCCTTCGTCCCGATGTGACATGTGGGCTCAAATGGCGCGAACATTGAATATATTTACGAAAATCAATATTTTATTGCGACGTCTAAGTAAGGATGAGGTTTCCTTCGATAGATATTGCACGGAAGCCGCTGTGCTGGAACACAGCCTTGATCAGTGGGCAAAGGATCTGCCTCCCAGTCTCGTCTATACCTACGACAACTTCATGCTCTTGGTGAGGAAAAGGTTGGGACAGACATATTTATCTATGCACATTGGTTATTACCACTTTCGCCAAATGCTCCTTTTCCCTTTTTTGGACACGCGACTCGCGCAGTGGAATGTTCGAGATAGGGCGGCAAAGTGTAAGGAGAGCGCTGCTTTTGTCTCAGATATTTTACAGTATTCGAAAACCATACCCCACTGCGAAATGGACTACTTCATTTACGGACATATAGCAGTTGTCAGTTCCAGCGTTCACCTTCACACTCTGCTGACTAGTGATGATCAACCTGAACCAGGTTTGGCACGGCAACGCTTGGTTTTCAATTTCCAATATCTCATGAGCCTCAAGTCTTACTGGCCCGTGGTCGATCATCATGTATGCATCTTCTTTGTAAAAACCTTCGTTAACCATCGGTTGTACACTGCTGACGTTAGAAATTCACAGATCACTCATTTGCGAACCTTCCAGAATTCCTGCAGGGATTCCATGTCAGACCCGTTTGTTCTCGATAATTGGATGGCCCGTTTCCTCACCGAGCATTCTTCAGCTCTTTCAGAGAGGCAACTGACTGGTGCCCAACACCCCTCTTTTGAATTGGCCACACCTTCTCTATATATGATCGAGCCCGCGGACGAAATCATGGCTGCGGATAACTCCAATTACAAAAGTCTAAGTGCCACTGGCCCCGGGCCTGTTGGGACGAAAAACAATTTCGCAGAAAGAACGGAGTACAATGAGTTGTCTCGACTTCTAGAGGATCAAGGAATGAGCGGCGAGGCAATCGTTGACAGCGCTCTTAGCTGGCTTCTGGATGATAATTACGGCGTAGAAGAAGTGTCTTGATTGTACTACTACAATTTAAAAAAGCTACTTTAGTTTCCCATCGTTGCCTCCCAACGGTGATAAGCAAGGCTGGAGCGGCAGAGGCGACGCGATTGAGATCTTACTCGACTTCAGTCTAGACGGTCTTCTCTAAATGAGCGGTTCCGAAAGTTTTTGACTCTAAGTCGGCTTGCTCGTTGTAAGGAACAGCTTTTTCTTCAGCCTCGATTTTATCAGACGGCTCCGCTGCTAGGGCATCTCCAAACAACTCCGCAATCTCTTCCAGAGACTTACCTCCAGTTTCTGGAAGCAAGAAGAAATACACAAATGCAGCCACAAAGTTGGTAGCAATGAACAGCGAATAATATCGCCAACCGACATTTTGCAACGCAGTTGGTGTTATCTGAGACAGGACAATGGCCGCTACTGCCTTGGTAAATACGGCTAGACCCATGCCTGTTGAGCGCAGGAAGAAGGGAAATAGTTCGGAAGGCACAACCCAGATGGTAGCGTTGAAGAAGACAGCATAGCCTCCGGAGTACAAAAAGATCATGGCAATTGCGGCACGGGCACCACTAATGTTGGTATTGCTCGCGCTGCCGTATGAGGCAGATAGCGCCATGCAGATGGCAACCATAACCGAGAGAAAGATAGATCCAACCCACAGCGTGCGAGTTCGGGGCCATTTATCAGCAGCGATAAATAGGTAGATTACCTGACCTAGCACACCCATGATGCCGTAGATTCCGCTGATCAGAAGTGAAGTCTTGCCAGTGAACCCCACAGCTGCATAAAAGCTGCTCTGATAGTTCTGGATGACGGACGAGCCGCTGAACTGGCCCATGATTAGGATGAAACAGGCCATCAAGGTGCGGTGAAGGTATCGGGGAGAGAGCAGACTGGTGACTGCGAGCCTGAAATTGGTGACCTGAGTGGCCTCAACATGGATTTGTGCTCGAATGTGGGCCAGTTCTTGTCCAGCGACGTCGTCGTCATGATCGGTTCCGTGAATAGAAGTTAAGACAGCTCGGGCTTCCTCGTATCGTTCCTGCTGAATCACTTCGGTCTTCCTTAGCATGATGTGTGAGTACAGGTCGTGGAATACCTACGCCATCTCGGACTATACGGGATAAAGCAACATCCCATTGCCAATGCCAATGACCCTGGGATTTGCATGCCAAGGGGTATCCTCCATTGAGCAGCTCCCTTTGCATACGCACCTCCATAGCCAATCCAATTGGCCACAAAGAATCCAATAGCAATCATAAACCCCTGCAAACCCACGATCATTCCGCGTTGTTGGGGAGGCGAGACCTCGGCGATGTAGATCGGTACGACGGTGAGGATGATACCGCAACCCATGCCTGCGAAAAAGCGGCCTGCGATCATCATGCCCGGATTGACAGCTGCGGTCTGTAAGATGGCGCCGATAATGGCTGGAAGAAATGTTAATTCGGTTCCTCTTACTTCCCAACGAGTGATCCGATTGGGATTAGGAGTGAACATACCAATTACAGCACTGGCACATATGGTCCACCGTCTACTAAATCTGTTGGCTGAGTACCCTGCAGCAAAAGTACCTATTGCCTGCCCAACATTATACAGAGAGACGATAGCACCTTTCGAGTGTCAGAGGTGGAGTTGGAAAAAAAGGAATTAATCAAGGCACCAACCAGTCAAAGCGGCATTCACCCCAGCTGGACCCAGCATGTAATGCTTGAATGTATCATGGCTTAGAGTGGTTGCAATGATTCCTATAGTGCTTCTGTCAGCTGCAACAATCTTTCTGTTAAGACTGACAAGTCAGACCTGAATCCACCCCGTACACGAAGCCCCCAAGTGCCACAACGAGGGCGATTGTGACGACATAGAAGTTGGCCATATTGTAAAATAATGAAACGCAGATTTTTGACTGATGCTTCTGCAGATTTCAAATAGGCTGTTTTCTGGTTCTCTTGATCTATATTTATAGCCCAGTTGCAACAGCCTGTGATCCGGTTATCGAAACCCCGAGCAACCCGGCAGCCGAAAGCTACTTTGGGGACACTTCAGTAATCTGAAGGCAGTGCGAAGCATATCACCCCATGGAGATATTCATAAACTTCAATCTTTAATTCACCTCACAATAGACTTGAGATTTCATCGGCTGCGTTCTCCCTATCCCCACATTTTGAAGAGACTTTTATCCAAAAGGCGGCGACTGACGAATCAGCGCTCGAAATCGCCGCAAGGTCATTCTCCGCTTGGATCATGTTGCGGGGAGTTACTCCACGTCCTAGCGCATATCCGGCTTTCCATCTGCTCGGTATTTCGTGGGAATGATTCGCGAGGGTGTAGCCATAAATATGTTTGAGCTGGCGAACAGCCGATGGCTGAAGGAAAGACAAAAAATTGAAAAATTGAAAATCCGCGGCCATGAGCAGCCAACTGTCGATTGAAATCCCCTCAGTCGAACAACATTCGACTGGGTTTGGCATTGGAACGGCTGCTCCACGCCTATCATGGCGATTCCTCACAATCGCCGACAGTAGCCCTTGCAACTGGAAACAGACGGCCTACGAAGTGCACATTGTTCGTTCTGAATCGCAGGATGAAACCTATCATGTGACCAGCACTGAATCGGTGCTAGTACCTTGGCCAAGTACTCCTCTACAGTCCAGGGAAAGTGCACAGATTCGGGTTCGGGCATACGGTTGCAGTGCCGCTGATGACAAGGCTGAGCCTACCGCTTGGTCGCCATGGCGGACCATTGAATGTGGATTACTCGACCGCAGTGACTGGGTTGCCCGTCCTATCGCGAGTTCTAGTGAACCACAGCCCGATGGCCCATTGCGACCGCTTCGATTTAGAAAGGATTTTAGACTTTCTGCGACGAGCACCGTTGAAAAGGCCCGCCTTTATATAACAAGCTTAGGTGTATACCGCGCCTTTGTTAACGGTCATCTGGTGGGGGACCAGTGCCTCGCCCCAGGATGGACCAGTTACCGCCATCGTTTGAACTACCAAGTATTCGATGTTGCATCGCTCCTAAATGCTGAAGGTTCTAATATCCTTGCCGTAGAGGTGGCGGAAGGCTGGTACGCTACACGCCTCGGCTTTCGTGGGGGGCGAAGACAGCTTTACGGAGATCGACTAGCTGCGTTGGCCCAACTTGAAATTCATGTCGGACATGGAGGAGATCAGTTCACTTTGTGTACTGACAGCACGTGGACTTGTACTCCAAGTGCAATTGTGCGCAGTGAACTCTACGACGGCGAAATTTACGATGCCCGCGAAGAGGATGCGTCTTGGAACTGCCGCAGCCTTGACCCCTATGTCGACAATTCGAGCTGGAATTCCGTACAAGAAATTGACTTTCCAACAGCGACATTGGTAGCGCCTGATGCTCCACCTGTTCGTGTCACCGAGGAAATTACCCCGATTTCAGTGCAAAAGACGCCATCCGGGGCAACAGTTCTCGATTTCGGACAGAACCTAGTTGGTCGGCTTCGCGTGAGATCTCTAAAGCAACTCTCTGGCTCTCGAGTGTCTTTCATACATGCGGAGGTGCTAGAGAATGGTGAGCTCGGTATTCGACCACTGCGACACGCCAAGTGTACCGACGAAATCATTCTGAACGGTACTGAGATTGTTGATTGGTCGCCTCAGTATACGTTTCACGGGTTTCGATACGTCCAGGTGAACGGCTGGGACGAAGAACGGGATGGATCACTGCTCGTAAACATCACAGCACTCGTGATGCACACCGATATGACTCGCAGCGGATGGTTTTCTTGCTCTCACCCCATGATCAATAAGCTCCATGACAATGCTTGGTGGAGTATGCGCGGGAATTTTCTGTCGATCCCGACTGACTGCCCTCAAAGGGACGAACGACTCGGTTGGACTGGAGACATTCAGGTGTTCTGCCCATCAGCGAACTTTCTCTACAATACCGCAGGGATGCTAGGTGGTTGGTTACAAGATGTTGCGGCTGAGCAGTTAAAGGAGAAAGACGGCTGTGTGCCTCCGTTTGTGGTCCCAAATGTAATCAGTGAGGAGCTGTGGCCTCATACGCCGCAAGCTGTGTGGGATGATGTAGTAATTCTGACGCCTTGGGCCCTATATCTCTCCTATGGCGACCGTGACATGCTTGGTCGACAGCATGAAAGTATGCTCGCCTGGATCGACCGGGGAATCCGACGCGGCTCTGACGGACTTTGGGACCCTGATCTTTGGCAGTTAGGAGATTGGTTAGATCCAGCAGCGCCACCTGTAGAACCAGGTGATGCACGTACAAGCGGCACACTCGTTGCAGACGCCTACTTAGTGCATATAACATTTGTCATGTCAGAGATCAGCAAGGTCCTAGATCAGGAACAAGATGCTATACGATTCAAGGCGGACTATGACCGACTTAAAGCGAAATTCCAGGCTAAGTATATCGCGCCTTCAGGGTTGCTGGTCGGGGATACGCAAACTGCTCTCAGCCTTGCCATTATTTATGATCTCCACTCAACATCTGAACAAGCCAAGGCTGCAGCATCACGTCTCGTCCAACTCGTACGACAAGCGAAGTTCCGCGTTGCTACTGGGTTTGCTGGCACGCCAATTATTACACATGCTCTTACTAAGAGCGGGTACCCTCAGATCGCTTACCGGATGTTGCAGGAGAAGAATCGCCCGTCGTGGATGTACCCCATCACCATGGGTGCGACGACGGTGTGGGAGCGTTGGGATAGCATGCTTCCCGATGGGTCTATTAATCCGGGAGAAATGACTAGCTTCAACCACTACGCCCTGGGATCTGTCATTAACTGGCTACACTCTACTGTAGCTGGTGTGAGCCCTCTTTCTGCAGGCTGGAAGCAGGTCAAAGTAGCGCCCATCCCGGGTGGTACAATCGACTCGGCGGAGGCTAAATACGACACTCCATACGGACGTTTAGAATGTCGGTGGTCGATCGAGAGCGAAGCAGATATTTTCGACATGGCGCTGTTGATTCCGCCAAATACTCGTGCGCTGGTTATATTGCCTAATACAGAGAAGTTGATGAAGCATACGATCTCTCAAGAAGACGAAGGACAATGGGTAGGGTCTGGACATCACAACTTTTCAGTTCCTTTCAAGTGGAGGGACTATTCCAGTGAATGGCCTCCGAAGACGCTGATCCCAATTATGCGACGACCTGAACCGGACAATATTGCGTGATCATAGCTTGGCAAGGAGACCTAGACGAATAATGTTTATGTACATCCATTAGATATGTAGACGCTATTAGATAAAATATGGTTGATTCACTACATGTATCTCCCCTTCGGATGACTTTTAATGTCCCATGCACGTAAAAAGCTTTCAATCCCCAAACCATACTATCATCCTGGATATATAGAGACAGAAAACCAGCCGAATCTCGACGTGGAAATCATATGAGGGGGATCTCACTAGATGGTGATATTGAACAGGGGTTAGGGCTGCTGTGGTAACGTGATTGCGCTGGACCCACTTTAAGCTTCCTGTTTGTTGACATTCGATTTCATTCATGTTTTCTCCCTTGATTCCACCAACTTGGACTTATTTCTATTAATCCGAAGAAGAAATATTCACAGAAAATGGCTGATATTAGCGCAACACAGAAACTACCTCCACCAACATTACATCATTTGAGCTCCTCTTCGTCTCTGCGGGTGCTCTGGGCTCTTGAAGAGCTATCCCTCTCAGGCGGATTACAGTACAACCTGAGAAATTACAAGCGTGTAAAAGGCAGAGCACCAGAAGAATTGAAAAAAGTATTTCCTCTGGGGAAGTCACCCGTGATCGAAATCCCGGGTGTCAATCTATTCCGCCCTTTACCGTTTTTACACGACGATAATAACAATGAAACAAAAACAATCGTAACGGAATCTCGTCTGATTCTACAGCTACTATCAGAAAAGTACTCGAATGGAGAATGGGTCCCCGATGCAGGAGATGACAAAGAGCGCGACAGCTATTTCCTCGAATTTGCCAATTCCTCCTTCACTGGAGTGGTAAATAGTGTCATCTACTTTGAAATCATTCCGACCATGTCACCCTGGCTAGTCCGTCCATTGATGTCTGCAATCTTCAATCCGATCGCAAAGATTCTCAAACAGGGCCTTGATCCTCATTTTGACCTTATGGAACATGCTCTGTCAGATGAAAAGCCATGGTTTTCGGGCGCCAAGATCGGGCTGGCGGATATTACGCTGTCGTTTCCGATGGACACGGCAGATCAGAGGCAGTTTTTGGATAAGGACAAGTATCCGAAATTGGCCAGTTGGGTGAAGAGGGTTCATGAAAGGCCTGCTTATCAGAATGCGTTGAAAAAGGGGGGCTCTTATGATTTAGTCAAATATGACAATTAGATATCATCTATTTGTTTTCCGGGTTTGCTTCAATTCTCATTACGAGTTGTATATTTTCCAATTCTTCAACTATCTTCAAGGAGTCTGACTGAAATCGTATGCGTTGCCAAAACCTCGGTTCAGATAACGCTCCATAGCTTCCGAGTCACTTACCCAATTCACCGGAACTTCAAGATCCGTTCGTTTATCAATTACAGATTGTAAATCATCCGCCAACTCTAGCTTCATTTGATTTCGATACCAAGGCGCAAAATGTACTTGAACAAATCAGTATTTTTCTCACGTTTTTCCAAAGCTAGGGTAGATACATACTCATAGCCAACATAACTCGCACCTGATCAGTGCGGTTACCAATACCGGCATGCCAAAGTCTCAAGTCTCTCACTACGATAGACCCCTTTGGTACAACGGGTTGACATGGTGGTCTGGTTGCGCGACGCCTTTCGAGTACTCCGGATTTGATACGCCCACTTGCTCGCTCCCCGTGTAGACCTTCTTGGATATGTAAGCCGGATTCTGTGTGAGTTCCTAGCCAGACCTCCGTTGATCCGTTTTCGGGTGTCATTGTGATCAGAGGTACATTGATTACGTACGCAAATGGGTGATTTGGGTGCGCAAAATCCGCGTCTGAATGCACTGGTTGGGAGGCTGGTGGGTGTTCTAATGTTGGTGGCATTGCAGTGTTGCCGGAGCAAAAAGTCCATTTGGGACGGGGACCGAGAGCTGTTGATGTTATTTGTGTCGCTATTGGATCTGAATAGTTAGCAAGTTGAGTCCCACTAGTGATTTTTGGGACGACTCACTCATGAATATCTTCGAGTCAAAATACTTTTTCATTGGAGGCGCATCCTGTTGGATATTTCCTGGGTTGTAATTGTACGGGCTATCCGTTTTTCTTGCCTGAAGTGTATATGCATCCTGTATCATTTTCTCATTCAGATGATCAAGGACATCATGTGGTACCACATTCTCAACGACAACTAGACCATCTTGATGCAGGCTTCGGATAGCAATCTCCAGATGCTGAGGAGACAGGTGAGCGTTTTGTATTTCTGAATCTGATGGACGGATTGAAGTAGGGTAACTGCTCAGTCTATTCGGGGCCCTAGTAGTTATCCATCGTGATTTAATGGAATAATTGCCTGACATTCTGTGAGGTATTCGCATGGCGATCCGGTTCATGATGGTTGACATCTTCCGTTTATGAAGGGAATGTTGGAATTCGAAGTGAAGGTACTCTTGCTTATTGAGGAATCTTACAGTATTTTATATTTCCTCATGCATATCAATTTAGTGACTCTTCCAGACTTCGTATATGGTATGCCGGATCGTCGGTAGTACAACATAAAGGCACAGTGTCAGGGATTTCATCACGCAGCCTTATTTTGAGTCGAAAAATTTAGCTTTTTATTTGTATTTTGCGTACACGCCGTATAGTAAGCTCGCATTTTATATCAATAGACAAAGACGTGGCGCCAATCCAGGCTCCCCACAAAATCCATAGCTCGCAAAATCTTTTCCGCACCCCAATTGATTCTTTGGCATCTCGCAAAACCCTTTAATCATCAAAGAACTCGCAAAACCCATATTTATGTGTCAATATGCCGAGACCACTGAAAATTGATCGTTCGTATGTCCCAGCTCTGTTATTGGCGCTAACTAATGCCTTTAGGTTGGTATGTCTTTCTCATATGTTAGGATCCTAAACGAACTCCCATCGCTGATGTGCTGATTCTTAGCCAACAATGTAGACGGCGCAAGCTCAAGTGTTAGTTTGGAACCCCAATCTCGCAGTTTCCCAGAAAAAGTTCTAATATCTCTCAATTTCTCGCGATAAGGCGACGGGAAGCGGCCTAGCTGTACACGTTGTCAGCGGAGTTCAGTCGACTGCCATTGGATTAAAGGACATAATCCATCCGCACCAGGAACGCGACTGCGGCAGTTGGAGATCCCTGCATCTTTACAAGTGCTACAGCAAGTAGAATACGTGATACCGGAGGAATCTACCTCCCCACTACCCAGCGGACCTAATACTTCGATACCATATCCCGGTGATGATACTCAAATCCCCTTTCTTGATCCTAGATACAAATCTACTGAGAACCCCGAGATTGCCCTTCGATACCCCCATATTGCCGGACTTTTCAGGCATTATATCGATAATCTAGCGCCATGGTATGATCTTAATGACAGAAAGCGAAATTTCGAAGATACCGTGCCCATCCGAGCTCGGAAGAATGCGTTGTTGCTCAGCGCTATACTTGCCTTTGCGGCGGCGAGTAAACATTACTCTAGCCCATCACGCGAAGATCCCCTGGAAAAGGAAAACCTGCTGGATGTTGCTGAATTCTATCACTTGGAAAGTGCGAGGAGATTGATAGCTATTACCGGGAACAGCGTTAATCTACAAAATTGTTCAGTTGTTGAGGAGACACTGGCTGCTATATGTCTTTTGCGCTCGTATGAGATTATTTTTCGTCAGTATATTTGTCTCTCGTCTTTCATGTTTGGCACGGAGTTCCTCCTCTGATATGACTAAAGAAAACGTCAAAGCTCAGAACCACCTCCACGGTTCATACTCTTTACTGGCCAGCCACCACCTTAATGTCACAACAGGTCTTTTTGGAGCTGGGTTCTGGAACTATCTCCGCGAAGACATAACAGTTGCCCTAATCGAAAAACGCAGTCTGATAATTGACTTGTCGGCTTACGTCTATCTAGATCAAACACTAGAATCAGAGGATTTCCCGGCCCGAATCACCTTCTTACTCGGAAAGATTATCAATCGGTGTCTTGCTAAAGATGCAGTTGCTCTTGATATCATGGAGTGGGAGACATTGAAAACGGAGCTTGAGAATTGGATGGTCTCGCTTTCAGAATCATTTGAGCCTATACTTATGACGCCGGGGTTGATGGAATCGAGTAGTTTTCCATGTCTATGGACTATCAAAGGCTGGCACGGTACGTATTACCTTGTCTCCGACAAAGAATCATCTACTAAGTGAGCACAATACGCGAAAATAGCCTCCAGCCTGCAATACTACCATACGGCAATGAGTATAGTATTCCTCGCAGAACCAATCCCACAACCACTAAACACACTGGAAAACATGGAGCATGTTCGGACATTACATACCAGACTGCAACACCACGCGAACCAGATCTGTGCATTGGCTATATCGAGTAATTCGGCCCCTGTTTGGGTCAATTCTTTTGGGCCGATAGCTTTTTGTGGTCCCTGGCTGCGGGATGATCAGAAATCTGCGGAGATGATAGACGAGTTACGGAGATGGAGCAGAAAGACGGGATGGCCTGTAACTGAGATCATTTCTAATATCAAGTCTTGAAAGCCTCCTAGATGCTTTATGATCCGCAACACACCAGACACTACTACTGCCTATCTTCAATGCCATTAGTCGAGAGGTCTCCAGCAATGATTGTTCTAGATGGCCACGTGGACCAGTAACTATAATCCATTTCGGAGCTTTCAGCTCCACATTATTTGTATGGGCGTCATGTAATATCAACTAGATATACGTGACTTATCTCTAGACCTGTCATCTTACTAGCTTACCACTCTTAAAAGAATGAATTCGAGCACGTACACTGCATGGACACTGTGGCGCTCGCTGGAACCTATGCCACTCTGAATTCTCTCGAAAGAGCCACTTTCTAAACTCGTTGGAAAAGATACAAATATCGAAAACAATGACGCCCGGAAAATCAAGGATAGGCTCGTACAGATCCCAAGCCAATTTTGTGCCACTGACTCGCCGAAGGTAAAGACACCACCAATTACTACGTACGTAAATCGGTAAACGAGACACAATAACTCAACTCTGGACCTAAAATGATGTGTTTAATTGTTTATGAATGCAACAATGATGTGGTGGCGCTAAATCAGCGGCAAACTCTAAAGCCGCCGTCGTTTTAGATGAAGATTAAGGATTGATCAATCATCAGTGGCCAGCGCCGATGTTTCATCGTTTTTGTGGCCGGCATGACAATTGGCTGATTTTAGCCTGCCATTTTCCCAGCCAGGCCCAGTCTAGGCCTGTGGAAGCGCCAACGGTTCACTAAGTAACGATTACTATCCGACCGGTGGACCCCTGAAATCCTTTTGAAATGTTGTTCAATGTTTCCTGTTTCATGAACCATGGCCCCGCTAGGAATTACCTAGCCAGGGACACATAGGTCAGATGCAGGGACAAAAAAGTCAGGGCTAAACTTGAACGACCCTACTTTGGAATTCGAAAAGGGAAAATGCTGGGTGCCTATCATTTGAACATCATACACGGTATGTACCTCGGAAACCCCTTCGTTTGAATACGGCCTACATACATGTAAGCGCTAGAGATGTACTGGACCTTCGCTTATCACGGAATTGCAGATTTTGATACATCACAAAGAAGCTTTGCCCCTGGTATGCAGACTGATATGGGATTACACCGTTTACTCGTCAAAGCCGGAGGGAAGTGGCGTGAATGTTTGTTTCGATTGCTATTCATATCACAATACCAACTCTCAGGATATTAAGGTAATCATTATGCGGCTGCTTACAGCTATGATCATTACTTGTCGTACCTACTACCTAATCTCGAGAAACTGTTTCAAGTTCTAGCCTCAGCGCCTAGAAAAAAATAGTACGCACTAAAAATGACTACATCCACCACAATGGTAACAGTAAATCCCCGTTCATATCCATCGACCTTTCCAAATAAAGAAATACCTATGCAAGCCCACCTCGCAATGAACTCCTCAAAAATTCCGATTAGTCTCCGTAAAGAGTCCCCATATGTCGGACCTGGAAAGTGCCGAAAGTAAAATGGATCTTTAATTTATTAGTCAATGAGGCTCGGAAGGTTATATATACCGATCTCTCGATGGCGAGATCTTCTTCATTTACTTTCTTGATACTGGAACAAGAACTGTTAGAGGCAATTCATCCAGTATCTTTCCTTCTTTTTTCATTCCTTTCCTTGCAAGTTAAGAGTCTGTGACTCTGTACATTCATTTTCAATTCGTGACTAGGTGACGATAGATTCGTTCACCCATCTATACATTCCTTACACAAAAAACAAATACACTTTCATTCTTAGGGCTAGTAGTCAAGAGTCGAGATGAAATCGACATCAACCCTCCTTACCGGCTTTTTAGCCACCCTCTGGACAGCAGCTCCAACATCAGCCTTTTTCCGCATGCCCTGTCCCGGCCGTCTCGTCGACGAACGAGCTGACCCCATCGTCAGCCCCGGAGCGATTTCGGGACATGTGCACTCTATCGCTGGTGGAAACGGCTTCGGATTCAACATGACATACGAAGACGCGCGTGCCTCCTCATGCTCTTCATGCCCCATCAAGGCTGATTTGTCGAATTATTGGGTTCCGCATTTGTATTATCGTGCTCAGAACGGGACGTTTGTGGATGTTCCTGTTTCGGGTGATGGTGATGGAAATCTTGGTGGTATTACGGTTTACTACCTGTAAGTACAACCTCCTCAGCTTCGCACTGCTGGCTAGATAGCTGATTGGGATAGTCAACGACCCGGTGCAAACAACGATCCCCTGAAAGCCTTCCCTGAGGGCTTCCGCATGCTCGCCGGAGACCCCTTCCGACGCAACTACACCGGCGACTTTGCCGCCCAAGGCGTCAGCTACGCGTGCCTGGATTACAACGGCCCAGCCAAAGCCGAAACCAACGGGTTCCCGGACTACAACTGTCCCGACGGTCTACGTGCCCAGGTGTTCTTCCCATCCTGCTGGGATGGTGTAAACCTCGACTCTGCAGACCACAAATCTCACGTCTCCTACCCCATTTCGGGCGCTTATAACGACGGTGTTTGTCCGGATACGCATCCCGTGCATCTAGTTTCAATCTTTTATGAGATTATCTACCAGACAAATCTTTTCGCGGATCAGTGGTGGGATACCACGCAACCTTTCGTCTGGGCTATGGGTGATCCTACGGGATATGGGTTCCATGGTGATTTCGTCAATGGCTGGGACGTTGATACCCTGCAATATGCGGTCGACAACTGCCTCAACGACAGCGGCTTGATATCCGACTGTCTTGCCGCAGACGGCTCTGAATTCTTTGATCTCTTCACCAATGAAGAATCTAAGTTTTGTACTCTACCCGCTTTTGTAGATGAGACTATTGGTCCCGTGGTCGATGCCCTCCCGGGATGCAATCCGGTCACTTATGGTCCTGAAGAAGCGACTCCTTCTAAATGTAATAGTGATAAAACTGTGATCAGTGATACGGTGCTGGCGAACTACTACACTGATGTTACGCAGAGCCTGGGTTGGGAGTATTCCGGATGCGCGTTCGATAATATTTCGACCAGGACGTTGGATGGCTCAAATGAGAGCAAGGATGATATGACGGTTGAGACGTGTATCAGTTTCTGCTCTGCTGCCGGTTATTCGTATGCTGGATTGGAGTATTCGACTCAGTAAGTCCTTCCCCCAATAGTAACAATATGTGGTATACAGGTCTCTAATTATTGAATTTCTCAGATGCTACTGCGGAAACTCAATCGCCGCCGCCAACGCTCCAATCGCCGGTGTCGTGGGCGGATGTCTCTTCCCCTGCGGCGGAAACTCGACTCAAATGTGTGGTGGATCAGCTGCGCTATCGGTCTACCATAACTGTGCCGGAAGCTCTTCATGCGCAAATGCCAATATCGGTGTGATTGAGGGTGCTGCTTCGGTTGCTGCTTCTGCCGCGGCTGGATCTAGTGCTACTGCCATTGCCACTGCCACTGCTGCTGCTTCAGCTGTATCCTCAGGTACTTCGACAGGAACCACAGCTACTGCCGTTGCTACAACTGTGGCAGCTACGTCGGCGACCGCGACTGCAGTCGCTAATGTAGTGTCGTCAAAGACTACCTCTGTCGGCGCCACTTCCGTGCCCGCTGCTACTGCTACCGCTGTGGTTACCGGTGGCGAGGAGGTCGTTCAGGTTACTTCCACCATTACAAAGGGTATCACTCACTGGAAGACCGTCACGGTGACAGTGCCTGGTCCTACGGTTACCGTTACCGTCACAGTTACCGTTTAATCTCGAGATCCGTCTTGAGTTGTATGAAGGGGTTTGTCTATCATATTCCGTTCTTCCTCAGCCTCAGACAACTGCCTATGGTATATTGATCTCGTTGGTAGATGCCTAGTTTACATTCTTGAAGATATTAATATCACCTCTTTTACTATTACATTCTGCCAGTATTTTCAAGTAGATCGAGTATTGACTTATTATTACATGGAAGCATGTAAACGTCAGTTTCTATGACTCTTATATACACATTTATATCAACTAGTCCTGGATCAATGCTCGGAAACAAAAACAGCCGCCATAGCCATGCCCTAAATGAACGTCAGATTACAAACTTGTGTTGCCGATATGCTTGAAAAGGGATGCTTACCGTGCCTACACACATTGATGTGACTGCAACTCGCTTATTAGACCTCCGCAATTCAGCCAGTGCTGTGACAACTTGTCGTGCTCCTGTGGCGCCGAGGGGGTGACCAAAGGCACTTTTCATTATTAGTACGGGTTTATTGTGATAACTGAAGGAAGGATTCGGCTTACATTGCTCCACCACGGGGATTGACTTTGCTCGGTGGTAGATTTAATTTCTGCACACAATATACTCCCTGCCGGTCATGTCAGTATGTACACTTCCAGGAGAAAAAATGAGCGAGGCAATCATACCATAGAAGCGAACGCTTCATTAATCTCAAAAACATCGACATCCTCCTGGTTCAACCCCGTCTTTGAAAGAATCTTCGGAATAGCCACACTTGGCCCAATACCCATAATCCGAGGTTCGAGACCAGACACCGTAGCCGCCACGAATTTCCCAATAATTGGTTGACCGAGCTGCTCAGCGCGAGAACGCTTCATCATTATCAAGGCAGCAGCGCCATCTGTGATTTGCGACGCGTTTCCACCAGTGGTATGGCTGGGKTCCCMTTGAGGGAACGCCGCGCGGATCTTACCGAGACTTTCGGCTGTTGTACCGTAGCGAATACCATCGTCGCTGTCAACGATGACTTCTTTGGATTCTCCGGTCTTGGGATCCTTGATTGTCGTCTTGATAGGGATAATCTCGTCCTTGAACCAGCCTGCTTTCTGCGCCTTTTCGGCCTTTTGAAAACTCGATGCTGCGAATGCGTCCATTTGTGCGCGAGTCAATCCAAATTGTCCAGCTACATTTTCCGATGTCTGGCCCATTGGTTGCTGGTTCTGGGATGCGAGTGGATGGTTCAGAATCTTATCGGAGAATGTGGGTGCGCCTCCATCGGGGTTTGTGCTCATGGACTCTGCGCCAATAGCGATACCAACTTCGATGGAGCCGGCGATGATCTGGTTTGCGATTTGTTGGACAGCTAGCAATCCTGAAGAGCAGAAGCGGCTGGCGATTGATGCGGCGGTTGTTGCGGGGAAGCCGGCCGCGAGGACGGCGGAGCGAGCTAGGTATGCTGCGCTGGGGTTAAGGACGTTGCCGACGCAGACATCTTCAACGAGGTTGGGGTCGAGGTTGGATTTTTCGCGGACGGTCTGTTGGTAAGCATGCGGAGTTGAGCTATGGAGGGGTTTGGCTTACAGTCAATAGAGAGATTAAGAGATCGTCTAATGGGGTATCTTTTAAGCCACCTTTTCTGGCTTTGGTGAGTGGTGTCCGGACGGCGAGTGTAATGACCTGTATGCGTTAGTTGTAGGGCATCGCGTAGTGCAATTCTATTGACTTACAATATCATCGGCGCTCTTTGCGAGTACTCGTTTTCTGGCAAGGGACTCGCCCCCGCCGCTAATTTGGCTGGCAATAGCTGAAAGACGTTGTGAAGCCGACGACATTTTGATGTATGTGTATATCACTAGCAGTAGGAGAAAATTACTTCTCAGTCGGGTTCGGGTTCTTTGTATAAGCAGCTCCGGGTATTGCTCGACTCAAGATGAGTAAACAGTATTGATAAGACCAGCTTATCCGACTAGCGCAGTAGACAGCTCCAATCAATCACCTTGGTCCTCGGCTCAATCAAAGGAATTCMCCTGCCAGTCTGCTTGAACAGCAATAGTCGCGTAGTGCGGTAGTTGTATGTGCTGAGAAGATGAAGAGAGAAGATGAATTGCCGTTGGAGAAGCCGGGACGCAATCTTACGCTTGTGTTTGATACAGGTATTGACTTACTCCTCGGCTAGAATATGCGCCGGATAGGATGTAATTTTGGTATTGTCTGGTAATATGCTATTGATCTCCACATGGAACATCTCTCCACATTCAGAATTGGAGAAGACGGGGAAATCTTTATTCATCGATTAGAAATTGATTGACGGTACAACTGAATACTTAGAATAAGATGAGAACACAGGTAGAATCATTAAACAATATGCTATAATCAGTATTGTATCTACACTCATGTCAACGTCTTCATCGAGTCTCTGTCGGGGTAAGTGGGGCGACATCAAGCAGTCGGTAAATCCGATTCTTCGAGGACAATGAAAGTAGCAAAGAACAGGTCAAATCTTAGAAAGAATTAAATATACTAGACCAATAAGGAAAAATGCTCTAGGGCCAAGTGGAGGACAAAGTCAAGATCCGATGCAGCTGCCGATATTCGAGGCACTTAGAGTTGGTCCTTAGAGCTGGCTCTAGGCTAATGCAAGCTACACACTACGTACTTCGGAGATAAGTCCTTGCATTTATCCCCCCTCTTAAACACAACATTGCTCAGCATATAATTGATCTTTTTTTATTTCCTTTCCTCGCTTTATATTATGTACACACACTAATTGATCCCATACACATCAAAATGGATATCCTCGCCCAAGCAGCAGGCAGCATCGGTGCACCCGCAGCCATCGGCGGCGCAGCCCTTGCGCTCGCAACAGCCGCCTACGCCAATGCGAAATTCGGCATCAAGGCCGACATAGACAGCCTCAGAGATGAAGCTGCATTTGGTAAACGCCTTGGGCAACGGATTGGCCAGCTGGGCGATACCTGCACGTTGTACGCCATGCTCAAAAGGGTTATTGAGGTGAATAAGCAGGGTTCGGCGGAGGCGTTGTGGTTTGAGAATAAGACTTGGACGTATGATCAATTAAAAGATTGTAAGTTCTGGTCAGCTCACAATATGGTGTACATGTTACTGACTATAACAGACTCCGATCGCCTGGCTGCTTATATCTATGCCCAAGGCATCCGGACTGGCGACTTTGTCGCAGTCTACACAACCAATTCCCCAGAAATGGTCTTCACAGTCTACGCTCTCTCAAAACTAGGTGTCGTCGCAGCACTGATAAACACAAACTTGCGAGACGAGACATTCAAACACTGTCTCAAAATTTCCACATCCAAACTCATCATTTCAACGCCCGATCTGGCCGCATTCGTTAAATCGGACGACATCCCGAGATTTACATTCAATATATCTTCCTTTAACTCTGTTTCGGATATMCCAGCCGATATCGCACAAATTACCGCAGAAACCCTCTTCCAAATTTCAGCCTCAGACATTGCAGCAATCGCACCGGCGAAAAGATCGCCCCCAGACCTGGCAGTGCTCATCTACACATCCGGCACAACAGGAAACCCCAAAGCATGCGCAATCCGCAATTCCATGACCCTCGTAGTATCCACACCATTACCAAAGGATACTCGAAATCCATCCAAATACTTCCCGATGCGCATATACTCGTCGTTGCCTTTATTTCATGGCACCGCGTTTTTCGGTGGGCTATGCTATTCCGTGGGTAACGGGGGTACATTATGTCTCCGCCGGAAATTCTCTGCATCCCAATTCTGGAAGGATGTGCATGACTCGCGTGCTACGCGAGTGCTGTACATTGGCGAATTATGTCGGTATCTACTCGCATCTCCGCCCTCGCCGTTCGACAAGAACCACAATTGCGTTGTGGCGTACGGTAATGGATTGAGAGCCGAAATATGGGATAAATTCAGTGAGCGGTTCAATGTTGCTGAGATTCGCGAGATTTATCGATCTACAGAGGGTGTGGCGCGGTTCGATAATTTCTATGGAGGATCGTGGGGTGCGGGTGCGGTTGGGTTCCATGGCCCGATTAGGCGGATGTTTGAGCAGGATACGTACCTCATAAAGTTTGATCTAGAGACTGAGCAGCCGTACAGAGACCCTCAGACAGGATTTTGTGTGAGGGTTGGTCCGGGGGAGGAAGGGGAGGCGATTGGTAGAGTGCGAACGCGGCTGTCGTTGACGGAGTATTTGCATAACAATGAAGCGACGGAGAAGAAATTGTTGACAGATGTGTTTGAGAAAGGGGATCTATTTCAGCGTATGGGTGATTTGTTGATTCGTGATCACGACGGTTGGATCAGATTCGGAGATCGCGTTGGTGATACTTTCCGTTGGAAAGGGGAGAATGTCTCTGCGGGAGAAGTGCGAGATCATATCTGTCGGATGGAGAATGTGCAGGATGCCGTTGTTTATGGAGTGAAGCTGAAAAAGTACGTCCTCTTTTGATCCTCTTGTTTGATAACCTGGCTTACGAGAATAGTTACGACGGCCAAGCAGGCGCAGCAGGCATAACTCTCGAACGACGCACCCCTGAGACAGAGGCAGCCGCCATAAAAAGCCTATGGACCTTTCTCCGCTCACAAGGCGTACCGACATACGCCATTCCGCGACTCGTTCGCGTCACAAAAGAGTACGTCCACCCTTTACCTCCCTCAGACATCAGTCTATACTAACGGCCTGCACAGAGTTGCAACAGGAGTAACATTCAAACAAGCCAAAGGCGACTTATCAAAACGCAGCTGGGATCCTGTCGCCGATGGCAGCGGCGATTCCTTGTATTGGCTTAATTCGGGCAAGGACGGCAAGTCCAAACAGCCGGTTTATGAGAGATTGGAGAGGAGTAGTTGGGATGAGATTGAGAGCGGGAGGGCAAAGCTATAGATATTTCCTTGTATACCACCTGCTTACTTCGGTAGCTAGGTAGCTGCCTGTACAAACCATATTTACTCTACTACGTAGAGTTTTTCTTTTTCAGCTAATACTGCTTTTGTAAGAGATTTTATAGTCTAGCTTACTGAGTAGATTCTAGTCTAAAAGTATATGTATTATGCAGCTTAAAGGAGGTTGTTGAAGGAAACACAGTGAAAGCCTAATGTTTGAATGAAAATTATAGGTAATAAATGATATTAAAATGAGCTACACTGATCTAGTACAAATGTGAATTTCAGTATCCTGTAATAACTATGCTTTTCATGCAACCACCTTGCAGCTTCCATGGTATTCAAGTTCTAAATTTCCCTCGGGTATATGCTATCCAATTCTGGTCCCGACTGTGATGATATTTTAGCCAGCAGCAGGCTTTTCCATGAACAACTTCTCACGTCGCATCAAGACACCACAGATGAAACATACGGCACCTGCTACCAGAATCAAGATATATACTTTCTGCATGGCGTGAACAATGGCCTGAGTTGCTAGAGCCTGGTCTTCCGGAGAAAGGTTCTTCAATACGGTACTCGTCGTTCCCGCGATAGCAGACTGAATTTCCCCAGCCGTGAGGTGTAAATCTGCAAGTGCTTCACTCACATATCTGAAAGCATAGTTCTGGAAGATAGCACCGGAGATAGCAAGCGAATGCATGATACCACCGATTTGCGCAACGTTAATAAATCCAATAGCCGCAGGAATGTCTTCCCATACCGGAATAATTTTTGCAGGGCCGATCGAATAGGCAGCTTGCATGATAGCACCACCTCCACAACCGATAAGAACTGAATATCCATAGATCGCAGAGGTAGATGTGTTGATATCCACGGAATACATCAAACCTCCACCAACTGCGATCAAGATACCAGAGACTACATACCAGGGGAAATAATATCCCACATATGGCATTGCTGTCCCAGAGGCAATGCACCAAAAGACGAAAGTGCAAACAACAGGGAGGAGGCGAACTGCAGACTTTAAGCCACCATCGCCATTCACAAATTCAAAATAGATCGGCAGATAGTATACGATCACGAAGAATGAAGTTGCGGCGCAGTTGGTGGCGATAAAGCATAGAACCAATGTCCGGCGCTTAAGAAAATGTCCGGGGAATATTCGTTGTTTGACGCTCGTGAAAACCAAGAAATACTGCTGAAGAACGAATCCTAGTAGCAAAACAGCAAACACAACCCAGAGGGCGATTTCTTGTCCGGAGTTCCAGGCGTACGTGGCGCCACCAAAAGTCAGGGCCATTACCCACTACATACTGAAGTTAGAACTGGCTTCTTTGGTCTTTTCAGGAGGTAAAGCTTACCGTGAGATAGATACCAGCGTTTAAGGTAATACCAACCCAGTCCATCGCCAAGAACTTGCTCAAAAAGGACTTCTCAGCATTAACGGGAATAGACGGCAGCCAGAGGAAATAAATAGGCGAGAAAACACCATAGATAACCAGATTGAGGTAGAAAGCCCAGCGCCAGGTCGCCGAGGAGTCGGCAAAGGCACCGCCGATGACAGGACCCAGAATTGTGCCAGCACCCCAAGTCAAGCCTGTCATACCCATGTAGTGAGATCGTTCCTGCATCGTGGTAAATCGGGTGATGAGATTGAGAACTCTGCGCCATACATTAGTCCTCAAACGGAGCTAAAAGTGATGTATATAACTAACCCTAAGTACTGTCCAGCGCCGCCAGCACCTGCGATGACACGCCCAACAATCAAAGCATCCATCGACGGAGCACCGCCGCAAATTGCGCTTCCAGTTGAGAAGATTACCAGGCTCATGATATATACCCACTTATTGTTGAATGTTCCATAAGCGAACCCACTGTAAAAACGTTAGTCAGACAAACCAGTCTCATCGCGAGTGCCCACGTACAATGGCATAATAACCGCCACAGATCCAAGAGGGAAACCGGTTCCAATCCAGCTCAGCTTCTCAACTTGGCCAAATCTCTCGACAACGGAACCCTGCACATCGGCAACGATTGTATTGTCCAATCCATAGAGGAAAGTGGTACTGTAAATGGCAATAAGAAGCAGCCACCACTTGAAACCTGTGGCTGGATGGGGATCTTCTTCTGGCTCGGGGGTGACTGCTTCAATATCATCACCGGCTTTCTCGATATCGGTGTTGTTGCCCGAGGAGTGTGCTGGGGAAGTCGACGTTGTGTCGCCCAAGTCGGTCGAATCGACCGGTACTGCGTCCGTTACTGCCATTGTTGCTGTTTGGCAAACCGAGACAGAAAAGCAATAGAAGAGACGAGGTTGAATAGCAACATAGAACAGATTGAAGACAACGAAGAACAAAACAATTAATATAAATCAGCCAGGGTCAATGTTATCTCAAGCCTGCACCGATTTCTAAGCATTTTGAGCCCCTGTCTCAAGAAGTTACTAGATCCAGGAACTGAACTATGAAATAAGCAACGCCGAGGGATCTACGCGAGTACCCATTGATTTCAAAGCAAGCCAACCGGTGATATTTTTTTCGGTCGGGTTGGAAATTGCGAAGCAATTGTTTGGACCAGATAAAGAGAGGCATGTAGGATTAGGGCTTCGGCGTACTAATACGAATAATACACAAGGCTAGCAAATGAAAATGCCCCATCCGGCGACTTACCGTCACGCTCGGGGGATTATCTGGTAATTTACTTTTCGGGGCGACTTTCTTATTGGACGGACTCCTTTTCTGATAAAAAAAGATATGCTGAGCTGATTAATCGATTTCAGACACATAGGAAAACAACTGAGGTATGTGATATCTAATATTATGAACCAACAGACACTGCATGGTTTCGTACAAGCATTTTCTGAGTCGGATGGTGGCGCACGAGTGATCAACATGGGAATATTTCAAGTGATGGTAATAGTTGGCATAGCCTTTGAAAGTACTTGTGAATGGCTCTTTGTCTAGCCTCTCTGCGCATACTTGGAGTTCTGCAAAAAATATTCATCGTTGAAGTATGCCGCCTGTTGAGTAAAAATCACTGAAGACAACAGAGTATGATATGCTCACTCTTTGTATCAAGCTCAGCCATGACACCTTGTCATTGAGCAGAAATAATTTACTATACCGGGTTTAAAAAATACACGAAGTATTATAGAAGTTACTACTAGACGAATTTTGAAAGGAACACTCTATCGCGTCTATCTAGGTATAGATGGATCATATTTATGCACTTATTATTATCATCTAGAGCTGGCTTCAAAGACAAAAAATGTTTATCTATGGGTATTATCCATGTGAATTCTTTCCTACAAACTAGAATATCCTCCAATGATGCTGCTTCCTGTCCCTCGAGTCGCCTTGCATTGCGTCTGCAATTGCTCGGCTTAAGGATTGGCCCTGCAAAAAATGGTGTTAGCGATAAATCTATGTTCCAAAGGCTGTAATATGATATACTTACATTCGATGGGTTGACCATAGAGAAATGGTTGCCCGCCACATTAGTCACTGAAATGGGACCTCCAGGAAGCAACTGTTCCCATCCCAGAGGCCCGGAGTTTGCCTCGCGTTGAAACAACCAGTTCGCTACTCCACGACTCCAGTCCACATTCCCTCTTTCACCAACATCCAAGTCTTCACTCAATCCCCTTTCGGCCCATATGACGAACACTTCAGGCGTGCGAGAAGCGTCTATTGCCTTCGGTGAGTAACTTTGGAGCGCACGAATGGTTGATTTGAAATGGTCAACGATTCTCTTCGGCGGTGACTTATCAATTATACCTTTTAGTATAGTACTAGACATGATAAAGTCCAGCAGGTCGACTGGCATGGGCTCATATTTAGATCGACAGGGACTATCAATGAGGATAAGCTTCGACACTATCTCACCAGCCTGAATGAGTTGTCGCGCTGCTTCAAAAGCGTACATCCCCCCTGCTGACCAGCCCGCGAGAGAGTATGGACCATCTGGTTGAATTGATCGAACTGCTTGTAGCATGATTGTAGCTAAATCTTCGACACTACAAGTGTAATTGTCGGCAGACTTCAGATATGGGCTGTTCAAGCCGTACACCACGAGATCAGGAGCTATTTCTGGCAGTCTAGCGTATACGGCTGCCGATCCACTACCATCTGGAAATATAAATAGATATTTAGAACTCGAGCTGGGCTTCCCTTGTAATAATAATGTCGAAGCAGACGGGCCAATAGAAGCCTTGTGTGAATTTGGTGGTGTTTGTGGTTGTGGCACTGTTTCTAGCACTGCAGGCGAAAGGCCGAGAGCCTCTTGGATAATTTCCAACGTGGGCAATTTTGCAGCTCCATCTAGTTGCAAGTCTAACTTGAGACTGAGTTCTTCCTGGATGCTTCCTTGAATGCTGAGACTCATCAGTGAGTCCAGTCCGAGAGAAGAGAGATCGTCAACAGCCAAGAGCTCTTCTACTTCAATTCCGATCTGATCTGCCATAATTGAGTAGACAGAGTTTAGTATGTCACCTGCGATGGTGGTCTCATCCTCAAATGAGGGCTCCGGAGTGGCCAAAATCGGCGACATGGAATCGCTGCTCGGAGTGTTTACATCATCTTCAGTCGCGTTTTCGAATTTTTCCAAGTAATCCCTCAACTCCGCGATAGTTGTTAGCTCCTGAAAGATGTCAGATGGTAGATCTAATTGTAGCGACTCCCGAAGTTTAGACAGTATAGTCAATGCCATTAGTGAATCCAGGCCCAATTCGACGAACGTCGCATTATCAACCAATTCGACTGCCGAGACTCCTATTTCTTGAGCGATCATCTCCAAAGCCACTGATTTGACTCCTGCTGTAGATTTCGCAGAGGGATAATTCGTTATGACTGTCTTCCTTTCCGGGGCCAATCGTACTTGTTTAGCACTTGAGGCTGGTATGCGGTGACTTGGGACTTGTGCGTTTGATTGTTGTTGATGATGGGACGGCGGCGCTAGCAGCATCTCCATCAACGATCGAGGGACCTTCTGAAACTTGATACTGCTGCAAAGCCCAATCATGGTATTTCCCTGGAATATGGAGACTTCGCCGGCCACAACGTTTTTCTCAGCTGGATGCATCTTCACATGAACGTGGTATGGCTTCGCTGGGTCTATGACATCGGCGAGCTGATAAGTTCCCCAACCATGAGAGATATAAACAAACTTTCGCGGATCGACCACGTTGACTCCATTCATTATGAAGCCGGCCAGTTGAGCGAGATTATCGAGCCACAGAGGAGAACAGAAAAAATTGCCTGCATCAGCGCCCTCATAAAGCCTTACCAGTGCGACCGCTTCTAACTCATTGCTGTTAATCATGACCTCTTTCATTCCATGGTATCTGGGATCGTAATCAACAACGGCGGAAAACAGTCTGTAGATAGTTTTCTCAAAGAGCTTATCCACGTCGCCGATTTTGACCCCTCTCTCGAGATCTTCTATCCTTTTCTGTATCAAATACGCGCTTCTTGACCACTGATTCAGCCATGATTTAGCGTCGCCAAACTCCACTATACATTTTGCATTTTGGTCTGTTTTTCCAGTTTGGGAAGAATATGAGCCAAATGCAACTTCGACAATGCCTTTTTGAAAATCTGCCGTGCCGCTTATCCTAAGAAGCTCGGGGGTTTCAACTCGTGGAACTGTAATAGTCACAGGTTTCACGATCTGCATATCCACAATGTTGTATCCTGAGGATACAGGTAGCTTGTCCTGGTGCTTTTGTCGAATATAGTCTCCCACGGTTAAAGCCATGTCTGCAAACACACCCTGATAGAATTTTCAGCACGTCAGACTCTTCATGGAGAAAGAAAGGTAAACTCACCGAAGGGCAAAGAGCGAGTCCGTTCAAACTGTGCCCTGCAATCAAGGCATTTAACTTGGGTTCGGACATGTCAGACTCAAAGACAATAAAAGCTTTCCCATCCTTGACCTCTTCTGTAATCAAATTTTGGATAGTTGTCGTAGCCGGGCCGGATCGAATTCTCGGAGCTTCCTTGTTCTCGACAACGTCCTTGCCCTTATGTAACAGCCAGTCATTCTTATAGTCAATCCAGTAGTTTTTTTCATCAAATGCATAGGAAGGAAGATGTAAGAGACGTTGTCCGCTTTCGAAGTCACGATGATATTCTTTCCAAGTAATATCAAATCCAAGAGAATGAAGTGCAGATACTGTCTTTGCAGACGTCTTCCAAGGGTTCTCGCTTTTGCGAAGTGTTGGGAAGGCTTTTACTTCACCACCTAGTATGCTTTTAACCATCGCGAGACAAACAGGCTCTGGTCCAATCTCTAACCACAGAGTTTGGGTGTCTACCAAACCATCCAGGCAAGATTGTCGAATTGCTCCGTCAAAGTTGACAGGCTCCCGTGCATGTCGTCGTAGATACGATGGACCGAAAACATCTGTTTCATCAACAACTTGACCAAGCAATGTTGAAACAACCGGAATTTCTGGTCTTAGGAATCTGACAGACTGTGCAGCTTTCTCAAACGAATCGAGTATGGGGTCTGTTTGCGATGAATGAAACGCGAATGGTACCTTCAGAACTGTACACTTAAATCCGTGCATTTTGAGATGCTGACTCAATTCTTGGATATCTTCGATTAGCCCACTTAGCACAATATCTTCGGGTCCATTCACGCAAGCCAATTCGAGTCGACCTAGTTTATCACCAGCTGCTGACTTGACATTATCAAGGGTGGAATGAATGGCGAGCATCGAATGGGTATTTTTCGTGCAGAGGGTCTCCAGAAAAGAAGCTCGAGTACCAACAAGGTATAAAGTGTCAGAAATAGATAGGACTCCGCTCACGCAAAGAGCAGCGTACTCTCCAAGACTGTGTCCAAGGACGAGATTTGGCGTGATACCCCATGATGCCCATAAACGGGTCAGAGCAATCTGAATAGAGACCAGTGCCAGCTGCGTTTGAGCAGGCGAAAGATTTTCTAGATCAAGAGCGCTCCCATCGATTACAGGTAGGAAAGTTCTAAAATCATATCCCTGGCTAATCTGATCGAAACGTATCAGATCAGCTCGAAACTGACTGCTAGTCTCAAACAACTGCTGTCCCAGTGACAGGTATACTGATCCCTGGCCGGTAAATGTAAAGGCAACACCAGGCAATTTAGCGCCAGCTGGTTTGGAGACCCCAGTTTCCGAAAGTTGAACCAAGCGTGCCCTGAGCTCAGTAACGTTAGAGGCAATTGCCGACACTCGAAGAGGATGTTGCACGCGACGGGCTGTTGTGGTATAAGAGAGATCCGACAATGACACTTCAGGATATTGTTCTAGATACGAAATGAGATTATCGATGTTTCGTTGAAGTGATGAGGCTGTTTTAGCCGTAATGCTGATAACATGATCCAGTCTTGAATCAACAATACGGCGACTCTCATATGTTGGACCTTCCTCCAAGATAAAGGCAGAGTTCCCTCCTGCGGCACCAAAATTATTGATCATGAGTCGACGCTTTCGAGAGCTGTTCTTGGGGAACGCTGTAGTCTTTTGGGGAATGTGAACGTTGCGTCTCTGTAAATCCGTGAACGTGTGGTTGAGAACTCCGCTTTTGATACCAATGTGAGGAGGAACTTGTTGTTCTCGAAGAATGAGTAGCGCCTTAATTAGTGAAGTTATTCCTGAGGCGGATTCTCCATGACCAATATTGGGCTTTACAGTGCCAACAAGGAGGGGTTTATCTGCAGGGCGTCTTGGTGAAACTGGAGCAAAGACGTTGCTAACGGAGCTCATTTCAACTGCATCACCTAGCTGAGTCCCAGTACCATGCATTTCGACATAGTCAACGTCAAAGGGATGAAGGCCGGCTTGATTGAGCACTTTCCTATATAACATTTCTTGCGTCGGGCCATGTGGCTGGGTTATTGATGCAGCATAAGCTGAGTAATTAGTCCCGGCTCCCAGGATAACAGCGAGTATGTTATCATTGTCAGCTTTGGCAGCGTCTAACCTCTTTATCACAATACTAGCCACAGACTCTCCTCTGCAATAACCATCGGCGGCATCATCAAATGTCTTACAGGGACCTGTTTCCGATATGAAATGGCCCTTACTCAGACCAGCATACATTTCTGGACTGCCCAAAAGCAACATGCCTCCAACTACTGCTGTGTCACATTCTTGGCTCCAGATAGAAGTGCAGGCTATATTCAGGGCCATCGCACTTGATGAAMAAGCCGTATCGACACTGACACTCGGTCCACCTGGAAATAGGTCAATAAATATTTCAAGAGAAAACAAGTAATATTTTATTCTTACCCAATTGGTTACTCCGGGAAACTCGACCCTATGATAAGAAATATTAGTATGTTGAAGATTTGAGCCGTAAAAGATGATAGAGGTCAAATAACGCATGATCATACCGGTCCAAAAGCTCTTATGACGCTGGAAACATAATAGGTATCGATATCTTGAGATGTATTCAAATCTTTATAGTCATCTGTCGTTTGGCCGTAAAACGTGCCAATCCGATCTAATTGTGTAGATGGGGTACTGTTTGGAACGTATCCCGCCATCTCCAAAGCTTCGTATGCAGTCACGAGCGCCAGGCGTTGCTGGGGATCAGTTTGCGCTGCTTCTTTTGGAGACATGTTGAAGAATCGGGGATCAAACATCCCTGGTTTTTCGATGAAGCAGCCGTATGGCGATTTGCTTTTGTTTCGAGAATTTTTATCTTGGGATACATAAAGAGATGCATCAAATCGATCGGCAGGGATCTGAAGCAAGATGTTAGATACTGTCATCTATGATTATTATTTGCACGTAGAAATTCCTTACCACTTTATGACAATCAATTCCCTGCTCAAGAATTTTCCAGAGCTCATCGGGGTTCGTTGAGTTGGGAAACCTGCCGCTCATCCCTATTATAGCAATCGGTTCCTTCGCAGTTGTTGGGGCTTGAGAAATGCTGCTTGAAGCAAAAGTCTCCTCAAGAACAATCTCAGGGTCTACCTCTGAGTTAATCGCAGACAGAAGGCTTTTTGCAGCTTTAGATGGCCCAAAAGTACGAATAGTCCATCTGACTGGTTGTGAAGATTTCACAAACGAGGTGCAACCTTTACATAGCTGCTCCCAATTGATCGGATTTAGTAAGATATCATGAAGCGCCTTTGACATGATATCTAATTTATTCGATGCATCATAGAGTGTACCTGTGGTAGGAGATATCACTTTCACTTGACCCGACGACCAGATGTCGTTTGCCTTTTCGAAAGACTCGATCCCCTTCAAGATTCGAAGTACCGCATCTCGACGATACAAGTGCGGTGCGTGATATGGTGCATATATTGGTATTTCGGATGCAAAATACATGGGCGATGATTCGCGTGCCTTTTGTAAGGAGTCGCTAACGAGTCGTAGTGTAGATGGCGGCCCCTGAACTGTCACTGTTTTAGGGAAATATGCTGTAACATACGGCTTTCTCCGGGCTAAAATTCCCTGGTATTAAATTAGGTCATTTGATACTAATTGCTGTGAATTCAAATTTACTCACCGAATCCCTGATAATACCATCGATAATATCTTCAGTACGTACTATTGTATCTCGTGGTATAACTACTGCCCAAGTCTCATCCGAGCTTGCTTCCAGGTCATTTCTTGCAGCTGCTGTGAGCCTGCCCAAACGAAATGCTATTCTTACTGCATCTACAGCAAGAGGAAGTAGCTCTGTAAGAGACTTTGCAAGCGAAATCGCTGTTGCGGAAATCTGGCCAACGCAAATCCCAGCGAAAAGGGTTGAATCTGACTCCGGGTACCGCTTTTCGGGGTGTGCTTCATGCCATCTTCTCGTTGTCAATCTGTCAGTTCTTTCTTTCTTCGGGCTTATTATAAGCAAAATCTTGGAACCGGAACTCTTACGATATGAACTGGCCAAGCTGTAGGATGACGAGGAGTGCAGGGGCCAAAATTGGATGCTTGAAACCGTTCCCATTCTCTGATTCTGATAGGTTGTATAAGTCTGTGAGGGGCGGTAGACTCTTGCGCTCAATTATAGAAAGGTTCGTGGCTTCAGCCTGCAAAGCAGCCTTTGCTTGGTTCAGGAACCTTGCGAGAAAGGAGTATTCCTTCTGAGATCTAAGGAGTTGAGAGAATTCAAGGTGAATTGGAAGTGATAAATCACCAAAGAAAAGAAGGGATCTCTCGCGAAGCATTTTGCCTTGCAGTAGTCCCTACTATCTTCCCTCGAAAAATGGTAATGAACAATGCTTATGACTAGAATAGACTTCTATTTTTCTGAGATAGGCAATTAAATTTTATTATACTATGTCCTAAGTAACCTATCAATCACGAGCTACATTAGGTATTCGTTCAGTCATCGACGACTGACTAAAACATACTGCGTTTCGCCCAAGGAATTTCATACACCGGCGATTTTCGGATGAAACCTCATATCGCAAGCTCGCAGATCGGAGTATGCTCATACTCAAATTGGAAATTGTGAAGATTGCACACAATCCCGCAATGAATTACCAAAAAAGGAAAATATGAGTTAATCATCTTTACCGGTGCATTTATACGTAGAGCTAGTGAATTCTTGCAGACAGAGGAAGACTATGAGTGGGTACTCGGCCAATTATTACATGGACGTTCTATAAATTCTTTCTGTCAAATCGTATGCAAGACACATGTATATACCACATGGATCTTAGCACGTTTCTTTTAGTCGTGATCAGACAAGGTTGCATATGCAAGGTGCTTTCTGCTTAACCCTAAAATAATAAAGCGCGGCATTAATTATTACACTAGCAACACTTATCGAAAAGGAGGCGATTTTGATGCCGAATCGTTACGAAACTTGAATTCGAATATGATAGAAGTAGTTAAAGCTCCTGTTTTAGCAAGTTACACTTCACACGTATCAATGGGGAAAAAAACAACACTGTAGATATAGCTCGTATTGAGATAGTTTTGGCACATTGTTGGGGTCCGTAACATCAGAATTACGAATATTGGAACATAATCGAACCCAAAAGACCACCTCATGAGTTAAGATACAATCGTATTACCGGGATATTTTGAAGGATGTATTGACAGTAGTTCTCTGTCCAATCCCTCGCGGTACGCACCAAAAGTTTTTCACGCTTCCCAGTATTACTCAGAAATTCGTCAGCCTTGAACATTTTCTCGTAAGATCATTAACGCCATGAAACAGTCAGAAATGGTGGGCAGAAAGATGTTTTCTTTCTAGATTTACCTAGTCCATTAAAACTAGTTGGCCTAGATATTGCCGGAGAGAGGTATATTAACACATATCACCTATCCTAACCAGCAGAGGCACACCTCTGTCTTGAAAAGACTAGAAGTTTCGAAATAGGCTTTAAGTATTGATTAATTACAAGTATCATCATGGCTACGACAAAGAGCTTCAAATTCGGTCCGACAGAGACCCCGGGTCTCATACATGCAGACACCGTCACCGAAGAGAGCTCTCGCACATTGGAGGAACTCCTGGAACAGAATCATTCATTTCATCATATCTTCACGACCACAGAAGACCACAAAGGGGTAATATCTCATTGTTTCTAATTTCTTGCACTCCAGTAGTTGCTGACTTGGATCAGGTCTATTTTCATAATCATATAGCTCATCACGATATCACAATCTGGGCTCTTGGTGCAACACCTTCCGTTCTACGTTCTCAACATGAACGAAATGGGCTTTACCAACGTGGGCCGATGGCAATACAACAACCTTTAGTCAAAGATTTAGCAGATGACAGAGTCTTCAAGAGGTGCTTGGGTCGCGAGGAGAACTTCTTGAACTTCTGCGAGTTTTTTGAAGACTATATCGATACGCACGGTTACCAAGCATTATTACAAAAGTATCTGGTGGATGGTAGCGAGATTGCGAATGACATGCTTTGTCGTATCTACATGGGTATGTACCACTTCATATTAAATGTGGACTCCTCCAAATGATTTTTTAACATCTGTTTGTTACCTTGTCAAAATTTAGGTTACGTTCATGGGATCATTCACATCGGCATGGCTCTCGAATTTGATCAGCCAAGATTACTCGCAGAAGGCTTCGCTCAGGCAGCTGTTCACCACGACTGGTGGTACACACTATATTTACAATCAGCTGAGGCTCTAGCTGCAAAAGCAGAGGAGCCCGCTATTCCACTGAGTGACTGTGTTGACCTCTGTCGAGCTGATGAGAAGATCCGCAATTGTTCCAGTGCGGATTATCATACTCAAACGCGCCCTATAACTGGGGAAATGTGTCTTGATCGTGAGCCCGCTAGAGATGGCGTATTGGTCAATGCTAAAGATGAGCTCATTCGAATTGCTGCTCGTTATCGCGTCAACCCTAATGATCTTGAGCGTGCAACAGCTGAGCTGCAAAATACTGCCGGTGAGGATTCCTTTTTTTGTTCTATCTGACTTGAATTATCATCATTGACGGTTAGGATATAGTTTACCTCACTGCCGGTGCCCAACGCCCTCCGTATGTTTGTGCCTTCGACTTTTTTCTCTTGCACAGTGTAACGTCGAGCATTGGTCATACCTTGTTTTTGAATGAGCCATCTCTCACTCGGGCCCAAAAGGCCCGTTTGCTTGAACATACCGGCCGCGTTTTCTTGTTGTCATATGCTGGTCAGGGAACTCCTGAGCTCAGATTGGATTGGCTGAAATCTCATCCCTCAAGATATCCCAATCAGGGCTGGGCGGAAGTTTTTGATCGGGCAACTCGTCATGAAGATGATGGCCACATGTCCAAGCTTATCCGATGCATGGCTCATACTCAGCAAACATCCAAGCCGTACGATCATCTTCCCGAGTTTCGATTCAAGCAAGACTTGTTCCTGATTGCAGGAATCGCGGCTATCGACTCGGGATCATCCAAGCCAATGGATGGCACAAAGCACTTTGACTTCATCCGTGGAGCAGGGTTTGAAGCAGCGTGGAAAAGATTCCCTCTTCGATCTGCTGTTAGTTCTGCAGCATGATCAATGTATATTTGCAAATTTATGTGGGACAAGTGATAATTTTTGTAACTCCATCGCCGCAGGTCGCTTTCAACAATCGGCCTGAGGAGCAGGTGTCTCTCCTGCACTGGTTTTGCTAGAAGTCGGATCAATGCAAATATGAGGCGATTACTATTACTTTTCGATGAACTTATTTTAATATGAAATCTTGAATATCCAATCGGTGAATTAAAAAGTAGAAGTTTTGTCGCACCCTAACCATGGAATATTATTACTTTGATCACCAAGGATTTCCCAATGCTTTTTTCAGTAGTTCTACAGCAACTTCGACATTTAAAACCAAAAATCTCAGTATTCATGAAAACAATTATCTGCTTATCGAACTTTCCCATGGTTTCATAAGGCTATAAGAACGGCGGTTTATTTGAGACAAGATTTGTAATTATGGACTTAAAGTGGGAAGTGACTCAGGGGCAGCTATATGTATAACATTAACGCTTACAACTTCGTACACATAGCCATGATTAATAAAGCACCGAATATTGTACCTAGGAGTAAGGGCCTGATATGTTCCAGAGCCACGAGAGAAAACAAAAGCGCTAATAACCACCGCAGCTCGGTTTCATTGTACCACGAGATTCAGGGCTCATCTAACTCTCTTTAGGCTAGGCACTGGCAACTGGCTGCGTGAGAGCTTCGTTACATTTTCCAATCAGGTCAAACCTAGTAAAATATTAAGTTCTCTTTTCTTCAGTATGATTGTAATATCTCAGAAGGAAACATACCCAAAATCATGCATTGTGCGCTCAGCATGGGTTGTAGGAACCACTCCATCATACGTTAACTTTGATTCATTGCTATTCCAATACAAGTAGACGTACCTGAGCCTGGTGGATCGGCGTATTCTTGGAGTTCCTCTTGAACAGATTTTTCCAGTCCAACTCTGGCCTTTGAAAGTATCTGTACCCTTGAAGCCCTATTGCGGCGGACTTGCTCAAATAAAGCAAGTCTGTCCGAAATGTCTGTATGGTTGTCCACGCCCCGCAATAAATATCCTAGCGCACCGCCATCTTCTATTGCTTGGTTTGATCCTTGACCACCGAATGGTAGCATCTAGGCATATAGCCATCAGTAACAGGACAAAGCCCGAGTCGAATACAATGTGTTGATACGGAATGTAATCGTCAACTTACTGGATGAGCGGCGTCACCAATAAGCACAACTTTACCATAGGACCACCGAGGAAGAGGATCGTGAATTGACAGTGGCCAATACGTAATGTCTGGAGCAATTCTAGATTCAATGTTAGCAGTTTGGACGTGATTGAGTATGAAGCAACGTAGCCTAACTTGATCAATTCAAGAAGATCGGGGTGAAAATGAGCAAACTCCTCAAGCATGGATGCTTTGACATCTTTTCCTCAAGTTGCTGATTAGTACGCCTTTTATCAATCGAAAATGTGTGGAACACGCGGAGCAAACCCTGTAAATTATCACCATTTCCAGGAATGGTTCTCGTTGGGTGAATTCCCACCAAGTTTTGTACTTCTCCACTGGAAAGTATCAATAATATAAAGTAACTTCAAGAAAGGGTCTATTTCATAAGAGAAAAGTACACACCTGCGGCAGTCGTACCACACCATATGTCTTTCGTTTACAGTGTCCGTTGTATCAGCTATGATTGTGACTCCAGGCTGTTTCCATTGCCACAACTTAGCCAGGCTAGGACAGCTTTCTATTTCCGGCGTCGGAATCAGAAATCTGAAAGCGCTAAGACCTGTTGGTTTCGCGTCTACGTCTTTTCCTTTGAAAACGGCCTTCCTGAGAACTGAACGTAAGCCATCCCCAGCCACGATCAAATCTGCGTAATGCTTAGTTCCGTCCTCAAGTTCGATGAAACCTTTTTCGGGGTCGGCATCCACTACTTTCGAGCGGAGATGGATAGTAGCTGGCTTCTTTGATTCTTCGCCTATCAACCGCAAGAGCTCATTGTGCAGGTCAACTCTATGTATAGCGTAAAGCGGCGCGCCATATTTTTGTTCTGCCTCTCTGTGATCGACTACACCAAGAAGCTTCAATGTTGTTCCATCAACTGTTTCCCACAACTGCAATTGTCGAGCTTGAGCTCTGTCGCACGAGAATCCGAATTTGGAGAGTACCCTTACGGCATTAGGGCTTAAAACTACCGCGGCTCCGATTTCCGTTGCAAATTTGGACTTTTCAAAGATCTGATACAGATTTAGTGGGTTATTTCGTTCGAAAAGACTGAAACAAAACTTCAAGTTTTAAGGTTCTGTGCCACTTAAGAGGCATTACTCACTGTGACTGTATGCCCTGCTTCACATAGAGATACTGCTGCGCTAAGGCCGGCAATACCAGCCCCGACTATGATGACTTTCAAAGGCATGACCAATATCAAAGTTGCTCGGCACTGTTGGAATTGCTCTCTCAACTCTTACAATCAAGCTCCTTTTGTTGCTTGCTTGTCTGACCGTATTTTCAAGCATGCATGGATAGCTGAAAGGTTAATCCCCATGTGTTCGTGACCGTTCAATACAAAAATTACGATGGCGAATTTTCTCGGAGTTCACTCGGATATATTACTTACATGTATAACAATCCATGTAATATAACCTATCTGGCGGGATTATGAAAAAGAAAAAAAAAAGTAGTTACAGGACAAGAAATGTAGCCGTAGGCCCGTTCGAATCCGGGCCTTTAACAACGATATTTACTAGCCCAACGGAGTTTTAATTGACTGGCTCTCCATCAATCCACAACGATGAGGCCTCAACTCCGAAAATAGTGTTAATGCAATGAACTTTAATCTTCGGACAAAGGACCGGACGTTGATTAAATAGTCAAGAGGGGATTGAGGTAAAGTACGCGATCATAAGTACTCTATTTCATTACATACACGTCGACTACATACCGAGCAAAAGGATATAACGAATTGACTCATAACCTTGGAGGAAACATGAATCACCCAACGACTCTCCAGTCTTTGTCTTCTACCGTTGGATCGAAGGTCACAGAACTTTCAAATCTTCTCAAGACGGCTGGTCTCCCGGAGCCCTCATTTGCTGAGAAGAGTTATGCCGATTTCGCACTTGAAACGACAGCCTCGACAGATAAGGCCGTACGCCAGGTTCGAAATGACCTAATTGATGCAGCAAAAGATATAATCCGCCTGGCCATGGGCCCAGTGGATCAAGTATTATCGTTAGCATGGTCGGTACGTGGGCAGAGCATTGATTGAACAGTTGTTTGGATAGATGGAAGAAAGGGAGGTCTAAAAGACTAACATCATCCACATTATAGGCCTCCGATACCGCCAACATTAACATTATCAATACCTTTTCCATTGCCCAAAATGTACCTTTTGGCTCATCTATCTCGGCCAAAGACCTGTCTGCTGCTACTGGCCTGCCCCTGGACGAGCTCACACGTACTGTCCGTTACGCAATCACAAATGGCATCTTTACCGAGTATACACCAGGACTTTTTGCACATAGCGCTGCGTCAGCCGCCCTCGCACGCAACAAGCATCTGAGGGATATCTGTGACTTCAATACCGATTTTTTAGCCGCGATACAGATCAAGCTTGCTGAGGCTTTGAAAGCGAGAGCACTGGGAGCAAGCGATGCCCCCCATGCTGCATTCAATGTAGCCTATAGAACTAAAGACGACCTATTCGAATTTTTTCACAAAGAGACCGACTTGAATGCAAAATATCATGGGTATCTAGCCGGACGCGTAAATACACCCCTTTGGTCCGTTGATCGTCTTCTGACGGCGTGGGATTGGGGTGCTTTGGGAGACGCTACTGTGGTAGATGTATGTATCCTGACGTTCCACTAACCTGTCATTGATCTATTCTCTTATTCTCTCTTTCCCTACTATTTCAACAAGACTAACTCTTTTGAAGTGCGGTGGCTCTTCTGGCCACACTTGCGTCTCACTAGCCCCTATCTGTCCGCAGACAAAGTTCATTGTGCAGGATATGTCCGTTGATGCAATGGACCTTGGGCGTGAGAACGTCACATTCCTCTCGTCATCCGATTCATCAAGCCCATACCACGACCTAAATTCTAGGATCACGTTCGCTACACACAATTTCTTCACGGAACAAAAGACGCTCGCAGATGTTTATATTTTTCGACATATATTGCACGACTGGGATGATGAAAACAGCGTCAAGATCATTAAAGCTCTAGTTCCAGCCCTGGAGAAGAAGTCTGCTGAAAGCAATGGGCGGCGTCCCCGAGTCCTAATAAGCGAGGGTATCGTGCCTCCAGCGCCCGAGAAAAGGAGGGGAACACTAACTGAAAAAATGATCAGGTTAGTAATTTTGTCTATCCCTCTTTTCCATTTTTTATGCTGTTATTCTTTCACCTTCCGAGAATGAGACACGGCCCACTAATAAATATCCGATTATAGAATCGAGGATTCCATCATGCTCGCGGCCCATAACGCTCGTGAACGTAACGTGCAAGACTTCATTGAAATTTTCAAGACCGCTGATCCCCGCTTCACGTTTATTGGGGAAAGCTCTGGGGCCAAAGAAGGAGCTTTCCAATCCCTGCTCGAGTTTGAGTTTGTTTAGAGCAGGGGTTGTTTAAATGCAGGAAGAGACTATAAAGCTGGTTCTCGTAATTCATGCATATATAGGTATAGTTAATTCCTCGACTGTTATGCATATGTATGCATGGTGTTCAAATAAATCACCGAGCAGAAGGTCCATCCTATCAAATGTAGAGAAACTGTCGGTTCCCATGGTCTAAAGTGAGTTCATCTATCTTAATCAAGAAACAAATTTCGCACCGATTACATTGGTTCAAGTCTAAAGAGCTCTGCAATTTATAATACGAGGTACTTATCCTTAGAATGTGCATATGCATATTTTGCAGCCTGTAAAAGTCAACAGGATCATAAACCTAGTAATCAGAAGAATAGTGGAGTGAGAGAGATGTGGTGTCAAGGTAGTCAAAGGCTAAACAACAGTTACCAGATATCGTCAATTCCGTGAAGAAACAAATTATACATACATGCAAGGTTATAGGGGGCCTGGGTAGCGTTGGATATTTGATCGCGCAGGAACCTGGGAGTTTAAAGTTTGCATCTACTAATATATTTATGTTCCTAGCTATACATATCTGCCTGGGTATGCATTTATGGAATTCTCGAGATCATAAAGATAAATGGTCTGCTTTTGTCACAAGAGTATATATACGCACGCTACAGGGGTCTCTAGTTCTAGCCTTATAGTATCCAGGACCCTTATCAGCCCTTTCGCTAATAGCGGTATTAATGAAAAGTGTAAGAAAAAGTACACGTCGACCGAATTGCGTGACAGCACGCAATAACAGACCATTTTACATGGAATCATACGGATTTAAGGATCTGAGGCTCGATATATGCTAGACTGAATGATATAAAAACACATGTCGCATGGCTTCCGCATGCGGACGTTACTCTAACTATAGTGCGCACAGAGCACTCGATACCAACACCTAGACTCATGGCTGTTCCGTATCCCGGAATGGCGCAATGGTGCGACCACGTAGCTAAAACAAGATGATATACAAGGTGTACAAGGCGCAGTAGCCGGTAGCCCTAGCCTAGCTCACTAGACATACCCGAGGTATTAGCACGGATAGTGTACACTTGATCGCTTTTGGGGGCCAGCGGCGACTTATCAGCACCCTAAATGGTAGTAGGCTCCAAATTAAAGCTGATGAAGAATGCGAAACGACGATAACGCTTTCACAGTTTTCGTCACAGTAGTGGCAACCAACATTTAAACATGCAAGACATCCATGCGCTAAGAGGTGACTACAGGTAGTTCCGCCGCCAGCCATGTACTATTTAGGTAGGTAGGTCGTAGAGTCTTTTCTAGCTAGCGAAGGATTGCTGAAACCTAATCTCTGCTGTTCGTATCCAACAGATGCACAATAGACAATTAGGAATGCAAATAAGGCGTGCATGCGGATCCAACCACTTATATAGATATCAGTAGAAGATCCTTGAAACAGAAGAAGGAGAAATGATTTCTACAGCACTAGCTACATACTGTATGTAGAGACGTTCATGGCGGTTGCTCAACCTACCGCCACAGTAATATCACAGGTAGTTGGGTAATTTGGCAGCAGCATAGGTACCTAGTTCCTTGGCAGCGGAAACAATCTTAACCTTGAATTGACCCCGCGGTGCAGGTAGCCAGCCGGCGACTTTGTCACCTTTAGACTGTGAGCCGCGGCTAGACATAGTGAGAGACAGTGACCATGAAATCATCTTTGCAAGCGCGGAAGTTGCGCTTGGCCTGCGACACTTGCCATCAAGCAAAGACTCGTTGTTCCGGTGGTATGCCTTGCACGACTTGTCAGAACTCTCGATACGAATGCGTGTACAGCATCTCCAATCAGCTCGGAAGACCTAAAGGCACTACCAAAAATCGCAGGGAAAATAATGGTAGGGAGGCCTTTACAAATCATAATGCGACTCAACAACAACGAACGCCACCGCATTCGTCCTCTACGACTACGGCAACCACCACTCCTAGCACCGCCAACTTTAACAACGCCAGCATCTTCAAAGATCTCACAGCTTTTGACAATATGCTGCTCGATGCGTCGGTCGAGTCCGTTCCGGGAATGTTTTTCGCCAACGGAAAGGGCTATCCGGACTCCATGGGTCTTGATCTAATCTCTAGTATCGCTCTCAGCCCGGATAGAAATGATCTAAACGCGAAGGTAAATAGTCCTACATGCCTTGTAGACCGCACCGCATCAGAAAGCTAACGATGAGATTTTATTATTATAGGCGACAAATAAAGCTGCATGTCCCACTGGAAAGTCATCGAGCATCTCTTTGACGGACGATGTAATGGATACCGTTACTGAGGACACACAATTTTACTCACCGGACACGTTTGATTTCAGCGCTCATCCTGTGTCCTCTTTTTATCATGCTGGAACTCACAGTGCAAACAATTCTCTTTCCGGGGACAGACCAATGACGACAAGAGAAGATCCCTATCAGAATCAACTACAGACACTAGGCACTTCACTGCCGCAGACGAATGCCTGCAATTGCGTGAAGGACCACGCCGATTTACTATGCCGCCTAGGCGAATTGGAGAATAGCAATGGCTCCTTATCAGTTGACGTGACCCTGATGTGCGTTCAACAGGCCCTCGGCCCCTGGAAGGAGCTGTCACAGTGCAGAATTTGCGAGAATGATGATGACCAAGGTGTACTCATACTTTCTGCTATGACTATCCGCGCGGTGCTTCGCCGTCTCCAGCGCCTCTGTGCTGCAATTGTGCGGTCCGATGAGGAGCCCTCTCACAACGACACTAATGTTTTGCTAGGCCTCTCGGATGGCGGTCGGCTCGTGATGGGAAAATACGAAGTCCCTTTTGGAGAGCAAATTGTAGTGACATACTTGCTCATCTCCTACAGTCTTGCCAAGATTCGATTTGCTATTTTGTCACTGAAATCCAAGCTCGAACACGCCCCGGCTGGCGCGAAGGAAAATTCTGAGAGAAATAATCAGGTCAAGAATACTTACGGTGGTAACAAGGCTGCTGGTAATGCCGGAAGAGTCTCTTCGTCTTCAATTCCAAGCATCGCTCCATCGAGTGAAGACACTGGCTGCATGCATGTAATGATACGAGGCCTGGATGCCACCGTTGAAGCAGTAGGGAAAGCTCTACAAAAAGCAAATATTTCTTTGGTAGAGAATGCCGGGCATATTTCCTGAACTATGAATATTGGAAGTATACCTGGCAGGCAATGTCGCAGAGATTGGGCAGTCTGCACATGTGTAATACAGGTATATATTTTAGATCTATGCCTGGCGCCGGTGGAATAACGTCTTCCATGTAGCTTTTGATATCAACCCTTCTGTGGTTATTCTGTTCGCCTATCTATTCATTACTTCTTTCTTTATGCCCTTTCACGTTCTCGAGTCTCAATTTGCTTTTTTCAGATTTGATGAAAGGAGGATATATCTAGATTTCTATTTATAGAGCATGATACAACAGCCCAAGATTACTTCACAGCTTTTTTGAGCTTGAGACTTTCAAAAACCTGACTGACGATATAAAAGGAGCCTCAGTAGTCTATTTTTCTAGTTACATAGCCAAAACCTTATACAAAACATGATGAATGGCGTAAACGCTATGTTTCCCATCGAGAGATGAGAGTCCGTTTCGACGCTTTGAAGCATGCTTCAACAATGATATCATCGCACGACAGAATTCTCGATCGTATTAGACTTGGAACTAGCAAGCCGGCCTATCTACAATATTCTAAATCCCAGTCGTACTTATGATCGACAGATCAAGAAAGACCCAACGTAACACAGACCCCTCATTAAAGCCATAGGGTCTCATCTCGGGTGCTACCACATGCGTTGTCAGACTGAGGTTGGGGGCTAGGGTCCGATAGTAATTAAATATGTTCTAAATTGCAATTAAAGATGACTGCACGTCATTTCACCCATTGCAAATATAGACCATGTAAAGGAAACTTCGTCAAAATAGGGATCTATTCCGACGCCTGGTCCTTATCACTCAATTGAAATAGTACGTAGCTGAAATGTTGGTTGTGTATACCCCGACAAGAGGCAGTCATGCATAGAACGAAGGCATTTCGGATCGAGCCGGTTATCAAACGTATGCCGGTGGCTTGTGAATGTCACCCACCATTCCATTCTCTTGCCGTCAAAAAGAATCATTAAGAATGAAGAATCTCTTTTTTGTTTCTTGAAAACATTTTAGGGTCAGCCTTATTGCATGCGCTAGTTAGTTGTTGACATCAAGCTTCTTGGGCATCCAATGGAGCGCTACTAGGTGCATCACGTAAATCCGGAATTGCTCAGGATGAAACCTTGTGCATGGTCTTTACGAGGTCAAATTATGAAGTATAGAAGCAGAATGGCTAAAAGTTTAAAAACCCTGGCTATATCTACCAAGATTATTTGCCCGAGCCACCATTTAGAGATTGAAGGATGACGACCCTGATTCGCAAGGAACCATGATTTCAAATCGAAGCTTGCTTTGATTTCAAATCATACGTAGGTGGATAATGGGCTCCAATCGAAATACTTTTTTTATGTCTTGAATGATAAGAGTAGTAGGATCTTAATTTCATGGAGGTCGATCACTAGTTGGTAATTAAGCTTAGAAGTAATAAGCGTATCTGGAGATAGTGAAATGGCCAATTGGCGAATTTCTGAGATATTAATACCCCGAAAGGTAAAGGCGCCGGCCCAAACCCTTGATGAGTAATGGGTGGCCTTACAACGCCACCAGTTCCCGATAGACATGTGATGTCTTCCGGGCACTTGCAAGGATGTTTACTGCCCGCGTTTCTAGCTATCTAGTCGTCCTTTCCTATAGTCGCGTGGGTCTTCATCGAGAATGATGAACAGCGAAAATCCGCATGAAGGCGAAGAAACCATGCCCATTTTGAATTGGCTCATAACAGGCGCCTCGAATGGCCTTGGCCTTGCCCTTACGCTAGAAGTACTTCAAGCAGGGCACAAGGTGATTGCTACAGCCCGAAATGTCGCTAAAGCATCCACATCGCATCCCGCCGTTGAGAAACTCGGCGGAACCTGGCTGCAACTGGACGTTGATAAGTCAGACGCGAAACGTGTAGTGGAGAATGCCGTGCAAGACATATTCCATGGTAGAATTGACGTCCTCGTCAATAACGCTGGGTACTCGATATTAGGCAGTATAGAAGATCTGAGGTAGGTAGATAAACCGAAACTGTTAACTGCAACCTACTGTTTCCTTACACAAACTTTGCCGTGGCAGTGAGAAAGAAATTGAAAACCAATTCAACACCAATTTTTATGGTCCTATACGCACCATCAAAGCGGCTTTACCTAGTATGCGTGCACAACGAAGTGGTGTCATTATCAATGTAAGCTCGATTGCTGCACTGGATCCACGACCCTCCGGAGGCATATATGGAGCAAGTAAATCTTCTTTGGAAAGTAGGTGATGTGCCACTCCAAACAACTTATGTCATATTCCATTACCTGGGATCCGAATACTGACTGAGTATATATAGATCTATCAGAAGCTTTGGCTTTGGAACTTGCCCCATTCAACATTCGGGTCCTGATCGTTATCCCTGGCGGATTTCGTACTGATTTCCTGTCCGGCAATCTTGAGCCCGAGGCCCCTATGACAAAGGACTACGAGGGAACTCCGCTGCATGCTGCTCTGGCTTCCTTCCGCGCTTACAACGGCAACCAGCCTGGTGACCCTGCCAAAGGAATGAGACGCGTTGTAGAAGTAGTGGAAAGCACCGGATTGGGAGAAGGCAAACAAGGACTTTTGCGATTACCCCTAGGTGCAGATTGCCTCGAAAGGGCTTGGTCTAAGGTCAATGCCCTGAAAAGGGATTTGAATGGATTCGACAGCGTAGCAAAGTCGACGGATCTGGACTGATTGACCCTAACGAGGCTCTCGAAAATGGATAAACTGTGTTTTCAGTGTAAAAAGTTCAATCTTCATCAATTGAAAGAGAAGGACCTTCAGTGGGCTTCCTTTGAACTATGATGGGTTAGCAAAATCCGAACCTAAGTAGGATTTACCTATATACATACGCTTATGGTGTCAATCAAGATTTATCTATCTTAAGATCCATAGGGACCGTTCCTTAGATACGCTCATCTCCCGTCCAGTCTGGATTTTACACGCTCGCGCTTGTATTAGTTACCAATGTCTGTGATGATTGACTAGCGGCTTTATCGTGAAGCGCACCGAAGCATATCGACCCGTTATCTGGGTAATATGTGTATATACTAGTAGATGAAGAATGTGAATTGTTCTGGTATATATCTCCGTGCAAATGGGTATCGGTGAAATTGGATTTATGCAATACCGGATAATTGACAGTGCCGAAAGAAGACTGATAACCATGCGCGCCAATATGTTCTCCCTATTTAAACACCCTACCTGACAGACAGACCCTTCATGATGCAAACGCTGAAAATAACACAACATCATTCATACTCATGACTCATCATCCTTTCCAATCGAACTCAATGAATGCGCGAGTTTGAGCAGGACCACACTCTCCGTCGCTGCAAAGTAGTTCAAACTATCACCCTGTTAGCATAACTCTCCAACATATCAATTTTTAGGCTTGATATGGACGTACCTGTCTAAGAGAATACGCAAATGCCGATTGAAATGATCCTCGTATCGTTTCAGCGTATCCTCCAGCTTCGCTAATCGCGTGGCATCGTATGGACGTGCGTCGGCTGGCGCTCCGCGCGCCCCGGCGGACAGATCTGGGTCTGCAGTGGACATGCTTCGAGCTAGGGAAGCGGCAGTCCAGGTGGCGAACATTGTGCAGCATGTCATTAATTTAGAGTGTATCTGTATATCTTCGTCAGCAACTTGTTTCGCGCTAGAGATATGAGGGCCAAGCGGTACCTTTAGAAGCTTAGCTTGGGTAAGCATACACTCTTTCAAGCATGTATCCAGAAAATCAACATGATCCTGCATCAACTCATCGACCGTCCGATTTACCTGTTTCGATCCATCGACCTCGTCTCTCTGTAGTAGGCTGCTGCTCTGAGTCCCAGCAGCGGTACCATTAACCCGCTCCATCAGACTCTGCCAATTCGGCTCAATGACTTCAGCAGTACAGAAATATAAAAGTTGTTGGATGAAGACAAGCATTTTGGCGCGTAGTGTCCATGCTCTTCGTTTCCACATTTCGAGTCTCCGGTCCGAGGATTTGTGGCGCCATCCTAGGGTCTTTTGTTGATCTTGCCAGGATGTTACGAGGAGGTTCTCGAGATGCCGTAAAGAGAGAAGATGCCGGAAAATTAGCTGGTATCTGAGCACGGTCTTTCGGCTGATGACCAGAGACAATGGGAAGGGAACGAGATAGTCAAGCTCAAGAGCGTCGAAGCCGATAATGTCTTTTTCATCTTCGGCTGGTTGAGGCGTTGGGGTTTGGTATTTTTCGAGTCCGCCGTCGGGGTTATCTTGATCCATACCGGAGACGCTGACAACTTGCATCAACCATCTAGTCAAACCGATCTTGTTCATTTTCACTTTGACATCTTCTTTGAATGGGTCTGATGCAGCGATACTTCCTGGTTGTCGTAGTACCAGATCCAGCAAAGATTGAAGTTTACTCTCGTTGACGAGTTTGGCAGGTTTGCGTAGCTCCGAGGCGCTGAGTTCCATGAAGTAAGCGAAAAAGTCGGATCTGTCGAGGAAGAAATAGTGTTTCAAGGAACGGAAGCGCGTGGTAAGTGAGTTTTCGGAAAGGAGAAGGTTCAGCAGAGATGTGTTGGCATAGGCATAAGCACTGTTCACATTGTCCAGGAATCGAGGATCGTCAAATGTCTTGGGCACGTCTTTGACTGCCTTGTTGACGTCGACACCGCCGCACTCTCGGACAACATTCAGGTACTTCCCAGCCAATAACACCTTATCTCTGACGCTTTCCAGCTGTGGAGGTACTTCATTATCGCGGATTGTGTAACGCTTCTCCCAATATTCATCCGTATAATCTTCCTCAAGCTTTTCTCTCTTGATCCATTTCTGTTCCTTGACCAGGAATTCGGCGTGAGGATCTCTAATTTCACCATGGTGCAGCCACTCATTCAGCATCGACATATACGGTCTGCTAGCCTCGCGAAGCAACGTCTGAAGCAATGTCTTTGTTGCCGGGTCTCCCGAAAAGGTGGCTAGTCGCTCCGTCAAAAGTCCCAGAACATTACCGCCTTTGCAAATCTTTTTGCTGGATAGACTTCCAGGAACTAGATCGCCGCCTTCTTTCAGCTGCTCGAGAATATTGTCCACGTCGTCAAAGTCGTCAATCGACTCGTCTAGGTCCTGATCAAGAAGCTTGTTCCGTCGAAGTAATTCTTGACTAAGAGAGTGTAACTGCGACAAGCTCTGGCTCGTGGGCATCGTCTGGAGGTGAAGGACATGCAATGTAAAGTTTGGATTGTTCAGTAACTGATTCTCAAGTTGCGCTATGAGAATCAAATAATCTTTGAGAAGCTTTCGGATAACCGCGCACAGAGCATGACTGACGGCTCCATATTCCGGCCGACTAAGCACATCAATAAAGGCCTCCAAAGCGCTATAATGGGTCGCCATTTTCAGCATTGAAATCGTCAAATCCTTCAAACTCGGATCTAAACCGGGCCCGATCTGGAACGAAGGACCAACTAGTCTGTCTTTCTCCACGGATGGGTCGTATGATGAATGGTAGCGTATGTATTGGCCCTCGTAGCCCATGAAAACAAACAATATGTCCTGCAATACGGCATTTTCTTGCTCCTCCATAGATAGCTCTTTGAAAGATATAGGCTCGAGTGATTGCGGKGATGTTGATGCGAGAGGKGGGACGGAAATACGACTTGCCAATGGAGCAGCAGAATGTGCAATTAACGTCGCTTGGGGTACCCAGGGTTCTATACAATTATCAGCTCATGTCACGATCAATAGATCGAGTCGGTATTGACTACCATCTGCAACTTCCTTCTCCCTCTTCCTCGGCGGTGACGCCGTCTTTTTCGAACGTGATCTCTCAAACTCGCCTCGATTTCCTGCATTCGGCGATCCCTTGGCCGGATTCCGCGTCTTGACATGAATCTTTTCGCGCGACGTTATAGTTGTTCGTTCCGTTCGTCGGTCCGTTGCACTGCTCGATTCCCTATGCAATCCCCTTGGACTCTGTGTACTTCCGCGAAGGTGGTCCATTTTGGGAGCGTCTGACAATAGCCGCGGGGATTTGGCGCTGCTGTTGTCCCTGTCTTGCAAAGATGATCTATAATCAGGCTCAGCGCGACTGGAGGCGACGCGGGGTCGTGAACCGCCGCCTAGGTTGTAACTAACAGCACGGCGATCATTGGCGGACATGCTCTTTAATGTAAGTTGGCTGGTGATTGTCCGGGTCGCGAAATAGTTAGTTCTCAAGAGCAACGCGTTCGAATTCGTAGGATGTGGTTGTAGCTTTCATGCGGCCCAAGCTGCTTGTAAACAGTTTGTATGGAGATTCTGGATTTGGTCTAGCGCCACTCTCCGCCCAGGCACCGGCGGACTACGTCGACAGCTCTTAGCTCGAGCTACCTGCTACATCCTCGCTCATCTTGTTGCTATCATCCATCTTCACGAACACTCAACTAGTTACGTCTTTACCTCTTTTCGAAGCTCGTTTTGTTTCATATAGACAGGAATCACAGATAAGTCGCCATCATGTTTATTGCGCGATCAGAATACGGTAAGCTACTGCCATCCTAATGATTATCAACCATAGCTAAAAGCTTCACAGACCGCGGTATCAAGTATGGAGCTTTGTCCCTAATGCATCGAAGGGGCCTTGAAAAACTAATGGTCATTTGATAGCACCTTCTCCCCCGAAGGTCGTTTGTTCCAGGTCGAATACTCCTTAGAAGCTATCAAACTTGGTTCGACCGCCATCGGAGTACGTCCACCCATCCTCCTTCATCCTGTGTCAATAACGCTCATCAATGACAGGTAGCAACATCAGAAGGCGTCGTCCTGGGCGTCGAAAAACGAGTAACCTCCTCCCTCCTCGAAACCTCCTCCGTCGAGAAAATCGTTGAAATCGACCAACACATCGGCTGCGCCATGTCCGGTCTCCAAGCCGACGCCCGCTCAATGATTGAACATGCCCGCGTCGAATGCCAAAACCATGCGTTCCATTTTGCGGAATCGCTCCGCGTCGAGAGTTGTACACAGGCTATTTGCGATTTGGCGCTGAGGTTTGGTGAAGGTGCGGATGGGGAGGAGAGTGTTATGAGTCGCCCGTTTGGGGTTGCGTTGCTGATTGCTGGTTATGATGAGGATGGCCCACAGCTGTTCGTCTTTGTGTCTTCTGCTGTTGAGATGAATGCTGATCAAGGTAGATATCACGCCGAACCGTCGGGAACGTTTTACCGATACGACGCCAAAGCTATCGGCTCCGGAAGCGAAGGTGCCCAGGCTGAATTGCAGAATGAGTATCACCGATCATTGACCCTTGCCGAGGCCGAGACGCTTGTGCTCAAGACGTTGAAACAGGTGATGGAGGAGAAACTAGACGCCAAGAACGTGCAGTTGGCTAGTGTGACGAAAGAGAAAGGGTTCCGGATCTATGATGAGGAGGAGATGGGTCGGGCTGTTGGGCAATTGGGTGGAAATTAGACTTATCATCGAAATACAATCCTCTTCGCTTTCGGAATATTATGTAGTAATAAGAGTGATTATATGCATCCAAGTACGTATTTCGTGATATTTACGATCCTTGCGGTGAAAGGCCTATCGAATTTTATATACACACGGCTTGAGAACCTTGGCCTCCTGCTCGGCCGTCATGCCTTTATTCTCATCATCCCCACGATCTCGATCAATGAACCTCTTCTTAGTCTGCACCGGAGCAGCCGCCTGCTTCTTCTCAGGCCTTCCAGCCGGCGCCGGCGTAATCCCCGCATATTTGCCCTTTGTAGGCGCCCCACCAGCCTTAATAAACTCCATCTTGACAAACATCTTATTCGATTTATCCACGGATTCCTGCTTGAGCACAAAGCCGCGAGATTTGAATACCTCCACAAACGCGGAGATGTCAGTGTCGTCATTACCACTAGAGGCAGATGGTTGGGCGTCTTCGGCGTAGATTTCTTCATCGTCTTGGTCATCCTCATCATCAGATTCATTGTTCCCGTTCTTTTTCTTCTTTTTGTTCTTCAACTTCTTCTTTTGCGTATTTGACAGTCCCGCTGCGTCGTCGCGCTTGAGCCCAATTTGGGCTTTCTTGCGATTGACTTTGCCGAATCGGCTCTTGACTTCACTAACCCAGCATTCACCTTTGCCATCACCGCGGAGTACGCGCCACGCTTCTTCGACGAAGGACACCCAATTAGTACCCATGAGACTGAGACAAAAGATCGTAACGTCGACACTTCCATCTGTCACTGGTAAATTCGCAATATCAGCTTTTGTAACGAGTGCCTCGTCGGGAGACTGCAGGTCGTAGCTGGTAAGTTTGAGTTGAAGTTTCTTAGCGGAGGGAGTCAGGGAGCGCGCGAATTGGGCGTCGCCACAACCCAAGTCGGCTATGGTGCAGAAACCGTTTGGTCTGCGTGGGAGAGGTGCAACACCACCTGCATTGTTCTGGCTGTTATGCCTCCTTTTGTCGTGATTAGCTGGTACAGTGGCACGTTTCCTGACAGCAGCAATATAGCCATCGACGGGGTTCGAGGGCCATGATTCTTTGACTTGTCGTGAGAATCCATCATGGTATTCTGTGAATAGCTCTGGGTTTGCGTCGAACATGGCCTGGGCCTGTTTGGAGGGAGTAGTGTAGAGAGTCTCGTTGAGGTGACGGAAGCGAGAGGATACGAGCTTGTCGCGCATTTTCTGCTGGAGGGGAGTGAGTTTTGCTGTGGAGGGCGGAGCTGGTGGTAATGATACTACGGTGGTCGTAGCGGGTTGAGTGTCACCGGCCGTAACTGATGTCTTCTTTTCCTCATCGCGAGCCTTCTTCTGCTTCTTGTTCGCTCTTCCCTCTCCAGCTTCAGCATTTGTCTCCTGAACTACTGCCTCGTTGCTTCCAGATTGTCCGTTCTCTTTCTTTTCCTTGTTCTTCTTGTTCTTGTTCTTATTCTTCTTGCCGCTCTTCTCGATATGGCCCTCAATATGTCGTTTAAACATCTCATCGACATTAGACTTGGTCACGCCATTGTCTCTCTTTCTCTTCTTGGCACTCTCGTTACCACCTGCTTGCCCAATTTGGTTGGCTCCGGTCGCAGGTGCTGCTGGTGTTTTGGCATTGGATGTTTCGTTCTTATTCGACGACACATCCTTCTGCGACTTCAGATCGGAGGTCGATATCGACCAACCGGGTACGGCGAACATGTTTTTGGTCTGTGTATTTTGTTGGATATTTATTCCAGAACCAAAGTGAAGAAAAGTGACGGTCGAGACGGGAATTTTTTTTGTCACCGCCGGCAGAATCATTAAAGTTCCCCATATTTCTTGACCCAATGGAACTGCTTGAATTTAGTAGGCGGTCAAGCCTCAAGCGCCGCGAGAGATTCCTAGATTTAGAAGACCTTCATGCTGGCTTCTACGAACGAACATCTACATGGCGAGCATGAAAAACTCAGACTCTTTCAAAAATCGCTTTATGATGTTCAAAATTTGGAACCATTCCTTCACAAGTCTTCAAAGCCCAAGTCAATGATGACCCGGGGTACCGATTCATTGATATTGAGTGTCTCCTAAGGTTATTGTCGATCAACAAGACCTATATATTCCAATTGTATATGGGATGACAAATGCAGGCGTAGTCTTATTAAAATAGTACGTAGGTATTCAGCTACCGTGTCCGGTCCTCAAATATCGAACCTCAGCTTTGTGTCCTTCTTCACATTGTAAAGTGTGCTTGCACTTCCATCACAAATCTCAACATCGGTATCGAATGAGGGCACCAACTCAACCGGCTCTCCTGGACTCCACGACATGGCTATTGAGCCGTTGCCTACTGCAAACGAGCCCGACATCTCCTTCCAAAGCTCGCGCCGAGGTTCCAGCCGTATACGTTTAAATCCGGGCGTTGCGGGGGTCAGGCCAGCTACATTGGCAACAAAATCATGAATTGGAACAGAACTCCATGCATGACAGTCACTACGTGGCATAGCTGCTGACTCGGCCCATGTGGACAAATTCTGACGAACCATGTCGCGCCATGGCTCTAACAATGTACTCCGCAGCTCGTCATAAAGACCTGCTGTTCGCACAGCTTCGAAGACATAGAAGGACATGGCGTAAGAGCATCGCACAAAGCTCGAGTCGGCCAATGCGTGGCGCAGGACTGTGCGAGCAGTTTCGCCTTCTAGAGCGCCGCAGAGAACGGCGAATACTTGTGCGTGCTGGCTGCGCTCTTCGGGAGGGCTATCAGGTCCGTCAACAAGGAAATCTCCGCGGAAGCAATGTTTCATGACAGCTGCGTTCAGCTGAGCGGCGCGTTGGTGATACTCAGATGCAGTATCCCGCCGGCCGACAAATTCACAGAGCTGAGCAGCGCGTTGCAGTGTCAGTGAGTATATCAAGCTGCTGTAGGTCATACATCCCGTACGAGCGTATGCAGGCGGTACAGCCAGATTACGAAAGTCGTGGTCAGGACCCGGATCAGACCATTGCTGCGTCCAGTCGACGAACGGCCATGCGTCCCATGCCATGCGGCCTACCAAGTTATTACTGTCATCGATGCGCTGATGGAAGTGGTCGAGGATACCGTCGATTGTGCCAAGATAGCGACGCACCAGCGTCTCGTCGCCAAAGTACATCATGTGATCATATACCATGAAGATCCAATAGAGCGAAAAATAGGGGATATTAACACCAGGAAGCGGCGACGGGAAATGCGTCTCAACAAGCCCGTCGGACCGGCGACTAGAGTGAAATTCTTGCATGCATTTACGGGCAAGTCGATCGTCGTTGGAGAGCTGGTAGGTGAAAAGTATTTGTAATCGCGAGTCCATGCCAAATTGATTCTGCTCGTAAAACGGGCAATCCTCGTAGGTCTCATGCATGCAGTTGCGCAGCGTGTTGATACTAATATCCCATAACTTTGACTCCTCAACTGAAGGGAATTTTGTGATTTGTGTCGTTTTCTCTAGCGGATAGTGGGTTTCATGAAATGTCATCTGCAAAATTTCTAATGGCGAAGAAGGCCGAGTCTCTATCTCTAGCTCAACGTATCGGAATGTTCGAAACCAGAATGGTTCATAGGTGACCACAACATCGCTTGGCGTGTCTCGCCCGCAGATATAGTAGTCATCTTTACCCATAAGAGCTCCCGAGACATCAGTTCGGTCAGTTTTGATGCGAGCAAATGGGTTGGGTGTGGCCGATGGCTGTTCAAAGCACTCTGCGCAACGAATGCGGATTTTGGCTCCAGCGCCCTGGCGCATCTGTAGGCAGATAAACCCAGTTGTGTACGTCTCTGCGGCGAAAACGGCAGTAACTCTACGGCCAGCTTCGATCTTAAGTGGTTGGTCATGTCGAATAAGATGGTTCCAGTCTTGAAGGCTGGGGGTGTCGGCGTCGCATTTGACGATCTCTAAAAACCGGCCTGGGGTCTCAGGTAGAAGCGGGATTGAGCGCTTGGCTAGGCGTCTCTGATCTAAAATTGGAAGCATGGGAGCCTTCATGGTAGCCTTGACGGCCGGTAGCCAAGTACCGTCGTCGAAGTTGGGCTGTACCCAGTCCAAGTCTTGCTTGGAGCCATCGACATCCTCATTGATAGACAGCAGCACAGGCCCAAGATTTGGGTCCCAAGCAGACTTACTACCTATGCGTACGGCCTCATCTATTTTCCACCGCCAGCTACTGTTGGTCCCAACCTCAGGCTTCCCTTCGTTAGCTATGATACGTGCAATATTTATTAATATTTGGGTTGGATCTCTTACCACCACATCAGAATGCACAATAACTCCCGGTAATATTGCCCTCGTAAGCGACATATTTCCCGGAAATTGCGCCGAATATCGCAACACGCGCATGGCGATGGTGTTGCGGCCGACGTTACAAAACGGCGCAATATCGACACTTTCGTAATTCCATTCCCCCAAGTGACTTTTGGCAGGACCAAAGCATACGCTGCGTCCATTCACATAAAGTCGGTATCGCGTGTCAGCGGAGACGTGAATGAGACATTCAGATGGCACTGATTCGAGGGCGAATGAGCGCCGGAATTGCACGATGCGAGCGACATCGCGGCTTTCGTCCCAGTTGGATGCCCATATCCAGTCTACCGTTTCACTCCAGTGGCGTGGCATTTTTTAAAGACTTCTAGCAGAATATTTTGCGTTGTTTGGCCATCACTCTTCGTTCATGTATAAATTCACTCTTTTTACAATATCGTGACGCTCATCGGGGTCAGATACACCGAGAAAGGTAAGCTCTTCTCGGGAATTCCGATGGTCAGTAACCCTAGCCAAGTGCGATTGTCAGAGCTCGATTCTTATTGGATGGACGAATTCTTGCTTGTATTTTTCTTATAGTGGGGATTTCGAAATGCATCACTTGACAAAAGGGAGACCCCGCGGGGTTCTCCACTGGGGTAAAGTGGTAGAAGGTTTCGAAACATCAGTGGTCAGTACGACTGGCTGTGAGCCAAGATAATGTATTGGGATAGTCCTTTATTCGGGTTTTGAATCCATCATTAAAAGTATTTAGATCGATTATGCGAAAATTGAGCAAGCCTAGGTAGCTTGGGATGGAAGTATCACTTTTTATAAATATCGAAAGGTCCTTGTATTGAGAAGTATCAATGTATATACTATGTACTATGGCGATCACCCGGAAACAAGACTTGCAATGCTAGCACATTCACATCTAAGCATTGCTCTCCTGCCCTTCTCGATATTTTGCAAATTGTCGAACCGGCACATGCGCTTCATACAAATCATCAATGTCACCAGGCGAAAGACCGGTAGTATTTGGCACAACAGTCAAAGCGCCCCAAATGAGAAAGATCGAGAGGCCGGCAAACACGAAGCCTGTACGGGCCCCCAGGTTACCCGAGTCCACGTTATACATGTAGGGTACAGTGAATGTGAAAACCCAGGTAGTAATTGTCTGGGTCATGATTCCAAGAGACATGGACTTGGCGCGAAGACGAAGACTCGAGATTTCGGCTGCGATACTCCAACCTGGAGCCTGCATGAAAGCGGCTTGCAGAGAGATCAGGACATTCCTGGATAGATATTAGTTCTTTTTCCGGATCCAAAGCTAAGGAAGCTGATTTACTCACATCAAAACAGCAATAGCCCAGGTAGGACCCGTCCCTTTGGCGTAGTATAAACATCCCACGATCAACATAACGGCAAAATTGATAACGCAGCCGCCGATAAAGACTTTATCACGAGAAATGTGCTTCATTCCAATCCCAGTAGCTACGATTATGATGATAGCGAGGGCAAACCCACCGATGGAGACGTCGAAAATATGCACAACCGGAAGTCCCACCGTAATGAGAAAGTAAATCGACTGAGACAGAAACGGGGCTCCGCCGATGTTTACAGCGCCGAAAAGAAAGCTCATAACGAGGGTTCTCTTGAGATTTGTCCCCTGGAAACATTCAAGATAGCTTGCTTGATCGGAATGGCGCGTATTTTCTTCGGCGATGGTTTGGACGAGGTAGGCGTAGCGTTCGTCTCGCTCACAGTCCTCGCCGTACAAAAGACTAATAGTCTTTTTGGCACTTTCATGACGGCCTTTCATGATCAGGTAGCTAGGTGATCTAGAGAAGTGTTATTAGCTTGAAAGTAAATGACACCAGAAAATGCGGATTGAAAGCTTACTCTGGCGCCAGTGTATAAGCAATTATCACCAGTGCAGCAACACCAAACTGAATAGCAAATACAGTTCTGAATGCATGCTCTGCCATATTCGGCACAAAGACTCGAATGATACCCATGGCCACACCTTGCATGAAGAGGATGAAGATGACGATACCTTTCTGAATAGCGGGGACCAATCTAGGGGGCACGACTTCAGAAGCATATGTTGTACCAACGGCCATGGCCAAGCCGATTCCGAGACCGTTTACAATCTTACCAGCCAGTAAGCTGCCAGATGTCGTTGCTGTGTACTGCACGGCCGCACCAGCTAGAGAGACGACGCCGCCAGCCACGCCGCACCATTTTCTTCCGATATAGTCAACCAAGTATCCTGCTGCTGTGGCTGAAAGCGCCTGGGCGAGCGCGGACATGGAGGTCCAAAGCGAAGTCCAGAGAGAGGGAAGATACAGACTCCCCGAAGCATCGACCTTGCCGAAGTAAAGGATAAAGGCAGGCATAGAAATGCCTGCCCCGTTCACGATTGTGTCATACCCGAAGAGGATAGCTGAAGAGAATGAGATGCTACCTGTCAGGGACGTGTGAGTAGTTTGCCAGTTACCGTGAGATGTATAATTATAGATAAGATAGTTAGGGCCTGGAGTCTTACAGATGAGAAGAGCTCTTCGATGTTTTTGCAACAAGTTCCAGAGAGACAAATCACGATCGAGCTGGAAGAATGCAGGCTCGCTCAGCTCGATGTGATCGCTGGATAGTTTCGTGTCGGCCATCTTGTATAATTGAATTTCGTGAGTATCGGTTGACAGATGGATGATCTGGCGAAAGCCGGCTCTTATGACCCTACATTCGGAGGGCAGCTCGGTTCCTATCACACCGAGTCAGAAAGTTTGCGGGGTTTTAGGGACCGTTGGGAATGGATACCCCAGAATCTCCACAAATATTATACTGAGCAAACAATGTTAATGATAGGAGATTTGGAGGTGGATTCTAGCAAAGTTTTCTGGGGACTCGGGTTTTCCGTTCCCTTCATACGTACGCCGGGAGATCCGACCCATAGCTCCAGATATAGAATTCTCAAATGGGGAAGCGCATCGCTGGAGAATGCATGAATGGATCACCATTGACTCACATTCATTATCGTGAAATCATGGCGGCCGAAGTAATACAGAAATTATCACTCGAGGACAAAGTCTCCTTGCTCGCAGGCGCCTCGTACTGGCGCACGGCTAGTCTACCAGAATACGGAATAAAAGCAATCAAAGTACGCTTCTATTATTGCTTGTGTTCTTCGTTTGCTTCAAACCATACGACAAATTGACTAAGACTTCGCATAGACGAGCGATGGTCCGAACGGCGTCAGGGGCGAATCCATTCACGCGTCCACAAAAGCTTCATGCTTTCCATGCGCGGCATGTGTTGGCTCGACGTTCAACTCTGAACTCGTGTTTCAGATCGGCCAAGCAATTGGTAAGGAATGCAAGGTGAAAAATGTTGGGATGCTCCTCGCTCCAACAATCAATCTCCATCGGTCTCCTCTGGGTAAGTTCGAGACATATTCAAGAGACCCGACATTGAAGATTTGTATTGATAACTCCGTTCGCAGGTGGCCGAAACTTTGAAGCATACTCGGAAGATCCAACACTTTCCGGGCTCCTCGGTGCAGCATTTGTGAATGGAGTGCAGTCAGAAGGCGTGTCGGCTTGTCCCAAGCATTTTTTGGGAAACGAGTGTGAGACCGAACGCAAGAAATCCAACACTGTGGTAGATGAAAAGACTCTGAGAGAGCTATATGCCTACTCTTTTCAAGTACTTTTGAGCAAGTCGGCTCCTTGGGCAATAATGACAGCGTAGGCACATTACGCTACATACTCGAATGTACGTTTATATAATGACAGCGATTGACAGATATAACAAGGTCAATGGTACATTCATGTCCGAGCATGAGAAACTTATCCAGGAATTGTTGAGAAACGAGTGGCGGTTTGATGGAATTGTTATTTCCGACTTTGAAGGCGTCTACTCTACTGTCCCTCCTGTCACCGCGGGCGTTGCCTTAGAGTTACCAGGACCCGCACGATTTCGTGGCGAATACCTTCTGAAAGCCGTGAAAGAAGGAAATATTTGTGAATCGCACATTGACTCCCTTGCTGCCGACGTTATCAAGCTTGCGGCTAAGGTTGGTTCGGACGAGAATACCAGCCCCGAGAGAGACATCACAAGAGAGGAAACCCCAGCAGAGCTGTTACGATCAGCGGCTTCAGAAGGAATTGTGCTGCTAAAAAATCACGAGAATTTGTTGCCGCTTTCAACCTCTTCGCCTCTCAAGATAGCTGTGTTTGGATCTCCTGCCTCACAACCGGTGATACACGGCGGAGGAAGTGCGTCTATGACTCCGACATATTGCATTTCCCCAATTGAAGCTCTGCGGCGAAAATTTGTCAACGCGGACATCCAATACCATTTAGGAGTTCCCATTTTCAAGAAGATACCTTCCGCTAGTCTTGATGTGATGACTGCTCCGAGCACTGGGAAACCTGGCGTCGATTGCTATTGGTACAATGGCTCGGAATTTTCCAACGATAATCTTATCCACCACGAAATCCTAGAGCGAACACGGACATTAGTCATTGATAACCGGATCAAAGATTTGTCTCCGCAGCACTGCAGTCGTATGCGCTTCGTCCTCAAACCCCGAACCAGCGGCACTCACACGTTTGGCATTTCTGCATGTGGTAGAACTTCTATCCGGGTTGATGGTCGAACCATATTGCAACATGATGGATTCACCGATGTGCGAGTTGAATACATTATGCAGCCAGGCGATTTTGAAGTGCGCGCGACAATCGAAATGGAAGCGGGCCACGAATACGAAGTCATCATCGATGCATTCTCGACTCTTGCGCCCTCGCCCTCGCCAGTCTTCACAATGGCACCGCAAGCAACGCAGGTGGGTTTCAGCGAAAACCTGCCTTCGTGTATTACACCTGAAATTTCTGCGCTGGCTGATCAATGTGATATTGCTCTGATCTTTACCGCAAACAACAAAGAGTACGAGTCAGAGTCTTTCGATCGTCAGTCCATGGACTTGTCCCCCCTACAGAATGACTTGATCAGCACTGTGGCACAAGCAGCACCCAAGAGCATACTCTTCAACCAGACTGGATCCCCCATAAACATGATGCCATGGATTGATCATGTAGACGCCATATTCCAATGCTGGTTCGCAGGACAAGAAGTTGGAAACGCGCTCGCTGATCTTTTGAGCGGCGACTGCAACCCTTCGGGCAAGCTTCCAGTGACATTCTCGCGACGAATTGAGGATTCTCCATCCTTTGGGAATTTCCCGACGGACGAAGAATTGCAGGTGCATTATAGGGAAGGGCTGAAAATGGGATACCGTGCGCGCCAACATCCCACGCCTTTGTTTGCTTTTGGACATGGTTTATCATACACTCAGTTTGAGTTTGGTGACTTCCATGTCGATATTGAGTCACCGATCGATGTTTGTGTGGTGGTAAACGTGATCAATGTAGGGGCGGTTGCTGGGCATGAGGTGGTTCAGGTGTATGTGGACGGAGTACTCAAGGGGTTTGCCAAGGTTTATTTGACACCGGGAGAGAATAAAGATGTCCGGGTGTTTCTGGATAAATATGCTTTCAGTGAATGGGACTTCATGGTTGGATCTTGGGTGGTGAATAGTCGCGGTTATGAGATTGATATTCGTTGGAATGCAAATACCGTCATTTCGTCGGTTACACATTTCATAGATCAATATAGCACTTGGCGTGGCTTATAGAATAAATTTCTATTATAGGCTTCGATAGAAGAGCGAGAATGTATGAATGTAGTCTGGGAGATGTAGGCTGTACTTGATGATGTTGCATTAGCCGTCATCATGGATTCCTAGATATTGAAGGGCATCGAGCAAACCGATTTACCGGTGCTGGTTCCCTGTAAAGACTGCTTTCCTATGCGTTACCATCATAACCGTCTTCCCTAGCTCTTATATTGTCCTGTTGTGTGCTTGTCATCGGCATGAGCATCCGCATCTCTACCACTTGGACAGGCAAAAGACTTACAGGACTGAGGGGGGATACCAGTCCTCCACGACATCTGAAACGATTTTTGTAATATCTGATCAGCTTCTGCACGAGAAAAGGATCTATCCAACGACGGAAAGACACGTTGGACGAGTGTTGAAAGGATACATAAGCTTCCAGTAAACACAGCAAGCTTCAAAGTAGTCGTCATGTCGGATATAGAAGTTTCCTAGAAATCCTCTTCGTTAAGTTAGAGCGTGCCATAGAGAAGCCGGAGTATCGGGCTACAAATACGCCTAGGTTCCTCGGACGAGTACGTCATCACGGAGAAGATAGCTTTCCTAATGATAGACCAAGATCAAAGACTGAGTGTCCCAACTGCCAGTTCACTAGAGGAAGAAATCCATTGGGGGATGATTGTATGAAAACACCATCAGATTTGTTCATTTGAACTTTTCGTCTGATGTAGTTTTTCGTCCTACGTAGTTCGAGAAAGACCCACATGTCGTCTGAGCCTGAATAGATCAGACCAAGAAACTTCCCTTTGAGCAGCTGTAAGCCCGTATGTGTGCATTGCGCAGGGCCGGCTCAAAGGCAGGTATAATTTCTTGCGGGGCATGGCTGTAACAATCTGCAAGAAAATACTCCACTAACAAAGACCCTAGTGAGCAATTTCAAATGCATGGAACTCATAAACCACCTAGGCAGGGGTTGGTGTCATGAGACTTCACAGTTTTTGCCTGCTTTGTGATGGATTCAAAATGGACATAGTATGCAATGAATCAGTGCCAGCTAGATAATCTGTTGTGTAACATAATATATTACTAAATAAGCGCCAAGCTGGAGAACATCGGTTCTATAGTGTAATGGTTAGCACGGTGATTTCTGATGTCGCAAATTTGGGTTCGATTCCCAATAGGACCTTATCTTTTTTTTCCACCGTAACCTTCTTAACATTCCTTTATCTTCAAGACAAAGCTATTCTTTTTCCATTCGTAGCTGAACAATGATGTCGATTTTTTCTTCGGGATTTGTATGAATCACCCAGAGAACAGACTGGTTCTATCCTATCGCTCTCGTCAATCCCTGAATTATTTCTTCACATATTATTGAGAGAACCCTTGATCCCCTGTGCATGTCCAGCTAAGCCATAGTATGCACCTACTCTCGAGTCTCATGACCTTTCTATTTTCGAACTTCTACTATTTCTAGGGTACATGTATGTATGACCTCAACCTTTATCGTGACCCTAGCAATTTTCAATGAAACCGCCCAATTAAGTCGCCGGTGACAATTCTAAATTTTCATAGCCGCATCCACATGTCCGCAATGCAGCTCGTTTATGCTTTAAGCCTTTAAGGTCTATGCTTTGACTTTGGTAGCTTTTCATGTTTACTATTTACCCCTTTTCTACAAGCTCAATTCTTATTTTCTTTTTCTCTCTTTGAGTTTGAGGGTCTATTCGTGTTGGCTCTCCTCGGGACTCGGGTTTATACGAAGCTGAGAGGGCGTGTGCACCAGCATCAACCAAAGACAAGACTCGATTCACTCGAATGAGGCAAAAGGGCAGATTACTATATGGTTTGGACGAAAAGGGGTAAATCGACTGACATTGTCGGAGTGACTTGCCTCCATTTCCGGAAAGGAACGTAAGTTCTATGCATATCTCCCCGGATGTGTACTTCCATATAAGGCATCGTGGCTAGGGTGGTTCGTCGTCTCGTATGTACATTGTACGTACGAGACTAGCTTGGAAAATTCTTCAAGCGCATAGTAAGACCATAAGCTTGATAATAACCGATCCTAAGACATAGGATTGTAGTCTGTAGATACCCGAGATCTGACCCATAATTTGGCAAGTTATCGAGTGCTACGTACACAGCTAGATCGTTCGTAAGGACATTAGCGATCGGCAGGAGACGAATTTCCATGATTCGACAAGACCCTAGTCGGATGTCATTGGAGTCGGCCACATGGAAACTAAGACTAAGGACGTTTTCCGTAGCAAATCGGGCCACGGGTCAGATCTCACGTCGAATGGGGAAAAGATTCCTCCGAATCGATCACCAAATTCGTCCTACTGCGCGAGCCAAGCTTTACGCTGGACGTATCAAGTCCAATCTGCTCTCGACATATTAGTGTTGTTATCACTAATCAGAAATTGGGCGGGAAAGCCACCGGATGACGGTTCGTGCTAAGGTGCTAGGATGATGAATCGGAGAATTGATGTTAATCCTAAACGGGCAACTTTTCCCGTACCCACTGCTCGCTGTGGCTCGTTGCGCCTTCATATGGCTTAGCAGTTGCCAATAAGCAGACGATTCAGTGCCAGTCTGCCACAATCGAGCTGAATGCACGTACGAGGAGTCGAAGACTTGGTGCTAAAAGCTTTGAGTACTATGTAGGGGGCCACAATAGCCTGGATTGGGCGGCAGAAAATCGGTTTAGCGGGGCGGGTGCGCTAAAGCGACACTAAAATGAGCCTATCTCGCAATATGAGTCCCAAAGTGGCTAAGTCCTGGCCTTGCTAGTTTTTGGGTCAACTTGGGTCTCTTGTCTCCAGAGTACAGTTGATGTTGACGTGGGTCTGTTGATTTCCGTTTCGTTTCGCGTCTGACACTTCGGCGCAATTGCGCTAGCAGACTAGTGCTATCACAGCTTCTCCATCATTACAGTATGAATTGGATCAAAGTCTGCCTTGCGACAATCGGCCTCATGTCCAGAGATTCCGACTACGTATTTTGCATGTAATGCCATACTAAACGGTGACTTGTGCGAGATCGGGAGATACCGTAATTAGGATCTTCCTTTTGAGTCTTCCGACCCAAGCACGAGCCAAGTAGTCTCGAACCACCACTCAAACCGCGAGGAGCGTCCCACCCCGACTCAACTCGACCATGTATCTCCGCAGATTTTAGACTCTACCGAGTCTACTCCGTAAAGAATAAACAAAAGAATGAGGCTGAAAATGAATATGCCTTGTGAGGAGGTCACTGGCCACGCAGACCATGGGTGGCATTTCCTGTGGTGTCAGTCCAATATCAGCATGCGTATTATACCTCCCCACAATCTCTGCACAACCACACACGGGCGAGTGACCATGCTTCTGCATGGCAAGGGCGGTTAATCCCAGGAGATCTCATTGTTGCACGAGTTGCTTCTCCGGCTCTGAGAAAAATCTGACACATCACAGAAGTGACAATCCTAGAGGGCCGGGTTGGTAGTACAGTAGCCGATGCATCAGCCATGCTTTTGATCAACTTAGTAGTTAGTAGTAATCGGCTAGTAATTACATGCCCCGTCAATGATAGAGGGGAATCGATGCATACGGACGTATGTGGGAGTCTCACCGTTGACTGACACCTCAAACGTGCATTGTCCCCAGTTTTCGATTTCCGAGTGGCTGCGCGAGAGAAGTCTCAAAGTCAATTTCCATCCAACGACCAGGTGGAGGCTCTTGTGGAAACCGGTCTTCCCAATCAATTAAGGGCATGTCTTACACACCTCCACTAGTTCAAGTTAACACCATAAGTATATATGATAAGCATAAATCAAGCATCTCAGTAAGTTTAGGAAAATCAGTTTCATCCTCTTTCCCCTCATATCTCTCACCGGTCGCTTTTCACCAATTCAAATCATAGCAGGCACTGGCCGGATGGACGAGCAAGATCGCACACGCCATGGTGGGGACAAGCCTGCGAAACGAAAAGAGTCTGAGTCTGTGAAGCAAACACCGTCAGAAGGGCAATCCGAAGCGACGGCCAACACCAGCGCTGCCCCCGCTCGGGATCGCAAGAGGAGGACCAAGACAGGATGTCTGAGTACGATACCTTTTCCCAAAACACAACAATTTATTTACTGACATCTCTCAGCTTGCAGAAGACGACGCATCAAGTGCGGGGAGGAGAAGCCGCGATGCAATAATTGCATCAAAGCAAAGCGAGACTGCGAAGGATACACGCAGAGAGTCATCTTCAAAAATGCGTTGGGTCCCGTCGCGGGCTACGACCCGAGGGTTCCTGCCAATTTGCAGGCCCCTGTGACGCACTTTCCTCCTCTGCCACCACAAGTCCAACTGCAACAGCTGCAACAACTTCAACGACTCCAACAACAACAACAACATCAACAAAGACAGCCCATCGCTGGGCAAGCGCTCAATCGTCAACAGCGCTTACTGGCACCTCGCCTCCCCTATGTACCCCCCGCAGTCGCTACTTATGCCACCCAGCCCATTCAGCAGCAGCACCTACACCAACCTGTCTATCCTACAATCCCTCTTCAGACACCACAGACAGATCCGACCATCGCGCCTCAAGCGATCCAAGCGATCCATGTCCCKGGGGACGACTTCGCCAGCCATGTCCACACATGGTCATCTGCAGATCAGCTTGCTTACCTGACGCTGCCCGAGACCGCCTTCCAAGGCAGTCATGACCTTGCTTATCAGCAGACGACGGCACACGCCAGCCTACCGTCTTACCAGAATCCAGACACTCATCCGGTGATAGCCCAGCACGATCCAGCCGTGCAGAGCATGGCGGACACCATCGGGTTCTACACAGACGATACCTTCCAGCAGGCTCAGGTCTACTACGCGTGGGATGCTGAACAGGAAGGTAAGACCTGTTTGAACAATTTCTTGTCGAGTGACCTGGCGATGTATGTGGCTGATGACTGGTCCTTGTACTTGGAACCAAGCAGCCCTGATACCGACGATCTATGAAGACTTGGAAGATGATTATTACGACGTCGATTCCGACGACGAGCAACAAGACGTGACTGAGGAAGAGGGATACAATCAAATGAATCTCATCATGGCTTCGGCACAACAGGATGTCATGCGATCGTACAATACGTATCTCAACGAGCCAAACATCCTTGCGAATTATCAACCTTCAATGGGCTCCTCGCCGCTGAATAATCCCAAAACCGCCCGAATCTGGGTACATTTTATGCACGCCACGGCCCCTGCCATCTCGATCATGGAGCGACACAACGCGAGCCCGGCGCCTTTCTTTGGCGGACCAGTGCCAGTGTCGCAGCAAGGGCTGTGGAGTTATATCATGCCTTTGAAATCACTTGAGCATCCAGGACTATTACAGTCTATTCTGGCCATCAGCAGTCTTCATATTGCCAGACTACAGCAGAGTCATTTTACAATTACATTCAAGCATTATGAATATGCGCTGAGAAAAGTCTCCAAGGCTGTCGGCCTCCCTGTGCGTCGAAAACAAGTAGCTACTCTCGCTGCCACGCTACTTCTTGCGTTCTACGAAGTCACTGCAGCGGATCATACGAAGTGGGATCGACATGTCGCCGGCGCCGCACAGCTGCTGAAAGAAATCGACTTTGCAGGGCTGACACGAGATCTCAGAGCCTATCGTCGGACTGTAAGGTCGCAAAAATCTGCCTGGTCGGGACCATACGACCCTTTTTCATCGTATACCTACGCGGAAGACGATCCGTTTGCCGCGAAAGAGTCTGAAGTAGACGCCAAAGTTGTGTCTCGGCTTATAGGTAGAGCTGTTGATTATGATCAAATCGGGCGAGTGGACGTCTACTCAAAGGTCAAGAGAAGGCATTTTTCACGAAAAGATATTGACAACTTTCGAATACAATGTGATTTGTGGTGGTGGTACGCAAAACACGATACGTTTCAGAGTATGCTCAGTGGTAACAGACTACTGTATGTTTTACACCTCACAAGTAGCGCTTTTCACTAATCAGTTCTAGTACCCCAATCGAACGATGGGATGCAATTCCTCCTCGTGCAGGACTCGGCAGAGCAGACGCAATCTATGGCAGTTGGGACCATCTTGTCCTTTTGATGGCTCGCATGATGGATTTTGGATATCGAGATCGCAAGAGAAAGCTCCAAAGCCTTGAGGCTGCTGGGAGTGATTGGCGTCCGCATCCCGGATTTTTCAAGTTTGTCGGTCGGTTTACACCCAAACCTCCAGGGGGAAAGCCTGGAGGGCCACCTGGGATGGGACCTCCTGGAGGACCACAAGGGCCGCCTGGTAACAATCAGGTATGTATCATTCTCAATTATCAAGCTATTCCACTAACGGGTATAGCCACCACCAAGCCAAAGCTCGACACAGAAACCGATGTATGGTATGGCGCCCACAGGAGGTCCAGTTCCAGCGCCCGCTGCATTCACTACCATGGGCGAATCACCGCCATATTCGGGCTTTGTGGATGATGATGACACAACATTGGAAGAAGCAGAGGCCGAATGGGAAAGTATACTAGCTGCGTATGAGTATTATGAAAGTCAATTGGGAGAAGGCTTTGCACCGTTACCACCCGATACCACAACACCAGTTGATTCACCTTTTGGCCCAGCGATACAATTCCGATCCGACAGCATTGCTGTGCTCTGGGGATATTACTATGCTGGTAGGATAATACTAAACCGCCTGCACCCTAGTATGCCCCCAGCCGCAATGATGGCGGCGACAACAGCAGCTGCCACGACAGCTCAGTTTGCTCAGACTACTGGAAGGATAGCTGCTGGTATATATTATCCGCAACTATATGTGCAGGAAGTTGGCAACTTGAACCCAAATCTGGGTGGTGCATGGATACAGGCCACTATGACTTTGTTCGTCGCGGGTATTCAATATACCGATCCGACACAGCGAGACTGGACCGTGTCGACACTTCGCGGTACCTCTCGTGTGACGGGATGGCAGTCTGCCGAGGCGATTGCAGCTGGCTGTGAAGCTGCATGGATGCGCACGGCTGCAGTAGGACGGGGGCCTCCATATGTACGGGGGCCAGAGTTTTTCGAGGTAAGTTGTTCGTCAATAGACTTGGATGATACTAATTGTTTGATAGAATGAACCAGTTTATACCCGTCGGGTCGTGCAAGGCGATGAGCACCTCACACCAGATTCAAACCACGAGAGACGGTTCGTCAAGGTGGAGCAAAGGCTACGAGGACAATATGCAAAAGGGCTGTTGGGGTTGGAGGGTGAACTTGACGGGCTTGATCTTGATCCGTAGCTAGTCTGAACGATATAAAACTATAATACCTAATGAGCGATGCGATGTAAATGCACAACTACAGACATATAAAACAACGTTATTGGCTGAAAGTGTATCTCTGAAGTGGCATTGATTGGTAAACAACGCTAACCGTTCCCATCTTAGCACGGGGTCTCGCCCGAAGATCCAGCTACCATCAACTTGTCAATCATTCTATCAACTCCAACTCCGACGTCGCAACGCAATTGCGCTGTCAAACCCCATTATTGTTCATGAACATGTCTTGACGAAATGCCTATATGTATCGAATGCTCCTACCCGGTTTCCCATCTGTACACCTCCTACAGCAAAGCCGATGACCGCGCGCTCGGCAAAGGGGTGCGACTGACGCAGTGTCCGCGCTGCAAGCGGTTCGCCGATAAATATGTTGAGCATGATAATGTGGTGTTGTTCATTGATTTGGTGCTTATAAAGCCTCAGGTGGGATCGCTCATGTCTTGAGTAAAGGAGTTGGGGAAGAGGTGCTGATGAGAATAGGTTTATCGGCATTTATTGTTTAATCGGTTGGGGAGGGATGATAAGGCTTTTGATGTAAGTCTACGCTCAATTGACTGGTGTATTGACTGTGCTGATGAGTATTTGGGTAGCGCTCGATTATACGTCTCGGCGTGCTCCTGCTCCTCTTCGACGTGTACTTGACATGGGCCCGCATCGAGAAATCGTCTACCCTCGCATCGACGCCGCTGTCCACAACCCCGATCATCGTGCAATACTTGTTCTTTCTCTCGCTCAATGCATTGGCGACACTGGCGCATCATCTAGTCGTTCGTCTGGGTGCTTCGGTAATCTCGAAACGGTCGCATACGCAATCGTCGTCTCTTGCCGCTGGCGCAGACACAAATGAGACGCCGTCGACGCCTACAGTTGCGACGGGTTTCGTCTCTGCGTCTGCGAATGTGAGTCGCTCGCCGTCGAGTTTGGATATGCTGGGATTGCATCCTTCAGCGTCAGCGTCAGCGTATAGCACTGGAAATGCATCTACAAGTGGTTACGGTTGGCCTCCCGATCCTTCTTCACCACCGGCACAGCAAGGGCAAGGACAATTACGCCGCGTATCAACTTCACCCGCTCAGTTCCAAACTCTTCCTCCGCCACCACCTCCGAGCCCAAACGCCGTTAGTACGGCGTTGTTTGTGAGTAGTTGTCCGAAACTGTTCCCCATACTCATGGTGATATGGGGATCGAAAGAAGTCGCGGTGCCCGAAGGCGGGAGTTCGGTGGCTGACAGCCCTGCTGTTACGATGTTGCACAAGACCTTTGCGACTGTGACGTCGGCTGCGTCGATGCCGAGTGCGCCGGCGCTGGGTGATGCTGCTGTCACCAGCACGAGCACCACACCCGGCTCAACTTCAATCTTCGGCCTGTTCGGCAACCCCTCCATGTTACTCGCGACGCTCACATCTGCATTCAACATGCCATCCCTGATGTCATTCTTATCGCTGGGAACGGCATCGACACATCTGGTGCTGCTGAATAATATTGAGGCGCTGTATATTCTGCTGAATTGTGGTTATTTGAGAGCTGTTGCGCTTGCTGTTACGGGTCAGTTGGCGCGGTGGTTGGTGGAGAAGTTGGTTTTGGGAGTTTTTGGAATATACTAGAGTAGTAGTATTAGTAGCTGCTCTGGTGAGGTGTAGAATAGTTATGTTGTTGAATGATAAGTGATACCCCTATACATCATTTCGAGATAACCTTGGAAGGCGAAAACACTAGATTTGCACTGCTTATTTCATGCTAGCTACGTAGTAACCTATACAATTCATTGAGCGGTTTTCAGGATTACTCATCTCGATCTTAACATCTCAGTCGAAATCTGCGGGGCTTCGTTCATGGTTGCTTGTCTCGCTGTACTGATGTACCAATTTCGGCTATCCATGAACAACGGCAAAGGATATCGGGACATCTATCTCCCACCTACAGCATACATCAGAACAGTGGCTATACAAAACCAACCAAAACAACCAGTAAATCCTTTAAATGATTGAAGTCAAAAAATCAAACCTACCCGTGTGATAAAAGAAGAAAATGGCAACAACAATAATCCCCCAAATCCAACGCGCAGCCCAAGTCCTCTCACCAGGCGAATCATTCCACATCTCGATCCGCGACGACATCCCCGTGCCAGAACCAGCAGGGCCGAATGAAGTTTTGATTAAATTGAGTTGTACTGGTCTTTGGTATCTTCTTTCCCATCTACGAATTTTTAGAAGCAAACTAATAGGAAATGGGGACAGCCACTCCGAAGTCCGCGCAGTCCTAAACTGGGCGTCCTACAACCCCATAATTGGACACGAAGGAATCGGCACTGTCGTCAAGACACATCCTTCTCTGCCACCATCGTTGGCCTCTGTGGGTGAAAGGGTAGGTGTGAAATGGCTGTATAGCGCGTGCGGAACCTGTTCTGTTTGTAGTAGAGGATGGTATCACAATTGTGCTTCGCAACGGAATACGAGTCGCCATGTCCCCGGGACATTGCAGCAGTATGTCGTTGCGGATGCGCGGTTCTTGACACGGATCCCGGCAGACCTCAAGGAGGAAGTTGCGGCGCCGTTGTTGTGTGCGGGGTTGACGATGGTTGGGGCTGTGGAGAAGCTTGATTCTAGCGTTTTTCTACAGAATGCAAAAAGAAGTGAAGCGGGAGAGAAAAGGGAAGACGGTGGGTTTTGGGTAGTTATTTCCGGCTCCGGGGGCGGATTGGGGCATTTGGGTGTTCAGATTGCGGCAAGAAACAAAGGGTATCGTGTCATTGCGATTGATTCGGGGGAGGAGAAACGGCGGCTTAGTCTGGAGTGTGGCGCGGAGGCGTTTGTCGATTTCAAGACTGAGACGGACGTCCCTGCGAGAGTGCATGAGTTGACGGGTGGTGAAGGTGCGCATGCTACTATCGTCGTGCCAGGCACGAAAGAGGCGTTTGAGATGGCGCCGAATGTGGTACGGAATATGGGCATGATTGTTTGTGTGGGATTGCCGAGGAATGACCTTGAGTTGCCTATTTCGGCGACTATGTGTGCTGCTAGGGGTGAGTCTTACAATTCCTCGGGAAGAGGGCAATGGCTGATGCTTAGTGATGGTATAAAGGAATATCGATCGTTGGATCCTCGGTGGGCAGCGAGAAGCAAATGAGTGAGTTGCTCCAGCAGGCTGTGGAGGGACGGATTGAGCCTGTAGTCAAGGTCTATGAGTTTGAGGATACGGCAGACCTGATCAACAGGTTCATAGACGATGGTATTACCGGCAAGGTGGTGGTCAAGATTCCGCAGTAGATCATCTGGATGATAGTGTACTCTTGAGTAAAGAGAGATGAGTATATCAGCCCTAACCCTGGTAGATAAGCTAGTCTCGTTCGGATTAGTACTCGTGTTCGGCGTCATCGTCACTTGACTGTTTGGTTTGACTGGCATCTGCCCAACAGCGTCTCAGGCAGTCATTATTTAATTTTTTCCGTACATCTGCCGAAATCTAGAGCTGAGAAGTGATCATCTGTAAAGGTGGCTTCTTTGTGTAGCTCATAGCTTGCTCTTTCACTTGATACATCAGACCATTGTTCTTAACGACAGACAAGGCTGACTCAATTCGTCATCGCCCCTCATCCGCCCGCTGAGGCTCTACAGTCACTTCAACCGCCCATCAACCATCAGTTAGCGGAAACGGTCATCCACGGTTGCTACAATCACACCCGTGGTTCGACTGACGGGTAAATTTTAGTTCCCCTGAATAAACAGAAGGTCGTCTCACCAGACTACAACATGCCAACCTACGACGAAATCCGCTCTGCAACAGAGAGCATCGACAGCGGCGGTGGACGATGGGATGCAGAACGCTTCACACGTGAACGCGACGAGCGCATTTACCGTGGTCCCGCGCCTCCGCCTCCCTTTCGAGAACGAGACCGATCACGATCACGGTCGCGAGCACCACCCCCACCACCGCCTGAATTCGAAAGATCAGACCGTCGGCCCAGTGACCGATTCGACGACCGCTTTGAGCGCCGCGTCGTCGAAGAAGACCGCTACGGACCACCGGGTCGCCGCAGAGAGCGGTTCGTGGAAGAAGATGATTACTACGCTACTCGTGGCTCGGGACCTTTGGTGCATCATCGTCGCGAGCCATCACCGCAGCCGTTTCGTCCCCCGAGATTGGTGAGGAGACAGTCTTCGCTTGATACTTTTGATAGAATACCGGCTCGAAGGGKTGAGAGAGCGCCTCCGCCCCCCATTAGAGGAATGCGTCCACACAGGCGCTCGTCACCGCCGAGATTCGTTGAGCGCGACGAGCTGTACGAAGAGATCGACATTGCGGAGCCTGACGAGTACGGAGACGAAGAGTTTCGGCATTTTCGTGAAAGGGAGATGCGCCGCCCGGTCAGAGAGGAGATTGTCAAGGAAAGGATTATTGAAAAGGATAAGCCGTACCCGAGAAAGGGCAAGACGAAGATGCCGAAGCGTTTGGTGGATCGTCGAGCGGTGCAAGCCCTTGGTTATCCATATATCGAAGAGGTTGGTCTCTTTGGTCATGTTCTAGATCGAATACTGATCGATTGTAGGAGAAAGTGTTGATCATTCAGAAAGCTCTTTCCAAAGAGCTGATTGACGAGCTCGTGAGCATGAGCAAAGATATTAAACGCCGTTCTGAACGCTCTGAAGGTGAGCATTTGGGACACCATTCTCGTTTACCGTCATGCTAATTGTGTAGTGTTATACCGGGAGTTTAGATCGCCATCACCACCACCGGTGCGTGAACGAGAACTAGTCGAGCGAGTTGTTATTGCTTCACCATCACCAAGGCGATCTGAGCGTCTAGTTGTCGAACGATCCCCGTCACCAATCCGTGCTGAACGCTTTGTGGTAGAGCAATCTCCGGCACGTACGGAACGTCTCATCGTAGAACACTCTCCAGCCCGCACCGAACGGTTGATCGTTGAACGTTCGCCGTCTCCGCTCCGTTACCGCAGCCCTTCACGAGTCCGTTCCGGCCGTTATCTTGATCGTCCAGATATTATTGAAACTCGACCTCGCTCGGTGTCCGTTAATCTGCCACAACGATATTCAGAACCTGTCATTGTCGAGCGTCGTGGAGAAGAATCAGGACAGGTCGTTTTAGTCGAACGGCCTCGTCGCGAGCTGGAAGTCAGCGAAGAGATCCGCAGGCTTGAGGATGAGAGGCGGATGCTGCAGATCGAGCGTCGTCCTGAACATGTTGGCTCGGTGGATATCATCAAGGATAAGATCATTCGTCGAAGCGATGGCGAGACGGATGAGATTATTGAAGTGAAGAGGGATAAAAAGGGTGAGCCTCTTGCTCGTAGACACATAATCAGAACTTGGCTAACTTTTTGCAGCTCCCGATTCACGTCTGATTCGTGCGATGATGGCGACGCTGACGTGAGCTCGCTATCACACTGTTGAGGTTACTTCGAGTCCTTACTGTTTCCATATTGTTATGACTGTTCCGGCGTTGTCTAGTCCGATTTATGGTATGATGTCGATTAATCTGGGAATGGTGTGAGAGTTGTATGGTTTTCCACTTATGATTGTCATGATTATCAAATTCACTGCTTCAATTTGCTGTAATTCATGTATATAGACTTGATCTTTCGTGAAGATATCCCTAGCATCCCTTGTTGACTTGGAGCGGAATGTATAAGTGGGGCCTGAGCTAAGCTCCTGCTGCCTGAGGCAACCAGGTTTCAGTTTCAGCCGTCGAAGATAGTTACATAAGTAGTTAGCCTAACAGATCCCCTAAGTTACATCAAACATCTATCTCCACGAGCCACGACATTGTTTCATTCCAGTCATCTGCTAGATAATCACGCCGAGAACTCTTCACCAATATACTCGCATTCATCGACCAAAATGGATAAACTCCAGGCCTTTGGAAAGAACCTCAAGTAAGCTCTTTGTTCTGCCCCTCCTTATCAGCGCTCCGTCATGTTTGTTGCCAGAAATCCGGATGAGCGCACAAGACACAACCTCTTTTTTTTTTTATTTTTTTGGATTATTGCTGATAGCTTGTAGCGCCCAGCTCACGCCTTTTGCGGCGCGGACTCAGCAGTTTGTCAAGGAACAGCTTGGCCAGGCTGATGAAAAGACCCAGCTTCCGGACGACTATCTCGAGCTCGAGAAGCGTGTTGATGCTTTGAAGCAGGTGCACCAGAAGCTTCTTTCTGTGACGTATGTATATCTCGACCGGGAACTTTTTTTTTCCTTATTCAGAGAGTGATAATACTGACGGGTTTTACGGACAGCTCCCAATACTCAAACGAGGCTTATGACTACCCTCCTAACATCCGCGAATCCTTCAACGACCTTGGTCGCACCATCAGCGAAAAGGTCAACCTGCTTTCCCACGCTTCCTCTCCCGCTGAAGCCCAAGCTGCCTTGACCGCACCTCCCTCCGCCAAACCCCAACCCAAAACCTTCAGCCACGCCATCGCCCGCGCTTCCTTGTCTGGCTCGCAGCTAATCGCCCAGACCTCTCCGGCCGAGGACCCGCTCTCAACCGCATTGGAGAAGTATGCTTTGGCCCTTGAAAAGGTTGGAGAAGCTCGTTTGGCGCAAGACGCTCAGATCCAGTCTCGTTTCTTGGCGGGATGGAATACCACCTTGAACACTAACCTAACATTCGCGACGAAGGCTCGTCGCAATGTTGAGAATTCGAGGCTTAGCCTGGACTCGATCAAGGCGAAGAAGAAGGCTGCTGCCGGTGGGGATTTGGATAATATTAGTGAGGATGCGAGGATTGAGATTGAGCAGGCTGAGGATGAGTTTGTGGGGCAGACCGAGGAGGCTGTCGCTGTGATGAAGAATGTGCGTTTTCTTTCTGTTTTTTTGGTGGGTTAATACTGATTTGGCGCATTAAAGGTCCTTGATACCCCCGAGCCCTTGAGAAACCTCGCAGATTTGATCGCTGCACAGCTCGAGTACCACAAGCGAGCATACGAGATTCTCTCCGAATTGGCTCCCGTCGTCGATGGCCTGCAAGTCGAGCAGGAGGCAAGTACATAGTCTTGCGCCATTTTGTTGATTATTCATCATGGCTAACTGACACCAGGCCAACTACCGTAAGAGCCGTGAGGGTGCTTAAACTGCGGTATACTATGTCTAGTTTGAGTCATGTTTGCCTCGTTAGTTGGTCTTTTTGAGCTGTGATTCCCGGACCATGGATTACCATTGGTCGTTTCTATGAGGGATTTTGTTCTATGTACTTTCTTATTTCCTATCTCTCGAATTGATTGAGTAGAGCATCTGGTTTATGCGTAGCGTCCATACAAAGTATAGTCACTGTAGTCACTTTCAGCTATCTCGAAGCAAACAGAACTATATTTATACATATAATTTCCTCAAGCGTCGGAAAATAGAAAAAGAAAATCAACGGAGATCACATTGATATTAATCACATGATTTATCCGCATGAAGCTTGTTGCTACGAATGCCAAGCCTCGAGCCGGCAGCCGCTGCTCAGTGCTTACCTTAATTCATAGACTCAAGCTCAACGTCACCACAATCTTACCTTTACCTCGACAAAACAACGAAACAACAAAGCGACCTGCACAAACGACCTCATCGAGTGGACTATCGAGTCTACTGTATGCCGCATTTGAGACATTAAACATATCCGCTAATACGATCGACCGCGAGACTATTGGATTTGGTGACGGGAGCCTGGAGCTTACGCCGTACACAGCTCGACAGCGGTGCTTGATTCTTGCTGCAAGATCGGTCACATTATAAGCGTCGGTCGATATTATATACGCACGCATACAAAACCCGAGATTCGTGTCATCAATCATCCACAACGAATCCTTTACCGTGTCCTCTACACCCATAAACCGCGCGCTGGATAGAAGGAAGGTTACATTTTCACAATGGCGAACGGGTGAGCTCTCAACCCTGCAGATCTCAAGGTCTCTTACGTAGGGTATCTAACAAGCTTGGATACAGAGCAAGTATCATAATCGGACTCGTATTCGTGATCCTAGCCAGTCTCTGTGCCTGGTTCTTTGCGCCAAAGGGTGATAATCAGACGTACGTTCCCCACCCACCCCTACTGGCTATACGGCTATTCTCTATTTTCCCAGGCATAAATGCTAACTTACGTTGTGATGTAAAGGGTCTGGAGAAGTAGTCTCATCCTCGCGTTTTCGGCTTGTTATATCATGTGGGGTATGTCGCGTGTTGCGTCCTATGATAGTTATTTGTTTTTATCTTTGAGTGTTGAGCTAATTGGTGTGCTATGTAGCTATCACATTCCTTGCACAGTGGCATCCTCTTATCGTGCCTACGAGGTCGGATATGCGTCCTGGTCGGGTGCCGGAGTAGACGACTTTGGTTATCTTATGGTTGAAGTGGGTGAAGCGGTTCGAGAGAGTCCCGATATACAGATTAATGAAATATAGTCTTTGCGTGCGTCGCTGTTTGTGTATGAATATACCACTTTCTTTGTCATTTGGATTTGGCAGCAGGGTTTTTTATTCAGCTTTGACAACTATCAAAGTGTATAGTGCCGAGTCACGGATTCAGTAACCCCGACTTGTCCCTGCTGAAGACATGAACTACAAGACTATCAGCTTCTACCTACATAGGTAGCAGGAAGTCTAGATCGACCTTTTCTGTGCCGTTTCAGGTGGCGAGCATGATGGAAAACCGTTTTTTTAAATATCTGCAGAAAAAGGAATGCGTCCCTTCCCGTGGCTGATGCAGAGCATAGTCCACGCGTTTCATGCATGCATGCATGTCATCACTACATACGAATCAGGTATTGAGTGGCTTGTTATTCCATGCAAATGATGTTCTAGAAGGCTGGCCTATCTGATGCGCTGGTGTAGAGTCAAGGGTATTTGATAGTCTGTAGACTTGCGCAGTTGCATTACTTGCGGAGCAGTACGATGAGGACCTAGTTAGTCTTGTGGATCTGTTCGAGCGCAGTGCATCGGCAGGATTTATCGTCGCCTCAGCGCAGACTGTCAGATAGTCCGTGTTGCGAATCCAGGATCATTACGCTCGTAGCATCTTACCTAGCTATGAATGGGACTAGTCAATTGACGTCGTCGTCGTTCGTAGGCAAGGGGCGAATTTTTATAGTACTTTCTATACAGTGAATTTCATACCCATTAAGATTACATATAAATCGTCTCTTGATACTACATAGAAACGGATTACCTTCCTATAAAGGCAAGCGCCGTCCCCATTATCAATACAATGCTCTGTCCCGGCCACGTAGAAACTCCGGTACTCCAGAACATGCCTTAACAGCGGCTGAGACGTTACGATAAGCACTCCACGTGTAATAATACTGGAACATAATTTACTCAATTGCGGAGATGTATCTGCTTTGGCTATTTTAACTTGAATTTAGGTGCATATAGTAAGTAGCTAATATGGGGCCTAAAGTGCTGGTGAAGAGTGTGAAGATTCTGAAGAGGGTGTTAGGGCTTGGTGTTGACCAATAGGGGGTTGCACTTTCGCTGATTGGGTGTTGGTTTGCGTCAGAAACGTGCCAGCAGATGTAAGTCCATTCAGAGTTGAGTGTAGGCTTGAGCCTTGTCGGCTTGTGGTCGTTGCTATGGCCCCCCGCCCCCCGCGTGGTTCAGCTCGTCTGTATGATTGTGTCTGTGATACACGAATAGGACTATCTCGTATAACACGGATACAAACCTGAAGATATTCAAGGATTCATGGGTAGGCATATATGCAAAGACCACAACTACTGTCTCGAGCTTATAATATGCTCAATGACATTATCCAGAACTTGATGCCAACCAACATCGAACCTGAAAAGTGACGTCCACAACTCGTACAATCCCGTAGTGCCATTAGCTTCGCTGACAGCCTTGTCATACCTGCCGAGACGCATACTTTACACAGAACTAGTTCTTAGTTCTACGCTTAGTTAGACGGTAGTCGGATCCATGTTCTTAGTAGACATCAATCGGGACCACGATAGTCACTCCACTTTCTCTTGTAGTATTGAATTTCTTATGCTATTTACAGAGGGGTCGCATCGACGAGAATATGTTGAGGTAGATTCAGTGTTATACTCGAGTCAGAACCCGCAATGGTTTCTGAATAGACTTTAACATCTTCATCACTTAAACTACCAAGCTATCGATTATTTTGTCCACATCGAGAAAGTTGAAGCCACATTACCAAAGCTCTCTGACTTGTCAAATCAATTCATTCTTGGTCAAACAAATGAATCATCTCCCTCTCGACTCGATATGGATGTTCCATACATCGGAGACAGACTCCTGATCTTCTCCAGCGTCTTTGCTGGTATCCAGATCTTCTTCGTCGCTCTCCGGCTACTAACTCGAGTGCAGTACCCCAAGGCCTGGGGATGGGACGATGTTGTCATTCTGGTTTCGCTCGCTGGGCAATTGGGGATTGCGGGGGCGTCTATTGGTTTGTCTTCCTCCTCGAACATCATCATACAATAATACAACGAGCTGACAGTCTGTCCCGTCAAAAAAAGGATACGTCAAATGCGCCATGATCGGCTATCACCAAGCATACCTCAACGAAAATTACACGGAGAAAGTAGTCATCGGACTCAGATACCTCTTCGCAATTCAAATTCTGTACAACTTCTTCTTCAACGTGCCCAAATTCGCCATCTTGCTTTTGTATAATCGCGTCTTCCCTCCGCCACTCACAATCAATAAATTCGTCCGTGTGATGATGGTATTTCTCGTCTTGCAGACAATCGCAAACACATTCGCAGAGTTCCTCATCTGCGGATCTCATTTTGCAAATTTTGATCATTTCGTGAGGAGTACATGCGCTAGTAGACAGGCATTTTACGTCTGGGGCACGTTTCCGAACATTATTAGTGATGTGATTATTTTGGTGCTGCCAATGACGATTATACTGCGAATGCATATGGAGAATCGGATGAAGGTTGGATTGGCAGTGACATTTTTGGTGGGAAGTCTGTACGTACCTACTGTCTGTCTTGTGTTGAATGTCAGTAAGCTAATGCAATGACAGAGGCCTCACTACCTCAATCCTCCGCTTTGCGTGGTTCTACCAAGATGTTTCCATGACAGACTACAGCTGGAACGCCATCAACCTCATGATCATCACCCAAGCCGAGACAGGCACATACCTCATCTGCGCCTGCCTGCCCACTTACCGCCGCTTCGTGCTCAGCTGCTCATTCCGCGGGAAAACACAACATACAAATACATATACAGGCACTTCACCACTGACATTCTGTGACCCGGACCTCAGCCGTCGCAGTACACAAAAGCACTACCAACAGCAACAACAACTACCGAAACAACTTCCAACATTATTTCCGCAAAAGCCGGAGAGTGTGGCAGGTTTGAACGGGCATCATCATCATCAAGACCAAAATGATACGTACCCTTTAACGTTCGTACCGGGCAAGAACAACACCTCGTCCCACCATAAGTACCCTTCTTATGCGAGTTCGTTTTCCATGTTGAGATGCTCGTCTAGTAGACTCAACGAGTCGCCTAGTGACACCATAGAGCAACATATCGATCATGCGCACAGTCAGGATTTGGAGTGATCCTCGAGCTCAAAAATTTGGTATGAGAGATTTTCCAATTCCTGTCTATTGTTTGTTCGGTTGTTGGGCCTAGGCTGAGATATATACACGACTTGTGGTGGCATATTGGGGTTTCGGTACTGGGCGTTCAGGTGTTGAATTTGTTTTGAGGTTGCATTGATGAATAATGAATGTCGGACTGTTCATCCTTCATCTTTGAGGGAGCAACAGATAACGCGACCGACTATTGTGGCTTATGATGATAGAGGCGATGGACATATTTGATACAAGCCAGAGGGCCAGTATATACTAGATGGCATCAGTGCCATAGATCATTGGTTTTATGCATGAATTGACTTTGCCGTAGATGTCTCTGGATTCCAAGACGAAGCCCTTGAGTCTCGCAAAATGTTTCATGTGAGAGAGAGAGAGAGAGACAGTCAGCAGTGTGTTAAAATTCGATAATTCGAGCATCAGACTTCACGAAGCCAAATACTGTGGAATTCAAGCTTTTTGATGATCGGCATGGCTAACCCGACGTGCCTCGGCTCTTTAATTGGGGTTCTTATCTGGGGTACATCTCTACATCTCCACATTTTAGCTCTATTACTTTTCTTCTTACAACCAAATTCAATATTCGAGATACATTTAATTCTCAGTCGATTGCTGCAAATAACCATTACTGGCGTAAAGACTGAAGGAATCATCATGTCCGATACATTTAAAGGCTGGGTCGCCCACAACGCCACCGGCCCCCTAACATACACAACCTTCACTCCCAAACCCTTCACCCCAACCGACATCGAAGTCCGGGTGAGCCACTGCGGTATCTGCGGCACAGATCTTCACACTCTGCGTTCCGGCTGGGCGCCTGCCGACTACCCCTGCGTCGTGGGCCACGAAATCATTGGTACCGTAGTCCGCGTCGGTGCGGGGGTTGCGTCGCTCCCTTCTTCTTCTGCATCGAGGCAGATACGTGTTGGCGACCGCGTCGGGGTCGGCGCGCAGAGTGATTCCTGTCTGAAGGCTGACTGTGAGGCGTGTGCGGATGGACTAGAGAATTACTGTCCACGTATAGTGGGCACATATAATGCGCGATACCGTGACGCTGATAAGAGTAAATCGTACGGCGGGKATGCGGACTACTGGCGGGGACCGGCGCATTTTGTATTCAGGATTCCGGATTCGTTGCCGTCGGCTGAAGCGGCGCCATTGTTGTGTGGTGGTGTTACTGTCTTTCGGCCCTTGAAGAGATATCGTGCCGGCCCCGGAAGGAGTGTTGGTATTATCGGGGTAGGTGGATTGGGCCATTTGGGGATCTTGTTTGCGAAGGCGTTGGGTTGTGATCGCGTTGTCGCTATTTCGAGGACGTCGAGTAAACGCAAAGATGCAGTTGAAGGGTTAGGCGCGGATGTTTTCATTGCTACGGAAGAAGAGGAGAAATGGGCAAGGACGTATTCGCGCACGCTCGATTTGATTATCTGTACAGTGGACTCGCCGAAATTACCGTTAGCCCAGTACTTGCGTCTGCTCAAGGTTGGAGGCACGTTTGTTCAGGTCGGGGCTCCTGAGGGTCCTCTTCCGGGGTTACCGGCGTGGTCTTTGATTCAGAAAGAGGTGCAAGTGACGGGGTCGAATATTGGGTCACCGGATGATATAAGAGAGATGTTGCAGTTGGCTGCTGAGAAGAGAGTATACCCTTGGATTCAGAAGAGGCCGATGAGTGATGTGAATGCTGCGTTGGCGGATATGGATGCTGGAAAGGCGCGGTATCGGTATGTGTTGGAGAATGATGTAAAGTTTGAGGCGAGACTATAGTCAAATTACCTTGATAGTAAAAGAATCATATAATTATGCCTATGTAGATATTGAAAATCGCGTACGTGTAGACGAAGCACTCAACACATGTAAAGAAGTCGTAAGCAAATCCATGAAGTATTAGATATTGACATAACCACCCAGAAGAAACCACAAAGTCTATATATCTTGCTCATAAATATTCGTACAAGGAAACTGCAGTCAAATATGCTGCAACAGTAAAACCTGCATACATAACAGGTAAATGTCTATATGAATTAAAAGTAGTAAGCAATACCAAAAAAGCAAAACCGATGTCCTCCTAGTCATGTAACATTAGGGCTTGTGCAGTTGCTCTTTACGGAAGAACATGAAGAACCCAGCACTGCAACAATCATACAAGTCAGCACAATTCCTTTCATAATATGGAGAAGAGACTTACCAGATCAAAAGCTGGAAAAACAATCCAACCCAAAACCACGCCGTCCAAAGACTGTTAATCCCTGTCCCAATATCAGGCGAAATATCGCCAGGCCCAATCTTATTCGGCGCCGCAGCACGCGCTACAATGGTCGCAATGGAGCCCAGTACCTGCGCGCCCAGAAGCACAAAACAGATATGCAGCCGGGTAAGAGTCTGCAACAGGATCATACCAAATCCGACACCTTGCAAGGAATCCAGCACGCCCAGCCAGAGCCACAGACTGCGCGATACAAGCGCGCCAGAGACGAAACTTCCAGCCCAGGGGATGTATTGCCCTAAGTTTGAAGTTCCCCACCATATTTGAGCCCATCGAGGTGCTCCAAGACCAATTGCGAATACAGGCAGGATCCAGCTGTGAGATTTTGAGAGGAAGAACATGATACCCAACATTATGCCCCATACAAGGACAAAGAACAGGACGACGAGGAGAACAATCTGCCATGTCGAGGCGTGCTGTGAACTCCACAGAAAACTCCAATTCCGGCCGTAGGGCGCTGACAAAAAGAAATTTTGAATAAGCACCGTGACGAAAAACCACATGATGATCTTGCGTCTGAAAATCGATTTGTAGAACGAGGCTACCTTTCCGGGCGTCTGGCGGTAGTAGTCTGGTAAACCAAACGCGAGTAAGATACCAATTGCCCAGAGCATGACTGCTATGGGCACGGTGATGGCGGTGATTTTCCAGCTGTTGATTATGGGTTGTACATTGGCGAGACCGGCTTKTGTCTGTTTCGATAAGGAGGATCCCCAGTACCACAGCGCGACGACGTAGAGTTGTTGAGTTCCTTGGATTATGCAAGCCCTAAAAACCCAGTCCTTGACGGGGGCCGCACTCTCGTCGCCGAAGTTAAGAGAAAAGAAGATTGAGCCACTGGCAGAGGCGGTTGCGTATATGCCGCTAGCAAAGTTTTGGATCCAATCGCGGTTGACGGGGTTGTGCTCGAAATGTGCGATGCCGATCAGAAGAAAAGCGAGACCGTAGAAGAACCAGGGTGTTGAGAGGGCGACGACGGACTTGAAGCTTCGGAATACGCACCACCAAGCGATGGACGTGATGAGGTATGTGGTCGCAATTGCGTATAGCTTCTCTGGGGTCTGACCAACTTGACCAGTGAGAAGAGTGACTTGGTAAGAGTTTGCAGCAATGATCTGGCCCAGACCCAAGAAAAGTGAATATAGAGGCCAGTCACCAATCCGAAGTTGCATCCATTTCTTGAGTCCTGTAGGTGGCTTATAGTCTTCTCCCAGGAGGAACTCATCGCCACCCTTTTGGATATCACTGTTGCTATCCCCATTCGAAATCGAGTTTGTCGGAGAAGTGAGTATTCCTTTACCCTTGATCGACGGCACAGGTGACCAATCTCGCCCCAAACGAGCAGCACGGAATCTGTCGTACCATTTCTTCTCACTCTTGACCAGAAACTCTTCAATGCACAATTGTCCATCAGAGTTTGACCCGTTGAGGTCTTCGAGTTTCTTCTCGAAGATACGGTAAAATTCGCCTGTGGCATCGGTGAAGAAGGGATCGACCTTTTGCAGTTTGAAGTTTTTCTTGTCGCCGACGACGGAGTCAAAGGACAAAACGGAAGAGTTGCTAAGTCGGTTTGGAGCGGTTGCAAATGGGCGAGTGGGTGGTGCGAGGGAATCTTCGCCTTCGGAAAAGCCAGGTGATGCTGGTATATAAGGGTAGTAGTGACCATTGACCTGACTGGCGTTTAGCAAGTGGACAGGAGATGGAAGACCGTGCTCGTCATCCATCCGCCGACTCAAATCGGCATGTTCTGGTGTCATGGTGAACTCGTCTTCCGTAAAGTAAGAGTGCAAGTTCTCGTCTTCAGTCTCGTCGCCCTCACGCTCGCTATCAGTCACGTCTTCTGAAGCAGCAACATGACTCTTCCTTCGGAGTCGATTTCGTCGCTCAATCACAGCGGTATGACCAGGTCCCGCCCTGACACCTAATGACAACTGACGGAACAAGTTTGACGCGCGTCGCTCATCTCCATCGGGACTTGGATCTCTGCTGTAAACAATAGTATTTCGTTGCTGAGGACCAAGACTGCTTTGTCGCAGGCTTGAGTAGCCCATACTTCCTGCTTCAATGAGTGGAGGTGTGTGTGTACCGAGATGATGATCGGACATTGGAAGGTATAACGGGGTACCAATAGCTTCGCTTGGAGTGCGGTACCCAGTCGGCGTAGAAATCTGTCCATTCGACTTGATAGTCTCCCTCGTATGGATTCTGATAGACGTACTCTGGAGAATCTCCAAATCTTCAATCCACTGCGCGACTGGGAAACGCTGTTTGGCCGATCTCGCACGCATTTCGGCGCGAACTTTGACCTTGGAGTTTAGTGCACCATCAATCGCGAGTCTGAATTGATGAAGCAAGTGCGACGTAGTAGTAGACTCAACAGTATACCACCAACCGGGCATCTGCCCTAATCCACCGACACGAGCTCCAATACCCAATGCACCTTTTCGACCAAACTCAACAGCAACCAAACCAAACGGCTCATCTCGCGAAGGGATCAATGCGAACTCAGCGCCGGAGAAGATAAAAGGTGGCAGTGCAGTGAATTGAGGTCTGGAAAATACTCGTCCAGGATAAAGCTTCATCATACGATCCAATTTCAACGCGGCAAACTTGCCATAAAGATCAATAACAGGCCCGATACAGATCAATTGCACATTGGGCCTTGCCTCGAGAACGGACGGCATAACATCAGCAATAAGGTCAATACCCTTTTGCATCGACCAGCGGCCAACAAAGACCAGCAAATCAGCTTCAGGGTTCTGGTCCAGACCTGCCCATTCTTGCGCCTGTCTCTTGAGTTCGACCCTGCCAGCTTCAAAGTCTTGATCAACCGTGAAATCGCTTTCCTTGGGGACGGACTTATCCCAGTCTGCGGTGTCGGATGGATCGGGATTAGGCAAGTTTCCGACTTTCTTCAAACCCCAGAAGATGGGGTAGCGAGCATAAGATCTCTTGCCATATTTCTTCGAGACGCCTACGGCGCCGAAGCCTTGTTGATGGACTCGCAAATAACTAGCGCCTGCATGCAAGAGGTTGAAGACTTCACCGAATTGGACGTAACGAGTGGCAACGTTGACATCAAGATTGAACACGGAACAGACTTCATCTCTCTCATTCTGCGTTCGCATCGGCCACAAACCTTGAAACTCGGCGTTGTGTAGCGACAAGCACGCGGGGATAGTCTGAGGAAGAAGATACAACGGAGCCAATGATCCATGATAATCATTGATATGATACAGATCAATCGGGAACCGCTTCATGGCTTCAGCAATACACTGATTCCAAGCCGAGTAGTAGATCGCACTATCCAAATCATCCATGCGTGCAGGGTACGGCTCCGTTTTGGTCTGTTGCCGGAATACCGGTGCATCGAGTAGGACGTAAGTAATATTCCGCAAGACGTGATACTGAACCTTGACTTCGTACGAATTGCCCAAAACGGTCACAAACATTGGCTCTGCGGGCTGGTCTTCTGGATAGTCGACGTCTCCAACACAGGGCACAACCCAGATAAGGTCCTGGTGACTCAAATTCTTTCCCATGAGTTGTGCCATCACACCCAAGCCACCGATTTTGATCTTGATAGCCCAGTCTTCAATGTCGTATTCCATCGTCGCAATCATGACCATCCGTCGACGCTCCCCGCTCGTTGCACCCGCAAACGCAGATGTCGTTTGCAAGAATCCCGACCGATTGGCGAGACGTAAGAACGGGTTTTTGACTTCGATGCCGTCGAGTCTTGCTCTTTTCAGTCTTCGGCGTAATGCTAGGGGTAGGATGTGAGTCTTTTCGGTCACACCGACTTGGTTGAATTTAACGCGGTAGAAGGATTTCATGAAGAGCCAAATACCAAATGATGCGGAGAGGATAGGGACGATTAGGAAGAGGGAGAAGAGTATTATCTGGATATTTGCTGAGCCGACCGGTAACAATTCAAAGCGTTGGGTACCGTCGTGGATCCGAATTTCCCAGCCGAGGTACGATGAAGGTGGTGGGTGGGTGATGTTGATAGTGACCGCAGATAGAGACGAAGGAGGGAGACGATCCAAGACAGAATCTCCATCGGCATCACCAAATACAAAGCCTTGATCAGGCTGGCCGTCTGGATTGATGCCCCAGATACTGACCTGACCCTGAGCAGGCCACTCCGTCAAAAACTTGACTTTCCACAACCCGTCATCCGAGTCTTGAACCATCTCGTTCTTCAACCCTGCATCAAACCCATATTGGTTGTACGGACCGTTCCAGAATAAGTGCGGGAATCTGCGTGGAAATGAAGACTCCCAGTCACTGTCACCTTCCTGAACATAGTCGCTGCTACCAGATACTTTGCTAAAGTACTCAACACGTACATGACTGCCGGTCCATTCTTGTAGAGAAGTACCCGACCAAGGAAGCTCTGTGATGGTGTCGTTGCCACCTGTATAAGGCAGCCAGGATGAAAACGACGAGCCCCAGTTCGTCGAGTACCGCCACATATCAGCTCCGGCGGCATGATGTTGTACGTATAGGGTCCCATTGTCATCTTTGTGTAGTAGACTGGTGGAGTAGTTCGCAGAACTGAAAATCATGGGATTGTCGTGCTGGCCAACTCGGAGTAAGAAGTGGTCGATAGCGTTGGTTGCGGTGCCATCGACGCTGCTTGCGTTGGCGACGGTGATACGGTGTATGCCATTGTAGACGTTATTAAGGGTTGCCTTCCAGACCCAGGCATTTGCGATTTCACCAATGAAGTTGGTCGTACCGTCGTTTATGTTCTGGCAAGAGACGCTGGAGGAATTGAGAGTTGCCGTCTGTTTGGATTCAGTAGTAGAGTTGAGCAGAATGGAATTTGTTACGGAGTTGCAGTCCATTTGTTCTGAGAAATAGATTTGAATTGGGACTGATTCTGCCTGATCTGGACGGACGCTGGAGAGTATACGAGCATCGTGTCCAGGCTGAAACTCTGTGATCATAGGGTACGGTCCAACCCATTTTGCCTTAGGTACGTATGCCCTGAAATCCCATGGCACCATGGTCAGGTTATCAAGACAACCATTGTAATTTGTCGACCCTTCGAGACCAAGTTTGGCTGGGCTTGATTTGAGTGTTTGCTCATCGTAAGGGTAGAAAAGGTTCTTGACGGTTGTATTGGCATCGAAGGGCGCAATCAGAGACAGATTTGTGTTTTGACTACTGCAATCGAACTTGTAGTTGATCGTTGTATTGTCATTCTGATATAAGAGCCATACTGATTGATTGTTGGTCAGATCTTGAATACCTTCAAATCGACCACGTAGAACAGACCACATTCCGGTCTCTGTTGGCGTTCCGTTAGAACCAGGAAGGTAGACATTGTGGGTTTGTTTCGATAATGACTGTAACAGATACCCATCATTAAGAACAGGAAACCTCTGTCTCATTTGAAACATGTGCTTCAAAATATTGCGCAAAGGATGTGCCGGATCTCGATGGTCATATGTGACCGAGATATCCTCGCAGCCATTCAGTGCCGACTCCAGGGGAAACTGATAATACTGAGTGACATTCACTCTATAGCATCCATGGGACCACCAAGCAGTAGCCGGCGACATGGACTGACGGCCATAGACATAGTTGTCTGCGGTGGCATCGAGGATGTAAAACCCCTGCTCCTCACCCCATAGTACAAGAGGTGCGCCAGGCATGTGAAGCGTTGTAATAAACATGCCTAACAGCATCTTTTCAGTTCCATTCTGAATAGCCGGCCAGCGAAACACATCCTGGTTGGTGGTACCGTATAGATGGCGAGGGTCAAACTTTCCTGTGTTCGCATTGACCATATCATTCGACAAAAGCATGAGGTTCCACATTGTCACCCAGTCAGGGGGCAAATCGTAACCAGCAGCAAGATTTCCATCAAGACCCAGAAACCGGGTTAGTGTTCGATAAACCGTATAATGAAAAGCAGCTCCATCGATAGCTTGCTGTCCATTCTCACGGATGAAATACTTATCTGACGACTCGTTCGTCATGAGAACAGCATCTTGCACGTTATCAGGCCACATATCCGGCTGTCGACCTCGTCCAAGATATACAGAACCGAAATTGTTTCCACCAGTGATCTCACCAGACAGGAAGAAATTCTCCTTTCCGTGAGCGCGCGCACATTGTCGCCAGCCTTCGGACATGTCACCCAGAGCGTCGACGGTTGCCTGGGTCGCTTTATCGTAACGGAAACCATCTACATCTAGAGACGCGATGATGATGCAAGCATGCCGAATAAGTTTTTCTCTAACTGATGGATTCCATTCCCTAAGACGGTCCTGCACGGAAGCAAACTTTGCAAGTTCACGCTGGTAGTCCGGGAAGACGCCGAAAGCCTCTATGTCGCCATACTGGTCAAAGTCGCTGTTGTAGCACCCTTTCAAGTCATCGTACACGTAGCTGTCCACAGGGTATCCAGTCTCGTTGTAGAATCGTGGATAGTCACAGGTGGTATTGTAGTCGTTTCCGAAGTGGAAATCGACGTATTGACGAGAGCTTTTGTATTCGACTTTGTGTTCTTCGTATATGAATGGGGCGGTTGTGTTGAGGTAGCCTTCGAAACCGATGAGGTCACCCATACTATAACCATTAGCTTCTGAAAACAGTTGGTTTGAGTTATTTGAGGTAGACTTACGTTGCAAGTGTATTGTCAAAGATGACATACATGCCCCTGTTGTGAATTTCCGTGATAGCTGATCTCCACGTAGCGATATCACCATAATGCTGGTCCAACAGTGTTGTATCAAGAGCTGAATAGCCGTCAAAGCCCCATGGTTGATTCATCAGTGCTGTTCCAGCGAGGTAAATAGCCTTTATCAGAGTAACACTTGAGTTAGGAAAGTCACCCAGTAATGCAAAGTAATAGAACGTACCTTAATCCCCATTCCTTGCAAATAATCCAACGTATCCACTAACCCGACCACATCACCTCCATGCCTCATCTGCGTTGAGTCTAGGTCATGCTCATAGTATGTACCATTGATGTTATCATTCGTCGGGTCTCCATTCACAAATCGGTCCAAGAACAACGAATAGATTGGGACTCGCCAATTGTCCGGAGATGGGAAGTATTCATGGTTTGGCCAAGTGCCCCAGTAATCTGCAGGTGTGTTTGCGGTTTGGTTTTCGTTGAGATTGTAGTGTGTGAGATCTGAGTCGTAGGGCCATGCTCTAGTCGTTGTGGCAGAGAGAGTGAGTAGAAGACCTGCTGTGACCCACATCATGGTGGGCGGCGATGGAGAGTGAATGCCGATTTATAGGCGATGCATGTGTAGATTTCTTATCATCAATACCGTATAACAAGTATTCTATACAGAAGAAGCCGGTCAGTGCATAATCAAACGGAAAGGAAGCTCTTGTAAGACTCGGATGCTCACATATGTCAAGGTATACCTATACCCAGTACAAATAGAACCTGGTAGGTAAGTATACTTTCTCAATATAGACAATAAAATGGTGAAGAATTTCTACAAGAAACCCTGATAGAAAGCGAGAACTGTTCGTATTATCAGGTCGAAGTTTAACAAGCCTACACGAGGAGGGGGATACACACAAGTTTGACAGGGAGGAATCCAATCCAAGGAAAGGATCAATCAGAACCAGGCAGAGGAGTAACAATCAACCATGAACATCTGACCATGAGCCTCTTCGAGGTTACAGGGTCTTTGTCTCCGCCAATGGTCAGCGTGCTGCTGCGAGGAAAAGATCCGAGAAAAGTCTTCGTACAATGTACAAGGCCGGAAGGGTATCAATATCAGACCCTTTGAAGGCTGACAGGTGTATAGACAGTGTGCTCAAGGGTCTGAAAAGGAAAGATTGGAATGTCTCCCTGTCTAGGCAATTGTTTAAAGCAGTGATGGCTTGTCGCTTTTCCCACTTTATTCCTATTTGCCCCTGGAACAGGGTCACGGCACGTCTTCGCGATCATCATGGGTCAGATAACGACTACGCACTGCCGGAAATATGATTGTGCAGCTTTTGCAGAGATGAGGGTTCTGATTGGAAAGATGCGTGTTGCGCTGCAAAGGGATGCAGCTTAGGGCTAGCTACTTTTTCCAAATGCCTTAGTTCAGCAGCTGGATACGGCTAGTGGATGATCTACCAGGGGCTATATCTTGTTTATAGATTACGACTGCCGCGCTGCGGTGGAAAGTAATTCCTTATTGACTATGTCTGCGGTAACAAAAGGCAAGTAGTCTCTAGGACTCCGAAGCTAGCTGATTGCTACTTATCATCGAAGTAGAGAGAGATTAAGATAGTACGAGTACAAAGTCAGAGTCTATCAGAGGCGAGCCTTTTAAGTTCTGAGACATGCTTTGTGATCTGTGTATTCGAGAGTTAGCAAGTGGCCATCTTATGATAGCGACAGCTCTATTCCATTTCTAAACGATCACACGGATCCTTTATATCCGTCTACGAGGCCAAATCATTAGACTCTGATCATAAATTAGCACTTCAGAAGAGATAGACACGTAGGTATATGTAGCACCGAAAGAGCCTCGTTTAAAAGCGGCCTATCTCCGAGCGCTCTCAAGTCCGAGCTATTTCAACTGAGACCATTATCACATTGGTTGATGCACACGCCACGAACGCATGTGTCACAGTGCTGATAACGTATTGTTGAAGCATTGGACAGCTATAGACTGTGTACGCCAGCGAAGAGTCAAGACAATGCTGGCAGCAACTTTGGAACACGAGGTTCGGGATGCCTTCGACTTGACTCTGCGAAAACTTCTGAGCCACGATCAATAGGAGACATTCTCCTTGCATACGATAGATGAGCACTGAGTCAGTGTATGGGGCTCGATCCTAGCCAGGTACCGGGATGATGGATATCGAGTTGCGAACCTTGCCTGGTCTGTATCGGTCAACGAATTGCTGCACACGGATCCTGGTCGTCTCGGCACATTCGATACTCCATATCAGCTCTTTGTTAGCTTTTATATTCGTAGTTCCCACAACATGCTTCTACTCAATAGATCAGATGTATGTATCACAATGCAACTCGGACATAGAAAGAGGAGGTCGGGATAAACACTACACAGTAGATGGGTCTAGCCCGTGTAGGCCTAGTGTAAAATATCACAGCTTACTATTGGCTCATATGCTGTCATTTGCCCCATCGGCCCATCGACAGAGAAGCCATGCCCCACAATGACGATCGGGGGTTTGACAGACGTGACTCTGATTGGCCACGATATTGCATATTGTCGTCTATCAGAATCCCTTGCGTCTAATCTCTGACTTGAGCAAGGCTCGGGAAAAGGAGACGGATATGGGCTGATGCTCTGTTCGTGAGTAAAACGAATGTGCCTGTGTCAGTCCTCGCGCTAGGATCGGTACCTGGCTAAAATACATCGGGTTACTGTCCTTGATCAGGGCTGAGCTTGGAATAACGCGTCGTTCTGAAAGAGGTAGAGACCAGTGCTACGATTGCTAATGGAACGCTGGTATGATTTGACACCAGGGTTGATGAAGGAGTGTGCTAAATATACTCCTCGGCCAAGATGATCAAACTCGGAAATGTATACGCATAACGAGATAATAGATATTTTGTATATTATTTATTGTACAACTATTTACATAAACAAGATCTATAACTTGCGTCTGGTTATATATGCTTCAAACTACTGATATTTATTCCGCAGTATTCCGCCCACATTTTAGCATAAATCGTTAAATACCCATCGTCCAGCTATTATTGGGCCTTGTACTTGTTTCGGTACTCTTCCAACCTGCGCACTTCCTCCTGCCCAATCTTCTCTCCAAGCTTATCAATCAAATCCTGGAACACCAGCACTGCTCGGATTGGAATGTTGCCCCCGAGATCCCTTTCTGCAGCTCCAATGGCACTCTTTTGCTCCGTATCGCTGACTCGTTCCTGGCGATCAAACAGCAGCACAACACCGGCAACGGTTCCGCCTTCCTTCTGAATAATGCCGACAGCTTCGCGCAGTGCGGTACCAGCGGTGATGACGTCGTCAACGATTAAGACACGTTTGCCTTTGAGAGGTGCGCCGACGATGTTGCCGCCCTCGCCGTGATCTTTGGCTTCTTTCCGATTAAAGGAGTAGCTGATGTTGTCCCATGTCTTTGTGCCGGCGAGAGCGTCCCGGGTAGCGAGTTCGTTGACGACACCGACACATTCGGGGATTCCTTTGTAGGCGGGGCTATCAAAGTCAGTTAACTGGCTCGCATGAGTTCCCAGTAATGGTGGATAATATACCCAAAAACAATGTCGAATTCTGGAGTGATGCTGCCGTCCGCAGCTATATTCACAAAAGGCGGGGACGAGATGGTGTTTGCGAACGCGGCCGACACCTGGCGCAACAGAGGCGCAGTATAAAGACGGCTCGAGGTCAAAAAGTATGGCGACTGGCGACCGGATTTCAGTGTAAAGGTTCCAAAAGCAAGCGCATTGTTGGCTATCAGTAGCGAAAGAAGATTGGTCTTGTAGTCTTGATCGGCGGAGGGAGCAGCCATGTTGAGTGTTTGGAGTTTCTGACAGCGAATCGCTTGTGGTGGTAGGTTCAAAGCTGAGATGCGATAGTCACGAGCGCGGTGTGGTGTTGTGCTGTCCTGCGTGGTGACTAATAGCTGAAGTATCACCTTGTCGAATGTTGATAGACAAAAATTGCAAGGAGGGGCATCTACTAGGGCCCGCTCTGATCGGAATGAGCCAATCAGCTTTTGAGAAATAGTCGGCTGTGATTGGCTGGTCACTCACCCCTCCGTCGCTGACCGAGTATACAACTTGAGGATCCCTTGTTTTGCACGTCCTGTACCCTTTTACTCCAAGTGAGACTGATTTTAATAGCAGAATTATATCCCCTGAGTAATTTACTATACTCTTCATCATCGACTTCGCTCCTGGTACGATTATCGCAAACAAATTGCCTGCTTTAAGACTCCCAGCGATTGGCGGGGACTTCCCAATCCGAGCTAGCGTCGTTTCTCCGGACTCCGATAACGGGTTTAGGGTCCTTTTTTATGAAGAGCATCCATCGCCGGTGACCTTGCTTTCTCTCAGCTTCTCGGGATTTTGTTGCTTTCATTTCTCTGTCCCGGGGGTTTTATTTCTTCTTTCATTCAATTTCACTCTGTCATTTCAGCACTGTGTAGCACTGTTTCCTATTGTGCCCCTCATACTTGTACCATTGATTACAGGTACTAACGTGGATACTGTCCGGGATTGAGTTCGGTTCTGGTCATATTTGATTTTGCAATTGAATTATAACCTGACTGCAAGCTACCTTGTATTGAGCATATATTGACAGCAATATGCACGTCGGGCAAAAGCTCCAAGAACAGGCGGCCTCCGGCCGACCTGGAATTTCCTTTGAATACTTTCCCCCCAAGACTGCACAAGGTGTTCAGAACCTATACGACCGTATGGACCGCATGCATGATCTGGGCCCAGCTTTCATCGACGTCACCTGGGGTGCAGGCGGCAGCCGATCTGAATTGACTTGTGAAATGGTCCGAATTGCACAGACAGTCTTTGGTTTAGAGACCTGCATGCACTTGACATGCACCGATATGCCTCGCGAACGTGTTGACGCCGCCCTTGAAGCTGCCTATCACGCCGGTTGCACAAACATCCTCGCCCTACGTGGAGACCCGCCTCGTGAACAGGAAAAATGGGAGGCTGCAGAGGGAGGCTTTCGATATGCCAAGGACTTGGTCAAATACATTCGGGAGAAATATGGGAACCATTTCGATATTGGCGTTGGTGGATATCCGGAGGGAGCTGATGATAATTCTGATGTGGATCAATTGATTGACCATTTGAAGGAAAAGGTAGATGCGGGGAGTACATTCATTGTCACACAAATGTTTTACGATGTGGACAATTTCTTGAACTGGGTGGACAAGTGTCGTGCAAAGGGAATAAATGCCGCTATTATTCCTGGCATTATGCCCATTTCAACATACGATGCTTTTATGCGTCGTTCGAATTGGACAAAGATCCGCATTCCTCCAGATTGGCTGGAAAAGCTTGAACCAGTCAAAGCCGATGACGCCAAAGTCCGAGAGATTGGTACGAAGTTAGTGGCTGAAATGTGCCGTAAACTGTTGGGATCTGGCCAAATCCACCACCTTCATTTGTAAGCCTCTTCCTATATTTTCCATATCTTGGGGTGACGATGACTGACATGACATAGCTACACCATGAACCTTGCACAAGCTACCCGTCTCATCCTAGAAGAATTGAGACTTCTACCGTCTGAAGAATCTCCTCTCCACAAGCCTCTGCCGTGGCGACGATCCCTCGGTCTACGCCGACGCAGCGAAGACGTTCGTCCGATCTTCTGGCGGAACAGGAATGCTTCTTATATTGCCCGCACAGCCGATTGGGACGAATACCCCAACGGACGCTGGACCGACGCTCGTTCCCCCGCTTTTGGCGAGTTGAACGCTTACGGCGTGCGACTGAAAGGAACAAACGAACAAAACATTAAACTCTGGGGCGCACCAAAATCTATCAAGGACCTTTCCGAAATCTTTCTGCGTTACCTGAACGGCAAATTGGACAGGCTGCCATGGAGCGACCAATCCGTCACTCTCGAGACCAGCGACATTCAGAATGAGCTTCTCGATTTGAATAGACGCGGTTTCCTCACCATCAATTCGCAACCCGCCGTAAACGGCGTCAAATCAAACGATCCCGTCCACGGCTGGGGACCCCGCAACGGCTTCGTGTATCAAAAAGCATACCTCGAACTCCTCGTTCCACCGGAACACGTCGACGAAATTCTACGACGAATTGAGAAGAATCCCGATCTCACATACTACTGCGTCAACAAGACCGGAGAACTCAAAGCGCGAAGTGACGAAGGCCCCAACGCCGTAACTTGGGGCATCTTTGCTTCCAAGGAGATTATTCAGCCTACAATTGTCGAGAGTGTGAGCTTCATGGCCTGGAAGGATGAGGCTTACCAGCTCGGCGATGACTGGGCCAAATGTCATCCTGCAGATAGCCCGAGCCGGAAACTTTTGCAGCGGGTTATGGATGAGTGGTACATTCTCAATATCGGTATGCTCACCAAGCCTGAAACTTCATACCCATTGCATAGCTAACCAACTGGAATAGTGAACAACGACTTCCACAAAAAGGACGACATCTTCCGCCTCTTCGACGGCCTTGTCATCAAAGACTTTGAGACTGAAGTCGTCACCACCGCCCCTGTAGTCACCGACGGCACTAATTAATCAACCCCATCAATTCAACCTATAGACACAACCAACGACCATAACTACCATACCACTAAAACCCACTTCAACATTTCAACATTACCTTATCACTTATCATAAGGAGCAAGCATCCGAGAGGGGGAAAAGGACACTCTCAACGGCGTTTACATTCCTACAATATCCACCACTTTATCTTCAAATTCAACTCCTTTTCGGGAAAATTTTCAACAGGACAAAAAAGCTAATGACATTATTCAAAGAAACGAAAAAGCAATCAAGCAAGCAAAGACGACGTGACGAAATTCAACATTTGATACCATTCAACATGCAGCATTATTTGTATAGACCGTTTAGCAGGCCATTCATCACATGACGATAATCTGTGGTGAATCGTGAGGGGGGGAGGAAACGAGGGAGGAAGGCATAAGAGAGAGAATCGGGCTTCAGGAGATATCTACTGTAGTACTCCATTTTGGGAAGAGAAGAGATACCAATCTAATTGAGATATTATTTTCGTTTTATGTTCTTTCACATGATCCGTGTAGTTGATTTGGACTGGTATCCCTGGCATTCGACATGAGGACGATCCCGAGACTCAGAATTAAGCATTCATTCATTATTAACAATGGCGAGAGAGATCACTAGCATAACACTACATACATTGATAACAATTACCATAGCAAAAGCAAGAAAACGCTTAAAGATATCCAAAGACCAAAACACAAGACCAGCTCTATCCTTTCCTAAGCTCCAACCTTATGCTCAGATCACTCACTCATTATACAATACTGAAAGGACAGATGAAGAATCACTGTATAACAGCACTCAACAAATTCCCAAAAACCCATCCAACCGGCCTCGTAAACCACACCATCCAATTCGTCACAACGACAACGTAACCCGCCATCTTGATCATAACGACGAACACAAAACACAACACCGCGAAATTTACCAGTGCTTGACCTATGTCCGCTGCAAGGTCGCCGAAATCGTCGACACATGATTGTGGTAGGCTGCCGTTTTGCTGGTATTCGAGCCATGCGTCGGCGAGGCGTTTGCAGACTTTGAGGCAGTGAGAGGCCATTTGGAAGAGTGTTTCGCAAGACAAAAGAATTTGGGAGTAGATTTTGTGGTCGCGAAGGAAGGAGTGGAACTTGGTGAAGGAGAGGTAGAAGACGCCAAAACTCAGGGTAGTGTCGTTTAAATAGGGTTCGATGGGGGTATTGAGAGGGGTTTCCGGTTTGTAGACTTTGCTGTCGCGCCTGCTCTTTCTTTCGGGACTCAATTGACGTTTGACCGCTGATTTACGAGTCTTTCGAGTTGGCTTTGCATCATCCGACGAGACAGTGGGCTCGGTTTTCAACTTCGAACTCGATGAAGAAACAGGCTTGGACTTGACTTTGGCTTCTTTCCGACGGATTTCTGCTTGTCTTGTTGCTTCCTTTTCTGCCTCTTTCTTTGCCTGCTTCTCTCCCTGCTCAGCCTCCTCCCTTGCCTTGGCTGCCTTGTAAGCTTTTCTCGCCTCATTGATCCTTTCAGTGTTCAGCTTTTGCTGTCTCAACTCATCCAGGGGCTCTTTAGTCTTCTTGGCAGTGCTCTGAGACTTGGCCTTGTCGTAAGCAGCTCGTGCCTCAGCCAGTCGTTCGGCGTGCTGTCGAGCAGCTGCTAACCGTTCAGATGCAGATTTAGCAGCAGCAGCACCTTGCCTTGCTCTTTCGGCCTTCATTCGAATTTCCATACGAATAGTGTGAGTATCTCTTTTCTCCTTGTTGCGGAGCTTTTCATTGCTCGCGACGGTTTCTACGTTGGGTTTTGCGGGAGGTGAGGGAGAACAGCTCAGGGGTGGACTCGGTAGTTGTTGAGGTACTTGCTGTCCATCTAATTCAGCAACATGCGGTGTTTTTGGAGTTTCTAAATCGCCTGGTATTTTGTTCCGTGGTCTCGCTATCGTAGGAGAGAAAACTTTGTGGAGCCGCGATTCTGATGAAACGGTGTGCTTGAATTTATCGCTAGGACTCAGTCTGACGGAATCATTGCTTTGAGGCGAAGTGATGGTGCCGTTTCTTGACCCTTCCCCAAAGGAATCTGGCGACGCAGATTTCGACGATTCCGCTGGACTATCATTCGGCCCATGACTGGATCCAGGGGAAGAGCTTTCGAAAAACAGATCATTCTCCGGAGTTCTTCGACTATAATCCTTATTGAACCTAGGCGGCCGAGACGATGGCCTCAATACTGGACGAGTCCGAGACCGTTGCAATACTGATTTTTTGGTCACAGAGGACGTAAACACAGCGCTATCATCTTCTTTCGCTTGATATTGACCAGTAGTCGGAGAAGTGCTCGATGGTATTGGTATCTTTGTCGGCTGTGCCGGCGTCAATGCTGGGGGAATGACTAGAGGCGTTGCACGTTGAGGTTTGCCTAGGATTTTCTGAGTTGCTCTAGCAATATTGTGACCGGAAGAATGCGGCATTTTAGACGCGTGCAACGTGCGTGGTGTATTGGTTGACTTGTCTTTGTCGCTTTCTTCGTCCGACTTTGCAACGGGTGATACTTGTGCATCATTCTCGTCGTCCGAATTTGGAAAAAGTAGGATCTCATCGGGGTTTTTAGCAGCTTTCTCATCCACGCCCATACAGCCCATAAAACACTCTTCTCTCAGCTTCTTGAATAGTGCCTTTTGTTTAAGCTTAGGGTTATCGGTGACTGGACTGACTCGAGCTCGTCCGACTTCGTCAGGGCTGAAGTATTGGCGCGGTCCATCCAGCGGGGGCGAGATAGATTGACTGCTGTCGGTCGAAAAAGAATTTGGAGTTGTACCTCGTTGCAGAACAGGGATCGAGCTCATCTTCTTCACTTGCTGTGGGAGTCTAGGCTCCGGAGAGCCAGACGACGGCTTAGACGCATCCATCTCGTGCCTGGGAAAAGGTGCTCCGTGGAGCTTTCCTATCTTTTCCTGATACAATCTGATCTGTTCCGCAGTCATAGAGGGTGGATTGGGGTCGTCGGCAGAAGGCATATGTACCACGAATCTATCCTCCCAGTCATCCGACGAAGAGAGGTCCGTTGATCCGGAGCCGGCAGACGACACAGTCTTGCCCAGTGTGTAGCTTAAAGGCGATGACCGCGGCGATGGCGTATGAGCAACACTGACACTCACCCACTGGTCACCGTTGACTTTCCATTTCTGGCTAACTCGAGGACGGGGAACATGATCTTCATTCGAGCTATCCGTGCGATTGCTCGGACTGACCACTCCTGTCCTTGGATTAGCGCCTCTTGTAGTAAATCTATCCTCGTTCTTGACCTGATAAAATCGAGACTCTTTCTGTTTTGGCGGCGTTGCCCATCGAGGCCTGCTGCGATTGTCCGTTCCACCGGGTCTTCCAGAGATCGCTTGGGCAGCGGCGGCAGCAATCTTGCGCTCCAGTCGCTGTCTAATCTCCTTCCAATCTCGATCAAACGACTTCTTAGGCTCAATGCGACTAGCTTGTGGAGGCTCCATGGCGATGTTCGAGCTGATGGTTCCGTCTACATTGCTTCCGTGACAGTGACTGCAAAGGGCACCTGACATCAATATCGGCGGTTCATCGCTTTCATTGACTGAAAAGGTTGCATCTGTAAAGTGCATATGCAGATGGGGTGAGTCTTGGGAGTATAGGTATGGGTAAGAATAATGAGTCTCTGCAAGCCGCTCCAGATTCCTAATATGATCTGCTTGGCGCGATCGAACAAAGAGGTCTTGAATGCGATACCATGCTGCCGCGAACAAATATTTGGTTGTAGCGTGTATACTTTGGTGGGATGACGATATGGCATCTGGCGAGACAGTCACAAGGACTGGTGTCCAGCGAATGGGAAAAATTGAGGAGGCGGACATTCGTCGCGAGTCAGAATGCGCTGACATTGGAAATTCCAGGCACTCTTCGATAAGGATATGATGTCGTTAGAACAATGTCTTGCGGGCTGTGGTTGGTCGGATTGCGGTAAGGAATGTTGCGTCTTGCAAAAGACAACGCGTGGAATGTCAGCCTCCTCCAGGACATTTAACCTCAGACACGTGAGAAATACGGTACGTCTCGGGTATAAGGACCAAAGCACAGGTTGCAAGTGCAGGATACCAGTAATGTTCTTGCCTCAAGCAAGAATGATGGATCAACGCACCTGCCTCATATTCGATCTCGCATGATCGATTGCGAGGGGGAAGGAGCCATCTGGCGAAGCTAGAAATAAGACGACGTGATCTCCATGCGTATGTGACGATTTCGCATATCGTTGATTGCAGTGAAGCATTGAAGAAGCGCGCATCGAGTGGTAGATCGATCTCTGACGGTTGATGCCGGCATTTCATATTAGGGCTAGAGCTGCGGTGTTACATACATATCGCTATCAACATCAGCAGAATGTTAGGCAATAGTTTATCGCGACGTTTGCTACGTCGATTGAAATATCACACCAATTGAAATCTCGTAAGAAGTTCATTATTGATGTACATTATATGCATTATACACCAGGGTCAGGGGTGCTCAAGGTTAGGCAATTTAGAATTCTTCATCGCAATTAGGCAATTAGGCAATTAGGCAAGGTGCATTATCTGAATACACTAGCCTCGTGTCCAACGTCCTAGAATCGCCCACTTTCTCGACGGTGAGTTTCATTTAAATGTCCCCAACGCGGCTGTGCAACAGACGATGAAGTGATTCCTCCAGGCGTACTGGTACGTTTCAAAGGACTAGAGCCTTTCCTTGCAGGTGTCAAAGCGGCAAGCCTATCATTGAAGCTGGGTGTAGATCTCTGTCTGTCCTCGATAAAATTCGTAGACATTGACTTTCGAAGAGGGGAGTTGGCGTGGGAGTATATACCGAGACTACCACCATCGCCCGTACCAGTGGAAGTCGTTGGCGGTCTGAATTGCGGCTGGCGGRTGTTCGATAGCTGATTCTGAGTCTGAACTATCGGCGAGTTGTCTCGTAAATGATTAGGTGTCTGAAGTTGAGTACCAGCCTGTGAATTGGTCGGCATGAACGATTGCCGCCGAGAAGGCGACACCTGTCTGCCTGTTGACTCGGGATCAACGTGGCTAAGATAATTGGGGTTTGGGCTCGTTTTGAAGCCCCGGTTGATGACATGAGTTGGTGTCCAGAGTTCGACTTGGTTGTACTTCTCATCCGAGCCTGCATGTCTAACGTGCTCTTCCGAGAACTGAACTCCCACATCTCGCATTAACGGTTGAGTTCGAGGGTGTACAAATTTAGTGTCATATTCGTGCATGACTTCTTTATGTACCACCGCTAGATCCTTGGATTGTTGAGAAAATGAAGATGAAAGGAATGACATTTGGACGGTGAGTAGAACGGCAAGGATAATGGTAGTGAAAATGGTAACACTTGGTCGTGGATCGGTAGGTAGTGTTGGCAGGAACAGCCAGTAGACAAGCACATGGCCCGGACTGAACGAGCATAAGAGACGCAGTGACAATGGGAACGGGTCCCAGACAGCGATCTCCCAGACATCTCGCTTGGGATCGGGATGTCGTCGCGACTCGGCCGTCTCGCCCGCCAGAATATTGCGAATGTAACTGATTGGAGACGTGGACATCGGATTCGACGAGACTTTTACTCGCTGTGCCGATGGTGTCGCGGGTGTTCGATCGATCGAAGCTTCGAAGAGACGATATCGCCGTTTACGCCAGAATGTGTAAAAAGCGTTCGCTAACGAGAACCATGTAAGAGTATGCACGACAAAAGTAGCCTATATCCAAAAAAAAAAAATCAGTTAGCACCTTTTTCCTGAGGTCTCGTAGCAAAGACGACAACTCACAGCCCAGCTCAATATAGACAGTCGACTTCGATCATCTCCAAAAATATCATAATCCGCCCTGCTCGTCCCTGTAGCGACGTTTGCTCGAGCAATCAAGAACACAAAATTGAGGCCGAATCCCAAAGGCTGTGACCAATCCTTCTCTAGCTGAGCCCAGTCGCTAGAGTCAATCTCTTCTGAGATCCATAGCAAAAAGTCCCAAGGGTTGAAGAAGTTGGCGAGACGCTCAGAAAGCGGTTGTCGGCGTACAAGTCGAGGCATGACGAATGTGAAGTTTGCAAAAATGAGACACTATGTGGATTTCTGCATGGATAAACGAAATTTTGCAAGAGCTTGCTGGCCCTTGACTTGCGATCTCTTTCGACGTTCGATCGGCGTTGGAAAAGTGATGGCCGAGGACAAGAATTAATAATGAATCATGATTGAACGTGCTGGTAAACAAGAGGCGAACCTTTGCTAACAAGTTACCGAAAGAGGTATAGCGCTCTATAATCCGCGGGGGCCTTGCTTCCGTAGCTTCAAGCTCCCGAACACTTGGAGACAATAAGCCTGTGCGAGAACAACAAATGCGCAACAGTTGAAGTCATTTCCACATTATACTTCAACCGGACAAGACCAAAAATTCTATATAGAAGGATCTCACCGGACAATACACGGAAAATCCCCGCCATGGCTGCTGCTGCTGCCTTCAAGGTATCCCAGTTCACACATCCAATCTCCCCGCAACAGCTACTGATCGAACCAGGACCGACAATTCCTTGCAGTGATTGGAGATGAAGAGTAATTTATACCCTGAATTCCTATGTGTCGTTCATCTACTAATCTTGCGAACTCCACAGCTCCGTTACTGGTCTTCTCCTCGCAGGCATCGGCGTAAGAATCCCAAACACTATGACCTCGAACCTCCCATTTACCATACACACGACTTAATCAGCATACTGATGTTCAATAAAGCATGTCACCGAACCCCCAGACTCACAACGAAACTTCCTCGTCGTCGACTCCAAGACCGAGACGTCCGCAATCGAAAAGGCATTTCAGAACTTCACGCAGGAAAGGAAAGATATTGGCGTGCTATTGATTAATCAACATGTGCGACCCCCTATCCCCCCGGATCCTACCTCCTAGGAACACAAGACTAATAATGGGTGAGCAGATCGCGGAACGAATCAGACCATCCGTCGACTCATTCACAGATGCGTTTCCGGCTGTGCTCGAGATTCCTAGTAAGGATCATCCATATGACCCCGAGAAAGATAGTGTGTTGCGACGAGTGCGGAGGTTATTTGGGGAGTAAAATATTGCCCCATGAAGTCTTTGTCTTCGGTTTTGGCTAGTAGTACATCCTGTTATGACTTTATCGGCGTTTTTGCATGGTGTCTGTTCTTCCTGTTTCTCGTCCAGTACATAGATTTGATCGAAAAAATATATGGATGTGGAACGTACAAATTTCAAATCTTGTCATAGATATTATGTAGTACTGGGACTACGTATAAATACCTATAACTTATATAGTCAAGCTTACCTAATTTACAAACTCAAACACTACCTAGATATTTAGGAAGAGTATCTTCCATAACCTGAGGCAAATCGATCTCGTTTACATGGATAGAATTGCGATCAAATGTGGTTTTATTGAATACAATGCGTATCTCACACGATGCAGCTATTTACATGAGAACCAAAAAGCACGACACAGTGAGCAAGCTTAATATTATCTCACCGAGAAAACAAAACTGGGGTTCAAATATGCAGGACAGAAGCCAAAAAGAGAGWAWAAAGAAACAMCCCGCCAATAAAATCAAGGCGATACAAGCCTTCAAAAAGACAAAAGCGGGCATGAACCGAACGCTGTGAATAGAAATAATCATGGAAGTGAGCAAGCAGACAAACTGGAGCGAAGAGCGAGGGGCGGACATCAAGGTTATTGCGTAATGATAAGGCATGGGCGTGAAATCAATCAGTCAGAGATGGTATTCAACAACATGATGAACACATAAGTATATTTAATGGAAAATTATATCGTGAGCCTGAAGGCAGGTGATGCGAGTCTTGTCCTCAGTATAAACATCAGCGAGGACAGCATATTTGCCCTGTATCACAGATTAGTCAACGCTATCTAATATCCAAGTAAGATTGTGGCATATCAACTTACAGGAGGAACCTCCTTGGGAATCTCAACCTCCTTGACAAACTTCTTGTGTCCGTCCAGAGGGCAAGTGAGCTCTGTATTGCCCTCGATCTCCTCACACAAATCGGCCTCAACATTCACCAATCGGATAAGACCATATTTGACTTGGAGGTGAATCTTGGCTCCCCGTTCAACGGGCTCGTGGAATATGCCTTCTGCTTCGATGGTGAGGTTTTCGCCACTGTTGACACAGATATATTAGCAACGCTGTACCACATCGCCAAAGCTGTATTAATGTAGAGATTTTTGAGTACATACGGAACAGGTGGGTTAGGCGTCAAATTCACCGAAACGATCTCGAGAATGTCATTTTTGGGGTCGGCGCAGTATTCCAGAGGGTTTTCACCAGCAACGGGGAAGGTGTCCTCTAAGCTTTTGATCGGAGACTGTCCGAAGAGTGGGAGGGAAGCAGCCCAGATTTGGACAGGGGCAGATGAAAGGAGGAGAGCGGAGAGGAGCTTCATGGCTGCGAGGCTCTAGAAGGTGAGGTTGAGATAAGGCGACGATGACGACGCTTAGTTTGGACCGTTGCCTTGCGATGAGTTGATCTGGATTGGAGAGGATCTTTATTGAAAGGTGTATTTGAGGAAAGCAAGAAGCTTTCTGGTGAACGTTTTCAGTAAAAGCAGTTGGCAGAGCGGCGTTTAGACAGTCGAGATAAGAGAGGTTGGAGGTGGGCTTGAAGCCATCCCCGATGACGACAGCCATCGTCCAATCGTAGCCCCAGCACGTGACGGGTCACACGTTGGCATCGTCACCGCCTCAGCCATCGGAGCTCTGATTGGCCAGCAGCCATGGCCCTGATCATAACAAATCTTCATATACTCAACGATGTCACAGTACGAGAAAACCTCTGCTATTTTGCTGATACTTCACTCTCCATAGGTTTTTATTGCCTATTGCCGATTGCCTCAAAGATCAAAGACGCCATGGTCCAGGCTCTCTCTCTCCCCGACATCGATCCCCATCCTCATATTCAACGGTCTCGGATAAGAAACAATGACAGGCGGGATCGGAAAGCCCCACCCTGCAAAAGTCAACTCGTGTTGGCCTGACAAATGCGGCAGCGACAGTATTTCTCAAAGTTGCAGAGTAATTAGTGTTTGGGGCAGATGAAGGCAGACCTTGTTCATTTCATATTGTTACATATCAGCAGATGTTGTGGTATTACTTATGATGAAAGTAATCTACTAGTGCCCAGGAGTCTTGAAAGATTTGCCGGGGAAATTTTCTTCTTTTCTCCCACGTCAAGTTATCTATGGACTTTCGATTCATGTTTCTTATTTCCCGAATCAGACAAATGTGCATACCGTACTAGTAACTCAATATATGCTGCCTGACAATCACACTAGCAATACAGCAGATGCAGCTATATGTGTTCGCCCGCACCTGCAGCACATACAGTCTAATTTCATTTGCTGGCACCCTGCGTATTGTGCATATGCAGTCTATTTTTTAGCCTTGCAGACTCTGCACTTAGATCGCAAGAAAAGGAAAATGCATGACAGCGTTGGTCTTCAATATCTTCGTGTACTATGTAGGTGAGAAATCAACTAGCATGCAATGTTGAACTTAGCGACTTTCATCGAGTCGATCGTACGTCCTGCAGGCCCATATCTCAATATACAGTCAAGGCTCGCTAGCCGCTAGCCGAGCAGTCTGGGTAATTCAGACAGACACATATTAAATAGTGACGTGGCGCTGATGTGCCGCTATGTGCTAGTGGAAGGTGCCTATGAAGAATCATCTATCAATTGGTCCGAGATGAGGCATGTATGTGATTTCTGTTGCCTGTGTCATCAGTCCTCGAATGATCTTGAAGAGAATGCAAAGCACAAGAAATCGGCTTCATCAGGCTAATATTAGCTTTGACTAGTCCTGTGTAGGTAGTAGGCCATTACCAACATGGATAACTCATGATATTCGCAGCCATCGACTCGGACAATTTGCACATTTCTCAAGCAGGTTCTCGGTAGCAAGTAATATAGTGATGCTCAAAAAATATCATGACTTGCCGGCCAATACCTCGAAGTAAGGGTGACGATAATTGAAGTCGGGATCTCGGTAGTTCGACTGTACCGGCACGTAGCTGGCAGGCCTTGAATCTGAATTCAGTGAGATGAGGGGCTCATTGAGATGCGCATTTGGGCATCGCGAGCTTGTGGCTTTGGCTGATAGTGGATCATATCACGAAAGAACTGCAGTGTACGTACCGCTTGGAATTTCACGTACGTAGTACGTGGGTCCTGGAGGATTTTTCTTGCATCAAATAGGTCAGCCGAACACCCCAGTGGCTCGAATCACGCCGATGCCGCATGTACATGGGCCAGCAATGGGCTAGAGGGATTTCCTTATACTTAGTATTTAAAACAATTGTTGTTCGTTGTGTCCAAATAGATTTATGTTTACTGACAGTCCAAGATGTCAAACCGACACCTACAACGCGTCAGTAGCATGCCTCTGTTGAGAGGAAGACGAAGCCGATTTTTCCGAAGTAGTATCACACGGCAGACTCTGTATCCTGCTAAAGAATCGAGAGCATACTGGATTAGGCAGGCCGCATGAGTGTTAATGAACCAAGCGGGGCCTTGCAGAGAATCCTGCATGATCATTCGTGACCTGCCGAAGTAGCGAGAAAAGCTCATGAACTTTTGCTTAGCATGGGAAATGGTTGGCCGAGAAATGACAGCAGAGTGACTTTCAACAAAGAAACATACGCCCTCAAAAGGTCATGTACATGCGGTACTATTGTACTCTTGTTGATGGACGAGGAATTTGCCAAATGCCACTGTTCCACAATCAAAGTGCTTGCGCGCATAGTCCATGTGACCCCGTGAGAGAAACCAGTTATGGAGTAAATAGATCGAAAGAACGAATTGTTCGGTGGAAGCCCCTTGAAGAAAAGTGGATTAGCACGTTTTAGCAGCAAGACCCAATTTTCGATATATTAAATCACCTCCTCGTTCACCAGTCAGTCGAAATGCTCACTCACTAAGTGGTTCCCCATGGAGCCACAACGGGATTTCATCATTAATTCTTGCCAACTTCGTTATCTGCAAGGTTTGACGTGGGCCGCACTGACAACCGCGAGTTTTAGGGCAAGGCCACTAAACTAGGCCCGTAGACTAAGGGCCTGTTAGCTCCCTTTTCAACTTCAGCTACATTCGTAGCGACGGTAGCGTCGCAGTCCATCCTGCAGCACAAAGATCCGTGTCGGCATAGTGTGAGACCGTTGTTTCAACGTGCAAAAATACGATGATCGTCTTCAAGTCCCTCGCTTCCACCTTCGGATTACAACATCAGCTTTGTTGTAATATAGACTACGATACAGTTGCGGGCCCACCGCGAGGGGCTAACGGAACCATCAGGACCTAGAGGACGGCAGAGGACGGCAGCTTATTAAATGTGAACCATGGCGCTGGGCCGGGGAACCTTTTCCCCAAAATGTCCCTTATCTTTCCTTGAAAATTGCGTTCCTCTCCTTCTTCGCACAACGGCCGTCCCGACAGTCTGGATAGCACCATGGAACCTATCCGCTCCCGCCTATCGCGTGCATAAACATTCCTTACATGCGTCCGATCATGTATTTTATCCTCGGGTAGACGGGAACTATGGAATGGTGCGCCAGTCCGGCGGTATTTCAACCAGTGTTGTCGTAGGTGGGTTGCCGGCTGGGGACAGACAGCAAATGGAAACCAGCCTTTCACAAAATCTAAGGAACCTGCTAAGCCCCTGTGAGCCAATTGATGAAACTGAACACTGACCACAACCTGCATGATTTGTGAAACGGGCCGGTAAACAGGAATAAGCCACCTCCGACTCAAAAGCAAGATGTTCAATGTATCACCCTTAATGATACAACACGTCCGAGATGTAAATGCATTTTCGTGGTCTTCGAGATCATTTGGTCTTGCCGTGAGACTACATATCAAAGCTTGGAAGTGTCGCCAGACAGCCACTCAATTTGACGTAACATTCATCCCACGCCATCCATCAACGGCCTCACGAGGCTTGACTTGACCGTAGGCGCATAAAGGGCGGTGAGTTACGAATAAGAGAATTTAACATACTCGGCGTATGGAGACCTGCATGATCAGGTTCTCGATTTAGTAAAGTTAGCATTCTAAAATTTCCGACTCTTCCCCCTAGGACAACTTAACAGCGGCGCTATTATTGTGTGCCTTTTTGGGAAGCCCACTGCCACCTCTCAATCAAGGTAGCGGCTTAGACCCGAAAAAATTTGTCAATTGGCAACGGGCTGCGCTTACCTCCCATAGGCTGCTGCCGGTGCGTTCGTTGCTTCGGGGCTGTAGTATTGGTACATGGCGATCAATTCTTGTTCCCCAAAGAAGATATTTCTCGACAACTTGGTGTTTTCGCGTAGAATAGATTGATCTCCACGACTTGCAAGCCTGGACTTGGCAACCCGAATTGGAAGGTGCGTCGTCGCAGTAGATGTATGCCTTAGTTATGCGCCTCTTCGCATCTGGCATACGGTACACTGAACAGTCCTTTGCTTGAGAAGAGATTTTTTGGCCTTTTCCGATCCCTTGACAAGAAGTCTAGGGATCCTTTGTCACTGGGATGGTGTGTACATGGGTCCACAGGGTGGATGCGAGTTTCTCTCACTGCATTGGAAGACTTCCTGGCTAGTGGGAGAAATTCTGGCGTCGTGCCGGCCTATCACCATTCACTGCGCTTCGGTTGGTACAAACTTGCTTCGAGGAACAAGATATCTCGTCCGCTCTGGTCAAGATTACGGTCATGACGGCCGTATTACGCTTCGCACCAGTGTCATATCTTTCATTCTGTATCGACTCATTTGGATGGCACCATAGCAAGTCGTTAGACCAGCACCAAAACACCTAACGCGCCGTGGAGTCAGCCGGGAGAAGCCATATAACGAATTGTGTGGAATTAAATGATACCGACGTTTTCATCCAGCTCACTTCTGCGAATCATTCTTTCTAAGCAGCCGGCTACATCGAGGCACATAACACACAAAGGAAGATCTTCTGTAAGTCGAGGACCAGAATCCGTTCTCTATCACGCGGCCAGGACCACATCCCGTTTTCGTTCACTATTCCAGGGGTTCAAGTGTGCCTTGACTGGATATCGGTTGTGCCAACGAAGTAAGGCTCTGCATATGCTTATATTACGGTTGCTGCCCAGTCTCGTATTTAAGTGTTTTATTGCTCCATCGATAACCCTGGTCAGCTTGTTCGTCGCGTTCCGATTAATACAGCCAGATTGATTCGATAGATTTACCGCAAGCCTTGTCGACAAAACTCAATCAGTATTTGGAAGACAGCCAGATTTTAAAGAGAACCATGAGGTGATATACTTGTATCAAAGTCAACAAATGTATAGAGACTGACCTATGATTATAGTAACCCAAATGTCGGCACTACTTCGCTCGACAGCGCTCTGCAAGAAATCGTCGTCATTCACGGCCGTGAGTTTCAACAATACTCGCTCAACAATCGCATCTATTTATGCCCTGTAGACGATGTAAGTTACGACTCGAATCGGGCTTATGAAAACAGTCGTGTGTACACGAACTTACTGATGTCCTCAGGATGAGATCGATCGACTTGAACTTCAGCACCAAGTGCTTAACCTAGTTTTCGACAACCGCCTTATATTTCCCCCGATTCGTAACCCTCGACGAGTTTTGGACTGTGGCTACGGGGCTGGAAATTGGGCACTCGACGTAGCAGAACGATATCCTCACTGCCAGGTATTTTGGTGTGAACTGGCTCTGACATAGAGAACAATCACTTATCGACGTGGCAACAGGTCATTGGAGTCGACATATCCCCCCATATGCAGCCGCTTGATATACCGGATAATCTGTGGTTGCAGGTACGCATTTTCTTGATCCAAACTCTCGTTATAACTGTCTTCCTCTCGTTCTTCGGTCGAACACCCCTCGTCCCCGGAATCATGGCTTGCCTGACGGAGCTCTAAGCCAGGACCTGAAAACATGATATTTCCGGAATCGATGGGTCATCAAGCGGACGCTGATTTTTTGACCACTAGGTAGACAACCTCAATCGCCCATTCACCTTCCCTTCACGAAATTTCGATCTTGTCCATTCAAGACTCGTGGCTTCTGGGCTAGATCGATCTCGCTGGTCATCATACGTCCGCGACCTGGTGCGGTAAGATGATGAATCTACCACAATCCACAATCCACAATCCTCGCAAATGCGCCTAACGTACCGTATCCGAAACAGTGTGACAAAACGTGGCGGCTGGGTCCAAATGACAGAAATATATTTCAATGTCCAATCCGACAACGGTTCCATCACTGAACGACATGCCCTCCGCGAATGGAGCAGACGCTATATGAGGGCCTTGGAAGATCTCAAGGACTTGAGAGTCGCTCCCAGACTTGTAACTCTAATGACAGCAGCAGGTTTGCAAGAAGTTGACATGAGAATGATCCAACTTCCATTATCTGCCTGGTCAAGCGGTAAGATATTGGCAAAGCAATGAGTGAGCTTTATTGCACAGATCGAACTGACCTTGAGAACCTTAGACCCACGATCACACCAAATTGGTGCTTCGAACAGGTCCAATATCCATCAGTTGCTGGAATCACTGGCCCTTTATCCATTGACCCATCGATTACACATGACTCTTGACGACTTCGACACGCTGATACAGAGAGCCCGTGCGGAAGTTGATGATCATACTTTGAAGGCTTATTTTCCATTGTAGGTTGCGGTCAGAATGATATGCCGGTATGTCTAACTGTATCCAGATATGTCGCCATTGGTCGAAAACCTCTATAGTGTCGCGTTTCATCAGCAAAACCCAAACCAAAGTGATATGTAAACAATGGACGACAATAGATTGTTACATACTCAGAAATAAGACCTCAGCAATCACGTGCAGCCATGATTCTTGAATAGATAGACTTCATCTGGTCGAAACACAAAAACCCTTCACTGTTTTTCGTGTTGTGCATTGTACGTATGATGGCCTTTTCATTTGAGAACAAGGAATGAGTTGAAAAATAGAAGAATGACTGCCAGTTGCCCAACATCAAAGAGTTGGTCATCACCTAATCTGTTGTTGAAGGAAAGAGCAGCATCAGTGCCTGGTGAATGCCGGCCGAAGTACCCAGGTAGTTTGCAACAACCTCGAGTAACAACCTCAGACACACAAGCGGCATCCGACTCACGATTCGCTCTATATATTGAGCCACACTATGGTGCCTTCGAAGCGATGTTTCGTCATGTCAATGACACATCGTGATCACGACTCAATGGTATACTGGGCGTTTCGACTACAACTAGATTCGAAGGCGTTGCGATCGTTCGAATCATTTCTGTTTGATCAAAAATAATGTCCGCAATCGAATGAAACACTTAAGGGTCGTCAAAAGCCCTCGCAAGATTTCTAGGTTGACACTGTTGTCGAGTGGAGATACTTTGTTGGTATAGCCACTGAGTACTGGTAGCGTGAACGCTTCAAAGTTTAAGAATCATTGAAGGAGAGGAATCACGCTATCAATATCCGCCGAATCCCATCGAACCTTTTGGACTTTCATTCACACCGGAGATCCAGTTTTTGGATGTATCGACATCGTTGCCCAATTGACGGATCAAACCTTTCTAGGCCCCTCGATATCGGCGCAATATGAGTGGATTGCCACTAGTTTGCCTACTACTCCTGATGATCATCAGAAAGGTATAGAAAGTCGCAATGCGATTGATCCACAGTGGAAATCTCATCGACAGCTACACGAGCACGGAATATACTGCATCGAGAGAGACATTCAACCGGAAAGATCTATAATAACACACAACAGTAAAAGAATGCTACGACAGAAAAAGAATTAAGGTTATCAGGAGTCAAGCCCATGTTATCATTGGTTTCACCGCCCGGACCCCCGTCGGTATCAGGCAGGAAAGGAACCTTGGAAGCATTGGGCGTCAGACGCGAATCTCTTTCTGATAAATTGAACATCGAAAAGCTCGTGCAGAGGCGTGGGATGATAACGATGGTCGGAATCGTCTGCCGATACGACAAGGTGCAAAGGGTGCCCTTTGCCCCATGACGAATATCCGACTAAAATTGTTGGCTGAAAGGATCGATGAGACACAATCAATAGCAAGAACTTGGGCAGCTCTTTTATAGATGATACTAACAGAAATCTTACCAAAATACTCACATATCGGGCCCAAACCCCGGAATTATCCGCTTCGAAAGTGAACAAAGCAAGCGGCTGAAGGAGCCCTCACGGTCGAATGCCATCTTGAAAACCATCTTATCAGTTGCGGTTCACCATTCTTACCATAACGGTTGAATGATGTTCTAGTGTTTTGTTTTCGAGCAAAGAAAATGCTTATCAATTGAGATTTTGTTACAAGGATCTCGAGTCATGTTTATAAGTCGACCTCAAACCTTCAATCCAACACCCTCACATGGGCTGGCAGACATTCTAAACTTCTTTTTTCATCCGATCAGTAGATCGCTGCCTCTTAGTAAATCTCAACTATTAAATAAAAGCTGTAGCAAAAGACTTGTTAGGAAGTGAGTATATATGGTGCCTGAGGCACCAAGGCATCAATAATTATAGGCTAACCATTTTTAGAAGCTTTGCGGGCAGAGAAAAAAAAGTCGATACGCCGCCTTCCCGGTCTCAAACTTCCTATCCATCGCCTACAAAGCGTGCGCAAGATCGCAATTTGACAATTTACAATGCCTTCAACATATAAAAGGGACAAGCCGTGGGACACGGACGATATCGACAAATGGAAGGTTCGTCAATGATTTTCAGCAGCGTACCGATTGGTTTCAATTAGACGAGCAGCGACTGACATGACTTTTTGATCAACAGATTGATGAATTCAAACCCGAAGATAATACCGGTGGCACGTTTGCCGAGGAGTCATCTTTCATGACCCTTTTCCCCAAATATCGCGAAGTATACTTGAAGGAAGCATGGCCGTTGATTACGAGGACTTTGGAGAAGCAGGGAATCGCTTGTACCCTCGATTTGGTCGAGGGTAGTATGACCGTCAAAACTACAAGAAAAACATTCGACCCTGCGGCGATCCTTAATGCTCGTGATTTGATCAAGTTGCTTTCACGAAGTGTACCGGTACAACAGGTTAGTTCCTACATTACTACTTTGCCCTGAAATGGCCACTAACGAGAGTTTTGCTAGGCCCTCAAAATCCTGGAAGACGGCGTCGCATGCGACATAATCAAAATACGCAGTCTAGTCAACAATAAAGAGCGCTTTGTGAAACGCCGACAACGTATTCTCGGACCAAATGGATCTACCTTGAAAGCTCTGGAGCTTCTGACCGGCACATACATCCTCGTTCAAGGAAATACCGTATCCACCATGGGCCCATTCAAAGGGTTGAAGGAAGTGCGCCGAGTCATCGAAGACTGCATGGCAAACATTCACCCAATCTATCACATCAAGGAACTCATGATCAAACGCGAACTCGCCAAGGACCCAACGCTCGCTACAGAATCGTGGGATCGGTTTTTGCCAAACTTTAAGAAACGCACTCTCTCGAAACGTCGTGTTCCTCACAGGGTTACCGACAAATCGCAAAAGGCTTACACACCTTTCCCGCCGCCACAAGAGAAGAGCAAGATCGACAAGGAATTGGAGTCTGGCGAATACTTTTTGTCCAAGCAGGCTAAAGAACGCGCTCGCAAGGAAGAAATTCAAGAAAAACAGCGAGAAAAGAGGGAGGAGAAGATGAAGGAACGCCAGAAAGACTTTGTGCCTCCAACGGAAGACGCAGATAAGAAAGAAAAGAAAAAGAAGCGGAAACATGCCGATGATGCAGGTGAGAGTACAGAGAAGAAGAAAAAGAAGAAGTCGAAGAGCAAGTCAGATGAGGGTGACGATAGTTCATGATGGGCTTATTTTCTGTTTGTTGTTTTGAGGTGTAAACATGGCATTGCCGGCGTTTCGTTTTGAGTTATGGTGTATAAAAGCTTTATTTTTGATAGATACCTTATCAAGTTTGATACTCTGATTGCTACATTCTGCAACCATTGCTGCTATTCAAAAGTACGCATAGAATATTGACTTGATAAATATGAACATCAATTGATCATTAACCAATTCCCCCAACTAGCTAGACATGATCATGACCAGACAGACACGAGCCTCCGTGAACAACGCTTAGTAGTTGTCATTGTTTCCCCGTCTACCGCTGTTGCCGCCGTAGCTATCGTCATTGTTGCTAGATCCATAGGAGTCGTTGTTGCTAGAGCCGTAAGAGCTATTGTTGTTGTTGTTGCTAGAGCCATACGAATCGTTTCCGCCGCGGCTGCTGCCGTAGCTGTCGTTGTTGCTGGAGCCGTAGGAGCTGCCCTTGTTGCCAGAACCGTAGGAATCGGTGTTACCGGATCCATAGCTGTCGGTCTTGCTTGATCCATAAGAGTCATTGTTGCTGGAGCCGTAGGAGTCGGAGTTGTCACGACCTCCACGAGAGCTTCCATAGGAGCTGTCGTTGTTGTTCTTGTTGCTTGATCCGTACGAGTCATTGTTGCTAGACCCATAAGAGTCATTGTTGCTAGATCCGTACGAGTCGGAGTTACCACGAGAGCTTCCGTAGGAGCTGTCGTTGTTACCAGAGCCGTAGGAGTCACCGCCACGGCCTGAGGATCCTCCAAAGGAGGAGGAGTTGTTCTTGGATGATCCATAGGAGTCGTTGTTGCTGGATCCGTAGGAATCATTGTTGCTTGATCCATAGGAATCGTTGTTACCGGATCCATAAGAGGAGTTGTTGTTGTTTCCAGAGCCGTAGGAGTCGTCATTGCCTCCGAAGCCACCGGAGCGACCTCCAGAGCGGCCACCGGAGCCGTAAGAGTCGTTGTTGTCGTTGTAGCTCATGGTGATGAGAGTTAAGAGAGGTATGTACGGTAAGGGTTAGGGTGGGATAGGGCTATCAATGATTCTTGTATACAAAATGAGGTGATGCAAGAAAAATAGTTGCTCGGGATATGGGAAAAGCAGGCAATATTTATACTTCCAATTGACCTGAGCAAGCTCGCAATTTATCTATGATCGGACACAAGACAAAAGCTTTACCCAATAATGTGAGCATACGAGGGGTAGAGTACCATCTCTACACATTCATTGGACCTAGATCAAGCTACATAATCGAAGCTAATCCTTTATTTTACAAGCTGCTTGCTATTTTAACTTTCCTTTTTCTCCTCTCTGGCCTCTGCTCCTTCGCTGGAGATATCTCGGAGGACCAGATGGGCATGGCCACTGATAACGAGAATCCCCCCACCAAGCTTCAATGTTGTCCAGGAAATCGATAGTGTCTGTATGGTAAAATGTAGACTCGGTTTTGAGGCAATTAGCTACGTATCTCCGCAGCCCCTCCATCGGCGGCGCCGGAGGCTTGTGATGGGTTGAGCTAGTTAGGTGAGGCTGTGCTGTTGCTGGCTGAAAATGGGAAGCTAGAGAGAGTCAGAAACTCCAGAGTGAGGGGCAAGCTTTGCTGCTTTGAGCCGGGGATTTGGCCATGGTTTCTTTCCAAATGCCCGGTTCATTTGGATGGATTTTTCGTTATAACAAACAGATTATTAGAAGGCATCTATATCAATTGTATCATATAGGTGACGATCAGACAAAATGACGTCTGAGGAGACATGATGCATAGACACGTCTGGTGGGATGAATCTACACACCATCATCTTCCAAAAAAAGCAATGATGAAATCGAGCACGTCATGCAATATGTATGTGCTATGTATGTATCAACGCAGTGGCAAGCAAGCGAGATGCATGAAAATGTCACGCAGCTCTTCGTTCCCATTCTTGCGCCATGTGAGATCTGATTCGAGGGTCGTGGCTCTAACAATCAATGGTTCAGATGTTGATCTTTCGCCGGCTGTGGCATGCCCACTTCTCTTGAACTCTACCCCTCTCAATAAATGGACCTGGAGAAATGAAGTCAATTCCACAGCCACCTACCTGGTGGCACCTACTCTTGTGATAGGCTAAATTAGTGAGGGGTACTCGGGTCTCGAGTCCTCGCTGTTTGGTGGGAGACCGAGGACTAAACTACATGTGTTGCTTCCATGGATATCCGGTCACCATCAACAAAGACTCGAGCATGCAACATACGTACGCAGTCCACCATAAATTAGTCAATCAATAGCTGGAGTTTCAGTGGCTAGTAACATCCAATAATTGCTTCTTTTTAATCTCGATTTTCGCCACAACTGTGGGGTTAGTGTTGAGGCTAGGCACTGGGCTAAAATCACGCTACGTAGAGCGTATCGCTCGAGCCTCGTGTGATCGAGATGATGAGATCGCAATTGTTGGGGGCGCTAAGAAGGTACTACTGGTGCTTAGCCTAAGCCTAATCTAAAGCTGCTGTGGTACGCTCAAGTAAGAACCTTGTAAAGTGCCCTAATGGATTGGTTGTACAACAATAACATTACATTCTGTAAGATTATCTTTCTACGGATCAAATCGGTGTTGACTGGTTTGCATTATGTTTCGAAAATATGTAATACCATCCATTTAGTGGGCTCAGCAATTGATTAATCCGAGACAAAAAAAATGTGGCTGGTGGACTGTTGTTTTGTTGCTGAGGCGTCGAAGTCACATCCACTCCGGTGGGTTTAGGTCGAGGTGAAATGTCTACACTGCTAAATCATGATCCACAATTCGATCAATTCAGCTGCCTATCGGCCGAGGTTGATACCAATTCATTTTTCCGGCCTCGATACAAAGTTACAGATGCTAATTCACTGGGAGATGTCTGACAAGTAGTGAATAGTGTTGCTTTTGGGAGATGTGTAACCCTACCGTATCCCTAACTTGGAACCGCTAAAGAGCTGCTACGACTTTGACAACTATCATCATTTCAACTCCTTGATCATTTCAAATGTACGTGAACTTGCAGCTTCAAATTCATTATCATTAGGATTGGATGTTCATAAGACAAAATCGGAGAAAAATAGAGCCGGCAGGTATTAATATTCTCTTGCAATTATCATATTTTAGTCGATAATCATGACACATAAGTATAAATGTTCTGGTAAAGATTGAACCAATTTGTGGTGTCAATTTATGCAAACGCACAACCGGAAGTTGGGAATAGATAGAGCTTAACAACGCAACAATGAAGAAAGAAAATCAAACTTTTACCACTCAAGTGGTTCAGTCTTGACATCGCCACGATTCGTCTTGGGGACTGGAGCAGCCTCCACTTTCGTGGGACCGCGACGGTCACGCTTGAGGTAACCGGTTCCATCCAACCAGGGAGTGTCGATGGTACGTTTTGTCTCAAAGCTGCGAATTTTGTCCTCCATCTGTAAAGTAAGGCCAATATCATCGAGACCGTTGACCAAACAGTGCTTGCGGAAAGCGTCAACCTCAAAGTGAGCCAATTCGTTACCGGCGGCATCGCGAATGACCTGGTTAGGGAGATCGACTTCGACTTCCTTGCCGGCACGGGCCTCGGCGGCAATCTTTTGTAGAGCGACTTCGTCGGTGATGGCGATGGGCAACATGCCGTTTTTGAAGGTGTTGTTGAAGAAGATATCGGCGAATGAAGGGGCGATGATGACCTTGATGCCGAAATCCAATAGAGCCCAGGGTGCGTGCTCACGAGAGCTACCACAGCCGAAGTTGGGACCTGTTACGACGAGGATCTTGGAACTTCTATATGGTTCTTTGTTAAGGACGAATTCTGGCTGCTCAGCTCCGGTCTCGGTATTGAAACGCCATTCGTAGAAGAGTGCGCTTCCAAGGCCAGTTCGCTTGATAGTCTTCAAGAACTGTTTGGGGATGATAGCGTCAGTATCGATGTTGGCACGGTCCATAGGGGCAGCGATACCCTTAAGGACAGTGAATTTGGGAAGTCCAGCGCTTGAGCCAACGCCGGAAGTGTTTGCGTGGGGCTCGTTGTCTTCGGGAATGTCAAGGATGCGTTCAAGGTCACTCTCAGTATCCACCTCCTCGATTTCAGGCTGGATTGTGATAGGAGCAGCGGCCTTTTGGCTAGAAGCTGCCGGCTGCACCAAGTCTCGTACATCGGCGAGCTTGCCAACAATAGCAGCTGCAGCTGCCATTGTAGGGGACATCAGATGGGTACGACCATGAGCACCCTGTCGTCCCTCAAAGTTACGATTGGATGTACTGGCGCATCGCTCGCGCGGAGAGAGAATATCGGGGTTCATGCCCAAGCACATAGAGCAACCAGCTTCGCGCCATTCGAAACCGGCATCGGTGAAAATCTTGTCAAGACCTTCGGCTTCGGCCTGCTTCTTAACAAGACCTGAACCGGGGACGATCATAGCGGCTTTAATATTCGAGGCAACTTTGCGACCTTCGACAACCTTGGCGGCGGAACGCAAATCCTCGATACGGGCATTGGTGCATGAGCCGATAAAGACCTTGTCAACTGGAACCTCTTTGAGAGGTGTTCCAGAAGTGAGACCCATATATTCAAGAGCACGCTTGCAGCTGAGCTTGCGTACTTCGTCTTCGAAATCGTCCGGAGAAGGAACAACACCGGTGATTGGCAACACATCTTGTGGCGATGTACCCCAGGAGACAGTAGGAATGATGTCCTTGGCATCAATGAATACCTCGGAGTCGTATTTGGCACCCTCGTCGGATTGAAGGCTAGACCAGTAGTTGACAGCCTTCTTCCACTCAGCGGATCCGTACTTGGGTGCTAGAGGGCGGCCCTTGAGGTATTCGAAAGTGATCTCGTCAGGGGCGACCATACCGGCACGAGCACCGGCCTCGATGGACATGTTGCAGATGGACATACGAGCCTCCATGCTCAAGGCACGAATGACTGAGCCGCAGAATTCAATAACGCATCCAGTACCACCAGCAGTACCGATGACTCCGATGATGTGAAGGACAACGTCCTTGCTGCTGACGCCAGGATAAAGCTCTCCATCAACCTGGATACGCATGTTTTTGCTGCGCTTGGTCAAGAGCGTCTGAGTAGCGAGCACGTGCTCGACTTCACTGGTACCGATACCGAAGGCGAGAGCACCAAAGGCACCGTGGGTGGAGGTGTGACTATCACCGCAGACAACGGTTGTGCCGGGGAGTGTAAATCCTTGCTCGGGTCCGATGATGTGCACGATACCCTGGCGGTCGTCGTCCATGCCAAAATATGTCAAGCCAAATTTCTTTACATTCTCTTCGAGTGTCATGACTTGGAGACGCGAGTCGGTCTCTTTAACGAAGGTCTCGGCATTTTTGAACGTTTTTCTCGAGGTGGTGGGGATGTTCTAGATAATGTCAGAATCGAGGTATTCAATGCGGGTAATGAGTAAAAACGTACGTGGTCAACGGTAGACAGGGTGCAATCTGGCCGACGGACTTTTCGTCCCGCATTTGTTAATCCTTCAAAAGCTTGCTAGTTTAGTTGTTAGTAGGACGCTCGAGTAGTTGAGGGGCGAAAACCGTACTGGAGATGTGACTTCGTGGACCAAATGACGGTCTATAATGGGACTGTATTAGTACAAATCCATTGACGATGAGCAAAAGATATGTTGTACATACCAATATAGATGAGAATTGTGCCATCATCTTGCTCATTCACGATGTGATCCTCAAAGACCTTGTCGTACAAGGTCTTTGGTTTTCGGTCTGCACCAGGCATTGTGTGGAATGGTATCTTAACACGACAAAACAACAGATCAAGAAACAATCAGAGTACACACGACTGAATGTCAGTCAACAGAGGATATGTGATAAGTATGATTGAGAAGTCAGAGATGACACGACAACTTGCAGCAGCGCAGACAATGCCTTTTCTAACCGCCCTGCAGAGGGGCTCGCGCCGGTGTCGGAATCGTAAGCAAAAAGAGGAAGGCGGTGATTGGCCGACGGCGCTGAGAATCTCTGCAAGTTTATCTAATAGTGGATCCCGATATCGGCGACGGATGTCGAGGGCCGAGGAAGATCATGTGACCTGTCAGAAAGAAGGACGACGATGAGCAACAGCGCTTTCACCATTGGCCGCTGGGCTCTTAATATGGGCTGATTATAAGGTCGTATTGCCCTGTTTGAGGCACGAACTGAGTCATGTAGGCTAGTGAGAATCAAGCAAATGAATTCCTGACGATAGTCCGAAGCTGTGCGTAGATCCGATTCACCGCTTCAAGAATCAACAGACGAGAAAAGTCAAGAATCAAAGTTTTTTAACACATTTGCCTCCTCGTCGAGACTTCGTACTGTGACATCAACATCCCGAGATCGCCGCCTCAAATCGATGGTTAGGTGCACGTGACTTCTCGAGCCCTCGGCGGGGCATTCTTGCTGCCAAGAATATCCCCACGTTTTCTTTTTTTGGGTGACGCCGCAACGTCTGGAGCATTTGACATTTGCCCTCATAAGATTGTCAGATCTTAACACGTGATCTACATTGGATCGTAGACAGTCCCAGATCAAGATGCAATTGAAAGACTTGGCATCCATCGAATTGCCGCCTACGGTATACAATTAGACCCTTCCAACTATGACTTCTACATCAAGCTGACAATGATCAAGGCGGACATGCATGTCCATCTCCGGCAAGATGCCATGATGGAACTATGCACTCCCTTAGTAGAAAAGGGGGGCTGCGATACAGTCTTTGTCATGCCTAATCTCACCCCCAAGATAGGCAGTGTCTCACAAGCAATTGAGTATCACGACAAGCTGCAGAAGCTCGCGCCCAATGTCAAATTTCTCATGTCTCTGTATTTGCATACTGGATTGACGGAAGAAGAAATTGAGGAGGCAGCCAAGTCGGGGGTTATATATGGGGTAGGTGTCTTTGTTTCGCTCTGAGGGTATTTAACTAAGCTGTTCTTCAGGTTAAATTCTATCCTGCCGGTGTAAGCCCTTGCAGACTGAAATTAAATAAACAACGCTCATATTAAATGAAAAGGTGACAACAAACTCCGCCGAAGGTGTCCTTGACATAGAGCAATTATACCCCGTGTTCGCCGCCATGGAGAAACACGACCTCGTTCTCAACCTACACGGCGAGATGATCAGCACTCCGGCCAGCGCTGTCGGAAAGCAGACTGAACCCGTTGTGACTGTGCTCAATGCCGAGCCTCTTTTCATCCCTCAACTTGCCAAGTTGCATGCTGCGTTTCCGAAATTGAGGATTATTTTGGAGCATGTTAGTACGAAGCAGGGTTTGGACGCCGTTCGTGCTTGTGGACCTAATGTGAGTATTTCACATACCAGGCTTAGCGACCGAGAATTGTTACTTACTATTATACAGGTTGCCGGAACTATCACAGGTAATTACCTGTTGTATTATATTGCCATATGAAGTCTAATGAAGAGTCAGCACACCATCTCCATATCACAATCGATGATGCCGTTAGCGATGTTTTCAACTTCTGCAAGCCAGTTGCAAAGGTAAGCTATATCAAGATCTCTTGGTATCAGGTTCGGATTTGCTCACTATATGTAGACACCCGAAGATCGTCTAGCCTTAGTCAAGGCCGTCGTTGACGGATCCGGAAAATTCTTCTTCGGTTCGTACTCTGCGACCATCTTCACCCCCTGTACCATACACACTGACACTCTTCCAGGAAGCGACTCAGCACCTCACCCAGTCCAATCCAAGAAAGGCGCCGGAGCCACTGCAGCCGKCTGCTTTACTCAACCTTACGTATCCCAAATCGTCATAGAAGCTCTCGAAGCCGCTACCGAACAGGGATGGGTTAATGAAAACGAGCTCACATTGGAAGCCATTGAGGGTTTCCTGTCGGGCTTTGGTCGCAAATTCTACAAGTTGCCTGCTGCAAGCTCAACAAAGAAGATTCGTTTGGAGAAGAAAGGTGAGAAGATTCCGGATATCGTTAGATCGGCAGATGGTGCGGTTGAGGTTGTTCCGTGGGGAAGAGGAAGGGAGGTTAGATCATTGTCGTGGATTTAAGTTTGAAAAGTGCTTTTGATTTGAACTTAGATGGCATTAGATATAAACTTGAATTTCGACCACTCCAATGGTATTGAATAATATATTCTCCCGATACAATCTTCCAAATGACCACATATCCATTGCGTTTGCTATGTCATTCTGTATCAGCCCATCAATGCTTTGTTACCAAGGGGTAACGCTAAAAAGCTTCATTATTAAGGTTCTTCCTAGGGTTCATTATAACTCTTCAAAATTGAATCAACAATCATTCAGTATCCTCAGGATGGAACACCAAAGCCCTAATCTCAATACTCTCTCTCTCCGCGTACTCACCCGTTGCAGTCTCCGGATTCACAAAAGCCGTATGCGGAACCCGCCTCGCTCTCCCATCCACCTTCGAATCAAAACATTTGATCAACGTCACAATATCAGGTGTCTGCCCATACCGATAATACCATTTATGCGCCTTATTGGGTCTGACGGTGTACGTTTCGCCTTCGCGGTGGGGGTATATCAGTTTTACGGGGACGAGGTCGGTATCGGGCACGGAGTGCGCGTCTGCGACGGCGAGGGGGTCCTTGTAGATTGTTTTTATGGGTCGCCAGACGTTGATGATTTGGAAGCGACCCTTGAGTAAAGTTGAGGCTTCGTCGGGGAGGTGGTATGTCACCCGATTCTCTGATGCTTGGTAGCTTTGGTCGATGTGGACGCGCTGGACGGGACCGCGAGGGCCGCCGGGGACATTTTGACCATTAATGTTTTCGGGACGACGTATTGTGTGGTCGAAGATGAATACTTTAGATGCGCCGGTTCTAGAATTTCCCACAATCAATGGTCTGACATAATGCCGAGCCAGAAGCAAGCGACTTACGCATCTTTCAACAGTTGCTCTGTCTCCGGGTAATACTCATTCTTGATCTCCTCCTCGTCAACAAACAGCTTCTGCTTACTCTCATGATAGTACAGCTGAAACCCGTTCTTGTCAAGTGTGTAATCCAGTTCGTTGCCGGATATGTCGTGTACCGTTACTTCGAAGGGTTCGCTTTCGCGCTCATAGGTTTCTGGTTTGCCGCTGATGCTGGGTGGAGGGGGTGAGCCGTCTGCGGCGGGKTTGTAGTAGTTTAATATCGTTTTGACATGGTGTTTGCGTGAGTCAGTAGGAGATACAGGGAATGTTGCGACTTTGAAGTCGGGTTGGGCCTGGTTTGAGATGGAGGAGACGGCGGCGGAAGCCATTTTGCTATAGTATCTTTATATTGTGGTACAGTAGTTATTGCTTGATATGCAGGGCAAGATATTTTGCCTTGATTATGGGATGTGTGTTTATTTTATACTCAGGTCGTCTGTACGTGGTTTACATGTAGTACTGATCATTCACTGAAATAGCATTATTAATACTTCCCCTCATAACCACCAGCACGCAATCTGATCTCCCTCCAACGCCATGACTGCATCCCAATCAACCATTTAGAAGCAATCTGATGAGAAATCAGAAATGTATTCATCCGCGATGTTTGAATTGCGTGACTTTTGAAGCTTGTGATTGTGGAAACATTTATCATGAGACTTGAATGTTTGACTGACTCGGACAGATTCAGACGAACCAGACATCATGAATGAAGAAGCTACCGGAATGATTTGTAATTTTATTTACATTCCGACGGAACAACAGGCAATACCAAAGGCATTTGTCCTAAGCATGAAACGCGCTCGAATAGCCCGAAATACAACAACGTCTATGTCTTGTATAAGTCTATGTAGTCTAGTATATCCAGTCTAATCACCAATTCGAATACAGGTATCCCTCAGCATCCCTCTTCTCCATCCCCTGACCCATCGCCTCGGTAAAACTGTCCTTGACAGCAGCCTGTCTCAACACAACAACGCCTCTCGCACCACTCCCCGTCGACGAAGCAATTGCCTGGTCTCTAACCTCATCAACCGCAAACAGTCCCTTATTCTCTTCTTTCCTTGACAATATCATCTCCGCCGTCCCTTTCAGGGCCTGGGCAGCTAAAAGCATTGCATCGGGCTCACTGAGCCCTCTGGCTATTGCCTCTTTGGCAATACCTTCCAGCGCAACCGTATAAAAAGCGGGAGCCAGCCCGCTTACCATTGAAGCACTATTCATCAGCGACTCCGGCATGTATGTTACCGTCCCAATACTGGAGAATATCCACGTCGTCAACTTCTGAAAATCCGGCGGAAGCGTCGTATCTGCGCCAGCAACTGTTTCACTAATCAACGTCGCTGATTGCCGCACACTTGCCGCCGTGTTGGGCAGAGCCTGCACGATATAGCACCTCTCTGACTCCGTGCCTTCCTCTTCAATGGCATCATTATATATGAGTTGCTCAATCTGTTGCACCGACAGATCCGCACATGTACTCAACAATAACTTCCCGGCAAGATGCTCTCGTAACGACGGATCACTCAAAATATCCGCTGCTTGACTAGCCTTGCATCCGAGAAGGATTATATCAGCCTGTGCCACGACTTCGAGTACCCGCCCTTGGGAGATTTGGACATTGGGGTATGCGCTGCGGGCGAAATGCCCGAATTTGGTGCGTAGGCGCGACACGGAGTCTTGGGTGTTTACGCAGGCGATGAAGCGGGATGGTTTTAGTTTCATGGAGAGTATGGGTAAGGTGTTGTGTTGTTGGTTGGGGCATGGTTGGGAGAGAGTTGCTAATAGGACCTCAAGGATAGAAGTTCCGATTTGCCCGCAGCCAATTATGGCGAGGGTTGTTCCCCCTCTCATTTTTTAATCCCTTCCTTTTCTCTGTTGATGTTTTTGAATGGTTGATATGTTGACTCTCTCCGGTCTCTCGGTGTCCGGATCTAAACGAGTGGCCACGGGAAAGAAATCTGGCTCGGCTACCCCTATGGACCTGGCGTTCCGCTCTTGAATATATATATGTATATATGCAATTGACAAGAATATCTACGGAGAAAGGGAGAGAATTGAAGAAAACTTAAAACTATGTACCCGAAAAGAAATAAAAAAAATACTATACCGCTACAAATGTAATGGCACGTACTACGTAGTATTAGAGGATTCGATGGCGTAGCCCATGTGACGGGCCGGTCCCACACTAGAAAAAATGCGCCCTTTGCTGCTATGCAATGTGCATTTGATGGGATTTTTTGGCGTATTTTGAATGGCCAAAATACTGTACCGACTGTACTCTGATTTGGTTTAGTCCTCTTTCGGTTCGTGGACTAGTCACATGTCACGCATATTTGAAGTATTTTTGTCTGATCTTAGCATTCGTGGGGAAACTCCACCGGTAATTGTTCCTGGAGGTATTTTGGCTTTGCTCTATTCTAGACGTATCCGAGTCAACATTCGGACTCAACGCGGGAAATCATGCGGGAATGTTATCAAACAGGCTACTTAATCGGCGACCAGTAAGACGTATTTGCGATATTTGATTGTGTCGGTCGCGTCATTGTGCATCCGACTCTCAAACCGTTACCATTCTAGGTATTTCGTAACCCTACTTCGAGCAGACCTCGGGACGGCTTACAGGTATCCACTGATATTCAGACACAAAGCCTAATCTTCGAACAATCAAGATCAATTGTCTAAATCCGATTATGCGATTGACTTGTGGGTGTGTGTGTTTTGATCAAAAAGAACGCCCATAGCAAGAAAAGATGGGTATGAACGCTAGAAAGAAAACTACTTATATGTAATCCGAGTGCATATTATGTATGAGTAAATATCCCGAAATCGTTAATCCAGATCTCTCTTTCTCCTCATCCTCGGTCCCTAGTCCTCCCAATATGACATTAAGAAACATGGGGAGACGGCTTCTGTCCATATACGAAATAAAATCGCGAGTAGCCATGGAACTCTCGGTCACGAAGTTCTTTTCTTACTCCGGCGAGCAGGATCTGGATTTCGAGTGTTGTCCATCCCAAAACCCTGGTGAATAAAGCATACGAATATGCATCCAAGGCTTCCAGCATCATCGCTTGCTGGTATGTTCCTAGTTCCTTCATCTTTGGGTCTTTAGCCCATGGGGAATATGGCACCTGTTGGTTGTCAACGAGACCACTTTCTTTTTGAGAAGAAGACCTCATCCATGACGACATACCTTAAAAACCTTTTCCTTCACATTCACAAATCCCGCATCAATCATCCACTGCTTATAGTTTTGCGAAACCCCCATATGTTTATTGAAGATATGGCTCSCTTCAATCAATTTGTCGCGCCACTTGTACAAGTTCGGCGCTCGTTCATAGCTGTCATCGTCACAAAAGACTCCGACAGTGGCGTCGGCGACTTCGAACCAGCCGCCGTCTTTGAGGTTCTCTAATGCTTGACCAAATAGCTTTTTGTAATCCCTGACTGAACCCTCGATGCTGCGAGCGTGGATAAAGTCGAAAGGATAGGAGAAGTTCCAGTCGAGTTCAAAGTCATCTATTTGGAATTGGCAGTTGTTGGGGACCCTTTACAACAACGTAAGCTGTGTGTCACTAATTTATCGGGGACCTTGTGAGACATACCAAGGCGATTGTATAGGACTTAGATCCGTTCCTGTGTAAGTTAGATAAATAGTCATGAGTAGCAGCAGATATTTTTACTCACCGGTGACTATTGCTTGCGGGAATCGGCTGTAAATTGTGTAAGTTTCACGGTATCCTTTCTCAGCTTGGTGTCAGACATACTCTGCTAAATCCATCGCCCAAGCCCCCGTCCCTGTGCCAAGATCCAGTACTTGCGATATATTCTCTGGAATAGGAGCACAGTATAACTCTCCCTCTAGAACCATCAGGAAGATATGATGAAGCTTGTCGGGAGTCAGCAATGATGATTAGTCAATTACGATGCACACGGCTATACGCACCAAGTCGAGGCGGTCTTGCTCCCTTTCATCATTAGGCTATTGCAGTCTGTCAGTATTGCTGTAGATATCTAGATGATGGGTGCTAGGAAAAAACACATACAATGACGTATTCGCCTTCTCTGTATGCATGGTATCGACGTCCATTCTAGTATTTAGATATCCATGAGCAAGGAGTCCTCCACATTGTTCTCTTCGAATAATCCAAACAAACCTCATATCTGGTATAGTTGTTAGCAGAAACGATTGACCCACGGTCATTTCAACTTACTGATAATTGAACACACTCGACGCTAACGAGGCCGTCGAGCTTGCGGCATCTCTGTTCCGAAAGGTCGATTAGATACACATGAGATAGATTCCATCTCGCTCAAAACTTACGAGAAGTCACTAAGATCATCGTAAAGCGCAGGACCATCCTATCCAGAGATTAGACTCAGCAACCTAAAACTAGGCGGGATTTGGCTATACCTCAGGCGTGATAGTGGACCCAGCTGTGGAGTTCGAGTCCGATTGTTCACCCGACATGGCGAGCGGACAGCACAACAGTGGGATGCTGATATAACTAGAAAATAATAACCCGAAGGAAAAAGTTAGAGAAGAGGATAGGGAAGTGGCATGTTTCAATCACCGTGATCGTGCAAGTCAGACGGAGATCGTACTAACAAAGAGCGCAAGAGAAAAGGGCGACAAGTGGACCACCGCACGTGCCGGATATACTAGCCCTAAATAGTACTAATCTCCTTCAGTATAGCCTGACCTACGGCTATCGGAAAGCTCTTTCCGGGGGGCATTGGCCAATGAAAGCTTAGTTTCACGCACACTTTACCAATATAGGATTAGCGCAGCGGAAGTGCTTATGACCTGTCCTAGACTTAATTTCTTCAGACCGCGGTGGGCTTCGGCCACTAGATCTTTAGGTGCATGTCGTCGACTTCGATGATTCAATAATATTGTCGTATTATAAGCCCATTACGGAATACTCAGACTAGCTGCAAAGCAGTCAAACGCGTAATTGAGAAGAGTAATTGTTAGTTTCAAGTCATGTGATGGGGAGGTCGAAGGTTCTTTAGCTAATTGACCATGCCCAACTACCCACTGGGGGTGATTTTCGAAATCCACGCAGGGAAACATCTCTGTTGTAACCGTTTCTGATCCAGTCGGCACCAATCGATTAATCCCTGCACGTCTCTGGAGCTATGGAGCCATCACATCTTCTTTGCGGCGCAGCATGCGCTTACTCAGTGTATGTGATTGGATTGGTCGTCCATCGTCTGTGGCTGTCACCTTTGTCCAGGTTTCCAGGACCGAAGCTTGCTGCCGCTACTGCATGGTATGAGTTTTGGTATGATGCAGTCTGTCATGGAAAATATACGTTTGAGATTGCCCGAATGCACAAAGAGTATGGTTAGTGCGGTAGATCTAGTTCTTCACCTTTGTGTGGTCGAATAATGGGTGGCTAACCGTTTCTTTGTTCGAGTCATGTAGGCCCAATCGTTCGTATTAGTCCGTGGGAGCTTCACGTCGATGATCCAAGCTTCTACGAAGTACTCTATTCGCGAGAGTCGCCTCGCAACAAATACAAATTCTACGCCAACATGTTTGGTAACGAGCGCGCGACAATTGCCGTCCTGGACCATGCCCACCACCGACTTCTTCGGTCGAACATGAATCCATACTTCTCCATGGCGCGGGTTCGCCAGCTCGAGCCGGAAATACAAACCCTAGCAAATAAGCTATGCGATCGTCTGAAGAGCTTTAAAGGAACGGGTGTGCCGATCAACACGCAGCATGCGTACAGCTGTTTTGCGACGGACATCATATCGGATTATACTATGGGGATCGGATTTAACTTTTTGGATACCCCGGATTTCAGCCCGCAGTGGAGCGCGACGTTGAGTGGGATCGCGAAGAGCAGTGCATTCTTCAAGCCGTTTCCATGGCTGCTTGTGATTATGAAATCGCTACCGGACTCATTCGTTGCTTGGCTCAATCCCGGAATGGGTTTGATGCTTAGATTTCAAGCGCGTTGCATGGAGCTTATATTGTCTGTTATTGAGAGTCACAATGCTACTGGTGATGAGAAGAATAAAGTCAAGTTTGCGCATCCGACGTTTTTTCATGATGTTTTGAATAGCAATTTGCCGCCGGAAGAAAAGAGTGCGGAGCGATTAGCGCAGGAGATTCAGGTCGTGATTGGCGCTGGAGGCGAAACGGTCGCCAAAGCTTTGAGTTGGATTACCTATTATCTTTTGGAGAATCCAAAGACTTTGGAGAAGCTTAAGGCCGAACTTGAAGAGAAAGATCCGAATCAGAATGCATCATTGGCAGATTTGGAGAAGTTGCCTTACTTGGTAAGTTTCACCACTTTCCCACAAATTACTGTTTACTGACTGTTTCAGACCTCTGTTATGCTGGAGGGACTTAGGTACGCAAAGCAACATTAAGCCCTAAATGTGTCTATACTAATGCTCTCTTCTATAGACTTTCATACGGTGTTAGCACACGACTAGCCAGAATTTCTACGGACCACGCCCTACAGTTCAGAGAGTGGACTATCCCAGCAGGAGTGAGTCTACTAATAATAAGTTTCTTAAACAAGTCTAATATTCTAACCTCAACAAAAGACCCCCGTTAGCATGACAAGCGTCTTCATGCACCACAACGAAACCATATTCCCAAACTCATACGAGTTTGTGCCCGAACGATGGATGGATCTGGAAAAACGCAAGTACCTTGAGAAGTACATGGTCGCTTTTACCAAAGGGTCCCGGCAGTGTATTGGAATGAAGTTCGTTACCATACCATACCCCTTAAAATCCCAGAATAGTATATTAATGTCCACCAACTAGCCTCGCCCGATCCGAAATGCTGCTCGCCTTATCCAAGGTCTTCCGCGAAGTCGATTTTGAACTATACGAAACGACTCGCGAGGATGTTACCCTTGCGCATGAACTATTCCTGCCGTTCCCTAAACTTTCGAGTCAAGGTGTTAGGGTTTTGGTGAAGTGATTAACGAACGATATGAACTCGCAATTTTATGTATGACCCTGAATAATATCCCTGTTCACTCCATCCTCCTTATTGATATATGTGTGGTATTATTTTTTCTATTTCGGAGGGATTGTCTAATCTGCAATTTGACCTTGAGCCCATACATGTACCGCTCAAATGTTACTTTTTGGATCATATCAATTAGTTGTATATAACCATCTTTAGATCCGAGACGACTACCTAGGTATATATATAACTTATCACTAAGAGGAAGTCCTTTTTTATAAGTCAAATGCATCGATGAATGTTTCTGATCCTCGCTTCTTAGTCGAATCATAGTATCGGCGTGCGAGTGTATGAGTCGTTATGTTCCAAATGTGTTTGGCTATCCAAGACTAGTCGTCCATTTTATGCGTATGCGGTCCCAGAAGCAATGTTTGAAACCAGGCCAGTCGGATTCTAGCATGATCCTGTATGCTGATGGGTTTGAATCTACTGTTAGTTGATTGTGTACTAGGGTCGGTTTCCCGAATAGATACGACGGTCGCATCTGAGTTCTACATACGGGGAGCCCATAACCAGCCGAACAAATCTACGTGAGATCGCGTCTTGAAATTAAGTAAACCTACGTGTGTCAAATTATCATTCACTGTAATCATAGAGAGCCGCTACAATTGATATGTATCGTCTATCGCGACATTTGTATAGTGGCTGAAGTCCAAGGCGTCGTCGCTGCCATGCACTCGAGCTCGTTCGCGATCGTCATTTAATCCATAAAGGTAATGCTCTCTGTCCGATCGTCTTTCGATGTCTTGCAGGGCATTTGGGCCTGAAGCATATCTCAAAAGAGATCTGATGCTGTACCCTGATTAGCATTTCAAGCTCCGAAAGGGATCAAGAAAAATGAGAGAATTCACCATGATGTCCATAGCCCAGCCGCATCCTGTAGTCTTGCGAGACACATTGTGATAGTACTGACTGCATGTTGTATGGAACAAATTTTAATATTATGTACAGATATGTTGAATGATACACGAAAATCGAATCGTCTATACTGAGTCAAATCATACAAAAGACCACAAACCCCTATTATCCGCTGGGAAAACAAGCAACGCCATCTGATGCCGAACAAATAGCGCAATAAGCCCACAGACTGTCTGCAACAACACAATACTCAACGCAAGTCGATCTTCCTTCATAGGACCGAACCACAGAATCCAGAGATTGAGTAGCGTCAAGTTCGTTGACTCGGTAATATCTCCATTCTCATTCGTCTTGATCCCGACAAGTCTCAATCGATGAAGAAGATGTAATGCCGCAGCAATCACCGGCGACGGTGGAACAGGCCATTCAGTCACCGAATTCTCCAACAACCCCGTCACAGCATTGAATTTTGGTAACCTGTGCCTAGGACAAGGTATGATATGAAAAAGCTGCGGACAGGAGAATAAGAAATTAAACATCTGCGGAATAAACAACAAGAGTAACGTCTTGCTGAAATGGCCTAGTATACCGACAACAGCAAAGACCATACCCGCGAAATAGCAGTATGTGTCGCCCACAAAGACTTTGGATGGGTACCAATTATGGCACAGTAGTGCCAGAGACACGCCGATGAATGGGAGAAGGAAGTATATAGAGAATAAATGCGAGTCCGTGGCCGGATGCGGGTAAGGCGTAAACGGACTCAGATACAAAAGATCGTTTAACAGCAACAAGACAGCGATGACGAGTGACTGCGCAACTTCAACGCCATTGACGCCCGCGAGCATGTTGATACTGTTTGGGCAAAAAATTGCGACGGCAGCCATGTAGACGTAATACAGAAAGCCGAGGTCGAAGATTTGCCCAAAGTAGCGTTGTAGAGGCATGGGCACTACGACGTGAGTTACGCCGAAATCGACAAAGTAAACGACTAACATGGGGAATGCGCCGAGGGCGGGGATTAGGACTTTGTGGCGCCAGCGGATGTCGAGGAGATCGTCCCCGATGCCGAGGAGGGTGATGGCTTGGAGAGATAAAAGGCCGGAGAGGTAGGATGCCAGCTGCGATTGTTAGAGTCGATATCTTTGTGATCAAAAAGGGGAAGGGAGGAAAGTTCGAACCTTGTTATGGGGAAAGCGATGAAGGAAACGTCCAGTCTCGACATGTTCGATATGCAAGACGACATCGCGATTTCCGCCTCCAGATGTTGCAGCCACAATATCCTTGTAGAAAGGAAAAGGGATGAAAGCAATCATGAGCAGGAGATACACCACAGCACATACGGCGCCCATCGTTTCAGGTCTGTTAAAGATCAATAAATAATACCAGCGATAGAGGATTGAAGTATACATACATCTCTGGTTTCTTGGCTTTGGCCATATCCTTCCCTTTCAATCCGACCTTGATAAAGCTAGGTCCCAGCCATCGAATTAAGCTGTACGTCGTGGCGAATGCGAATATACTAAATGCCAAAGACACCATGAGCGGTTCACCATCGCCGTGAAAGGAGTTGGCGACAATAGCAATGGATGTGCCTATCAGCGCCCAGAGGCTGCAGACTTCCGCCGTCGAGAGCGCAGTTGACGGCGCCATGTTTTACGAAAAGCCTGCTTTGACTCTATAGTTGCCGAAGCACTTCCTCTCTCTCTTTCTCAGGATTCAACCCATTTAATATTTGAAAATGGGGCAGGTAATTGACGTAAGTAGAAGAGCAATCTGGCTTTATCTGATTGTTTTCTGCCGGATGAATGATTCACCGCCTTGGAAACGCGGCAGCTTGCGACAGCCAATTAGAGGCCTGATATTGCGCATTATCTCGGCGCCTTCCCCGAAGCAGCTTCGTGGGGTTAGACCTTGCGATGTTGATTTGCTTGACTCGAGCTGCTTCAGACATCCACGTCCACTTGGCTTGGTCGTACATATGGCAACGCACCGAAATAACAACTCCAAGTTACACCTGTCTCACAAATTGATGTAAGGAATTGATGGGAAGTAATACAAGCTGAATTTGAGCAAGACACGTCCGTCTCAGGATGGGCACGAATTTTACCGACTTCGAGTCTGGCCATCGTGACTTGGTCACAGTCACAAAGTTCAATTTTTACGGTGATCGAATTGTGACGGGGTCGTCGGATCATAGATTGAAGGTTTGGGACCAGAAAGATGGGCAGTGGCAGTTGACTGATACGTGGCGTGCGCATGATGCTGAGATTCGAGATGTAAGTCTACGATACCGGTAGAGTGTTTCTACTAGAAAGGATGTATGACTGACTGGGGGCTTTACGGATAGGCCACTTGGAATGGTCCTTTTACAGGACAGCATATTGGCAGTGTAGGAGAGGACATGCGCCTCAAAATTTGGCAGGAAGATGTTACTCAACCTCCCAATTCAGGCCGCCGGTTCAAGTCCATCTTCCGCTTGCCGGCTCCTCACAGAGTGCCCTTTGTGTCGTTAGATTTTCGCAATATTGACTTGGACACTTGGCTGGCTCTCATTACCCGAGATGGGTATCTCATGGTGATGGAGCCTGTTATGCCAGACACGCTCGGGGAATGGCAGGCCCTTGACCAGTTCAGGGTGTGTACCGCGCCAGCACGAGGAGAAGAAACTAGTTTTCGGGTGCAGTTTCACCATGACTCGTTCGATGCCACGCACTCGTTGAAACCCGATAGTGATCGGAAGAGCTTGTCTCTCGTCGTCGCTGCCATGGATACAGTAAAAATCTACAGAACTGACTCGAGCCGTCGATTCTATCACGCTGTCGAATTGGCGGGKCACGGCGGKCTTGTTCGCGACATTTCATGGGCTAATGGCTCCGTTCGTGGATACGATCTTATCGCTAGTGGTTGCAAGGATGGATTCGTCCGCATATTCGAGGTTTACACATCCTTGTCAGGGAATGGCAATCATGGATATCATCATCATAATCGGAATGGACAGGTTGTAGCGCAATCGCCGTCTCAACGCGCCACGGCACAGTCGGGAATCGGGTCTGCGCTGGCTAACCGGGCTCCGGTAACGGCTTCACCCCGTCCAACGAATGTTGATACTCCGTTTCGCCATGAATATAGGGAGGTTGCTTGTATTGATAGTCATCATTTGGATGTTTGGCAGGTACAATGGTCGTTTGCAGGTATGCCAACACTCTGCCATGGGCTCATATTAAGGTTCACTGCTGACTTGACTTGTGCTAGGCGACTGCTTGATCTCTTCAGGAGACGATGGAAGCGTACGATTCTGGAAAAAGGCTCTTACTGGAGAATGGCTAGAATTCGCCGAGACAGACATGACAGACGAGTGCGTACTACCCACGAATATTCTATCAATTTCGACTGACATAGATCCAGAGAACCACCAAACTGAGCGAATCATTTTGCAATCGATACTGGAAATTGTATAATATTATAACACGGTGGAGTTGGGCATTTTGTGATTTAACAGTGATATTGGTTGGGAGCGATCTATTCGGCATACCTTGCTTGGGTTGTGTATGGATTGAGTGATACCCGTTTGTTTATTTGAATATCGAGAATATGAGTTAATCATTAGCACTTTTTTTGGACTGTGATATGTGGCGGAGGCCACTCATCTGTGGCAGTACATTTGACGTGGCTACCTTGCTCAGACAAAGTAATGCAAACTGCCTGTAGTCGTCGATCGTCGATCATAGATAGTTCATATTATAATAATACAATCATCCTATACAGGGAAGAGTCACTTGTCACCAATCAGTTAAAATACAATCATTACACTGAGACACCGGGTCAATTCCAAACTATATGACAAACTAGTGGCTATAGCGTTGGCTGGACAGTGGATGGGCATGACCACGGGTTCAGCGACGGCTACTACGGCGGGAGGCCCGCTGTCTTTTCCCGCCGAAGCGAGCCTAATTGTGGCAAAAATGGGAATTAAGTTAGTTGCTATCACAGCACGAGTCCGTTCTCTTCTTTTTCTCGGTGTTCTTCTTCTCAGGGTACTCTGCTCTTTTGCTCTTTAACTCATCTTGTCTTCAAGATTTCTTCATGTGTGCTGTTCCTTTTTCTACATCCCTTGCGTGGGTTTGTCTGCCCTTGTGTACCTCTTTTTTTACCCCCCGAAACTGCACTACTGCAGTACTATAATTTCTTACGGAGGACACCGACCACCCCCATACACACAATCATTGAGAGGGCACACCTAGCCCCTCAACGAGGCTTCGCTTCGATTTTCACCACCTCGTCAAACATCCTGATTGACTTTGTCTTCTTGTCTTGTCCTCGTTCCCTGTTATTCAAGCTCTCCACTGCCAGACCTCAGTTGGCCTGATTATCAACTCCAGTCTGCAGGCAATCGACCGCTTATGGGTTGCCGCCGTTGTGACACTGAGTGATTAATCGATATCGCTGCTTATTGATATTCCTTTTCCCCGATGACATGCTTTCGTCCCTTGTCACACTTGAGCTACTCGATCAACTCTTTTCTTTTCCCTTCCTGCCTGATTTCCCAATCTTTTTGAATCTCAGCCTACACAGCTGTCTCTTTGTTGTTGTCATTTGTCATGGCGTGTACAATCCATGACTTGGCACAAGGCCATGTTGGCTGGCACGCACTAAACATGGCTACTTCTTCAGGTGGTTGAGCTGGTTCCTGAATTCTTCATCCTTCTACCTCCTTTGTCATTGAAGCTCGACTTTTGACTACACGTGTTACACGTCGTGCTTAATCTAAGCTTCGTGCTATCATGGCTTGACTACGCTTTGGCCGAGGATTCATCGATATTTGGCCATCGATCCTTCTCCCTCCAGACCTTAATTTTTATGCCCTCAAGTCTACTAATCTGTCCTGCCTGACCTTCCTACGAGCTCTAATCCGTCACACTGCTCAGCCTCCCTCGTCATCTGATAGACCGATACCACAGCAATGGCACGTGCACTTTCGTGGTGTTTGATTGACGCCAAGCTGGAAGCGGCTAGCGCTACAATGGTCGAAAGCAACAAGCGAAAGCTGACATCTGACAGCTGACTCAGCAGCCAGAACACGATTGGTCTCGCCGCTGGCTGACTAACCTAGGGCCAAACCTCGGGCTCTGATACCATGCCAGAAAGAGGCAGCAAAAGGGCCGATCGGAGTGGGGTAGCGACTTGATTCACGGCCAGCCATTGGCCACACCGCCTGCCCATCCGCCTGGACGTGACACCCCATTTATTTGCGCGCTGCTGAGTGGCTGGTCGGAGGCAGTCGGCATACGTGTCTAACCTGTTTCTCCAACGTGTGTCTCTCCCTCATTCCCGACCCAACGCGGACCGCCCTCGCCTCTGCGACCGACAGAAAGCAGACTGACAGACAACCCTTAGCAAAAAAATGAGCAAATAACTTTTGTGAGGAGTCTCGCGCCGTTGAGCATCGAGATTCCTCTGCTCGTATTCGAGTCTTCCATGTTTCAATTTTTCCGTTTTCCATTTTCGGGCTCTTTTTCTTTTTGCTTAGTACACTTTACAATATTATTGTTTCATTGCGATTAGCCTGTTGCTGCCATGTTTTTTGCTGGCATTCTATTGTGCGGAAAGGGCAGGCTCGCCCTTTCTCTCGTTCCCGCCGCCGCTCTTTCCTGCTGAACGGCCAAGTTGAACCTGCCCGGAAAGCGCGCCTTACCCGTTTCGCTCATTTCGCTTGGTTTGGCTGGCCCAGGTTCAGCAGCAGCCATTCACAGCGAGAGAGCCTGGTGTCCTTAGGCTCCTCTTCCCTTCGTCCACTCCTTCTCTTCCTTCCTTCGATCCTCAACCACTACTTCTTTCTCTCGTCAATCTCACCACCACCACCACCTCCTCCTCCCCTCCCTTGGTGTTTCTTCTTCTTCAACCTTCTATTTCTTCATTTGATTAATTATCTTCTCGACTTGACGACCGTATTTTCCTTCTTCTCCCACCTCCATCGACCTCTTCGACGTTCCGTTTCTCGAATACCGAACCCGACCTTGTTTTGCTTTCACGGCTCGAATTTTCCAGGTTTTCCACCGTTTCGTGCCCTCCACCAAATGCGCGTCGACTCCTTCATAATCCTTGATCGCCTTCTTGGACTCGATTCCTCCCTAGCTTCCGGTCGCAAATCTCGAACTCGTTGACGAACGCGAATCCTCGACCCTGTACTTTTATCGTCTTCTTCTCTCGCCACAACGTCGATCTCTTCACCAGCCGTCACAACTGGATCTTTGATCTTGATACTGTCATTTATCATCGCGATTTTTCGTGAACCTTAACGTGACGTGCATCGCTCTCGTGTCGTCGACGAAATCGCCACAGGAACACTACGTGTTATCTTTGCTGTCGTCGTGTCGATTCTTCTAGACATCTGCGTGCAGCTATCTAGACGAACCTCTGCCGATATACACGACGACGACCTCAGCGGCTTTTGACATGCGCGTTGAGGAATCAAACCATCAAGCTGGGTGCTGAGGAACTTTTTCCATCACCTGTTGAGGTAAAGGAGGTCATCTGTCGGATTATGACAGATACCTCCTTGCTCGCAACAACGCATTCGACCGGAGATTCGTATCCGGTCACTGCTTCTATCCACTCCCCGGCGCTGAATGGCGCCATATCCGATTCTGTCCCTCTGGAAGACGAAGAGCCCTACACCATCAAATGCATTTGTGCCTTTGAGGACGATGACGGGAATACTGTCTTCTGTGAGAAGTGCGAAACATGGCAACACATCGAGTGTTACTACCATGGCCAGGAGGTCCCGGACGTACACTTCTGTACAGACTGTTCACCCTCGCCACTGTACTTGGACGGAAAACGGGCCACTGAGCGACAGCGTCGTTTACGGGAGCAAAATGATAGCGGTGACCGGAAGGCCAAACGCTCTGGGTCAAAGAGCCACAAGAAAAAACACCACAAAGAGGAACTGGTCAACGGACACCACCGCAGTGAATCCATTTCTAGGGACCAGCCGGGTATCCTCAAAAAGCCAAAATCCTCTCATCGACCATCAGCGTCAGTGAGCTCTGTCAACGTACCACCCAAGTTGCAACCAGATCCTCGAAAGCGATCAGGGTCCATGACAAACTCAATGAGTCCCACGAAATTCACATCTACACCACCGCAAATCCCTCTATACTCTCACGAATTCCTGCATCTATACGAGAACGACCGAGGTTATCAGGACAGGGAGAGCAACTTAGTCAACAACATACACCTAATGAATGGTATGGGATCATGGGTCAAAGATCCGTCGACAATCCCACCAGATGGTACTGGTCGTCCCCCACAGGATGTTTTCGCGTATGCAGACGTTCTGGATTCTTCCGCATGGCCTCAACTATCGTTAGATACCCAGATCGATAGGGATATCGAGATGGAAGGTGTACATCCAACCTGGAAATTGCTGCGAACTCAAACCGCTGTCCACAAGGATCAGATTGTCGGCGAGGTCACAGGTAAAATAGGCGAGCTTCGTGATTATTGTCTTGATCCTGCAAATCGGTGGCCAGAATTACATCACCCTCAGCCTTTTGTCTTTTTCCATCCTCAACTTCCTATTTACATAGATTGTCGCCAAGAAGGTTCCAAACTTCGATACGTTCGTCGTTCGTGTCGCCCTAACGTCACGTTGAAGACTTTCATCACCAATGGGATCGAGTATCATTTCTGTTTCGTCGCCAATCAGGATATTCCCGCGGACTCGGAAGTCACGGCGATGTGGTATATCGACCGCCAGTTCTCTGGAGACAGCGATCAGGAGGAAGCCCGAGCGATCTCCATGAGCAATCTTCTCGCTAACTTTGGCGGATGTGCCTGCTCTCCATCCCAGCAGTGTCTCTTAGCTGCTGTTGATCGCCGTCGTCACCCAAGCTTGAAACAAATGAATGGCAAGCGGAGGAAGGCAAAATCTAAATCTGCTGTCTCGCCTACGAGTGTTGGTCGCTCTAATACGAGTCGTGCGGGTAGTGAGGTAGCCATCGACGATGATAACGCCGATAATCGATCAACATCTGGCTCCGTACGTGGACAGACCCGTAGTCGCGATATGACTCCAACACATCCACCGCCTGAATGGGCCTTGCAAGATACGGAATTGTCGGCGCGAGATAGACGCAAAATCGCAGCAGTGGAAAAGAAATTCGAGCAGCTCGAGCATGATCAGCACGGACAGCGCAAGAAGAAGCGAGGCAGTGCAACATCTTCACATCCGAATCTGCCTGCTCCACTACCTGTATGTTCATCTCCCCAAATTACTCAGTTGATCACTAACATATGACAGAAGCAGTCGAGTGTACCAGCTCCTGGCAAATCTCTAAAGGTGGACACAGCTGCCAGTCGCTTGTCTGATCCCCGACATTTCTCACGCAAAGTATCTGATCCCACCAACGCGCGATCACCTCTCTCACGCGCTGCCTACGTTGACGAATCGCAACAAACTCGTCCTCCTCAGATTAATTTCGCTCCTCTAGGTCGACGACTGTTGAAACGCTGCCTGGAAGACAGCGCAAAGACCCAATGGCCGACTAAGCGTCAACAACTGTCTGCAGGTCTAACACCCACGGATGTCGCTCTTTCTCCGTCTTCGGTAGCCCTTTCACAATCCTGGGGTTCTGGTGTACGGCCATCTTCTTCGCATAGTGAAGATGTAGACATGAAGGATGGTCCAAGTGATACAGCCTCTGTCAAGTCCGCATCTCACGAGGTCATGGCAAAACCACCCTTGCCATCAACAGCAGCCCACAACACGCTTGTACCTGGGATGTCGCCTCTCAATAGTCGGATGAGTCACCTTCATGTTCAATTACCGTCCAATCACTTCGCAGTGCCTTCGACACCGGGTGCGGCAACTCCTGGGTCGCTCCAATCACCATCGGATATTGTATCACAGCCAGCTCAGACACCAGGTGGCAGCATCACAGCTCCTAGTCCTGTCAAGAAAAAGATGAGTTTGGGTGATTACATGGGTCGTAGAGGAACGATGGCAACGCCAACAACGGAAAAGACTCAGGCTCAAGCCACTACACCGGCTCTTGCACCATCCAGCAAACCAACCTCGCAAGCTCAATCGACCACCCCACCATTATCGACAGATGGCGAAACTCAACCGCAACCGCAGTCGCAACCGGCCCAGGGAGCGGAGACGATAAAAAATGAAGCCTCACCGACCGATACGGATATCACGATGAAGGATGTCCCTAGCAAACCCCCCATATCTCCTCCTTATCTTTCTTCTCTTGGAGCGCAGGATGACAGCAAAGTCCCGCCAATGACATGATACCCTAGATTTGTTTTCGTTTCTTTTCTCGATTGCCTGTGCTTTTCTTTCACTTCATCGGAATGATACTTCATATTTTAACTATTTTTTCTGATCATTGATATTCACTAATGAAGGTGTATTGGACTTTGTGTGTGTTGTATCGGCGTTATATTTCTTACTGTCTTATCTACTTGATGATAACGAGTCTTCTCGAAAAGGGTTCTTATTGTGATGGCGGGGTTTTGGCTGGGGCGGCGCGAAACGGCGTAACTGAGGCAGGCGRATTCATTTTTACTTTTCTTCTCTTCTCTCTTCTCTCTTCACTTCTCGATGAATTTCAATTTGGAAACTTTTCTGGAGACTTGGTTTAATTGAGTCTGGTATCATTGTTCGTGGGCAATGATATTTGATGTTGGTCGGAAACATGTAGGGTTAGAAGTTAGTGTAGCTTTTTGATATCCTGGAAAGTTTTGACTAATAATCTATTTCGAAATATGAATTCTTCCGATTCTTCATGTGTCTTTGGGTCTTTGATTAAGTGGGTAGTGCTACCAGGCTTCCTTCACTGGCCGGATGTGTCTCTAGAGACCATTTGGGGTCCTTCGTACGTATCACCCAGTGTTTGAGGCCTGTCTTATATCGATACTGCAGGGCAGTTGTCTTCGTTGAATGTAAAATACAGGTATGGAGGAGTACGAATTGAGTCCGCGTCCCACACGAGAAGATTCATCAACGCCTCTTCATGTACAGGGTCGTCTTCAACATCGTGCTTGGTGGTTTCCAGTGATATTCTCTGCCACTGAGTTGACTTCCATGGGCCCTCGCTGAGTCTCTGGTATCTCGCTGACCATATCGATTTGTGACTCATTCTGGCTCGCGTCTTGCTGCTCAGTAGGATGAGATGGAACGAGTTTTCGAGGAGGATCGAGGTATTTGGCCATAGATTTTTCGACGGCTTTCTCTACAGCGTCTTCAATAGTGTTGTCCACGGCACTTTCCACAGCACTTTCCACGGCGTACTCAACGGCATTTTGCACAGCGTTCTCAATGGCATTTCCGACACAATTTGTGAGGGCAGTTTCGACGGAATTTTTGATGGCTTTGTCGATGGCCTTGGTGGTCGCTTCATTGATCTGGTCGATGGCATTGTTTACGACTTTCTCTAGTGCCTTCTCCAGTAGCATGTCGAGAGACGACTCCGTTCCTGGACAAGAATCGAGGAGAAAGATCAGCACAGGGCTAGAGGAACGAGTTACTCGCATGAGGGGAGGGGGCCTATCTTGGGTATACATACCACTGGCAGCGTCGCTGCTCTGCGTCATTTTGGCGGTTGAGCTATGGTTGTCGATAAACTCGTCAATGATATGGTTGTATTGGTCCTTTGCCGGAAAGGGTAACCGAGAATCAGGTATGAAGATGATGGGAGAGTCAGAGATTGGAACGGGACAATTGGGACTGACTGAGAGGTGACAAATGAAGAGGGAAGGAAGACAAACAAACGAAAAGGGAAGGCGGAGGGCGTGTAGAAGGAAAAGCACCGACGACTCTGAACAACAAAGAGAACGAACAGGGAAAGAGCTTATTAGGTTACCTATATTTGTTTATGCAAGCATGCGTTGGGTGCAATGTTACTATCTTTCAATACACTAAAAAATATCCCCTAATATCAACCCTTGAGATGTGACTTGATTTGATTCTGGCTCTAGGTGTGATTATACGCAGAGTTTTTAATAAATTGCCATTGAACTCAAGTATAGCACACTTTCCATCTGATAAAGACATCGAAATATGGCTTKTAGAGATATCTCTGAGAGGAGATCGTTCATTGATTCGTTGTTGGCTAAAGTGTTACATACAGGTGAATTGCTGAGATTGTCCAAATTTCCTCCTCAATTCTTCCTTGGCATTGTCTTCCTTGTCTCAATAAAGCTAACGGCTCATCAAACTTTCTGAGTTGATTGCTTTGAACAACCATTTTGTAGGGTTATTATCCTCATCGGCCTTCTTGCATCTCAAATACAGTTTCTCCTGAAGCCAAGCAGCAGCAGGGCAATCAACATAGTCGATAGCTTTTACCGAGAGCAATTGAGTACCATATGGTACTTGAAGCATGTAGGAACCATGAGGCGTTCGCCGCAAACAAAATCTTGTGGACTTCCTAATCTTGTCAAAACCAACACAGAGAACCGGCTCATGGTTGATGAAATTACCGTCCTCGATGCCCAGAAACTTCTTCGTGCCCACATTTTGGAAGCAAAGCCACCCAATGAATTCCATGCATCTCCACCAACAGCGCTTGCGTAGCTCAGTCTCGGCATCAGGCCACGCATCAGAGGCCCATCGAAGTTCTGGTTTTGATTCTTTGTCCACAGCAAGTACAAATCCGTCATAGTCCTCCAAATGAATGGTGTACATCTCACCGGGACAGGGGTGCCGAGCCGCATGATAAAGGTGATCATCCTCCACCAGGTAGGCATCATCGTACCTATCGTTTTCCCCCCTCAATGGCGCTGGTGTAATTATAGTGGCGCGCTCAATTTCCATCACGTCTTGTTGTGATTCTTCGCCTCTATTTTCGTCCCCCATTTCTGTCGCAGCATTGGTCACAGTTTTTTGTTGTACAGACTTATTGGAGACTGACGACTGGACAAGATCTGCAACATGGTCTGAGATTCTGTTGATGGCTTTGTCTACAGCTTTTTCGACGATGTCGCTGAATTTAACAGAAGCCTCGTTGACAATCTTTTCCAATGCCTTCTCCAACAGCATGTCAAATGAGATCTCCTGCGCTAGAATAGAGCGGAAAATTAAAAATTTAGCACGGAGTTGATTGGAACGGTCTTCAGAAGAGGTAATGCTCAATAGCGTACATACCACTTGCAGATTCGCCAGAGCTGGGAGCCATGGTTGTTGACGATGGATCTCAGACGCTGATACGGTTGTGCCGATTCCAGACAATAAGTTAGATGGGAGGTTGTCAGAGTGAGATAATGAATTAAGGAAGAATTTGAACTAGCTGAGTGACTGTAGAAGACGGTTGTGAGAGCTCAGGCCAGGGAAAGGAAGAAGAGAAAGGGGGTTGGGCTTGTAGAGATATACACTCACGTGAGCTACTATCGAGTGCAAACGACACTTGATGCCCGGTGCCTCAAAGACTCTGTGGTTTCCCAATTGGGTAATCTAGTTGCCCGGTAGAAGCCCTTACTCATGGGTAAGGCCGTCACGGCGACACTGATGGAAAGACAAACTACGGGCAGCAGGAACCGAAAATTCAGAAAAATACTGATACAGTAATAGTCAAGGTATATAGAGAACACACAGGAAATAAATTCCTCAATGTAATTGTTAGAACGAAGCTTCTCGAGATCTACCTTGACGATTCCACTGGATGAGCTAATTCAGTTGACAAAAAGGCACATTTGTTTGTTATAACCTTGGTACCGTTTAATATCTTGATGCAATTGAAATAATGATCCTGTCTAACTGGTACATGCTGAGAGAGACTTTGGATGCATTGCAATGACCTTGCATCGCTCTATTCACCTTCGCCCTCGATCTCCTGCTGCCTTCTCTTTCTGCCTAGGTTCCATATTTCGTAACTCATATTCATTGGTCAAAAATCCTCCTGAACTTCCATTTTTTAAAACAGCTGTTCTTTTCCCTGTCACAGGAAAATTCGATATCATCTTCATCAAACCATGTACACTTACCAAACGCTTCATACCCAGCTGTAACATAAGCGGAAAACCTATCCTTTCGGGCCTGCAGCAGGTAGCTGTTTCCTCCCATGCTTTCTGGACAAAATCTTGTGTTCCCCCGATCATTCCTTGCATTCAACTCTGGCCAATACCCACGAAATGTGACGCCCAGGTACTTCTGGGTTGCGACATTCCGGAAGTAGAAGCCCTCTTTTTTGCCTCTTGTGATGCACTCCCAATGACAATAGCGAGTTTCGTTCTTGTTAACTTTGGCAGTGACATAAGCATGAGCTATCAATATAGGAGGCGGATCAATATCGTCTATTGCTAGCATAGCTTTCAGCTCGTCGTCTAGGTGAATTGCATAGGTCCTACCTGGGCGTGGGTATTCCCAGATAACTTGGGGCAAATTTTCCGATAGGCCTTTATCGTCTGAGGAGTCTCCATCGACGGAGCCTTCATCAGAGTCATCATCTTCGATATCAGCTCTGGAAGTGGATTCCGACTCTTCAAGTTCCATGGGCTCTGTTTCCGGTTCTTCGGGTCCGTCGATCACAGTATGCGTCGAGATTCCTGCCTCTTCCACTTCCACACGATCTTGGCGACCTTGTTCCATTCGGCCAGGTGATTGAAGCTCCATCAAGCGGTCTGAGAATCTAATTAAAGTCTCATCGAGAGCCTTCTGCACAACTTGTTCAGCCTTTCGGGTAGACTCTTGTATTTCGTTGACATGCTCCGAAAATTTGGCAAAAACTTGATCCAAAGTCCTTTCAACAGTCGTGTCAAGCTTTTTGGTCACTTGGTCGATATGTTCATCGAGTTTTGTTAGAGCTTTGTTCATGGAATTTTCGACAGCTTTCTCAATTAGAAGCTCGATTGAGGGCACCTGGCCTACAGTAGAGTAGGGTTCAGCACGGATTTAAATCATCGAACTTTGAGAAAAAAGATGCTGCATGGTGTACCTACCGTCAACATGAACGCTTGTCCGCATCAGATTCGAATCAGCCATGTTTTCATTGATAATAAGCTCGCCAAGATGGTTGATTGCTCTGGTGGTAATGGTGGTATCGCTTTGGCCAAAAAGGCACCCCGACAAGAGCGGATCAAAAGTGATGAATGGCGGGTAGTAGAGGTCAGAGGTCTTTTTGACAAGATCGATCAAGAGAAAAGTCCACGCAGTAGAGGAGTCAGGCTTGATAGCGATGAAGAGAGAAAATCGACGCGTTGATACGTAGATCGTGAGACGCGAAAAGATATTTTGAGAGGAAAGCCCACGTAAATAAGAAATAAAAGTATGGATTGATAGTGAGGTTAGAGGTTGTGTTGAGGAAATGGAATTTAGAGGCGAAGAGTGAGGAAGAATGAAGTGAGATATGCTTAGAATAAACCAACGAAGCTGACTAAGTGAATGAATACTCCTTAGACGAGAAATAAGTGAGTTTACCCCGATAAAAACTGAGAGAGAATCATAAGCACGAGCATGTCACCCTGCAGCTTCTTTGATATGACAATAAAATGATCTCCCAGAGACAACTTCCTCATCTTGTCTGCGGGCTAGATCTGCATGATAGAAAGAAAGAAGGAAGGAAGAGATCGTTGTTGATTGAATGTCTGATTTGGCTCAATATCTCTTCGAAAAAGTTCTCGAGTAGATACGAACTCTATCTCTTCACTTGCCCTCGAACCGTGCTCCGATTCTTTGGGGCTTTTGAGCCTAGTCTGTGTTGCAGTGTCTGGGTTGTCTTCGCGTTCTCAGCCCCTTGCTGGGCTGAATTAGACAATCGAAGCTCACTAAATTGTTGCGAGATTCTGGTAAAGGCTTCGTCCAAAGCCTTATCGAGCCCTCCTTTGACAATCCGGGTAGGCGATTCGTTTTCTCTAATCTGTTCTGAGAAACCGATAAAAGCTTGGTCTTGGGCCTTTTCAGCGGCTTCAATCATCTGTTCGGTAGCTTTCTTGACAATTTCGTTCACTTCCAATATAGCTGCTTGTTGTTCTTTGATGTGACCCAAAAATTTACGGAGAGCTTGTTGATGGGTCCTTTCAACAGCTCTATTAATCCTTTCCATAGCTTCGTTGACCGTTTTATCAACTTTCTGGTCCAGTGATTCGACTTGCTCGGAGTATCTGAGAAAGGCCTGTTCTTGGACATGTCGAGCAGCTTCATCAACCTTTTCGATAGCCCTACTCACGGGCCCTTCAAAGGCTTTCTCGAAGAGGTGGTCAAAGAAACGTGTCTGATCTAGAGTATAGCAGAGAGCCAAAGTCAGCGAGGAAACTTTGAATCTTATTATGATCAAACAGCGGGTAAAATGTGACGCGTGATAGCGAACGTACCAGACTCAGGAATAGAGAACTGAGTTCCATTTGATTCAGTCATGGTAATGAAAAATCCCGACTTGACGAAACAGCTGACTGCTCTGTTGGGATTGATTTGTCTGGATATCGAACCCCGATAAGATAGGAGCGCGAAGAGTGAGTGATGGAAGATGAAATATGCGAAAAGCAGATCAGATGCTATGTAAACAGTTTAGCCCAGGAGGAAGTTTCTAAGCAACAGAAGACCAAGGCCTTAAAATGATGATAAGAGAAACCTGGATATGTCAGAATGGATGGCTGAAACAGGAAATAAATCAAGACAATAGGCCGAACAGCGAAAGAACAGGGGTGAAAAAAGATAAAAGCAGGTGAGAGAGGTGAAAGGGCAGACATCATATGTGAAAAGTTGACGTGAGAAGATGAATAGGGACATAACAAAGACTGAGAGCTGCAGTTCAGAGCTTTGTTTTCCTTCTTTTTCTCTTCATTCTTGATATTCTCTGTAGATTGGCGCACCCAGTTGTTAGTTCCTTACAGGTATTTGCCGTTATCACATTAATTTGATATTTTATTTGACTCGATCTCGCCTAGTCCGAAGCACTGAACCCGTCTAAAATGTCACATTATAAAAAAAGAGGCCACTGAATGCAGTGCAAATGATTTTAGCATACCCTCGCTCCAAAACATAAAAAAAGATGAGAAAAAATGATGAATCAAAATACACAGATTGAGAAATGAAGAAGTGAAGGGAAAAAATACGAGACATCGAAGGGAACAACTCATTTCGTCCACCCCTTGGCCTTCATATTATTCTCAATGACATCCCAGATATGTTCAACTATCTCCCGATCCAGCCATCGTCCAGCACCGTCAACACCCTTCTTCTCGTCCCAGCGAGAAAGAGTGAAGGTGCTCACACCTCGACCCCAATCTTTAATCTGATTCGGGACATGTTCGCCAGTCATACCGACGTAGATACCAGCAGCATGTCTAAAGAGTTCTGGCGGGTTAGACCATTTGTATGTCTTGAATTGCCATGCTTGACCGGTCGTGAAGACGGCGACGAGTCTTTGCCAGTAATCGGGTTTGAAGTTTGCTGTGCTGTCAGCCAGGATGAAGCGTGTTGGTCTTCGGCTAGTTTGTGCGGCGCCGCCTGCACCGGCGCTGCCGCCTTGGCTGCCTGCTGCGTTTCCGATGCGTGTTTGGCGGGTGATGATTTGCATGTTCGAGGTTGTGTGTGATGCTAATGTGGGATGGTCGGGGGGTACAAAGACACCATCTTGAAGGAATGACTTGATATTGGAGAGACGAATAGGCGATGAGGCGGACGGAGAAAGGAGGATAATGGGGTCGGGACGTCGTGAGCTTCCTGATGACGAGGAAGAACCCGGTTTCTTGGGAAGCGCAAGACCGGCTGAGGGAGCTGGGACAATGATTCCTCCTTTGCCTGGTGGGCCCTTGTTGCTTCCAGGTGGATATTGGCCGCGCGAGCTGCGGTTGCGACCAAGGAAGATCTCTGCGGTTTTGCGAATATGCGAGAAGTCCTACAATATCCATTAGTTGACACATAAGAAAGCAAGAAGCTTGTGGGGCGAAGCATACCGTGGGTTTGATACCACGCAAGACAGTGTTCCGATCACCCAACTTCCGCTCGCCGTTGTAAATCTCTTGTAACTGAGGATCAATCACTTTAGTCGGTCTGGCACCTGCAGCTGCCGCCGCTGGAACCGCAGCTTTGGGCACAGCAGCAGTAGTAGCATCTGCCGCCACGGCAGGAGCTGTTACATCAGCAGCGGCGGCGGCAGCCGCTGCCGCTGCAGCTGCAGCACCTTCCAAAGGCTTGATATATTCACTATCATCCGAAGCACCTTCAAGCCAAGTAATCAAATCCAAGCGCTCAACGAAAACCAAATTCAACACCTGCTCTTCATTGCCATCTTCCTGCTCCTTCTTCTGTTTTAATGCCTCATTCACCTCCTGCGCCGACGCAATGTACTCTGGAATAGCGACATCCTTTTTCTGCCATGCAAAGAAGATACTGCGCAAATCGACCTGGGCATCGTTATTTGCCGTGGAGACGAAACGCGTTAATGTGTTGAGTGGTATGGTGTGCGGAAGTGGGTGGGCGAAGTACAATTGGTTAGCCTTTGCGAGGTCGTCTGTGAGGTTGTCTGCTGCGTTGGAGATGTCTGAGGAGGTGGTCGGGGTTGGGAGAGCTTGAGCTGCGATTGCTCGTCGCAAGGACAGCAAAGGGTCGGAAAGAAGAGGGTCAGTCGCCATTTTGCTGTATTTTCCCGGTGGCGCGTACACCTCTTTTCTATCTCCCTTTAGTGAGCCGCGAAGAGATCCGTGGGAAGCTCAATTGTGAAGTTGAGTTGTCATGGAGCAGACTTGTCATGTCGGTCTCAGTAAGGTTATTGATGATATGCGCCTCGGAGAATCTATTTAGCGGCTTKCCGAGAGTCAATCACGTGATTTCATATCAACTTTCTCATTTCAATATGAGCCCTCTATGAGACTTGCAGCAGCAACTACTTTTACGTTGTCTACTTGAGGCTTGGAGGATTGTAGTTCAATTCTAGACATCCGTCTATGCCCATGATATTATCAGGATATATACATGCACATGAAAGTATCAGATATTGATGTGACAAACGAAAATGGTAGTCAACAATGAAGGTAAACTGAAAACCAGCCTCCCACTATACGCTTGTGTATCAAGTAAATGTAAGCAAACAGGAAGAATGCTTCCATATGATGCAAAAGAAGAAATAGCCACATGCAAAATGTGCGAATTTTGATATCAAGTGAAGAAAAATTGTAAAAACCCCGCAAACCGGTATGTGCAATGACAACGCCCATTCAATGCTTCATGGGAGAAAGGAGAAAAGGAAAAAGGAAAGAGATGCAGGCGTTTTCGTATTTCGGCTCTTTTCGCTGGTCCCAATATGACCTCCTGCCAGGAAAAAAAAAAAGTACACGAAAAAGGAAGATGTAACCAATGCCCCTCCCGACGTCTATCGTGTAACCCATAGAGAATAAAGAAAATCGTAACTCTTTCGAAAGCGCTCTGATAATAAGCAGAGAGTTTCGGTTGGAATTAAGGATAATCGTTCAGCCATGTCTATCAAGTTATCGTGGCAATGACAAATGGTAGCTGGAAAACGTCAAATGCTAAGAGATTGATAGTTTTCGAAGGCTCATAAATGGACGTTATGTTCGCACAGATCGGCTCAAGGATCGCTCTGGGACAGGAGCAGGTGTGGGTGAATACGACCGACCATTGGTCCCTAGGTCAAATTCGTGCTCCTGTAGGACGACCGAGTACTTGGGATCACGAACGAACTTGGGAACAGAGTCCTATCAAAAATTAGTCATAATTTCACATGTAACAAAGAAGTAAAACTTACACTTGACATCAACTTAAAGACGGAAGTCTGAGCCAATTCAAACAAGTTGACGACTTCCTGAAGGCTCTTGAGCATAGACTCATCATCTCCAACGGCCTTGGTCATGCGGCTGGCAAGGCTGTTTCTAAGACCGTGCTCAATGTTCAATTCACAAGGCGAGCCAGGCGCCAAGAAAGCATTGTAAAGACCGTAGGCTGCAGCAAGGGTCTCTCGAACGGTTTCGATCTTGTTCAATGCACCGGATTTTTCCAATCGGTGGTAGTGCGATGTAAACTCGGAAACATCAAGGTAAAAAGACAAGTTCTCCTCGCACAAGGAATAGCGTAGGAACTCCCGGAAGAGCAAGCGCAGTGCCGGATCGTGCAAAATGTGGTTGAGACGAGCATTGTTGGAATCGCGTGCACCTCGGCCGTCGTATTGCGAGACGTTGCTCTTATCACGGGCAATCCATCCACATACACGTTGTCCATGCTCAGTCACTGTGTAAATAGCATGTTTGGTAGGCTGGAAATCAACAGCGGTAGGTTCTTGCGCAGCGTAAGGTCGATCTTCTTGAACGGAGGTGATGAGACCATGTTTGATGAACAGAGCAGCGATCAAGCAGGTTTCGCGACGGTCGTTGGTAGTCGAACAATCCATGAGCCAGTCAACTGCTGCTTTTCCGGTGAAAGTATTCGCAAAGAACTTGTCGCCAATTTTCCTCTCTTTCGCCATCTTGACACCCACGAGACCATTAGAGTAATCGCTTAGCGAGTCGGAGTCGGAGCTGGATGTGGAGGTTTTGATATTAGGGCCGTCTTGCCCGGCAAAGCGACGGAAAATAACCTCAATGGTTGCTCGATCTGTGGAGAGCTTGTCGGTTTCAGTATCACGTTCCAAATTGACCAGCTGCATAGTGTTTCGTGGAGACTCCAGGACTTCCATAACATGTCGGGCAGTGATACCATTTCGTTGGCAGAAACGTTGGAGAATGTTGATTCCCTTGGGAGTTAATTGATAAAGACCTCCTTTCATGGGGAAAAATGGGTTGCCTCTGCCATCAACCGGTTCAACGAAGCGTGCGTCAGCAAAACGTTGACATACAGATCGAGCCATCTCTTTTGCCATGGAGAAAGTGGTGGTAGTTGTCGTAGTGACGATGCGTGAAGGATCCTTGGGGTCTGGCATGCGGTTTGACTGAGAGAACTTCAGAGATCCCAAGTTGTTGATCGCTTCTTCGGATGTGAAAGTGTGCTCAAATCTAGTGAAGCGCACACGATGAGTATCCAGCTTCAAGCTCACCATCAAAGTAGCAAACAGATCATTGAAGTCCTGTAAGAATTAGCGCATTGTTCAGCTGTGATTCGTCTCCAAGACTCCGGCGTACCTTTGTAAAAGGACGGTCATCCTCCGTCATGCGGAGGAGCCTTGACGACGTTTGATGCATCTTGTTCGCTCGCGAGGACGCGGTATTATCCAGATTGAGAGGCTCTTGTGGTATCAGCCGCACTGTACCCCGGCGACTGAGACCTGACGAAGGGGCTTTAATAAGAGGCAGGGCTGGTAGCTCCTCGTTGCTTAACTCCCGATCCGCCGGAAGCGAAGCACCACCAACCTGAGAGTACTTGTGTGATTGCCTGGAGAGGCTACCGGTCGACGAACTAGTCCGTAAAGCAGGCGTGGAGATGGTGGCCAAAGAGGTGGTGAGGTTTGCGAACACGTTCGAAGTCTTTTCCAAAGCGAAGCCGGCAAGGGACCTGCGATTGCCTTTTGAGATGGAGCCGGTAGTGGAAGGGTATTTGGCGGCAGGTGGCGGAACGGCGGACGAGGGGKCTGCGGTGGTGTCAGGTGGGTGCGCAGCGGTGGTAGCGGTGTATGGTAGAGTGGTGAGTAGATCTGATGGAAGCGAATTACCAGCAGATATATCAGTCATTGAACCCAGGTCAGGAGGACTTGGGGGGTGGAGGGGGGGAATATATTAGAGTAATAAGTGTGTGGTGAAGATCGACGAAGGTTTTAAGAAAGAGGCAAGAAGAAAATCAGGTACAGGGGTGGGATGGGATATAGTGGAGGAAAAGTAAGAGTAAGGAGGAAAGAGGAAAAAGATATTGCGATGAGGCAATCGGGAAGGCAGGCGGGCAGGTAACGTAATTTTAGTATTTACTCGGAACAGCGGCGAATTCAGGTAAGTTAGGTACGCAGGATGTAGATTGGTAATAAAAGCGTGTTGCTATTGAGTAATAGAGTCACAGATGGAAAATGTTACAATCGAAATGGATGAAGACTCCTCAGCGGGTACCACCCAGTCGACGACTTGTTGTATGCTGTGCGTATGTATACGAGAACGTGTATTTACGTTGACTCGTTGGCTGTGGTACCACGGAGGAGTATTCCGTAAATACCGTATGTAACGATGTATGTGACGGTGGAGACAGGTTCCCTTGTGAGGGGCTCAGAAAAGCGGGCCTACCATGCTACATATTAACTTAATTGAGTTTAGCGTGTACGACAATCTACATATGTCGTAAGTTTTGCATAAAAGCAAGGCAGGGTTATTCTTTGCTTTTTCAGCACGCGATGTAATCCCCGTACCAGAATGGCTGACTATGTAGGTACCCAGCCACGACACAAACTGAGTCATGCCAACATAGAACAACTGGAAAATAGGGGAAACCATCAAAGCACAGACTTCCAGTTTTGAGCAATTGGTGGGTCAGTGGCAGTTGATGATAAATCTTTGACTATTGGCATGGAGGGATTCTTATCCGCAAAGTACGACTCCAGCTTCCACTTATTCCTCAGAGAATAAGAGGACATTCCGCTTTGGGAGGAATTGGTAATGAAAACGTGGGTACGGGAATAAATGGTATTGTATGATCGATACGGTATCTTAGGTACGTGTGTTAGAGTTTTAGTGCCGGACACCAAAAAAACAACGTGGGACTAGGCTAGCCCCGATTGGGCAGCTCTGGGTCCGTGTGATGACCAATGACAAGCTGTGTATCGACCCAAAAAGCAGCCGCCTTATGAAGATCACTGGGGCGCATCGGCAGGCATGCAAGAATCAAGCAATCAGGCGTAAGTAATGTATTAGACTTGAACTGCCGTAAGTACAATGTTCAATACGACTGTGCACATCCTGTATCTATGATTCACTTGCAAGCGATATTACTCTATCTTGTGCCTAGTCTGGCATGTACGAAGTTTAAGTCGAGCTTGACTAGTACGAGTTTGATTTAGATGTATCATATCGACTGACAGCTATCGACTCATCTGCGATCTGTCTATTCATCTGAATGACTCGAGAGAACAACATGTGCACGAGATACATCATCTACCGTTTGAGTGTTAGATGAAACTATTGTCTCGGAGAACTCTCTCGATAGTATTATTCACAAAATTGTAATTCCAACTGATCCGTCACAAACAAACCTTTCAAGCCGTTATTTACTTTAGGGCGCAAACTACCTGACCTCATTCCCGCGTTTGCTGACGACCCCAACAATGCGATAGTTACATGAACCTTTACGGAGGATATTCTTTCTATCGCCAAGAAAATGGTGTACGTACTCTTTATGCAGGTTAATGCGAGCGCCTATCTTAGAACGCCATGAAGACGATAGTCGATATTTCAAACCTGTCTGTCTTCTGATTGATGCCTACACATCAACGATTCTACTGGTAGACCGAACAGATGGGTAGAATGATCGACAAGGCTGCGTGCGGATGGAGACTTGTATTGGACGCATCATGGCGTCGACCTAGATCTTCGACACATGTCAAAAATAAGGATCGAGTCTTCGTTGGCCAGCTATATCAAATATTTTATATACTCCGTGCTTTTTCCGCATTCGTCAAGGTTGGTTCCGTTGGAAATGAGCTATTTGATACGTGCAACGTGTGTTCTTCACTTGCCACGCATCCTTCTAGATCCCGGAAATAAGAACGAAAATGAAGTTGTCTAAGTACCAAATATGTGGAATACCAAGCCCTTGAATCGAATTGAGTTTCACCCTTTTTTACATACATAGTTACTGCTCCATACCTCCTAACATCAAAGTTCAACTAAAGCACCACTAAGAAACCCATCTTGGCCCGCACGTGTTCTCGGCATGGGGAGATAGGGGGAAGCTAATTTCTTTCGAAACCCCGGTAGCCCCGCCAAGGTATTACATCCGTATTAGGGCTCTCGGGCTTTGTGATTTTTCGTTAGATTATCCACGGAAGCGATCGAGACGAAATAAATTGAATCTGTAAGTTACAATCTCGCCTAGTCTGGCCTGTACGACACGACGAATACGTACGCGAAAGATAAATACAAAGTGCATCCCGACCAAGGAGGTAAGGAGGAACCCACGACCACGTGGAAAATGGCATTCAGGCTGCTAGTGGCTTKTCAGCCACTAGATAGAAAAGAGAGTTGAGATGTTGGGAGAAAGTAAAATGTGGATTAGGTAAATTATTGCGATAAACAAATAAATTAGGTAAGACTAAGATATGGTTTTTTTTTTTTTKTTAGGAGAACAAAGCGTTGAATCTTAACAGCAACAAAAACAACAAAAAGGCGTGTAGATAGCTTCACATGCAGGTATTGCCGACTACCCGTACGGAATACGAATTGGGTAACCCAATACGAGGCTCGGAAGCGGGAGTGTCGTAGACTCCGTAACCTGACTCTATCTAGATAATTACTATGCGTGTAAGTATTAGGCACTCATTATTCATGCAGGCGCTTGCTTACAGCAACGATAGTGTGTGAAAGATCGTCGTCGTCACAAAGTGGCATGAGTCATCAAAAGGATTACACGAGGTGGGGGAATCGGCTACAAGGTTAGCCGCTCGCGCTCTTGGTCCTTGGGGTGCCTCAGGTGATTCGGAATCCTAACTCCTTGTAGACGAAATCCGATATTGTTCCGTAGAGACACATCGAGATTTGAGACGACATGAGGTAAGATTTTTTGTTTCAAAGTCATCGTGACTCGTACGCGACAAGGTAGGTACATACGGTTTTACCTCTGCGGGGGTTTAGTTACCAGGTTCATGCATCTGATTCATCAAGTCCCGCACGGGCCGTGCCAAAACCACGTTTCTTCTTTCTTTCTTTCACTTCAAGCCTTTGCAAGCCTTTGTTCTGCCTTTGTGTGAGGTAAGATCTCAGCTGGCGGTCAAAGCGAAATACTTCGGCCAAATTTTTGATTTTCTGTCAATCCAGAGCTGTCCTGCGATCTGGGAAAGAAGTTCCACTGCCTATCATATCCTTGTTCCACGTGGCGGAGTGTGGAGTATAGTTCTTATTTGCTATGAGCTTCAAGATTGACCGGTCAGAAAATTAATCTACATGAGGGGAGATGTATCGTTTGTCATGCCATGTGGTTGATGATCTCTACTGTTTGAGGGCTGAATAGTACAGAGTACTTATGATATACTTACCGGAAACGCCGGAAGGTGATATATGACTCTGCATGTGAGGAGAATGGCGGTGAAGTGATCGTCTATATTTTTTGTTGGTTATGATAACAGATTCGGCTTCTTGAGGCATCCTTCAGTCTCATATCGAAGACTCCACCGGTATAGACAGTGGACTGAATAGTGAGCGATGTCTGTCATGGTGGATAATGTATCCAATCAGTCGTAAACTTCTACGTACCAATCATCATGAAGTAAACCACGGCAAGATGCCGATGGAGAATATTTTATCCCGGCTATCTGACACCTCGGTCTTACGGACGTATCATTCAGCCAAGCATGTTGAATTTTGATTCGAGAAATCGACTCCATTGAGAGCATGAAAGAAAGCCACGAGGACCCAACATCTCGGGTTGGCAATCTAGCTAGTCCAAACCTAATTCTAGTACCCAACAACAATCAATCACTTCAACCGCCAAACGAGGTCTACGATGATCATCATCCTTGGTAGGAATATCATCATCTTCTGAAACCAATAACATTTGAAACGAGCTTTTCCCTATGGAGGCGTCACGCAACAAGCAGGTGATTCGCAGACTGCTGATAACGGTTCCTCATATCAGTTTCCTGAAATGGATTAACCTCCGCTTTGGGTTTACGCCAAGACTTTGCGTAGGTCACGGGAACGGCCATGCCGCTTCTAGTCTCTTTGCGGATTAGTGTATATGACTGGCGTGGAGTAACTGTATTGTACTAACAGTCCACGTTTTGTATGGGGTAGTACTCATGGTCGTTACACTGTACACAGTATGTATGATGGTATGGTACTCTGTCCAGATTACAGAGCCACTCCATCCACTGGTTCCGCATCAGTGCACTTTGTATATGACACCAACACTTTTTTTCGGACGGACACCTCAAACACTAGCCTGCTATCGGCAGAACTTTCCGTTGGCCACGTGGAAGACAGGACGACTCAGCCAACCGCCAGTCAGCCCCTTGAGTCGATGACAGGTATCAGTAGTCAGTGAGCCAACCAACAATTATGACCGCGCTTGGCCCTCGAGCGCCTGGTTGGCCTGTATGAAGGCCCGGCCCTCCATTCCCTCCAGAGATGAAGCCTTCCAAAATGTGGAAGGCGCTCAGACTCAGATGTTCCTGGTTGGGACCATTCTGCTCCTCGTATGGGGTTGTCAAGACACGAACACGATAATTTGGGCTCAGTTGTGGATATTGACTTTTCGGCAAGGCCGTTCAACTCGTTCTCCGAGGATGTTGCTCTCAACAGTGTCAAACTATATGCAGGAAAAAATTCTTGTCAATCCTGTTATGTAAACAAACTTCGGAATAAAAGGTCAGTAGTCCGAGTCTCGCCTAACGTACTAAAGAATTGCTTATTCAATTCACAGCTATGCCCACCGTCGCGCCTTCGGCAATTCCTACGTCGTTGACAAGGTATATCCCTGCTCAGCCCTATTTCAAAATGGACTGAGTTGACACATTTCTCCCCAACGGGGTGGAGACCCC